CACCCTTACTACTATACTTATATATCTGAAGAGTTGAGATATTGAGTTGTAATTTACTATATTAACTATGGTGTTTTGGGGGTGGCGGCTCAGGGGGAATAGTAGGTGGGGCTAAGATGATGAGCATGAAGTGTTTCTGGGGCATATAATTGCATACATTCAGCGTATCGCTATTTGGCCTAGAGCTACATGAAGTAAATAATTGGGACATGCAAGTGTAACCTGGAACAATTCTCTTCTTGGTACCTGCAGATAGCCACCCCTAGTGCCGATCACAGCCTCATACATGACTGCTCCAAGGAGACCAATATCAAACTTGAATGGTGAACCCGTCATCATCCACAACATCCATATATGTTTCTAGCAAAAGGAGAGATGACTCGGGAAAATCGCAGAACTTGAGAGATAAATGGGAATCCAGGAGAAAGTTTCTACTCGATATCCTCAACGAGCACCCGATTTTCGTGGATACAGCCAGGGGTGCGAGCCATCTCAGAAAATCATCCAAGCTGAAGCTGGTGAGAAGGTGGGTACCTGCTGAGATACGTATCAAGATCACCATTGGCCATATAGGCTAGCTGCGTAGCTCCACTCGAAATCTCGACAGTGGAAAACTCCTTTGAGCTGTTCATCTTCAAGGATCTGCAATGAAACTTGGTTTTTGTGGTTAGTATACTGTTATCTGGCTACCAGGTTTTTCTTGCTATTTGAAATATTCTTGATCGATGACTCTCTCGTAAATCTGCCGAACTTGGCCGGGTCGGAGCGCGAGGATTTGGCTGGTGGTCGGTCTGTGGCTCAGTCGAGAGGCACTGTTCTGACGGGAACACGCAGAATGGACGAATCAGGATGCAGAGGAATGCACTCCGGCAGAACCTTTTTTTTCCATAGCGGATAAAAGAAAAGGCTCACACCATTCCGGCTGTGAACGATTCCGCACTCGCCCCCTTGCTTCGAACAGTTTCGCACTTGAACCCCGGGCCATACCAGTTCGCAACCTGTAAGTGCTGACATCTTGTTAGCACCTCTACATGGAAGTCGAATACCCCCTGTTGAGTGTCGCGGTGGTCAAAGCTTATGGCAGGACTAGCGATGGACATTTAAGTAGACGGGGTTCCCACTTTTGATAGTAACCTCAATAAGAACATTACAACTACCTATCTCTACACCCCTAAGTGCCTATCTCAACACTGCGAATACGAACATTCGTATTCCGTAGAGGCTTGCAAATTACGAATGTGAACGCGAACACGTACGAATCTTACGGATAAGTATTAGTGCCGACCGCTAAACTCACATTCCTATAGTCGCATCGCACCATTCCAGCCATGGCAAGCATCCACCTAAACTGTTCTTGGAGTTTAACCCTTTCTTCACCTTACATGGATGCCGCATGCGTGAACTTAATATAGCTAGCCACATTTTTACACCGATCCAAAATGCCTCTTTGCTTTTCAAACAACATTAAGAGCTTTTTCAATGTAAGTTCTCGGATATCGAACTAGGGATTGTACCGTTCGAACTAAATACGTCGCTTTGAGCAATTGCCCCGACTACTTTATCCCATTAGCCGACCTCAACTACTGTGCTCGATAAACGCAACCGGTGCAACGTAGGGTTCCATTGGTATTTCTGGCAGTTTTGGCCGGCAGAAAAAGGGACCGCCCGTAACACCAGCGTCCCAGAATTACCAGCGTTCCCCATATAAATTTGAACCTGGCTGCGACATCTAAGTCCCGTTCGCTGCCTTCTTCTCTAATTACCTCTACATTTAACGCTCGCTTGCTTACTCCCCCCCCCCCTATCCTTTTTATACTTCTACTTGTTACTGCTTCTGCTGCTTGAACGTCTTAAATCTACTGCCCCAGTTGGTATCTATACTTCGTGATATGTATCAAGAGGGATAGGGGAGGGTATTGCGTGTGTGAATAGTTTGACTAACACTGGAGGATACTTAGTGTTAATGCACGTAACAGTATGTTAGTGTTGTGGCCGGTGTGTTGCTAGGATAAGATAGATATATAAAAAACATCACGTATTGTTAGATTACATGCTGAACGCCAAGAATGGTCAAGGTCGAATAATTCATATGGGTGGAATAGCTTCAACGGATGAGGGTGGCAGGTTAGCGAGGTTACAGCGCTAAGAGGCTTAGTATACTACCAGCTGGGTCTAAAATTTTATAGGGAACACTAGTAATTTTCGACAGCGGGTGATAAAGGCGGCCTCTAGGATGGTCAGCCTAAATACTATTGGAACCTACGCTGTACCGGTTGCGTCTATCGAGCGCCGTTCTCAACACTTAATTTACAAATTAATTATCCTGGAATTGGCTCCCGTCTAGTGCTACCGGCAATGCAATGGAATGCCACGACGGCAAGGCATGTTGTGACCCCAAGTACCTTATATAAATTATTCGTCCTGATCCAAAAAAGTAGACACATTTCAACACAAGTTCGCTTACTACTAAGACGCCATTACTTGTTGATACTTTATTCACTCTTCTAAAATTTCAATTTCCTGACTGAACATAATGGCGATGAATATTCGAACTCTTCTTGTGGGGCTGGGCTTTGTCTTTTCGGCCGTCGTGAATGCGAACCCCTCAATACTGACGGGTGAGCTTGAAGCTCATCAAGTGGGAGACTGTAAATGATCCTTGGACTACGACTATACCATCATTTGAATTATTTGCTGACCATACGCAGGTATTGCTTGGTACTTACCTCAACTTCGAGCTCCTCCGGAGACTTGTAACGACGTTGTCAATATGCATCCAGGGCTTGATTTGACCACCTTTCTCAAATTAAACCCTGCCATTCATCCCTACTGCGACAACATGCAAGTCGACCACAGGGTCTGCATTCGAACCATTCAGCAGAATGACTGTCCGAAGCTGGCAGAACCAAGTTCGCAGCCACAGGAAACTAGCCCAAGTCAGTGGAAAACTAGTACAACTCCGACGCCGCAGGAAACCAGCTCCATGGCTTCTCATGGATGGCATTGACGTCTGTTAGAATGGGCGAGGCTGCACTAGTGAGAGTTAGGTCTATCTAAAAAAATATAATATCGTTAATCCGCGACCATTTGTTCAGCGAAATTACACTGTAGTCCTTTCCTCTTATGTTGATCTGTTAGTCCCATTCTGCCTTATTAATCTACATGTTGAAGAGAGATAAGGCGATGGTAGTCTGTCATAGCAGATAGGTCAAGGCATAGCAAACAAAACAACCGCACCTGCAGTATATAGCCCCTTTGTCGAGCGACGGAAAACGGCCACTTGGAAGCGGTAAAGCTCTTTGTCTCTGGCAATTAACCAGAGCACCATCGCCGCCCAAGACACCGCCCTGTGTATCGCCGCCCGGGCAGGCGACTCGGAGATGGTGCGGGTTTTATTACGCCATCCCCAAGTTGATCTCAAGTATCAAAATCAGTGGTCGAGGATGCTCTGTTACTTGCAGTAAAAGGGGGCGATCTTTCGGTAATTGACATGCTGCTGCAGGACCGGAGGTTACAGCCTACCAGTTTGTGGGCATCGCTTCATTTTGCCGAGGAGTCCAATTCGGGAGGCAATCCAGAAGCGGGTCAATGATCTCAGCAGCAAGTACAGCCTATCATTAAAGTGGAAAACCGGTGGCTTCCTCAAATGTCAAAATTATAGAATTATCCAACATGATGTTTGGAAGGGCCAGCAGAAATGTGGATGATACACAAAAATGGGATGATGAAAGGCCAAGAACTTGATGGATTTACAAGAAAGCTAATCTACATAGATGCTCTACCCACCCCTCACTAATGAGGACTGATGCTTCCAAATCCACGGCTTGGATGGCCTAAAATGGCTCATTTTCGCGTCCGTGGCATGACAAACATGCATCGCGCTTCCTTTCTGAGACCAGCAACTTTTTGCCCAATATCATCGCCTATCCCAAGGCCCATAGGGGCTCATTTGATTTACCCCTATGGGATAGCGCCGAGTGCAGCCGCGGGTCCGAGCTTTGGTAGTCTGTCGCAGATGCTAGGAGGTAAACCTGGGGTTGTAGAGGACGCGAGTGAACCGAATGGAAGAGCATGGAAACCCGACATCAAGACTGTCAAAGCCGTCATCGCGTTTGCAATGGAGACGGGACGGTTGGCTAATGAAGGGTGAGGAAGAAGATCTGAATCGAAGACCGCGCATGTGGTGATGCTATCAAATGTACATATCTTATGGAGCAGTACACACTAGCTAGGGGGGCTACATACGACCTAAGGTCGTGAAAACGTGAGGAATTAATAAATAAATAAATAACACTTCAGACAACTATCCATGGACATGACTGGGCGTACAATTGCTGTATCGATAGAAAGTCAATCGAAGAGTAGGTTGTTGCACCAGTTTCGGGACGCACTGTATTAAAAACGAAAAACTCAGGTTCGATTTCGCCCAAGACAGCTGGTTTCAGATGGATTCAAAGATTCTGATTATATGCTGAAGATAGAACAACGCAAATTTTCCGCCACTATTAACTAAAATCCTTCGTCCAGGCAATCACAGCGGGCTCGACAGTGTACGAGTTCCTCATTATTTGGCATTGTGCTCGGATACTTCAACTTCCACCCGATCTCCAAATACCTCAACTTGGGTGCTGAAAAACTTCCTGGCCGACACTTTCTCTTCAAAAAGCATATCAAGTTCAGCAAAAGTGCGATCAGTTGTTTCTGGAACTCGGAAAAACGTGTATACAACACAACAAAAGCAAACACCGCCCCAGAAAAACCCTGCAAAATTACTCCAACCCCAGTCGGCAGGATTCAACATATAGGGGGTTAGCACACCACAAATGATAGCGATAACATTGTATATGATGCGACCGAGCACCACAGTCTTGATTTGCAGTCGGCGAGTAGAGATTTCTGCCACGAGCGAATAGGCCACAGTTCCGACGGAAAGCTGGTAGAATAATGCCCAGCAGAGCATCATTGAGCCTGTTGCGAGTGACGCGTGGTCCCTATGTGCACTAGGAACTAGGCCAAGGAAACCAATCAAAAATAGTATAGTGCATAGTCCGCAGAGGCCATAGAGAAATAGTGTCCTTCGACCAATCCCGAAGGACATCACCTTCCATCGCGATACATGTGGAAATGAGAACACTCCACCCTATCGCCTTCGGATACGTTCTGATACCTTGTAGCAAGGTCATCTTATGCTCTGTTTCAGTAGCTGCTTTCGCATTGTCGGTTTCCTTGGCTGCCGGCACAGAATCCTGGCGTTCGACATCCCCGAAGGCATTTCCTGCCGATGAAATGTCGTCCTTAGCCATGATTGTCCTTTTCGAAGCCGAAATTTCAGGCTCTAGGTATGAGCAAAATGACAATGATTAGTCATATGATTAAGTCACCAGCGTGAGAAATCATTATCGGGGCACCGAGACATCTTTTGGTAGAGCCAGGGCTATTTATGTAAAAGGAACGGGAACTTATCTGAGGCTGTCGGCTATCCCAAGTATATAAGGAGCTAATGGTTAAATGCGGGAAAGGGCCCACGAGTTAGTCGGCCACTGATGTGAAGCCGATTTCGAAACCAAACACTGTCAGCAGAGGTTTGACCTTGACCCCTGTTGCCTTCAAAGGACGTCCCAAGTATCACAAAGGATGATTCCAATTGGTTCACGTGGCGAATGAAAGGAAATATAATTCCGAGAACAATGTGACGGCCAATAGATAAACGAGTATTGGAGTATATCTCGCTTATGCGAGAAGAAGCTTGTTACCGAGATAACCGGAAATACGGGGTTACATCCATGGATGCAGGTGGGGTATTGGAGTTGAAAAGAACGCGGGGCCCCATGATTGAAACTTGACATTTTCCGTTAAATCGTCTCCACCTTTTATGTCGCCGTGGGGCCTATCAACCGGAACTTACCGACAAGGGTCGGCTAATGAGAAATCCGTCACTGGATACGGTGTGGTGTAGTGACTCACCTCCGCATCCAAATGAATGAGAGCATTCATTCCTCTATAAAAGGTCGAACAGCACCATGAGATGAGGAAATAAATATGGCCAACGGTTGCTGAGCTTCATTGATCACATTTACCCCAGACTTATTCGGGATGCATATCTCTTCTCAGTTTCTGCTTCTTGGGGTTGCGACAGCCGTGGATGCTACTGCTGTGAGGCCAAGAGGAACATCCACAACTCCGGATTATTTCCAGACCAGCTATGGCCCGTTTGCTGGTATATATTTCCCAACTCCCACCAATTGGTCCCTCAAGTGTTGACAGGTATAAACACAGGCCCAACACAGGCCGGAAGCGCACCCTTCCTGGCCCAGACAAACCCGGCTCCTTTTAGGAAGCATTCTTATGTACCCAACACCCCAGTGGTGACCGAGTACCTATAATCGGAAAGGGTGATGGTGCTGAATCATTCAAACATATGGGCAATCTCTCGTACGTATGGGCAGAGCTCGCCGGCTTGTTTTCCACGTGACTAACCATGGAACCAAGACCTTACATGTCCAATCCTTCTGGATTCGGGGTTAAAGAATATTCACTTCCCCCTGGCACCAATATTACACAGATGCATATGGTGCATCGACACGGATCTCGGTATCCCACTTCCAGCGCCTCTGTGGCCACTCTGCCAAACCGTATAGCGGAACTTCTCGGCAACGGGACTCGCTTCACTGGCAATCTGGAGTTCCTCAATACTTGGAAATACAGACTGGGAAAAGAAGAGCTGACGGCTCTTGGGCGCCAACAGCTCTTTGACAGCGGTGTGCTTAATTGGTTCAACTATGGCCAACTCTATGATCCATCCTCTCCACTTATCGCCCGTACGTGCACTCAAGTGCGAATGTTACAGTCAGCTGAAAACTTCCTGATTGGTTTCTTCGGCCCTAAATATGCGGAGAATATCACTTTGGAAGTCATCATCGAAGAACCTGGATTCAAGAATCCCCTGGCCGGAGATAAGGCGTGCCCCAACAACAACAACGATCGGTCAGTCGGCGGAGATTGGGCAAACGCCCAATGGCAGGAAAAATATCTGAAGCGTGCAACGGGCCGATTCCGTCAGTCGATGACGGGCAACCTAGAATGGACAACTGAGGACACTTATCTTGCCCAAACGATGTGTCCATATGAGACCGTCGGCTTAGGTTACAGCCCATTTTGTTCCCTCTTTACCAAGGGCGAGTGGGAAGGCTTTGAGTATACCTTTGCCCTAAATTACTATGGAGGAAACGGATTTGGGTCTCCCACCGGACGGGCAGTGGGCGTGGGCTACGTCCAAGAGCTCATCGCCCGACTGCAGCACCGCTACCCTCAACTGGACGAGGGGTTTGCTACCATCAATGAAACATTGGATACCAACCCTACAACCTTCCCTTTGAACCAGAACTTGTATTTTGACTTCAGTCACGATACCACCATGTTCTCGATGTTGACGGCCCTAGGCCTCACACAGTTTGAGGATTTCCTACCCACCTCCGGTCCGCCAGAAGACCACCAACTGATTGTGAGCCATATTGTTCCATTCGCAGCCCGCTTTAATATTGAGGTGATCAAAGCACCGCGGCCCGTACGTACGAAGCGCTCCAATGACCCCCACGCCTCCGCATATGAGCACGAGGGAGGTGAGACAACCTATGTGCATATGTTGATAAACCAGAGAACAATCTCTCTCGGACGCAGTATCCCAGAGTGCGGGAAGCGGGATGACGGATGGTGCGAGCTGGAGACGTTCATCGAGGCTCAGAAGGAAAACATTGCAAAGGCGAAGTTTGAGGACAGTTGTTTCGGCAACTATTCAGTTCCGGCATACGGAGACGTCACAACGGGTGCGATCTGAAGCTAGATCACTTATGGCATCCCGTGATTCGGATTCTATATTTATTACGGGGTAGAAGCTATGGACGGATACTGGTCAAACGTTTCAACCTGTTAGGACAGTCCCCTAGGGTGTCCGGGTACGATATAGATACGAGTGAGGAATGTGAGATATGCCTTATATCGGTATCAAGATATTCAGACTAACCGTCTTCTGAAGAGGATCCAGCTATTACTTTTCAGAGGATCCCTTTGTGTGTATGCAAGCAGGTTAGTGAGGTGGTGTATCAACAAGCGGCTCCGGTGGTGGAAAGGCACCTCCTCCGCATCTTCTGTACCTCATTGTATGGTTAGCGTAACAGAATATATATCTGGGCCACCAGTAGAGCTTCCATCTGATGCTAAGGCTGTCAATAGCATTCAGAATGCTCTTCTGTGGGCTCAACATCAAGAGGGCACTACTGAGGAGGATATACGTCAGATAGAGGGGTTGTAACGTCTATTTACCAGGCTACAGGTGGATGGGAGGAAACAGCTATACCTGCCTCTTCCCCGCGTTTGTTTCCCCGGACTGAAAATTTCATGTTCCGTCTGCTCCTCGTGACATCCGGCGTTTGAAACTATTTACCTTCGATTAATTTCGGACGGATGAATAGGTCCTCCAATAGAGGGATTGATTGGAAATAAGGGAATGGGACGATACGACCCAAATACCTTTACTCGGAAGTGTCCTGGCGAGACAAGGGGAGGTTGATAGCCGACTTTGGTCTTATAAGCCGCACGACCAGGGTATAGCTCCTTTCTGGCCAGATCACGCACTGCGATGATAGCTATCATGGGTGTCGCTTCCTTTCTGCTCTTTGTGTCCTACCTTCTCACTTAGTGAGTGCCGTTGCTATGCACCGTTCATGATATTCGCCTCCATATACATGCCAATTGCAACAGGATTAGTGTCAACCTACAATCCCCATACAAATTAAGTTTAGATAATTTTGTACTCGGGATTTGCAGGCTTCAAGGGGGGGGGCATTGGCTTTCAAGGCTCCCAAGCTGCTGTTCAGACAACGCTGGGTACTGCGAACGTTAGCCTCGGAATCGGTGTTATCTTGTCTGGACAACATCTTGGTCTGGCAGTCTTTATTGCCATTGCACAAGCGATTTTTACCAATCAGTTGTCGAAAAGTTTAGAAGATGTTATCTCAGGCTTAACACCCAAATACATTGAAGTACACGGCCTTAGTGATATTAAGGATGGGGTTCCTTTAGAGCAATGGGGTACGGTCTTGGGTGGTATTGGTCAAAACTTGACTTATATTTGGTACCTTTCTGTTGTATTGGTATGTATGACCATGATGGGAAATCTCCTTATTAACTGACGCTCGGTTAAACAGATGCAGTTATGAGGTAAAAGATGGCAAGAAGAAGTCTTCAGTACTTAAATTATTCATCGGTCCGCGTACAGCGCAAGTAAGACTCAGGTCTAGAACCCTTGGGCAAAAAGAAGAAAAAGGAACTTAAATAGACCGAAATAAAAATGGATATATATTAAGACAAAAAATCGCTGGATATATGAAACGTTGACAAATTGATACGATTATGCATGACTTGGCAAGCTCACCGATCAGTCTGAACTACAATACAGGACGCCTGGGCATGGAGTTATGAGATAGCCGTGAGCAATATTGCTAAGCCTTTTGCCAAAAATAGACACCGTCAAAAACAAGGCCAATGAGAGATTGGCTTATTTTAAAGGTTGTCTCTACTTTTGGGGGCCTGACGAAGGTCGGGATCTCCAGAGCGAATATATCGTGACCATAGAGCCAATAGAGCTTACAGATAGTGAGATCTGGACTGAGACAGATACGATAAATCCGACCGTAACATCAAGTCATAATCATTACGAATTGGAGTCGAATCCTATGTTGAGGGCCCGGATTTTACATTATAAGAAGATGCTTATACCCGCTTGCAAGAAGCATCATCAACAACCAAGGTCAACTCAATCATCAGTCGCTTCCACTTCTACTTAAACGCATTTATACTGCTTAATAATTTACCAAAATGAAGGCCGCAACCATTTCCTCCCTTTTTTTTGCAGTCACCGGTGCCCTCGCTGTGCCTACCAAGCGGGCCGGCCAAGCTGTCACCATCACTGGTCTTAGGGCCACTATCTCCGACCAGGAGGGCACCGTCCAGTTCTCTCTATGGGATCCAAACTACTCCGACAGCACTAGCGCAAGCCTGACTTGGTACGTTTCCCAATTGCCCCATTTTTCTGGCGATAAAAGTATTTAACACTTACTTTAGGGATCGTCCCGGACAGCCACCCGCCGATACCTGGTCAGCCGATCACAACTATGTTGTTGAGTTCCCCAACGGTGTGAACTATGCGAAGCCGGAGTGGTTGAGCTTTCGTATCAAGCGTACAGGGGGTGGAGAAATTATTGAGGTGGCTTTGGGTTCTAATGCTGATGCTTCCCAGTGGGGATGTCATAAGGAAGAGGGAATGCAGGTGTGCATTTTTACCGGTGATCTCATCGTCACCCCTTACTCTTCTTAGATCTTGGCTTTTGGCTTTTGATTGATGGAATATGGATGTGGATATACACATGTTGAGGGGGTTGCAGGAATAAGAGAGGTAGATTTTACAACTGGTCACTCATTTTGAATATTCTGTTCCTGTCACTATTGAATAAACATATATCAGTATGTGTGATGGTTCACTACTATTATTTGAGTTCGAACTCGCTATCTTTTAGAGTTGAATGTTTTCTACAACACACATAATTCATTAACGCCCGGCGGCTAAGCTGAAAGGACAACCATCACTGATCTATCAAGACAGGTCCTAATGCACATATACCGTGTCTCCTTCGAGCCCATATATGCATCCCTTCAGTATATGTCCTCTCAGTTGTCAGTATCGTAGGAATCCTGGTGGGTTGGTAATTCTGTTAGTAGACTGGCTTGAAGGCGCTTCTTCGAGTGTTCAGCATCCTACCTTTGGCAGTTGAAGTGTGTCTACCATCTTTGGCACAAGGTGGTTGGTGAAGGTTAGTCTAGGGGAAGGTTATCATTGTGTTGGCCGGCGTGGTTAGGCGGCGTCGAGTCAGCCCGTGACCAAAATATAGAGAGCTCAGAGGGCCCTGAGGGCCTAGATATACCTGTTCCGACCGAAAAAAAAAAGCCTTCACATGCTATTCCTGGTGGCGAAGAAGTGTTTGAAACAGCCTGGGTCCATACTAGAGCGATGTTGTGGTAGTAAATAGCAATATAATAAAAAAAGGATCGTTGCACTGTGAAAGATCGTTGAACTGTGGATGAACTAATTGGCGGGCGGTCAATTAGGTCTACATGTTACTGCTATAGCCTTGCAGGCTAAATAGATATGGCGCCTATGCTCTATTATTGAGGAAATAGAAAGTTTCGACGTGAAACAAAAAGACATAATTTGAGCGATATTGTTGCCCTGCGTTTTATGCCTATTAGGTTAGAAGCGTACCCCTTGCATAATGCTTACCAACAATTCTACAATGCTACCTATTACTCAGTAGCCCCTAAGAATAAACAAGCACGATTATGCACTAAGCCACGAGACAACTCGCCCCTTTCCCCGAAGGAGGGAAGATAGCTGTTGGGCATGCAAGGCTTCAAATGCCAACTGTATATTGGGCCTAGATCATTACTGAGTGCCATGGTTTGCTAATTTTGGAGGGATCAAAGGTGGGGATATGCTGCTGGCGAACCTGGGGGACCGGGGTGGAGGTAGTCTCACATACGGGACTTTGGAAATGGAAATGATATTCTGTCCGCCTTCGTGGGACGCCTGAAGCATGGCCGGTCAATTGGCTTCTGTGCCACCTGAGAATGGTAGATAAGTAGAAGATCAAAATCATCTCAACAGTTTTCTTCTCATGAGTGGCTAGCCCGATTATTGTATTACAAACTGCATCGAGACTCTGAGTCAGATAATATGATTTTGATATACGGCCCATGCAAAACAATAGTATCTTTCACGACCACGATAGGCCGCTAGTTGTCATTTTGTAATGGTATTGCAGCTTGCATGAAAGTCTGATCTATTCAATAATGGGGGCAAAAAGCTATTTAACAAGGTTACTGCTTTGGTAAGCAGGCTAATGACTAATTGCCAAGTAATAACTAGTTAGGCAATGTATCCGACTAGTATCGGTGACTTTGTCGCGACAGTATCAATTTTCTTAAGCAAAGGATCCCTAGCCTCGGAGTGATAAGGATCTAAAAGGAAATATTATAATCAGTAAGTCAGTAAACAGTTTGTGTATCATCATTTTTAAAATCGACTTGACTGATTCTTGCTGTGGGATTCTGTTACGGTTACACACACTGCCAAGGAATACACGTAGATGGCGCTCCTAGTATATTTCTTACGATGTGGATTCTCGCATACGGTAAATGTGTAGTAAGTAGTAGGTGGCCTGGAAACGTCGGCTTGCGAGGAACCTCGGTGAGTGTCCCAATTAGGAACATCATTCAGATGAATGTTGGTTACATATGACCTTCTACTCGTCACATTTCTCTAAATCGTTATGTGTCGCGACAAAGTCACTGTTATTAGTCGGATACATTGCCTATAACTAGTTATTACTTGGCAATTAGTCATTAGCTTGCTTACCAAAGCAGTAACCTTTGTTAAATAGCTTTTTGCCCCCATGATTGAATGAACCAGACTTTTATGCAAGAGTAATACCATTACGAAATGACAACTAGCGGCCTATCGTGGTCGTGAAATTATGTGTCCCCGATGGACCCTGCAGATCCTTCAACTTTGCCTACTTCCGGCCTAGCGTCCAAGGCTTTTGGGAAGTGCAACAAATCCTTCGTGTTACCGAGTACAGCATTAGGCCTCCCAAGTTTTCCAGCAAGGCGTCTGGCTGCTTGGCCTTGCCAAGATGATCTTACCAAGGTGATCTTCATCCTTCTTCATAAGAAAGACAGTTTCATAATCCAGCATTAATACTGACTCCCGTTACAGCACTCAAAGCTATAAATGTAGCCTGATATTCCACTCAACATGTTAGTCCCTTAACAAAAATTATCTCTCAACTTTATTGCCTTTCACTAGGGTCATTTCCACTACAACCTTCCGGTAGATACCATCCTTTCGCTTCAAGTTTGGAAAACACTTCCACTAACCCCAACAGTTTAGCAAAATGAAGTACATGTTTTTGATCGCCTCTTTCCTCGGCCTGGCTATGGCCGCTGGTAACTGTCCTGACTTCCCGCGCTGTCATTGCCCTGGGGACCTCTGCAGAATCGGTAGTGGAACCCCCGGCGATGGCGTTTGCTGCGAGGGCAAAACTTGCGTCCGACAATCCGGAAGCGAAAACTGGGTATGTATCTTGTATCTCTCAAGGATAATCAAAGAAGAGCGCTGACGTTCTTGATATTAGTACTGCAAGTAGTGTGGACTTTGTCGAGTCAGTAAACGTGTCATGTATCAGCCGTGGTGAAGAATTTGGTAAACACTATACATAGGTGCACTACTCGATTCCGGGATTTGGAACTGTTCCAATAGCAGAATCAATACTTCCATTTCTGTACATTCAAACTTCGTGTCTACTTGCGATAGATTGTAAATCCGTCAATAGTCTTCAAAAACCTTGGGAAATTTCAATCTCACCATCTGCCACGAACTAAACGAAGTGACGGAAGGGGGTTTTGATCACGCTGGCTATGGCTTTCCGAAAATTATGTATCCTCTCATGTACTTCTTTGATTCTTTCTAGCTGACTCCACCACACCCGTCTATACCTGCAATGGTGACCTTGAGCCAACCTCCTACGTCAACGACTGTAGTTTAACTATATGGTTTATAGTATATAATTACTTGTATTCTAATTAATATCATATTAAAGTCTCAGAGCTATATGAACAGTGGTTGTTGAGTTATTCAAATTTCTGTTATTTTACTACTCAGAATGGTGACCCTAGATAACGTAGAAATTGATGATTTACCCCTAAGTGTGGGGCTAATAGAGTTTTTTAACTAATTAAATATCTAGGATTTTAGGCGGTATATAGCAATATTGTGGCAGTAATATTTTGGCATGCGATATTTTGGTATACAATTATTGGCACGCAATATTGTAGCAGCACTATTTTGGCACGCGATATTGTAGTAAGAGACCTTATCTTTCAGCTGAAAGATATTTAGTAGTATTGTATTGCTATATAAATATTATATATTATATGGTAATTGTATTATACTAAGAATACCACTAAGATTATGAAATTAATGCAAATGCCAAGTAATTGCCTATTCTAGATTAGCATGGGCATAGCCATACCCGCCGCGGGTTTTATGCCCTTGACGGGGGCACAGGATCTGTGCCCATACCCATGCCAAGATGGGCACAAACCAAAAACCTGTGCCCAAGGGCATGCCACGGGTATACCCGTACCCATTTGCCAGGTCTACACGCGATTAAGAGGTAAACGTAAGTCTGTATCACCTTAGATGGCGAAAAGAGCTTTCTTAAAATATAAGGACTCGATGCAAATAGGGATATGTATAGTATTAAATAAAAAGTAAGAAAGGTAGAGAAAAGAAGAAAGAGAGAGGCTATTGCCAATACTATTATACAGATGAAGGTTTGGGTCATATGATTAGGGTCATGTGACTCATCGACCTTCGATTCGTTACATAGGAGTTGAGTCGCGCAATCAAAGCAGATTGCCAATGCAAAAACCACGCTACTGGGTACTATATAATAGTGACAATTCGTGTATGGAAAGGAACTATAGGACCCAATTGCGAAGAGTTGACCAGTCTAAGTGCTAGATTAAGTTGAACAACCCTGCCATTTCGCGGAGGCTAGTTGTCTACAAGTAAACTTGCGTGCATGTTGCTACATAAAATTATTACAGGATACACAAGCAATAAATGGTCAACATGGAAAGAAAAGGTGGTAAACTTCTCCTGCGGAGTTTTGAAACTTTCCCTCTCAGCCAAGAGAAATGGAGAAGCACTCGAGTCACATCACGCTAAGAATGAAATGAAGTCACCGTATACTACGAGCATAGCTATAATCTAATAGCTACTTTTCAACCAATGAAAGCACCTTGGAAGGCTTTAGAGGCAAACTTTGGAACTCTCAGCATGGCGGGGGGGCCTTGCATACACTGTAGGCTCGGGACACAGCATATGACATCACGGTTGGGGGCTCGGCGCACCATACACCCATTTTGGGCCGCGTGACGATGCTAGTGCGATTATACCACGCTGGGGTAATGGAGCGATACATCTTAGAAAGATGGCTAACTTGATTCCATTTCGATGCACGGTTGATACTTAAAGAGCACAACATCTCCATGAAAAAGCTATGCATCAATCAAATATTCTATCAGAATGACCATGCTTTTCAAAGTTTCGCTATCACTTGTTCTCTTGAACACTGGTCTAGTTGCCTCAGACTACCTCATTCCGACGTATCCAGGCCCGGCTGATCTAAACAGTAATTCAAGCTCTGTCTTGAAAGCTTGGCATAATATCACCTCGGATTTTGATAAACTTCCACGTGTAGGCCACTTGCATCAGCCTGAACCTGTTTCTGGAATCGACAACATCACATTTTCCATTGGACTCTTCTCGCTCAATGATCCTCGGGCAATTCAACTCCAATACCACCATACGTCTCCTGAAACAAGTACTGCCGAGCATGGAACTCGAGAAGTAGACGCTCACAGTATATACCGCATAGCATCTGTTTCCAAGTTAATCACAGTTCTTTCTGGTATGATTGAGTTGACTGAGGATGATTGGAACCGTCCTCTGTCCCAAATAATCCCATATTTCGTTCAAGATCGTGTGAGAAGAGTTGCTGTCCCAAATTCTACTCGGAAGATTCAATGGGATAAAGTGACGCTCTGGTCCCTTGCCACACAGCTCAGTGGTATCCCCACAGTGAGTACCCATGTGTCCCTTAAGCGATTTTTATGGCGAGGGGAAGCTCCGAGTTTTCCCGAAGATTTGCTTTTTAAATCACCTCATCTAATTATCTGGACAGATTGCACTCCCTATTGGCGATCTCTATAGTCCTCAAGCTACCGCAGAATGGGGTGCTCCGGAGGTCAATATCAGTGCTTGGAGCGCCTGCGAAGTGAGGTATCTGGCAGATCAGAACGACCAGTACTGCTCCGCCGAGGAGACCATTGCTCTTATCGATGGCCTGCTCCCAAACTTTCTCCCTTGGAGTACGCCGGTATACTCAGACCTAAATTTCATGCTCCTTGGAGTTGCTCTGTCAAATCTGACCGGAAAATCAATTTCAACCATATACCGCTCTTCAGTGTTCAATCCTCTCGACATGAAATCGACCATCGATTCACATCCCACTGACAGCGCTGAAATCGCTCGTTCAGTCATTGTGGGAGCACCAGAAGCAAATTTTGCCGCCGAGCCCGTCATCACCACTCCATCAGGAGGTATTTTATCAACCATCAGCGATCTCCAGAAGCTAGGATTGGGTATTCTCAACAGCACGCTTCTCCCTCCAGGAGTCACTCGAAAATGGATGATGCCCGTGTCGCATACTTCAAGCTTAAGCTATTCAATTGGTGCCCCTTGGGAGATACATCGTTTCGTACACCCAGGTTCAGGAAAAGTGACAGACCTGTATACAAAACTTGGCGACTCGGGATTTTATGGCGGTTCTCTGGTTCTGGTACCCGAATACGAAACTGGTTTCGCATTTCTCAACGCGGGAACGGATGGAAACCGCACAACAAAGGCCTTTAAAGTCTTGGATCATGTCACTAGCAACATACTACCCGCGCTGGAACGTCAGGCCGTCATGGAGGCGAAGAAAAACTTTGTTGGATCTTATAAATTTTCCAGTGAAAATTTCAGTGTCACGCTTGAAGTCGCCTTCAATGCATCTACTTTCCCCGAAGTCAACTCAAATCTCGTGCTTACGAAGTGGAATTATAATGGTACGAATGTTCTCACAGGGCCATTCTTCAAGGGTCAACAATTGCGACTCGAGCAGTCGATACCTGGACGTGCTAATTCAACATCTGTCGGCACGGTTGCATTCCAATTATCAGCGAACGCCCAGACCTCGACTTACCAGGATGCAATGAAAATACCAGAAAGTAGCGTCTACGGTCCTTGGACTGGATTCTATCTTTCGAATGGGGATTTTGCGTTCACTGATAACAGACGGTGGGCCGGGTTTCCCGCAAGCACACTCTTATTTGATATTGATGCAAAGGGAAAAGCAATAACTTGTACTCTTCCGGCTGATCGAGTGACCTTGAAAAGAGTTTGAGGTATGCAGACAATTCGACTGGTGGCATTGATTGCCAGCCTCATATCACAACAGTTATGGCTTCAGACAATAGCCGCACAGGCAAATCAATATCACCAGTTTGAAAGCACTATCCATTTTGGGAAGCTCATACTTTTACTCGAAGATCATTGGTTTCTTTTGCTATCTCCCCACTAGTTGTACGTTCGCGGGGGGAAAGAGAAGCTCTTCGAGTCTCAACAATCTTTGTTTCAAGTTGGATTGGTTCTGCACTAGCGTTGCTAGTGAGAGGCCCCTTCGGGACGTCAACGTGACGCGAATCGTTATCGACACTTTGTGTAACACAGAAGGATAGGCAAAACAAATCTAGGTCAAACCCCCAAATTTTTCCTCTACGATCGTATCTTCCAATCGGATGATAAAATTTGGTCGTCTGGGTGACCTGCAGCACTGGCATGGCTAGTGGCCTGAACCTTCGGGACGTCAACGTAACGCGCCTCGTTATCAATGCTTTGTGTCGCACAGAAGGGTCGGTGGGATAGATAGGTCAAACCCCCAAATATTTCAACAGCGATCTCTAGATAGTTCTTCAATCAATTCAATCAATCATGCCAATTGGTTCCCTCAGTACTAGTCTATACGGATATCCTGCGATCCGACAGTAGAGCTTAGTATGTAAGGTGAATACCCACGTACGGTCACAATAGCCACGCCCCATCAAAATCGAATTCCCTTGACACACGCCCCTTCATAGAGACACATTCCCATGCTCCGATTAACCTCAGATTTTAATAGAAGGTAGCTCAGATTAAGCCCATGAAACGGTGAAAATCTGAGGTTCATCCGCCTACGTGAAAGGGTACTTCGACCTGGGGGACTAAAGTGGAGCCACACTAGCTGTCCCGGTCGGGCATACGGTGTGGGATCCACCATTCGCTACTGGTGGGAGACCGTGGGAGACCACAGGTCCTCTCTCTGTCGATCCTCCTCTAATAAAACTCCAGTCAGTTTCTCTGTGCGGGACTATGATCTCAGAGGCCACTCACCCGGCCATATATCTGGCAAACTGAAGCAAGACTGAGCAGAGATTTGAATTCAAGTCCAATCAGGCTGTCCTAGCACTGAGCTCCCACACAGTATGGAGCAGCTAACGCTACAGGCACCTCGCTGTCCTACGAACGCATGCGTTCCATGTACACGTGGTAAAAGGGGATGTGATAGAGCAGTACCGAGCTGCTCCTCCTGTGCGCGGTAAATAGAGGCCCAATATTCTTCCTACTTTTCTTCATCTCTCGGCAGCTGAACTCTGATGAACACCAGACTGAAGCGAGTTTGCGCTTACGACGAAGACACTTTCACTTTGGCGACGCTACAAAACGATGACCCCGGGGACTCCCCAGTACTCTCAGTATATCTGCTATTCCTGCTCAGTCATCTCAATTATCTGACCACGCCCTCGCCAGGAACCGTGGGCGGCTGCGATTATCGCTCACTTCCGGACAAACGCTCTTAGCGCACTTGGCTCCGTGGAGAAAACACGAAGTCTGTCTCGCACGTACTTCCGCTCAACTCATTATAAGTTGGCAATCATATATGAAAAGAAATTCTACGAGCGCCTGCCTAGCCTGTTCGCGTCCGCGGATTCAGGCTTCATCACGCTGTGCCTGTGCATGCATTTACTCCAACGAACCCCTTCGTCTTCTACCGATTGCATGATAACGTCGCTTTATACCCTTGCCAAGACGGGCATTAATCAGCTAGAAACTTTGAATCGCTGTTCTCTCCAGACGGTGCAAAGTATGCTTTTGATAGTGCTCTATGAAGCGGGTCATGGAATATACCCGGCAGCCTCCATATCGATGGCATCTTGTGCGAGAGCAGCTCGCAACCTCGGTTTGCATAAAATTAGGTCTAAACCACTCTCTGAAAATGGAGATGACCTTGGGGAGAAAAGAAGGACTTGGTGGGCAATCCACAACCTCGATAGGTATGTATAAGGGTGAGGCACTGTTGCTGCGTCACTACGAATCTTGGCCACGGGAATGACCGTTGAGAGAGGAGCTAATCAAGTTGAGAAGAATCATAAATCTCTATAACGGGGATGCTATCTTCAACAGTGAAGATGCTGGCAAGGAGGATCCTTTACCTCCTGGCGACGAATCTAGTTCATCAGAGGTCAGAATTGCTCTTCAATTGTCTCGGAGAATCTCGGGGACGAGGCTTTCAACTGACATGGTGGGACAGCCTCTATTTGCTGGTATCAGTCCAACCATTGCCACACCTGCGCCCTTCAGGCTAGGACAATTCGCACGGGAATGCCAGGTGTCACATCTTGTCGGAAGAGTTGTCCGCCATGTCTTTAGTCCTATATCCGACACGTACTTCCACGGAGAGGAGGCAAGGCAACTCGAACGGACCTTGTTGTCATTTCTTCCTCTCTTGATCGAGGAAGAAGTTCAGTTCGGTAACTATTGTGGAGCTCTGGCGACCTGCGTGAGGTGATTATTTCCCGTTCTGTTATTCCACATCCCTTATTCAAGGGAGCGAACAGGTTTAATTTGTTTGAACAGCTCCCTCTTCACGTTATATGCTGCTCCCATGCTTCACCCGGAGAGCGCAAGCCTCGATGAAACTGCCGCATTGTTTGCGATGGAGCAGCTTTCTGCAAACATGGCCGAAATTTCGGATTATATTATGGGCATGGCTTCGGACGAAAGCAAGCGCTTTAGGCTGTCGCCTTTCGTGCCGTATGCCTTATACCAGACCGCAGTCATAGAACTGCGACTGTTGAAGCAGAAGGGTGAACCACAACATAGCGCAAGGGCAGGCAGAATGGTAGAACTACTCCAACATTTTACCAAGCGTTGGTCTATAGCCGGTAAGTAAGATGTCTGAAAACCAGTGATACTTTTCATCTACAGAGAGCTGATTTAGTCGCTGGGGAACTCAGGAAAGTTCATAGCCGCATTGTACTCCCATGACCCACCGGTGACCCTACCGGCGCAGGCTTTCTACATCAGCGAGGAATCCCATGTAAATGAGTCTTAGGACAAAAGTGGAAGAGAAATAAAATTCGTGTAATCTACTTAAGCTACTCTAACGATTCTCGGCACCTCGAAGATGGGAAAGCCGTCAAAGATGGGAGAGCGGCTTGGCGCTTCGAGAGTCTTCCGGATCACTGACGTGAAGAAGTCCACTACCGACGACGTACCGTTCAAGTGGCAGCACCCGCCATCACTGCCCGAGTTTTGAGTGTCTCTAAGATTATCGATGACTGGACGAAATTCTTCATTCAATTATTGCAGAGAATCTTCCGGGCAGTCTTCGGGAAAACCGGTAGGCTCTTCTAGGTGTTGGATGGTAGTTTTCAGTTAACAAAAAAGATGCAGATATTGAGATTTCTGTTGCAGAATACATACTACACCTAGGGTTTGTTAGAGATCTGCCCGTAAATGTGAGTGGAGGCCAACAGGGTGCCACCTGGAAGTGCTCATGAAGTAGAAAAAATGTGGAAATGTATTCCTGGTACTCAGAACTTGAGCTTCGATGGTCGCAATCATATGATAATAAATTAGGGCCGCACCTAGTGCCTACGATATTGCTTTCTTATCTCTTAGCTCGGACCTAACTGCCACTATAAGACTGGGAGAGGTAAACTTGAGTAAATGCAACTGGACGAAGGCGTCAGCGGACTCGCTAGATAGGTAGCAAGCCAAACTACCTTGTAATATAGCGGAGGCTCCAGTGACATTATTTAACTTTGTTTTGCTCTCCAGTAGTTTTCTGTTTTATTATCGTGGGATTCAGTGTGAACAGTATGGTTTGTAAGAGGGATATATGTATTAAGGGAGGTACACTAAGACTAAATGGACGCGTATCCGACGAAGCTTTTCCTTCGAGCTCTTTAACTAGATCGTTCTTCGAAATCTTGCTATCGAGCGTGACATTCCTTCAATTCTTCCAAAGTGATAGCAGGATCTACTAAGTACTGGCAGGGCGTTTATTGACCTTATGATTCTGATTCGTCCCCTTTACGGCAGCTTCGCTCTTAGTTGGCTATTTGTTTCTCTCTTCGTTCCTATCGATCTTTCTCTCTCGTGTCTCGACCTATTCAAACCGAATGGAGCCTATAGAGCCACCTTTTATTTTTGCGGGTTGCACAAGTCTTTGTTCCAGTCTTTAGTTCACCTTGCATGATCAACACAACTCCAGGAAGGCTATAGGCTAAACCAAAGAAAGCCCGTTAGTGCATGGATGCTGATATTTTCTTTGAAGCTAAAGATTGTTCCAATGCAGTGACCAAACTAAAACAAGTCGGATAATAGAACATAGAAACAGGATCGAGCTTTCCTTTCATGAGCTTTAAACCAGAACTCCTCGAATCCCAGTGGCTAAATATGATAACTCCCCCAACATCATTTGCTTCACCATCCTCGGGCAACCCCCTAGTTACTGTAAAAAAGAAATAACCTCCTTAGCGATCTCCTCAGCGTGGCTCTCTGACGCAAAATGGCCAGCGTCGAGAAGCTTGACCTGCGCACGAGGGAGATCTTTCTTAAACGCTTCAGCCCCAGGGGGAATAAAAAACACATCGTTCTTGCCCCAGACGGCCAAAAGTGGCACTTGAGAAGACCTGAAGTATTCTTGGAACTTCTCATAGAGCGCAACATTGTTCTGGTAATCCATGAAAAGATCGAGTTGCACAGCCTTGTTCGCAGAGCGTTCCATCAGTGCGTAGTCCAAGGTGTAAGATTCCGGTGCGATGCTGTTGGCGTCAGGCGTCCCATTAAGGTACTGGAACTTGGTAATGTCGTATGTCAACATGGCATCCGCCATTTTGGCTCGATCCTCTGCAGAGTTCTTGCTTGCCCAGAACTCTTGCACGGGACCCCACACGTCGCCGAATCCCTCCGTATACGCGTTTCCATTTTGAGAGACGATGGTCTCGATAGCGTCCGGGCGCCGGAGTGCCAGCCGAAGGCCAACCGGGGCACCGTAGTCGAAAATGTAGATTGAGAATTTCGAAAGGGAGATGGCGTCTAGAAATTCCTCGAGTGCGTTGGCGAGCGTTTCGAACGAGTATTTAAATCCTTCTGGTACCTCCGTGAAGCCGAAGCCTGGAAGGTCCGGAGCCACAACTCGGTATTTGGCAGCAAGAAGAGGAATCAATTTTCTATATTGATGTGATGATGAGGGAAAGCCGTGAAGAAGGAGAATTGCTTTTTGAGGAGTCCTTCCGCCAAGTTCCCGGTAGAACATGCGCACCCGACTCTTCGGTAGACTGATTGTCTTATTTTGAGCAGACATGGTGAGATGCGGTTCAAGAACAGGTACCATCCACGATGAAAGAAGAGACCCGTGAGTTGTTTGTGTCGTGCACAGAAAAATCCGTCAAGAGCAATGAGAAGATGGGTAAGACAACAACGTGATTTTTTTCGGGGGTAAGAATGATCACATTCGGGCAGCGGTCACCCTTCTTTACATACTTGCCCATAGCAATAGTAAATTCGTCACTGAACCGCCGGATTTTTCGCCCTTTCACCTCCTGGGCTAATATACACCAACCCTCTGCTGGGGAAAGTTGGGCCACAGAGAACTGACGTCAGCACTGAACTGTACCCTCGTCGCACTAGCCGCACGCTAGTCCGCACGCTAACCCGCACGCTAGTCCGCACGCTAACCCGCACGCTAATCCGCACGCTAATCCGCACGCTAATCCGCGCGCTAGCCCGCACACTACTGTTAGCTATTCCTACATTCTACTTTGGGCAATTGATCAAAAGCGTCCACTAAAATCTTATGTCAGGTAGAAGGCAAGATTAAATCGTATCGGGGTAGAATTTGCTCATGATATCTTCCATAAAGTGGATAGGCTACGTTGTACGTGGCGCTTCGTCAAACAAAACAAACACAACAAACTAGGATTCCAAATTAGAAAAGGTTAGAGCGGCAAGTGTTAGTTAAGAATTTAAGATAATGGTGTAATCTAAGCTATCGTAAGTCTGAAAGGCAGACTAAGCAAGTCACTCGGCCCCTCCACCATTATATAAAGATGGGGAAGCCGTGTGGTTCTGGTCTGAACATTCGCAAGACAACCTACGGATATCGAGGCCGCTTCTTCCAACCTCCGACTTGATCTCTCTTTTCATTTTTGCACAGCACAGTCTACCATGAAGGCCATTGTGATTGAAAAATTTGGGGGGACCCGAGTCTCTTATTATCAAGGATGTTGCCCAGCCAGAACCAGAGATTGGCTGGGTAGTGATTCGCGTGAAAGCCTTCGGCGTCAACCATGCCGAAATGCATATGCGAAAAGGCGAATGGGCGGAGTGGACGCCTATTAGTGGCATTGAGTGCGTCGGTATAGTTGCAGCATGCCCTGGTGGCGAGTTCGCAGAGGGAACTATGGTCGCCAGTGTCATGGGCGGCCTTGGACGCACTATCAGCGGTAGCTATGCCGAGTTCACAAGAGCCCAGGTCTCAAATGTCGTTGCGCTCGGCCCGGCGGCTTCCGACCTTCCTTGGGACCAGCTCGCTGCCATCCCAGAAACGTATGCTACAGCATGGACTTGCCTCTTCCGAAATCTCGAGCTCTCGAAGGGGCAAAAGCTCTTAATCCGCGGCGGGACCTCTGCTTTCGGCAGAGCAGCTATCAATCTCGCCGTCCACGCTGGAGCCCATGTTTTCGCAACAACTCGAAATGGAAGCCGGGTCGCGCAGCTGACAGCCCTTGGAGTGGAAAAAGTTGTGATAGAAGGACAAAACTTGTCTGAACGGTTCACCGAAAAGTTCGATGCGATTCTCGAGCTTGTGGGCAATAGCACCGTCGTCGACTCTCTGAAGATGGTTCACCGTGGTGGCAGAGTTTGCCTGGCAGGCTTTCTGGGGGGGGTCTCGCCCCGATCTCAGAATTCAATCCGCTCCTGCAGATGGCTAGTGGTGTTCATTTCAGTTTCTTTGGCAGCTTTGCTTTCGGAACACCTGAATTTCCGCTGTCAGATGTACCACTGCAAGATGTCGTCAAGATGGCTGCAAGTGAAGAACTAAATGCCAAACCGTGGAAGGTTTTCAAGTTCGAGGATATACACGAAGCTCATCGGTTGATGGAGAACAGCGACGCCCAGGGTAAAATGGTGGTGCTCGTGGACTAGTCTTTGTGTATCGTTATTCCGGGAGCCTGATACGTTCGACTTAGAGGATCCTGGAGCCAGAGCGCGACCTCGAAATTGTGGAATGTGAACCTGATTCTTGGAAGTTCTGAGTCAAATTGAAGATGGAGAGTCGCTTCGCGACTCGCTCGAGGCCTAGGAACATCATTGTAAGCCAAGTGGAGACGATATTTTGATGAAATTGTGATTGATGTCAATAAACGCTCAAATAGAAAACAAACGTTGGTTACTTAAACATAATGTCGACAAGCAGAGGCAGCGCTAAGCGCTCAACGTTTTAAAACTGACTTAAATGACGAAATGACACGACGGACATCAAATTAGATTCAAGACGTTTGAGAAGTACTTGGTTTAGACAGCAATTAGTATGTCTTATTCCGTATTGCACTTCAGAGCCCGTGCGTACTGCAATATGCTTGAATCGAGGCATGACTTCTCCAAGGATATTGGTCCAGAAATAAGCCTGTAACTTCCGACCACGGTCGTCGCCCATCTCTTCTCGGTTCCTTCACATACTCTATCTCCTTTGAAGACCACCGCAAGTGCCTCCTAGGGTTTTCTGGGCTTCGTAGAGTTCAAGGATCTTTCGCAGGATAAGTTAGCATATCATAGTACTGATTTGTGGACTTGGCTATAGGGTGAAATCTGCCTCCCCTATACGCCATGTCACCCTACATGTCGAAGTGCAAGCTAGCCCAATTTTGTCATAAAATTATCCTGATCATAATTATATCCCATACAAACCTTCATTTTGAGATGCTTTGTAGCTAGGTACTTTTACATTGCTAAGCAATTACATCTACTAATTTAAAAATCAGGTCAAAGAAAATTGGATGTTCGGCTGCCACTAGGATGGAAAATGCGCGTTGGGCGAATGGGATGGCTACCACATGCAGTGGACTTAAGACCAAGCTCCGGATGCTTAGTCAACCCGCAGATCCTCCACTTTCAATTGCCTCCTGCTTTCCCGGCAGACGACTGCCGATATATGTATTCACCCTCCAAGCACGCTCCAGCCCAGCTTCATGCCACGTCGTTCTGACTCGGTCCACCCGAAATCACTGCATTCTCCACGCATGATTTCTGCTACCGAGACTCGCTACCGAGGGCGTGGACGGCCGCCGAAAGGCTCGACTAGCCGAGCGCATGTTCCAATGACCATTCAAAGGCCTCAAGATCCTGCAGAGAGCCCCGAGGAAGGGCTTTGGCGCAATTTATCTCTCGATAATTGCGAAGGAGGAATACCGGACAGGGCAAAGGGAATCCCGTCGAACCACGCAGAGGGCACGGTAGAAGAAGAAGAAGCGAAAGAGGTGAGCTAGGTTTACACTTTCAAGACGACGGCGATTCTTTAACACGAGGATAAGCGGCGCCGTAGGCAAATCCGCCTCGCGCAGCGGGCGTACCGGCAACGAAATACCGCCAATGTTCAACGTTTAAAGGACCGGATCGTTCAACTAGAGACAGCAGTACAGAATATGAACAAAGCAGTGGTCTCCTTCAACGATGCCATCGTCCAATCTGGAGCTCTTGTGGCACATGATAATATGGCCGATCGACTATGCGTGATGATACAGATATGCATGACTTCGGCTACGGATACAGGCTGCGATATTGGCCATGAGTCGTTGAATCTACAACAGATGCAAGACACTTCCCCTTCGCCTTTCACACAGCAGCAACCATATAATCTGCCCTCTCTGCAGACGGTAGCTCATCAGTCTCTCACTGGGGGTCCTCATTTGTGGAACCACCATGCACTGTTTTACCCTCAGTATGCGTGCAGTTCTCCCGCCTCCCATTCCTGCAACACAGGACCCGTGGATTTATGGAACTTCACGCAGCAGGTGCGTCTGGCATGCATTTACAATGCCCTGTTACGTCTCGCCAACCCATTAGTTCCTCTAGATGACTTACGGCGGCCGTTTCGGCTTCTTTTGTCCCTGATGAATAGAGAAACAATCACATCGATCTTCAAATCTATATTTGAGGCCAGACTCAATGGAGAAGAGCTTGAAAATGGGGGTGAATTCCCATTTTTTCAGCTGGGTGGTGCGGGAACCCACTATCCACGCAATACGATACAAAGTCAGTCAGTTGAAACTCAGCCATTGATTAAAGGATGGGGTACGATTCATGCTCCCCCGTATTACCTATCGTCGGAGTACGAAGAGGACATGGCTGGGGAATGTTTTGACATTCACGACTTGCTGGGATATCTAAAAGAGAAAGATATCCGTTTGGCTCTAGACCCTGATACAGACTCAAGCATGAAACCTACGACCCACGCTGTCAATCCGATATTATTTCTAGGAGGTGAGGCTCTATTCCCATGATTTGAGATCATTTTTAACACTTTTTAGCATTGGTCGGCCGAGCAATTTGCCTTGGTCAGAGTCCAGGATTCTTTTGTAATGATGTCAGAAAATCCCTGGACATGGCTACTTTGAGGTAGAATGTAATGCAGAGTACATCCTCCTGTGGCTATGTCATGGTACAATATACAACATAGGGCTATATAGCATCGTCATCGGGCCGGGGTATAAAGAACAACCACCCCCCCCCCCCACCCCCCGATAACCTGCAGACAACCTGCATGGAAGCGAGTGCCACGTGATCCCTTAGATACAAAAGGAGCATGCATGTATCCAGATTGTATTCCTTCTTCAGGAAGTAGTTCAGTTCTAGCCAGTCATAAAGTTGGTGTTGTCGTCAAATAAAGATTACAAGCTGTTAGAGTGGCGGATTATAGGACGACACGCATTCCTAGAAAATCCGCTGTTTACTACTATGACGCCAAGATAATCTATAAAAACGCCTGAGAAAGATAGGAAAGACACTATTGCATCATTTCGCATACCTAGTTACCTATATTCGTTTTATATATTATGTCAGGATGAGGGATTGATGTACTGGCTAGTACTGAACATTCCCAATAGAATCAAATGATTCATTGTAGGTGTTGAGATTGGTTGAGCGATCTCAGGGGTCTCTATAATCGAACAATGGTGTGTTATGACACCATACTAGAAGGAAATTAGGTAAACGATGAATAAGCCTGTTCCGAAGGGTCCTAGTGGTATTTGACCATACTACCGCCGCTAAACGGAACAGTTGCCCCACAACCCGTCCGCAAATAGTAGATGGCCTGCTTTTAAGGAAACATAACTCTAGTAGAGGTATTTCGGGTCCGCATCAAACTATGAGGTTATGCAGTACAGCAGGAAAAATGACCAAACATAGATATTACATAGGACTGTTACTCTATTTCACGGCCTTGGCGTGTTCTTTTTACTGTTAATATATCAGGAGGGATTGCCAGCAACTAGCAGTGACAGGCCCATATCAGGTATGTGTGTCTTAGACCGGAGTCTATATGTCACGAGCACCTTGTCTAGTCTAAGACTGTTTGCTCTCTTTTTTGTTTGGTATATCAAACATGTTTGAGATAGGATAATCACTATTATTCCGCATTTGTGAGACGCATGGGAGGAGGCTTGCTCTTAAAATAATTTGGCGCAGTCCTTGGTAGCCAAGGGAAGTATGGAGACGCGGAAGCGATGCATCGGCGGGCACTAGAATGATATGTAGAGATCCCTGGAAGCGAACATTACGAAACGGTCACTACTCTCGATTTTCTTTAAATTTATTAAAACGACACAAGAAACATGAAGAGGTTTCATAATCCTAGGCCTGTATCTATAGCATTAAGTACCAAGGCAGCATACATGGTTCAGCAGCCCGTAGCAATTAATCGACACTTCTATATGCCACCAGTCATTCCCACCACTACCACCACCATTTCCCGGGAAAGGAGTCACTGTCTCCATTGTTGCAACATGTTTCTTTGCACACTTACTGCAGTATGAGATTCAATCATTTCTCAATTCAGTATCGAGACATCAATTTCTCTCTAGAGCAATTCTAATAGTCTCACAAGGTAACCATTATCACTGTCAGCAAGTCCCGAGGTACTGAGCTCAATTTTCAACAGTTTATTTATGCTTTCTCTAGACCCTTCTTTAAGGCCAAGGAAACCTGGGCCAGACAAAGCTAAACATATCTCCTTCAGAACATACTTATTGTACGAGACAGGGAGGGTTGTGGAGCATTTGATGGCAAGATCACGTTGAATCAGAATAATCTTTTCCCTTCTATATGTATTATTTCTGACAATGGCAGTATCTGAGAAGGGTCAGCAGTTGCCAGCAAAGCAATATTGTTTAGTGGCCTACTATCAGGAAAATCATGTACCCCTCTCCCACCTTCTTTCCCTCGCCCGTGCCTAAGCTTAGAGACCAAGCTTAACCAGATGTTCTTGTCCCTTGTCGGTGAAAAGAAGAAGTCCATTGTAATAACCAACTGCCCAAATCATAGGGTACCGCCAATGAAACCACATTGGATGCTCCGTGGCACCAAACCAGCCGAAATTTCGGTCAAGGTTATAACACAAATAGTTGCAAGAGCTGAGTATAAGAAGAGAAAGAATACCCGTGAAATGGGCTGCCTTTTTCCCGTAATGATGATCGACAATGAAGACGTTGATCAGACCCCCCCCATTGTCCCACCCATACCCAAGGGACAGAAAACCAAAGTCCACATAACTTTGTAGAAGAGATCGCGGGTACCGGTCATTATGAAAACACCAACTGCGAGGAAAATGATTTCGGCGAATAACGAATTAAGCCAAAAAAGCAGAAACGGGCGAATATAGATATTGCGGCGCTTCTCAATGACCTTGTTGTCTTGCTCCCCACTGATGAAGACTTGATAGTTAGATCCTGTCATCGTGGTTGTAACTTGGGATAGATTGAATAGGCTTTGAGAGGTGTGTTAGCATGATTTAATTCTTTGTCGAGAGTTTTATAATTAATCGGTGTGGGTTTGTTAACCACTTCTGCCTCGGTGTGGAGGCACTTTGACTGATGATTAGTTATCCCGAGGTTACGCATATACTACCGAGGCCATTCCTCGGTGTATAGACTAAAGACTCATATATTCAGAATAGCACCAGGTATTATAATCTATACGTACGGCCTATTCTTCCTTTTCCTTTATCGGTCCGCGTTCTTAGTATGTTCACAAAGGGCACACATCACTATAAACTGACCAGGCAGCATATAAAAGATCGAAATTAACTAGACTGTAAAGCTCAACGAGAAGCATGTCAACCGATGTAGCAAGAACGTTTCGAATCATGTGCTTATTCGAGAAAATGGGTCTTGGACTTCTTCAACTTTATCATGTCTCAAGATATTAATCAACATCTACCACAATGTGATTCTTGTACCACTGTAACCAGAATCAACAATGTACATATAAATCAGCGGTTTTGCATTTCGGGAACCAGCTATGGCGAAGATTTCTCGAACATCTATCTTGTGTTTTATATCGGAATTGAGTTTCCAGTAGGTAATTTCCCTCTTTGCGTCACTCGGTTGTCTACATTAGGACTGTGGCTATAGCGCAATTTAAACAAGTCTCTCAACAACAAAGACTCCATTATCTGTATTCATCCTTGTACAACTATTCTCAGCCAAGTAGGTCTTTGGCAAATGATGAGCATCAGCAAGTTTTACCAGCGAGATCTCGATAGCACCACGCTTCAACTCAAACGCTCAAGCAACCAATGCTTTAATGCAATCTCCTGTTCAGTTTCATGGAAATCACCAAACATGGGCCAGATAAGGGGTGCAACGTGACATTCCCTTTCACCAATGACAAGAGTGGTGTCAGGGTTTGATTTCTGTCGATATCAGTCACTGGATTCGAAGTTTCTAGGTTCATTTCCTCGACATACTTTGAATGTGGAAGTCCAAGATTTTATCGGGTCTAATAAGACTTCATCAGCACCTGCAAGTACTAAAGTCTGTTCCACTGGAACATTGCTCCACCAATCTCCCGGTGCGTTTACTGCCTCAATGTAGTTGTTTGATAGTTGTCCGTTGAGATACAACCGAGACCACTGGGCTGTGACTTCTTGTGCGTCGATATCTCTATGTTTGTTGAGTTTCACACTTGGCCATTCATGACTGAATGAGACCCAAGGGGATAGGAGAATGGCGCCCTTAATAGATTCGTTCATAACGAGATCAGACACATCGATTGAATGATGTTTTAAATGCGACAGAATCGCCAAACATAAACTACCTCCTGCCGAGTCTCCTGCGATGAGGACCTCACCAGGTGATCTCCCAACATCTTCTAGCACATATCGCAGGGTTTCGACTGCTTCGCCAAATTGGACTGGGTAAATCCCATGTGGTGTAAGTGTATACGTGCTATGAAACCATCCGGTTTCGATACCTGCATCTGCGAGAGATTCCTGGATTTTTGGCCAGAAGTATAGATAGGGCTCTGTTGCATCCATCGCGAAACCTCCGCCTTATAACAACAGTCAGCTTAGCCTGGTAAGGAACGATGGAAGTCTGCGTACCATGGAAGTAGATGACAATGTACTTGGCCAAAGGACTTCCAACCCAAAACCCCTTCACGCCACGGTTTGTGGAGACGAAATGAGGCTAGGTTCCATTCTTGTGGCAGTAGTCCTGGTAAATTTGGTCGTAAGATTTGAACAGAAATCTGAACTGTCATTAACGCGGCCAGCTCAAGATTCGGGAGACATACTGCAGTTGAAGCGGACTGAACCTTGTAGTAAGCTTTCAGAAATTAGCCTTGCCTGAGAGTGTCCACAGTGCGGTACAATACTTTCTTAACTGCCGCTTGGATTAAATGATGATGATAGTTTGATGCTCCTGAGCGGCCGCGAAATGGCCCCGCGATAGCAGCATACATTAGTCCTGCGGCTGCTAGATATCAGAAATGAGTAACAACTTTTGCTACACTGCGAACCTTACCAACGAACAACCAGCCAACAAAAGCATCCACCCTTTCCCACCACAAGAGTTGGCGGGTCATTGTAGTAATCTCGAATATAATCTGAAATTTTTCAAAACCGCTGATTTCCAATACCTCATTATATACAAATGCTGCTGTTTTGCTAGACGTTCCAAGGGCTGATTAGTATTCAAGTTTGTGGCCGAGGCCGAATCTCCCGGAATCCTCGGGTACGGCGGACGACAGCTGCCTAGGGTCAAAACTCCACTTGAGTACTTAATAGTGTGGGGTTTAGGATACCACTGTGGGTCCTGTGAAGCCGCTTATTCATCGTCCGCCCATTTCCCCATAGTATTTGCATTGTACTTCGGATTAACTGGGAAGTACGGTATTGACATACCGGATGATTACCCCTGGGGATTGACAGTTTCAATTGCACATGTAGAGTACTAGTAATACACCGGGGTTCTAGGTTGACATACAGTAATGAGATACCTTAGGTGTTTATTTTCTGCCAGCAATTTCATGTTGTGTCAATTGTCACGTGATGTTCATCGCACATATCAGGTTGCGATTCGCAGCATTGGCTTTGATGGGATCTGAGCGGTGAGTATGGCGGTGATGAGATGAGTGGGGTTGATGGTTGGTTCAGGGGATTTGACCCAGGACGCCGTCGTCCGCCGTACCTCGGGACCCCACCATCACATCTGTATGAGTTAATCACTACTCAGCCTTGGCAGCTCGGTAACACTCATAAGCATTGATGCCGCCACCGCACGTGTTCTTTTGCTGCAGCGTTGGTGGAGATCAAAATATGCCGTAATAATGAATAAATCACGAGAACACGCAGTTAACGATGCTTGCTAGATGTGTAAGCATGAACAACCTTTTCCCAATATTAGCGGACTTCGAAAGGCTCAATCACCCTTTTTCCCCAGCATTTTCGGCTATACTACCAACCTCATGTGACAACCAAGTCGCGACCGGTGCTTGGTCCAAGGCGACTTGTGTCAGCTAATCCCGGCTTCCGGCAGAATTTATCCGGATATAAGTCAGTGAGGCCGATTATGTAAACCACGGACAAACAAAATATACACATACCGTGCGCCATTGTGATGATGACAGGATGAGGAATTGGTGTAGTGGCTAGTACTGAACATGTCCAATATAATCAGATGGTTGATTGTAGGTGTTGAGATCGGTTGAGCGATCTCAGGGGTCTCTATCCTCGAACTATGGCGTGTTATGACACCATACTAGGAAATTGGATGAACGATGAATAAGCCTGTCCCGAAGGGACCTAGTGGTATTTGACTACTTCTTCAATTTGTCACACCCTCTCAGCGTTCACAACTCTCCAAAGTCCTTTGCTAATCTAGAAGACTTCCACTATCCTCCATGCGCATCAGTTGAATGAATCCTGCGTGCTTTTGACGCGGCAGCAGCTTTATGAGCCCATCCGCAGGCTAGCACATAGAGTTTTGCCTGCTCGAGAAACACAGGGTGAAAATCTTCCCAGGTTCCAGTAATCTCAGGCGGTGTGAAAGTAGTTTCCAAAGGATTCACTTTCTGTACCCGGAATGACCAGATTGCGAGTAAACTTATCCCGTAGCTGTCCAGTCCAAACGCTTCGTTCTTTATACATAAGTTCTGGGTCATTGTATACTGTTTCCTGGGGCGGTAATGCTTCATCTGGAGGTTCCAGCGGCTCAGGCGTGTTTTGCAGGCGCGGGTTCAGGCTCGGGCTCGGGCTCTGCTATAGGCGGGTCCCAGATGACATTCGAGCGACGAATTTTGCGTCTGGATCTTTTCTTATTTAGTTTTGTGACTTCCAGGGGAATTCGACCTTCGACCAGGTGAAATGAAGACGGGGTATAGTTTCTGAAATAGGCAAATTCACATAATCGAACAAATGTGTCGACATTGACCTATGACCAGTCAATGTGTCTCGTTTTGGCCTCAATCATTTCACCGTTCATGGGAGACTTAAGACTTTGGGAGAGCCCTGCTAAAGCAGAGGAATGAACAGTTATTTCCTTTTTTCCAGCACCTACTGTGAATTTGAACAGAGGCGAGACAAGGTATCTTCAAAATGTCAGACTCTGACTATGACAAACCAATAATGAGGTACCCGCCTCTCGAAAGAGCTCTCCACCCCCAGTGGTTGAAGTAAGAAAATAGTGGGACTGGAATTAATTGGGCTGTGAAACAGAAGTGTAGGTGCTGGAGGATCCGTGTACGTGTGGAATACGTAATAGCATGGAGTGCATGAATAGTAGTGGTGTGTATTGGAGAGGAAGGCAGCTACAGAGGAGAGATACTAGTGGAGCATGCAGGATGAGTCATCCACGTACAATCCGAATGAAAGGATTTGGGACATTTTGTTCGTAGGGAAAGCCTGATATGCACCCGGTGAGGGGGACATGTATCCTGATTAATTGGGTGTACTACTAATATGTTCGTGAGAGGAAGAGCGAGATAATGAAAGTACAGTACATTATGTATTCTCGTGTGCCCGGTCGTTGGAGCGCATCTCGGGGCTCTTTCTGGCTCATGTAGCTCGACTATTTGCAATGCTTATAATTGCGATCGCAGGTCATTTAACAGGCATAATCCAAACGCTTACTATAAACGTCGCAGTGACGGATCAGTGTGCATGTGAGCAGGCAAGAGAGACCGTGGAACTCTTTCTCTTTCGATGTCGGAAGAGGACCGCACAGCGGACGGAAATGCTGCAATGTACCCATACTCACCGGAGCAACATATCCTTCTTTCTGGGCGGTAAATCGCCTTCCGATCATTAGAACTGGACGCCGAACCTGGAAGCAGTGCGAGCCTTAATACGATTCGCAATCGCCACGGCCCGATTCGACGCGGCTTAACCACGCCAACCAACACAAATCAACCCTATCCCACCCCAACCCTAATCCAATCCCCACCAACTACCTTGTACCAGAGACGGTAGACGCGCTTTAATTGCCGAGGATAGGATGTTGAACGCTTGGAGAAGCACCTTCATAAGTCGTGTATATTTGGATCTGTGATAGTTGCCCTTTCAGTTCAGCCGGCGGGCGTTAATAAATTATGTGTGTGTGTACAACTGCGAAGGGATTTATCGTAATTCATGTATCAAGCCTCGTCGACTTTTTGCTGGTTTCAAGATTATCGTGAAATAAATGCTCTTGATCCAGTCAAGCTCCAGGTTAGGTAAACTAGAAAAGTGTTGAAGTTCGTTGAATTCAATAACTTTCTGCAGCTTCGAAGATTTGAATATATGGAAGAGTACCAGAGATATGAGAAAGATAGTTCCCGTCACTATTAAGGTCGTAAGCGCCATTACAGATAATTTACCAGACTGCGATCTAATTATATTGACTAGAGTGGTTAAAAATCCAGCTGCTGTATTCAATAAAGCTGGCCTATAGATTTCAGCTTGACCAATTCAGGCTTGGGATTAAACTCTCATATGAAGATGATATTAATCAGCCAGGTATAACTATCCTTGAATATAACGGAAAGTCTCCTAAGTATCAGACTACCAGCCATTATTGCTATCGTATTCTTATAAAGGCAAATATTGCATATACGGATTGCCGCAAGGGCGAGAATTGTTATTAAATATTGTTTCCCGAACCATCAATTTTTAGAACGGACTATATCTTTGGGTACTATCACTTCTGAAGCTGGCGACTGATATATGAATATCCGACAAAAAACATACTCGCCAAACTCGTCGGGCTGATACAAGTCAAAAACTCGGCAAAGACGAGGCTCGGCTACTCTCACATCCTCTCCATCTACTGAGTGAGTGGCCCATTTACTAGAGGCTGGGAACTAATGTAAGCTACTCATGGTGCCACGATGTAAAATCTTGGACCCAGGCGATGTTTGATTGGATGGGCTACGGCCTGGTTTTTCTCAATGCTCCCGACGAGGTAATAATCTACATCTGATTCCTTTTATTTTAGTTCTGCACCTATACTTATAGCGTAAAATGTCCTATTGGGGTATCGCTGGAATGCAGGGTGGGAATGTACGATGGAATGTATGGTGGAAATGCAGGGTCGAAATGCGGACATCAACCAATTCCTGCCTGATGGGCGGTAGCAACTTGAAAGGCTGGACTACATAAAACATCCATCCTGATTTGTAGTGAATTGTCTCTTTACGATAAACCCGAAATAACGCTTTCGCTGCCCCAAATCTTTTCGATGATTATGCGTTCCCTTTTCACAGCTCTATGCACTTGTATCTTCATCTGCCTTTCATCTGCTGCTACTATCAAGTATGACTGGCATGTAAGCTGGATCACTGCCAACCCTGACGGACTGCAACCACGGTTTGTACTCGCAGCAACTGAGGAAACTGGACAATTCTAACCATTTATAGTCCTGTTATTGCCATTAATGGAAACTGGCCTTCTCCTGCCCTCAGGGGAATGGTCAACGATACACTCGAAGTAACCGTTCATAATGAACTTGGAAATCAGTCACTATCGATGCACTGGCACGGAATTCATATGACGGGTAACAATAAAGACGATGGAGTTCCCATGGTGACACAATGTCCTATTATCCCGGGGGCATCATATACATATTTCATTCAGGTTTGACTAGTTCTATCCTGCCCACGGAAAATATCTAACGGATCTTTTAGCTCCGTCAGCCAGGGACCTACTGGTACCACAGTAAGCTTGATAGTCAACCAAAATTGCAAGTCCCACCTTACTGATCTAGTACATAGGCCATTCCCCGAGCCAATATGTCGATGGTCTTCGTGGTCCCCTGATAGTTGATGATCCCCATTCTCCCTACACTGCCAAATGTGATGCCGAGTTGGTCATGACTGTCTCTGATTGGTACCATGGTAATTTTAATCTACGAATTTGCAAGTTGAATACTAAATGGCCTATAGAACAAGGAGCAACACTGCAACAATACTACCTCTGTATGTCTTTCGGGGTATGACTTCAATAGCAACTAATAAAAGGAACAGCGCTACCAGGGAATCCAAACGCACTTGAACCAATTCCTGTTTCTGCTCTAATGAGTGACCAAGAAAGGCCGACCTTTCCTGTTGAAGCGAATAAGACTTACTATCTGAGAATTATTAATATGTCAGGATTCGCCCAATTCTACTTTCATATTGATGGTCACAATATGTCCATTATTGAGGCAGATGGCGTCTATTCTGTTGCTCAGCCAGTTGAAGATCTATACATTGCAACTGGTCAGCGTTACGGTGTCCTCCTAAAGACAAAACCAACTGCAGATCGGAACTTCGCAATTCTGGGAGCAATGGACCTCAAAGGGTTTCCAGGATCTGCACCCCCGCCACCCCATCCAAATGTGACAGGAGCACTGATTTATAACCGTATGGCTTAGTATATCTCCCTCAATATATATGAAAACTTTGCTTATGCTCTTTAGGTCATCTCCCATTTCCTTCGACGCCGTCTGTGGAGACTTTTACGACATTTGATGACTTCTGTCTAGTTCCATTTGACCAAATTCCTTTACTCGGACCGCCTGATCAACAAATCGTTCTCAACTTGAGTACATTCTCCCAGCTGGTCCCAGGAAACGAACAAAATCGGTGAAGCACCATCTTTCATTCTCTCACTCTCTTTGCCTCCCCTCTCCCCTAAGTGTATGGAGGAAGTTAGTGTTTTTTGCTGACTGGTATAAAGTGCGGGCTTCAATAATATTACCTTCATACCACAGAAGGTCCCATCTCTATACACTGCTCTGTCAGGTCACCAGTATGCTCTGAATCCTATGTTAGTTGTCCTTGCCCTCTTCCTTACTACTAGTAAGGCAACCTCAGGCCCGATTGATATACATTAACATACTAGTAATATAGTGTCTATGGAAATCATTCAAATCCCTTTGTTCTTAAGCCAGTGGTGCTTAAAAAGGGCGAGGTTGTTGAAATAGTCGTGTACAACTATGGTGAGTGAGGCGATCCACTATATCTAAGTCTCATCATTACTTCGAGGCCACTGACTAAATTATTAAAAAGATACTGGAATACATCCGATTCATCTTCACGGCCACACTGTTCAACTAGTGGGTCGCACCAATAGCACCTGCAACAATAGTCCTATCCCAATGAGGCGTGATACGTGGATGGAGCCGCGCTGGAATTCGTCAGACACGAACCATCCCTCCACCACGATCCGGTTTCAAGCAGATAACCCAGGGGTATGGTTTTTCCATTGCCATATGGAGTGGCATTTGGTGGCGGTAAGTATTGTTTCTTTAACGTTTTGAAAGATGCCTCTTTTCCTACACCAGCTAGCTCAGGCTATCAGTTGAAGCAACATGCTTTGCGGTAGATGACTGACTGGCTCGTAAATTAGGGAATGGATGTTATCTTTGTCGAAGACCCATTGGCTATTCAGAACGCACAGCCAAATATCCCAACTTCAATGGAGGAAATTTGCAAGAAGCAGAACATACCACTCAAAGGCAATGCGGCTGGGAATTATCCGGACTTTTTGAACCTCACAGGAGAGGTAGATATAGCTCCGATGGAATGCGGGTGTGTCTTATCTTCCTCCTCCTCTAGAATCAAAATTTACTATGTCGAGATGGAATGCTGATAATTATCTAGGGCTGCTTATCCTCCGTGTGTGGATGAGTCGTGAACGTGAATTGGAATTTGGTATGGTAGCTCTTGAGAAGATAGTGCCTTAATCATATATTATACTATCAAAAACTACTCTTGTATAGCCTTTAGGTCCTTATTAAGAGTATACTGATAGTTATATTGTTACAAGAAGTATATTTAAAGCTTATTACATCGTTTAATAAAGGTCCATGACTTCAGCCGAAGCCGTCATCGATGTGAGAGATGCAATGAACGCAGGATTTGACGGATTTGCCCTGAACACTCATAGTATCAACCCATCGGATACTTGGAATATCAACGCGCTGAACTACCTCTTTGCCGCTGCGTCAGGAACTGACTTCAAGTTACTCATCTCATTTGACATGAGCTGGGGCTTGGATGTCACAAAGCTTGCGGCCTTCTTAGCGCCCTACGCAAGCCAAGGCGCATACTACAAGACCAACGGTCAAACTTTCGTTAGCACCTTCACTGGCGGTACGATCTCCAACCCGCAATGGAATTCCGGATTTATTCAGCCAATGACCTCGACCTATGGGATCAAGCCATTCTTTGTTCCCGACTTTGATGATTTCTCTGGCTATCCCGATGGCGTTTTCGGCTCTTATCCTATCCTCAACGGTGTCTTCAGCTGGAAGTCTGCATGGCCAGCTCCCGGTAATACTCCCACCAACGTCAGCGGTCAGGTTGATTCAGCTGCTTTGCAGCAGGCTCGTGCCGCTGGAAAGCTCTACGTGATGCGTGAGTAATTCTTAGTTAATTATCGCGAGCAACCAACTGCTAATAAATTGATGATAGCAATGTCGCCATTACAATTCAAATACAGGGGTAGCGGCCAGGACTGGTACCGTGTCGGCGAAGTAAACCTGTCTGGGCGGATGAGCCAAGCCCTGCAGCTTCAGCCCTATTTCGTGGAAGTCATTACCTGGAATGATTCCGGCGAGAGTCACTACGTCGGCGACTTCTGGCAAGAACAGATTGCAGGCAGCAATATCGGAGACTATGCTACCGGGTATAATCACAAGGGCTGGTTGCAGGTCATTACGCCATTTATCAAAGCCTACAAGGCTGGCACGACGAGTATCTCTCAAATTGTTCCGCCTAGTACTAAACCTGTTGGTGCATTTTGGTACCGCCCTCTTTTGACTACTGCCAGCTGCCACTCTTCGATTGGTAATTATCAATCGGCTCGTGATGCGGTGAACTTTGCTGTTATCTTGCCTTCTACTGGGTATACCATCAATCTTTATAGCAACAGCCAGTTGATTGGCAGCTTTCTTGGTCAAAAGTGCTTGAACTATAACAATGTCTTAGGGCTGGCTATTGGAGGTGGGCAAATGATTCAGGTTGTTGATGGCTGTAATCACATTGTTGCATCAGCGACTGGGACAAAGAGTGTTCTAGCGCAGAGTGCTAATGCAACTTGCAACTGAAACTATGAGGTCGTGGGGCTCTCCTGAAAGCATGGTAATGCAGTTATGATGGTCTGGGACTGACGTCGATTTGAAGTTACTTAGGAATTTAATTCAACTGAAGGCTAGCTTGACACCTCACGGATAGAGCCAAATAAATGTTCCTGTGCGATGTAGATGTAGTCTTTGTCCTTAAATGGCATGGGCGAAGCTCGATTATTCCCGACTTTCTTGTTCCCGATATTTTCTAGTAGCTTCTTGGCCATTGTCTGTAGCGCTTGGCGGTGGGGGCAAATATCATAGTTAGATGCTGAGTACTGTACTACGATAGCTACTAAACCCTGGCCAAGTGAGCCACAACTGACTTAGGTCCATCCTTGAAACTTGCGCCCGATCTACATCAGATTAACTACTTTGGCCATGAGGTGACATCCTCTTTAGTCACACACAATTTCAATTCCATCAACATAGCTGTTGTCGCCGAATGTATCTCATTTGTTCCGGAAATCGACTGGATCTCCTACATCAGAGTCTTCACACCAACCCTTATTCCCGGTCTCGCCTCTCTTCTCTTCAAGTTCAACTAAACCAAATTGAGAACATACATTGAAGGTCTTCAAGGCGTATTCTCTATTTACCAAGTATTTCTCCACTTGAAGTGGTGTAAGTAGCGAGATGACCGTCGGCATAAGTTGAAATCATTCTCTTGAAGATTGACCTCCCATTAATCGCTCCCTGAGAACTTTCTGAGCTGTTTAGCACTATTCAAGATGCGTGCCTATATATTAGCTACATCCCATGTAATCGTTCTTTTGCCTATCTCTGCGGCTGGCGATTGGGCTCAACTCAAAGATGTTGTGAAAACCGAGGGCTGTGGTGATGGTTGCTCCAGTCTAGGTCCATATTCGAGGATAATGCTTTTGACGGTATTTGCGATATGCTAGTTGAAGATGGGTACGTATTATTATATTGCCACTCACCATTTTTCAATCTCTGAGAGCGTTACGGCATTGATTCAGCTGATGATTGAATAGCTGCGCGAAAGCCTTCATCACAGGGAAAGCGTCTGCCGGATCTGCTGATTTTGCCAAGAGCGACAATTTTAGCTGTGAGGATGCCAAGGTCGCTGGCCAACTTACTTATACCAATGCATTCCGAGCCGCTTTTGCTTCCATGGGCGGATTTGGTGCCTATGGAGGCACCCGATAACAATACGTTCACAACGCCGATGGAACTCAGCTTGGCGCCATCATCTTTACGGGATCTTGTATTCCTGTGCTTCAGGGTGCCAGCTGCTAGATGGGGTTTGGTATTCCTTGAGCAGCAAAAACAAGTGACTATTGTCAATTGTTTCAGCGAAAGTCGCAATGCTTACAGCTTATACGAACTGCGATCATAAGTGTCGTTAAATTCGGTACACTGAACTGTGTCAAGTACATCGAATTTAGAAATTTGGCCCCTTTTCGAATTCAAACTTGTAGTACTCGTACTCCCATGTTCAATTCCTTCTCCTGTTGATAGAAATTTCGCTTAAAAAACATATTGAAACTTTGGACCATCTCGCAGCCTCTGGGAAATCTAGAGGAACCATCAAGGTAAGCAAAATTACTAAAAGGCGGGACCTCAAGACTTATGACCACATGGACAGCCTATTAGTTATGACAATTAGGTATATCTACAACCATCTCTCCGGGCTTCAAATTACCGTACTAGTGGTCTGGGACATGATCTGACCACCCAACATTATCTCCACAATATCTCCGAAAGCCCTTCCAGGTAGGATCACGCTCAAATGAGAGCCCCACTCGCCCTCAGTTCCCCACTGTCGATTCTTGCCATAAATAGTTAGCCACGGCATAGTAGATAAGTCGCACGTCTCTGTCGTCTCTGCACTGATTGGATGACCGCAATCTCACGATGCCACGGGCGAGAGAAAAAGCCCAAGCGGGCAGTCTGAGGGAAAGGGACATCGTGCAAATTCGCTTAAGCTGGTCAATATGATTCTTTGTCCCCCACTGTCGGATCTCCTCTCCCCTCAACTGCCTGTCGCCTTCCTTGTCTTTGAACGCGTCGTCAGAGAAAACACAGGATTAGCATACGTAACATTGCCGACGCAGACCTACTCATTCGTCTCATTATGGATCTGGAAAGTTCCGCAGGTGGCCTCACCGAGGTCATGGACAAAGACAAAGCCACATCTAAGATTCCCAATAGCCCCTCGCTTGGGGAACGTTCGATCGACCATGGGGAAAATGACCTGTTGGGCAGGGAAGTTGATCAAGTGCTCGCAGCGAAGATGGTGATTGTCAACGACGTGGGTGTCTCCCTTCAATAACGACCGATGTCTGTCGGCGACAATGACGTCGGACCATTGATCATTCTTCTTTTAGGCCATCGATGAAATTGGATTTACAAGTCACCACTGGAAACTGTTCTGTTTGAATGGCTTCGGGTACGCTGTCGACTCGCTCATCCTGCTTATTCAGTCCATCATCTCAGCCAAGGCCAGGCTAGAATTCCAGCCCAGCTACGCGACGGGTCTGACAATTGCGGTTTATGTTGGTATGCTGGCTGGCGCCATCTTCTGGGGATTTTCGGCCGATATCATCGGTCGCCGCTTTGCATTCAACGTGTCCCTTTTCGTTTCCTCGATCTTCACGGTAGTGGCTGGGGCTGCCCCGTCGTGGATTACACTGGGGTTGTTTATTTCCCTGAGTGCATTCGGCGCAGGGGGAAACCTTGTCCTGGATACAACGGTCTTCCTTGAATATCTTCCCAGCAAGAATCAATGGCTTTTGACACTCATGGCGGCTTGGTGGGGTAAGAAACAATCTAGCCTTCTCCTACTGACCCATTAGAAAGATTGCTAATCATTTCGATTATTTTAGGCCTCGGTCAACTAATTGCAGGCCTCTTTGCATGGGCTTTCCTTCCAAACTACTCCTGTTCTGATGCAGCCACCTGTACAAGAGAGAATAACCAGGGTTGGCGGTATGTCTGGTACACTTCGGGGGCTTTTGTCTTTATTCTCTCCGTTCTTCGGATCACCATCGTTCGGCTGCAGGAGACACCAAAATTTCTCGTCGCGGAAGGAAAGGATGCAGAGGCCGTTCGAGTGCTCCAGGATCTTGCCACACAGTATAATCGTCCGTGCAGCATTAGCGTAGAGCGCCTGGAGGCCTGCGGTGCATCTCATCGCCACGAGACCACCGCAACCGGAATGACAAAACGGCTCATTTCTTCCAAAGAAGTTATTTACCATTTGCAGGGGCTCTTCGCAACCAAAAAGATGGCCATCTCCACCACACTGGTGTGGTTCTCCTGGCTTCTCATCGGCCTCGCCTATCCGCTATACAATGTCTTCTTGCCAACATATCTCGCATCGCGTGGTGCGAGCTTTGGCCAAGCGAGTGACTATATCACCTGGCGCAACTATGCTATCAACAACACTTGCGGTATTTTCGGTCCTGTCCTAGCGGGGCTCATGTGCCGCTCACCTTGGTTCTGGGGCCGCCGTGGAACAATGATAATTGGCGCCATTATTACTATGGTATTTTTCTTCTGCTACACTCAAGTACGCACAGCCAGCCAGAATCTCGGTTTTACATGTACGATTTCGTTCTGTTTGAACATATATTACGGTACACTATATGCATATACACCCGAGGTTGGTCGACTACTATATCACTTTACTATTTTCGAAGGATAAATTCTTCAAGCCGAAAGCCAGATCCAATACTAACTGTCCAGGTTTTCCCTTCCGGTCACAGAGGCACCGGCAACGGGGTTGCTATTGGTCTCAATCGTATTATGGGTATAGTGAGTGCTGTGGTTGGAGAAGCCGCTGATGTGAGTTATCAATTTCCTTTCGTAGCTTATCTTATCCATCCCATTTTCCGATACTGACCCTCACACCAGACCACAACCCCTGTTCCAATTTTCATATGTGCAGCACTGTATATCGTCATGGCTATTGTGGCTGGTGCATTTCCCTTCGAGCCGTACGGCCGACGCAGCAGCTAACGGCATTATGTATGCGGAACTTGGTATGCTACCGGTTGCGTTACTCCGTTGTTCGCATTCGCTCTTTCTCCTCCCCTGGACAACAAGGTCTCCCGTATTTAGCGGCTTGCCCATGAGCATAAAATCTGCCGTATTATCTCCGCATTTGCACCTTGACATCCTCATAGAGGCAGCTGCAAGAGATTAGAGGATATTTGATGAAACTCCCCGGCTGCAGACCACTATCGGGGTTGATCACATTTATCCCGAAATCTTCCTGTCATTTCTAAACAGTGCGAGAGTACTGGAGGAACACGTTCATGCACACTAGATACAACGGGTCAAGAGAAACAAGGTTCTCTAAATTGGCACGGTGGAGCAACTATTGAGTATGCTACAACTATGACCCTGGAGAACTACAATCCCCAAACAATAATTCCTTATTGGGACTGATCTAGATGAAACAGGCTAATAGTAGTGATCCAGTTCAGGTTTCATCATTTATCTATTCTAGTCTTGGATTTCAGCTTTTTGTCAATGCAGAATCTTGGAAGTTCAAGTTCCAAGGTTGTTCAGATGATGCAACAAACCTTGGAAAGTAACTCGCCTGATAGGTTGCATATAAATTGAACACCTGAGTCCACACAGGCTTTGAACCTTGAATCAGCCCCGGGGTACTATATACTCCTAGTCCGATGTTAGATATCCCAATTTCCGGAGCTCTCAATATTAGAATTTCGGGTAAGGCCCACTCGAAAGCTTCAAATTTGAAGCGGACTCCCACCTGTGCATCATACAGAGAACTTGAATATCTTAACCGACGCTCAGGTGGCAGTAGTATGCAGAATTGTGCAAAGCATGCCCAGGTGCCCGGTTGTGCATTGGTACCACTGGCAGTGGAACTGGAAATTGGAATGAATGAAACCCTTGTTCATTCGTACTCCATACTAACAATAATGTTCCTTTTTCTCATGGTTCAGGTAGGTAAAAACTTGAATGGTAACTTCATCAATGTCTATCATTACGGGTCACATGACCAGATATGTCATGTGCACGCGTCCCTTAGTTAACTAATTTCCCTGCCTACCACTTCTCAATTCTCTATCGTGCAGCCACACAACCTCAACGAACCCAAAGCAATAAGTCTGAAAACTCACGACTGGGAGTTCGAGATGTTGGACCTCGATCCAGCCAAAGACCTCCGAGATCTTGTTCCGACCGTGCGATGACGACATGATTGGACATTCTCGTATTCACAACCTTGGAAACTCGCAACCTCGCAGCGCCTACATAAACCCTCCCAGGTTACCTTTCATCAGTCACCAGTCACCCGCTCTACTACCTCCCCCTACGGACTTCGGTGATCTCCTCCTTCGATGGCGCGTGTCGCAATAGCTGGAGGTAGCAGCTCCACTCTTGGCGTGTCTATCATTTCCGCCCTCGAGGCAACTGGCGGTCGCTATCTTCCGGTCATCTTGTCCCGAGAGCGAAAATCAAATCACGCCTCGGAACTCTGGCCTCGGAACCTGGAAGTTCGGCAAGTCGACTACCATTCGCATTCATCGCTTGTGGCTGCCCTGTGCGACGTCGAAGTGGTCATCAGTGTCCTCTTGATACCCGGTCCTGACTGGGTGACGGCTCAAATAAATCTGCTTCATGCGGCGGAAGAAGCAGGCTGTCATCGCTTTGCCCCTTCCGAGTTTGCTTTATCGGGCTGGGCACAAGCTAGGGTGGGTATATTAGAGGCTAAGAACGTGGTTTGGCGCGCGGTGCAGTCCTCCGTTGACCTAGGGCGCATCGATGCTGCTCGATTTCCCTGCGGAATGTTCATGAACTATCTCGGAATTGGCTGCCCAGGTGATGAAAACCGAACGGAAGCTCTCGCCGGCTTCCAGGAAGGGCCATATCTGTTTCACCTTGACAACCGCCACTTACCATGGGTGGATGTACCTGTTCGCCAGGATGGAACCATCCCAAATTTGACAATGACGGATATCCGAGATGTGGGCCGGTTTGTCGTTGCCGCTCTAGATCTACCAGAACCGTGGGCGGGTAGAGAGCTTGGCATGGCTGGCGATACTCTGTCTTTTGACGAGCTGGTTGCTCTCTGTCAGAAGCACACCGGCATGGCAGTAGAAGCTCGCAAGGTTACAGTGGAAGAGTTGCAAACAAAACTTAATTCGGTTCCACCCCATCAGTTTATCGCCCGTATGGAGCTTCAGCTGTCCATCGTCTGTACCTGTGATGGGTCTATAGTGGAGCCGGCTTTGAATAAACTGTGTTCGATAAAGCCAACCAGAGTTGATGAGTATTTGCAGCGTTATTGGGGGCAATTCGCCAAAGATGGTTGAATAGTACATTACCACAGCTAACTCTCATGAGCTTTGCGAAACATATTCAAAGAGTCGATCTCTTCATGGCAGCGAACGAAACAATGAAAGGAAATTGAATAAAAAGAAAAGAAACCAGAGATCATGTGAGGGAAAATAAGTGGGAAGTGCTTTATCAATCGCCAAAGGCAGTTTCTGATCTTGTTCCTCGATATTCCTGGTTCTCATCATGATGGAGTATACCTGCTCCCCCGATCACTACTTATACTTGCCCACGAATTCCAAAATGGCCTGATTTACCTCAGCCGGATGAGAACAGTTCAAAAAATGGGCACCTCCCTCCACTGGCACCAACTGTGCATCCGGCGAGTTGGCGAACATCTCAATCTCCTCTTTCGCATTAGCCACCGAGTATACGGCATCTTTGGTTCCCTGGAACTTAATTTAGTAGGCACTTTCTGTCAGCTGACCAGCGAAACACTTACATGTAGCCATCTGACGGGGCATTTGACGTCTGAAAGTCGCAGGTGAAGCCCCCCCACGCTCGGCTAGGTTGATTGCGGCCATGCGAATCCGGCGTCGACCCTCCTCTCCACGATATGTGGATTTTAGGGTCGACTGCCAGAAAGTCCGAATTTCATCCGAGCATTCGTTGAACCCGATGTTGATCAATGCGTTACAATAGCTCTCGTCCGGTTCGAAGTTGGGATCACCTTGGCTGGCTGCCCACTGTGCCACAAAGCTGGAAACAATTGCCGGGCCATCCCAACATTCCAGTTTACGACTTCGATCCGATTCGCTGTCCATCGAGGTCCCCAGAGGAATAACCCCCACGATCTAATTATCCTTAGTGCCGGAAAAAGCCAGTAGCATTGGAGTAATACTACCTTCTCCGGCCGCAGTAGAGCCATTTGAACGGTGACCCATCCACCTTGGCTGGTGCCCAGGACGAATGCCCGATCAACCTTCAATGCATCCAAAACCTGCAAGTTCATCTCCGCGGTATCCCAGTATGTCCACTGCTCACGAGCCGTGCGAGTCTGTCCATGACCTAGTAACTCGATTGCAACCAGATTCATCTGATCGGTCAGTCTCGAGTCACTGAACTGAGCTCGATAAAGTTCTGAAGATGTTGTGAAAGCGTTGACTAGTACCAGCGTTGGCTTGTTCGAATCATAGGCCTCGGGCATTTGATAGGCCGCATCAATGCCCCCCAGATGGGGAACATGCATAATCCTAGTAGTTGTCATATTTCTTAACTGCTTATTGTTACCAACACAGCCGGGAGCCGAAAGTAAGAAATTATTGAAACTTGCACGGTACTTATATAAATATTTTTCTCGATTTCTCACACCGTCCCCTCCTGTATATGCCCCTCTTCGCGACCCGCTTTCAACCCCTCCAAACCTTGGCGTAAAGTTTCGGAGACAGTCCATCCCAATAGGCTTTATTTCCCCTTGCCGTGTTTGTGCGGTTGCATCTACGCTACTAACTCACTCAAAATAGTATCGATCATCAAGAATATTATTGCGTTCATCTAGTAGACTGCCACTAGCTAACTAATCGGTGTCGTTACATTCCCTCAACTATTTCCACTACTGGCCCGGTGAAGTGCCTCTTGCCGCCCAGTAGATAGTAGTACACCGCTCCAATTACCATCCATCCCATTGTGACGACCACGCAGTAGTTCATGTTGACTGGGGTGACTGGTTCAACTGTGGGGAACGTGCTAAAGACCATCGCAAGGACCAGCCACAACATGGCTGCGATGTTCACGACGGGCCCCCACCGGTTCCCAAGATTAAACGGACCCGATCCAAGTCCTCGGGTTATGGGACTAGAGGAGCGGCGGCCATAGAGCAGCATAAAGAGAATTGGCGAAAAGTAAGATGCATACATTCCCAGGATGGCCATGGACAGAACGGCATTGAATGCAGTGGAACTACCGAGGTAGATCAGTCCTAGCAGCATCTGCAAAAAAGACACGAGTAGCACCATGCGAACCGGAACCTTCAAAGTTGGGTTGACAACTGACAGGAATTCCGATGCTGGCAAACCGTTGTCCCGAGCGAAAGCCCACGCCGTGCGGCTTGTTGAGGTCACGCCGGCTGCGTTTGCGGCGAGCGCGATCAAGCTAATACACAGAGCAAGGATGGATGCCCCAGCCGGAGATCCGGTGACGTTGAGGAAGAGCTGCATGAACGGGAAGCCGATCTTTGATTCCAGAAGACCGTTGAGATCCCCCAGAGCGAAAAGTAGGACGATGGTGTATACTAGACCGATGAGTCCGTTGATCGCAACGCTTCCAATCATAGCCAAGGGGACGTTTCGAGATGGCTTAGGAAGCTCTTCACTCAGGTGACAAGCTGCATCATACCTGGTAGTAAGATAAATGACTTGTCAGCGGCCTATTGCCAGTTGGATTCGATGGAAGCGGGATTCATACCCGAGAAAGGGGTATACTGTGCTCAGCAAACCAACTAGCCAGGAGACCCCGTCATTGGACCATCCGCTGCTATTGGAGAATTCAGTGAAGACATATGTTGCAGTATGCTTCGATGACATTGAGCCAAGGACTGAAACAATAACAATAAAACCAACAACATGCAGTACTCCTGTGGCCATATTAGCCTGTTCATGGATCTATCTCGCGGAGCTTCTCGACAGTGGGCGGCTTACCTGCGATGAGATTGGTATGTGGTAGAATCTTAGATCCCCATACATTAACCGCTGTAGAATATGCCAGGATCGCCCAGTAGAAAAGCATACCCTGCCATCGCAGTGGCACATATGTATCGAGATGGTTGAGGGTAATCAGCGCCTGCAGCTGGAGCCCAGCAGCGAAAGCGGCGGAAGCGGAAAGGACGAGCTGGCCACCGATGGAAATCCAGCCAGTGAACCAGGCCGCAGTTGATCGGTAGGAAGGTGGACTGAGACAATGCACCCAATGGTATTGTCCTGAATATATATCAGCAAAAGACCGACAGGATTGGAGAATTTATCGGGAGGCACACCTCCAGCAGTTGGGAAGATTGAGGCAATTTCTCCGAGAGAAAGCACAACAAAAACCGTTCCAATTAAGGCAATAAGGCTGCATAATAAAAAGGGACCTTTAGGAACCAAAGTGCAGATACTCGGAGTTTAGGGTTCTCTCACTAATTATAAAAGAGACAGGGGGCACCACCGTTAGTCAAGGCCGTGGCGACGACGGATGAAAGAGCCTCCCAGGTGGCCATCAATGATATCTGTAAGCATACAATGGACCATAGTGAGAACTCACGGCGGAGCTCTTGCACATGACCAAGTGCTGCCAACTGCTCCTCGTCGCTAATGGGCTTCTCCGGGTCTGAAGTGACCATCTTGGTGTCTGGATGTCGATCGGAATGGGGATCCATATTGAAACTGGAAGGCTATGTAGGCGACTGGGCCCGATTATTCTTGCCTAGACTATCGGAGTGGGATGGCTACTCCATAATATAAGGGTAGGGATATAGCCTCGGACAGGGCGGAAATCAAGATAATCCTATCAACGGGGCATGGCGGGCATGAATCCGCACCTGGGCTGCATGAAGGCTTATCATGACCTTATCAGGACAAAGGGCGTGCAAGCCACTGCAGTGGCCTACATTGATGACCATGGATCATCGGGCGTAAGCATCCCTGATATGCCATTTGCCTCTACGAAATGCGGGGGAGTTCCGTCCTTCCTAGATTCCATGATCGACCCGCCAGATACGAAGTCACAACCAATGGGATTACACTGCTGAGGCTGGGTTTTGAAACGCGGGGGAGAGATGACAGTAGCTGCAGTGGCGATAGAGAAAAAAAAAGAAAAAAAAAGTACTATTCCAAGAATGGTGCTAGCTGCTTGGTTAGCATCGCATGGTGGCGGCTGATATTTTACATCTCATTGATTGTTTGAGGAACACTTCTACCCTGCGTGTTCTACCTTTGATATCTTCTATCTGGTTTCACGATATCCCACAGACCTGCTGCCTCGTCAATGCGGGGATGCCTAAATGGGCAAAACTCGCGCCTCGCACTAAATGGAGACTAAAACAAATCACAAGTGGAGCTTGCGGAAGCTCGGAACCGTTGGACGGAATGTCGTTGGGGATACTCCGTAGCAAGAAAGATCAAAGACGATAAAAGGTGGTAGGTGTCCTATCTAATTTACTTCAACAGGAATTAATAATTAATAACATTCCATTTTGTGCACCATACTAGTACACACAATGATGGCCCACCCCCTTGCCATTCTCTCTCCGGAGGAGACCAACGTGGCCCGTGACCTCGTCCGCGCTGCTCATCCCGACAACATTCTTATCGATTTCCGAGAGATCTTCCTGCAGGAACCCCCCTAAGCCTCAATTATTGGAGTTTCTTGCCCTTGAACATGCAGGTCATCTCAGCCCAACCACTCCACGCCCACCGCGCCTGGCCTTATGCCAGTACGACGTCATCGGCGCTGATCGCATCCCCGAGTATCAGGAGTCGGTGGTCGATCTCGTCGCTCACAAGCAGATCAAACATACTGTTGTGGGAAAGCAGCATCATGCATCCCTAACCTTGTTCGTGTTCATTTTCATTTTACCTTTGGTCCTTTCGTTTCCAGCCAGCTAATTCGAACTCTTTGTAGGAGCGAATTCGACGTGCTCGTTGATCGGTGTATGAGCTCGCCTTTGTTCCAGGAAGCCATCGCTCAGTTCTCCCTACCCGATGGATTCGAGGTCGTCATTGAGCCCTGGCCATATGGGGGTCTGGATAATACCGACGAGAACCGTCGCTTTTTCCAGGGACTATGCTTTGCCCAAGACAAGCGATCTGGCAACCCAGACACCAACTTCTACTCCTTTCCTCTACCTATTATCCCCGTGATGGATGCCCACACCCAGCAGATCATCCGTGTTGACCGACCGGCCACCGGAGGAAAAGGAGATGGATTGTTAGAACAAACCTTCAAGCGTGATATCATTGGTCACTGCAAGCCTTCCGAATATGTGCCCGAGCTGCTTACGGAGGGTACTCGCGCGGACCTCAAGCCACTGAATGTCGTGCAACCCGAGGGTCCCTCCTTTCGCGTCACCAACGAGTCGCTGGTCGAATGGCAGAAGTGGCGGTTCCGCGTGGGCTTCAACCCACGTGAAGGTGCGACGATCCACGATCTGTGGTACGATGGCCGTAGCGTGATGCATCGGTTGGCCATCAGTGAAATGGTATGTTCCAATCTCTGGCCAGTGCCTGTCTCGTGGTCCTGGCATCGACACATATAACCTCATACTTTTTTTCTGTTCTTCAAGCTCACGCCCCCTTCTCTAACAGACCGTACCGTACGCCGATCCTCGTCCTCCGTTCCATCGAAAGCAGGCCTTCGACTTTGGCGATGGCGGTGGTGGAAACATGGCCAACAATCTCTCTCTTGGGTGTGACTGCCTGGGGGTGATAAAATACTTTGATGCCGTGATCACAAAGCCAGATGGAACTGCCGAGAAGTTACCTAACGCAATTTGCCTCCACGAACAAGATAACGGAATCGCCTGGAAGCACTCCAACTGGCGTACCGGTCGGGCTGTGGTAACTCGGAACAGGGAGCTTGTCGTGCAGTTCATCATCACGCTCGCGAACTATGAGTATATCTTTGCCTACAAGTTCAACCAGTCAGGCGACATCACCGTTGAGGCCCGAGCGACCGGCATCTTAAATGTCGTCAACATCGATGCGGGCAAGGTCAGCGACTACGGCAACGTGGTCAGTGGGGGGGGGTTCTCGCCCAGAACCATCAACACATATTCTGTGTCCGCATGGACCCGGCTATCGACGGACAGAAGAATTCGGTGGTGGTAGAGGAGTCGCATCCAGTCCCGATGAACGCCGTCACCAACCCCAATGGCAACTTCTATCAGATCACCAAAAATACCGTCGAGAGGGCATCCTGGATCGATGCGGCCCCGGAGTACAACCGGACGATCAAGATGATCAATCCACACAAGACTAACCCCATCAGTGGAAATCCTGTTGGGTTCAAGTTCATCCCTCTCGCCACCCAGAACCTTTTGGCCGACCCAGAGTCCGTTCAAGCCCGCCGTGCTCAGTTCGCCCAGCATCATGTGTGGGTAACGAAATATCAAGATAACGAGCTGTATGCGGGTGGCCGGTACACCTTACAAAGTCAATATGAGATTGATGGCGTTGCAGACGCCGTTCGTCGAGGTGACTCTGTGGCTGATACCGACGTTGTGGTCTGGAACTCGTTTGGCATCACCCACAATCCTCGCGTGGAGGACTGGCCCGTCATGTATGAATTCTTCCCCAATTTATTTGCAACCACATGGTTTCCTTTTACTAATAGCAGCAGGCCTGTTGAAACATTCCAGCTCATGATCCGCCCAGCGGACTTTTTCGTAGAGAATCCTTCCATCGACGTTCCCTCAAATAAGAACGTATCTTCGCGGCTGGTCGACAAGGATTGCTGCCGTAAGTCTCATATCTAGAAGTTGCCTATGACCAAGGAAACGACTGTACTATACATGCATCTGTATTCGAATTCTACTGGAAGGGCCAGGGAAACTTTCGAATGCTGGACTATAAAATCGACGCCTGCATTATCTGGCTAGGCGTTGATGATCATTTTCATAAATTTCGAGTTCAAAGCAATTTTTTTTACAATCATATCAGTTTTCTCTGTCCCGCACTCTTCCTGCAAGAAGGCAGGGTTGTTCCTCCTTCTTGCCGAACGCTTAGGTAGATCCTTTGACTTCCAAGGTGGAGTAGTTCCGAGATACCGAGGATAACTCAAGTTTTAATGTTGGCACCATCATCGTACTAGTCCACGGGACCATGCCAACCATGGGACCCTAATTTAACGGTCTCCACCACAGGCTTCCGCTTATCTTCCACATTAATATCCTTCTTTCCGTACATTCCGAGCATCTAAATTCATCTCACCTCGCTCTTCCAACCATCCCCGCAGTTCATTGAGAAGTGGATGTGCGATGACCTTGGATGTCAGACCCGATGAGGATCTAGCTTCGTTGCGCCCACGAAAACGGGCCAAATATACCCAAATAGCCTGGTAGGCCCCATTCCGAATTTCCGTTATCGGAGAATTTCTAACGTCTTGGGCCAAGCAATGAGTGTAAGCGACGCAAGCTGAAATGCAGCGGCGGCTCTGTATGCATGCGATGTACGCGCGATAATACCACTTGCAGCTATACTTCGCAGCGGTCTATAGCACAACTTGAGGACCCCGCGCCCAAGGATGATTGGTATGGAAACCCTTTCTTATGACATCTTGCATACCTTTTTTGTTTCTACTGGGTTATTTACTAGTTGTCCGAGACTGACTAATGCGTTCTTTTGCGTCTTTCAGGCCCAACCATGCGCGATTCCGGGCTGTCGATCTGGAACTCGATACGCTCCGTGAGGAGATGCGGACTCTTTCCGCTCGCTTGAAAGAAGTTGAAAGTGCCAATTCTGTTGCTTCATCAAGACCAACTGTTAGTGCCGCACCGACTAGCTTACAGCGCATATTGAACCCACCCAAATCGCCTTCCTATGTCGGACCTACGAGTGCTGAGTTTGGTTTGGACCATCAAGATGACCCTTTGCTCTATGCTCTTGATGATCGCGACAATATTCATGCAGACAACTTCCAGGGGAATCAGGACAGTCGCCCTGCTTCTCCAGTCGCCCAGATCTCAACGGGGTCGACGCCTACCGAGAATTCTACAAGCCAACATTCATTGCATGACTTGGGGTTAGAAGAAACATTGCGCCTTGTACAAGTCTACGAAGACACCGTCGGTATTATGTATCCCTGTGTCGATCTAGCTAGTCTGCGTACTTATGTCGTGGAATACTATCATTCGCAAACCTCTGCCTTTAACAAATCATCGGCACGAAGACTATCAAGAAGAGACGAAGATTGGTTTCATGCCCGCGACATTCAGGTATTGAATATTGTCCTTGCTACTGCCCTGCTGGTAGAAAGCCATGGTCAGAGCGAGCGAGCAGCTCAACTGGCTGATAGTGTGGAAGATCGTTTTGCGAGTCGACTCAAAGTTGCGCAGGTGGATATGAAAGAGTGCCTAATATTGACATTACTGGTGAGTCAAGGATTCCAACTTCATATGAGTGCACAGTTGGTCGACTAACTATCACAGTCACTATTTCATTCCTATCGCGACGACGAGGTCATCGCATGGCGGCTTACAGGCATGGCGGCTCGGGGCAGCATGGAACTTGGTCTGCATCGACAAGAGACATGGAAAAAGACCGGTGGCGTATTTCCAGGCGCTTTAGAGTGGATATGGGCTAGTCGACTGTTCTGGTGTATCTATGTACTCGATCGCAAGTGGTCATTTGGCACGGGTCTGCCATTTGCCATTCAGGATTCCGACATGGATACCAACCTTCCGGAACCTGGTCATTCCACCCCGTACTTAACATGCCTGATCTCCTATGCCCGGTTGGGTACAAAAATATGGGGCCTTATAGTTGGCTGGTCGAATCGATCACGCGAAGCGACCTCGGAGGGTTGCGCTTTTCTCGATGCTCAAGTGCAGCAGTGGGTCCATTCTATTCCACGCGAACTACGCTTCGACCCTAGTTGGCGTTCACCTGCTGGGCCCGTACATACGGATCGTACCAGAATGCTCCAGGTGCTACTAGCTTTACAGGCCAACCAACTACGTATTCTTGTTTATCGACAAAATCTTCTCAGTGGCGATCGGATTTTGGACGACATACCCGGTGCTTTGATAGCCGTGGAAACAGCAAAGAGTACCATTCATATGCTAGACTATTACAGTCGTGTTTCAAATGTTTATTTTCAGCGCCCTGAGCCCTTCAACTACTTCTTAATCTCGGCTCTCGCGGCTTTGTTCCTCGCGGTTTTGCATGCGCCGGCTCGTTTCAGCCAACTATGTCGGCCCGAGTTCTACACTGCAGTCGGTATGGTGCGTCGCTCGGCGACCCGGGCGAAAACTTCCCGGAGGCTGCAGAAAATTATCCGCAGCCTCAAACGAATTCAACTGAGTGTACCATGGCAGGCTCAACAGGCGAGCCAGCACACTGTTCACTCCCGCAGTGCTTCTAATGCGGCCATTTGCTCACTCGACACCCCTTGGAAAGAAAAACCTTTTCCTTTTCGCAATCCATTCGACTTAGACCCAGTGTCATTGACAAAAGATTCTCCATCAGTCAAAATTGCATCTAACTTATATCAGACGCCTGGGATTCCCACACCACAAGGTTCTTCAGCAACCTTTTGGCCATTATCTCCTAATGCAGCCCTCGAAGTGGAATCAAATGGATGCGAGGATCTTAGTAGCTTCTTTGAAATCGCCGGCGGCTTCTGTTTTGAGCCTCGGCCCGATATCGCCAACGAGGCGGAAATGGGAATGTCTCAGGATGGCGCCGGAAGTGCCCCGAATCCCCTAGATGTGTTTCAGGCAGAGGATGAGGAGTTAACAAGGGTGATGGCTGGCTTGCTATAACATAATAACGCTATTATGATATTTCTTTCGATTTTACGGTTGATCTTTACGTATGGAAATCACTCGATTTCGGCTAATAGCACCAAAATTCTGTGAATTTCACTGGTGCTTTTCCCTGGATTCATATACCTATTAGCCGGCTGAAGAAAATCCTCCGCAGTCTGAGAGCTCTTTCTCTGGTTAGTCGTTCTGCACCCCGTCGTGGTGGCGCCAGCATTATACATGAACCAATTCCCACCAGTCAGAGCAAAGTTACAGTTTGGTTTCATGCTAAGACAGCCACCCCTGTCCCGCTTCCTCTCGCAGAAAGCCCGCCCCGCTCGCAAATTTGCCCAAATTCTCTATTCTGAAAGGCAAGCGACGGACCCTTACGTTAAGGTCCTCCACCCGTGCTCCTTTCTAGACCTGGACTGGTTTCCACGAATGGCTTACCCACTACGCTGCGTATAACTCATAAATAGCGATCACAAACCATGAACTGCTTTGAGAATCGTCTGCATTCACTTCAATAATCTCATCCAACACAATGATGTTTCGGGTATTATACAGCTCTGCGGCTCTCTTTGGAAGCATAGTGCATGGATATGCGAACCCTGGCAGCTGCTCCGGGTCTTGCAATGTTCATGATCCATCCTTAATACAAAGATCTTCCGATGGTACTTACTTCCGGTTTTCCACTGGAAATAAAATCTCTTATGCGAGTGCATCATCAATCAAGGGACCTTGGACTGCGATTGGCTCCGTGGTGCCTGCTGGGTCATCGATTGATCTCGATGGAAACGATGATCTATGGGTGAGTGACAATAATCTACCGCAAGAGTGAGAGCAGCCACTTAATATCTCTTCTCCAGGCCCCTGATGCCCAGCTCGTAGATGGCGTCTATTACGTGTACTACGCAGTCTCAACTTTTGGATCCCAAAATTCTGCAATCGGTCTTGCTACGTCCGATACTATGAATCTAAACTCTTGGACAGACAAGGGCACCACAGGAATTTCCTCTTCATCTTCCAAGGCTTACAATGCCATTGATCCGAATCTGATAAATGTGGATGGCACTTATTATATGAATTTTGGGTCTTTCTGGCATGACCTCTACCAAGCTCCCATGAATTCCGCGGCAACCAAGGTCGCATCCTCGTCCTACAATATCGCTTACGATTCCTCCGGAACCCACGCTCAAGAGGGCGCTTACATGTATAAGTACGGCAGTTACTACTACCTGTTTTACTCCTCTGGGATTTGCTGCGGATATGATACCTCCCGGCCTGCAAGTGGAGCCGAATATAAGATCAAAGTCTGCCGATCGACTTCTGCGACTGGTAACTTTGTAAGCTGCAACCTCCTGGACCCTCCAAATTCCTGGACTTACGTCCATATCATCTCTTTAGGTCGATAAGTCTGGCACCGCATGCACCAGTGGAGGCGGCACAGTTGTTCTGGAGAGCCACGGCACAGTGTATGGACCTGGTGGACAGTAAGTTATATTGGATTTCCTATTTTCTCTCCCGACCACGTGGTAGGCAATACTTATCCGTCGCAATATCTAATCATCAGCAGGGGAATCTTTACTGATTCAAGCCTCGGTCCGGTGTTATACTACCACTATGTCGATACTACCGTGGGCTATGCTGATAGCCAAAAGTTGTTTGGCTGGAACACAATCGACTTTTCATCTGGCTGGCCGGTGGTTTAAATAATAGAGATGACAGGAGACACCTTGAGTTTACCCGTTCTCTGCTTTGAGGCTGTCATTGAGGAATACAAATAGTTGCCTCCATCTATGTTTTCTAGCATGAACAAAATATCATAAACATTAGGTAGTCTATCAATATGACAGTGACAATGTTCTCTTTGAAGGGTGACATTCATTCTCTTTAATATTTATGCTTTTCCACTACTCCCAACGATGTCCATCCAACGCTGCATCTCCTCGTTCAGTACCCGAATTCCCGACTCCATCAACTCTGTTAAAGGGTAAGTGGCATTTTTATGTAGATTTTCATACCAGGGATCCAGCACGAGCTTATTAACGTTAACTTTGGACACCCCCGCTTTGATGCATTCTTTCGTTAACTCGGGTGAAAAGTCATTGGTACCATGCAGGACCAGTCGAACACGACCGTTCATTGAGTGGAAGATTTTGTGAAGTCTAGAGTGAGAAAGGTTTTGTTAGCGACTTGGTTATCTAAGTTTCCCTCCCACTGGTGGAAATTTACCGGTCCATGTCCAGCTTAGGACCTTCCAGGGGGTAATCTCCATGCACATTACCAACTCCAGGGGCAAGGAAATCAACGCCAGCTGTGATGAATTCCTCCACGTCCTCTGGGTTGGTCAATATTCCTATGATTGCAATCAGACTTGGTTCATACCCCTGAAAAGTTTCGTGGATTTCTTACCCTGTAAATCTCCTGTGTCCATGATACCATCTTCCCCACCTTCGATGCGTCCTGTCTCTGCTTCGACTGATATACCACGTGCATGGCAGTAATCGCGTAGCACGCGGGTCTTTTGCAAATTATCCTCTTTCTCATAATGACTCATGTCTACCATGATTGAATCGAAAGGCAGATTGTCGGCGACATATTTAATTTGTTCATAGTCTTGTGCGTGATCAAGGTGCACAGAGATGGGGACAGTGGCATTCTTTGCGGTGGCCGCTGCAGCGAAGACCAGCGATGGTGTTTGCAGTAATGAGGATGGGAAGAGTTGAATAATCAAAGGCGACCGGCGTTGCTCGGCCGCCTTCACCATGGCTGTGATGTGCTCGATGTTATATCTGAGGGGGTTGTCAGTGTCCATGATTCTCTCAATCTTTAACCTCGATGCTCAACTCACACAATCGCTGCCAACACTCCATATTGGCCCTTTTCTGCGTCATCTAGGATCTGACGAGTCCGGTTGGTGTCTGTCGCCATAACTGTGATGCAATTGAATCCTCTTCCGCCAAGCCAAACGGTGATCAGGTGTTCTTGGACTATGCGAGTTTATATAAATATAATGATACTTCCGTAGTTATTCCCCCACAAATTGTTGACGTCTCTAGGGAAATCAACCTCGCAACGCAGTTCTCTCCCCCACCTCGTCTCGAGGCAAACAGCACGACCAAAAAGGAAAGTGTGGAGATATGGAGAAGGTTTGTTGTTGTGAAGGTTGAAACATCACGGGCCAATCATATCAGGTGACAGGCAGGTGACTCGGTCCTCCCCGGCAACTTCATCCTTCTCTTCTTCCTCCCCGATCATTCGATACTTCGAATCTAACCACTTCTCGACTCTCCTGCACACCTCGTCCCGATCCTGTTTTCCTCTTTCATCATGACCCTCGAGTCGAAGAGTACCCGTTTTATTATTATCATGCGTCATGGCTAGGATCGCGTCGCGGCAGAAGCGTAAATCCCGTGGTCGCGGCTTGAGAGCCACTACTGGCTGGTACGTGCTTTTTGCTTTGCGCCCCCCGGATTTTCCTATTTTTGGGCTTTTCATATAGACTACGGCGTAACTAGAACGAGTCTAATCCATCGAGATAGTGTCATTTGCAAGCGCCGCCACGTGAAATGTGACGAGGTAGGCCACTCTTCTGCTTCCTTTCCAGGCGCTTTTATCGCGCAGCCATCAATAGACAACCCTCTCATTTCACTCTAATCCATCCAGGTTCGACCTCAATGTGGACCCTGCGCCAAAGGTCAACGTCCCTGTGTCTATACCTCCCATGATGCCTCGATCGGCGGCAACTCCCTGCGTCAAAGTCCCATCCCCGACATGCAGACACCCGCGGGCCAGAGAGAGATCGAGTCGAATCAAGTTCACCAATCGTTTCAGGTCCTCGTTGATGCATGTCACCAGGAAGAGCCAATTCATCTAGATTCAATCCAGTCTCACTCAACACCAACCACAACAGCCGAGTCTGATTCCGTCACAAACGCCCCGGGCACCCTCACAACGCCCGGGCAAACTTATGGATTCGTCCCCTCGCCAGGAACAGATACGTCGGTTGCATCGACCAGGGTTGCACCACTCAGTTGGTTTGAGTTGCTTGCCACTGATGCCGCCAATGCAGACGACCGATTTTTGCTCTCACCTCCCCAGCAATTTCCCCGGTCGCGCGCCGACGAGCCGGTCGAAGACCCCCAGAATAGCTCCAATTTAAGACCGCGGACCTTGCGAGAGCGTGAAAGCTTCTACGCCGCGGCCTTTGCTCGAAACCCGGAAATTGAGCAACGCCTTGCCTCGCAAACTCCCGAAGGGGCCTCCGCCGTATCGGATGACCCCTTGTCATGGAGCACGCACACCCCAATACAATTGTCTGACTTGGAACATGTCCTTTTTACACACTTCGTGCGTATCTCCAGCCAATGGTTGGATCTTTACGACCCTATAAAGCATTTCTCAACCGTTGTGCCTCACCTGGCCCTGAGAAATGTCGGGCTAATGCGCGCGCTCCTGGCCCTCTCAGCACGCCATCTCTCTCTGCATTCCGATGAACATCAAAACGGACATGGTTCTATCCATGCAGAGGCTCTCTTCTCGGAGGAGATCGCTAGCCCAGACAGAATCGACAGGAACTTGGCTGTGCAATATTACTATGAAACACTTCATTATCTGAATAGAGCCATGCAACACCCATCATATGCTCGCAGCCTTGAAGTGATCGCAACTTCTCTGCTCATCAGTACCTACGAAATGATTGACGGGTCCAATCAGGACTGGGAGCGACACCTCAAAGGCGTATTCTGGATCCAACGCTTTCAGGACAACGATGGAGAATCTGGTGGCCTGAGACAAGCGGTTTGGTGGGCCTGGATACGGCAAGATGTCTGGGTAGCGATGAGAGAGCGGCGTCGGGTTTTTAGTTTCTGGCAACCAAAGAAGCCCCTGGTCTCGTTGACTGCCTCGGAGTTAGCAACACGTGCAACATATCTCTTGGCACAGTGTGTCAACTATACGTCAAGAGAAGAGCAAGAAACATCGGACCTCTCCCGACGTCTTGAACGTGGGAGTGAATTGCTGTTCCTGCTGCAGGAATGGTTTGATCACCTCCCGCCGGAATATAACTCCCTGCCTCTCTCAACCGACATTCACACCTTCCCACCAGTCTGGGTGAATCCATCTGCCTACGCTGCGGCGTTGCAAGTGCATAGCCTTGCCCGTATTCTTGTGGTTCTTCACCGGCCATCCACTGGGGGTATGGAGGATTACCGGGCGGCGCAAAGCCTCTTGAGACTTTCAGTGAATACCATCTGCGGTATTGCAAGGACCATTGATGAACAGGATCATGCGGCTAGCCTAGTGTCTATACACTGCTTGTTTGGAGGTAAGTCTTTTTCGGATCACACGATCAAGATCACCGGATTAATGGCTCTTTAGCTGGAATGTGTGTCCATACCCCTCATGAACGCATAGCCTTGTTAGAGCTCCTGGAGTCTTGTCAGCGGCGGGTTCGCTGGCCTTTGATTTCACTCCGGAAGGAGCTTGAGCTCGAATATGCCAAGGACGCCCTCCCAAATTTCATGACTTGAGACCCCATTTGAATTGAATATATATATATGGCTTCAACTCATACTAAAGTGTGTTAAGATGATACTAGTACACTCCATCGTCAGCGACTCCGAGTCGTCGCTATGTAGAAGGCACGACAAACAACTCGAAAGAGTAGGCCTTTAGAACATTACAAGCTACTCTACAATCCCAGCTTCAACTCGCCTATTGAAGTTACTAGTTCGTGTACCACATGGAAGTTTCCCAAACATGGCAAAAAGGAAAATAGACTTGAACGCCAGTCTACCAATATGGCCCTCGTACAACCTTATAATACAATCGTCATTGATTCATGAACTTCTTGAAATTGTTATAGTCCGCTGCATGCTAATACCTACTAGTAAATATAGCATATCATGCCCGGCATTTGGGGACCTATTTTCGACTTCCAATGTTATTATTCTTCAATCACAGATTGTGTGCGACGGCGGAACCAAACATGCAGGCCTGTGAAAGTAACAACTCCTACAGCCAACATCGCAGAAATTACCGAAAATCCCATAATGTATTTGGGACTGTCAGAGTCCGGGAACAGGTACTGGGGGTAGTCATGGTTAGCTTGATACATGTCATCTAATGGAAAAAGGCAGGTTCTTACCGATCCATAAATCTGAGCCAGATTACCCAGCGCATTGACTAGGGCCAGACTCACACCTCGTGCTTGAGGGTGCATGCTGGCGAATGCAGATGAAGCGTACGCCAGCGTACCACCATTGGTTGCCCATAGCCCAGCAGCCATTAAAACAAGTAAGACGTATCGAGCAGTGAAGTTGTATACCACACAAACAATGATAGAACATACTAGCGAGAAGGCTAGCCAGCAGGCAATGACAAGGCCTCGCCAATTTGGGATCTTGTCGCTGAAGTAGGCGGTAACGGCTGTACAGACGAAGGCCACGCCATAGATTGGGACCGTGAGAAGATTGACGCGGTAGGTGGATGCGCCTTCGAATAATCCCTGGACCAAAGTCGGGTAAAAGTAGGTGAGAGTGCTTGAGCCAACGATGACCTAGTAAACATAACCTTACGTCAGAATCACCCGGTGTCATTTTCTTTTGAAAATAATCGAGATTCTTACCATGTATCCAACCACAAAGGCCCACGTTCGTAAATCCTTAACTGCAATTTGAACAGCCTCCCAGTCGCCCATTTTCTCACCGTCCGCGGTGACAGCAGTCACGTTCTCGCTGGCCAGTCGAGCGACCGCGATATGCCTTTCATGCCCAGACAGGCGTCGTGATGTTGCTGGGAAATCGGGAAGAATGAACAGGGAGATGATGGCAAATCCGATGGTAGCAGCTCCCTCGACAATGAAAAGCCATCGCCATCCTCGAATCCCGTGGACACCCTCCAGGTTATCAACGATACCAGCTGCGATCAGTCCTCCGAAGGCACCTGATAGAATTGCCGCAGAGATATAAACTCCAAATCGCTTGGACTGTTCTGTACGCTTATACCATGATGATAGTACGAGCAAGACACCAGGTGCAAATCCGGCTTCAACACAGCCGATTAAGGTTCGAAGAATGACCAGATGCTTATAGCTCTTAATAACTGCCATCACGCAAGTCAAAGTACCCCAGAGAATCATGATACCTGGCAAAAAAGGGAGGGTCGAGTTCGGCCGAGGATTAAACTAGTAAAAAGAACATCAGGTCAGTCCACGTAGCGACCACGTGTAGGTTTCTGGACAACCTACTTGCTAGGCACTTCAAATACCACGTAACCCACGAAGAAAACAACCAAGGCAATCGAGTACTGATCTGAACTCAAGTTCAAGTCCGTCTCCATGCCGGAAATCTTTGCATTTCCGATGCTGTAAGTGAAAATATGAGTCAGTTTATTGATCTATCAAAGCTGAACTGATGGTAGCATACTTTGTACGGTCCATATATGAGAGCAGGTACATGATCCAAATCGTCGGCAACAGAGTCATGTCAATCTTTCTCACCAACGCCTTCTCTTCTTCGGGGGTGAAAGAGGGTTCTTCATCGATATCAGCATGTTCAATCTTCTCGGAAGAGATTTCCATCTTTGTCAAGTCACCAGCAGTGCTTAAAGACATGATGGGCTTTGAAGACACGGTCACAAAGAAAGTGATGAAGTGATGAAGTGATGCCAGTGGAGATGACAGGGGGTTGAGGGGACGATTCGTCTGCGAGTGTGGAATATATATGCTTCTCAGCCACTAGGAACGAGATAGTCCTTTACCCGCATACCTAGGTACGCTGTAGCCCTGGAGGCTATGACGGTAGGGGTCAGATCCCATCATCCCATACGGTCGTGCTAGACCGGAATCCGGAAGTTGGCCTGGGGTTGAGTGTCCACTTTGGCCCGCCTCCGCAACGCCAGAAGGGCTCCGCCGAACCCAATCGCCCATACTGCCGGTGGCCTGCTTCCGAGTGACTCGTCGCGAGGCAGATTAGGATCTCGGGGTACCGAAACCACGAGGTCAGAACGACACGAGGTATTTAGCAGTTGCGCCGAAGGTTTCAAGTGGATAAGCTTTGTATGGGGTGGCCAAAGAAGCAGTCCGGAGGTCTTTCGTTGCGGCAACTTTGCTCAACAATTGAAGATCATTCCAACTTTCAAGAGATGGTGTGGGCTGACCCCTTGACAAGGGAGCAAGGATCTGGAATTCTATTTATGCTTGATCGGCGGGTTGGTTACTGCCTTTGGTCTCCTCCATATTCTACCATTGGATGCAACAGTAATTCCCATCGGCGGCATAGTATAGTATATTTCCATGAACGGATCATCCTTGAACTTCCGGCTTCGGATTTTAATCTGGCTAACATTCACCAGGTTTGTTCGTTCCAGCTTGTAAAGGACGAGGAAGGACAAGGCCGCCCGATGTTGGTGCGCTGACGATTTGTTGTGTGACCACCCCTGCTTTTAGTTCACTTGAATTCAATATTGCTTTATGAACAGCTCCCCTGAATATTCGAAATGGCGGTCTTGTACATGTCCATTCCATATTCAGAATACGCATTTATCTGCCATACATACGAGTACTCGCTCGTTTCTCGCGTGGCAGATGCAGCCCCACACTGGCCGATCGCGCAGGCTGAATGCTGATGCTGATGGTAAACCAGGGGTCCGACCTGCCTCGTGTCGAGGATGCACATCTCCGCATTTTGGTCGGTGCAATCCCGAGAAATGACAGCATTGGAGGGGTGGGTAGATATGATTTTATGTGCGGCCAGAGTGATGGTAACTATTAAAGGCAGCCAGGGCCTCCGAGGAGAGTTTCACGTCACGCTAAATCGAACATATAGGAGCAAGCAGCCTTCAACAACTTCAATTTTTCCCGATTCCCGAGATCCCCTCTCGCAAGTCAGCATCATGCCTCCTGCTGCCACTGATAGCGCCGCCGCTCCTGTCTTGAGCACAATGCCGGCCGATGACTTTAGCTGGCAGATCACTCTTGGTAGGAAGGTCGTCGCTATCACAGGTGCCAACCGTGGCATTGGTCTGGGAATCGCAGAGGTTTGCCTGGCAAACTCGGCCAATGTGGTCTACTCGCTCGACCTAATGGAGCCCGGCGACGAATTCGCTGCCCTGCAGAAGCGTTACCCCAACTTCCACTTCATTCAAACAGACGTGACTTCGGAGGACAGTGTTGAGAAGGCCATCAGCCAGGTCGTTGAGCAGTCCGGCCGTATTGACGGTCTTGTTGCCAATGCTGGCATGACCAAGCATCAGCCAGCACTAGATTTTGACCGACCTGAATTGGAGAAACTGTTCAACCTCAATGTAGGGCCACAGATTCCGTCTCGAGGTGTTGCTTCCTCCGGGTATTCTTTACTTACACATTGTTAGGTCTTCGGCGCCTACTTCTGCGCCCAGGTTGCTGCTCGCAAGTTCATCGAGCTTGGTATCAAGGGCTCCATCGTGATGACCTCAAGCATGACCTCATACCGACCAAACCGAGTAAGTCATTCGTTCAAATCGTTGACAAGAGAAAAATAAAAGTCAAAATAAAAGTCCACTGACTCATTCTTCATCTAGGCTGCTCCCTCTGCCCCCTACGGCGCCACCAAGGCTGCCGGTAAGTTACCAAAGTAAAGACTTGCAATATCTTAATTAAGCTAATTATATTCTTCTTGATAGTTCGCAACATGTGCCACACCCTCGCCATGGAATGGAGCAAGCACGGTATTCGAGTCAACAGCATTTCCCCCGGTTTCGTGCGGACCGCAATGACTTACTACGTGGAAAAGTCCCCCCGATTGGGATCTCAAAATGCAATACTACGGCGGCATGCCTCGTCTGGCGGATCCTCGTGAGCTGGGAGGTGCCTATGTCTATCTCCTGAGCGACGCTAGCTCCTATACAACCGGTATCGACATTCCAATTGCGGGTATTGTCGGCGCTTGGTAAACACTGCATGTGAGGATTAAAGAGTCACATTCACGGCGTTTTCCAAGGTTGGTTTTATTTATCATGCACATAGAAGGGAAAAGGTATTTGAGATTTATGTATCCCGGATTGGGATGCTCCAGTTCTGGCATTATATTTAACTCTAAAGTAAAGCAAAAACATTAGGTGTAAACTTGAAGTAAACTCCCCGCGGGCGAGAGAATCGGCGCCGCCCGCCAACTCGGCCGATTGCGCCCAACCCCGGGCGAGTCCCCCTCAACATCTACCCATCACCAACTGCGACAAGTTATGCCTGCAAGCGATCAACTCTTCTCTCCCTCAATGCAACTAGTATATTGCAACTAGTATACTATACCAAACAGTATGGCGAAACCTGCTTCTGATACCAACACGGCCACGGGCCCCGTGAAATACAATGTCGGCTGGCGAAGAGTCGTTCGCAATTTTAGTCCCTCGTATGATAGACACTAGTTATACCAACCCCCCTCTCTTCGGAACATGTCGCTAATATGAAGCAGATGGTTTGCTGTCACAATGGGCACCGGTATTGTTTCGGTACTACTGAACTCGGTGCCATTTCACACGCCGGTCTTGTACTATCTTTCCATCGTCTTTTTCATCCTTAATGCCGTCATCTTTATGTTGGCATTAGCCACCTCTATTCTGCGATACACCTTGTATCCAGAGATCTGGCCCGTGATGATTCAAGATCCTACAAACTCGCTATTTCTGGCAACGGTCCCCATGGGCTTCGCGACACTGATCGAGATGTGGGTCTCCATCTGCGTGCCCCAATGGGGGGACTGGGCCGTGTCTGTTGCATGGGCGTTGTGGATGGTGGACGTTGTGGCCGCGGCCTCGGTCACTCTCTCACTATCCTTCATTCTGTCAGTGTCTAGTACATCTCGTAATGATGATAAACGCCCACTAATATTCATGAAAAATAGGATTTCTCAGCGTCACATAACCTCGTTGGACCGCATCACTGCACTTCAGTTGTTGCCCATTGCCGCGACGATCGTCGCTGCGGGTGTAGGTTCTAAAGTCGCTGATATTCTTCCCAACCAACAACATGCATTAGGCACTCTACTTGCTTCCTTTGTACTCTGGGGAATGGGGACCCCACTCGCCATCGTTGTGTTGGTCATCTACTATCAACGGCTGGCGGTCCACAAGCTTCCCCCGCGAGAAATGATCGTGAGCTGCTTCCTACCCTTGGGACCTCTGGGATTTGGTGGCTTTGGGTAAGCATTGCTTTATCTTTTCTCCTCGCGAATTCGTTGCTCACCAATCGCAGCATTCTTTATATCGGGAAGGTCGCGCGAAAGCTCCTTGAGGGCTCTGACATTCTAGATCCCATCACAGGTCCTATGGCTTATGTTCTTGGTGTATTCATATCCTTGATAATGTGGAGCTTCGGCTTGATCTGGCTAGTCTTTGCGCTCGCCACTGTTGTGTACAGCTCTCCTTTTCCATTTAACATGGGCTGGTGGGGCTTTACATTCCCCCTTGGGGTTTATGCGGCCAATTCAATCGAACTTGGGATTGAATTAGACCTTATGTTCTTCAAGGTTTTCGGAACGGTATGCTCATATTTTCTGTTCGTTTGAAGCTGCGTATGGGTTGCTAACAAATTCATGGCGGTTTTAGATTTTAAGTACTGCTGTACTATTGCTATGGGCTCTTGTTGGGTCTCACACAGCAATGGGGGCCTGGCGAGGGAACTTGTTCTACGCTCCCTGTCTTCAAAACCTGACTTTTAGAGAGGAGGGGCGGGATCACGACGAAGATCCCGATCGAGCCTAATGAGAACACTAGCCATAAGCGTAAACATAAAAATGTTTCAATCACTTCATTTCTTTAAGCGCTTATGTCGTCAGCCTCCTGCAGGATTTCTTCGGTTGGGTTTATTTCCGGGATCTCCAGCCAACCCGAGGTCGAAACGCCTCATCCGTAATTTCAGGGCAAGTTGTGCCGACCGACCTCAGAAAAAGCCATTGGTTACATCTGAGGCGAATTCTGCCAGCCCCATTGCTAAGTGACCGTCAGATCAGAGTCACATGTACGGTCATTCTCGTATTTAGCCCAGCAGTGTTGTTGAGGTCTCGCTCCAGTGGGGAATGCCTTTTCTTCTTTAGCTATCTCGAGCCTTTGGTTTCGAAGAACTCCGCGAGTCATTCTATATGGTGAGAATGGTAAGGATGTGTATTTTGTGTATGAATAGAGGAACACTGTTGACAACCTATTTCCAGGGCTCCGCAGAGCACGAGTTCCCGTTCCTTCAGGAGGTCTTCACTCCTCGGGACCACCACAAGGTCGAGTATGATCGATTCCTTTCACAGCGGCTCGTTCGCATGCATCTTTAACTGACAAGACTTCTTTTAGTTTTGTTTTCGTCCACGGTCTGAACCCTCGAGGCCGTAATGATCACCCTTTTGAAACATGGACTCACGCAAATGGTGTCTTCTGACCAACAGAATTCCTGGCGGAAGATATCCCATACGCCCGGGTCTTTGTGTATGGTTACAAGTCCAACATCACACACCCTCGAACCATGTCCACTGCAAGTATTAAGGATCACGCCAACACTTTTCCAATCCGGTGCCATTGAAGGAGAAGGAACAGGTACTGGAGATCCTAGAGATGGTGGTTGACGAATAATAAATAGGCAATTTCTTAATTTTGAAATGATATTTTGCTCTTGAAACTGTCTCTCCTGATCTCATTAATAATATCATTGTAATTAATAAGCCTCCGCTCCACAGATAACCGATGAGGTAGACTTTAGTGTATTCTGATTTCCCATGAAACTCCGGTTGGTAGGTAGTCAGGCTGCAGCTGAATTGAGGCGATCAGATCGGCGATATCGTCGAATAAGCAAAAGATATTCATGACCCTCCACAAGATTACCCAAAGGCCAATTCAAATTGGTTTGAATAGCCTGGAGAGCGGAATTGGGTTCTGTATGATCGACAAAAAACCCGGTGTCCACACCTGAGACCATTCCATCTGAACCTGTTCCAAATAGGGAGCCGTGTAGCTGTGCATCCCGAATGTATTGAATCGGACTATTGCTCAGAACATTCTCCGCATTTTGAGCAATGAATTCCAGGGATATTCTTTCAATGGCGCCTCCGAAACTTGACGCTGCCGCAAGACAGGCTGCTGGGTGTGAACTCATGATTCCGTAGACATGATCCGTACGCTCTCTAAGCGCATTCAAGAGAGCCTTTGCGAGCCCAAGATTTCGAAAATTTCTGTTGATAACGAGTTGAGTGATCCAGCAAACGTTCAACTGTTGATGTTGCCATCTGCAGGCGAAGGCGTATCCAGCGAAAGTTCCATCGACAGTGACTCTAGCGTAAATAGTATTCGCCGAGCTTGGTAGGTATTGAGATCTCATTCTTTTGACGGACAAAGAAACTGGTTGACCTGCTAAGAATTAGACTCGGTAAGGAAGGCAGCGTAAATTTGGAGCGTACCGGCTCGTCCAGTCTGCTCGCCCCAGACACCGTAATTATCCCGGAAAAGAACAGCAGCTTCTCCAAGTTCCTCATCGGTAACCTGGCTACCACAAATGATGCGGATCTGCTGATCTCTCATCTTGAAAGAGGAAATTCCGGGGTAATGGGGCAAATGGTTGAAAAGGCTGGGAGGCTTGAGAGTGATGATAGGCACAGGAGGAGGAACTCGCTCGGGCGGTGGGTCCGGAGGCAGTCCCGCGGCCCACATTAAGTTAACGCATCATAACAGCATGGGGATCGATCCACTTGATGTCCGCCCCCCCCGCGTAATCCAATATGCCGAGCTGAAAAACAAAGGAAATTGGGACCAGGCTCGGGATGTCAAGAACGATATCTTCCAAGAGCATTTGTGAGCTTCTTGGTCCAGGTCACCACAGCACACTGTCTGCCAGCTATAATCTAGCAGAGATAGAATTAGAAGGCACCTTCCTTGACAAGGCAACAGAGTGGTGCCAATGGGTGTCCGATGGTACTCAGCGAGTGTTTGGAACAAGACATGTACTCTCGATGAAGACAGAAAGCCTCATGGCGGAGATCATGTGCCAGCGCGGACAATACCAGGAGGCTGAATCTATGTGTGCAAATGTCCTCGCTCGCCAACAGATGAATATTGGCGAGGATCATTTAGATACCTTGACTACGCGAAGGCGCCTGGCTATGGCCTATAATGCACTCAGCAGGAGGGAAAATGCTATTGCGACCGCAGAGAAACTCGCCGACAGCTATAAGCGCTTGCTTGGAGACAACCATGTCCTCTTTTTTGTAGCGGCTCTCGACATGCTAGAGTATGCCATCTACAACCATGGTGATAACGGGGTAAACACAAAAAAAATATACCGACCCGATGTCAAACGAGCATTTGAGATTATCCCAACTGTTCATGAAGAACTTCTCGCAGGGCTCGGTCGCATACATCCACTCACCATCCGAGCCCTCTGTCTACATGGCCGAGGCCTTATCTGCGTGCAGGAGAAAATGGAAGCGTCCGAAACTCTTCGTCGAGCACTCGCGGTTTCAGAGGAAGCTCTCGGACCAGACCACCCACTAACCATGGATATCGTTGGAAACATCGCTGTGATGTATGCGCTGCAAGCTCCTCAGTATTATGTTGGGTCCAGTCCTCCATCCGAGGCCCTTCCGTGGTTAAAACAGTATGTGGAGTGGGTCGAGCGGCGGCGAGGCATTCAGAATCCGGAGACCCTCGCGACTTTGGAGATGTTGGCCAACCTTCAATTTGTTGCGAAGGAGTACGAATCAGCTCAGAAATACTTTGAGCGGGCCATGGCCTCCTGTCGAGGCAATAACCCGGCGGCCGAGAAACGCATCGATAACCTCTTACAACTTTGTCGTGCAAATACCATGTGGACCACTGGTAATCGGCGCTCGGGCATGGAGGGGATTCTGTCGGCTTTCCAGCGGCAGCGATTCTAGATATCACGCCAGATTCTCTGGGAGAATGTGTTACTACTATCTGTATTCTGGAAAAGGAATGAGAATTATGATCTTTGGAACTTCAATTTGCACATTAAATTCGTCTGCCATAGCTACATATCCCAATGGGGTATCGGTATCGTATTTTTACTCGCGTTGTGAATCGTACTCGCTACAAGCCGTATGCAAATCTCTAGTTAGAGAACTTATCGGGGACGTTCTTGCTGTAGAAGGAAGATGATCAGCTGTATTCTCAGATCTATATTTCATTGAGGAAACGTACCCCGTAGCCTTCTCGAATTGTCCACGGGCACCATCGGTGATCTTCTCGTTGGTGCCGCGCATCTTCACGGGGTCAACCTTGCCGCCGCCAAACTTGCGCTCGACAGAGTCGAGGGCTAGGTGAGATGTTAGGTTTATTTATTTTCTTTGTTGATCCTCGTCTGATGAAGATGGGAGTGGAACTTACCCTTGTCCAGGTAGTCCTCCTTGCCAGCAGAGCCACTGGAGCCGGAGTGGGACTCCTTGTTGCTGCTTCCACCACCGAGCTTGGAAGCGAGACCGGAAAGCTTATCCATAATGATGGAGTAGTAGAGGTATGAATATGATGAGGTGTAAAGAAAGTTTGGGGGAGAGGGTGGAAGGTTGAGGGAAAGGAGGGTCAGTTTAGGAAGAGGGGTAAACTCCTTTATAAGAGAATAGCAGGACTACTCGGGAGTAAATGTACTGGGACTGGTATAGGGTACGAGATCGTGGAAAGTCAAAAGGGGGGGCCCACTCCCCATCGAGCATCGTCATGGAATACGCTCGGATCAAAGGCAGTGGGTGAAAAGGTCCAGTCCACACTGTGTACAGTACATAAATCTGGACGAGATCCAGTGGCGTTCAGCCAGTGAGGAGGCGATACCCCTTGGGATCTGAGGTCATCGGATGAAATCTGATCTCATATCCTTCTATTCCCATCAAAGCTCCAAAGAGGACGATCCACAATGATGAATGGTTGGAATTGCAAAGGTGGGCAAATGCAAGACAAGATTGGCGGTTGCGGAGTCGCCGTAATTGGGTGATGTCATCATATTCCCCGCAGGTCAGGTGATCCAGTGGTCATAATAGTCACGTGAGATAATCCACATCAGCCACTTTCGACACAGCCACACTCACAACCAACCACACCAGAACTCCCCCGAGGCTTCTTCTTTCTCCTCCTCCACCACTTCTTCTCAAGATTGTTGATAACCTCACTTTGTCTTATTCTCTCTTTGTTTCTCTTCCTAGTGCACATTCTTGTTACTCTCCTGATTTCCAACACTAATCATAAAATACAAAATACAAATCCGCAGTGCGAGCCCGCCTGGATTCCCCATTCTTGTTTTTCTTCTCTCCTCATCGGCCTAACTCCGAGCCACCCATCGTCCACTTGAATCTTCTCCGGGACTGGGCCGACCTCGCCCTGCACCTCTCATATTCTCACATTATGGTATGATCCCGACATTAGCCACCGCTGATCTTGGTTTCAATAGTGATGTTGTCGTCTATACGAACACATTTGTTCATACGTCTAATCTCTGGTCCTCACATACTATATTACATTTAATGGAATCTCCTCGTTCTATCCAGCTTATTCCCGTATTTCTTCACCGGTTGACCCTGGGAACCCGAGGCATGTCACCCTTTTCACCCTTTCATCCTTTCATCGGGTCCCGCTTCCCCGCGTTCGGGCTCACCGGGGGAAAGACACCGCGAAGACCGAACTGCTACTTCCCCCCAACATGTCTCCCCCACAAATCCCATCAATCCCCACCACCATGTTCGGAACCAATTGTAAACCCTAGGTCTTTCGATCAGCTTCTTCGTTCCTGCTCGAGACCCTCGACTGCTTGGCAGACTGTCGGAGTTTCCGCCGAGTCACCCAAGCTAGCCAGACGCGTACCAAATTGCCTATAAAGGAGGCCAAAGCGTGAGAAGAAGAAGAAAAAAAAAAGAGAAAACGAAAAAAAAGGATCGAGAGCCTCAACCTTAACCAAAATCGAAGAATCTCCCAGTGCTGAGCTCCACGCGATGGCCAAATCCGCAGATGAGCAGATCGAGCATCGCGAGAGCGAACAAAAGGGTCTCAACATTGAACAAGATGCTCTCTACCAGGCCTATGCCTCCAAAAGTCCGGAATGGCATCACAAGATGACTCGTACCTTGTTACGCAAGGTCGACATGCACCTTCTACCCTTCCTGATTCTGATGTATCTCCTTAACTTCCTGGATCGCAAGTAAGGAACACTCGATCGAAAAATTTCTCATTCATGTCGACATTGCTGATACCTCGCTGCAGTAACTTGTCCCAAGCCCGTCTGGGCTCCCTTGAGGAAGATCTTGGGATGGAAGGCACTGACTTTAATCTGGCTACGAGCATTTTGTTTGTTGGGTATTTACTCATGCAATTGCCATCCAACTTGCTCCTTACTCGCATTCGCCCCTCGCGATTTCTCGGGGCGGCCATGGCCATTTGGTACTTTCATTTTATCAAATAAACCTATTCAGAGCTTATACTGACCTACGTCTTACCTAGGGGTGTCATATCCGCATGCCAGGCGGCCTGTCAGTCTTTCACCGGACTGGTTGTTTCGAGATTTTTCCTAGGTTTTGTCGAAGCCCCCTTCTTCCCAGGTGCAGTTATGTTGATGTATGTAGGCTCTCCTTTCACTGAATTGTATATCTCTCCTACTGACATCGCCAAGGTCGAGTTGGTACACAAGACAAGAGGTAAGGAACTCTTTATTTTCCCTGCGCGGATTGTACCTCATTCTAACATACCTCAGCTGAGCCACCGCATTGCTTGGTTCTATGCCGGTAGCTCATTGGCCAATGCCTTTGGTGGTTTGATTGGGGCAGGTGTCCTTGGAAACTTGGATGGTAGCCACGGAATCACCGGATGGAGATGGCTCTTTATCATAGAGGGATCGATTACCGTGGGGGTATCTATTCTCGCCGGGTATGTTCCAGTCAACTGTGGTCAAACTAGTCGCATTCTAACTATTTCAGCATCTTTCTTCCCAACTACCCTGCGACAACCTCTTGGCTAGATGAGCAGGAGCAAGCATATGCCCAATGGCGTCTTATCGATGATGCTGGAGAGGCTGATGATGCGAAATCGGCCAGTATCAAGGAAGCACTAGCCCTTGTGTTTGCCGACAAACGCATTTATCTCTTTATCCTTCTTCAGCACATCTCCCTTCTATCGCAAAATTTCCAATACTTCTTCCCCACCATTGTGCAGACCTTGGGGTACAATAACATCGAAACCCTCTTGATCACTGCACCGGTGTGGATCGCTACATTCCTTGTATCCCTATTAGCCACCTGGTCTTCTGGTCGCACAGACGATCGCAGTCTGCACATCATTGGCCTGATGCTCATTAGTGTTGTGGGCGGCATTATCTGCACTGTGACAACTAATACCGGAGCCAAGTTTTTTGCCATGTTCCTGTACGTCCCATGTCGGCAATCATTTAGATACCGACCGCTAATGCTAATGTTTTATTTCCAGGATGCCAATGGGCGCAGTGTCAGCATACCAGATTATTCTTGCCTGGGTAGCCAACTCATTCCCTCGGCCATTGGTGAAACGATCTGCTGCAATTGCGTTAGCCAACATGATCGGTAACACAGCTTCGATCTACGGCAGCTATATGTGGCCATCCTCTTCTGGTCCACGATACATCCCCGGCGGCAGCGCTACCGCAGCGGTTGCTTTGTTGGTTGCGATCGTAGCATTTGTGATCCGCATGGTTCATGCGAAAATGAATCGACGGTTGGAAGAGGCTGAGAGCTCCGAGGATCTTCCCTCGGATTCAAACAATTCTGAGGCTCGTGCGGTCGGATTCCGTTATATTCTATAAAATCTCCACGTTTACGAATTTATTGATGCCTGGGTTGTCCTGTACTTGGAGTTTTCAAGGTCCCAAGACGAGAGCTATATACATACTCATCTGATCGAGCAAGCGCTATCATTACTTAATTATTCCCAATTCAACCGCCGACTTTAGATATTACTTCAATTTGAACTTTCTTCCATTACTTAACTGAGATGACCCCACTCCCCAGGTTCAATTTTACTAGTATCCATTGATCCGATCACAAAAACGAACAACACTATGATCAAGCATCCCAACTATTGGCCCCCTCTTGTGGACTGGGTATGTGCGACCTCTCCGAAGTTCCCCTCGTCAAAGTCCCCTAGCATCAGTTCTATCGCCTGTCCAAATATCATCTTTGTAGAGCAAGGCGTGATCCTCGTCGAGCATTTCATCAGATCTCCCTCGGTCAAGGTTCCGCCATAATAGCCCAATCAGAGCGTTGAAGTCAGCACCCTCGGAGTTGTTCCCCACCACAACACGCTCCTTATGGTTCCTCGCTCCGACTCAACACCAGACCTCATCTGATGCCTACGTATTTTCAAGCCATAACATAACATAACATCCCTTCTTTTTGTACTCAACTTCAGAGTGAGGTATACATACACAGGTGAACGGGGCTAGAAACTTCGCTGCGATCGTGTGGGAAACTCCGAGGCTTTGCGGGGACTTGGATTAAAGACCACTTTCTTTTCGGATCAAGTATATTTATATTTCCTGAAGAATCTTCGTGGCCAGTGCTGACTAGCATCCAGAGCCCTGGAGCTACAGTTCAACACTTCCTTTAAGAAGATTCGACTACTACTCGATCAGTCGGATCACCGCAATCCACTCAAGGCGAACCCTCGCTTGAAAGCCGTACAGTGAAACCAAGTCCGGTCTCTAAAAAGGTCGAATACTGAGACCTAGGGGATCAATCTGCTTCTACTATGGTATGAACAGTATCTCTTAAATCGATTTCGGTCCTTTCTTCTTTAACAAAAGCAGACAGGGAACACAACAGACGCCTCGGTGTCTTCATTCACTTCAATCCCCGTTCTGGACTATACTCAAGCATTAACCCCAACGACCAAGCCAAAATTCCTGGCGCAGTTGCGCGACGCGCTCATCAATGTGGGATTTTTGTATCTCGAAAATCCACCGGTCTCTGTCGCTGCTCAAGAAGCTTTGACTCAAAAAGGATTCGAATTATTCCGCCAGCCCCTTGAACAGAAGCTGGAGATTGAGATGGTCAACAGTCCTCACTTCCTTGGATATTCCAGGCTTGGGGCCGAGATTACATCTTTGAAGTCTGACCATCGTGAACAATTCGATGTAAGTTTGTCTCTTAGTCCATGAATCCATTCTCATTTGTCATTGCGCTTACACTGCATCAGTTTGCGACCGAGTTACCAGCGCCTGGTCCCGATGAGCCGTTGTACAGAAACATCTGCGGACCTAACCAGGTACTTGTATTCCATAGTCTCCTCTCTATCGATAAACAGACTAACTTTGTGACCCTTTCATATGCAGTGGCCAGACGAAACTGCAATTCCCGGGTTCCGTCAGGCGACAGAAGAATATCTATCGGAGGTTGATGCGTTATCGGCCTCTTTCACGGCTCTCATTGCCGAGTCATTAGATCTTCCTCCTACGGCGATGGATGGAGTCTTTGATGATCCGCAACAGCACAAACTGAAATTAATCAAGTATCCACCACCACCATCCGACCAGGCTAGCAACGGAGCTGGCTTTCAAGGTGTCGGTGCTCACAAAGACTCTGGATTTCTCACATTCCTCCTCCAAGCAACGCTGCACCGTGGTCTCGAGGTACAAAACAAAGCTGGGGAATGGGTATCAGCTCCTCCACTCCCAAATACATTTGTGGTCAACATCGGTCGCGCTCTCGAGGCTCTGACGGGTGGGGTTTGTACAGCGACTACGCATCGCGTAAGCTTGCGACAAGAACACTTCATTGATGCTGATGGAAAGCCCCTGGGGCCGCGATACTCATTCCCGGTCTTTCAAGGGGTGAGTATGGATCTCTCGGCCGAAAATATTACTCTAGTTGTACCAGATCATATCCGAGACTTGGTGAAGGATGACAAGGTGAAGTCGGATGCGGAGGCAACCTTTAACAAGATGTTCAAAACTAGCATTGGAGAGGGTACCCTCGTCGCGCGGGTGACAAGCCATCAGGACGTGGGTCAACGATGGTATCCGGATATCTTGGCCAAGGCACTTCAGGGCCAGAGGGATTTTGTTTCCAAGCAGTAATAAAACGGCAATTCGCTCAACAAAAGAGCCCAACTGAAAAAAGTGTCCGGCCTTAAAACCGTAAGCAATCAATGATCGGCGCATGTAGGATCGAATAGTTGCAATGCGTGCGCAGTAGTGCGGGGACATGCAACGCGCCGCAACATCACAGGGGCTTGACCGTTATGTACATTTAGCAGTCTCCTCTTTCCCCAATTTTCAAGTTCTCTTTTTGTTTTCTTCGTGTAGGTTCTTTCTATTACAAACATGCGGTCGGCCAGATTATTCTTCTGGTGCTGCGCAGCATCGGCTGTCGCGCAGTCGACCGGCGGGCTGTACAGTCTCGTTGAGCGACGACTACCAGAACATGTCGACCAGTTCCAGTTCTCTATTAACTCCAATCTCACGGATAACGGTGGATATGATCAGTTTACTGTGAAAACTGCGCATAATGGGACGGTTCTTGTGGAAGGAAGCTCGATCAGCGCACTATCATCGGGGTAAGTAATCATAACATCCTTTCTACTCAGGCCAGTAATGCCAATGACATCAATACTAGTCTTCGTCGCTATTTGACTGATGTTGTTAACGTTGACATATATTGGTTCATCGGGAGTCGGCTTCATCTGGCGCCCTCTGAGCTCCCCCGTTTGGATGTCCCATTGGAAGGTGCCAGCACTGTTCCCTGGCGATATCATTTTAATACCGGTAACTTACTCCTCCGCCAATCCGAAATAATCTTATTACTTACGTGGTCAAGTCACATTCTCCTATACAACTGCTTTCTGGAATTGGGAGGAATGGGAGGTCCAATTGGATTGGATGGCTTTGCGTGGAGTCAACCTACCTCTCGCTTGGGTCGGTCAAGAGAAGATCCTAGTAGATGTTTTCCAGGAAATTGGCCTCACCGATGAAGAAATCGCATCTTTTTTGAGTGGTCCGGCATTTCAGGCTTGGAACCGATTCGGTAATATTCAGGGCTTTTGGCATGGTGACCTCCCCCGGTCATGGATCGACCAACAGTTCGAACTACAAAAAAAAATTGTGCGCCGGATGGTAGAACTTGGCATGACACCTGTTTTGCCTTCGTTTACTGGATTTGTCCCTGCAAATACGAGCCGCGTTTTTCCCGACGCAGATATCATCCACGGGTCGCAATGGGGTGGCTTTCCTGTTCAATACACGAATGATTCATTCTTGCAGCCCTTTGACGACCATTTCGCCGAGCTGCAGCATAGCTTCATCAGCAAGCAAGCTTCTGCATATGGCAACATTACCCATATTTATACTCTTGATCAGTACAACGAAAACACCCCTCCGTCAGGTGATTTGGACCTCCTCCGGAACATCTCCCGTGGCACAATGAAGAGCCTCAAAGAAGCTGACCCCGATGCGATTTGGTTGATGCAAGGGTGGCTATTCTATGCTCTTTCCTCCTTTTGGACCAATGATCGAGTTGAAGCTTATCTTGGAGGTGTTGAAAATGATGAGGACATGATCATCTTAGACTTGTACTCAGAGTCGATTCCCGAATGGCGTCGAACCAAATCTTATTTCGGCAAGCCGTGGATTTGGTGCCAACTTCACGATTTTGGGGGAAACATGGGTTTGTATGGACAGATTCTGAACGTCACCCAGAACGCGACTCAAGCACGGCTCGAATCTCCGTCAATGGTAGGCTATGGGCTGAGCCCCGAGGGTCAAGAAGGTAACGAAATCATGTACGACCTACTGTTGGATCAAGCCTGGTCCTCAAAGGCCATTGACACGCAGCTATACTTCCACGATTGGGTTTCAAGCCGTTATGCCGGATCTGGATCTGTTCCTCGCGGACTGTACGAAGGGTGGGACCTGATGCGATCGACGGTGTACAACAATACCAATCTCACCAACATAGCCGTCATTCAGCCAATAGTGGAAGCGCAGCCAGGTATTAACGGTGTCCTTGGAAGAACTGGAACCCATCCTAGGGCCCTTACATATGACCCCGCAGTCCTTGTCAGGGCGTGGCAGTCATTATACCAAGCTGCTCATGCGGAACCAGCGCTGTGGCACAATACAGCTTATCAACATGACATGGTTGATGTAACTCGCCAAGTCCTGGACAACGCTTTCATCCCGCTGTATACGGATCTAGTCACGACGTACAATGGATCCAATGCGTCTTCAGATACTTTGTCGGAAAAGGGACAGACAATGCTCCGTCTTCTAGGTGATCTGGACGACGTCCTTCTCACCAACGAAAATTTCCGACTCTCGAAATGGATAAACTCTGCACGATCTTGGGCTCAAGGTGACAAGGAGCAGGCCGCCTTCTATGAGTATAATGCGCGCAATCAGATTACACTATGGGGACCAAATGGCGAGATCACCGACTACGCCTCAAAGGGATGGGCCGGTCTGGTCTCCACGTATTATGTTCCTCGTTGGCAAATATTCATCGACTATCTTAAATCCACCCCGACAGCCTCATATAACTCGACGGCATTTGTCGAGAAGTTGAGAGCCTTTGAGCAGGGGTGGCAGGAAGAAACTTGGACGGCCCCTGAGCCCACTGGGGGTGAGGTGGACCTGCGAAAGGTGCTGACTCGCGTCAACAGTCGGTGGCCATCGGTATTTGGGACCAAGTACGGAGTAGTCTAGTAATCATTAGCGAAGACTGGCTGGTGGGGTGTCTTACGCTAGTCCACAGTAAATAGAGATCGATTGGCAGTATATTTGTCATAATAGGCCCCCAAAACCGTCACTCGTCATTAATGGTCCCTCCTTCTTTCATCTTTACTAGTAGAATACCATCTACTCGATCAATCGCATTCGCCACCAAATTTTAGTGCCAAACAGCAAGTCCAGCCAGCAGCTTTCCCCACACGCGATCTGCGGAGACCGTTGCGACGCGCTTATCGTTGCTTAGAAATGCAACATCCGCCCCTCCCCGAAGCCTCCTCGATAACAAGTTGAAAGGGGGGGGTTTTTTGTGTTTATTTCTCTTCTCCTTCCTGGTCTTGAAATTTTTATGGCAATAGAAATGCAATATGGCAGATACAGAAACACCCCCGTCGGAGCAAACGCCGCTCATCACATCCTCGAGCCATGACGCTGATCGTGGCTCGGAATCGGGTGTCAGTTTTTGGAGAGGGTTGAGCATCATTGTTCTAATGGGTCTCCTCATTTTTATCCAGGGTGTGTTCTTGGATCTTGATTTCTCTACGGTTAGATATTGACAATTGGACTCGGTAGCTACCAACATGTCAATGATGACTACCGCACAGTCCGAGATTGCGGCAGACTTGGATGCCTTTGCAGAAGTGACCTGGTTCACTTCGGCGTATATGGTATGCTTCGATATATATAAAGAGGAACTTGAACTCCATTCATTCGGCGAGGTTTAACCTTCCGTAGATTGCTGCATCCAGTGTGACTCCATTGACCGGGCGACTTTCGGAGATTTTCACACCGCGCCTCTACGTGATTTTCTCAAGTATACTTCTCTCAGCTGGTCTTTTTATTACTGCTGCAGCACCCTCGCTATCCATCTTTCTTCTTGGGAGAGTTGTCTCCGGTTGTGGCAGCGCCGGGTTAATGAGCACATCTATCATTCTAGCCCTAGACCTTTCTAGTTCGAAGCGGCGTGGATTGTGTATTGGGCTCATCAATTGTGGCTTCACCACGGGTGTTGCTACAGGCGCCGTTCTAGCGGGCCTGCTAACACCAACCTTAGGATGGGTATGTACTGCTCAATTCGATCAAGGAAATTCTCGGTTCTCCTAACTCAATTTTCTTTCCAGAGACTCATCTTTTGGGTCCAAGCCCCAGCCGCATTGATCCTAGGGCCTCTGCTTTTCTTCGCCATTCCTGCCGGAGATGATAACCCATTGGAGGTTCGGACATTGCTATATAAACTTGCTAGAGTCGACTATGCAGGTGCTCTTACATTAGTACGTTCCACAAAGTCCAACTGCAGTGTTTGGAAGAATATACTGAGTTTCTTTAGACCCTGTCGGTAGTTTCGCTGCTCTTCAGTCTCGCATCGCCGGAGATTCTGCTCTGGCCGATCCCATTGGCATTTATTTTCTTCGCCATCTTCATTTGGGTTGAGACTCGGGCTCGAGAACCCGTCATCCCCATCAGACTGTTGCAAAATCGCGGTGTTTTGTTGACATGTATTGCTGGTCTCGGTCTGATGATGGCGCGTTGGGCGGTACTCTTCTACACACCGACGTATGCCATGGCAGTCCGAGGCTGGTCCCCTGCATCTGCTGGGCTTATTCTGGTCCCCACAAATGCCGGCTTTGGGACGGGTGGATTGTTGGTAGGATGGTTGCACATCCGTAAAGCTGGGAGTTATTATATGTAAGGAACTTGCCTCTTCTGGTATTTTTCATCTCTCACACATCTCTTCCAGGTCCTGTTTGGTCATTTTTGTGCTTTTTACCTTGGCCACTGCGGCGCTATCGGTTCTCTCGACACCAGAATCACATACAGCTGTGTATGTGATCACGACCTTCTTCAATGGACTCTGTGCCGGGGCTTTAATGACCTATACCTTGTCACATGTGCTCTATCTCACCGGCAGTGAGTTACACTATATTGTAAGCGCCTTGATCGCCATGTCGCGAGGGTTTGCCGCGAGTTTTGGATCGGCCATTGGAGGTGGGTTTTTCACACGGATCCTCAAGTCATCGTTGGAGACAGGATTCGCCGATCGTGGACTGCCACCTCGGCCGGAACTCGTGCGTACACTTCTTGGGAGTCCGGCCACCGTCACTCGTCTGGTGGGTGTGGATCGATTTGTTGCTATCGAGAGCTATGAACATGCAATCCGAATGCTCTTCCTCGCAGGGAGCTTTATCGCCTTGGTGGCCACCGCATTTCAGGCGGGTACTGGATGGACTCCCGAATGGGAACAGCCACAGTCAGATGAGGTGGATGAATAGGGGGGTATATGCCTAGGTATAGAATAGCCTTCTGTAAATAATGTTGATTTATGGAAGTTGTTGTGACAAGATCTGTCAAGTAGTCAAGTAGTCAAGTAGTCAAGTAGTCAAGTAACTAACTTCACGATGTGAAAAATGCTTACTAATATGAGTGATATTGGTGCCTGACTTTCCAGGCAGGAAATTTGTCTTCCGCGGCGCTTCAAGTCGTCCCCAGGTCAACTTCAACTTCAACTTCAATTTCTACCATCCCTTTGTTTCACAACCGTACTCGACTTCCGCATATCTTCCATATATCTTCAAAATGCCGCGAGCCGTTCGAGGTAAATTCCCCAGCTTCTTGATTCTTCTGGTTTGTGCGCTCATTCGATTCGACTAGGTCTGCTCATCGAATGCGATCCGTCGATCAAGTCCATGATCCTCAAGTACGATGAGGAGCGACACGACTATATTGTGGAAGATTTGGATGATGAGAATCACTTGGTGATCAAGGAGAGCCAGCTTCAGAACCTCAAAGTTCGACTAGATCAGGTATGCCACCCTCTCACTCCTCCGGTTTCTCCAAAGGGAGAGGGCCTTGCACAGCCTACGGATGTACTAACTCCTCGGCAGGATCTGGATGAAAAGATCATGCAACTGGACGAATCCGAGTCTGAGTAATATCTACCCCGTGCGATCAACCGGACCTCTCTACCTCCCGACACCGATGCGCTGAACACCCAACACCAACTCGTCTGGACCCCCGCCTTCGATCGTCCAAAGAGGCACTCGATACGCCCGAAAACCGGGCGACTTTCAATGCTCCCGATATCTTTGGCCATCCTCATCCTCATCCCCATGGTATGACCAGTGCATTGATGGCTCGAGCTGGGCTACACAGTGCGCAACAAGCACATAGCCGCTCATTACACAAGGCGAACCGGATAGTCAGGACAGGACTGGCAGGTGGCAAATACAAAGGTTGATTTGGGACTGACTAGGATTGTCGATGCCATTGTTGCCCCATTTCTATGTGTAGCGTCTGGTCATAAGTTGGACCTTTGACCTTGACATTTCTCAAGATAACCCATGACCCGGTCGCTTAGCTACTTGTGCGGGTATTACTCCTAGTATCAATAGTAACTATATAGAGTATAATCTATAGGTGATAATTCATGTAAACATGATGGCCATACTACCCATCCCCATACATCCCATACATGATTGTTCTCCTGTCAACCCCAGATTATATCACGTGATATGGAATCGTGGAGAAGGATCGACGGGCATCCAGCAACATCCAGTAGCATTCAGCAGTCACTCGCACCTTCTGGAAGCATCACGCAACAACAGGCAACTGCCAGTCACTGCCAGTACCTCACTCGCACCTTCCATCATGGGGTGAACTTCCTCGAGGCAGCTGCCTCTGCGCAGTTATAAATATGACTTCCCTTTCCACTTCTCTCAGCTCTCAACTCTCAACCATCCACTGCTCTACACAGCTCTTTCTCAAAACCTATCTTCAATTTAATCCAAATCAGCCCAATCACCTCAATCATGTCTCTCTTCCGCACCAGCTTCACCCCTCAGGGTGACTTCGGTTCCCTCTTCCGACTACTGGACGACTATGATTCCCACCGCTCGACCCGCCAGCAGGATCAGTCCTCACTGCGCTCCTTCTCGCCCCGCTTTGATGTTCGTGAGAGCGGAGACGCCTATCACCTGGATGGTGAGCTGCCTGGAATCGCCCAGAAGGATATCGACATAGAGTTCTCCGACCCTCAGACTCTAGTCGTGAAGGGTCGCACCGAGCGTGAATACCACACCGAACCCAAGGCCGAAGGCGAAGATGAGGAATCTGCTCCCAACCACCGTTTTTGGGCTTCAGAGCGCTCGATCGGCGAATTCCAGCGCACTTTCAACTTCCCCGGCCGCATCAACCAGGACGCCGTCAAGGCCAACCTGAAGAACGGAATTCTCTCCATCCTGATTCCCAAGGCCACTGCTGCCGCGGCCAAGAAGATCACCATCGAGTAGATGAGTTCGATCTCGTTCGTGTCGCTGAAGACCGGGCATCCTTCCGGGCATCCTTGCCCTCGGTCAAATAATACCAAATGCGCAAAATGAACGAGTCATGACCTGATGTTTTCACTGCTTGCCTTGTCCAAGGTGCCTTGCTTTTCTCTGCTGTTTCATATATTTATCCCTATTCATATCCATAGTCTTATCATGTAATACTTCAATCAATTTACCAGTTACTTTCTCCAGTCCTAGATCCAGTACTCCAAGTAAATACCCCAAGTAAATACTCGTAGGAAGTGAAATGTGGGGCTTATCGCTGCTTATCCGGACCGAGGCATGTGCGTTTTGATTAGAAGTGCTGCTGCCCAGGGTGGTCCGAGATCATGCCGAATCTCCTCTCTTTTGTCCTTGTCTTGCCCTTGTCTTGCCCTTGAACCAATTCTTCAATCCTTTCACTTCGAACACTTCGAACACTTCGTCTATTCCTCATCTCAAAGTTCGCAGCTTGTTCCCCCTACTCCCCTCCACACCCTCCATCATGTCGCAAGACTACTCCTTCAAGCACTTCGCCGTGCAGTTCCCAGCCGATCATCCCTATGTTGCACACGTCGAGATCAATCGCCCGGACAAGATGAATGCCTTCTTCGAAGCGTGGGTCTCTCTTACCAATTCAAATATCGCTCGGCCCCGCGTCACTAACTCCTCTATCCTGCTAGCATGTGGCTCGAAATGAAACAAGTCTTCGAGAAGCTGTCCGAGGACAGCAATGTCCGCGCAATCGTTCTCAGCGGCGCTGGCAAGGCTTTCACGGCCGGCCTAGATGTCAAAGCTGCATCAAGCGGCCCTCTCTTCTCAGAGAACAAGCTCGACCCCGCACGCGCAGCAACTCTCATGCGCCGCCACATCACCGAGTTCCAAGACTGCATCACAGCTGTCGAGCGCTGTGAGAAACCCGTCGTAGTCGCTATGCACGGCTTCGCGCTCGGTCTCGCTATCGATCTATCCACAGCTGCCGATGTGCGTATCTGCTCTCGAGACGTCAAGTTCGCCGTGAAGGAAGTCGATATTGGTCTAGCAGCAGACATCGGTACTCTCAGCCGACTACCCAAGGTAGTGAGCAACTTTGGATGGGTGAAGGAGGTTGCACTCTCAGCCCGGGTATTCGGCGCCGAGGAAGCTCTTCGTGTTGGCTTCGTGAACTCGGTCCACGAGGACCGTCAGGCGACTATCGCAGCAGGTCTCAAGCTCGCTGGTTTGATTGCGAGCAAGAGTCCCGTCGCAGTACAAGGCACCAAAGAGATCTTGAACTGGTCGCGCGACCATTCTGTTCAGGATGGTCTGCGCTACACAAGCGTGTGGAATGGCGCCGCTCTCCAGACAAAGGATGTCACCGCGGCCCTTTTATCCGGATTGCAGAAGCGTACGCCTACATTTGAGAAACTGTAAGCGTGCAGCTGACCCGTCTGATGTTTTTGTGTTTGTTTCCGGGATTCGGGGCTATCTCCACGGAGGATTGACCCGACCCACCCCCTTGTATATAAAATGCAAACAGCGGAGTATATATTACACCAAATAGTATTTTGATTTGAATCCTTGCCCATATTCTTACCTTGCTTTCTATCTGATTCACAAGACCACTTCGCCAGACCGTTTGTCTCGGGCTCATTCCGCATGGATGGGGTCAAGCCAGGAACAAGCCCCGAAACTGAGTGTGTTTCGGCAGTTTCAAGTTCCAGGATGACATTCTCCCGACAGAAGTACCTTGACATGACCCCAGTGCCGACCTCCACCCCTCAGGAAGAAATCTGCAGATTACTTGCAGGGTGAGGATGCAGGTTCCATGAATCAAAAGCACTGGGCGATCGTCCGGTCTCCGCGCCGGCGTTGGTTTCGCCGTCTGTAGGCTGGATCATCGTCTCCGTAGGACCGAGCAGGACCGAGCGCATGCGGACGACATCCGTGAAGAGCTTGGCTTGGGGCTTTTTCCCACGTATCCTGGTGCTTGGCTTAATTTATGCCGGAACGGTCAATCAAGTGTTGGGTGGATGTACGGTGAGGGCTACAAGGACCGTGGATGAGTATAGTTTTAGTACTAGTAGTTGGTAAATAGCTATATAAGCATAGTGGATGCATGCCTGTCACAGGATTCCTCTCAACTATCTGATTAGATTCATTCGGCTTCACTTTCAAATATCCTTCACTATGAAGTCTGCTCTGCTCCTCTCAGCCATCATTCCCAGTGCGCTGGGAACCACGATCTACCTCGCTGGTGACTCGACTATGGCAACAGGTGGAACCGGATCTGGCACTGCAGGTATGCTCTCTCTCTTGTGATGGCATCCATGGATATCTCATTTCTGCTACTCATGCTGATACTTCTTGAAATGAACAGGATGGGGTCAATATGTCTCCCCCTACACAACAGTCACCGTATCCAACCAAGCTGTCGCTGGCCGCAGTGCCCGATCCTATACTCGAGAGGGCAGATTCGACACCATTGCAAGCCAAGTCCAATCAGGAGATTGGGTGATTATCGAATTCGGCCACAACGACGGCGGCTCTCTCTCCACAACCGACAACGGCCGCACTGACTGCTCTGGCACCGGCGACGAAACCTGCAGCACTACCTACGACGGCGTCGCCGAAACCGTCCTGACCTTCCCCAAATACCTGGAGAACGCAGCAGCCAAGTTCAAAGCCAAGGGTGCTAACGTGCTCATCTCGAGTCAGACCCCCAACAACCCGTGGGAGACGGGCACTTTCACCTACACCCCCTCGCGATTTGTGGCGTATGCCAAATTGGCCGCCGAAGCAGCAGGTGCATCATATGTGGACCACGGAGCGTATGTGGCCGATATCTTTGAGTCTCTGGGCCTTAGCACCGTCGACTCGTACTTCCCTCTCGACCACACTCACACAAGTGCCACGGGGGCACAGGTCGTTGCTGAGGCATTCTTCAAAGCGGTGGTTTGCGGAAACGTTAGTCTCAAGAGCCTTTTGAACACCTCGAGTTTCCCGGGCGACTGTCTGTAAAGGGGATACAATGCAAAGAATGTGTGTAGTAATAACAAGTAAGGAGAATGAAATCCATTCAGATGCAAGTTTCATAAAGTATCATCATATATGTCCATAAGCTACAAGACAAGAATAACCAAGGGTATCATTCGCGGGAAACAGGCTGCAACATCGACAAGCCTGTTCAAACTCAGCGCAATTCCTCGAGGATGGATCGGACGATGCCTCGTTTCTCAACGCGTTGATAATATTGGTGCAGATTCGGGAATCGGTTCTCAAAGGGACCCTGGGCCTGACAGATCTCTCGTAAAACTGGCCATAACGAGCAATCATCAATGCCAAACGTTGAGCCTCCGAGGTAAGGTTGTCCATTGAGGGCGCGATCAAACATACTGAGCCCGAAATCAAAGACGGTCCCCGTGTTGCTCTGGCGGTGTTTACGCCAGCAAGAAAATATTTCTTCTATCCATGGAACGTGATTGCCGCCTCGAAGGATCTCGATACCAGGGCGGACAGATTCAGCGGGCCGCTCGGCGAGACATTTCAAGATATTCAAATCGCCAACAACAGTATTACCGTCGGAGTCCGTGAAGCTTGGCTGTTTGATGGAATTGCAGTCGTTTTCAGTAAGATCCACGACGAGGCTAGTGCTCGCCTCATATCGGATCCCGCTCTCCCCCAGACCCATACGCACCCTGAGATCGGCTACCGCATCGCCACCCAACACCAAACGTGACGTTGATGGAGTGACGAAGTTTACAACATCAAATCCGCTGCCATAGACTCCGCTCCAAATGAATTCCGTAGCGCGATTTTCTTGTCCAAAGGCATGAATCAATCTCTCCGTCTGCGCGGGATCACCATGAATCACCGTGCGCGCGGTTTCTCTCGATTTGCTCACGGCTCCCTGGCCCCAGATGAGGTTTGCTGCCGGGTCAACAAAAGTTCCAATGTGCCTGAATGTAATAGAGATGCGTTCGCCGCCGTATGCTTTCTCCTCGGGTGCTTTGGCGGCGTCTGGGCGCTTATCCGGTCGAATGCCATGCAGCCAACGCATGTTCGTTTTCTCGCCGAGAACGAAAAGTGATCGATGCGGGAGGGCGACACGTTGTGTCGCGCGAGCCACTTCATGGCCTTCTTTTTCCTTGGCCTCGCTTGCAGACGTTTTGGTGCGTAGAACCATAACACGCTGGGCGCCAAGACTCACATTGCAAATGTATGAGCCCCGAGCGATGTCGAGTGTCTTATCCGAGTGCTCAGAGATCGAGTCATTCCCGTTGCGGTAAAGTTGAATGAGAGCATGGTTTAAAGGATGGCCAAGGACTCGCTCGACTGCGATCCTTGCTTCGTCCACTGCGGGTGTGAATTGTTTCAAGGGCGGAGATTCATCGGCGGGGTGACGATAAATTGGCATCGAGCCATCTGGCTGAATGGCTCCTTGTACCGCCACTAAGCGAGGCACCTCGCCTGAAAGGTGGTACATCTTCTGCCAGGAGACTTCTCCGTGAATACGCTCAAAGAAATCGGCGGGTAGATCAAGGTCGGGAATGAGACGAGAATCACCTTCTCCAATGCTGTTGCTAGGTCTTCCATTTGCTGCCCCGGCATCAGGGGTTGGCTCACGACGTTTCGGGCGGCGCACTCGAGCGCGTACATGTTTCTTGCCCTCAACTCCTCCTGGACGAGGCTGAGAACCCCCTGTTGTCATCCGGTGGGATCGAGTGAGCGAGGCCAGCTCGGTCAGACTGCGCATGTCGTCATCTGGAGTTTCTTCCGGGATAGTATCATCCGCCTGGACCCCTAAGCTATCCATGAAACCCTCAATGCCAGATGGCGCGGTCGCTCGATGTTTTGGTTGGGAACCACCTTTTGCGATGGCGTGAGTTTCCTGCCAATCTAGCTCCTGAATCAGCTCGCGAGCATCTAGGCCTGTTGCTCCAAGAATATCCGCCATGCGCCGCATGGCCTCTTGATGGCGTTGAAAGTCCCGGTAGCCGAGACAGTCTTCGATGAGCGTAACCGAGAAACCGTTGCGGACAGCATCGCAGGCGGTCGCATAGACGGATACGTTGGAGAGCGAGCCACAGAGATAAATCTCCGTGATAAAACGGGATCGGAATGAGAAGACGAGACCCTCCGACTCCAAGGCCGAGTAACCCGTCTTGTCCAACACGGTGTCTCGCTCTCGATCGAGGGCAGCTAGGATAGGGGCGGGGAATTGAAAGCCTGATGTCTGGGGGGAGCAAGCAGTGGCAGCTTGGCCCGAAAGAAAAGCTTCCGGATCGACAGGTTCGGGAGAGTCGCGGTCGGAGGAAGCTTCAATGATATCGGAAGTAGGTACCGGATCCCGCTTCGGAGGTTGCTTTTCCAAGACGATGCGGTCGCCAAAGTTCCAGTCGTCTAGACTCTGGGGAGAATCATACTGCGATCGTACCCAGATTACATCGCCGACGCGACGAAAGGCGGCGACCAGCTGGGGGAGGGACTCGAGGATATCGGTAGTGTTGGCGACGTGGAGGGCGCCGGCGGGGCGCACAAAATCATTTTGGAAGTCGAGCAGCAGCAAAGCCTTGCGGGTTTGGATCGTAGGCAGATCGCCGAAAGAGAAGAAGCTCATCGTATAGACATGGTAGGGCAATACGCCAGGCCAGAGAAGGAAGAGTAGAGGGGAAGCAATTCGGCGGGTACGAGGGAGGTTGTTTGGCGAGGGGAGCGGTTGGGGCGGAGACACCTGAGGCAGAGATGGTCGTAGTACTAGTTATTCGTACTACTCGTAACAGGCCGAGGGCACCTCAACCTCCCAGACTCTTTCAAGGAGGGGAAGCGACCGGGAATGGGGATGGGATGGACATGGCGATTGGGTGTGTTGCGGTGGGATGGAGAGTGTCCATCGTGCCGGGTCAGCTGCGCGGGTGCCATTGGCAGATTCCACAGGAGTGCAGCTGGTACATCTGGGCAGACGAGAGGAGGTCTAGAATAATATACTACTAGTAGTCGTATAATATATACAGTATAACTGCTGCTGACTAGTACTAGTATAACTGTCTACTGCTATTTTTACTAATCCCTAAACCCCTAAAGTGGGCTATAGCGATACTCTGCATGCTCCCCATACTCTGTGGAGTAGGTATACCAGTACTTTATTACTTAGTAGTATACAGCACACTTTAGGGTTTAGAGTTTAGTAAAAAAAAAAAAAAGTGGTAGTGGTAGTGGTAGTACTAGTGAGTAGTAAATATCCTCAAAAACACTATATCTACTGTTTATTACTATACCCTAAAACCCTAACGTGTGCTATGACTATATTCTGTAGTCGAGGTATATCGTAGTACTGCCCAGGTGGTGGTATATATATTACCTGTGGTCCCATCGCTCCTTCCTCACCCCAGTGTTTACTCTACTACTAGTACTAGTACTACATAGTACTACCAACTTTAGCCTCCTCTCCCTTTAGGGTTTTAGGGTACAGTAATAAATATAGTAGTAGTTAGTAGTATACTAGTACATCTATCCATCCATCTCCAGAATCTCCAGTATTCCTGACTCTGAGTCTCCCAAGGTTCAAGTCCCCATCTGCTCTGACCCACCCGGCGGTCTCCACCAATCACGGCCCATTGTGACTCACCGGCATCGGCCCGGGGAGCAACAGCAACACTCCGGTAATCACGTGCGATGACTCCTGCTTGCGGAGCTATGCTTGGGTCATGCTGGTTGCCCCAACTTTCTTTTAAATTCCATCCTCTCCTCCCATTCCTCCTCCTTCTTCCCCATCTCTTTTCTTCCCACCCTCTCCACTCCACCCAATTCCTTCACAATGGCTTCCCGTGTCATTCCCCGTGCCTTCCGCATGGCCCGCGTGGCCGCTCCTCGCTCCGTTGTCACCGCCGCCCTCCCCCGCCCGGCTCTGGCTTCGGTTGCCCGCCGTGCCCTCACCCCCATCACCCCCGTCCGTGGTGTCAAGACCATTGACTTCGCCGGTGTCAAGGAGGATGTCTACGAGCGTGGTGACTGGCCCGTCGAGAAGCTCCACGAGTACTTCAAGAACGACACTCTGGCCCTCATCGGTTACGGCTCCCAGGGTCACGGCCAGGGTCTGAACATGCGTGACCAGGGTCTCAACGTTATCGTCGGTGTCCGAAAGGATGGTACTTCCTGGAAGGAGGCCATCCAGGATGGCTGGGTCCCCGGCAAGAACCTGTTCGATGTCACCACCGCCATTGAGAAGGGTACCATCGTCATGAACCTGCTCTCCGATGCCGCTCAGTCCGAGACCTGGCCCACCATCAAGCCCCTGATCACCAAGGGCAAGACCCTCTACTTCTCCCACGGTTTCTCCCCCGTCTTCAAGGACCTCACCAAGGTCGATGTCCCCAAGGACGTTGATGTCATCCTCGTTGCCCCCAAGGGTTCCGGCCGTACCGTCCGCTCTCTCTTCCGTGAGGGCCGTGGTATCAACTCCTCCATTGCCGTCTTCCAGGACGTCACCGGCCAGGCCAAGGAGCGCGCCATCGCCATGGGTGTCGCTGTCGGTTCCGGCTACCTCTACGAGACCACCTTTGAGAAGGAGGTCTACTCCGACCTGTACGGTGAGCGTGGCTGCCTGATGGGCGGTATCCACGGTATGTTCCTCGCCCAGTACGAGGTTCTCCGTGAGCGTGGCCACAGCCCCTCCGAGGCCTTCAACGAGACCGTTGAGGAGGCCACCCAGTCTCTGTACCCCCTCATCGGTGGTCATGGTATGGACTGGATGTACGCTGCCTGCTCCACCACTGCCCGCCGTGGTGCTCTCGACTGGTCCCCCAAGTTCAAGGACACCCTGAAGCCCCTCTTCAACGAGCTCTACGACTCCGTCCGTGACGGTTCCGAGACCCAGCGCTCCCTCGACTACAACTCCCAGAAGGACTACCGCGAGAAGTACGAGAAGGAGCTCCAGGAGATCCGCGACCTGGAGATCTGGCGCGCCGGAAAGGCCGTCCGCTCCCTCCGCCCCGAGAACCAGAAATAAATAATATCGTGATACCATCTTGGGAAGGGCTTTGGAAAAAGTTTATGATGTACTATGAAACTGTTTTTGCGATCGGGTATACTACAATATCAACGGCCAATGAGCCGAATTTTCTATTATTTCAAACATCTTCCATTGTAGAGAAGCTTCTCGACTTGTAAAAAATTAGCTGAGATCGGACCTCCTCCGGAGAAGAGTCCGAGGGACCCCTCGGCTCGTCTCTTTTGACTGCTGGGCTGGTCTTTCTCTCCAACTTCCTTCCACCTCCACATCTCCATCATCGACATGACTACACCCGCTGAACGGGCACAATTGCTCACACCCGCCGCCGTCGAGGCCGCATACGGTCTGATCCAGCCATATGTGCACCGCACCCCATTGCTAACATGCAAGACTCTCGACTCCATCGCTTCAACCCCGCAATCCTCCGAATCCCTCGTCGGCACTCCATTTGAGGGTCAATCACCCGCCCGCCCAAAGTTCCGCCTTTTCTTTAAGTGCGAGAACCTACAGCGAATCGGTGCTTTCAAGGCTCGGGGTGCTTTCCATGCGCTTCTACGGTTGATTGAGGAACGCGGGGAGGAAGAAGTGAAACGGCGCGGGGTGGTTACCCACAGTTCTGGTATGGGGACCCCAACATGAGATGAAATGAAATGACCTCGGAAAGCGCCAGTACTAATCTGATGATATCTGCTACCAGGAAACCATGCACAAGCCCTCGCTCTCGCCGCCTCAACACTCCATGTCCCCGCCCACATCGTGATGCCGAGTATCAGTACTTCGTCCAAGATCGCCGGCACCCGCTCCTACGGAGCGGAAGTCATTTTCAGTGGCTCGACAAGCGTGGAGCGAGAAGCCGTCGTTGCAGAGGTACAAGCCAAGACAGGTGCCATTCTAGTCCCACCGTACGACGACTTCAATATCATCTGTGGACAGGGCACAACGGCGTTGGAGCTGGAAGCACAATATACGGAACAAGTCCGATCAGGGACTCTCGATGCCGTGATCACGCCTGTTGGCGGCGGCGGTCTTAACTCGGGCGTGGCCACCTTCTTCTCCAACAAGTCGACTCGTGTCTTTGGTGCGGAGCCTGCCTTTGAAGGCGCGGATGACTGTCGGCGTGGACTGCAGGCTGGAGAGCGTGTGTCCAAGGTTTCGACGCTGACGATTGCCGATGGTCTGCGGACGCCGGTTGGATTGCTCAATTGGGAGGTCATCTCCAATAAGCGTAAGGTGGAGGGTGTGTTCGCCGTCACGGAAGAGCAAATCAAGGCAACCATGCGCCTGGTGCTGGAGCGCATGAAGGTCGTGGTGGAGCCGAGTGCCGTCGTTGGTCTGGCGGTTTGTCTTTTCGATGAAGAATTCCGGAAGCGTGTCGAACAAGAGGGCGGCGAGAAGGGCTGGGACATTGCGGTCGTATTCAGCGGAGGTAATACAACTGTAGAAGCTATTTCCAAGTTGTTTGGCTAAATAGTCTTTACCGCACTTGCATATAGAGAAATGGCATACATTCGTAATCATCTATCAGGTCGGGGTATCGTGATTCCCACATCTTGTACATAAAAGGCAAAACTCCCACCATTGTACCAGTCTACCCCATCTGCCACTCGGCGAGGCCATTCCTCACGGTCCCAGGCGTTGATCCAGGCTGAGAACTTGCCTTGGTTGACGACATCCTGCCGCATTGATGCATCTCTCTCAGCATCATCGACGCTCGCAGCTGGAGGAAATGGACGAACTGCATCACGGTAAACAATTAGTCGTAAGATTGGGAAGTTTCCCCATGGTGCAGGGAGAGCGGGTTTGAGCGACGGAGTTCGTGATGACCCTCGATCGTAAGGGCCAGCAGGGCCCGAGTTGTTGTTAGGAGCGGGACGACCAGTCGTGACGGTCGTTGTGTATACAACCGCACACCCAAATCGGCTCTGCAATCGCTTCAATTCCTTGACCAGTTCCGTATACAGATCGGAGAGGTAGAAGCTTTGCTTCAGCTCGCGTTCCTCGTCAACTTGGACGCGAGGCCGGCCGATATCTTCCGTGCGAGCGATCTCGTCGCGCAGTTTGTCCTGCCAGAAAAATGCCGTTGCGCTGTCAATACAAAGCATCTGCAATGGGCGAGAAGCAGAATTGTGTCGTGAGAGATCGTATAGGTACGAGTCGAGGGAAAGGAGGGTGGCAAGTACCGCAGATGATGACTGTGGACGAAAGACATGAACATGCTGTAAAGAGGAGACTAGCATAGATTCCAAATTTTCATCAAAAGAACCCCCAGCATCCTCATTTAGAGCATCGGGGTCAAGAGTCTGCCGTGCTTGATGTACAATGCCACGAGCTACAACACGAAGCCGATCAGCATCGAAACGATCATCGGTGTCTATCCAGATTACAGCAGCCTCTTTCCCTCCAATAGGGAGGTTTTCGTATGATCGAGGGAGAATCATGGATGCGGCCAGATAGTATAGCAGCTGGGATTTGCCTGCCGCAGAGGCACTGCTTGATATCTCGACAACCGGACAGGGCTTCTTGCTGCGGTATAGGGAATTGGAGAAGAAAGCGTTGGAAGACTGACCCGTCTCAGGATCGAATGGAAGCATATCATTCTCCGGATCAACACTCTGAAATATCATCTCTTCATTATCAAGACGATTCTGTTCTCGTTGGGCGGGTGATTGCAGATGGCGCTGTGTGAGTTCACTTGGTCTCAAGGTCTTGAGCATGAAAACCTCGAGCAGAGCATCAAGTATAGGTACACCGAGTGGCCCAGATTCGGGGTTTTCATTGGATGAGCATATATTTGCCAGATCATGCAGAAGCTATAGTATTGTATTAGTCACATGAGGCGCCATTAACATCGCGTTGATCAACACACCTGATCCAATCCCTCAAGATGTACCTCGGCCAGTGAGGACGCGCCTAAGCTGGCAGCCATGACAGGCAGTGGATGTCATGAACATGGCCCTCAGCAGGTGAATGGAGTGGATGCAATGAATGAAATCTGGCCCTTGTAGGTTGTTCATTCAAGCAATGCAATGCAATGCAATGCACTTTGCGGAAGCGGCGAGTTGCGAGTTGCGAGTTGCAAGTTGCAAGTTGTCAGTGCGGGCCGGAGCTTTTGCGGCGGCACTTCTCGACTTCGCAACTTCGCAACTTCGCAACTCGCCACTCTCCACTCGAACACCTCCAATAGTACCTCTCCTCCCCCACCCTCCTTGAGCCGACTAGAACGACATGGCACCCCTCGTCCCCTGTTTCAATGCCGAAACCCTGCCCGACCATGTCAACACGATTCAGCGCAATTTCCAAGACAAGCGCCGCAAAGGCCCCGATGTGAACCTAAAGGAATGCCAACTTCTCGAAATGCTTCAGTACTCCTGCAATCCGCCGCAGGAGGAGATTCCCAAGCCGGGAGTAATAGTGTGCAAACCAGTTGTCCGGCTATTTCGACGGTGAGTTCGTTACGCAGAACATGGCATCCTACTCGAAACAGTGAACTGATTCATTGCGACAGCTGCGCTAGCGGATTGACAGTCGAGACTACATCCTGGGAACCTCTCAGGCAGGCAGACGAGGCGAGGAAACAGACGGGGACTACAATACCATGAAGCAAGATTGGTATATAGAATTATAATTGCACTGGGTGGAGTTCAGAGGGTCATTATTGGTTTAAATGGGATTATGTACGATAGAACATCTCAAATTCAATCACTGTCATGCAGATTGCCATGGGGTATCTCCTCAAGAACGACTCCGAAACGTGCAACCAAAACGCCGGCCCATAAAAAGGAGGAATGAAAAACCAACAGAAAGAAAGGTAACGCCGATAATAATCTTACAGGTCGCCTGACCACCCCCCCCATTAGCCCGCCGTACCCCCTATGAGCTCAGCACCGGCAGCCGATTTGAACGTCTTCGTATCTTCAGTGCTTCTTCCAGAAGTAGCTCGGCGCCACTGGTCCCTCTCGCAGTTCACGATCGGGCCCAGCTCCAGATTCCATGAGCCCTTGGACCGCACCTTCGCGTCGGCCTCGGCCGGTATACCCGAATCGATATCCATGGCCGAACCAATCGTTGAGTGGCCATGCGAGTCTTTAGGCAATTTCTTCGCCAACCCTTTAACCGTCCTCTCAAACATTGTCTCCATACTCTCGTGTCGGCGGCCCCAAAGCTTCTTATCCCGACTACTCGAGCTTGTCGGATTGTCGCGGAAGGCGGCACTCGCCAACTTTCGCAGAGCCTCCTCACCATGTCGTCCATCTTCAGCTGCTCGCTCGCGAATCTTTCTAGGATCGCTATCTCGCTCTGTGAAGACCGCTGTCGCGGAGTATGTGTGCTTGCTAGGGAAGTCGGGGAAATGACTCGGGACGTAAGATCGATTCGATTCACTCTCTTCTACTCTCAGGGCGTTTAAAAAGGGTAGTCTCCGGGAGACTTCGTCTTCGGGTGGTGGTGATGGGAGGAGTGTCGGGATGGTAGAGGTCGACAAAGGTGCTTGTATGTAGTCCCTCAATTCATCGTGGGAAAGGCGACCGCGCTTGAGAGCCAGTTCAAAGTCATGCGGAATGGGTTGAATACGGCGAGATGATAGCATCGATTGGCGAACAAATGATGAAAGACGCAAGAGATCTAGAAACCAGGCGGGAATCGAGGTTAGCTCGTCAAATCCTTCTTAACCCGGGCATAGCTGGAAACCATCACATACGCTCTTCAGCTGCGCTCCGTAAGCTTGACATCGCTGTTGGCTCTGCAAGATCAAATCCGACATCTTTGAGGAGCTGTCCGATCGAGCGACTCATGAGTTGATCCATGTTGCCGTCATCCTGCACGGCGGGCTCGGTTGCCAACGGGAGGGAAATGGGTTCTTGTAGGCGGTGGTGATGGTGATAATGTTGCTTTGGTCGCTTCACATCAGCCGCTTCCACAGAAGAGGAGCTGCGCTTCATTGGAAGGCCGGACGACGCCATGGCCGGATGATGTTGAAACCAAGTTGATGCGACGGAGCTTGTTGATGGGGGGGGATTCGATCACGTGATTGGGATATGACTGACACCTGAGGCGATGATCAGCTGATTCAGGTGGATGGTAGAGTAGGTATTAGTAGAGATAGAGAAGAAGGGAAGAGAAAAAGTGAAATGATATAATTTAATACAGCTTTACTTTAATTATCACTGGTCTCTACTCTACATAAGTGTAATACGTAAGTAGTATGTACTGTAGTATGAGATCGACCAATCCGGAGACTCGCTTATGTAGTCCGCCCGAAAGCTTCAACTTCCAACTTCAACTTGCCGCGCCTTCGCTCCCTCTTCTCTCCCCCTCCGCTTTCCACCCCCCAACCACCCCGAGGCAGGCTTCCTTCTGTCCACTTTCCGATCAAGTGTTACATCGCCCGTCGATTGATACCGTTCATCCGCTACAATGCCTGCCGCTATCCCCCCCCATCACCGGCGTACGTGCCCCTTCTCATTGCAGCCGAGTTGCCCCGATCGGGCAGGTCGGACGACCTCGAATGCCTCGGAATGAGTCACTAACATCTCCTTTGATCTTATAGATGCTCCGCCGCAACCTGGTCCTTGACCTGAGCACCGCTTTCGGTGAGTGAACCTACGCCCCCCCCCAAATCGAAACTCGAGTGGCATGATCCATGGAGCGGGATGTACCTGGGTTCTACTATATGCGACCGCACCGAAGCACAATATGAAGGACGACAAATACAGATACAAAAAGAACCGCATCACTAACCAGACGCTCTCGTTGACCAGGCTTCGGTACTACCTTCGGCTACCTCTGGTGGTACGGTAAGTGATTATGACCTCAACCCAACTTATCGCATGCCCACCACGACCTCTACTAACACTCTCCTCCCTTTCCTCGCAGGTTTCCACCTTCCCCGTGTTCGCGAGCGTGATACCTACTACACTCGCCTGGAGCAGGAGCGCGCCGAGGCCCGCGAATAAATCGCTCGCCGCTAGTCGCCTGACCTCACCTCGCCTCGATCATCTTCCATTCGCCTGTCGGCACATGTTCTCTATGTCAAGCAACTTCCGTTCTCCCAAAATAACAATAAAACATGTTCATTGATCAAATGCCGCTCTCGCTCTCGCTAGACCTTCGCCTGTCTTGGGGCAGGCTGCACCGATAGGTCAGGTTGGGTCGTGTCGTGTCGGGGCGTGGATGACTAGGCAATCGATTGTACATATACGCCTGCGAAGACTGTGTTTTAAGTACCGGTTATACAAGACCTTTTATAACTCTAACCCTGCCCTATTTCCATCTAATCTACGACATCTATATCCGTAGTCTTTCCCCCAAAAAGGAAATTGGAACGGATGGGAATGAAATGCGAAACCCCACAGTATCAATAACGATGCGGTTGGCGTTATCCCACATCCCTCCCGCAGCAGCCATTGATTCGTGATAATCTATCGAATTCAAACGCTAAATACGCCGGTATATGTACTCAAAACTCCCGCCCACCCGGAATGGATTTTGAATGCGGTCCGATGCGATGCGATGCGATCCTATCCTTTCCTGTGTCGAGCCGAGCCAAGCCGAGCCCGTAGATCATAATCATAATCTCGTTGCCCTCGTGCCCTCATTCCTCAGTCATGTTGTTGCTGTTCAAGAGAAGCCAGATGCGATCCAATCATTCACTGCTCAAGAGCAGAGAGTCCAGGTATCAGTTCTATTTTAGCACCCGTTCGAACGAGACACCACGGACGGACCCGCCGGCCATGGAAGATCGGACGTTGCGCTTGAAGCTATCGCGGTTTGAACGGAGGTCTTCGGCGGCTTCCTTGTTAAGAGGGTCGGAGGCATTTGGTTCCAGGAAAAGGAACTATCGAAGAAGGAGGTCAGCCTTGCTCGGTCATGGAAGCCCACCAGTGAGAGAGTGGAAAAGGGAGGAGTGATAATCGAAAGAAGCTGTAGACTAACCTGCATCCCAACAATAACCGCATTCAGATTCAACACTGGCTTCCAGTCCTCCCGCAAGATATTCAGGCAAACATTGCCCTCAAGGTCGATATTTGGGTGATAGATCTTCTGCGTGCACTTGACCTTGGGCGGGTCATGGGGGAAATTCTGGTTGACGGTGAAGTTGAAATGGAATATACCACCCTTGTACATTCCTCGTCCGGCTCGATGCTCAGGGTGAAGTTGAGGATGTCATCGGGGTTGGGAAAGGACATTTTCATTGTGTTGCCGAGGGTGAGTTCTTGAAGATCTGGTGCGAGAAGAAGAGTCATGGTTAGGAGCAAAATTTCAAGTAGCTTTCTCTACAAGACCGAGAGTTGGGAAATGATGCCCGATCAAGGGTGAGTTGGGATCGGAGAACTCACCTCGTTGCACTCGCAGTTGTGCGGCGGTGACCTTCTTCTTCTTCTTGCCAGCAGCACCTTCGGCATTTTCAGCCTGTTGCTGCTGTTGCTTCTATACATGGTATCAACATCAAGGATTCATCATGCGATCGGCAGTCTGGGAGCCTTACCATCGACCAGATCTTCAACATCTTGGCTCGAAATCACCACCCCACTTGGTGGCACTATTTGTATGCGAGAGGGAGGAGCGAGCGCGAGGGCTTAGAGGTAATCTAGGAGTATATTCGGAGATCGTAGACTCGGCAGCGTAGGTGGCCGGTTGCCTTGAGTGGTGTGGAAGTTTCAAGTGGAGGAGGGTTGCAGGGAGGCGAGGCTGAGAAAGAGACGAAGTCGAGTCCTGCGGGGGTCCCGATGGGTCGCGGCTGCGGTTATCGCCTGCCGCGATGGGACATGACGTACATACAGGACTACATTGGACTACTCCGTACATTGAACTACTCTTTGGTGTTCTTTGCTCTCTCTTCTTTCCAATTATATTCACATTTACACTCAGGAAATAATTGGGTAGACTCCAGATTTCAGATCTGACGAAATTCATTGCGCCCCGAATGCATCCCTTTGCATCGCTATCCGGACAAAGACGACATTCAGGTGAGGGTTCAACTCTGTGCCGCAAAAAAAAAGAAAACACTAATGACATGACAAAATGAGGTAAACGGAAAGGTTTGGGCATCTTTGGTTAGAATACAGATTGCAATAAACAGGATGTAGGAAAGAAATGAGGGAGAAGGGAAAGGAAGGAAACGGGATATGCCAAAAAACATTTCATGAAGAAAAGGAACAACGGATGCGCTTGATTCGACCGTGTTTAGCGACGGGCGAAGCAGCACTTGATACCCGTGCGACCCAGGAACCAACAGCATCCGATGAAACGGAAGAGGGCCATCACGGCGTTGGACCACAGGAGAGCCTGGAAGAAACGTGTAGAGCGCTCGGTGGCGGTATTCTAGAACATTATTAGTTGAAATTCATTCGAATTAGGGGGAAAGCGACAAGGGGAGAAAATACCGAGAAGCCAAACTTATCGACGGACTCGCTGGTAATGCAGACCGCCAACAAGGCGTTACTGAAGATCCAGAAGGTGACGAGACGAGTACGGAAACTCTTGTAGGAATCTTCGAGCGATTTCTCGTCGTGCTCAACGGGAGCAACGAAGGGGGTCAAGGCACGTTTGACAGTAGCCTCGAACTGGCTATCAATATCCGCCTGCGGTTTATCGATTTCCTCAATGACAGCTTCTTTACTGCCTTCGTCCTTGGTGACTGTGGCAGATGGCAGGGCGTCGGCCTTGTCAGATCCCTTGGTTCCCCAAGAAACATCGTGCCAGTTGCTGAACGCATAAACATTGAGAATGTTGATATACGAGGACTGGAGCACAATGTACTGCGGGAAGGAAGTGAACATGTGCCAGGGGTCGGCATAGAGGAACGAGGCGACGAAGTAAAGACCAAAGGTCGCAGCCAAGGCAATGATGATGATACCAGCACCAGAAGAACCAAAGAATGATTTGAGGAATGCACCAAGACCTTCATCAGTGGTGAAGTCCATCGGGGCACCACCACTGAAGGCGCGAACAACCAGATAGAGGGAGTCGACGACAATGTATAGTTGGACGATACCGAAGAAGACGAATGAGGCCATGTAGGAGAACTTGGAGCCCTTTGGCCTGTTTCCGAGAGCAAGGATGAACTGAAGCAGCAAGAATCCCAGGTAAATATACTTGATGATGGTGTTGATGATGGGGGTTGCGCTTTTGCCGAATGGGAAAGCAGAGTCCTTGTTGTTGGTACTCGGCGTGCCCACAAGATCCATGATAACAGAGGTAGTCAACCAGTAGGAGGCAAGAGAGAACCATGAGAGGAATGTCTGGAACAGGTTGTACAGCAGCTGGATGTGCAGGAAGAACATGCGGACGATGTTGTGACCACTCTTGTACATACGGCCGAAGTGCATCAGTGAGTAAATACCGGCGGCAAAGGAACCGTTCAACCAACGACGACGCTGCGAAATAAACTCGGCAGCACCCTCGGGCACGTCAGTTTCACCCTTGGAGGCTTTCACGTATGTCAGATGCCATTTCGAGCCGGCCTTGGCGACCAACTCGAAACACAAAATTCTGTCCTCGGCCAAAAACATGTTCTTCTTGAAGATATTCATACCCTCAATACCCTTCTTACCCAGCTGCTTCGATAGGGTGTGATCACCATGGAAATACTGTTCCAAAGGACGTCCCATAATAGCACGGAAGCGATAGGCGGAGAAGGCGCCGGGTAACACAGAGACATAACCAAAGGAACTCTCCAGTGGTTTATCCAAGATGTTACTGATCTTGTATTCGAAATTCTGGGCTGCGACCAGCGGGTTGATCAGGTTGCGCCAACCCTTACCCAGCATAGCGTGAATTTCACCACAGGAACCACCAAGATCCTTATCGTTATAGAAAGCTTCCCAGAGAGCAAGAAGTGATTTGGTGCCAGGCTTGGTTCCGGCATCGAGCAGGATACAGACTTCTGGGTTCAAGATCCGACCAAAGGCATTGAACAACCAACGGTGAGAGTTGATCTTCTTGCTATTCTTCTGCTTCAAGCAGAACATCATCTGCACAGGGGGCAGGGTGCTGGGGCCATCATCGGTTGGTCGAATCAGTTGCTGGGTTGGTGTCACGGAAAGCTGGGTGGTGTATTCGAACTGTTGTGTCTAGGTTAGCATCCAGCCGTGTCTTTTTCAGGTTATCCTTATTTCCAACATACAATGTGGGCCACGGTCTCCTTGCCATCAACATCACGCTTCATGACACCATCTTGGTAGATACCAATAGTGGCCAGAAGATCCAAAGTGTCCTTGTCACAGGGGTCAATACCGTCGAAGACTAGAGCGACGACGATCTTTTGCCAAGCGGGTCCACCCTTGTTCCAAAACTCTGATTTTTTCAAGTTCACAATGTCGCGGATATTTTGCATCACACCGTGCAGTGTACGTGCAGTCAAGACCTTGTCTTCGTTGTAGTAGGTGATGGCGATGAGCAATTCGGTGTGACGGTTATACATCGCCGGACGCAGATTATAACCATTGTGAAGAGTGAACTCGTTGGGGTCGCAGGTGGCCGCGGTATCTGGAGGAGGTCAGCGAATTTGTTCTTGGGTGAAAACGTGAAAATCAATGTTTCTCCGCTGCTTACATCTCATATGGGTGAATTCCTCGCTGCCACCCTCGAGATCGTTGCGGTACTTGGCCTGGATGGCATTTTGAATGGCACTCGGGACGGGGTAGTCCACACTCAGAACGGAACCCTGAACCAGCTTGACCTTACGGGTGGCATAACGACGAAGGCCACCACCACCTTCTCCGCCGGGGGCTTGTCGCTGACGCCAGGCCTCGGTGGATGAGGTCTCACTGCGGGCATAAGGTGAGGCGGCACGGTTAGGAACTCCAAAGGCGGCGGCCGGGTTGTCGGAGTGGCCCGAGTAAACAGAGCCGGCGGAGTAGGGGTCGTTGTAGGTGGGAGTGGTCTCGGTAGCATAAGTCTCGGTCAAGCTGTATCCCGAGGCGGGGCGGACGGGGGAAACACCGCGTGAGTGAGGGTCGTCAAAGGGAGTCGCAAAGGGGCCCTGTTGATGAGACAGGAGGCCCCGCGCCGCATCGTCGTCTTGTCCATACTGCATCAAGTCAGATTAACACTTAGTTGGCCCCAAAATCGCTAGAAAATGACCAGGTATATTTTCCTACCTGGGAGTTAGGGACGTCCGGCGCACGATGATTCTCATCGTAGCTGGGCGAATGCGCGCCAGAGCCTTGGTAGGCCATGATTCGCGGTGGGATGGGTGGGAATGAAAGGGATCAAAGGTTGAAAGAGGTAAGAGCTAAGAGGGGGAGGAAGTAGGGGTATGAGAGACCAGGAATAAGGAATAAGGAATAAGCCACCAGGGCCACTAAAGGTGGTGGTGGTTCAAAGGGATGGAAGAAGGAGAAGGCACGGGGGAAGAAGAAGAAGAAGGAGAAGGAGGGCAAAGGTCACCGTGGAAAAAGAGGAGACAGACGAAGGAGAAAAAAAAGGAGTACAAAGTGAGACTAGAGCGAGATCGTATTGCTTAGGCTGAGCAAAAATAGGTCATCTCTAGCCCCATCATGGCTTAGTGTTAGTGGGAGAATCTCCTTTTTTTGTTCTAGTGGGAATCATAATAAAAAGGATTTAATCATAATAATAGGGAATATTCAATCATAACAGGATCTGACTGTAGACCTGAAGTACAGAGCAGGAGTACCTACTGGTCAATTCCTCCGACCCTATGCAACTATGCAACCATGTACATTCCCCCCCTGTGAAGACGTTGGTGGCATGGGGAAGATCATTGGACTGTTGACCTTGGACGATCGGACCCTGAAGAATCCGGGTATACCAGAGAAGAGAAGAAGAGCATAGATAGTATACTATAGTATACTATCCTATCCTATCCTATCCTATCCTATAGTATTCTGTAATAGTACTCTGTTATATAGAGTACTACAATACTCTTCGAGATATCCCCCCCCGTTAAACAATTTGGCTAAATTTGGCTCGTGATCGACTCGACTATTTTTTTTTCAGCTTCTCCAGATCCTCCACTCTGCTTACTCGACGGGGCAAGTGGACCACTTCTACCCTTCTGGTACCCTGACCGAAAGGTTCTAGGGAACACGCTACCACCCGAACCCAATCAGCGGTCTCCACTGCCGTGAAACGAGGCAGGCCTGAGCTTCGGTAGGGGAACCCAGGACTCCCTGTTCGATTCTGTTGTGTTATGATCTGATCATTCCCACATTCCACCCACTGGTATGCAGCACACTGCACTGTCGTCCAGTGCCGACACCATGCACCGACCCTGACAGCACGAGTAATGAGAAAACCCCGGCCACCCCGGCTTATCTCAGCCTTCAAGTGGCAGCCTCTCTCTTCTCAGCTCGGAGGAGGAAGTGTATATATACGAGTATGGAGTACCCGTGGACCCCTCTGCCAGGTGTACAAAGGGGACCCTGTCACCCTGACTTGGCCTGCGAGTCCAGCGATCACCAGCGGTGTGTGCAATGAGGTGAGCAGTGAACTGTCTACTGTCAACTGCAAACTGTAAGCCCTTAGCCCTCTAGGGCTGAAGCTGGTCCCAGTCCTTCATTTTGATTTCCATGGCTGCCCTTGGTTGGGCTTTCATGAGCGTGGGTCTCAGGGTGGCTGGTGGCTGCGCCCCCAACGTCTCAGGCTCGGGGTTGGCTGTCTCACTAGTCACCCGCTAGGAGAGGAGGAGGAGGTGAAATGATGAACTGGCAGTGGAGTGGAGGTGGCGTGCGCCAGTTGGTGAGATCTGACTGATTATCTGACAGATATACTCTTCAGGGTCTCCAGTGTTCACTACATACAGCGGCTGTGTGAGTGTGAATGTGTTGGGTGTGTGTAAAAATTCAAGGTGGTGTAGTTATCACTTCTGCTTAGATCAGCTGTAATTTCCCGGTCCGTTAATCATCCGAGTCCAGACCGGGCGACACGTGACTGGCCCACACAGCCACGTACAACCAGGCACAGGCACATCCAGGTACATCCACAGGAGTACACACGTACACAAAGGGGAACAGGGGCAGGGAACAAAGGAGATGCAGAAGATGCAGATGCAGGAAGGGAGGAGTAGGCAAGGGAAATCAAAGAGAAGAAATAAAACTCGAGATTGACAGAATTACTTTACTTTACTCTGCTACACTAACATATTGTACTACTACGCTGTACTCTGTACTGTACTAAGTATATCTACTACCACACGCTCGGGCCTCCCCCCCCGTGCTCCTCCTCATTTCATTTCATTTCATCTTCCTTTCCCTTCCGATCCGCTTCAACCATCCCATCCGATCTCGACTCTCACAGGCCTCATCTCCCGGTCTAACCATGATTGCTCAACCGTGATCGGTTCCCACACTCGTTACACCTTGTTTATCTTCAACTTCGACTTCTTTCATCATCACCGTCACCACCCTCCTCCACTTCTTCTTTCACGATAGCGTTGACGCTCACGACTTGACGCCGATCGAGCCTCCCACATTCTTTTCCCCTCTTTCATCTCGCACTTTCGCACTTTCGCGCCGTTGACCGGTCGCCCTCATTGATATCCCCCTCTCGCCTGTCTATCTCTTCTTTCGCCTTCATCATGTCTCTCGGTAAGATCAACATCACCCTATATCACGGCATCTCCCTGTCCACCTCCCTTTCCATCTCCATATCCATCTCCTCCACAGTCGCTAACCATCCTGCACCATTCAGACTTCTCCCCGCCAACTCGGGCTTCCTACGCGCCAGAGGCTGCAAAGACTGCGGCGAGGCCCCCACTTGTCCAACATGTCCCAGCGGCCAGATCTGTACCATGACCACACAAACCTGCGACACCTGCTCCATCACCAAGTGTATCTCTGATGGAAGCACCTCCTCCGCTCCCAAGGACTCCGGTGGCGGCCCCAATATCGGCGCAATCGCCGGTGGTGTCGTAGGGGGTGTTGCGGCGATTGCTATTCTTCTCTTCCTTATTTGGTGGTTTGTGATCCGCAAGCGCCGCAATCAGGACGGCGAAGAAAAGAACAGTGAATTTGCTGCCGCTCGCGCAGAGCGCAAGTCGACCAACTCCATCGCATCCACCGTCCTCACTCGTGCCTCCAACGTCATCCAGATCGCCTACATCCCCGGCGTCACCAACCGCTCTCCACCCGAGACCCCAGCCTCGTTGGTTCCCCCGGTTCCTCCGCTCCCTGGTGCCGCTCCCGATCAGCACTTCTTTATGCCTGGTGACCTGCGTGACTCCTCCTGGACCACCACCACCGGCCACCAGAGCATGGCCCCGACCTTCCGGAGCAGTGTTGCAACCACGATCTACCGCAATGACGCTATTGTCAGCGCCGTCCCAGCACAGCAGATCTCGCGCACGCGTGCCAACATCGTCAGTGTTCACAACGCATCCCCCGATGAAGACGGCGCTCCTACACAACCCGTTCCCGTCATGATCACACCTAGAGATGCCCCCGCCGTTCCCGCCATCACCCAGTCTCAACTCGCCAAGGCAGAGGCCTTGAAGGGCAACAGCTCGATTGTCGCACGCCAGGTTGTCGCCAAGCCCGTCATGGTCCGCGGCGCCTCGGTCAAGAAGAAGGACGGTCAAAGCTCTGCAGGAGCCAGCTCCAAGGACGAGGTATTGAAGCCCGGCACAGCTGCTTCAGGCCATAGCAGTCAACAATTCGACCATCAAACCTCTACATTCGACGGAGAATCTTCCGATGAAGAAGACGACACTCGCCCCTCATCCCCTTCCCACTCCACAGCAGCCAAGACCACCTCCACGAGGGAAGAGCAATCCGCCGGCCCATTCCATGATGAAGCCGAAAGTGCCAGCCCGCGTCATACACCACCACCACGCGTGCAAAGTCCATTCTCGGACGCGAATGAGGTTAAATGATCGGCTACCCTATACGTAGGGTCAATCGATGGGGCGCACCGGATTTACACTTTGCTTGATTTCTTGTTCTATTTTTTTCTCATCTGTCACATCTTTCTACTTCGTTGTATCTATGATTCCTCTTTGGTATATCTATTCGGCGTCGGTTCGTTATTCGCGAGTGCTTTGTATAGCGAGAGGGCACTCGCGGAGGCGGAGCAGTCACATCAAACTCTCCTTGATGAATCAATCAACATACTTTACTTTTACAAACAAACCATTATTCATACTACCTACAAATATCCTAGCCCGGGCTTTGAGTATACTGGTAGTAGATTGAACCTTAGAACTCCAGCCTGGAGGGCTCCCAGGATCTTGGAAGTCGGTAGTACTATGTACTAGGTAGGAGGTATATATCTCCGCCCGTTCTAATGAAATTTACTACTACTACATATAGGTAGGTGGTATTTACAGCCCTGGAGCGATCTACCGCTAATAGCACAATTAGTAGTCTTTAGACCCATCTGATCGACAAGATATATATAGTACTATGTACTATGTAACAACCTAGCAAATATGCAAGAGATATGATCTATCAATTCCAACATGAAACAAACCATCTTCAACATGGAACATCTTGGCGAACCCTACTGATCCCCACTCGCAACGTCCACCAAGAGCAAAACAACCAATCCAAAGCCAAAGCAATCATAAAAGAAGGGTATCTATCTACCAGTCACAATCTCTCCATAACATCTGATCAAGCCTCCTCCAACCCCATCCCAAGCCCAATCTTACGAATAAGCGCACGCTTGAGGAACGCCTCACGGGCCAGACCACGCGTATGTCTCGACCAAGAGTCTACACCAATCACCCCGCGAACAAGAGCTGCCTGTAGAGCATACAATGCATGCTGCAGCCCCTGCTCCTCCGCGACGAGATCGTAGAGTTGTTTGCCCACAACGGTCGGAGCGACGAGGACCTCGTCGATGGGCGGGAGACCCGATTGTGGATCCGCCACAGACGAGGTAGATGGCACAACTGCCGAGGCGGACGCAGACGCAGACGCGGAGCGAGCCTGTGCATCTGCAATTGTAGCGTCTGCACGGTGAATGGATTGTTGCAGGATGGCAGTATTCGATTGGAGGGAAGCGTGAAGCGAATTGAGGTTCGAGACCTCGCCCTGGAGCGTGGCCATTGCTGCGTGGAGTGAGCGTGATTGCGAGACGAGAGATTGCGCCGCTGTATCGGACTGTGTGGCGTGCGCGTGTAGGGTCTCCGCGAGAGTCCTGGAGACGGCGTGGAGGAGGGCATCTTTCTCTGGGTTTGGCGGGATTGGGGGTGCAGGTCCTGCGGGTGCGAAGGATGGGAGTTCGAGTTCGAATGGTGAGGTGAGGAGGTCGGGGGTTTGTTGCTTTGTCTTTGGAGCTGCTGTGGAGGGTGGAGGGTGTTGGTAGCCTTGTGGGTATGGTGAATGCTGGGGGTATGGGGGTCCAGTAGGTGGTGGTGGATGTTGTTGGGGTGGATGAGGTTCGTATCCTGAGTACTGAACTTGCGGTACTTGAGCATGGGTTGGTGGGGGTTGATGAGGGAACTGTTGCTGCGGTGGGAATTGTCCTCCTGGACTGATCGGGCCACTGCCATTTCCGTTATATGTTGCGATACTATGTGGTGATTGAGCATGAGGTTGGGCCATGGTTTGTGAGATGGAAGGCTGTCCAGCGAAGTGTTGTGCCCTGCTTCCCGGACTAGCCATATGGCCTTGCCCGGGCTGAGAAACTCGACCCGGCTCATGTGGTTTTGGTGGAAGAGGAGGAAGAGGTGGAGGAGACTGATATCGTTCTGACAGCTGTGCCGGCCGCTGTTGAGCTTCATTCCCTGCTCCAGGCTTCGGTGGTAGCTGCGGCGGGGTATTGGCCACAGGGGCCGGAGTCGGCTGGTGATTTGCCGTTGGAGATGGTCCTATTCCAGGAGGCAACGGTGGTAATGGCGGCGGGGCTTGCGTCTCTTGCGGTTGAGGCTGAGGGGCCATCTGCTGTCGATATCGGACGGGAGGCTCCTTCGCAAAGACTTCACGGAGGATTGAGAGAAGGTCGGCAGTTGTTGATCTCTGTAAACAGTCAGTACTAAGCTCGCAGGTGCCAGGGTAGGTAGCAACCACTTACATCCCATGCCTCGGCCCAATGCGCCAGGTAGTGGTGATACACCCGTCCCTCCAGCGTAACATGTTGCCCAACCCGAACGGTCATCTCCTGGGTCGGCGTGACATACACCATCGGTGGCTCTCGCGGGTAGGTATTCGGAATCCAAAGTGTGACGGGGAATCGATATGTTGAGCCGCGGAAGACGACAGGCAGCGTGCCCACCAGATGGAGGAGCAGGGCCGAGAACCCATTCTCATAAGCTGGGGGAGAAGAGTGTCAGAGGTACTAGTTCGCGGTTCATTCCATGAAAAGACCAGACTCACTGTAAACATCGGTTCGAGGCGAGAGCGAGGGGTATTGAGTAAGCGCATTGACGATATCGTGATAGGTGCGGTTGGGATCGTGGTAGGTCTGCTTGGGGTCGTAGTGATCCTGGGAAGGTGAGCGGGGGGGTTCTGGGCATAAGTGATGATCAAATTGGATGCTTCCGGGAGACCAACCTTGGTCAAGACTGAATAGAGCCAGCTGAGGGTCCGCTGGGGGACCGCCATGGTGGGAGGCTAAAGGCTGGAGAGGTGCAAGGGCTCCGTCGTCGAGTTGTGTCCTCCGCATCTTCCCCGCAGCGTCTTGGCGCGGCATTCCACTGATGTACGTGATTCCAAGGTTACCATAACTCGAATTGGTGGGGGGAGGGTTGTTTATCGCTTTTATCTTTATCCTAGTATTTATCGATTGCTCGGGATTTTGGGTTATTCAAAGTTTCTTATCTACTACTAGTACTAGTACTACGCAACATTGGAACCACTGGCAGTCATTGCAAAGGGATACTGTATATATACTCCAGGGCTAGCTAGTGCTACTAATAGAGTAGATCTTCGAATACTAGTACTAGTAATGATTCATGAAGGGAGTATTTGCATTCTGTACATCGAATTGTTGTTACACCAGACTTAACGCCGTTCCCGGAGATTATTTTTCATCTCCAGCTATAGAATATTGCCAGGGAATAAACATGCAGAGAAAAAGACCAAATCCAGATCAGTGTTGGCTCCACTCAATCGTGTTCAGGTCAATGCCCTCCTGAACCAACTCCCACAGCGGGCTCAGCTCACGCAGGAACTGCACGCGCTCCGTGACGGCCTTGAGCACGTAATCGATCTCCGCATCACTGGTGAAACGACCGATACCGAAACGAATACTGCTGTGAGCGCTCTCATCGCTGCTGCCCAGGGCGCGCAGGACATAGCTGGGCTCGAGCGACGCAGAGGTACAAGCACTGCCCGATGACAGGGCAATGTCCTTCAGGGCCATGAGGAGGGACTCGCCCTCAATATAGGCAAATGAGATGTTCACACAGCCGGGGTAGTGGGCCTTGGGGTCACCGTTCAGGGTAGTGTGCTCCATGGAGAGCAGATTCTCGGACAGACGCTTCGACAGACGCTCCACGTGCTTGGTGTCGTACTATAAGAAGGCGGATTAGTATAAGTCTTGCGAATAATTGCGAAGAGAGAATAGAAAACAAAAGCAGGTATCTTACCTCCATGTCTTGCGCGGCGAGTCGGCATGCCTCTCCGAAACCCACAATCAGGTGGGGGGGCCAGAGTTCCACTGCGCAGACCTCTCTCCTGACCACCACCGGTGATGAGGGGGTCGAGACGAACGCGAGGACGACGGCGAACGAAGCAAGCACCGATACCCTTAGGGCCGTAGATCTTGTGACTCGAGATAGACATCAAGTCAATGTTGAGCTTGTTCACATCCAGGGGGGATCTTGCCAACGGCCTGAGCGGCGTCAGTGTGGAAGAAGATCTTCTTGGAGCGGCACAGACGACCAATCTCCTCCATGGGCTGGATGACACCGATCTCGTTGTTGACGGCCATGATACTGACGATGGCAGTATCGGGGCGCATAGCCGCCTCCAGATCCTCCATGCGAATCAGACCATTGTTCTGCACGGGGAGGTAGGTCACATCAAAGCCCTCATCCTGCAAGTGTCGGCAGCTGTCCAGCACACACTTGTGCTCAGTCTGGGTGGTGATGATGTGCTTCTTCTTGCCAGAACGGCCAAAGAAGCGAGCCACACCCTTCAAGCTCATGTTGTTACTCTCCGTCGCACCACTGGTGAAGATGATCTCCTTCGGGTCGGCACCGATCAGGTTGGCGAGGTGCTCGCGGGCCTCCTCGACAGCCTTCTCCGACTCCCATCCGTAGGCGTGGGTGCGCGAGTGCGGGTTTCCGTAGATACCGGTGAGGTAGGGGAGCATGGCATCCAGAACACGGGGGTCGAGCGGGGTGGTTGCTTGCATATCGAGATAGATGGGGCGGGTGCCCTGGTCCATGACGGAGGCCTGCTTGAGGATTCCGGCGGAGGGGCTCATGGCGGCATCGGCAGAAGTGGTGGTGCCGGGCAAGTTGACATTTTGGGGGGCGATGCCAGCCTGCTTCATGAAGGACTTTTGCTCCTCCTTGATGGCAGCATCGACGTTGACCTGAGCTTGACCGGGCTTGGTTTCGGTGACATAAGAGCGAGCGCCATGGACGGTGGCGAGGATGTGACGGGGGCCCGTCCAGGGGTTGCGGGCTGGCAGACGCCTTTGACAGACGCGCGAAGCGTGTCTCCAGGCAGCGGGGGCAGCAGAAGACATGATGATCGATGATGGATAAAAGATGAAAGGGAAAAGAAAGAAGGGCGCCGTCGGCGCGGAGTGAAGAGATTCGGCAATTTCCCGATCGGGCGGGCGGAGAGAGTTCCCCGAGGGCGGAGTTAGTAGCAGTGGTAGCAGTAGTAGCGACACTGCAGTTCTGGAATAGATATTGCATGGATGATATATTAGTTGCTAGTTACTAATTTATCAATTAACTCAACATTAATATACTACTATAATAATTGAAGGGGAAGGGGAAGTGGAGGAGTGTGTGGTATACATACCTGTACCGAACCATGACTACTCAGTAGTAGTTAACTACTACGTAGCCATGCTAACCGATGGAAGGTACTACTACTAGTACTATTACTAGAATCGTAGTACCTAATAGTTCCGGTCGGTCGGTCAAAATAAATCAAATAAAACATCCACTTTTCTGTGTCTGGCTGTATTGACCCTTCATCTCCAAATAGTACTTACCTCGTAGTAGTAGGGTACTAGTAGTATCAGACCAGAAGAGTAAATAATATAAGATATAAAATAAAATAAAATAAATTCTAGCTACTAGCTACTCGCTACTATATATGCATCCCCTATCATCATATGATACCCCTACCCAAACCCCTACTAACTCCGGCCCCACCGAATCCGGAGTCGAACTGCGCCGCCGATCAACTGTGGCACCGGGTAGGGCTGTACAGGAGATACCTAGGAAACACTGGAATTCCAGAGTAAAATAAGAGGAGAGAGTAAAGTAATACTAGAATACTAATACGAGAATACGAGATACCCTGTAAAGAGTAAATAGTAACTAGTAACGAGAATACCTCCTATTACTACCCTGCCACTATTCCATCGGTGCCTATTGCGCACTAGCAAACTCAGCTGGGATGAGCCACAAAGCGGGCGCCTGAAGGACACAGCCACTAGCAGTTCCTTGGTGGTGGTGGTGGTGGTGGTGGTGGTGCGGGCGCAGTTGTATCGGCCTGAAGTCTTATGTCATAGCCAAACTCGACTTTTGGTGCAAGGCAGTGGGATTTCCTATTCCCCCCGCCTTGGCCTTTCCTCTCCTTTCCTTCCTTTCCTTTCTTGCCTTCCTCTCTTCTTTCTTCTCTTCTTCAACTCCCCTCAATTCCACACCCAACACCCTCACCATGAGTTTCAAAGGCTTCCAGAAGAGTCTGATGCGCGCCCCGCAACAGTTCAAAGTCAAGTTCAACCTCGCCGAGCAATCCAAGGATGCTGTCTATAGTGATGCCGAGCGTCGCTTTCAGGAGCTCGAGAAGGAAACTAAGAAGCTTCACGATGAATCGAAGAAGTATTTTGACGCTATTAACGGTACATCCCCTTATTTCCGAGAGTTCCGGGTTCTCCTAGACGGGATCCCACACCGCGAGACCCGAGACCAAGAGAATGCAAAATGTGCTGATTGAACTACCTCCTAGGCATGCTAAGCCACCAAATCGAATTCTCCCAAGCCATCGCCGAGCTTTACAAACCCATTTCCGGTCGCGCCTCCGATCCCAACTCCTACCAATTCGAAGGCAACCCCGAGGGCATCCAGGCCTGTGAGGACTATGAGGTCATTGTGCGCGACCTACAAGAAGCTCTCTCCCCAGAGCTGGAGATGATCGAGAGTCGCGTGATCAGCCCGGCTGATCAACTGCTCGAGGTCATCAAGGTCATTCGCAAAGTTGCCTCCAAACGCGACCACAAAAAGCTCGACTTTGATCGCCACAACGCCTCGCTGAAAAAGCTACAGGAGAAGAAGGACAAGAACATTAAAGATGAAAAGGCGCTCTACAAGGCAGAGAACGATGTCGAACAGGCCACCCAGGATTTCAACTACTACAATGACTTGCTGAAGGATGAGCTGCCCAAGTTGTTCACTCTCGAGGCCGAGTTCATCCGCCCGCTCTTCCAGTCCTTCTACTACATGCAACTCAATGTTTTCTACACCCTGCACGACAAGATGCAAGGCATGAATATCGCATACTTTAACCTCAAACTCGACGTCGAGGAGGCCTTTGAGCAGAAGCGCGGCGATGTACAGGAACGCGCCGAGGCTCTGATGATTGTCCACTTCAAGACCAAGGGACTCGGCCGCTCCGGCTCCAAAGTGAGCTCGCTCAAGGCTGCAGAAGCCAAGGCTGGACGTGGTCGGTCATCATCAACTGCCGACGAAAATCCCCCCTCCACCCTACTCCTCCACCGCCGCTACCCCCAGTCCAACAGGGAGCAACTTCTCCGCGGCGGCCAAGGGCAAACCGGCTCCTCCTCCCCCAAGGGCAAAGCCTTCTCACCTCAGCAAGCCTGTCGAATGTGTCACCGCCCTATATGACTATGAGGCTCAAGCACACGGCGACCTCGGGTTTTCGGCTGGCGACGTGATCGAAATTACCCAACGGACCGACAACACAAATGAATGGTGGTCCGGCAAGATTGATGGCCGGGAAGGTCAATTCCCAGGTGAGTGTGGTTTAACCTCGTAACCTCGTTTATGTTTTTGGGTCAAGTGCAAAATACTAACTTATTTTCTTCCAGCAAACTATGTTCAGTTGCAGTAATTATGCCTTTCTGTCAGGGTTCTTATTTCTCCATTCTTCTGTTTCTTGTGATTCACCTTCCAGCCTCCGGTGCATAATGGTATAAATAGAGCGTTCCATGTGTAAATAACCTTCGTTTCTTGCTGTTGCTCACACCTTTGAAATTGATAATCGTCGATGCTACGTGCCACATCGACTTCGTGCGGGGGAAGAGGGGGGCCCTGCAGTGTTACAGTATAATAAGCTGAGCTCTCCAATGCCATTCTTCCTGTTCCTCAATAATGTCTGAAATCATCCAAATCATTAACGCACGTCTTGTCGAGGGTGACTCCCTCGTGTCTCGATCGCTGTGGATTGACAGCGTTGCAGGCATCTTCGTCCCTTCGCCTGACCCCGCCCTGGTGAAGGTGAAGGTAGTCTCGACGATAGATCTCCAGGGTCGGATTCTATCACCAGGCTTTATAGACCTGCAAATCAACGGGGCCTACGGCTTCGATTTCTCGGAAGATGCGTCCGTAGATGCAGGAGGAGTTTCCTACACGGATAGATACTCCGAAACACGTCAGAAGCTGATCAAAACGGGGACGACGAGTTTCTTGCCTACAATGACCAGTCAACATGCGGAGCGATACCATCAGGTGAGTATATAAAATCGATCAGTAAGCCCTGGGGCCTGCTATTCTATACTAGTATCCATGAGTTAACGCTGAACTGAACTCAGAACCTACCATTCCTAGGGCCATCCAAGTCCCGCAATCCCTTCGAGGGAAGCGAATCCCTCGGCGCCCACTGCGAGGGACCATTCTTCGCACACAATCGCATGGGCGTACATCTCCCCGAAGCAATCCACTCCTCAGGCCCAAGCAGCGAACCAGAGCTCGTGATCAGAACATACGGAGCCAGCAATCTATTCAACGCAACAGCCTCAATTCCAACCCCAAATCCACCAAACCCCCAAGAACAAGAACCCGGCAAAATCCCATCGCACGTCCGGATGATCACGATGGCCCCGGAAAGACCGGGAGCCCTGAGCACCATCCAACAATTCAGCAACAAAGGCATAATAATGAGCATCGGACATATGGCAGCAAACTACACCCAAGCCGCCGCAGGCATCAAAGCAGGAGCGAAAATGATAACACATCTATACAACCAAATGAACCCGCATCACCACCGCGAACCAGGACCACTAGGGATCATCGGCGGAACGATGGACATAAATCCAGAGAACGAGACGAAGATTATTCTCGAGGGTGATGATTCATTGTATCACTATCACCATGATCGTCGCCCTCCTCGGCCCTATTTTGGCATTATTGCTGATGGCCATCACGTTCACCCGGCTAGTATTCGGCTAGCGCATTTGACGCATCCGGAGGGGTTGGTCCTTGTAACTGATGCATTGATGTTATTGGGAGGCGAGGATGGGACGGTCGATTGGTTGACGAGAAGGTTGACGAAGAAGGGGGTTAAGGTTATGCTAGAGGGTACTGATATCATTGCAGGGAGGTGAGTTCAAGTTGTCCCCTTCCGAGTCCTCGTGGACACAGATACGAATACCGTTGACTAATATGGATTGATCTAGCTGTGTAACCATCCCGCAATGTATAAACAATTTTCGGAAATGGACGGGCGCCTCGATTCCGGCTGTGCTACAGGCTGTCACGTCTAGACCTGCTTCGATTCTGGGAATGGAGAACGTCAAGGGATCCCTGCGAGATGGTGCCGATGCTGACTTTGTGGTTCTCAGCGAGGAGGACGTGTTGGGACAGTCTGTGTCCGAGCTGGTGGTTGATCAAGTGTGGAAATTTGGGGTTAAGATGTTTGATCGGGATTTGGAATAGATGTTATGTACAAGCTGGATGGGTGGTAGACTAGGAGGATGGATGTGGGGGCCGTTGGAAAAGAAATGAGCCTTGTAATTTAGACTAGAATGATCGAGTTACCATGTACGGTGAAGAATATTACAAGTGCAGTAAAATAAGAATGTACTCGGAACTAAATGAGACAGGACACCGAAATAAGAAGAAGAAATAGTGAGACACTGAATGAAAAGAAATTCAGTAGCCAGATCTGATCTGATGCATAATGACTGTGCGACCATGGTTGAGAGCAAGGAAAGAAGAATTGTATGATCGTGATCATGGTCAAACGATGGACGGGTCCCGGCGGATGCTGTCAATGGAGATATCATGTTCGATGGTAATACCGAACGGAGTATCCGAGTCTTGCGAGGGCTTATGTGGGCGATCCGCATAGCAGAGGGTTTTGGCCGCGCTGCTGGGGCTCATTGACGAGGAAGTTTGCTCGCTTACAACGGTCCCCTTGAGGGTACTGTCCTCTCCGAATGCAAGCGACTTCCATAGATTGCGACGCGGGGCGGTAGTGGAATTTGTGCCTCGGCGATCGAGGGCTGCACCGGCCCAGATGGACGAGAGAGGCAGGGAGATGGTCACCAAGGTGAGAAGATTGGAGGCGAGCTCCGGGACGACAACCTGGTATTGAACGATGGAAAAGATGGCCGGGATGGTGAGTGTCTGGCATCCACTGATAAAGATGACCTTCATCGGACCGAACTCGCGAACTCCCAGTCGCTTGCGCTGCCGGATGGCAAAGCCCAGCTTCGTGACAAATACTGCGCAGAAGAAACAGATGCTGATGGTGATGGTAATGTTAGCTGCGCTCTCTAGCCACCAGATCGCCGACATGTATGCAGCATTCATGATGTAGATGCAGTTCATCACCATCCACCCAAAGCGGAATCCAATTGGCACGAGTGCCACGACGGAGGAAAGGGCGATGAGGGCAACTCGGTATTGTCGACGGAGGGTCGAACAGACGACTTGGGTCTGGAGTATCAAAGAAAGCTGGATGCAGACGACGAGAAGGCTGCTGAAGACGGCTGAGAAGATGGAAACCACATAAGCTCCGGCCTCGACGGCCGAGTAGTCATAGGTAAAGTAGGGGTAGATCTTTTCAAAGCCGGTGTCGAAATGGACCGTTTGGAAGACCAGACGGATGATATTGAAGACCAAGGCCATGGCATTGAGGAGAAAGACGGAGGAGCCACGCTTCTCACGCTGGGTGAGAAGAAGCAGAATGACGAACAGCACGATAGAAGCACCGAGCTGGCAGCCATAATTGATGCAGATGCGGACGTTGTACTGAACATAGATGTCTAATTGACTCAATGGCACGGTCACGTTGGAACCATTCTTGTTGAAGATGGTGATCAATTGTTCATAGGGGTCGAAATCGGGACCGAGATTGGCGACGGAGCTAGAATTGGACATGATCGTGGAAATAGAAGTGGAATTGAATCGAGTGAACTGGAGAAGAGGTATTCAAAGTAGAACTTGAGATGGAAGAGATGGAAGAGATGAGATATACTCGGATGGAAGTGTATAAGAGGGTAGGGACATGGTCCCTACCGCATGAGAATTTGCAGAGTCACCCGAATCAGGGTGAAGGCTGAGATGTAGCATGATAGAGGCAGCAGAAACAAACAATGTTAGTAGAAACGAGGTGGAGGATCAAGTTAGGCGGAGTGGGAAGTGGTGGAAAGTGAAGTTGAAAGGGAAGGGAGAACAATCGTAAGAGCGGGGAACAACAATGCTAAGCCGAGACAAAGAATGGCAGGATTCCCATTCCACTTGAGGGATTCCACCACATTCACACTCGATCGCATAACAGAGTGAGACTGCATTCGTATGGGACGTTCAGGTGAAGTCTAACGAGTATCTTCTAGAGGCTAGAGTACAGCAATGCTAGGCAACCAGGCTAGTCTTACTATTGTCTCCAGGGCTCCCCACACTCCCTGCAGCTGCTTCAGTCACGACAGGGGCTATGTAGGTTAATTCGATTACTGCATGCTGTATACTAACACACTAACACAATAACACTTTGGAGTACTCGTACTCGTCCTCTACTGCTGTACAGTCCCGTTCCAAAAGTATGAAACACCCTGTTTACCGCCCTGGTCTCCGCCTGCTAATAGCAGACTAGTGGCTAGTTAAGATGGAATAGACTGGCCAATGTATTCCATTCTAGGTAGCTACTAGTCTGCTATTAGCAGGCGGTCAATTATAATCGGCCAACAGAGTGTTTCAAACCTTTGGAACGCCACTGTATGAAGATCAAGTGGCGCAGGTGGAGATCGGGCGAATTGCCGACCGAACCACGGAGACTTTTCTCGAATTCTGTTGTGAATGGGATGCAGAATTTGGTTGAGTGCAATGGTTTGTAATTGTATATGTGATGATTCTATCGAAGATCAGGCAATTAAGACTCGCTGACCAATATAATATTAGTATAATAGTTGAGGAGTATAAAATGTCTCCGAAGGTTGCCCGGAGAACTCTGGGAACAGTAGTACTAGCCCTGGAGTATTTACTCCAGGGCTCGGGATAGTATGCCGGAAGAAATCTTTGCAAGCTTAGAAATCACTAGATCTACTAGTAATATGCATCCGATCTATACTATATAAACCAGGGTATCCATTTGACCCATTGCATTGTCTACTATATACAATACTCCTTATACTACCCAACTGTACCCAACATGACTTGGCCAGATGTCCCCGTCCACCCCGCTGCGGGCATTTCTTACTTCACTCCGGCGCAGTCCCCCCCCCGCCGGAACTGCCCGTGACCCCCAAACCACCGGCAAGCCAATCCCTAAACTCTTCAAGCCTTTGACCATCCGTGGCCACACTTTCCAGAACCGCCTAGGTGTTAGTTAACCCCCTGGATCCTTACCTTCCAAGGTTCCCTTCAATTCATGGCTAACTGAATATGACAGGTGGCGCCCATGTGCCAGTACAGCGCTGAGGATGGCCACTTGACACCCTGGCATATGGCTCACTACGGCGGTATTGCCCAGCGTGGCCCTGGAATGATCATCATCGAGGCCACCGGCGTGGTTCCCGAGGGCCGCATCACTCCAGGCTGTTCCGGCCTTTGGAAGGACTCTCAGATCGCTCCCCTCAAGCAGGTCGTTGAATTCGCCCACAGCCAGGGCCAGAAGATCGGTATCCAGCTGGCTCACGCGGGTCGCAAGGCTTCCACCGTCGCTCCCTGGTTGGGTGGTGTCACCGCCACCAACGCTGTTGGCGGCTGGACAGACAATGTCAAGGCCCCCAGCGCAATTCCCTTCGCTGATGGTGACATTATCCCCAAGGCCATGACCGAGGATGATATCGAGGAGGTCAAGACCGCCTGGGTGGCTGCCGCTGAGCGCGCCGTCGCTGCTGGCGTCGACTTCATTGAGATTCACAACGCCCACGGATACCTGCTGTCCTCCTTCCTGAGCACCTCCTCCAACCAGCGTACCGACAAATATGGTGGCAGCTTCGAGAACCGTATCCGTCTCCCCTGGAGATCGCCCAATTGACCCGCGACACCGTGGGTCCCAACATGCCCGTCTTCCTGCGCGTTTCCGCCACCGACTGGCTCGAGAAGAGCATGCCCGAGGAGAAGGGCTGGAAGCTGGAGGATACCGTCGAGTTCTCCCGCGCCCTCGCCGCCCAGGGCGCCATTGATCTGATCGACATTAGCACTGGTGGTGTCCACTCTGCTCAGAAGGTCGCTGCAGGCGTTGGATTCCAGGTCCCCTTCGCCAAAGCCGTCAAGGAAGCCGTCGGCGACAAGATGCTCGTGGCCGCCGTGGGAATGATCAACAACGGAAATCTGGCCGAGCAGGTCCTCAACGATAATAATATCGATTATATCCTGGTTGGCCGTGCCTTCCAGCGTGACACTGGTCTGGCCTGGGCTTTCGCTAAGGACTTGGACGTGGAGATTGCCATGGCGGGCCAGATTCGTTGGGGCTTTACTAGCTTCCGTAACGCGTCTGAGTATATTCAGCCTAACTCGATGAAGGCGTCCATTTTTGATTAGATGATGATATGACCTCGGGATACGATATTGCATAGCATATAGACTTGGAGTACGGTAGACAATGATACATGTTTAAATGTGTTACAAATGGGATTACTAGTATCCTGCAAGTCAAACCCAAAGGAATAAAATAATACCACATGAATGACTCTAATAGCTCCAATAACTCCAATGGCTCCAATGGCAGTGTGATGGGCTGTTTCGCCACATTCTCTCCTCCCGTGCGGATGTCTCCCGTTGATGCGGAGGTGCGCCGCAAACCCGAGTGACCAGCATTATTTCATTTACCACTGGCACGATTCAAATGCACTAGAACTGGCAGTTTAATTTTTACAAAACTCCCTTCGCCAATCATTCAAATACCTTCTTCTCTTCCATCTCCAAACACCATGCTCAGTCTACAAGGAAAAGTGGTTCTCATCACCGGCCTCGGCCAAACCGCCGATGAAGGCTGGGGCATCGGCGCAGCCATAGCGACCCTCTTCGCCCGGCAAGGCGCCTCAATCTTCGGCGGAAACCGGTCCCTCTCATCCGCAAATCGAACCAAGAAGCGCATCGAAGAAGAAGGCGGAATCTGTGATGTGGTCGAGACGGACGTCACCAGTTCCCCTTCCGTCAAAGCGCTGGTGGACCAATGTATGCAAAAGCACGGCCGGATAGACATCCTTGTGAGCAACGTGGGCCGCAGCGAGCCGGGGTGTCCAGCATCCATGTCCGAGGAAGTATGGCATTCCCAAGTTGATATCAATTTGAATAGCCTGTATCTCGTCTCCCACCACGTCCTACCAATCATGGAGCAACAAGGATGGGGCAGCGTGGTGAGTATTGCCAGTATTGCCGGACTCCGGTATATTGGGAAACCGCAAGTGGCATATTCCGCGACGAAGGCTGCCATGATGCAATTCACCAAAGCGACCGCTATCATCTATGCGGAGAAGAATGTTCGGCTCAATACGGTGGTGCCGGGGTTGATCTACACGCCGTATACACAGGCCCTGGCCCAGCGATATGCCCCCGGGGGTGATGAGGCGGCGTACATGAAGAAACGGGATGAGCAAGTTCCCATGGGGAGAATGGGGGATGCATGGGATGTCGCCCGGGCGGCACTTTTTCTCGCGTCGGATGAAGCGGGTTATATTACGGGGCAGTCGTTGGTTGTGGATGGGGGGGATTACATCGTCGACAGGGAGGGTGTGATGGGATGTATTGGCCCTGGAGTATAGTATTAGATATTGCCAGTGATATTGTGAATCATTCCAGCTCTACTACTCTATTATTCCAGTTCTACTACTACTAATACTAAAAATACTACTTCACTGCTCTTGCTGCATAAAATATACTCGGAGGCCCTCTGAAATGCACCCAATGACTAAGCAGAGTGGAAACGCGGCCGAGTGGAAAAAAAGAGAAAAAAGAGCGAGAGAAGTCATTCAAGTTGGGGGAAATTGGGGGTAGCCATGTTAAGGGATCTTAGATAGTGTATAGTTAGACTCTTTGCACAACCAAACAAGCTCAAGACTGACGTTGACCCCGGATGCGCATGATCGCCCCAGTGACTTTAGTGAAGTGAGGGCGATTTGGCGAGTGCAAGTGGAGAACAAGCTGGAAGCAGCGGTACACCCAGTGAAAATCCCCTTTCACCGGGTTTCCGAATCATTCTCTAGCTCTTCCACTAGCAGGGACCTGTATCGCCTGCACTCGGCCTAAAATCCTGAACACGGGCCCTCGGATGCATGCGCCCCATTCTGGATGGAGTGGATGGACCCGATATAAAGTCTACTGTAGCCATCTAAATGACCCCCAATTTCGACTCTGGTCCCCTTTCTTTACTACTACTACTACCTAATTTCCCAAGTATACCCCTCTAAACCTCGTCCTGATGGTGGAACTCTCACCCACTCCACCCACCTCCTATATCGGAACCCCCCCCTCGTTGGCTCTCTTTGGTTCTCTTTGGCCCGGTGAACTCTGACCGGGCGGACTGAATTTCCTGAATTCTTCCCAATGAGTATGTACGGAGCACGGAGTACCCTGGGAAATGCCTCGCCTCGGTAAATGATCATGATTACGTGCTCGGGTAGTTTCATTTCTCCCGGCCTAGAGACTCCCCGATGGAGGGGATGATTGCAAATCTGTAAATCTCTGCGTACATTAAACCACACCCTTCCCTCCTCCAGACCTTGGAAATAAAGAAGATCTCGGTATCCAAAAAGCCTAACCCCGGACTTGCTCCGTTCACATCCGGTGACGAGGAAAATAGCCTTTTGGGGTGGCACGACTTTAACTGGACACGCCACTCCATCACTTCAAGTTGCGTGAGTTCTGGTTCCTGGAGTGTTCCTACCAAGAACAACTCCCTCAGTATCGGAATTGATTGAGGATTGCTCAATAATTATCTTGCATCCTACATCCTACATCCTACACATATTCCATACAGTCTAGGCAGCCCATGACACCCGACTGTCCCATCCGCCATCTTTGCCAGTGCCCACGTGCCCCCTGCTAACGGGCTTGTTGTGTTGGACATCGTTTGATTTCCTCACTTTGTCTCATCTCGATTAATTTATCTCTTGGTATTTCATACTTGGATCTCACCTCCTCGTCTCCTTACCATGCTACCTCCCGTCCCCCGCCTGGAGGACTACGGCATCTCGGCGGGAACTGGTTTCCTGCCGGCCGAACCGCCGTTGGACACCTTACCAGCGTTCTACGCCAAATGGGAATCCATCGTCCAGAATCTGCAACCCCTACTACTGAGCAAGCGCGTGCGTGCTGTTGTGGACTGTCTTCCTATCCTATCTACCTCCAACCTCCAAACAGATGCCGAATGGCGCCGCGCATATGTGGTTTTGGTCTTCATGCTGCATGGCTATGTCTGGGGTGGTGATCGACCGGCCGAGGTAGGGCTACACCAAGATCCTGACCCGATTTGAACAACGAAAACTGACCATCTTGTGTTACAGAGGATTCCCCCACAACTTACACAGCCTCTATTTGAGGTTTGTGAACGAGTACAGCTGCCGCCTGTGGCAACCTATGCCGGCGTCTGCCTCTGGAATTACCGTCCAATCTTCCCCGACGAGCCTACCGATAATCTGGATAATCTCGCCTGCTTGCAAACCTTTACTGGCTCCCTCGACGAGCAATGGTTCTTTCTCGTCTCAGTCGCCATGGAAGCACGTGGTGCGCCGTCGATCCCACTGATGCTGCAGGCGATCGCCGCTGCGCGTCAAGACAGGGCCGAGGTCGTGACGCAGTGCCTGCAGCACCTTGCCGAAATCATAGATGAGATCAGCGGACTGCTTGTGCGCATGTACGACAACTGCGACCCATACGTTTTCTACAATCGCATCCGTCCATACCTGGCCGGCAGCAAGAACATGGCTGATGCCGGGCTACCGAATGGAGTGCTCTATGACGATGGCCGCAACGCGCCCCAATACCGCCAATACGGTGGAGGCAGTAATGCCCAAAGTTCCTTGATACAGTTCTTCGATATCGTCTTGGGAATAGAGCATCGCCCGACTGGTGTCACCCGCAAGGACCAAGCCTCTGCCGATGCTGAAGGTAGCCCGCGACCCCGCCACGGCTTCATCCACGAGATGCGTGAATACATGCCGGGCCCGCACCGGCGATTCCTACAAGATGTCGAATCTGTCGCCAATATCCGAGCCTACGTTGAGGCTCATCGCACCGATCCCGCCCTGTGCATCGCCTACGACGCCTGTCTTTCGATGTTGAGAGTCATGCGTGACAAGCACATCCAGATCGTTTCACGGTACATTATTATTCAGTCGCGAGGTGCGCGAACTGCATCGCAGTCCGGCGAACCCAGCAAACCAGCTGTCAAAAATCTCGCAACGGCTGCGCCCAAAGATAATAAGAAGTTGCGTGGAACTGGTGGCACGGCGCTCATCCCATTCCTAAAACAGGCGCGCGATGAGACGGGTGAACCGGCTATTGATGCGTGGGCTCGACGCTTGCTCAGTAATGGCCCCGCAGATAAGGGTTCAGCTGCTTTGAGCAAGGTCGGCGAGCAACCCGATGGCCATCTTGAGGTGGTTGGTCTATGTGGAACATGGACCGCTGATGATAGTGAGGGTGGAATCTGCCATTGGTAGTGGTCAAGGTTATCTCTTTTTTGTTTATCTTTCTTTTTTCTGCCATTTATTTTGAGCGTCCATATGCATCTGGGAATATATCTCCTGCATCTCTGCAGTGAGTCAAAACGGGCGTTAATGGGTTCACTGATTTCCGAGTCTACATACAATGTATGACTCTATTACGAAGTCCACAATTTCATCATATTGACCAAGTCATTCCACACCAAACCCCTCCACATTGTGTACGAGTATATTTGATCTTCTACTGGGATCCACTGTAACCTGTCGAAGCTTCTCCTCCCCTGAATATCCGTCTCCATTGGTTCTCGAATGAGGATGGAAATGCAATGACGCAGGCCTCCGCTTGGTGGCTTTAACACATCACATGATGTGACATCAGTGGATGATGTCATCGATCACGGTTTGGCAAGAACCATCAAATCTTGGAAGGCAGACACGACCGGTGCAAAACATACTAAACATACAAAGGGACAAAGTTATAAAAGGAAGCCGAACCTCCAAGAGAAATTGAATCATTCAGAAAACAACTCCTCTCTTCCACACTATATCAACTCATTTACCACATTCTATCTACATCCTATCTACATCTCATCTACATCTCATCTACATCTACAAACATGTCTACCGACAACGGCAACTCTTCCACTCTTGGCTCCATTGCCAACTCGGCCACTGGTATGGCCCAACGCGCCTACGGTGCGGTGGCTGGTGACTCCTCTACCCAGGTAAGCTTGTCCTCTCTTCAACATAACACAACACCCTTCCAGCCAAGAATTCAAACAAAGATATACTAACATTCCCCAGATCAAGGGTGAAGCTGCCCAGGAGCAAGCCAAGGCTCAAAACGAAGCTTCCCACACAACCGCCAAGCTCGGCCCCATCACCGCAGACCCCAACACCGGCGCCGTCGCTCAAGATGACCCCAACCGTGCCACCGGCTCCTGGGACCAGACCATGGGTTCTACCAAGGAAGCCATTGGAAACGTGATCGGCAACGAGGGCCTGCGCCGCGCAGGCGCTGAACAAAACGCCGCTGGCAAGGAACAAGAGGCCAAGGGTCAACTCAAGGACTGGGGTAGCGGTATGCAGAACCGTGCTCAGGGTACTCTTGGCTCGATCGGTGCGGCTGTTGCTGGAGACCGGGAGGAGGAGCAGAAGTTCCGCGATATGCATGATGAGGGCAAGACTCGTCAGCGTGGTGCTGAAGCTGATATTGCCAAGAAGCAGGGTGTTTAAACCATGAGAAACCGAGCTTGAAGGTGGCATTATAAGAGCGATGTACTTCTTTCGGATCGGCGGGCTACCAGTGGTGGTGGTCTCGGCTTTGTTTTATTATTACGATTTATGATTCCCAATTTACGATCCATTGATACTTTTAAGACCTGACTTTTTATAAGAAATCTGTAGACACATTAGATGCGGACTTGTAAAGAAAGACTGAGGTACAGTATAAAATTGACGAATCACAACTTCCTCTCCCGAAGCCTAGCCTTGTACTACTGTAAACAACTGCCCGAGAATTTCGCCGAGAATCTGACGGAGACACATTGTTGACCCCCCCGTTGCATCATCGCACCGCGCACCGACGGTGGAGACACTCCACCAGTTCCGCAATTGCAGGGCCTACAGCGTTCAACGTGGCCGCTCATACTGCAGTCAACTCAACTGCACCTACGCTGATCGGCGCTTCTGCTACATAACTCATAACATCTAATGGCCAGTCCCCACCATGCCCCGCGGTGGGATGTCTGGGTACCCTAGCTACTGCGCGACTCCCATATGAGCGGATTGGCTGTGTCCGCATCCTGGTGGGAACACTACCCCTACTTATATGGCCAGCTTCCCTCTATAATCTGAAAGAACAATTTGGTCGTTTTTTTTTCTCAAGATTCGGCCCTTCCCAGCTTCCCATCAAGTCACCCTTCATACATAATCCTCTCCCTGAAATGGCTAAACCGAACAAGCCAAACCACCGCGCCTGGTGGAAAGAAAGCTCCGTCTATCAGATCTGGCCTGCCTCATTCAAGGATTCGAATAACGATGGCATTGGCGATATCCCGGGTATTATCTCCGAGCTGGACTATATCAAGAATTTGGGCGTTGATATCGTCTGGCTGTGCCCGTCATACAAATCTCCCCAGGTTGATATGGGCTACGACATCGCCGACTATTACAGCATCGCCGATGAGTATGGTACGGTCGCAGATGTCGAAAAGCTGATCCAGGGGTGCCATCAACGGGGCATGAAGCTCCTGATGGATCTGGTGGTCAACCACACTAGTGATCAGCATGAGTGGTTCAAGCAATCACGCAGCTCTAAGGATAACGAGTACCGGGACTGGTACGTCTGGAGACCTCCTCGCTATGACGAGAATGGCAATCGTCAGCCTCCGAATAATTGGATTTCCCATTTCCAGGGTTAGTATCCCATTTGCCAAAAGAAGAGAGAGAAAAAAAGAAATCCTCATACTAATATGGCCGATCTATAGGAAGTGCATGGCAATTCGACGAACACACCGGCGAATACTACCTCCATCTATACGCCACCGAGCAGCCCGATCTCAACTGGGAACACCCTCCTGTCGTAAAAGCCGTCCATGACATTGTTCGATTCTGGCTCAACAAGGGCTGCGATGGTTTTCGCATGGATGTCATCAACTTCATCAGCAAAGACCAGAATTTCCCCGATGCAGAGGTCACCGATGCGCGCCGAGGATGGCAATGGGGTGATAAATTCTACGCCAATGGCCCCCGTCTGCACGAGTACCTGCAGGGTATTGGCGAGATTCTTAAAGAATACGACGCATTTAGTGTGGGCGAGATGCCTTTTGTTAAAGACGAGAAGGAAGTACTCAAGGCCGTGCAGTTCGACCGGAACGAGATTAACATGATCTTCAACTTCGAGCACGTCGATATCGACCACGGGCCCCATGCTAACAAGTTTGAACCCGGTAGCTGGAAACTTTCCCAGCTTAAGGAGTTCTTCGCGCGCTGGCAAACTTTTATGTATGCGAATGATGGGTGGAATGCGCTTTACTGGGAGAACCACGATCAGCCTCGCTCGATTGATCGCTTTGCGAATGCCCCTGAAGAGTATCGTCGTATTTCTTCCAAGATGCTGGCGATCGCGCTGGCCCTGCAATCCGGGACTCCGTTTGTGTACCAAGGCCAGGAAATCGGTATGCGGAATGTTCCAAAGTCATGGGGGATTGAAGAGTACAAGGATATTGATTGCCTCAATCACTGGTATGGGTAAGTGAAGGCATCTATCTCATCAATGTGCTGAAATGCCTTTTTGGCCATAACTAACCCGGCATCGAATCGACATAGAGAACAGAAGAAGGACTACTTCAATGCGGAAGCCCAGGCCATTGCCCGACAAGAGTACCAGAAGAAATCCCGCGACAACGCACGCACCCCAGTACAGTGGTCTGATGCTGAGAATGCCGGCTTCACTGGACCAGGCGTCAAGCCTTGGATGTCGGTGAACCCGGATTACGTTCGAGTCAACGCCGCAGCGGAAGTCAAGGACCCCAATTCGACCTACCACTTCTGGGCTTCGGTGCTTGGCCTTCGCAAGAAGTATCTGGATGTCTTCGTCTATGGAGACTGGGTCCAAGTCGACGAACCCAATGAGGAAGTGTTCGCGTTCACTCGTCAATACGAGAGCCAGAAGGCGTTGGTCGTGTGCAACTTCACCGCGAAGACTGTGGATTGGGACGCCGGAAGTAACGGGGTCTCTTCTATAAAGGAGGCGATTCTTAACAACTACGACGGCACTACAGAAGCTACACAACGCTTCTCTGGCGGCAAGTGGTCGCTCCGGCCTTATGAGGCTGCCGTTGTTCTTCTATAAATCCGCTCTTCAGCATAACTGGGCAGTCAGTGACTGTGTCCATAACACCACAATCCCACAAAATACATAGTATATGAGCATGAACAATCAAACTTGAATAGAACCAGCTTTACAACCCTGAACCATACCCTAATTTCCAAGGTGTCCCTTTGTCGGTGATCTCCGCGACTCTCTCGTATCGGAGTCCACTTATCCACCGGTTCCCCGCAACTGATAAGCCAGCGTTAACATTCCCTGCCTAAAGACTCCAACCCAACCATAGGAACTTCCCTTCTTCAAATAGACCGCTCATGTATACTACACAATGACAACACAAGAAACCCCTCTGCCTCTGCCAGCACACCTGGATCCCAAAACCTACCCGCGCACAACCCACGATGCCGCCAAAAACATCCACCTCACATTAACATACACCCCACTCGACGCCAACACCTACCTATCGCAAACCTCCTCGCCCGCAGCCGGCGCAAACGTCTTATTCCTCGGAACAACGCGCGATACATTCGAAGGGCGTTCCGTGTCCCAACTCAGTTATACAACCTACCCGCCTCTCGCGCTGAAGACATTGACGGAGATTGCGGAGGCGGCCGTGGAGAAACATCAGCTTTTGGGCGTGAGCATTGCGCATCGCATGGGGATTGTGCCGATTGGGGAGGCTTCTATTGCTATTGCTGTTAGTTCCGGACATCGGGCTGCAGGTTGGAGGGCTGGGGAGGAGATTCTAGAGGCTTGTAAGGAGCGGGCGGAGATTTGGAAGAGGGAGGAGTTTTTGGATGGGGGGATGGAATGGAGGGCTAATGCTGATCGGGATGCTGAGGGGAAGTTGAAGAGTAGTGAGGCTTTGTGAGAGAGACCTGACTTGGTGTAAGCCGGTGTTTGGGGAAAGAATTGTCAGGAGGGCTGTTTGGTGTGACTTTTCAAGTTGTTCTTGTTCTGATTGATAGCCCCGATAGACGAAGGCGGACGATTGGATAGAATGCTACGTACGCTGAAGGGGGTGTACTGTATGTACTGTTTATATAAGGTCAAGTATATAAGACAGTATCTGACTCCCTCTAACTGCCAGTAGAATCGATTGGCGGGTCTTGTGATTCGAGAGATAGCAGACAGACTCTATAGCTGGATATATTCGATGAGCAGGGTATTCAGATTTGACAGGGCTATGGTACAATTTTGATGATACATGTCGGCGCATTTATTCTAGCTTCAGCGGCTTGCCCTCGCGCTTCCAGTCGTTGATGTGCTCCAGGATAACCTTGGATGCAGACTCGGGGGTGTCCTGGCGACCGATGCACTCAACAAAGTCGTTGTCGGGGTCTGTCACGGTGAGTTAGCCTTCCGGTAATATAAAGTCAAGAGTCGGTATGCCTTACCCATCAGATAGAAGTAGATACTGTGGTCAACCAAGTAGTCCTCACCCGGCTTAACATCCCGAGGCGTGCTGAAGTAGACGCGGTACTGTTTGCAAACATTCTTCACCTGCTCGTAGGTGCCAGTCAAGCCAACGATGCCAGGGTGGAACTCCTTTAGATACTCGCGCAGCACCTCGGGGCTATCGCGAGCAGGATCACAGGTAATAAAAACGGGCAGGAAAACCTTGTCGTCCTTGGTAGCCTCCTTAACCTTTTCGATAATCTCGGCCATCTTATCCAATTCGTCGGGGCAGATATCGGGGCAATGGGTGAAACCGAAGTAGACCTGCAAATCGTAAAACGAGTCAGAAACAGTCCATCCCCCCCAGACCCCGTTTCCATTCAGACCGAACTCACAAAGCTGTATTTGCCCTTCAGATCCTCCGCAGTGAACTCCTTTCCATCCAGATCCTTCAGCGTAAACGGACCGCCAACCTTGGGTTTTCCAACACCCTTGCTCATCTCCGCAATACGCTTGCGCTCCAGACGAGCCTTCTCGACCCGGAAGTAAATCATCATGCCCGCGCCGGTCAACACGAACAGCAAGGCCGCCTTCCACGAGAAAGGCCCGGTGGAGTTGCGCTGCTTCAATTGACCCATAGTCTTGGAGCGAGCATAAGAGGCACTCGTTGAGAAGTTATTCCGGAGTTCCAAGGCACTCTTGATATTCTGGGTTGAGCGAGGGCGCTGCGCTTGGCAGTAGGCTCGACATTGTGATCGCGACGTGCTGCGGAGGAGGGGAAGAATGCGGTAGGATTGAGAGGATTCGGGGATGGAAATGACTCGGGCGGCCTGACCGAGTAGGCCGGCCATTCTCACGGAAGACGACATTGTCTGTTGGGGTGTGTTGGAGATTGGAGATCGAAAGGTCGAAAGGTCGAATTGCCGCGAGCTTCCCAAAAGTCTCCGGATTGTCGCCCGATCGGGTTAGTGTGTAGAGCCTGAGGCCAAAAGGCACGACTAATCAAATTGCAGGATTGGGAGTGGGCAATTTATCTGTTTGTGAACATTTGGTAGGGGAGTATTAAAATAGAATTTATCTTCTATGCATTATTTTCTAATGGGGTCTAGATATTGCAGTGAATAACCATTTGCTACTACTACTAGTAAGTGGCAGCCTGGAGATGGACCAAGTATATAGAAGGTTACTACTACTAATATTGAGAATATCGATTGTTTCCAAGGTTCAAGTTCAAGTTGTAATAATAATTCATTAATAATGCTGAATAGGCGCCCTATAAAATATCAATTTGAAAGTTCTAAATCATCATTAAATGAGAACAGGACAAAAAGCATGGGAATGGAAACTCCATTAATCATATCCCCGACATAACCCGCCAGCGAACTTGAATGAATCAAGTCGTTATCATCAGGATCTTGTTTTGATACTTCTCATCCCGCTGAGAAACAAGATTTTCTAGAACCCACTTCCCTGCATCTTCCCTGGTGATGGTATATCCAATAGCCTCCGACTCCCGACCAGTTTTGTGGTCCTCAATGCCAACCTGAACCGTCCTGGTAGTCTCGCCATTGGTCAAGAGACTTCCACGAACGATCGTATACGATTCACCACTGTCAATGAGCTTGTCTTCCATCGCTCGCTTGTCCTCGTGGGGGACTTTGAGAAGCACGAGGTAGAAAAATGCCAACACGATGGGGTAATCGCGACCATATTTCGACATTCCAGTCGTGCTGAAAGGGATAATGTGTGGGTTGCCGGTGAGGCCCGCATTTCGAAGTTGAGCAAGAGATTCAAGGACATTCGCCATTGCATTTTGACAGACGGTCGGGTCTTCGATGGACATTTTCCATTTAACCCATACTGGCCGGCTGCCAATCGTGGAAACGATGAAGTCGACGAGCTTCCCGTTTCCTGCGTCCAGACACTGCGAGACGGCTTTGATATCAAGCGCATTTCCCTCGATAATCTTTAAGTTGGGGTTTGACTCCGATGGAAATACGGAGGAGAGCTTTGAGGGCACTCGGCAGAGCGCTGTACATTGGTAGCCAGCGGCGAGGGCGTGCTTGAGTGCCGACAAGCCAACTCCAGTACTAGCACCGATGAAGGCGATGGTTTTGGTCGAAGTCATGATGGAGGTGATGATGATTAAAGGTGGTTTCAGTAGCCAGTTGATTGCTGGAGGTGGTGGTATTGAATATTTGATGAGCTGTGGGTGTGGTTATTGACTTGGGGGGGATGTCCCAACTATTTTATGTACAGTTGAAATGCCATGGGACATACCGAAAGATGACCGAAATGGAGATGCACTACAAGTAGGTTCAAATTTACAAGAAACTCGGCCAGATTTCGCCTTGTGAAGGAGTCACTCATATTTTGGGGGGCTGTGGCTGTCCGCTTTGCCTCATCCGGTCGCTGACATCGCTGACTTCGCGGGACATCACGAGCCAGCAATACAAGTTCACATCGTCAAAATATTGTGAAAGGGAATACTCGGATCATAATCACCTGGTGATTGACTTGTCGCGCAAGACTAGTTGCTATAGTATGTCGCAGGCTCCTGTGACATTCCCCAGCTCGTCCTCGTCCTCGTCCGCGCCCGCGTCGGCCCTCGCGTCGGGCTCGGCTTTGGAGGCCGAAAAACACGCGAGGGTGGCTGGTGAAGGTGAAACCTCATCCTCATCCCCGCGCGCCCCTAAGCCACGCAGCTGCGTGACTTGTAGAACCAGGAAGGTTCGCTGTGATAAAAAGTCCCCATGTTCGAATTGTCGTCGCGCGAATATCTCCTGTGTTTTCCCAACTACAGATCGACAGCCAAGATGGGCTCGGCGTCTCCAGCAGGGACCCCCCGGCGACGTCATGAACCGACTTAGAAGTCTGGAGACTCTCGTCAAGCATCTGAGTAGTCAGCTTGATGAAGCTCATGCTGCTGCTGCTGCTACTGCCTCTGCTGGTGGCTCACCCGATGTGAATTTCAACGGCAGCCACGAAGCAGACGCTACTAGTGGAATTGGTCGTCTATCTGCAAATCCGGGTAAGATGGACACACAATTTGGGAGACTTGTCGTCGAAGATCCAAATCGCAGTCACTATATTGGCAGTGGTTTTTGGTCACGGGTTAACGACGAGGTATGTAAATTTCACATTGTAGACAGAATGAGGTAACTGACTGACTCGGTGGCTAGTTGAATGACCTGAAGATGGACACACAGCATCTAGCCCTGGAGGGGAATGAAAGCTCTGATGATGAAGAATCATTCGGACAGACCCCATCTACCCAAGAGCTTGAACGGAGCCCTCTCGAACGAAATTCGTTCTTCTTTAGACACAATCTCAACCCGACTGCCCCCGATCTTCGCGAGTTTCACCCACTGCCTTCGCAGATACCTTTCATTTTGGATATTTTCTCAGAGAACGTGAATTCAGTCACCCAATGCGTGTACATGCCTGCCGTTACCAAGATGATCCGGGAGCTGCGAGGCGACATGACCCGGCTTACAGCGGCCAATGAAGCCCTATTGTTCTCAATCTATTATGCAGCAATCACATCCATGGAGAACGACGATATCATCATCAACTTCGGATGCACAAAGCAGGAGCTGAATCTTAAATATCGTCTTGGTCTTGAACATGCCCTCGCAAAGGCCGATTTTCTCAATGTCCCTGATCTCGCTTTAGTACAAGCCTTTGTGAATTTTCTTGCCCTTCTCCGCCGACACGACAGCCCGAGATTTGTTTGGATGATGACTGGTCTGGCCATCCGCATGGCTATCTCCCTGGGTCTTCATCGAGATGGCTCGAAGTTTGCAAACTTGAGTCCATATGATGTCGAGATGAGGCGCAGAGTCTGGTGGAGCATTTGCATGCTTGATGTTAGAACATCAGAAGACCAAGGAACTGAGTTCACTATCACCGAAGGGAGTTTCGATACCAAAATCCCTTCCAATATTAACAACGCAGATATAGGGCCAGATATCCAAGAGATGGCCCCTGAAAGGGAGGGGCTGACTGATATGTCCCTTCCGCGAATGTCTGCGCAAACAGTCATGATTGTAAGGGAAATGATGGCAAATAATGCTCAATCACCAAGCATTGAGGAGCAGAGCCGCCTGCTACACGAAATCTATCAAAGCACGGAAGAAACCTATCTGAAACACGCGACCGAATCGAGTATTGCGTACTGGGTTTCAGTCACGATCGCGCGTCTTGTCACTGCCAAGATGACCTTATTTGTGTATCTTCCGCATCTATTTTCTTCCCCTAGTGAACAACTCACGGGCGAAATAAGAGCTAAACTCCTCGCTTGTGCGATCGAGATTGCGGAATACAATCATGCTCTTAATTCCGAGCAGGCATGTCGCCACTGGCGCTGGGTCTACCAAACATACACCCACTGGCATGCAATCGTCTATATTCTAATTGAGATTTGCCGAGTACCGTGGTCGCCTATTGTGGAAAGGGGTTGGGTTGCCCTTCACAGTGCCTGGTTGATTCCTCCACAGTCACACATGAATCAAAACACACAATTTTGCTTCCCACTGAAAAGACTAATGGAAAAGGCTCAAACCCATCGTCGAAGCGAGACTGTGCGGCTAAGAAGTGACCCCCAAGCTGTCGCAAGTCTCGAAGAGGAGTATGGGAAAATACAGCTCCCAGCTAGTCCCGAATTGGATTCCAATGGAGCAATTTCATCACTCGAGCGATGGCGCCAGCTTGTGATGGATCACGGGGATGAGACATACGCGAGAAAAGACGATATTGTTGACCTTGGCAACAAATCGTTCATGCATACAGGTCTTGGGTCCACTTCAGCCTCTGGCGTTCAGTCCCTTCATGCCACTGCTAGCTCTAACTCGTCTGCACTCAACCCAACAGACGTTTGCCCCGTCGGCTTTGGCACGGCTATACAATCTGATTCCTTCCCGCCAGCGTCTGGAAATAATATGCAACAAGCAACAGACATTTTCCAAGAGGTTCCAACATACCAGCCAAATGGCGAGCCAATTGGCCCAGGGATAGTTCCTTGGTTGTGGGACGAGGAAGTCCCGTCGGATCCAAATGTTTTGTCTGCGGATATCAACATGGAGATTGATGATATCGATTGGTATGGTTGGGTTGATTCTGCCAAAGGCATGCAATGGGATGGGGGACCCAGCAGTAGTATTTGAGACACCAATAAATACAGCATGAAATGATTTCTCCTAGCTTTTAATTCACTGGAATATTTTCCCTGAAAATAACTCTAGAAATACGTAGCGAGAGATTACACGGCAATCAAATATCGCGGATGTGCGAGCCTAAGTATCACCATTTCGCGGGCCCAAAAATCTCACCTTCAGAAACTGTCTTCCTAACTGCGGTGGTGAGGGAATCCTGGAAGTTCTATATTAGCTTGAAGGCTTGAATTTAACCTTTGAAAACTCACCATTGTTTCAAATGGCGCTGTATTACCCCACCAATTGGGCAAAGTGGCACCGGGGAATGTAATTGCGAAGAAAATTACAATTGTGGAAAGAATGAGTCCAGTGTCAAGTCCTGCAGCAGTGATGTAGTTATAAGTGTGCCACCATCCGCGCCAGCGGCGGTGAATCCAGTAGTTAAAGATGAGTCCGAACATGGCCCAAGAGAAATAACTCAATGGCGTGGCACTGCATGATCCCAAGCGTCAGAAATGTCTCATTGCTGCGAGGGCAGCGTACTTACGGTGGAATCCAGGACATAGCCCCAAGCATCCTATCAACCACATTAGTACATGAGCCGAGCCAATACCGTCAATACTACTTACACAGGTGCATTCAAGAGTCTGGCTTTTGAGCGGGGAAATACCCGCATCAAGATGTAGAAGGCGACTGGAAGCAGTGCGCCTAATAGCCAAAACCATAAAATGCTATTGTATATTTTACCAGGTCCAAACATCCGCTGAGGGCCAATGACTCCTATCCATGGATATTATGGTCAGTAACGCAGCTATAAAGAATTCAAGTAAAATGAGTATCTACCCCATGTAATGCTGTTCGAGAAAAATGCTCTGCCGTTAGGGCATGTGAAGTGTGATGATTGATCGCTGCATATAAATGTTGGTTAGGGACCGAGCATTCAGTCAACAGGTTAATATAACTCACGAAGCGCAAACGTCCTCAATATTTCCCAAAGTCCAGTTCATGACCGCAATCTGAACAAAACAAGCCCAGATTGCCGCGACAGCTTGGCACATGAAAGTAACGCGAGGTGGAATCTTCATGTAGTGCGCAATCTTGAGATCTTGGCAGAAGGTTTGTCTGGAGAGTATTAGCAGCAATTTTGGAAGACTATTCAAGTGCGGAGAGTATGTGAGCATACGCTTGTCCCAACGTGATGGTACTGAAAACTTTGAAGACCATCACCCCAATTGGTTTTCCAGGGATCATGAAACCGGCTAGGAATGGTGATATAACATTGAGAGCTAAAATGGTTAGCTTTATCCAGCAGGATTGATCTGTCATGCATACAAAGTTGAATATTTGTGATTGCCAGGATCATACACGTCGGGACCTGCTAGCTGTTAGAGATAATTTTGCTGATACCAGGACCGCACGTACAATAAACACCGCTGCGATAATGATTGATACGAAAAGGCCCCACCCTATATTATTGTCAATTTTCATCAGCAGAGGGATATGCGAGCATCTTACAAGGGAGTTGCGAGTCGTATGCCAGAATACCTGCCAAGCCCAATGCAATAGAAACAGCACCCAATGCCGCATACCACCATTCAGGCACTTCTTGGTATTTCTTCATTAAAATCAAATGGATATCGGGCTCCTGCTCGCGAGCTGTTGTGAATCGGTGCCAGATTTCCTTGCGATGAAACAAGATGATATGCACAACGGCCGCGGTTAGGGCAGCGAAAGAAAGACCGTAATTCAAAGCAAATGTCGGGGCAAGAAACATAGGCGAGTATGCTTTGTATTTTTGCTCATCAAAAGAGAAACTTTCACCTAGAATTTTGGTGACATTGTAAGACTGCTGAGTGTTATCAAAAGTCGACGATGTGTTGATAGGCAGATAGGCAGAATAACTGAAGTATTAGTTAGTTTTGATTGTACCTATCCAGCTCCTAATCACTCACAAGGCCCCGGTGTAAGATATTCCAATAGTAGCAAGTATGATGAAAACCGTCAGTCCAATCAATGTATTGACTATGGCGTGTGCTGGAGCCAAAAGTGGATCGAGGAGATAAGCTGAGACGTAGCTAGTTCCCGTCAGTGATTTCTGGTATCAATCGGAATGAGATAAGGATAAACCAACGTCCAGTCAAAGGTAATTGGGATCAATGATAGCCCAGAGAACCCGCCGAATAGCTGGTTCAATACCACATTGTTTGGGCGAATCCCTATACATCGCATTTTAGTTTTCGAAAAGAATGTTCGAGAAAAATATACTTACAAGTAACAAACGCGAAAACCGAAAGACCTTGCCAGATCACACCTGGGATCCTTTTCAGGCTTAGCAATGATTTATCTAGCTCTTTAAAACTTGAAACTCACCAATACCAGAAAAATGCACCAGCCATAACGTAAATGAAGTATCGGTACCTGGAAATACTCCAACCATCTGTCTCGGATGGGTTGGAAGGTCGCTTATCATGTAGAGCGTGGAACAAAGCAGTATTGGCAAACTGGCCAGGCCATATCATAGCAGCAGGCCTAACCCTCATCAACATTGGAATTGTTATCCAGAGCATAATTTGACTTACCACACCAAGAATCGGCGAAAGATTCCTGCCAACGCAATCCCAACCACCTGGCTACTCAGCGCAAATAGCAGCTGGAAGCCCCATCCAATTTCCATATTATAGAAAGCTTCTGAGGTCAGTAACGGACGATCATGAAGAGGGCTCAAGCTCACGTTTCGCTTTCAAGGCTAGAAGAGCATCGGTACAATAGGCATACCCTATTGACACACTATAAATGAGGTATTAGAAATGGTCAAATGATATTTGGGCATTCTTACTTGGCCATAACCTAATAATTGTCAGTATATCAAAGTTCGATGAGGATAATACTTTCGTACCGTGATGACTGTATGTTCTTTGATGGTGAAGGGTCCTGTGTTCAATGTCCACCGTAGCCCAAACGTATTAAAAACCCTGGTTGGCATAACTCTAGCCCAAAAACACCCAATCGGATAGACAAGCAATTGTACGACGATCGCCGGAAAAGAGATAGCAGGACTTCTATAAGATGCTTAGACATGTTTCCTATTTGAAAAATAAGAACAAAACGGAGAGACATTGATTACGGACCTCATGCTCAGGAACATGTTCAGTCCGCTGCCAACAGTCGTGAAAAGTAGCCCGAGGATCCAGGCACGCACTGTATTCGCAACTTCTCCATTGTCGGTGTTGCGCACAGCCGCACGGACGGAATCATATTGCGAATCTTGTGCAAGCGCCTTATCCAACTCGACTGCTTTCTCGTGGTCACCATTCTCAACGGCTTCTTTGATCGTATCGAGTTTCTCCTGGGGTAGATTTGGATCCCATTGGTGTGACAATTCAAATTTCTTTAGCTCCTTTATGTTACCTGTCGCTATTTTTTCATGCTGTGCAAATTCCTCCGATTGCGAGGGCGAGATGCCGTCAATCTCGGGGACAGATGGATGCATCATGTCGATACTACCGGGGAAATTTTTTCGACAGACAAGCAATAGCAGTATGCCGAGGTCTATATAATGGGTGTTTATCATAGGGGCAGCCTCCTATTCCTTTGACCCCCACCCAAGATAAGCTCGCCCAAGCATTGCGGCGTACGGGATGCAACACTGTTTCCCCGCATCCCAACTGCGCGCAGGCCCGATAATCAAAATGACCTATTGAGGCAAAAAGGCGGAGTAAGATAGCACTAGCACCACTACACTCGCTTGTGATGGTCTGCTGACTTCGGTATGACCAGTCACATAGCCAGTTGAATGAACACAAGAGTCAGGACAGCATCCACCTGCTACTGTAGGATTAATCCCGATTACGTATGGCCTTTCAGACTCTATTGGCTCGCGGGCGTTCCAGTTGCACTCGATTATCGTTATTTACCGCTCCACGCCTTCAATCATTCCTTCGTCCTTTCCCCGCTCATCGACGCGGCCCAGTTCGCAAAATACTCAAGCGACGATGACATTGATTACTTTTCACAATGGGCTTCCCCGGCCTGAGGCATCAGAATCAACCATGCGTGGTCTGATTGAGCGAATCACGGAAGACCTAAGAGATATCGAAGTGTTTCTCCCCATAAAAATATCGACTAGAAGAGGTGAAAGAATGCGCGAGTTCCTTACGGTGGAGCTTAAATCATTGAAGCAATACGAACGGTATTTTCAGCGTTTGAACCAGGAGAGCCAAGTGGACTACCTGCTCATCAAAAATTACATGGAGGGCGAACTCCGACAGTTGGACCTCGATAGCAAACAAGACGAGAAGGCATCTTCGCTGATTCCATTCGCGACTATATTGGTTGATCTTTGTGAGGCCAGGGCCCTAGTTCTACCAATGAATTCCCAGGATGCTGCCCAGAAGTTGTTTGAGGTCCAGGTTGAAATTGCCAAAATCATTGGAAAGGTTGAAAATGAATACACCATGCAGCGGATTGAAAAAACTGTGGCATTCCGCGCGTCGCGCACCATCGATGCCCTGCGTGACCATTTGAAGGAATGGTATCTATTTTACAAAGGATACGATCCATCCTTTGATTGGTGGGTGTCAAATCCGTACAGTATCGTGGAAAGAAGTCTGAAAAGTATTTCCGCAATTATTCGCGATCGCCTTGTCGGAATTAAGGCAAAAGATGATGGCGCAATTGTTGGCCAGCCCATTGGGCGAGAGGGACTTCTTGCTGATCTTCAAGCGGAGATGATTCCTTACACCCCCGAGGAAATCATCTTGATTGGCGAGAAAGAATTTGACTGGTGTATTGTGGAATTGAAGAAAGCCTCGAGCTGTATGGGGCTAAACAGCGACTGGAGACAGGCCCTTGAAAAGGTCAAGAATGACTATGTCGAGGCCGGGAAACAAACACAATTAGTCAAAGAGCTTTTCCATGAGGCTGTTGCCTTTGTTGAAAAATATGATCTTGTCACAGTTCCATGTGTGGCCAAAAATGCCTGGAAAATGTTCATGATGTCGCCAGAGCGACAGAGAATAAATCCATTCTTCCTCGGTGGAGATTCAATCATCGTATCATACCCGACTGATACAATGGACCACGAGGCGAAAATGATGAGCATGCGAGGTAACAACATTCACTTCGCGCGTGCGACAGTCTTCCATGAAATGATACCGGGGCATCACTTGCAGATGCATGTCAATGCCAGATCTAAGCCTTATCGACGCATTTTTGACAGCCCATTCTCAGTGGAAGGCTGGGCCCTTTACTGGGAATTTCTGCTCTGGGACGACGAAAGGTTCGAGAAATCGCCCGAAAATCGAATTGGAATGCTTTTTTGGCGGCTTCATCGATGCGCCCGCATTATATTCTCGATTAAATTCCACCTTGGTCAGATGGCGCCTCAAGAGTGCATAGATTTGCTTGTGAATGCGGTTGGGCATGAACGCGCAACGGCCGAAGGAGAAGTCAGGCGATCTCTGAGTGGTGAATATTCACCACTCTATCAGATTGGCTACATGGTGGGCGCAATACAGATTCACGCTATGCGAAAAGAGGTCGTGGGCCAAGGTATAATGAGTGAAAAAGTATTCCATGACACGTTCTTGAATGAGAATCGGATGCCAAACGAGATCATGAGGGCATTGATGCTGGGCAAAGAATTAAATCCTAATTACAAGCCGAACTGGAGATTTTATCCTGATGTGAAATAAATGCCGCGCTCTGCTTTTTGACCTCAGTTGATCTGACAACTTTTTTGGACTCGATGAAATTCATTGGAGCCTTGTATATGAGACTTTTCCTCTTCCGACGGACTAAAAGACAAATAGATCGGGCAGCAGCACGGGTAAACTTGACAGGGTGACCCCATCGAGGTAAGGACTTGGTGGTTTGGTGTTGTTTAAATCTTTCCAAGGTTTTGTAAACCGGAGTTCGACTGTCGCCAAAATCGGAAGCAATTTTGGAGGCAGATATGTCTGATTCTTAAGCATCTATAATAGCCGAGCGAGCTTCAGATGATAGCTCTGCCCCCTTTTTACGATCTTGCGTAGTTTTTTGGGCGATACTCGCCATGGTCGTTGGGTGGTGAGTGAAACAACAAAGCGCGGTTATGACGCGAAAATAACGCTAGTTGTGTTTCTCTATCACAGTGGACCTTATAAAATAGCTAGAGTCTGAATGGGAAACTTTTACTGCATTTAGTTTCACTGCATATGCAAAGGCGAGAGACCGGACCATAATGAAAACTGATAAATAATAAAAAATTCATGACTTATTAGAGTGAAGATAGGTGTCACTATTAACATGCTTTCTCCGAGGTTTATTTTTGGTTGCCCTCAAAAAGGATATCGAGAAAGGTTTCTTTGGGGAATTGGGGTTTGATAAGAGCCGCCGACGAGGAACAAAAGTCTATTCAATAAACGAGAAGTCTAAGGTAATTTCTTAGAAGACCACACCCTTGACCTGTTGGACTGCCTTGAGGTCAATGTTGCGAATCATCATAGTCCAAGGAACAGCGAGGACCATGATAGCGGTACCAGCAGCAAGCATTCGAGTCTGCGCATAGCCGTAGGAGTTCTGGATAGCAGTTCTGACGGGCGATCCAGGTACGTAAGACATCTGGGTCTCGATATCTTCATAAATTAGGTCAAAGTTGTCCATGACCTCTGCCGGAAGATTCCGTCTGAGAGCCTTTTTAAAGGTGGCCTGCCAGATAACACCACAGATGGTGGAGCCGGCAGCATCGCCAACAGTTCCGACGACATTCAAGAGAGCAAGGACGGTGGCAATGTTTTCGTGTTCAACGGCTGCGAGGATAGCCAGCTGCTCGACGATAATAAACACAGCTCCACCAATGGAGATGAAGACCTGGCACATTACAAGATATCCAACCGATTGATTGGGGCGACGGAAGTAGATCATCAAGCCCTGGGCGAAGATATAGAGAGGAACAGCAATGTAAAGCAGCCACTTAAAGCGACCAGTCTTGCGGATCATAAAACCAACTCCAAGAAGCAAGACGCCTGAGACAACATCGAATGTGTTCGCGACATAGCCCGACTGTGAGATCGTAAGATCATTGACCACCTGAAGGAAGGACGTGAAGTATCCATTCCAGCAGTAGTAGCACAGCTGATAGGTTGCATCTAGCAAGCAAGCACCAATAACAGTACGGTCCGAAAGCAACTTCCAGCTGAGCATCGGACGAGGTGCGATATAATTCTCGTATAGAACGAAAACAAAGAGCATGACAAAGCCGACGACAATCATGGCAATGATGTAGTCAGTACCCCAGCTATTAGGAGCCTCAGCTGCGATTGAGAATGGAAGAAGGAACACAACGAGGCCGCCAGAAAAGAGGAAGACACCAATGATATCGAGCTCATTGGCATAATGCCAGATGTTCTGTAGAAGAGTCCGATTGCTTGGCTCCCTCTCAAGCAAGCCAGACTTCTTGGCCTTGTGAAGATTCCATTTCAGAATGGCGAAGAGGGGGAACGCGACGATGGGAAAGATGATGGCGAAGGTTCCAAAGGCCCAGCGCCAATTAATGAGCTCGAGGTAATCCTCGGCCACCTTTGGGCCAGCGAAGGCGGTGATGATGTACGGGGAAGAGGTGAAGGCGAAGGCCAATGCTCGATTCTTCAATTTCGATGCATCTGCAGTTACGACATCGATGGTATAAGTCATACCACTGAAGCCGATATTGTAGAAACACTAAAAAGCATAATCTTATTAGTCACAGAGAAATTGTGTTCAGACCGGGCTGCTTACATAGGCGGCACAGAAAGTCGGGAGGTTATGGCAAGCAGCCATCATGATCAGTCCCAGAGTTCCGAAAATAACCATGGCTAAGAAGCCCTCGGCACGACCAAATGTATCCATGGCCCGGGCCACGGGAATGAAGGTTGCAGCTGCCATACAATCACCAACAACGTAAATGGTGTTCAGCAACGAATGCGAGGAGAAGTCGCTAGTAACATAGGGGACCACGGTCCAAAAGACCGACGATTGGAAGGCATTAACGAAGTATAGGAACCAAATACTGCCAGAGAAAATTAAGTTAGTTTTAGATCGCAAGATAGGGCTGACGATCGGCAGAATAGGGCCGAAACGAACTTGATGAAAACGGCGATCAGCGTGCCCTTGGTCCAGGTCAACGTTGTGGCCTCGATGTTCTTGACACCCCGCTGCACATCTTCACTCGGGCGCTCAGGATTGTGCTCCGAGCCCTTTTCATGATGAATATCATTGACTGGGACCGCGCCAGCAACGACGGAGTCAGTCTTCGTCTCCTCTGCCGTACTGGTCACAGCGGGAACAGACTCTTCAACCGATTGGCGCCGAAAAGCGCGGAATCTGTTGATTACCGTCATTGCTTATTGAACAACCTTAGGTTGATTGAAGCAAAATGGTCAAGGAACTGGAACTCAAACGAGTACGAAATCACGCGGGGGGGAAAGTTTATCTTTATGGCAATCACTAATTTTATCGGCTAGAGTTCACTGATTGATACCTTTTCCTCGCGTGTTGATTTTGTGGTACACTAACTCGATACATACTTGCCAAGGGCCTCAGAGTCCTTGGCTGGCCTTGGCTGGCCTTGGCATCGCCTGAACCTGGAACTTCCACCGATATTAATTCGCTGGTGACCGGACGCCATTCGCGGATAGCAATAATTGGCACTAAGTTAAGCAGCAGCACAGTCACTCTTTGCATTCACCTCCCAATACAAGCAAATCGGCAGTCACAGTCACAGACACATACGTACAGGGTAGAAGCATGTGCACTTCATGGAGGTGAGGGGAGATGACAATACGAGCGCGCGCACAGAAGAAGCTAGCCCTTATAATTGCAAAAGGCGTAGCAACAAGGCGATTGGACATACGGGCTCCATCTAATCAGATGATCGAGCAAAGGAACGGACGCGGCGCGGGCGGAACCGGCGCTTCAGTTCCAAATTCTCGAAACTCAAGTTCCACCTTTACTGCAATCGAGTAGAAACAACCGAAGCGAAGGGTGGCTACTTGGAGGCGTCGTGGAAATGTCCCGAGACGGTGGGGGCCACGCAGAAGCCACGTACAGCCAAGATCTTGGCGGAAAGAATGCCTGAGGATGAGTGAGCGAGAAAAATGAACTTGGTGCTTCGCACCCAAAAAGGTTTAGAAGAAAAGTTATCAGATTCTTTTTTTCCGGTCCGTGCGATGGTCTGACGAGACAAGTGGAGTCTAGATAGATTCGGAAACACCCGACTTCGCCGGGGTATTAATTACATACAGCTAGTGGTAAATAACGAGCATCTAGTATAACTTACAATACTTACATTACTTACAATACTTACAGTATGATGGACTCGGAGTCGTTTGGGCTTCGCAGTTTTCTCGGGGCTTGGCTTTGCGGAGTTTAGTACTCTTTTGGGGGAAGATAGTCGAGTACACATGGGCAGTATAATTTAGGCACCCTGAGATCGAGAGAATTGAGGAATAAAACTCCACAAGTCGGAATACTTGCATAATTCCTCCAAGATCTTCATTCCTTTTTACCATGAATGCAGCCCTGGAAGACGAATAATGGGGCCGAGTTATTAGCTGACGCACTACAGGATCGAATGCAACCCCAGGGGCTAAAATAGTTATTAATTTGGGTGGCCGTTTTGAAGGTCACTTAGACTAGTACTTGGCGAACTTACATCTGATAAGCTGAAATTAAATACGAAATACAAAGCTTTGAACCCATGGATCATTACCGCCACCAGTAAATTATCACGAGCCGAGACCATCTGATTAGATTGAGTTGAAATTTTTTCCCCCTCTTCAAGTTCTGCCCAGGCGACACCATTATCGCCTTACAGCTTGGAATTGGCCCACCTCACAGGTCGCTTCTCCACAAACGCCTGGATTCCTTCGGAGAAGTTTTCTCCACGCATTAGGCGAGGGTACCATTGATCCGCCAGGGTGGATACGGCCTCCTCCGCACTGCCATATTCCCAGCTCATCCGAACCCCTTCACGGCCGACAATTAGCGCGTCCGGACTGTTCTTGCACATTTCCAAGGCAATCTTCACTGCGGCGTCGGCAACATCTGCTGCGGCATCCACCACTTGGCTAATGAGGCCCCATTTTTCGAGAGTTTTCGCATCCACCGTCCTACCAGTCAACACGAGGTCCATGGTACGTTGGAGTCCAATCGTACGTGTTAGTCGTGGAAGACATCCGGCCACAGGAACAATACCGCGCTTCACTTCCGGCAAGGCGAATGTGGCGGATGAAGACGCGATCACAAGGTCACAGTTGGCGATCATCTCAAAGCCTCCTCCCATGCAGATTCCATTGACGGCGGCGATAATCGGCTTCTTACCACTTCGTCTGGGCAAACCAGCGAGTCCAGGTGCATCCATACTGTTGATTTCACCTGTCTGATTCATTCGATTCCATTCTGCGTGGGTGGATCCCAATCAGCTGATGCCAGAGACATTGTTATCATCATGGGAAACTGGTTATAATAATTACCTTGTAAGTCAGCCCCAGTGCAGAAGGCTCTGCCGTTGCCAGTGATAATTCCAACCCATAAAGTTTCGTCTTGGTCAAATAATTCCCAAACCCCCTGGATCTCGCGACTCGTGGTTTTGTCGATTGAGTTGAGCTTTTGCGGTCTGTTGAGGGTAACTTGGAGGATGCGCTCGTCCGGAAACGAGAGAGTGAAGTTTTGGTAGCTGAGGGTCCTGCTTCGTAGAGACATGGTGGCTGTTGCGCGTGAGATAATCTATCAAGGCAGCCTTTAGTATAGATCTGGTGAATAGGGAGTATTATACTCGTACTCACATCTGAATGTGGTGGGTCTGTGATCGATCAGTAAAGTGCAGAAGGTGCCACCAAAGAAACTCGGGCAACTTTAACGACGGAAGGAAGCGACCATCGGGGTGCCATTTTGGGGATTTTGTTCCTGCCGAGGCTCAAAGTTCACTATGTATGGCTGGTATGGCTGGTATGGCTGGTATGACTAGTAGTATGACTCGGACTCGGACACGACATTCGCTTAAAATTCAAAATCCGAAACTAAAAGTACCAGAAGGCTGCCATGCTAAGACAGAGCTTCGACCTAATTGGATCATCTCGGCATAGTTAACCCTTTTGGTAAATCCCCTGGAGGGGGCTAAGGTTGTCTATTATTACTCCGTCAGATTACCGAAGGGTCCTTCGACATAAATGGGATTCAAAAGCCACAAAATCCTGCAGAATTTCTTGTTCAAGCTTATACCTTGAGTTACACCACAATGGCGTCAATTTCTTCACATCAATATCCACTGGTGAAGCTACCACATCCTTTTCTGACCGCATATCGGATCAATGCTGTCTCAAATACAAATACAGCCAAGCTCAATTTGGCATTCGACAACCAACCTGCGAATGGACGTCCTTTACCTCAGCCTCTGCACCTCGACTCTTTGACTTGGAGCGAGCTTTCTCTCATTCCCGAAACCCAACGACCACCTGTCAATGATAATACTGCGTGGGGTCGGGCACGTCGGAGTCCCGAGACTAAATTTGAATGGTCTGGAGATAGCGCGCCTTCCCTGGGCCAGATTTGGAACGTGATTCATGCGATCAACCTGTCACACCCGACAAACGAATATTTCCGGCTGCATCTTCAAGGTTCCGGCAACGATGTTATTCGAAGCGAGCTACTATCCACAGGCCTAGCGATTGTTCACCCAAAGCCTTTTCAGCCCTGGTCTAAAGGATCTGAGGAATTTGACGAATTGTTGGTGCTCCGAAGTTCCTTCTGGCAGGGCGCCGCTTCTCCCCTGGGCCCTCGTCCGATATGGGCCCTAGGAGATGGCACAGATGGCCCTGTGCGAGAGACGTTGGCAAACTACCCCATTATGCCAGAGAACTACCAGATGACATCGAAGTTCCCTGCCGAACCCGTATATACCCGACATCCGACACGCCGCCCCAAACCGCATCCCGGGTCCATTGCCTACAGCCGCTATATTCCTGAGATAGATGAACACTTTTCTCTCGAAGTGGTGGATTGGCAGAACCATGAGCATTTAAAGACCTTCAATAAATGGCAAAATGATCCACGTGTTGCGCAGGGATGGAACGAGACTGGCACCTTGGATGAGCACCGCGAATATCTCCGCAAGTTACACTTCGATCCTCATGTGCTCTGTTTGTTCGGCCGTTTCAACGATACACGCTTCTCCTACTATGAGCTTTACTGGTCTAAGGTTAGTACTACTTCGCTGTTCTATAACACTATTCATTGTGGCAAGTTGCTGAGGGCGAATCTTTTGTTTAGGAGGACCACTATGGTGCGCACTATAATGCTGGTGACTACGATCGCGGTCGCCACTCTCTCGTGGGAGACTCCTCATTCCGCGGCGCGAAACGGGTCAATGCGTGGTACTCCAGCTGCATTCATTACTGCTTTTTGGACGATCCTCGAACCGCGAACGTGGTGGGAGAACCCAAAGCTGCGGGTCCGATTATTCTCTCCTACGAGAACGCCCAGGGTTTAACGATTGGAAAATACGTTGATTTGGGTCATAAGCGATCGGTTCATTCTATTGCAAGCAGGGAAAAGTGGTTCCAGCTGTGCCCACTTTGGTGGGACGGCCGTGAGCGACCGCTCGAATCGGCCGATCGTGCTGCATGGAATGCTAAGCTGTAATCCTAGACTTAATAAATTGCTAGATATTTGATCAAGAAAAAATGTACCTCAAAATTGCGATGACATAGCCAGCATCCTTATTTTCCTAAAATGAATATTTTCTTTGCCCATTAAGCCAAATAATGTTGCCTTGAAGCGCATGTGTTGCTCGACGACAAATCCCCACCGGAACAGGCCCGATTGGGTCAAGCTGGAAAGATTCGCGTGTCAGAAGGATAAGTCAAGTCAACTTGCCGGGAACCGACCCAGCAAAGTCCACTGCTGCAGTCCTGGAGACTAGAATTGGGGGGAGTGGAGACTAATAATGTGCTCATTTTGTCGCGTGCTGTGGATGGAGTCAAATATGGAGTCGAAGTCCGAGATTGATAGTGTATATTACAAGTACAAGTAAAGATACAAATTACAGGACAAAAGTTACCGCTAGTGCACCGTTTCGTATATCGCGCGTATTGAGAAATCGCCATCTCCACCCCACTTCACCAAGTGTTCCAACACCCGTAGGGCGCGGTGTTGCGCTAATTGAGCTCGTGTCGTCGTGCTCCTCTTGTGGATTTGATCTGCTAGGACTCAGTACAAGCCGGTTCGATGTGGACCGATGTCGGCTGAGCCCTAAGCCCATTTGGGTTATCGTCAGGGCCCCTGGGGATTTTTCTTGAAGAGAGATGTGAACTTCCTTTAACATGCTCGAGCTTCCTACGAGCTTCTATCGATCCTCAGCTGTTTTCAGTCTTCCTACAGCGTCATAGAATTCAAATATATCGTCCCTCATCGCTGGAGTGGATAGCCTAACTCGTGACGACGTGACGGCTGCTCTCCTGGCAGCATAATCTTATCAATCAGCGGCTTCCTTATTCGTGTTGCAGGCCAACGCGCCAAAATCAGATCGCGATGGGAATCCTCTCAAAGATGGCGGGTTACCCCCGCATGATCCTTGCTGGAGGTCCTTCAAAGATCGAGCTGGGAATGCTGTTCGTCGGCTTTGTTGCTGCTTGCGCATCTGGTGTCCCATTCCCTTTGATTGGCATTCTCTTCGGTCAATTACTCGATGACTTCAATGAGGCTACCTGTAACGCCTCCGCTGGGACTGCGACTGCCGCATCTAATTCCTCAGAGCAAGGCGATATCAACTCCAAAATTTTGATCATCTTCTACCTGGCCATCGCGCAATTCTTCACAATCTACATTCACCTTTCCTGCTGGACCACCTACGGCGCACGTTTAGCGCAGAGACTTCGTGAAAGATACCTACAGAACTTGCTGCGACAAGAACCATCATTTTTCGACAATCTTCCTCCTGGTGAGGTCGCCTCGCGATTGAACACGGACATCCAGACAATTCGCTCAGGATCATCCGAAAAAGTCGGAATCTGTATTTCAAGTTTCTCCTTCTTCGTTACGGCCTACATCGTCGCCTTTATCAAACAATCTGTGCTGGCGGCTATGCTCATCTCGCTGATTCCCGCCTACTTCTTGATGTCATTTATCGGAAGTTACTACATCGAGAAGTACTCTGCCCGCGTATCGGATTATGCTGCGTCTGCCGCCTCGATTGCCTCCGAGGCACTTTCAAATATTGTCGTCGTCCATGCCTTTGGTGCAAATACTCGCTTGGAAGAGAAGTTTTCCAAAGCTCTCAAGGAGAGTGAGCGCGAAGGAATGAAGAAGGCTACCGCTATTGGTGTCCAAGCTGGATTCCTGTACTTCATTGCTTACTCGGCAAACGGCCTAGCTTTCTGGCAGGGAAGTAGGAAGGTTGCGGAGTCAGTAGATGATTCCAATGTCGGCTCTACCGTTGGTTCGGTGTTCACCGTCATCTTCATTCTAGTTGAAGGTAAGCTCTTATTCCTTATGGGGCTGTGTGTGATTCCACTAACAGAACTCCAGCTACTTTACTCCTAAGCCAAGTCGCACCATTCCTCCACCTTTTCACTGCCGCAGTTGCCTCATACGAGAAGCTTCGTGGAGATATGGAACGTGAACCTCAGATCGATGGTACTACCGACGCGGGTATTCGTCTTACTGAGGCACAAGGAGGATTTGAATTCAACAATGTCTCATTCTCCTACCCATCTCGACCCGAAATCACTGTTCTCGATAAAATCAGCCTAAGCATCCCAGCAAACAAACACACAGCCCTTGTTGGCCTCTCGGGAAGTGGCAAGTCGACTATTGCTGGTCTTGTCACACGATTGTACGATCCAAACCAAGGAGAGATTCTGTTCGATGGACATAATCTGCGGGATATCAATACGCGTGATCTGAGAAGTTTCCTTAGCCTGGTGCAGCAGGAGCCATCACTCCTAGATCGCTCGCTTCTGGAAAACATCGCTCATGGTTTGATGAGTTCCAGTAACCCCGAGCACAAGGAGCTGAAGGCTGCACTTGTAGCATCTGATCTTGAGGGCCTTGCCAGTGAAGTCAGAGATGGCATGGATTTGATGACCGCTGCCGAAATTCGTGGAGCCGAGGTTGTCAAAATCGTGAAACTTGTTCAAGAAGCTGCTGTTCTCGCAGACGCAGACGGTTTTATTTCCGCTCTCGACTATGGCTATGCTACTAGTGTTGGTTCCAGTGGTCGTTTGATCAGCGGTGGTCAAAAGCAACGTGTATCTCTCGCAAGAGCTCTGATCAGAGACCCCACGGTGCTCATCCTTGACGAAGCTACCGCCTCCCTCGACTCCCGAACTGAGCGTCGCATCCAAGACGCTATCAACAGAATTTCCAGCGGCAGAACTATGATCACAATTGCTCATCGTCTATCAACAATCACCAACGCCGACAACATTATTGTCATGCACAAGGGACATATTGTGGAACAAGGCACTCATTCAGAGTTGATGGCTATGAATGGAACCTATGCCAACCTCATCTATATGCAGGGACTTGGTGGTAGCTCCGGAAAGACCGACACCAGTGTTAGCATTGACAGTGTGAGCAAGTCCGACCAGAGTTCTTTCACAGACACAGAAATTGAGAAGAGCGGTTCCAATGATATCGCACCCGACGAGAAACGCAAGGCCTCTGCAACTGAAATCCAGGTTTCCGCTGCTCCAGAAGAAGAGGAAGAGCCGGAGGCCCCCAAGAAATCAATTTGGGCTATTCTGCGCGGATATGGTCCAGCTCTAAAGTCGCACTTGTTGATCTTTTTCGTGGCTTTGATCGGATCTGTCATTGTTGGCGGAGCGTTCTCCGGCGAGGCTGTCATTTTCGGCAATACAGTCGGAAGCTTGAATCCTTGCAAAAGCGCGGATAGTATCCGGTCAAGTGGTAACTTCTTTGGACTTATGTTCTTCGTTCTTGCTATTATTGAGTTCTTCTCAAACCTTGTCAGCTGGGCAGGGTTTGGATGGGTCTCAGAAAAGATGGTTTATACCGTCCGCGTTCTGTCTTTCCGCTCACTCTTCGAGCAAGATCTGCAATGGCACCAGTCCAAGGGCCGAACACCGGCTCTGCTTCTCTCTTATATCACCCGAGATGGAAATGCTTTGGCTGGCTTGAGTGGTTCGGTCATTGGAACCTTGATTTCGATCACAGTCAATCTTATTGCTGCAATTATCCTGACGCACATCATCGCCTGGAAGATTGCACTGGTTTGTCTGGCGCTAGTGCCTCTTCTCTTGGGAGCAGGCCTCATGGAGCTCCACGTTCTGGGTAAATTCGAAGAAAAACACGAAACCGCATACACAAAGTCAGTCGATATTGGCGTGGAAGCTATTACTTCTATCAAAACAATCGCTTCGCTCTCTCTTGAAAAGGATATCCTCAAGAGCTACCGAAAGTCTTTGAAGGGTCCCCGGAAGGAGACCCTAAGAGTCACCCTCCATGCCAGTCTCTGGCAAGCAACAACATATTTCTTAGGAAATTGCGTTAATGCTTTGGCGTACTGGTGGGGTGCTAAGCAAATTATTGCGGGCACTTACACTCAAACTCAATTTTTAATTGTTGTTTTCTCTCTCCTTGTCAGTGCTCTTCTCTGGAGTCAAATGTTCGCCCTCGCACCTGAACTTACAAATGCTCGGAATGCGATGGCTCGCATCCTTGGCCTAATTGAACTTGGATCTGAAAAAATGAGTGGAAAGGTGCCAAGTCACGATGAGACTGATCGCTTGAATAATAACGACCCCGAAGCAACTGCAGAGCCGAAGCCTATTATTTCCGATGGTCAAGCTTCGGGTGTTCAGTTCCACGATGTTCACTTTGCGTACCCAGCTCGTCCAGATATGAAGGTTCTCAACGGATTGAACATTGACATCCGACCGGGCAAATTTGCTGCTCTGGTTGGACCTAGTGGTGCCGGAAAATCGACAATCATTTCGCTCGTTGAGCGTCTCTATACACCAGAAGCCGGATCCATTCTTGTGGATGGCTTTGATGTGACCAAGGGACATAGCGTCTCTTTCCGTGACACTATCTCGCTCGTGCCTCAAGAGAGCGTGCTCTTTGAAGGAACCATTGAGTTCAATATCAGCCTTGGTGCCGCACCTGGACGTGATGTTACCTTGGCCGAAATTGAAGAGGCCTGCAGGCTTGCAAACATTCATGAGACTATCATCGGTTTGCCAGATGGGTATCAGACTATGTGTGGACCTAATGGAAGTCAATTCTCGGGAGGTCAGAAGCAACGCTTGTCGATTGCTCGTGCTCTTGTTCGCAGGCCAAAGCTATTGATTCTTGATGAGTCAACCAGTGCTTTGGATGCAGAGTCTGAGAAGCTTTTGCAAGATGGCCTTGAGAAGGCCGCGAGAGGCATCACTGTCATTGCCATCGCCCATCGTTTGCGTACGATCAGAAAGGCAGATGTCATTTTCCTGATCGAAGCCGGTCAATGCGTTGATCATGGATCGCATGAACAGTTGCTCGAGAGATCGGAGAGTTATCGGGCTAATGTTATGCATCAAACAGTGGCCACGGAATGAAAAGCTGTTTTATATTTTGAGCATTAGATTTGAATTTTTAATTTGCTAGAGACAATAATATTTTCTTCATTTTCTTCCACTGCTTTTTACAACATATAATTAGTACTAGTAAATTTTAGAATGAAAGGAGATCGAATTGGTTTCCACCTGGGCAAGGTTCACGGGAATAACCTTGGGATATCTATGCCATTGACTCCGAGTCGGGCTAGTATGAAGGAAGGTAATTGGACTAATTAAAACAATCAGAGAAACTTGAATATCAGTGTAGATAATGTTGTCTTATCGAAGCAGTAGCTACTAGTAATGTGTAATTATAATCATAAAAATGAAGATTTCAATATCAATCTATCAAAAGAAGTATATAGAATAAGATGATTTCTTGTGAGCCGTAATCAGAAGAATTTTGCGTCGAGCAAAAGTTCCGATTGATGAGCCTCTAGTTTCTGGACGGTAGAGACCAATTGATCAAGAAGCCTATCCACAAACGCCGTGTCACTTTCACAGCCAACCAGGCCAACATGCATCTGTCCTTCGCGGACATAAGAGACTACCTTCAATGGACTAGGAGAGTCTCCATGGGGATTCAGGATATCCACCTTGAGGGACTCTCCCGCGAAAGACATAGAGTCAAAGTCATCCCAATCTTGATGATGCACAAGAGAATCGAACGACTGTACATCCGAGGGCCACTTGGCACACTGCTGTGAAATCTCCTGGAAGCCGACAAAGTCATAGGCTGCAGACTCAGCTCCTTGCTTCTGAACGAATTTTAGCAAGTCCATGCCAGTCCAGTGAGATTCGAAAGGAACTCTGACAGGGGTCAGCTGATAGCATGGCCCCATGGCATTTTCCACATCTGCAGAGTCAAGCATTCGACCCGAGCTAACACTTCCAAAAGTCACATCTGAATTTTCAAGATTGCGGGCCAAGACCAATGCCCATGCGGCAGTGAGTAGGCTTGCAGTGGTGATTTCCTCAAGAGAAAAGAAAACATCGACAGGTTTTGTGTGGAACACCGCCTTCTCGGTAGGCTGTCCCGATTTTCCTCCCAGGATTGACATGGAAGAACCACTCAGAAGCTTATCCCAGTATGCAATAGCCTTGCCGTTTGCGCGGTCATCGGAGATACGAGCCATATATGTGGAAAATGGCACATACTCCAGAATATCGCTTCCGGTATACAGTGCCTCCAGATCCTGTAGGAGGCGAGGTAAGGAAACGCCATCATACTGCGCATGGGAGAGACCAAGGATAAGACATTCGCGACCATCGGTCCCTTGGACATGGAAAATCTTGAAGAAGGGCGACCCCAGTTTGAAATCCTCCTCAGCGTGGGAGGTGCAAACATCAACAACAGTTTGCTCCAGTTCTTTCTCGGCCCCTTGCGTCACCACGGGCGCGTACAGCCCGTCCAAAACGACCTGGAGGAATGTGGACTCGTGCTCGATGAAGACAGTTCTCAAGATGTCGTGTGTCTTTATGAGATCACCGCAAGCACGCAGCAACCTCTCGCGATGAATTCTGTCATCAAAATACAGCATAGTGTACTGCATCGAAGTACGTGGTGGCTGAATGGTTGCCTTGATGTCGAGTGCTTGTGAATCTGTCACTGGATACACATCTCGAATTTTCCAACTCGGGTTGGCAAGCTTCGGTCGAACGAAGATCGACAAAAACATTTCGAGGTCCGAACGACCCAGCAGGGAGAATGGTCGATAAGCTAAGGCCTTGCTTGACGAAGCTTGGTCAACCTTCAGTACCTTCGCAGCATCGCCTAGGCGCATGTTCTGGAAGATGTTCGCGACCGTCAAGCCGTGCCCTTGTGAGCGAAGAGATGATACCAGTTTCATTGCTAAGACAGAGTCACCACCCAACCGGAAGAAATTGTCATCGGCGTCGATATTTTCTTCCGGAATACCTAGAATCTTTGACCATGCCGATCGGAGGATGGTTTCAGACGGTGTCAAGCTACTTCGAACTGCGCTGCTTTCCCACACCGTCACAAATGATTGTCGGATCTTTTCAATGAAATCAGGAGAAATGCTTGATGCCAGCTTGTTGAGCAAATTGTGATCAACATTTCCCATATTGGTGGGAATTTTCTCGACCACAAGATATGCCGTAGGGATCAGATAGGACGGCAGGTTGTCTTGGGCAAATTTTTTCAGCTTCTTCAGTGCCAGGGCGAGCTCGACGGAGATTGTCATGCTGATGGTTGCGTCTGTATATTGGCCGGAGGTTTCGCAACTGATTTGGTGCGATTCCGAAAGGAGTGTCACGCTTTCCTCGTCAATCGGTGTTTGCTCGATGAAAATGACAAGTTCCTGCTTCATCACTTTCTTTGTTTGTGCAGGATTGCTCTGGACCACGGCTGCAGCAAAGCGAATAGAGGGAGGGAGCTGCTGGGCGAGGTTAACCTCGACCTCTGCGACATCAACGGCGTGTCCTTGAGCTGGCACTACATTCTCCTTGCGGCCAACAAACACCAAGTTACCGTCCTCAAGAAGCTGAACCATATCTCCAGTCGCCTGTATTTGTCCCTGACGGCCAGGAACTCCGGGAACTCCGGTTAGAAGCCAGTCAGGGTTGTCAATTGTTTCACCAGACAAAAGAGATCCTTCCAGCCAGAGCTCACCAATACACCCAATGGGCGACAGAATGAAGGGGTTACGTGGATCACAAACCCAAGGAACGAATGCTCGGGGGTAAATCGCACCATGCTTGATGCTGGAACCTGCCTGGAATGTCTTTTGCTCTGGGTTGGCTGATAGCGGTGCCGTTTGATTCCAATTCCAGATCTGATTCAACTCGACCTCTGGAAGACACGATATCTCCCCGACTCGTGCTGATATATTTTTGGTCAGCTGTTGGCATGCCGTCTCAAGTTGCACCAATACGCGTTTCATCTGCGCGACTGAAATAAGGCTGCTGTCAAAGCTAGCACAGATTCTGAAGCCACTCTTGCGAATTCCACATGCCAACATCAGTGGATAAGGATTGAAATGGAGGGCTTCTCGGGCCACGTCCCCTTGTTCGAGTCCAAGCTTGCTTGCTGAGGTGTCGGGATCAGGTTGAATGACCAAGCCAGTGCCGGCCTCGCAAGCATGCTGGGCATCACGGCTGACCTTTCTGATATTCTGCATACCCATATGCTGATATCGCACGCGAGTCAATATCATATTTTGCACACTATGGAGATATGACTCGACGGTACTCAATCGGTTGACATTGACACGCACAGGAAGCGTTGCAATAAGCGGACCAATGATTCCTTCGACTCCCCTTAGTGCAATATCACGTCCAGTGAGAGTTTCGCCAAACACAATATCATCACTTCGTGTGTACTGAGATGCCACCAGGGCCCAAGCGCCACGGATCAAAGTGGCCATGGTGAAAGACGCGCTTTCCGGCATGGTAAAAGCAATCTGGTGCTCAATGAAACCATCGGGTATTGGCAAGAAGTCCCGAGATGGCAGACGAGGGAATTGAGGACCAACGGCACCATCAAGCTCCCGCTTCCAGAATTCTCCCATGGCTTTTTCGTCTGTATCGCGCACATATTTGATGTAATCTCTCATCTGGGTCTCAGGTTCGAGTTGTTTGTTGTTCAAAACATCAAGCACCTTCTTGAGGATCAGAGGCTCAGACCAGCCGTCATAAAGGACATGGTGGACGGTCCAGATCATGTAGCGATTGTTCTTTGTTGTATCTTCAACAATAGCATATCGAGCAAGGCTTTCTCCAAGATTCATCTTTTCCTGTCGATCTCTTTCCAGATATTCAACCAAGTCAGTTGGGTGTTTCCATGCAACCTCTTCGTTCAGAATGACTTGCTGGAGACCAGGCTCTTGCAACTGCGCCACCCGAGTGCGAAGAATAGGACTTTGTCTGACAACAACTTCCCAGGCATCCTTCCAAGCTCCGAGACTGATGTGAGTTGGAATAGTTGCCACTCGCTGCGCAACGTAAGCCTTGTCGGACTTTAGAGAAAAAGTGAATAGTGATTCCTGTGTCGGCGTACAGGGATAAATGTCTTCGATCTTTGCGACATCAAAGCCATAAATCTCCGATACTTCAGAAGTGGCACTCTGAACAGATTGGGAGATCATTGAAAAGGCGGGGACCTCTTGACGTGTCTCGTTTTCACAGACTTGGACCATGCCAGCCATTTCAGACAATATTGGGTGGCCGAAAATGTTAATCACAGTGAGGTCGAGTGCCTGTTCTCGACAGACCGAAACAAGCTTCATGGCGGCCAAAGAGTCACCACCCAATGTGACAAAGTTATCATCAGGTCGGATTCCTTCTACATCAAGTTTCAGGACTTGCCCCCATGACTGCCGAAGTCGCTCCTCGACCTCGGTCAATTCACGCATAGCAGCACCGTCAGATCCCAGACCCAGCTGTCGCAAGTCCACTGTTACCCCGAACTGCCGAAGGCGTCTGCGATCTGTCTTTCCTGAGATCAAGACTGGAAGACAGTTGACTGGTATATATGCCGTTGGTACCATGTATCTCGGGAGAACAGTCATGATCTTTGTGTTCGCTTCAGCAAGAGACTTGGATTGATCATCTGAGAGCTGGGTCGATCTTATATCCCCGTTGTCTGAACCTGTGATAGACTGGGATGTGACAAATGCCACTAGTGTCTGCTGGCCACCAGATCCTTCAGGCTTGATAACTTCAACGATCACGCTGATCTCAGAAGGAAGCTTTGATCTGAGTTGACTCTCGATCTCCCCAAGTTCGACACGTTGACCTCGCAGTTTGACCTGGGTATCTTTCCTGCCAGCAAATACGATACCGCCTGAGCCATCAGGGTCATATTTACCAAGATCCCCGGTCTTATATAGTCGACCACTGCGCCCGGTGAATTCTGCATGACCTTCAAGCAGCCATTTCGGATCTTCGATGAAGGCAGCAGCAGTCTTTTCTGGATCATTCAGGTATCCCTGCCCAACAATCGGACCTTCAACCAGCAGTTCGCCAACAGCGCCGACGGGCATAAGTATCTCATGGTCATTAGGATCGACAATCCAGATCGCTGCACCATTTCCTGTTCCGATTGAAATGTAGTCCCGTCCAGTGGCAGCGCTGCTATTCACTGTGCACCCGATAGTACACTCACAGGGTCCATAGCCAATGATGATTCTGGCGTCCTGCCCCCACAGGTTTACATCACTGGGGGAAGCAGCTTCTCCACCGAGACCTAAGCCGCTGAGGGAAGCGATGACATCTGGCTCTAAAATGCGAGCCATTGAAGGAGTGATACCAGCATAGTTGACACTCATGCGCCGGATGGCTCCGTTTATATCATTCAGTCGGTCCTCGTCAGAGGGAATGCAAAGACAACCGCCGTTTCCGAGAGTCAAGAGCATGCTGTCAATGCTAACGTCGAAGGCGTATGAGGCGAAGTCAAGAACTCTCGATTCTTCATCATAACCCACTGCCTTCGCACGAGGGAATGCACTGCTGGTGTACGATTCATGAGATATTTTGACACCTTTTGGTGTTCCAGTGCTTCCTGACGTAAAAATGAGATACATCAAAGTTGAACCCGGCACAGAAGGCAGTTTTGTGATTTTCGCAGACTCGGGGATGTCCCTGAAAGATTCCTGTTCCACAACGAATAAATTCCCAGCTGGCAGAATTTCTTTTGAAGACTTCTTCTGTTTTGAAGACGACAGTATTGTCTTTACGTTAACTTGGCTGGCCATGTTTTGGAGACGCGCAAGAGGCAAAGTTGGATCCATCATGACCAAGGTTCCACCGGCCTTCATCACCGCAAGAACAGCAATGATAGTCCAGCATGATTTTTCAAAGCAAACTGGAACAAAATCATGAAGTTGCACTCCTAATTGACTAAGAGAGTCCGCAACAAAGTCGGAATAATGTTCAATTTGACCGTATGTCAATTCACCATCCCATGAAGAGATTGCCACTTTGCTTGGGTGTTTTTGGGAACGCCTTGAGATTTCTTCATGCATCCCGAATGTATAGCTCGGGGGTAAAATATGATTCCATCCCCAGATGTCCCTCAAATCGCGTGCGCTTGGTCGGAGGCAGTCTTGCATCGATAAGCCGGGACTTGAGAGGCAAATTTTGATGGTTTCAACTAGTGTCTCGATGTATAGTGAGACTGTGTATGGTAAAATATTCTCGGTAGTCCAAAGTGGTCGGATATAGAGGTAATTGTCGTTAAAGCGTAGTTCGAGATGGATTGTGCCCTTTATCCCGTTAGTCAAAAAGGAAGATTTGCTGAATTAGGACCTTACTTACTTCTTCTTTGGTGTCCTCTGGTTTTTTTGAAAAGGAATTCGTACTCAGAATTAGGGGAACCGGAGATGTAACCGGAGCGTTGTGACTCGGGACTGCTGATTCGGAAGCGATATACTGTCGAATGGCGGCGGAAGCATTCACAATATCGTCTTCCAGCCCTTTCACAACTTCATTCATTGATAACCGACTGCTTTCCCCAGAGATATCATAGGCCCATTCAAATGAAACCTGACCACCTTCTCGCGTTTTCAAAAGCATTGCCAGCCACGAAAGAAGCAAAATGTCATCTTTCATGCCAGTGCGTGAAGTCTCGTCGGATGCAAGACCAACTACCTCAAAGCTTCTGGTGTCGCCGCTTTCAAAGCTTTGAGTTCGTTCAATAGACCCGTGACCTCTGTCATTTCGGTCAAGCATGTCGCTTATGCATATAGGGGCCATTTCGGCGGCATAAAGCGGTCGCTATAGATGACGGAGAGCTGGGCGGTCGGAAAACGAGGGATACTGAAGACTCTAGAGCTCGTATATATTTTATTAGACCAGTTATTTCAACCACGAACTCCCTCAAATGTATCAAAGGCTCACTCGACTGGCAAGGTATGCAATCTTCCGGTGTCGGAGAATTCGGCCGTTCCGGAAACCAACGGATTCAGCAAGCACCCACAATATTGGGAATGACTCGCTTCGTAGACAATAAAAAAGAAATACCTAGATCGAGACTTTCGCCGAGAAATGCAAAGAGCAGAGCTAACCGAGGTGTCTGAAGTAGAAATGCCAATTCAGGGACCCAGTCGAACCGTACTTCCAGCGCTAGCTGGTGGAGCAAGACGAAGTTATCTGATCGGGATTCCTCTTCGGAAATTGATCCAGTTGTACCAGGGATGTGAAGATTTTATCTTCTAAATCTATCTTCATTCGACTTGGGCTCGTAAACTTCGGCTCTACGACACGAGATCCCCACTAGGCGTGTTTTAGAAATTACGTAGGGCGCACTTCCTCTCGCTCCGCCAAGTCCGAGGTCCAAACTCTTCACTTCAGGAAAACTGGATCCTTGCCCCACGACTAAAGTAGCGCCTTCTGTGGACCGTCTATGTTAAAGAACGGGGGTTTCATTCGGCATCTGCCGATAGGACTGGCAAGGAATGTCGGCCCTATTGCACTCATTTCGTGGATAATTCGCGGTGCGCGCGGTTGTGAATCGATAATAATATTCTAAGCGAGCTCAGAAGATCATCATAGGCAATTTCATTTTGCTTGGCTTGCACAGGTGTGGTCGTGCAGGTCAGAACTGTAGCTGTGTGGCGTTGTCCCATATACGAATCAGATTCCTAGAATATCCGAGTTGAGGGACTTCTCCTATCAGATCCGCTAACTGTCAGCCACAAAATCTGATTAAATTTTTCCATGTTTTACACCCCCGTCTAGTTTTCGGGCGTACCGTTAACATAGTTTACGATTGATTGGGGATAGTCAATAAACCCAGGGATCCACCAGATGTCGTTCCACTGGAGCATACAGGGGCAATACACGCGCTAGGGCTGAGGATATTCGTATGCAGGTAATACAGTCGTATTACAGACAGCGTCTCCGCTTAATGCTTTAGCAGGTTGGACCCTGTGGATCGTTACCACAATTGTCAAATGGTGTCTCGATTGTCTCGGTTGCGTATTCAATAGGGCGTGCTTTTGGAGTACGTAAGGGCTCAAGAGAGTGGGGTGATCTCGGATCGGAACTCTTGCTCTTAACGTACCAGAGTTCGAACCCACAAATTGCAGGACTTTGACAGCCCGCAGAAATTCGTTTGATCTGATAACGGGTTTGCCTCGGCAGTTGGATCACCTAATACATAAGCCAGTTTGAACTTGGGAACTGTCATTCGTTTCTGCAAGTCGCTTCCTTCAGTTGGATGATAACATTTCCCTTACAAGCATGTATTCCCAATTCTGGCCCAAGGGCGGGCTACCTGGCCTTCTACACCATTATGTGAGTGACTGCTCTTCCGGTTTATGAAAAACGTGGCCACAGCTAACAGTTTATCTCCGTTAATCTCAGACAGAGAGCCTGATTACTTTCGAGTACACTTCCAATGCCATTCGCCAACCCCACAGTCTTGTTTTCCTTGGAGGCCTAGGAGATGGCCTAGCAACCACTTCCTACATGGCCGACCTGGTCCAGGCGCTTCAGAAAACGGAATGGTCTGTCTTCTCGTTGAATCTCACATCCTCATACCAATCTTGGGGTCTGGGGCATCTCGACCGAGACACGAATGAAATCGCTCAATGCCTCAACTACATCAAAGACTACAAATCGGAGAAATATGGCGCCGGAAAGATTGTCCTAATGGGTCACTCCACAGGGAGTCAATGTGTGCTGCATTACCTCTCCCAGCCAAACCCACATACCAACACGCCGTCGTTCGATTCGGGGCTTCATCATATCAAACGCATGCCCCTTGACGGGGCCATCATGCAGGCACCAGTTTCCGACCGAGAGGCTATCTTCTGGGTCCTGACGCACGGAATCGGAGGGAAGTCACCCAGCGAGATCCGAGTGGTGTATGATAAAATGGAAGCTTTGGCGAAGGAGGCTGCTCTAAGTGACAATACATTTGACACCATGCTGCCTCTGTCGTTGACCAGCAATATCTATCCTGGGAATACTGCAATCAGCTGCCGAAGATTCCTAAGTCTGATTAGTCTTAATAGTCCTCACGCCCCGTCGGAGGATGACCTGTTCAGTTCTGATCTCAGTGACCAGCAACTGGGGAAAACATTTGGCATGGTTAAGGAACAAGGGCTGCTGAAGCACAAGTTGATGGTTCTGTTTTCTGGGGCGGACCAGTCAGTACCGGACTGGGTTGATAAGGATAACTTGCTAAAGAGATGGAAGAATGCCACCAACGGCGGCAGTGGCTCCGACATCTGGGATGATGACCACTCCGCAGTAATACCTAATGCCTCTCATGCCCTGAGCAATGACGACCAGGTTGAACCTCGAAAGTTCTTGGTTGAGAAGGTGCTCGGGTATCTTGGAACCGCATAGACTGATAGAAATAGAATCTTGAAATTCCCTAGTTACCCATAGCCATTATTAGTGAAACCTATTTGTAAGAAAGCGTCTAGGCATGCCGTAATTATAATTTATTTTCATGGTCCACTACTTTTACTAGCGTTTTCAAATACCTAGCAGAACAAGGTCTCGGTCGGAGTGCGCGGGATTCCGATACTGTGGGTCGTAGTACTAGCTCGTAATGGATACGAGTATGTTGAATATTTTTGTACCATAGTTTACAGTAACCCCGAGCTCGGTGATTGCTGCCTAGAAAGGAAGCTCTGTCTTCTTGGCGGTAGATTTTCCGATAGGTCCTTCTCGTTATCCCCACTGTCTACTGATTTGGAGATACATACCTTTTTTCGTGGTCATGGCATTGAGCGTGGTAATTCCAGAAACAATAATTTTCTGCAAGTGCATAACCCTATTATTTTCCCAATTTTACGATAAGCTAAAGACCTCATCTGTTCCATCTACTATACCGGTAGGTAGTCCAACTATCTGATTAAAAGTTACGACCTAAATCTCAATCTCCAGGCATCACTATTCGCTATAACAGAACCACCCACTGGATTCCTGGCAGCAGGCTCATCACATCCAACAGCATAACTTGATTTAATCAAGATTCCCGGGCGGATAAAAGCCCACGTCAAGAGATCGAATGGAAACTTATAATGGATACATCCGCACGCCAGCGGACGCTATACTCCTCATTCAGGCCTGCTACAACGGTTTCCTGCCTCGTGTTGGCAAACGACTATCACCGAAAGAGGGACGATCCATTCAAAACGGCTCTGTTTTCATCTGGGAAGAGCATGAAACTGGGCTGAGAAGGTGGACAGACGGGAGAAAATGGAGTCCAAGCCGAGTTTCTGGGCGCTTTCTCGTCTATAGAGAAATGAAGCGCAAAGAGCTCAGTGAATCAATGGCGGAGCCTGCACCAGGATTGGACGTCACATCAGAGGGCCCATGCAAAAAGAGAGACTTCCGATCAGTTGTCGGAATAGCCGATGACCAATCTGCCCATCGGCCTAAATCACAATTCATGAAACTCTCATTTAGCATAGCCAGCCCCACCGGCCAGCACTGGCATTTGATCAATTATTATCACCAGCCCAACGAGTCTGCCACCGAATTACGAGAACCAACAGCGGATCCTTCACTCAAACACATATGTCCACAAAGAGAGCTCTTTCCTCTATCCTTGGTCAACGACCGGCATAATTTCGCCATTTTCTCGAAAGGATCTAATTTGCCGAGCGTGGCTCCAGTTGATCAAGAGCAAGCCTGCAAGATGTGTGGAAGCTGTTACCGACAACCTCTTGAAGTCTAGAAAATATCTAATTCATCATCCTCACATAGTTCTCAAGAAATTATATCCTAAATTAAGATAGATAGCCGTACATGTCCTCGGCCATAAGGTGCAAGACCTACGAAGATTGATCCGATCTCCTCTTATAACACCATGTATCTACACCCTGGCCTATCGCATCATCAGGCCAGACTTTCCTTCGATCGACCTCTCCGCTTTTAGGTGGTTGAAACTGGGACAATTACAAGGTACAGTAAATTCCGCTGCTTCTGAAATTGCATTAATTCGAGGCCTGGTTGATCGGGCTTCGCAAAAGAATTTTGTCGTGGCAATAAGCAAGATGGCTACACTGGATACTATCGGCCGCTCAATGATTCCGAAGAACTCATTGTTTGAATACAATAGATCAATCTTACCTCTGAATTCCGAATCATTACGGTAGCATTCTAAGTAATTATCATCTAATTGAATCAAAATGCACGAGGGGTGTATTAAAGGCCACCTGGACAGGTGGACGTACTAGTATAGAATATACTGTGCCGGATAGTTAATGAGACCCTAGAACGACAGCTCCCTAACTAGCAATCTTTCGCTTCAGGAATTTCAAGTTCCCATGGTCCTCTTCCCCGCATCTGAATACCATACACTGTGCTTTTACACTTGGTGATCTGCGACTCTGTACGCTCGACTTTCATCGAAACATGTTCCTTGCATTCCTTGATCTTACCTAGCTTTGCATTTCCGCATCAGCCAAAATGGACCTGCTGGTCTAAAGATAACATGAGATCACTGTCGAGATTTGACAAACTCCCGCAATGCAAGCACTGAATGGATATATCTGCAGAGTACTTTCATAAGTCAACGGGACAGTGCAGAAACGGGAATAATCTCATACATGGCGACCATATAGCAGAAACACATGGCAAACGTAGGTAAGCTCAGGTATAAAACCCCAGTAAAAATCATTATCGGCATAATCCACAATAGGAATGCTGCGGATATAGCATCACACGCTGTATTGATGAGAGGCTGGATTATAATTCGCTGAAATGCCATGTAAGTTGCCGCACTAGACCAGGCTAGAAGCAGCATATACTGTATCAAGTCGTGAGCCTTTGTTTCCCATTATTATCTGGCTCTAGGGATGTTGATTTTGTACCAGTATCGTGTAGACAGCGCTATGGGTGTGCCATATGATCAAGAACAAGCCGCCCAGGAGGCTAGATGAGATCGCGCCATACCTAAGAGCGAGATTTGTTCGTGTGTAATCTTCTTCAAACTCGGTGGGAAAACAGAATGACATTTTTGAGGGTATGTCTGAAAGGCCCAAGTGGAAAATCTGGAATACGAGGAGGGACGTTCGTGATGGAAAGGGACCGATAAAAATGACACGGTCGCAAATGGCGGTCTCTAGAACTAAGCTGCCTTGCCAACAACCTTTCCAACACAAAAGCAGCCATCCTATTCGTGTTTCGATTTGGCCCCATTTACGCGTTCCTGCTCCGGCTTAGACCCCAAGCTCGCAAGTGAGGCTCGAGGATAAACCGAGGAGGTGCTGCTGCTGCTGCGAAATATAGGGATAAGCAAATGATAAAGATCAAATCCGAAGGTCTAAAGGTCGAGAGATAGAAGGGGTTTTGGAAGGAGGGTGAGAGGGTGATGCGAACACAACTATGTAGGCGCCCTAGGCATCCAAGTATCAGAATAAATCAATCAATTTTTCAATTACCCAGTATCTAACTTGTTTAGAATTATCAATTGTCAAGGGTCAATTTCCATATTATTATTCAGAAAGGTCATCCAAAAGCATGAAGATCATCACCGCCTGACTTGATTGAACATTCACGGTCAGGCTCTTGTGGACAGCAGAAATGATCTCTGTATCATGTACCACCTGTTCCGGCAGACCCATTGATTGATATGTCCAACTCATCCCCGCCCAAGTGATGTCCTCTCCGACATCTGTTCTCGGCGCCGTCAGCTTCTCAGCCTTAGCTTTTGTCACAGTTGGTGGGACCTGGAACTTCACCTCGCGTGAAGGACAAGGGGAAGAGGTCGTTGAGTTCCAGACTTCCAGGTTGATGATGACCATTTTAGACAGACGCTCAGATTCGTACCATGCTTATGCTACGAGTTTCTCCTGTTGTAGGACTGGTACCACTTTCAGGTCAGTTGCTCCATTTATGAAGTCGGCGGCAAAAGGAAAAGCATAGTAAGGACTCCATACGCCCGGGCCTTGATTGCCATTATCAGGATCAGGGCCAGGAGTCCACGCGGAGTAGCCAAAGTCTAGCGCTTGCTGCATGCTGACTCTGGAGACATTCTGGGACATGGCGTGAGAATGAAACTGGCATTCCAAAGAGTGGCCGCGAAGAGTTGCTCCACTTTATAGTTGTTGATTGCCCCCGGGTAAGTACCTACCTCCCCCATGACGAATGGGATACTAGGGTAATTCTGTGACAGAAATTGGGCTGACAGAGTAGTGTTGGCCATAGTGGTAGCAAGTGCTGTGTGATTCATGAGATCACCTAAAAATTTGTCAACATAATTCTCGTTCGGTTTCCTAACAGCACAACATACGTTAAAATTCTGGTGGAATAACTCCGAACCATTGATAGTAGTGCGTCGACACTGTCTTAACCATATTCGTGGAATCAATATCTGTTGAAAACAAGTTCGGCCAACACAAGATGTCAGCATGGAGCTCAATTTACCTACTAGTAGTACTCATTCATCAATCACTTACAGTGTCCACTCGCCAACCCCCACTCCGGCTATAGTTCCTGCCTGGATGATACTTCCCTTCGGATAGCTTTATCAAAGGCCAGCCACTCTGACGCATAGTCTCCTGGGGACCACTTTGCTGGGTATAAGTCCGGCTCATTTCAGATCTCGAGTGCAAAGAGGTTCTCTGCTCCGAGCGCGGATACAGCAATCTTGAGTCCTTCAATTGAGTTCGTTTTGTTCAAGTAAACCAAAGGTACTTGAAAGACCCATTCCACACCGGGGAAACTTTTGAATCCTTCAAATCAGGATGGTCCTAGTATAATGTTGTATGCAACATTATTACCTATTTCATCGGCGGGTATAATGACTGCCTCGGCCTGATCAAGCAGCAGTGTGGAAAAGTCACCCGATGTACCACCGACGCGAAAGTTGACAGCGGAGCCTTGGCGACGGGCAATCGATTCGACCAGATTTCGGGAAAAAAGGTTTGGCGTAGACTTGTTTCCTGCACATCATGATTGATCCTTTTGAATTATAATTAATATGGATATTTCATTACCGGAGTATGCAGGGAATGAAGATGTTTCACAAGCTAACCCAACGAATCCCGGTTGAATAGGCCTAGATGCATAGCCTGGTACACGAGGAGATATGTCAAGCTCCACGGCTGCGACATCAACTCGACCCTGGGCTAGTTTAAGAACCGACAGAGTCGATAATTGCAATAGTATGCTGGAAAACATAGTGACCGCAAGTGAAGCCTCTCAGTAGTAGTAGTATGCTTGGAAGTCTGATATTGAATCTATAAAGAGAAAAGAGACCTGAATGGAAATCAAGTCAGAACTCCAGGGTAACTCTCAGGCTTCTTATATATTATACTAGTAGAAATAAACAGAGAGTTTTCCAGTTGCAGGGTCTTGATATGCATTGCTAGCAGTTGTAGTTGTACAGTTTAGTGCTGCTCTTCTTACTAGTCTGGGGTCATCACGTTTACCGAACCTTCATTGAGGAATGAAAGGTATTTTTTAGTCATTTGGCGATTGATGAAAAATGGATTCCCACCCTCTCAGAGGCGGGGATTAGATTCATCGCCGACTCCATCGTAACGCGAACCAGTTGAACTATGGCATAATTCATTTGAGGTGGGCGTTTGGGGTCAGGATAATGTTACATTGTAAACGCGGGGGCGTTCGGCTGAGAAGCTAGTTAACTCCCCACTACTCATAACTATCTGCCGACAAGGACACCAGGAACAGCAAATCCACGTTGTACTAGTAAAAGATTAAGCCAGTGTCAACAAACATATTTCTCCTTCTCTACTAACTCGTTAATTACACGACCGAAACGCTATCCAATCGGAAGAATGTGTCTAATAATTCTATCTTTAAGTATAGACTTATAGTAGTATATTCGGTATTCAGGCGGTCTTATTATGTCCTCGTGATATTAACAAAGCAACTCAAAATAACCAAGTCTTATCCTGTCTTGCACGATTGGAACCACTGTTCGACCATTTCATCAAACTTCGGGCTATATAGCCAGCCTAGTTCAAAAGACCTGGTCTCAATCTCCGGAGTAGCCGAGTTGAGATCCTTTGGCATTCTTCTCGCGTCAATCTGTGTATTCAGCTCAAGTACTCGGTCAACCCGTTCCTGTCGACCTTGCTGCCATATTTTCAGGCCCTGATTCAAATCACCACCCAGTGACCTTTTCAAAACCAAAGCATAAGTGTAAACATCCTCGAAGGCTTGGTTAACTCCCTGACCGGCAGTAGGTGGTATAGCGTGGGCCGCATCTCCAAGAATGACCACGCGAGAATTCTCCGATGCCCAAGTATCGAGCTTAGGCACCACATAGAAAGGCCAAAGGTTGATTTTGTTAACTGGAATATCCGACACGGCCGATTTGACAATTTCCGGGAAGTCTTCGGAGCCCTGGCGGAGAAATTCCACACACCACTCTTTATCGTTGAGTAACTTGCTCCATCCCTCGCGGTCTAGCTCCGGCGCACGTTTTTGTTTGCCAATAAGCATTTCCGAGCCATCAGGCTGTTGCGGTGCAATTACAAAAGCACCATGCTGGGGATTCATGATTGTTATGGGAAGCTGAAATTCGCCGGAGGTTTGGAGTTGACTTGTCGGAATGGCAGCTGTGACACCCATGGCATTGGTAAATCGAGGTTCCAATGTGGGATAGAGGTGCTTTCGGACTCTTGAATGAATTCCGTCAGCCCCAACAAGGCAAGATGCGCGGCCAGTAGTGCCGTCCTCAAATTTCCAGGTGACTTCAGTTTCGGACTCGGAGAGAACCCGGGTGAATTTCTTTCCATATTCAATGGGTATACCCTTGTCTTTGATGTCAGACAACAGAGCGTCGATCAATTCGTAGCGGTAGATGCGCAGTGCATCATACCCATATTTTGAGCGGTTGCCGAACTCGTATGAATCAAGTGGTTTGTTGGCATAAAAGTGCAAGTCCTTAAACTCGAATCCGCGGGGTTTTATGGCCTCGTAAATTCCTATCGCATCCAGAACCCGCAACGCGTTTGGGGAAAGCATAATAGCGCCTCCGATATCAAGAGACGCCGATCGGGACTCATAGATAGTGCATGGAATAGACTGTTTTTGTAGGCAAAGAGCCAAGGTAAGGCCCGACAGCCCGGCGCCGATGATTGCAATGTTGTTGGAAGCCATTTGAACTGATTGTCAAAAAGTTGATCGAAGGGCGTGTAGGGATTGATTTAGCTGATTGGTTTTTATTGTGGTAGAAGTTGAAAGGGATATATGCCTAGAGATGGTCTTTTATATAACTGGCTTCCAATGTGTCTTACTATTCTGTTTAATCATTTACCTGTCCAGCCCAACCAGTCATCCTCCGGATCCGAATTTCCGGAGATCTTTTCGGATCCGAGGGCATGTTAGCTCCGATGCACACACATATTCCGGAAATTCCTTCAACGAAAGCATGTAATCACAGAAACCAAATAATTACGCATTTACTTTTAATTTCTGTCACTTAATATTCCCCATTACTGGAGATTTGTCTCCCGCTGACCCCGCGGAGAAACTCGATCCTGACATGGAAGTTGGTCTCAGCATTGGACTCGTAGGATTGTTGGATATTTATTAAATATAGTACATGAGGAGAGATACATAGAACATTTACACCTCTTCAGGTGTCTCATCTAGGGTTCAAGTACTGAAGGCCGCGAGATGAAAAGTAATCATCCATCTCGGACTCAAGATCCCGATCAAAAATGCCTGCAAGGTAATGATCCGGGCGTAGTAGGTAAGCGACATCCTTCTTCAGTCCAACCTGGTCATGTCTTGATTCCCATTTGAAAATAGTGAGTTTGACATTCCTTTTCCGACACCACTGCGCAAGAACCTGTGACTCTTCACCATACACTTGCACTTGCCAGGAGATACCAGTAAGCGTCGAAAAATTGTCACTTGTTTCGGTCTCGGCCCACGGAAGGCGATCACCAGGCTGAAGTGTACCCCCTTTTGTATAAGATTGGTTGATAGGGCTGTCTCGGTATGAGCAGACGAGCTGGGAGCCACGCCGAAAGATCTCAGAGCGCGTAGATTTAAATCTGGTGACTATCGGAGCAAGATATGGGATTATCCAGGTGCGGAGCATATGCGAAAAGAAGCTTGGACTCGTGAGAACCGTGAAACCGTGGTCAGTCGCACCAACGACACTTAGTGCAAACGAGCGGCGTTCGGATTGATAGGAATCAAGAAGCTTATTTCTTGACTCCTCTAACATTGAGGGTTGCTTGATGACGCTGGCGAGTTTCCATGCTAAGTTGATGGCGTCCATTATTCCAGTGTTCATACCCTGGCCACCCACAGGACTGTGAATGTGAGCCGCATCACCCACAAGAAACGCACGACCCTTGCGGAAATTTTCGGCAACTCGGTGATGACAGCGATAGGCAGAGAACCAATTGATGTTCTTGATTTCTATGCCCGATGTTTTCTTGATGTTCGGCAGCACGCTCTCTAAAGTCAGTTCTGGAGTAGGATGAGACTCATCGATTGGCTGATCACTGCCTTTGGGTATAGTAGTCCCAATCAGACGTATGCGTCTTTCTTGTGCGAGCGGAATTATTAGGTTGAATGAATTGTCGGCGAATGTCAGGTGGGCCTCTCCATTGTAAAAAGGGCTTTCTTGTTCTTCAGTCTCTACATCGGCAATGTAGAAATATGGCGCGTAGGTCTCTCCTTCGTACTTGGCGCCTATCGTATGTCTAACCGCCGAGTGAGCTCCATCACAGCCAGCGATGTAAGCACTTTCACAGGTGGACTTTGCCCCATCGTCTTCACTGACGAGAGTCGCGTAGATCCCTGATCCATCATCCGAAAACTTCTCAAGTTTTTTACGCCGCTCCACGAAGATTCCGAGTGAGTTAAGACGTTTTTCGAGTATTTCCTCGTGTTTGTCTTGTGGTATAATCAGCAAAAATGGGTACGGCGTCATTCCGTTACCGAATTCACCAAGCGGTATGCGGGCACAGTGTTGACCATTCACCCAAACGTTGGTTGCTGGGAGTTTGTATCCATGGCTTAGGAGCTCGTCAGCCAGGTCAAGTTGACGATACAACTCCAATATGCGCGCATGGACAACCAGCGCGCGAGAGTTTTGCGCTGGGCTGCTCCCTTGGTCGACAATGCGAAAGCTGATTCCTTGTCGTTGAAGCCAGAGGGCCAACACAAGTCCTGTTGGTCCCGCCCCGACGATCAAAACATCTTTTGTAGACATTATATTTTGACCTGTCGGTTATGAAAAAAAGTATTTGGCTGATCACGTTTAACTGAGCGGATTGAAATGTTGTCTGTGGTAATGAATGAAGGATCGAGAGGCAATCACTGGAGGAGCCCACGATTTCCCATTCCTTTTTTCAGGGAATCGGGTGGAGGTTAAATAGAGAGTCACTCAGTACCTGAACGTACCCTCAAATTTCCCCCAAGTACTCGTATAGACCTGCGTCATCAGGGTATCTCTAGTCAAGGATTTCGTATTCGGGCGGCCTAACCACCGACCCCGAGACTTTCCTCTGTCGATGAAGTCGGATCTTCGCCCCACCGATCGCCGCGAACACCGGGGGCCACGGTGAGTAAATTTTACTGCTAAAAAGAACTCGTGACACCTGGGACAAAGCCATCCTAGTTGCGAAACGATAAGCAGGTGAAGGATAACAATGTACTCCGGCTGTCTTGAGTCACCCGAGATCGCCCGAATGTTTCCCGAGGTTTAGTCGCCCTCAATTCATTTGAGTCATTCGACTCATGCGCCCGACAACAGCGCTGTGTCATCTAAAAGCGATTCCTGGAACTGGTTCAAAAGGTTGTCCCATTCGGTCCAATTTGGACTGTCGGTGAGCAAAAAGTTGATATCCTCCGGTCCAGAGGCAAGATATTCGCTGGGAACACTTTGACTAGGTAACTCTTGGAAATGAGTGCCAAGCTCAGTCATCCTGGACTCTCCATCAACTGTTTGCTTTTCTGTGGAACAATCCGCCTTTTCTAGAAGTGTTGAGACAATTTCGGGACATGGAGTAGGGGCTCGATTGTGATTGTTACAGTCCTCAATGTACACTCTCCATGCCTTGACTATCAAGTTCTGCAGCGCATTGTGAAGAGGCACATGAGTAGATTTGGCCATTTGTCGAAGATACCGAGCGTATAAGTCACCAATAATCTGCCATACCATGCTCTTTTCCTCCGGGTCAGACCGGTTTCGCATTTCAGACAGCATGAAAATCATGGCGTCCCACGGCATATGATTGACCATGTGCCAGATAAACCGCTGGATGCTTGGGTTCGACTGGGCAAAGTGGGCATATTCTGCCATCTTCAGGCAGTTTACATAAATTGTGTCTTTTTCTTTCTGAGAGACCTGAAAAGTTGGATCTTGGTATTGACGTGGGTGGTGCGCCGCCAACCGTGCGAAGTGTACCGCAGAGCGTGCCATCACGGTGGTTGCGAGGTGAAGCGGAATAGATGGGTCGCAGAAGCGCAAAAATTTGTTTTCGACAAGACTTTCGAATTCATCAATGGCCTCATCCTTTTGGTGTAGAGTCATTGAAGATGATGATAGGAATTCCCAGGGTGAATTGGAATCACCATACTCTCTGCCCCAACGTCTGAGCCATTTGCCGAACTCGGCGCGAGCGAGACAGAATATCATCTCAGTTGCGCCAGTTTTTTCGGGTGCTGGCTCTGTCATGCGGGGATCAAGATCGCTATCATTCGCATTCGCTGGAGGCTGGGTGTCGGCAGTTGCCAGAAACGGGCTGGTGGCCACTCCGCAGAATTGAGCGGATGTGGAATCCACGATAATAAGTTGAAACCAAATCCGACGTCTCATTTCAGTCTCGAACGCCGAGAGTCCAAATGCAGAGCCGTCACGATGAATCCCAATTCTCTGGGAGATACGTAATGCAACTCCGCTGAGTGTCCAAATTGTATGTGGATCTGATGATCCTCGCATCGATAACTGAGATTCAACTGTTGGAAGAGAAAAGAAATGGTCGAAACGGGTATGAACTCACCAGGTACAACATGAACGCTTGCAACACTCTAATACTTGAGGTTCGAAGAAGAGACACCTTTCTGAATGACATCTGGGCGCCTCTTCTATATCGGGAAAGAAGCTTTCTTTTGGTCTCGCCAAATGATTTCTCCACGTCTCCTGCCGGCATAGAAGCCAAAGAGATGCAGTAAATCGAAAACATCAAGGTCTCAAGCTCTTTACCTGCCTTTGGCAAGTCACTCATAGCCTCGAGGATTTGTGGTTGGACTGTCGGGGTATGCAACAACTTGATTAACGGGTTGACGTTTTCAAGAAAAGTCTGCCATAACTTGAAGATATGCAAAGAATTTGGGTGTAGATTTGAGACACATTCCTTGTTACCGAGGCTCAATAGCATGTCAGTCTCATCATTGTCGTCTTCAGACACATTCTCATCGCCGCCGTCTGATACATCATTTATTACGTCTGTCGCATTGGTGAGCTGCAGGATTCGTTAGCAATATAATCAGGAGCAGCAGAGCCGCATAGCTAACCTCGTGGCTAACTGTTGCCCATAGAGTACTAAATCAAGGTTAGTCAAGTATCCGAGAAAGGCTCTTGGGAAAACTCACTTATCAATGTAAACAGAGTTGCCGTCTTTCATGATCATTCTTCCGGATCCCGCAGTCTGTTCCATCTGGGCGCTTTGGACACGAGAGGGAGGCAACTTATACCTCTGGTTGCTATTAATTAAGTGAGACTCTTCAGCTCCATGGCGACGCACTTTTTCTCGACTTTCAGACGCGTTTTCATCCAAATCGCGCTCTCGTTTGCGACGACGGGGCGGCGGTGGAGGACGGTAAATACACTCAACACTAGCCTTCTCGCAGTTCGAGCATGGATCTTGTCGGTCGCATTTTACTTTTCGCTTGTGACAGACCACGCACGAATATGATTTCGATAGAGCTCCAGGTGAGTCTATCGATGCGGGTACCGGATTGCCAACAGGGTCTTGGGAGCCTTCGGGACCAGCCATGGCTCATGCACTAGGAGAATTTGTTTGTGTCGCTCGCTGTAACATGATAAAACAAAATTACTGACGTCAACGTGTCTGGCTTCAAAAATTGCGAAGGGTTGGGGCATGCAAAGACATGAGTGCCAGCTGCGGCTCGCGCGTCGTGGCAAATGATTTTACCGCCTGATTTCTCAGGCGTCAAACTGACCCTAAATGCGATGTCGCTTGATGTGCAGGATCCTTGCTGGGAACATAATTTCCGATTATAAGAGTATCTATATTATTATAATTGATTTAATTCTATATTCAATGAGTTTCTTAATGGCATCAATCAATTTTTTATGCTGCCAGCATCCTTTTTGGTGTCAATAACACAAACCTGTTTAACTTGTGGGGCTTGACTGTCTTGATGGATCTCAGAACATTCCAAGGTACGAAGCAAGATGTACTCGTACCATACTACTTGAAGGCATAGAACTCTGCATGAATTTCATTGCAACCAGTTTTAGCAGCCTGGGCTTCAGCATGAATCTCTATATGTTGATTATAATCCTCCAAACTAGTATGGATTTTAGCAAGCATAGACCACGGCGAAGTGTGGGTTGTGTCGGGCCTTATTGATGCCTTAAAGCCTTGTCCTTGTCTCAAGTAGACAAGCTGGGCGGGTCCAGACCCTCTTTGCCTTCTTCTCAGCTCTGCTTACCGTGATGCCTCCATGCCTCCCTCTTCATCTTCCGATCTTCTTGGTTAATACCATTCCCTTTCATTCGCTTCTACAGCCTGTTCCGAATAGCTCTCTATTTTTCTATCCTATGACATGGAGCCCAGGCAGTGATTCCACCCGAGCTTATTTTGCTGCCCGAGTGTCTCCCCATCATCTTGATATGAAGTATGACCCCATTCTTCGGTAGAGTACGGGCGGCTGTCTCACGCCGGGGAAAGCGAGCATCCTCATTCAATATAGGACCCAGGGAGTCACTCTGGAAGCGAATTCCGGTTAATGTTCTTGTGGTGCTGCTAGCGTTCTGTGAGATCGACGATATTGCTAGTCTCACTCTGACCTGTCGGTTATTGCACCACCGGATTTCAAAGAATGAATTCATGATCGCACAGACATATCTCAACCGACGCAGGCAGAAGTGGACCAGGCAAAACGAAGATGATGCTGGCCTTTCGCCAGGTGATGATTTAACCTTTATCTCCGAGCTTTTCCCACCCCCACCGCCTCAATATGCTGTGGGCGAGCACTACCACGGTGATGCCGAGTATTCACTGGCATATCTCGCCGATCTCAAGAGATGTTGGACGACCTGCATACAGCTATCCTATTACCTGGCCGATCATGCAGTTCGCCATCATCTAGAGACAGACGCCATTGCGCGCCCACTCTGGCTTTCGTCCAAAACGGAGAAGGAATTTATTTACAGTAAAGCTGTGGAAGCAACCCAAGCAAAACTTCTACATTCTGTGTTAGTGCCATCGCCATGTCAGGAGGAAAGGCAGCGGGTTTATTAACTTTCAATAGGGCTTACGCCATATTCTTTCTCGAGTCCTCTGCAGCCGAGGGCCCAGTATGGGATATACCTGTATCTGACCAGCTTATCAATCTCTCTAGCTCTGTTGGAAAACAACAAAAGATCCTCGAAGGACCACCATTCAACGATACGCAAATTCTTATTTCGACTCAGCACTGCATGCAACTGCTATGCTCTACTGTCCGACGACTCATGAACCCAGATTTCCCCTATTCCTCCTCGGAAAGCTGGATGAGTCTTCTTCTTTTAACATCGACCTTGGAGCGCGTCGTTCAATTCTTCAAAGCAGTCGCAATGGACGAAGATAAGAAGGATAGAATGTCACCACACTCAGGTTGGTCCCACCGCAAAGAGTTCATGTGGCAGATGCGCGATGATCTAGGTCACTACCTAGCTTCCACCGGTCTGTCCACTACCGGTCTACCAGCGATCCAACCGAAACTTGATCATATTTGGTTTGGCGCTGCGTATCGCGAATTGGCCGAGCGAGGAGCAATCCCGCATTTGGCCGATGAACCAGTTCCCATCCTTCATGGATCTACAATAGACCTCCGCTGTATACATTGCTGGGAGGAGGGCTAGCCTTTTTGTTAGAGCAAAAAATATACCTCTTATAGCCAAAGCCTTGCATTGAAAAACATCCATCGTAGGTTGTTATCTAGAGTAACAGCCTTGCGCGGCCAAGTCCGACGGACTATGCCCCGCTCGGCCGGACTCCGGCTTTTCGGATCTCCGACATAAGAGATGTTGTCTCCTTTCCACCACATTATCCTGCTCAATTCGCACAAGTCAATCTGTGATCACAAGCTAGTGCAAAGGAGACCTCTAGGAAAGCAACAGGTTAACACCTGTGGGTCACCTTGGCACGGTTCTCAAAGCTACCGCCGCAAAAATGGCAACACTAGCGGCAGTAAGTCACCCGGTGCATGAAGGCATGAAGTTGCTTTTCTTGGAAAGGAAAGGCAGAATGATTCCATTTCTGACAGAAGAAAAGTGCGATTTGTGTCATTCTAGAAAGGTATGGGCGTCCTGTACATACTCTCTAACTGGCTGCGAAGGCACTAACCTGGCATCGCCGATTGTCAAGGTCAAATGCGATCGGGAAGACCCCTGTCTAAACTGCGTAGATGCGCGGGCTGAGTGCCTTCGAAGCCGCCAGGCAAGATTTCACAGGCCTCGAGTCTCCCGGTATGATCTATAACCATGGCATTCTAACTCATGTATAACTAATAAGGTGAAAGCCTCGATGCTATAACGGAAAGACTGGCAAAGCTCGAAAGGACAAGTGAAGACAGTTCGATGTTTTCTTCTCCGCCAGAAAATGACGATATAAGTCTAACTAGTGCATCTCCTCATCGAGGGAGGCCCACTGATTCAACTCGAGTCGCAGCAAAACGAAAGCATCAAGCGTCAACAACTCTTGAATCAAGCACCCCTAGCCAACCAGACTCGAAGCGGAAGATGTCTCTTAATATCGAATCAAAGGCTCACAACGAACGACATTCTCCTGATGCAACGCGACATGCTAGCGAGGCTCGTGAGTTCATTGAACATGAGCTCCAATGTAACCCAACTCTTTCCCAAGATAGGCGAACGACTCTGGAGCTGGCCCAAAGATTTGTCGGTCAGCTCTCCAATCCTGGAATTTACGGACAGAAATCAAGCGCAGCAGAGCACTTGGAAGTTGGCGATGATCTGGGACCTCCTTTTCTCACGCCTGAGTTATTGTATATGATGTTGCCGGGTAGGTCGATCAAGAAGGTACAATTTGGTTGAGGTCATTCTAATCGATTTAGGACCTGACAAGAAAACAAACTCGCAAGGTACATATGTGTGGCCAGACCATATAACAGACAAGACTCTAGAGCGAATGGGCCTCGCAATTATTGAACGCAGCGAAAGCGAACATGTACTGCATCTTTTCCGGATCAGCGTATGGGTTAAAGCGCTTTCATGCATTTCGAAAATGGCTCCTTTGATCTCAAGTGCACCACTCAGAGTTCATTTCAGAGCCCTCAAGAAACAATATGAGGCGGCTGCCAATGAAGAGTTGGATTCGATTTCTCTCACTGCCGTACCAAGCCTTCCCTTGCTTCAAGCATTGCTGTCGGGTGTAAGCAGCACTTTTCTCTCATTATCCCCCCCTCTCTCGGACTGACTGTCTTAGAAACGCCTCATGCAATACTTGGGCAATATGTCACGATCTTGGATGTTCAATGCCCTTGCATCGAGAATCATCATCGCACTCAATTACCACAATATCACGGACCCCGTGCCACACAATGATATTGAAGAAGAAATCCACGCATGTTTATACACATGCTACTACTTCGACAAAACTCTTAGTGTGCTCCTTCTACGGCCACCATCTCTGCCAGATCTCAAGGTTGATCCAACACAATTAATCCACATGGACCCTGATCTACCGACAACGCCCATAATCAGAGGAATTGTCGAGTTCGCACATATCAAGAGCATCCTGGTAAACATTCTTCTGGATTCCAAGAAAATGGGAGATATGGACAAGGCAAATGTCTTGTCTAATCTCGTGGCGCGGGCACACGCGGTCCACTCGGACCTGGAAATTGTAAGATCAGACGAACATGCTAGTATAGTTCTGAATCGCAACAGACGAGGTAAACTAACGCCACCTAGCATCGGAGCCGCCAGGAACAACAATTCTCTGCATCCTGGGGAACTATTCAGCGTGAATGGCTGTCAATGGATTTCAACTACTACTCTGTTTTGACGACAATCATTCGTGCACGATCGTCAGTGCTCAAGTCTCGTCTGGTCTGCGAGGAGTGTCTATTCACGGCTCGAAAAGCACTGACTACTCTTCGGGCATTGCAAGAGGCCTTCTCAGGCCATGCTACTTCTGTCGATTCCTATCCTTCATTTCTCACCTGGTACGCAGTTCACCTCACCTTGCACACGAGAACAAAGCTAACAGCTCCAGGACGATGCTACTATACCCGCTGTCCCCTTTCTTCGTGCTGTTTTGCAACGTCGTTGCAACATCGGATCAAAGGGACTTCGAGATGATCAAAAAGATCACCGATGATCTGCGGCAATTTGCCAAAGCGAACGTCCCAATTGGGAAGCTATACGGCTTATTTTCCAAATTTCTGGATCTGTGTACGCCGCTTATAAAAGTAAATACCGGACTGCCTTCTTCGGGTGCAACGATCTCTTCTCTTCCGAATGATCCCTCGAATGTAACGATGTTTGGTCGCGGTGATCGAATCATGGATACTCTTCCGAGCCCCATCACTAGCAGAGCTTCTACTTCCGGTATACCACAGCCTATGGAAGGGTGGGATGACAGTCTTATGTGGGAGCTATTTGACAACCAGCCGTCTCTTGGGTGGGCGGAGTCCGAACTCTGGGACGGAATGACACTGTTGACTTCTTAGGGACTTTTACTAGAAATCTATTATATTGAGGATAAAACCCATGAGAATATGAAATTGTATCGTGGTTGTTTGATTAGTACATGGAGTATTTACTCGGATAGGTCGTCTTCGGGACACAGTCCCAGTAGAGATAAGGATAAAGGAAAAGGTTAGCGAATGGAGCGACCCAGAGTCTAGTCAAAAGGACCAAAAGCAAAGCTAGTAATGCTCGATGGGCGCGGGAAATGCAGCAAGATCGGTGATGCGAAACACACAATCAGGTATTATAATACAATAATGAAAATGGGGCGGTCAAAAATCAGGTCTATCCCGAAATCAATACCCAAAGAAGGAAGAAGATCTAGAAAAATGGGGATTAGTACTCATGTCCACGCTGCCAAAGTGGTGGCGAAACATACCATCAGAACGCCAAACATTTTGGCGATGAGCCATCGGTTGCCGGACACGCGGGTCCAATACTTCATCAATTCTCGCTGAGCTCCTTGCACATTATCCACCACGTCGTCCGTATTGGCATCGATACGTTGAATCATTTCGGACTGTTCGCTGACCATAGTGGCCAGCTGACCGAAGATACCGCCCAATTCACTAATAGTTCGTTCAATGGCGTCAATGGCTTCACCACGGGCCTGGATGTATGTATTGCTGGATTGGGCTTCCTCCATAACCAAGAGTTGTTGATCAGATTGCATCGAGGGGCGTCCCAGTGGAGAGGGGTTGGAGGGATCGAGAGTCAAGAGATCTGAGGAGTTTCCTTGATAGCCTGGTTGGGGTGTCCGTCTCCCAGACGGGTTGTATAGAGGGGAATCGGACCGTTGCGAGTCAAGGGCATTTTGTGATTTCGATGATACAGAGGAAACGAAGTTCTCGGTTCGAGAGCGAGATGCTTGTATGTTTTTCGTGCGCACCTCCAACACTTCCTTGAAGTTGGCTCCTACATCGGCCAGTTTTCCTTGCAGCATCACAACCACCTATGAAACGAGCTCATTTAGTACAGTTCTTATTTCCGACCAGATTGGGGTGCGACTCACGTTATCATTGTGCTCTCCTTCTTGGTCCATCTTGGAGCGGGTTGCTTTGGGATGTTGCGATTGAGTGAATGATGCCAAGGAAGCGATGTTCTGGTTCAACGCCGCCAGGTCTTGCTTGATCACATAAGTCAATTCTGAGATCTCGACGGGTCGGTCATCGAAGAGGGTTTTTCGTTTGGCCACTAGATTCATAAATTAGATCCTCGTCTGGACAACGGACGGCCGGGCCCATCCTCTCGCTAGGACACCCGCGATACTTACATTCTGCCAGTCGTTGCAACTTCGCGGTGGTTCCAGTGATTCCCTTTCCAATATCTCTCGCCCGACGCGCAAACTCCGATCTGCCTGCCTTTGTATTTGGGAGCCCCGATGGTGAGCCATTTGCCTGTTGTCGCTGGGCATCGGTCAACAACGCCTGGCGCTGAGACCCGACCTTTGAAGTACCCAGGCGCCTTTGGGCCTGACCCAAAATTGAGCTGAACTCGCTCGTGCGATCTTGAATGGATGGACCTGTCATTCTGTGATGTGCGACCGAGGCGAATGAATGGGATGAAGTGAATGTTGTAGCCTCGGGGGATTCAACGGAGGAGGGGCTTCAAGAGTGGGCTCGGTGTTTCAGGGCGTGATGCGACTAGTATGGACGATAAGAGGAATGGGCTGTGGAGTGGAGTGGAGTGGAGATCAACAGTCGCGACACTGAGTAGGATGTAATCAATAGCAGTAACCCGGGGTCAACCTGGAGTTCTTTTGTTATTTCGTCCTTTCGTCCTCTCAGTTCATCCAGGGGAGAAACAGGCCGTTTCCGTTTTCGCCGCGCGACAGCGTTGATCTCCACGTGATCACTGCGCCACCTGATGAGTCATCAAATCCCCTTAACTAACTAAAATTAGCCGCAGGCAGCCACATTACGTCAGCCATCTCCACAATCAGGGGATCCTCCGTACTTCCTTGACTTCTACAACTACATACGAGACTCCTGCTCACTCTTTGTTGATTCAGATTGACTGTTCAGGTCAACTCTCGTGTACATACACATCGGGCATTCTGGTTGCACATTTGCTGTGCCAACTTCCCATTTCCCATTTCTCATCTCTCATTTCCCGCCTTCCTCACCTAGTCGATCCCATCTGATCGGCGCCCGCATTGGCACTGTCGCCCAACGCCGCTCACGCCACCTCGCCCTTCCCTCAAAATATCTCATTCATTCCTTCTGCTACAACCGAGCATCCGCTAGTCAACTACCTCACTAGCTTGCATATCACCCCTCAGCTTTCATTTTCATTTGCATTTGCATTCCCATTCGACAAGCCAATAAGGCAACCACCGATGCGGAAGACCCCGACAGGTTCGACCTAACGTCATTCCTCCAATGGCGGACCCTAATGCCCCGTGGCGAGGCCGTCCAGGCCCAAAAAAGTGAGTATAACTCCTCCGTAACTCCATCGCGGCTTCCCCACTCGTTGCACAAGCTCTAAACAATACCAACAGTCCCTCCCCGCCCAATGCCAACAGCCCACTCTCGCCCGCTAGTGCTGGAAATACCCCCGTTTCTTTTCGACCCAACGTGAATCGCGCAAAGACAAAGCGTTGGGTGGAAGCAAAGCAATACTCCTACGATGGTGGAGACTGGGGATCTGAAGACGAGGAGGAGGAGGAAGAGGAAGAGCAACCCCCTGCTGTACCTCGGCCCCCCATATGCAACACATAGAACCACCAGCTCGTCAGAGTTGAGCTCCAGGCGTCCATCGGGGCTTGGATATGGTGGCGAAGAATCGCGAGCCAGTCTAGCTGCCGCAACGCCGACTGGAGGTGATCAGAAAAATCTGCCATTTGTCAGGCCGGCCGACAATTACAGACGCGCATCAGATGAGCCACCAGCTCTACAAGGGCCGGCGGGCTTCGGGGCTCAGTCGGAGCCTCTGAAAAGTGTTGAGCCAACACCGCTTGGAGCTCATACTCCGAATATAACTCAAAATGCGCCCGTGGGGCTGCCTGAGGTCAAGCGCTTCTCTGGCTTCGGATCTGATTTCTTCACTGGAACTGACTCTAACCAGCAAAATCTGAGCTCCGATCAGAACTCTCTACGCCACAACCCCTCGCAAGCCTCTGAGACCTCACAGGGATTCCGATCGGTGGTCCACCAAGCGTTTGATGTTCCTGAAACTCCAAACTCCACTACCGACAGTGTGGCCCGTTCCAACAGCGATGGCACATCTGTGATTAGCCCTATTATGAGCCACCGCGTGCCCACCGATGACAAGACTCCCACGATTCCCGAAGAGCCTGCCGATGCCAGCACTCCGACAGGCGCTCCACAAGAGGCGGCCGAGGCACCATTCTTCAAGCCTGGCCATCGGCGTGACATCAGTCTTCCAGAGCGAGATAACAGTCCCTCCAAACGTCCCATCGTTACCGACCATGATACACCTTTGGCTGGTCGAGCGGAGGTTACATCAGTATCTCCAGGGCAAGAGAACAGGTCACCTGAGCGATCTGTCGACACCACTGCCGCGCCCACAATCCCTCCTCCGAATGCTCCTGATGGCGATTTTGTTGCACCTCTCAAATTTGGCAGTGCCGGCACGTCGGGTTCAGAAGGTTATCGGGGCAGTATTCCCGCTATCGTTGGCGCTAATACCTCTCCTAACGAGGCCGATAACGACCGACTTCGAGAGGAAATCATGCGTTCGTTGAGCAGAGAAAACTCCCAGGAACCGGAAGAACAACCTCGGCCCTCTCGGCCAGAAGCAACTAAGGATGATTCTATCCCGCACCAGTATGAAAAATATTGGGATGGGCAGACAGGTCCAGGCGACGAATCCCAAAAGGAACTCGTCTCTGAGTCTCATCCGGACTGGGCAAGCTCTCAGCCTCTTGCTGCTCGGGATCCTTATTCACTCCCTTCACAAGAGCCGCAGCCTGTTTCAGCCGAAGCCAAGAAGCCGAAATTGGGCAGACGATTCTCGTGGGAATCGGCCTCTTCAGGCGGACCTCCTCCTGTTAACTATGATTCGCCTGATGGTTTGGCGCCACAAGCACCGGATCCCATTCCCGACCACGAAGAACTCAATCTATCATCTCAAGGGGTGACTGATGGGGATGTTTCTGGCGCTGAAAGTCAGAAGGCAGAGAAGCCTAGACTCTCTATTGTTCCCCCAGTATCTCAAAATCCCACTCCCCCTGAGCAAGTCATTCCTCCGCTGGAGGGATCACAACTAGACCTGTCACTTCCTGACTATACTGGATCCTCGAAGATTGATGAGACTAGGCTTCAGGGCTTCCGCGATATTCTTCAAATTTCCACTCCAGCTGCGCGTGTGCGAGCCTTTGAGGAGACAAGAACCCAATTTGCAACTCTTGACACTGGTTTGAACCACTGGCTTCAAGTTACGCTTCATGACCAGCCGCAACATGCCAACCTTATCCAGGAAAGCCAGACTCTATCCTCCGGTTTCCCCAAGGCCTCTCCTACCACTCGTCGATTCCCCAAACTGACGTCCCTTGGTAATTTATCTGCCACGCCTCGGGAGGACGGCACTCCTACCAATACCAGCCACATACGGCGCCCCTCTGGCCATATTGGAACCATTGTGAATAGGCAAAACGTCGAGCAGCATGGAAAGGAGTTCTTGCACACGGCAGGCAAATTTGGTGGAAAGGCCGGCGAGGCGGCCAAGGGCCTGTTCGCTAAGGGAAGAAGCAAATTCCGACAAGGTGGAAACGACAAGGTAGATACATAATCCTTTTTCTCTTTTTTCAGTTGTGGGGGCCCTATCTCTTTTGGAAAATGCGCTCTGGAATTAGCGCAGCGCAGCAGGTCTCTCGCTGTGCTTCCTTTGTTTCTCTCATCATCTCTTATCGATACCACGATGTAATATCCCATCGCTTTGGCATTGGATCTTAGAATGCGACACGATTGATGCATCTTCTCTTCTTCTTCGCCCACTCCCATTTATTCTCGAACTACTTCTGATGTTGGTAATGTTTGTAGGGACAATCACCGTCTGCACGCAAAAGTTTGCAGTTCCAATTCTCTTTCCAGTCCGAGTCGGCCAACTCCACTGGCTACTCTGGTAAAACACCCCGACGCAGCTCTCTCAACTTCAACAGTCTACCTGTCTTCAAATTCGGGCGCAGTGATGGTTCTGCTCCCGATGCAAGGGACCCCGCCTCTATAGAAAATTCACAGGATGAACGTGAACGTGAACGCGAGGGCAAACGCATCAAGTCCAGAGGGTCTTTGGATTTATTTGGGTTAAGCAAGAAGGGTAATGAGAGCAATGAAGCTAAGCCTGAAACATCGCAGTACATGAATGATTTTGAGAAGGAGATGAATGCTGCGTTGGGACTTTCACCAACAGAAACCCGTGCTCAACAGTCTAAACAGCAAGCCATTGCCGAGCCCACTGAATCGTCACAATTTGTTAGGCGTATCCAGTCTACTCGGCCCACTGAATCTGCTGTGGAAGCCTTTGAAGCTTCAAGGGAGAGTGATAGTCTGCAGCTATCGTCGAGGGAAGAACCGATGATCTCGGCCGATGCAACCGATGCCACCAATACCGCCGATGCCAATACGTACCTCACATCTTTGCCCTTGCGAGATATACCAGATCCCGAGAAGGACCTCTCAATCCCACCTGCTGAACGTACCGATGACTCTGCTTCTTCTGAAGTAGCAGATCCGCCAGGTAAATCTGGAATAGAAGCATCTCACACCACAATTCCCTCAATTCGTGCCGTGCCTGAAGAGGATACAAATCCTCCAGCTCCCCCCCAAGGACACCCCAATTGAAGGACCTGAGTCGATTGACTTGCCACCAGTGCCGCCCAAGAATCTCACACCCGAATCTGGCCTTATTGAAGATCGATACCATCAGAAGCCTCAAGAGAGTCTTGTGCCTCCACAACCAAGCCACACTCCACGCCAACCATCTGTCTCGACACTCGGAGATGAAAATCAGTCTGGAGCTCACTCCTCTTCCGAAGATGACAGCACTCCACCTTCGCCTATCCAAGCAGCAGCTACTGAGGACTTCATTGACCGGACTCCCCCTGAAGACCCCATCTATGGCAAGCCCATTCCACCAACCAACCTTTCCCAAACTTCGCTTCCACCAGGCGAGTCTGTTCTTCCGGGATTCGCCCCTTATCCGCCAAGGCCCCCCAGCCCACAAGAAGTCCTCGAGTCCAAACGCAGGTCAATCAGTGGACTTCCACCATCTACGCCCGGCGTACAAAGTCCGCTGAGGAACGAAGTGAGGTATTCACCCGGAACCCGCAGCAGCATGTTAAGCTTCGGCAGCTTCGGTCGCCAAAGTACCAGTAACAGCAAAGGAGGAACTCGTCCGAATACGCCGGGCAATGATTTGTCACAGCAAGATTCATCGGGCTCCGCTGCGCAAAACGGTGATTCAAAGATGGACAAATTGAAGAGTTTTGGACGGCGACGTCGAGCTTCGGTCGGTAACCTCCTGACTGGTATCCAAGGCGAGCTTCAGGGAGGTATCCAGGGAAATCAAGAAAAATCTCAAAAGAAACGCGGCTTCAGTCGCATCAGCGGTTTTTTCGGTCGTCAACAAGAGACCCAGCAGCCACCTACCCAGCCTGAGGAACGCAGGAAAACGATGCAAGATCCTCTTGACATAAAGGATCTACCCACGCCGCCCTTTAACTGGGATAGCCATCGTAACTCTGCAGAGCCGAATGGACACTCGTTAGCCAACCGCCACTCTATGGATAAGGCTCTCCCAGTGCTACCGGCCCATGAGGATGGAAGAGGCACGGCGCGTTCGTCACTAGATCGTCCACGCGCAAGCATTTCTGGCCCACCCACAACATCGTCGAACCCCATGTCTGGCAATCGATTTTATTCTCAGCTCATGTCTGGAGAAACCCAGAATACCCCTCAGCATACTCGTTCCCAAAGTCAGCCTTTTATGATAAGCCACCCTCTCTCCCCGGTGGCCCCATCGATATCAGAAAACAGCAGTTCACCCCCATCAGCTTCTCTGGATGAACTTGAAGAGAAATCGCCAGAGTTGGAGTCGTCACCTCCAGTGCCGCCAAAGTCACCAGTGTCTGAACTAGACCGGACTGAGGAAGATGCAAACGCACAACAGATAGATACCCCGGCTCAAGCACCAGAGCACGAACAAAAACAGACCTCCGCGTCAAATCTAGCTCCCAGTCTCAGCGTGCGATCCCGCGAATCCACTGGATCCGACTTCGAATCCACCACCTTTATCGGAAAAAATAACGAACCCCAAAATATCTTCGTCTCCGGCACGTCCACTACTTTCTCGCACCCCACTCGCGAGCGCGAGGCGCGTACTCTCAACGAGACGGCTGAGCCGGTTGAGTTGGCTCTTACTCGAGACGACTCGAGCGAGGAGATTATCATGTCTCCCACGGCGTATCCAGGACAGGAGTGGACGCCGATGCATTATTAGCAGTGATCTCCCCTGATTCAGCGAAGCGAACATGTTTCAATATCATAGCGGATACCCCATTTCGTTCTGACTGTCGTTTCTATCTCACTTTTGTACTACTACGGCCACCGCCGCTGTTTCATTGGGTGAATATTTTCTTCTGTATTCGTTTGTTTTACTTTGTCCATGCTCGAAGCGAGTTTACCCTTTGTACATTTAACATCATTTCTGTCTTAGATACTGCATGGCCCATATCTCCGCCATTTGATTGTTTCATTTATCGAAATGTCACCATGCGGACAAACAGTCTCGCTGCACACAGACTACCTATTCCACCGTATCCCATAATACTCTCTGCCTCACCAGTATTTGAAATTATTTTGCAGGGGTTCTATCTCCTACTTAGATCGCACAGCCTCCCAATCAATCCACTTGACATCCCCAAAAACACCTTCCTGGTTTTGAAAAACCTTGGCCGGCTCACTATACGGCTCCCATCCCTTCTCCTTAAGAACAGTCGTAACACCCCCCTCCACTCTTCCAGTCTCATTAAAGCCAGGACCATAAGCCTTATACTCCGCCATGAGTGTGGTTCCATTCTCATACCGCGCAACACCACTAACAACCCAATCAATATACCCACTAGGATCAATACTTCCATCTTCATACGAGCGCGCAAAGATAGACCGATGCTGTGAATTCCACGGCCGACCCAGCGCACATTCACCCTTGATTGACGATGCGATGGAAGAATTCGCCGCTTTCAGAGTTGAGTCTGCGATGTAGATGCCGTATTTGTTTTCGAAGGTCGTGTTCGTGCCTTTCCAAGCTGTTATTCCGCCACCGCAGCCGCGGAGTTGGATCTCGCTTGACTGGATCCATGCTGTGCCGAAGCCGTAGAGGAAATCGGTTTGGCCGGCTAGGATTGATTTGTAGAAGTAGGCGTTTCCTAGCTTGCCGATGTAGACCTGTATACTTGTTAGTCATGGGTGTCTCCATTCCATTTCGCTCTATAGTCCAGAACTGGCTGGACTCGCCAAATATGGACGTATGCCCTAGGAGCCCTGGAGGTAAAGTAGAAGAGCTCAGTCTTGAACATACCGTATCCTGATATGAATAAAATCCACAATAATAGAACCCCCCATTAGCCCGACTAAAACTAATAGCATGAGCCGGTCCATCCGAATATTCCGCCCAAGTATTTCTAAAATCAACATTATAAACCCTGAAATCCTTATTCCCAAACGGCGTATCATCAGGCACAGCGAAACCCGTCGTTCCAGAGCCCGTAATACTAGCATCCAGCGTCGGTGCAACGACCATCACGCTCGAGTAAACATTATCCACAGACTGACCCGTTGAATCCTTATTCGCGGCCGCCCAGGTCAACGTCACACGGTTGCGAGAGGCATCTTTCGGAGAAGTGGTCTGCCCCAGCAAAGTTATAGGCCCGGCCCGGGTGATGTTCACTTGTTCTTCGTAGGTGCCTGCGAGTAGAAGGATTGTTGCGGGTTTGTTGTTGTCTGGCAGGGAGGTGATTGCTTCTTGGACGGTGGGGAAGTCTGCAATGCTGCTGTTGCCGACAATTATTGTTCCTTTAGGGCAGTGGGTTCCGCCGCTGCTTTGGCACTTTTCTCGGGTTGAGTAGGTGAGGACTGCGGCGGTTGCTGGGGGTGTTTGCCAGAGGAGAGGGAGGAGGGGGAGGAGAGAAAGGCCGAACATCTTTGAGCGAAGATCCCCTGGGGGTATGTTTTTAGGTGTATGTCTTGGGTCAATTGATTTGGTTTGGGGAGATGGTTTCAAATTATGGGGATTGTTGACGTCGACGGTCTACTTAGGAGGACTTTATAGAAAGTCCCTCTCTCTTTCTCTTCTCTGCTTCTTCCTGGCTTGCGTCGACATGGCTTTTATTTTTAACTTCCCACTTCTACTCAAAGCGGTAGACGGAAAATCTTTCTCGTCATTGTCAAGCGAGACTAGGTCCCATAATGGGTTGTAGGCCCGACGCTTAGATTGCATTGGCATGTTAGAGTCATTGTAGATTCGGAAATTGTGTGAGATCTCCGCGATTCACCCCGCGAAAATGGGGAAGCAAGAAGCTTAGTGCTTCCCCCGCATGGTGGAAAATCTCGTCGGGAAATTGGTCGTTCGATTGGGGAACGGAGAATTGGGCATCCACCTGTTAGAAGACGTGTGGGGTGCAGGGGTAGGTGAAGGCGGGTGAAAGTGATGAAGGACGATGAGGGTGAAGACCTGTGGGGTGCACAGGACGAGAACTCATCAGAAGTTAATTAAGAGGCGTTGGTATTGAACTACACAGAAAGGATTTACATGATTGGGATTACAATTAGAAGAACAGGAGGCCATTAGAATCCCTTGTCATTGACAAGTACCACTATTAACGACATACATACACGTAGAGAAAGAAAACTTGAACTCTAGCAACTCGAAAGCGACAAGCAAAAAGAGATCCAAGGGGTAAATGGAACACACAAAAGTCTATAATACGGGGGTGGAAAGGAAAGAAAGAAAAAGACGGGGTATCCGGCCTTCTTTTTTCCCACGGTATGCATGTCCAGGATAAATGGCAAGCAAACAAAGATTTGCGTGGTATGTTGTAGCAAGGGGGTGTTTGTAGACAAAAGTAAAATTTAGGAAATTAATTGTGATCTCGGACCAGTATCGAGTTCAGAAAAGGAAAGGTTTAGATTAAAGCAAGGCTTTTTCCCATTTAAGGAAGCGAAGCGCTTACTCGTCCTCCTCGATCTCCTCGGCGCGGGCACCCAGAGTGTAACGAGACTTGCCGTCAGCAGAGTGCTCGTGCTCAATGGCCAGCTTGGAGAGGTGAGCGATCATGTTCTCGATCTGGGTGTCGGCCTTGGAGCGGGTCTTGCGGCCAAGGTTGTCCAGAGCGGGAATGATGGTCAGGATGTAGTAGACAACGGCAATGATGACGGTGACACCGATGGAGTAGGCCCAGATGACAACAACAGTGACAATATCGACATCGTTGTTGACGGAGAAGGTAGGGCCAGCGGGGTCAGAGGGGTGGGTGTCCTTCCAGTCGGGAGCCAACCAGCCGAAGACACAGAAGAGGGTAGCCAAGACGTCGACGACGAAGATGGCAATGACCAACTGCCACGAGGGCCAGGTCTTACCACCACGGGTAACGAAGATCAGCCAGTTCTCAGTCAGAGCAATCTCAAGGAAGAGAATCTCCTGGGGAGAGCCGAAGTTCTGGATGATACCACCGTTCTCAAGGAAGAGAGTACCACGGATGATCCAGGTGGCGGCAGCAAGCAAGATTCCAAGAACGATAGAGATAACCCAGATCTTGGGTAGCTGCCACTCGACGGGGCGGGCCTCGAAGTGAGCGTTATCGTAAGCGACGGCAATGGTGGCAAGATCAGCGAACAGGGCGATGAAGACGATGAGGGAAGAGTCAACGGTCTCGTCAATGATGATCATGGAGGTAACCAGGTAGATCTCAAGGTGCAGGCACAGAGCGATACGGTACTGGATGTAGGCCTTCATACGCTGGAAAATTTGACGGGCGAGCTTGATAGCATCGACAATGGTGGAAAGACCGGGAGCAAGGAAGACAATATCAGCGGCAGCCTGGGCAGCCTCGGTGGAGCCCTCGACGGCAATACCACAGTCAGCCTTCTTCAGGGAGGGAGCGTCGTTAACACCGTCACCAGTCATGGCAGTCAAGTGACCACGCTGTTGCAGCATCTCGACGACCTGGTACTTGTGCTCGGGGAAAACCTCAGCGAAACCATCGGCCTTCTCAACAAGCTCGTGCTGGGCAGAGCCGGCGAGACCACCGTGAATCAGGCGCTCAGAGTCGTAAACCTTGGTACCGAGAGCAAGCATCTTGCAGGTCTCCTTGGCAATAGCGATGGCGTCACCAGTAAGCATCTTGACGGACAGACCCAGAACCTGAGCCTCGGCGATGGTGTGGGCAGTGTCCTCACGGGGGGGGATCGAACATGGGGTACATGCCCAGAAGCTGCCAGGGCTCGCCCTCCTTCATGACGGCAACACCCAGGGAACGGAAACCACGGCGAGCGAACTCAGTAGCCTTGTCACGGTAGAGCTGAGCCTCCTCCTGAGAGCACTCGGACATGTTCAGGATAGCCTTGGGAGCACCCTTGGCACAGATGTAGCGGACACCGTCGCAGGTACAGATAGTAGTAATACGCTTGGAGACAGGGTCGAAAGGAGTGTACTTCTCGGTGATCCAGTTGCGGGCGAGGATCTCACGAGCCTTGGGGTAACGACGGAGAGTAAGGATAGTGACCTTGTCAATGGGGTCCAGGTTCTTGACGTTGTGGGAAGAGGCGATAGCGGCAACTGCCATCATCCAGTTGACATCAACACCCTCAGCGACGTAGGGCTCACGGATAGACAGCTGGTTGGCGGTCAGGGTACCGGTCTTGTCAGAGCAAAGAATGTCGACACCAGCGAGGGACTCGATGGCAGTGAGCTTCTGGACGATAGCCTTCTGCTCGGCGAGGTAGGCGGCACCGACGGCGAGGGTGGTGGTGGTAACGACAGGCAGACCGACGGGGACACCGATAATGAGCAGAATCAGGGTGTAGTGGAGCAGGTTGTTGTCGGAGGACTCGGGGGTAGCGATCTTCAGGTGACGGAAGAAACCACCAATCCAAGCAGCGAGAATCCAGAACATGACGAGAACGAGCAGGGAGGTACCAATGTTGTCCATGACAGCCTTGAAGTGACCAGAGTCCTTGGCACCCTGAACGAGAGCAGCAGTCTTACCGACGAAAGACTGGCGGGCGGTGGCAGTGACGATACCGTAGGCCTTGCCGCGCTTGCAACCGGTGGTGTAGTAGCAGACATCGGCCATGTACTTGTCGACGGCGAGAGACTCACCAGTGATGGCGGACTGATCGCAAGCAATGAGAGAGACACCAATGTGGGTCTCGTCACGCTCGTCATCATCATCGTCCTCCTTCTCCTTGAGAGTGTCGTCGTTGGCGGTAGCGAGGTACTCCTTGTAGGTCTCGAAGTTCTCGGGCTTGTCGAAGTCACAGATCAGGCGAACATCAGCGGGGACGACGGTGCCCTCCTCGATGATGACGATATCACCAGTAACCAGTTCACGGGCGAGGATCTCCTCCTCCTGACCATTGCGGATAACGAGGGCACGCATAGCGATATCACCCTTCAGCGAAGCAACAACATCGGCGGCCTGCTTCTCCTGGTACCAACCGACCAGGGCGTTGAGAAGCAGAATACCACAGATGACACCAAGATCAATCCAGTCACGCAGACCAGCGGCGAGAAGGACAGCGAGTTCCATAACTAGAGGAAGAGAAAAAAGGACGCGTTAGAAAGGCATTGAACGCGTTGAAAGCTTTCACTTGATACTGTGCATGGATTCGAAATACTCACCATAGAGAATGGGACCACGGAAGTAACCAATGAACTGAACGAAGATGTTGGTCTTCTCAGTCACCAGCTCGTTCCAGCCACACTTCTTGCGGCGGGGGTCGATTTCCGAGGAGGAGAGACCAGCGCGAAGGTCAGTCTCGAGCCACTCCTCGGGGGCCTGCCAGCCCTCCTCAACACCATCACCCTGCTTGGCCCAGAACTTCCAGAAGGGCTTCTTCTTCTCGCCGGCAGCGCTGAGAGCACCGGCAGAGGAGGTGGAACCACGACGGCCATCGCGAGCAGTGGAGATGTAGCGGTTCAGAGCAGAGTACTCATCGAGAGTAGGACCTCCCTCACCGGCCTCAGTAGTCTCCTTGTTGTGGCGCTCGCCATTTTCGACATCAACAGCATAGGAGATCCTCCGCTCGCTCGAGCTTGTCACGTTTGTCGCCATTGTTGTAGTTGTTGCGGCTTACAAGCCAGGAAGACAAACACTTCAATGACTAGGTACCGAACGAGACGGAATAATCCTATGAGAAAAAAAGAGAGAAAAGGAAAGGGTGGGTTGGGTGAGAGGGAATGGGACTTTATAATACGGGGGGAGGGACCAGCGAAAAGAGAGAACCGGAGTGGGTGGAGATGTGGATTCCCTGTGACCGTGTGAGGGAAATAGGGAAATACTCTGAAATTGAAAAGAAAAATCAGAAATTGGAAGAGGAAAAAAATGGAAAATGGCAAAATGAAGAAAAAATAAAAGAAAAAAAAAGCTGAAAAAGGAAAGGAGATTATTGTTTCTGGGTCTGTGTTGATGGAAACCCACCAGAGCTTGTCGCGTACCTGGTTGCTGGGGGAAGGGTGTATTGGGTGGTACAGTATTGTGGTATTTTTCACCGTGAGGACTGTGAGTACTGTGAGTACTGAGAGTACTGAGAGACTGTAGCACGGCACACTGCCGAGTTATCGGTACGACTCGTACTAGCTTGCCGAGTGCGGCCCAGCTGCTCTCGGCTTGACTATGCGCGATTTTTGTACAGAAGAGAGATACTCTTCTACTGTGTGCATTAACATGAACAGAATAACTATTCAGGTCATTAAGCTATTGTACACAATATAGAGTAGAAGATAAGGTACTCTATTACTCGTACAGAGTAAGATTGTATCAGATCAAGGTATGGCATGGCATGGCATGGCATGCCGGAGAATTCCAGGAATCTACGCGTAGTATAGAAGTATGTACTGTACTGCAGCGGTGGCAATGGCCAAAATCTCTACTCTACTCACTCTACTGAGCCTACTCATCTACATCCTACCTAGTCATCGAGCCAACTACACTACACGATTCCTATACCCTAATTGTAGATGTCATGGCTAAATCTCTGCTCCGTGTTACCCGATTTCCCCAATTGTCCAATTGCCAGGGGCACCGCAAGCGGCGACAACATGCCGCGTATCCTTGATACCATACCATACATACACAATACCATTAGGTCACTCTTTCTGCTCATTTGTTCACCAACCTCCTTCTTATCGACACATCCCGCCTCTCCCATCATCCCCTTATTGCCACATCCTCGCCCCAGCTGCCCTCTTCGACTTCTCTTCTCTCCTCGTGGGGGACCACCACAGCGTCATTTAATTCCCTCTTCCTCACTGGCCACTCTCCCCCAGCAGGCCCCCGCTCACTAACGCCATCTAGTCTCGGCATGCATCGAATCAATGTCCGCCCCAACGATAATGAGGTCATTCTCTCGCTGATCGCCTCCCTTCTGGCCCTGGGACCTGACCCTCAGTGTACTCTCTACTCTCTGGCCCCCATCGCTCGGCGACTGCTCTGCTGGGTTAGTAGGGCTGGCGTGATGTGATACACATGGTGGAACTTGGCCGAGGAACAACCATACCGTTGTGAACGGCGAAGCAGCTGTCAACCTCAATGTGAACGTGAATTAGCAACATCCTAGTCCTCTGCGCTGATCACCGCGACCAGGGAATAATCCCGGTAGCAAGCTTTTCCCGGGATACTCGATGCGTATAAGGCGTCGCGATCTCCAGGCTTCGCTGGCACCGTCACCCTCCGCCATTGGACGATCCTAGCCACCAACTTCATTTGTAGGATGCACCCCCGGATTGAAGGATCAATGGCGAGTCTGTAGGTGGTCAAGCACCTACATCTACATCTACATCTACACCTGCGGAGTACACCTCCAGTACTTCTGCACATTCTCGCCGGGAACCCGTACGGGGTACCCCGTACTGAGGACGAGGGCGAGAACTAGATTGGTCGGGATTGATACTGCTTCGCATTCGTATAGTACTAGTAGTAGTAGTAGTAGTATGACTGCGAGTAGCCAAAGTACAAAGCACTTCCACACAGTGTACGAGTAAGTCCAGGACTGCTCAGTAGTCCCCGGCGCTTTCCGCGGTTGGCATCAACGGCCACAACCAATTGAGGGCGTTTGAACAGTAATAGGAATGGTACTCCATATGGAATTGAATTTTCACTTCCCCTGAACTCTCTCAATCCGTTCGGTCGGTCAAGACAAAGGAACCCAGCAGCATCCCCATCCCCATCTCCATCAAACGATTCAAGAAAAGAGGGGCCCCTCGGGGCCCCGATCATCTCCAAATCAATCAATCAACCCAATCCCCCCAGCGAGATTACCCGTATTTGCCTTTTGCCTCAATTCCCCTTCATCTCCAGTTCATTCCCCATCCTATCTAACCCGACCGGTGTGTCTATCAGGGCCTAGTCCACCACCAACCTACAGTACGTACGTAGTTAAGAATAGAAGTACATACGCCCACGCTCAGGGCGGCTGGAAATTGGGGAATTGAAATTGAAATTGCTATTGCATTATGGAGAACGGCACGCGTTCACAACGCTTCGTCCCCCAATGACCCCGTGCTGTGCGATCATTCCGGGGGACTCCCGCTTTCTCTACGCCATATCCGTACCCTACGGAGTACTCGTACAGTACCCTCTCTCCTTTGATCCCTTTGCACGTCAGCCAAGACCGGCCCGTGGTCAGGAGGATCCTGGTGGGATGGATGGTGGGATGAAGGATGGGGCACTCCATACGAGTAGGGGGGGGGGTCGGGGGGTCGGGGTGTCGGGCGCATTGTCGGGGGTCTCTCTTTTCAAGTTCTCTTTACGAGGGCGGGTTGGAGGGTACGACGCTACGACAGGTTAGGGGATGGCGTCGCATGACTGTAGCGTAGCGTAGCGTGGAGTGGGGATAAGGGAAGGGCAAGAAAAGACGCATTCGGGGAACGGGGTGCCACAACTCTTGGATTTCACTTGGAGTCGTGGTTCTATGGAGTTGTCTGGCATTACTATTAGGTGTGTGAAATATGCAGGCGGACCCTCCCAAGGATCTTGTCGTTTCTAGGGTTGCAGGAGTGGAGAGCTTCGATGGAGACCGACTTCTCGACAGGGCGCTTGTCGGCAGGAGAGGAGAGTCGGCGATGGACACGGTGTTTCGCGAATTGGTGCCCTGTCCTGTGTTCCACGATGACCCGTGGAACTGCTCTATTGTCTTTACTTTGAGGTTGTTTCTACGGTAACTCGTGTTTCGTCGTTTGTAGCAGGTAGATTGTTTGATCTAGGCCGTTCAGGTTGATATGTATACTGCCGATCTCATACTGCCAGTGTCTATCATGTGTACTCAGGCTGTTTGCTACTGCTTCCACCGTGACGATATACCTCACTGCAGAAGGACTAGTAATGAGGCGGAAGATATCTTTGGCTATCACTCCAATGGCAGCACTTGCCACTCCCTCACCTTTCACGTCACTCGCGTGGAAGGATCCGATTCAATTTTCAGCCTTGGGCGATCGCGCCGCTGATGTCGTTGGTCTGGGGAAAAGAGTAAGGGCAAGGGCACAGACACTGCAACAAAATGCCTCACAATGCAATTCGATTGCCACTCAGTTTGAATTTTAAATTTTGAATTTTAATTCCTCTTCTTTCTTTTTTCATGCGGTGAAGACCGAGAACAATGGCAATGGTCGTGGCCACGGCCACGGCCACGGCGCGCGGAGAAATCTCGATCATGTCGGACCAAGTGCGAGAATTTTCTCCCTGCTCCATAGTAAATTCTCTTACCCCAGTGGAGCCCCAGGAGCCCCAGGAGCCCCAGAGAACAGAGACACACCACCACCCTCAATCACCAGTGGGCGACCGGCACGGCCATCCGCCCTGGGCGAATTTCCCTTCGTGGCGAGTGGAGCCCGTGCGTGTGCGCAAGTCTTCTGGATGTTTTCTAGAAGGCTTCGACTGGCCCTGAGTTCCGTGGTTGCAGGTGAAGTGTATGGAGTATACCAAAGTCTACCAAAGTGTACCAAATGAAAATTCTTTCGTATTTTATGCAAGAGAGTACCACAACCATGGTCTTTTGTCTGCGGGCTCTCCGCGGGCCCTGGAATGTTCCTTGGCTTCACCCTCGTACTATTTACTCCGTCCTGGTGCCCCGATAAGACTGAAGACTGAAACTCTCACGTCATGGCCAGCTTATCATGCCGTTTTCCGCCGACGCTTTTCCCAGGCTGGTCGCATTTGATCGTTTCGGGGGTAGTGATGAGTGTATCGTATGGTAAGAAGCCGGAAAGGAACGAAGTGCCTGAAACGGTTAGTTTCAGCAGGGAGATTTCAGCCAATAGCGGCGTGTTAAACTGGCTTAGTCACAAAACTCCTGCCGATTCTGCCGCGCCGGGAGAAGCAGGAAGCACCTGCCGTGTACTTATGAGTGTAGTACCTAGTAATGTAGTAATGTAGTATACTCGTATGCTATGATAGTATACTATGATGCTATGCATTAGCATCCATCCTCTAATTAGTATACCTTCACTCACAACACTCAATGGCTACTTCCTAACTTCCAATGGCCATCACCATACTCCATACTCGTACTCTGTACGAGAGCTACATGATGTGCAGCTTGGCTTTCACCGCGCACCCGTGTACCTACAGTAGTGGGCTAGTCGATGGGGAAAGCCCCCCAATTTCCTCCAATTTCCAGCAATCACACCCTCCCTAATGGACCCGCCATCTGAATCAAACCCTCACCGGGGCCCATTCCCCACTAGACGATCGCCCTGCCACATCGGTCGCCAATTTACCCTACCGCTGCTGGCCTGATCAGGGTTAGTGCTTTTGAGGCATTTTATGCCTCTCCCCTCCAAGTCGAGACTAGAATAGCGTCCTTTCAACGACCTCCGCGGACGGCTAGACCATGCCAGTTGTCGCAATACAACAACCCTCCGAGTCCCTCTGCACACTCCGCCCATCACAACATCATATGTATTATACATTGCCATTGTCATAATCATAACCTTGGAACATATCCCTACATAGTACAGGTACCCGTAGAAAAGCCCGCTAGCATCAATTACAGTAGTACTATACCCAAACTAAAGCCACTAGACCCCCTTCAACGTCCGCGCCGGGTTCGCCAAGAGATCCCAGCGTCCGTTCTCACGATTTCCCCCAGGTTCTTACCGGAGACTGTCGAGTCAAGTCGAATTAAATCCACGGGGAGCCTACGGGAAGCTTACAGTCACCGTCGCCGTGCTCCGTAGTATACAAACTAGTCGCACGGGGTCTAGTATAGACTTTCCATGCGGTTCCCGCGCCTGCATTAAGGTTCGCGAATGGGATTCTCCCGCGTTGCCGTGACTGGACTGGATCTGGATCCAATCGGCGGTGCATGCATGGCTGTTGAACTGTAAGAGTTCCCCGTCTGCGTATGGAGTATGCGCGTCCTGCTGTTTCTTCTGCTGCAGGATGCAAGGAGATGAACGTGGCTAGCGGTCACCGGCTCGAGTCGGACAAGGGAAGAAAATCGCGCGTTGGCGTTCTTTTTTTACCTCGCGTGCCTTTGTACCCGTAACTACAGTAGGTAAGACGGGGCGTTTGTATGGTATGAACTAGTTGTTTTCATCTCTTGGGTGCATACTCCGTACAGGAAGTACATAGTGCGGACTTATCTACAGTAGACACAAGGGTAGTGCGGACATATCGTCATTCTCTAATGCGGAAGCGCACACCCGTCAGCAATCATGTGTCTGTGCTTTGCTTTTGCTCTGACATTTTCGTAAGACAAAAAGGTAAAAAGGGATTTTCACCGACCCCGACACCGACCCCGACCACCGACACCGACTCAGTCTAAGTGCCCCATTTCTCGCCCCCCCTGGGGGCTCATTGGATCAATTCCAATTATTGGACTCGGTTCCCGGCACACACAACGACATCATCGACCTTTACTCAGTACGTGAAAAAAAAGCCTCGGTCGCAGGACAAATCAAACTAAGACAGATCCTGTAAAATTTTGTTCTCGAATGGGGCTACACTTATCGGAGAAGCTGTCTCGGTGTTCTCGAACCCTTTTTCGGCATGTCGGCCGGAATCCCGTCCAGGGCTCGGGCTACGCGCGGCATCGCGGGAGTCGGCACCGCTTGGTCTACCCGACATATTATGGATTATGGATTATGGATTATGGACCTTGTCGCAACTTCTGTTCGGTGTTTGTGTCGCATGGCATGTTTGGAACGGGCCTTGCTCTGCTGTACTCTGCCCCTCCTTCGGGGTTTTTTTGGTTCTAGAAGTAGTGGTAGTCTCCATTCTGCCCTAGGGTTCAACGTCTACAAATCTCTGATCGGACAACGTGATTGTCCAAGACCCGGGTAAATTATTCAGTCCACATTGCTTGAAAAAAAAGGAAAGTTTTAATAGTTCTGTTCAATTCGATGTGGATCGCTCATCAATGTTCGCTTTCTGATGGTCAGCCCTAGACTTCGTTTCTAACTGGTCTTCCTCCCCGATACACCTCTGCACTGGCATAACTACGAGTATATAGTGAGTACTCCGTAGACAGCAAGGTCTCACTGACCTGCTCATCTCTTGGCTACGTCGAACCCCTGTGCCGATCAGCACTGCAAGCACTACTCCGTACATCGTAAATCTTCAGACAAGAGTCCGATGATGTAAATGCAAATCCCATCTCCTCTCCTCTCCTCTCCCAACCTAAGTTAAATGCTTATCGGCAATCGTTTCATCAAACGGGTAAAATGCACCGAGCCGGGGTACCAAATTCGGAAATTTCCGCGGGGTTATACTGAATTAATCCCTTTCGCCCTCCCCAATCTCCGGGCCTTAATAGTAGGACAGGAAACTCAATGCCGTAAAGCTACACCTCCATACTGAGTCTAGAAGCAATGGGCCGTCCCGCCCGTAGCCAGTACACGAGTATTCCGCTTCACCTTACCGTTCACCTTTGCATGTAGGTTCTTACCCAAGGAGGCAGGTAGCGCGTGGAGGAAGCTAGACCAATGATGAAATCTGTACTTTACTTTCCTCCGTACGATACTCCGGGGTCAGGAATGCACAGGCACAATGTAAAATGCAGGTATAGCTAGTATTGGGGGCCGACCATGACGACATACTAGTCAGGGGTAATTCTTCCGATCTGGGGCGAGGGGAAGGGGTGTGTGTTGAGAAGCATACTCCGTACTCGTACGGAGAATACTAATAATAAACAGACTCGATCAAAACAAAATAAGAAACATCACGACGCGACGCGGAGCCACACGAGACCAGACTAAACTAGATCAGACTCGCGAAATGGCCAGCATAAGCAAAGAGAACAGTTGATTCCGCTCATGGTTGGTTCGCGAGGCCCTGATCGACAGGAGAAAGCAGCAAAAGGAAAAATAGCGGCCCCCACTCCGCTCACAACGGGCAAGGCACGAACTCTTTTTTCAGGTGCAGGCGTCCCATAGCGCATATCACTATTTAAAATTGGGGTGGGATGGGATGGGGATGGGGGGTGCATTCGCGCACGAAACTGGTTTTTTGACGGAGGGTCAATTTACTTCCTATCCGACCAATCATGTGCTTGTTTTGCATTTCGCAAGAGATCCTGGTACATTATTCCATGTGAAGCTTGCTCATGTTCATGTGTTATGCGGGTTCCTCCTAGCTTGTCGTGGAGAAAAACAGAGCCGCTGATCGGCGCGTGTCTGGGTCGGGAGGTTATGGACTGGGCAAGTTGGCCGAAGTTCAACTACATCATAGCCTTTGTCTTGATGGCTGTGCGATACATAGTGTAGTTGAATTATGGAATACTTCTGTGTGTGTGTGCGTACTGCTGTATTGGACGGTGCGTGTGCGTCGGTTTAGAGAGGCCTTGGTCTTTGTTTTCTGTCCGGGGTGAAACCTGTATCACGGCTGCTTACCGTTGCAATACAATTCTTCACTTGTATTTGGACGCCGACTGTTTCTGTTTCTGTTTCGTTTTGTGCCTGAGACGGTGACGGCGACGATTCTGGTCTCAGACATTGGATGAATCTCATTACAGTCGGGGCAAAGCCGCCGATCCTAGTCCACTGCTTCGGCGCTGCGGCAATCCAATGGGGACGACAGCGACGATGCTGCCAATGAACTGTGTTACTATCCGACTGCCTGTCAGGCCCCGACATAATGAATCTAAAGATGGGGAGAGGTGGCTGTGTCTATGAATAGCCGTTGCCCGACGCAGATCGGCAATTGGAGACACTGCCGATATCTTTGCCTCTATTTGGACAGTCTCGTAGTCTATACTGCATATGCGGGATGTACCATCTCAAAGCTTCTCGATGTATTGTAAGTATGTACCGAGTAGTGCCATGTTATACACCGTACACCGCTGTATATGTTTATTTTGGGTGTGTTCAAAGACCGCAGTATGCCAAGCAAGACAGGGATGACCTGATCGACGTGCTGCCTATTCTTCTTGCAGACTTGAGGCTGTGCACATACATGCTACAATACAGATAGTAAGGAAGGGTCTGTAAATATGATTCAATTGTATGACTGTTGCAAAATACTCATATCAACGTCGCTCCGATATGCCCCATGTTTCTTCTCCAGGATCGACGTGCCAATCCCCATAGTCTGACGCCCAGGGTCATCAAATTCAATCAAGTTTCACCACCAGTCTTGGCCGACAAAATCTCGGCGTCATTCTGGATCCAATGGTGAGCGTTTATAGCTCCAAGAACCCCAAGAAAAGTGTAGCGATCGACAGTTCCTTGCTCCTTATCTCGCATCCCGAACGCGGGATCTATAAATTTGAATAGTGCGGAGTAAACTAACGATGTAAACAATTGGAACCAGGACTTGGCGCCGGGGAACTAGGGAATGTCAAGAAAATTAGTATCGGAATCAGAGTTAACGATAAGAAGAGAATCATATGCTAGTATTCGAAGCACTGTACGTACACAGAAGCCAATCACGCCGAGACTCATCTGACTATTGCCGCAGTACTACTCTGTACAGAAGTAACAATGACCCATGACAATTACCACCTCACTCCAAGATCGACCCGAGCATCGGCCCAAAAACCAAAATCGACCTTCTCCTGCACATCATCCCTCCGATTCATCATTCTCTCCAGTCAATCCTTTCTTGGCGCCGCGCCAATGTCCTGACACAACCAGCCCCGATGATCTTCGTTGCAGCATCTTGGCCTCCATCCAAAAAAAAACCTTGACAAGTCTTGGAACGACTCAAGATCCGATAAAGATTATTCTTACTTCGTATGGAGAGCATTTTCTTCCTCCCTTCTATTCCGTACTTGGCATCTTCCCCCCTTGATCGCCTAAAAATGAAAATTACCGCCCCTCCCCCTGAACACCCCGCCAAGAGACCGCCGTGCATCCCTCCCGCATTATCGTCTTGGCAAACATTCATTCCCTCTCGGCGTTGCCCTCTGCGCTGTAACCCCTTCCGTTTCATTCTCCATGTCAATCCTCCGCGGTCTTACTAGTCTACATGTAGCCATACCCCTCTCCGTGGCCAGTCAATCGTGGGGTGGACGGGAGTGGAAGGGGGAGAACGCCGAGATGCCGAGATTCTGTGCAAGGGATATCTTTTCGATAATGCCTACTTGGCCGCGGCCGGTTTGCATGGTGATCGGTTTCTTGGCGGGGGCTGTACACTGTATTGTGTAGCCTGCGATGCATCACGATAATTTGTCTTACCCTTGGCTCCTTGGTTCTGCGTTGTAGAGTTCAGGCTTTGACTCAAAGGTTCCAGTGGAGATGTTGATGGTGATGTTAGTAGTTTTGCTAGTTTGATAGACGTGGCGGCTGCCTCGTGTTGAGGGATTTGGCTTGGAGGTCTAATTTTGAGGTTATTGTTGCGCATCGCAAGCATAGTATCGGGTAATTCTGGACGTATAGCCCTGGAGGGTCGTGAAGAGCTTTGAATGTCGTCGAGTTGTTAACCTTGAAAATAAGTGATCATAGTAGTGGGCGTACTGGTTGGTTTCTCTGGGTAGATCTGGTAGTTTTTCTCAGTTGCAATGGATCTGGATCAGTACCTACGACCTACTACTAGTAGTAGTACCAATACTGGTAGTAGTAGGTACTATCAAGTGCCAGTGCACAGCGATATTGCCCAGGTGTTCGCAGCTTGAATTGGTAGGTTGTACGGGAAAATTGAGAAATTCATCGTGGCATATGATTCTAAGTTGTACTAATTACTGGTTTTCACACGGTTGATACTAGACATCCAGTGTGATATAATTGAATAAAATTTTGTTAGATCATCTCAAACTATATATATTGGTCTTCTACTACTACTAGCACTACTAGTAGTAGAGCCCTGGAGCCCTGGAGGCTGTGATAACTAACACTGCCTACCTAGGTAATGGGTGCACCTTGGGATAGTGACATATATATTTTCACGACTCGGAGATAGACAACTAACTAGTAGTAGTATCAGGTTGAACCAGCCGCAACATCTACCAAACCCCCTAGGGCTGTTGAACTACTAGCATCGGTTGCAGCAATGGCAGTCATGAAGATACTGTGTTTTTATATCAATCTTAGTAGTACTACTAGTAGTGGTATTTATAAACCCAGTAGTCCAACGGACAATTCAAGTTTCAGTCAGAATGGTAGCCCATTCAAATTCATTTTACAGCCTTAGTACCTAGTATGGAGCTACAGCAAATACTATGGAATACTATTCATGGAAGATTATCTTAGATTGAATCACACCACTGGGCACCTACACCGAATGTACCTCACACCTATACCACGCCATGACTACAACCAGAAACATGCGCACCCTCTCCCTTCGCCCACTCTAACATAATTCCGATCGTGTGACAAGAACGCAGCAAGGATCAGATGATGTCAGAGATAAACGAAGAAAAAAAGAAAATTTAGCCGACCGATAGTGAAACAACCCCTGGATAGAATGTTGAGTTGCCCTGAGCAACAAGTGCCATGCAACTTCACATCGGTCCCTTCATACCCACGTGGAACCATGAAGATGCAAGGAGTATCAAGATCCGGTTTCAAGTCCTCAACTGTCACCGTCTGCACATATGTGGAACAGGACGAACATTACATGATTCTACTGTAATATCTAAAATATAATCTTTGTCCCCACTGTGCAAGGAACCATGGTACCGGGCATATGCTTCTCAATGGCGAATTTCGCCCGCCAGCCTGTGCAGTGCCCGGGCATGAGAACTGCAGGGTCCAGTCGTTTCAAATCGGCAACTGTACTCTGTACCTGCGCGGGCTCACTCATGGAGAGATGATACCCACCCACGACGCAGTGGAGTGGTGCGCCGCCGCCGAGTTGGACTGCGTTCTTTGCTGTGTTCACCACGCCGGCATGGCTGCAGCCGGTGAATACAACGAGTCCTTTGCCTTTGAGATTGCATGCGAGGAAGCGCTCGTCCGCGATGAGTTCGTCCGAGAACCAGTCTTTCTCTTCTGGATCGTAGCGGACTGCGTTCCGGAGGCCGGTCTCGTACGGCGTGACTCGAGGAATCTCGCCCGAGATTAGGAAGAAATCGTCGAGTACCGTGTGAGCTTCGTCATGCTTTTGTAGTACTGCACCGCTATTTTGGATTTCCTCAAAGGTTGGGTCGGCCTGGAGGGAGATGATGGTGTCTGGTAGAGCAATTCCTCGGTAGACGGGTCGGTCTGGGTGTACGTCCACGACAAGGTCGTCTGAGCGGGATTCTCTGATCATTTCGATTGCTCTTAATAGGCCGCCTGCATTTCATATTAACCAAATGGCCATGTAGTCGAAATGTTGAAGCATATGGACGAATAACCAACCCGAGTGATCTCGATGCCAATGCGAGAGTTGGATGACTTCGATGGACGAGAGATTGGGACGTAGTCGATTGACATTTCTCTCCCAGACATCTTCTTCCGGTCCAACATCGAAAAGGACCGAGTGTTTCTGGTCACCCTTGGTAGCTGTCTGTCTTATATCAGTGGGATGATTCCTCGTGCGGAGAGAGTTTGGGGGGTTGCATAATCTTACCACTAAAATAGAGAGACCATGCGCAGAGCAGCATATATCTTCCATTCGCATTTCTTTGGATGCCCCACCTCGATCGGTCAAATTGTTATCCGATCTCAGGGCGATTTGTCCTAAGTTTCCCACGATTTGGACAGTATCTGGAGCTGGAGGGGACATCGGATCCAGCTCATTGTCCACGATCACGATTGCCTCGAGAGAGTCGACCTCCTGGAGATTCAAATTCAGCTCATCCATGACCGAGATGGAATATAGAAAGATGGCTAGGATTAGTGTGTAGGGGAGATGGAGTCAATGTGGGGTGTTCTTTGTGTATATACTCGCAGGCTGCAGCCCCCACGACCCTTAGGGCAATGAGTGCGAGGCTGACGTGAGACAATATGGTCGACAGCTTCTGAAACTAAGCTCAAAATAGCCAGTAGCCCGAAACAGGCAGATTAGTGCAAGTAGAGAGTAGAGTAAACCCAAGTACTTAAGTAAGTAGTACTTTAGGTCCGCGGAGTTCGGTCCCGTGATGACGGAAGGCGCAATCTTATCTCCGACTCCGGTTTGCAATTCCCGACTTCCTTTGACTTCTCTTTGACTTCACTTCACTTAAACTCTTGTCACGATCTCCTCCTTCTCCCCTTTAGATATGCGCTGATAATAGCTGATTGTCTGCGACTACAATGGCGCACGCCACACTCCTCCGCTCGTTGCGGCCAACTGTCGCATCACGCCTCCCCCGCCGGTCGCTTCTCCGACATGTCCACGCAGGCAGCTATCAGCCCTTTGTTCCACCATCGCCCGCATCCCTGGGAAAACCAGCTGCGGCCAAAGAATACAAACGGACTCGCAAATGGCTGCGACGGCTATTCTATACATCCCTCACGGCCGGTGTCATCTACGGCGTCGACAACCAATTCTACGCATCCTCTCTGACTCGAACGGCTCGGACCTTTTCCCTCGGCCTCCTCGTCGCCCTTGATTACAAGATTAATTTCAGACCAAATCCACCGCTGGCGAAATCCATCAATACGGTCCACGGCCGGAACGCCGAGCGCCTGTCCGATCTGTTACGTCACAATGGTGGGCTCTACCTAAAGATGGGTCAAGCGATTGCGATGCAATCGGCCATCCTACCGCCGGAGTTCCAACAAATGTTCTCTCGCATGTTCGATGACGCGCCGCAAAATGGCTGGAAAGAGGTGGAGAAGGTCATTCGGGAGGATTTCGGCAAGTCCCCCGAAGAGGTCTTCGGCATCTCCTTCACTGGGGAACCGGGTAAAGGTGTTATGGAGCGCAAGGCTCGTGCCAGTGCCAGTGTCGCTCAGGTGCACTGGGCTCGTCTGCAGGATGGCCGGGAGGTTGCAATTAAGATCCAGAAACGGGAGATTGTACAGCAACTGGCCTGGGACTTGTTCGCTTTCAAGTGAGTGTTGCCTTTGAAAGAAGGCGGGGGGCGATGTGAGGGTCTCCGAATTCGGACTAACTTCCTTTGATAGAACCGTGACTTGGATCTACAGCAAAATATTCGATATACCCTTCTACAGCTTGGTACCCTACATCAGTGAGCGATTGTCCCTCGAGACGGACTTTCTCAACGAAGCCGATAATTCAGAGCAGATGGCGCGGCTCGTTGCTGGAGAACCCCGCCTACGGGACCGTGTCTACATCCCAAAGGTGTTCCGTGAGCTGAGTTCACACCGAGTCATGACTGCCGAATGGATTGAAGGTGTACGGCTTTGGGACAAAGATGCCATCACTCGCTCATGGCGTGGCGGTTGGCGCGAGGGTAGCCCTGGTTGTCACGGAACACCAATGGACCCCCCATCAAGCGCTGCTGCCCCCATGGATCCAAATCTGTCAAAGGTCAAACCGGAGCGCAACCACTGGCGAGGCCAGAACAACCGCGGTGGACTGGGACTATCCCTCAAGGATGTGATGACGACCATGGTTGACCTGTTCTCTGCCCAAATGTTCCTCTGGGGACTGGTACACTGTGACCCTCACCCAGGTAACATCTTCATCCGTCGAAAGCCATCTGGTCAACCGGAGCTGGTTCTCATTGACCACGGCTTGTACATTCACATGGACCCTGATTTCAGACACCAGTACGCACGTCTCTGGAAGGCCATGCTCACCTTCGACAACGATACATTGGGTGAGATTGTCCAGAAATGGGGAGTTAAAAACACCGATGTCTTCGCCTCGGCAACTCTGATGCGCCCTTATCGCGGCGGTGACCTGTCGACCCAGCGCGGCCTGGAGGGATTGAGCAAGTCTGAACGAGCTCAACGTTCCTACGAGATGCAGCAGGCTGCACGCAAGGCCGTTCGTGACATTCTTGGCGACGAGACAAAATGGCCGCAGGAGTTGATCTTCATCGGCCGCAATCTGCGCATCGTTCAGGCGAACAACCAGTTCCTTGGCTCGCCGGTTAATCGCGTCAAGATTACCGGAACCTGGGCCTCGCGGGCACTGGTCGAATCTCCCGATCTATCTCTGCCAGAAAAGATCCGCAATCTTGGCCGGCATATGGTCTTCCGCTTTGTCTTGTTTACGAGTGACATTTTCTTCTGGTTCACCAAGATCCGACAGTTCTTGCATCTTGGTGGGGGAATGGAAGATGCCATCGAGGCCCAAATGCAAGGCATGGCTAAGGATATGGGGGTCGAACTGAACCAGAACGTCTTTGAGGGATGATATTCCCGTGTATTTTCAACCCTTACCTCTCACCTCTCACCTCTCACCTCTCACCTTTTACCTTTTACCTTTCAACTTCACCTCTCATACTCAACCTTTCACATCTCGGCGAGATATGAATTTCTCTTGACCTGACCGGGTCCTTGTGACCGGCTTCTCTTGCTCTTTCCGCCCTTGGTGATCCGTCTGCATAGACTCATAATGGTAAATTGCTTTGGAAGAGTGTAACATAAGAAAAGAACTCGCTTTTTAGAAGATAGAAAAATCTCCGATGTGTTTTGCCTCCTGTAAATATGATATATATGATATTGCCACCAGTTTTCGTAGCGCGACTCTCCAGGTCTTTTTGACCCTTCACTTCAACCACAACTGCCATACACATTCAGCCCATTCCCAAGCACATCCTGAGATCGCCCTTTCCCATTACTATCAATATCCCCATCCTCATCCCCATACCCATCATAAACCGCCTCATCCAACCGCCCACGCCTAGCAAGATACGCAGCCCCAGTATCCGCCCAAACTCGATATTCACAAACCTTCATCTCCCCATCCCCATCTCCCTCCACCGCAAGACCAACCCGATAAATAAAAGTCTCATCCCAAACCTGACCGGTCCCTTTCCAACAAAACCTTCCCTTTCCCCTCAAAACAACCGCCGAAGAAGAGCCGTCCACCACCCAGTCCCCCTCATTTTCAAACTTCATCTCCTCGATCGAGAGCGTTTCGCCCAGCAATTCGAAGTAATGTACCACACCCTCAGGTCCTGTGAATCGGCGGCCCAGGAATGGGGCTAGTTGTGGTAGCCCATGCTCGTAGATGAGAGGTACTGGGCTTTTGGTGAATGTTTGGAGGATTTTGGTTGTTGAGAGGGGGGTGGTTTTTAGGGCTTGTAGGAAGGTGTTGACTGCGTCCGTGAGGGATTTTATAGATGCCATTTTCTTCTTTTTATTTTTGCTTTAAATTTAGGGTTGATTGATGGGTTTGGTGCTCGGAGTAAGCCTTATATTCTTTTGGATCGAATTAGGTTGGGTCGGGAGTCCTGGTTGATGTTCAAGTTGAAGATCGACGTCACCAGTTACATCCGATGGATGGTTACCTTATATTGTCATGATGCCCCACAGAATAGGATGTTGCGGGGCCTTTTATATCACATGATATAGTACTAGTACTAGTATTGTCAAGTATTGAAGATAAGTTGGATAGCCCTCCTTGACTGAATGGGATTTGAAGGCGAATCTGTCCGTATATCAGCCACTCGCATTTGCTCACCACCCCCCCCCCCGGGCATTGGAAAGATTCAAAGGTTAGTACAAAGGGTTTTCATTGAGAGACTTGGAGGTTCAAATACTACTAGTAGTACTTCAAGTTCAACTACCCAGGCGAGTGGTACTGTTAGCCTAAGCCCTGGAGAGGATGGGATACTACTAGTATGCCTTAAAACATGTCATTCGTTTCCATTTGATTTCTTTTATTCAGAACCTTGGAATAGAGGAAAAGATATTCCCTCGTGATAAGCCACTCAATGCATGCATTGAGGACTGAACCCCTCCACCATCTCGACTTCATGTACTGATTTCGCCATCATCCCCAACTTGGAACCCGTCCATCCATCATTCCCTCCGGATCACCTCCAAATTCCAGCAAAACTCCATTTCGGCGTGAACAGCCTTGAATCAAGGATAAAAATCACAAGTTAAGGGGAAAAGGCGGAAGAGAAAAAAAAGAACTGAAAGTTGAGACAAAGAGCCTAGCCAGGCCCCAAAGAAACGCAGCAAATCAAATCAAATCAAGAAAAAGAAACACCGAGCCCCAGTAAATGATACATTTGTCTTTTCCGCACGACCGCGTTTCAATTTTGATCCGTAGATCACACCAACATCACAACCTCGCGCGATCTCTCACTGCTTCCAGGACTTGCCGCAATTCAAGCACGTGCAGAACAGAGTCATCGGTTCATCAGCAGCGCGAGTCTGGGCCTCGGTGTAGGTGACCTTTCGCTGACCGCACTTGCCGCACTGCAAACTGGTACTGATCGACTTCTCGCCCTGAGCAACCATGGCGTTATTCATATTCACCTTTTTGATCTTCTCATCCGCCTCACGTTGCGCATCAGAGCGCAGTTCATCGGACGTCATGCGAATGAAATAATCAGGCTTGATCTCGCCGTCGAGTACGCGCTTCCGCAGACTGACATTGTTCTTGTTTTTCAAGTTCTGGAACAGACTGCGCATTTTTGTGCGATATGCCTCCTTGGTATCCGGTCCGAGAGCATCGTATGCAGCGCCCTCCACAGAAATAGCCTTTTTCAAAACGTCCTTAGGGGACTCGGTCGACCCCAGACACAAACCGTCATACATAAGACCGATGCAGCTGTCGCGGACCCTGCTCGTGGTCACGTTGGTATCCACCTTATCCGCCTTCCATGTGCGCTTGTCTGGTGGAACGGATAGCTTCGATGCCTTATCAGTCGGGGTAGTCCCTGCGGGTGTGGATGCGCCGGTGCTGCCGTTCTGAGCTGGACGAGGAGAACTGGAGGCTCGACTGGCTGCTGATCCGCCGGCTTGCTTTTGCTTGTTGACTTCGGTGCGCCATTTCGAAACGATCTCGCTGGCTAGTCGCGCGACTTCGGGCGTCTTTGATGTCTTGAGCTTGTTGACTATGATACCGATGCGAGTCGATCGTAGAAGGCTTTCTGATGCGCGCACTCCTGTTTGCAATTCCTTTAGCATGCCGATCATCGTGGAGGTTGGCTCCTCTGCTGCGGCTGCCTTGGTCAAGGCCTTGGCCTTTGTCTCGATTTCTTTGGCATCCATGGCCACGGGCTGGTGGGGGTTTGTAGGGAGTATATCAATCCAAGGGTTGAGAAACTGAGTGGTTGGATGGGGATGGATTCGTTTTGCGTTGTAGTCTGTACCAAAACCAAAGTCAGCAGGCTGCACATTGATGACTGCGAAAAAAGTCTTGTCGCGGCGTCTCCGGAGACCCAGTGCCCAGGAAAACCAAGGAATAGGAGTTCGTTCAGTGCTCAAATGGCCACCGCAAAGCATGTCTGGTGCTCTGGATGGTGATTGAACATAGTTTTCTTTGCCTTGCTTCCCCGTGAGTGACTTTGCAAAGGCAAGTCACTCACATCTCGAATCGCACATGGTTGCCACGAAACATCGAATATTCCCCTCAGACAGCGAGAGGAAGGTTTCCGGGCATCATCACAACAATGCGCCGGCTCAAATGCATCTTGCGACCGGCATGGCGCGGTATATGGGGGATGGTGGTGAATAGGAGGGGTCACGCGGTCACTTACTCCAGGGGCACAGCCGATACCGATGAACGGGCTGTGAGAGTGAAGTAAGTCGAGAAGAGGAGGAGAGTTGAAGGGGAAATGTTGGAGGGCGAAGGGAGAATGAGGGCAACATGGAAAGTCGGCAGAAGCTGCGAAGCTCCGAGGTTGAATGCCAAGACGTGATTGCCCGATTCGGACATCCAACTGGAAGTATACAACTACAACGACAACTACAACAAAAATGCAATAACTACTCGTGCAACAAATTACAAGACAGTACCCAAAGATGCATCATGTATGATATTCACTTAAATCACATGATAACTTTGATCCACTGTGATGCCCGTGGTTTCGGCAACCCTTTTGCAGTTGCCAGAGTCAAGTGCTTGGACAACGTATGTGTAGCAAATGCCACAGATGGCATCTGGTTGGTAAGGAGATGCATCGCGGGCGTGGAGGGTTGTGGACTATCGCGAAAGATGATATGATTAGCTCTTAGCTCTTATCTCGATGAAAGATCGATGATTCTGTTGGAGATAGTAACCAGCAGGACATACATTGTTTCTTTGAATAGATCCGGCTGTGACGGCGGCAGCAACAGGATCTTGCAAAAGACAGAGCAAATAGCCCAGGGTGAGAAGATGGTTACGAGGAAAACCCATGTTGAGCCTCAATTCCGATTTAATAGTAGCTGTAAGTCTAACTGGAAGCGTACTTCCTTTTAAAAGACAATTTAAGGTGTCCCGGGATATCCAAAACGAGCGATTAAACTACCGGGGAGCTTGATCAATGCCAGCCCAAGGCGATTAAAGATGATACACACCTTGAAACAGTGGTAGTGCTGTCGAAGCGTAGATAATGCCTGTATATCCTTTTTATAATGATTGATGATTGGACAAGGCAGAATTTCCATCCAAGCCCCCTCGACAAAGAAAGGAATATTGGTCGACATGAAATGTGTGACTAGACCAAAAATATTCCTCAATGGCTGTAGTATACCCTCTTCGCTTTGGAAGAAATCTTACTACAACCCCTGCAAATGGGGCTCAAAGCGATATCGCCTCCTTTCTGCTTTGGGCATTCAGTTTCTCTTCTTTCGGGGATAGACTCGGCTGTGGCAACTCGTCTTCCGCTATTAGACGGGTGTTCCTGGATTGGTCCGCTGTATCAACAAGGGATTATTTGGAACTGGCCAGTACATGTATCACCGTGTATGGGAATTGTTTGATTAGGCAAGAGATGGTCGCCTGGTGGACCAGTTGTATTCACATCTATGGGAGCAAATCCTTTTTTGTATCCTCCTAAGAAAACCAGAGCTCGAGATGGCTATGCATGTGTTATGGACGAAAAAGAAAGGGATTATGTGCAGGCGTCATCGTCAACGTCAACAGGGTATATGAAGATAGGGGAAATTTTTCTGATGATGTAGCGTCGGTATCGTCAGTCGGGGTGCTCATGAGCTGCGCGAGAAGACCATGGAGACAATTTGTTCTTCATGGCCACGGGTCGGGCTGCCTGCATGACTAGTGTGAGAGGCGGTATGACTCCAGCATCCGTCAATAAACAAATATTCTGGAACCAAGATGGAAGAGGGCAGGTAGATCAATTGATCTACAGGCCAGTCTTGCCCAGGGCGTCGGCGAGATCATCGACCGCCTTCTCAATCTTCTGGGCGTTTGCCTCAGCGCGCTCGGCATCCTTGATGTCCTTCTCAGTCTTGGGCTTCTCCTCTTCTTCCTCTTCCTCTTCCTCTTCCTCTTCCTCGCCCTCACTTTCCTCTTCCGACTCCTCCTCTTCGAGTTCATCGAGCTCATCAACACCCCAGCTATCCTCAGGGTCATCATCAGTACCGTGTTCCTCCTGGCGAGCCTCCAGAAGCTCACGCAGAACGGTAATGTTCTCATCATCCTCAGAGAAGATGTTTCCATTCAGCTCAACGCGACGCAGACTTGGAAGGGCAGTCTTAGCAGCAAAAGCGAGCTCCTTCACGAAGTCGGCCTTAACCTCATTGTACTGCAGACGAAGAGTCTGAATCTTCTGGTTCTTGTTGGCAGCTAGAGCCTTGGCAACCTTGACACCACCACGGGGAGAGAGCAGGCAGTCACCAACACCCAGCTCGCGCAGGGAAGGCCAGCCCTCCAAAACACCAGCCAAAGCGGTAGAACCCATGACGGTAAAGGTGTTATCCTGCAGGTCCAGGACCTCCAGGCCGCTGGCGTGGCGGAGACCGTCCTTAAGCAGCAGCGAGATACCCTCCTGGCGAATACCGTTCTGAGTCATCTTGACGGACTTCAGGCCGGCGGCGTGCTTCTTATAGGCGCGGGCCCAGGCCTCCATACTGCCGTTCTCGAGACGGTTACGTCCGCAGACGATGCTCTCCAGCAGGGCGACCACCTTGCCCTCCTTGCGCGCTTCCTCCTTGCGCTCGGCAAGTTTGCTCAAGGCATCGGCGACCAATGTACCAGCGGCGGGACCAAGACCGTTGTTGTTCAGGATCAGGTGGCGAAGGGGGGTGTGGCGGGACAAGAAGTCGACGAGGGGGGGCCTGAGTGTTGAGACCGAAGGCATTGTCGGATAGGTTGACGGTGTGTACGGACGGGATCTCAAGGAGGGCGTCGAGAAGGGATTTCAAAGCCGGGGGGAATCTCAGACAAAAGTCGCGAGGTGAAGATATCGGCAAGATCGGCGTGTTCGAGGCTCTTCTGAGTGGCGATGACAGCGGCGAGACGCTCGCAAGCACCCACGCCGAGGGTGTTACCGCCCAGGCGAATCTCGGTGTAATCGGTGCTCTCAACAAGAGGCTTGATGTGTGCCTCAATGTCTTCTGCAGTGTCGAGCTTCAGGCTTTTGCCATCGAGCGAGAAGACCTTAGGAGGGGCCATGGTGGGGTAATGGTTCAGGGGGGAGGGGGGGTAGAGCAGATCGAATGAGAAGTAGGAAAAGAAAATAAGAAATGAGACGGAGCCCCAAGAGATCAAAGGAATTCTAGTGACAAGAGAGATCAAACCCAGAAAAAAGGTGAAAAATTGGGGAAGAGAGGGGCGATGGAGGGGGGCAACAAAGAAGATTGGACTGTTTGGCCGATAACAAAAAAAGTTAGCACGGCGGGCGGGATGCACCAACTGCGTAGTTCTTAATAATGCCGATGTCTCCGATACTCCGATCAGTCAATACTTGATCACTCATTTCTCCATCACTTAACCCTCCTCCCTTCTCTTTCGACTTTCGTTATTATTCACTATTCACTCTTTCAAAATGTCGTGGCTCTTTGGATCCTCCAGTGGTAAGCCCAAACCCGCCCATACAACCCCCAATCTGCAGTCACCGAGGACCCGGCGCATTTCAAGGACTATCAGTCGCAATGCGCAAGGGTCGAGAATCTACCCATTGCAGTGAAATCAGTCAATCGCTAACACATCCGCCAATAGAGAAATCTGCCTCCGCCCCTGCAGAGGCCCAGACGAAGCCTGCTCAGACCGACAAGCCCAAGGTATGACGGCTTACCAACACCCAACGTCCGCAAACATAATGACTGACCATGTCTTGCACATATTACAGCCCTGCTGCGTCTGCAAGGATGAGAAGACCGCTCGCGATGACTGCATGCTCTTCTCCAAGTCCGATGACGCCGCCAAGGAGTGCCAGTCTACCATCGATCAGTACAAAACCTGTATGGCCGGCTTTGGTTTCAAGGTCTAGATGGGCCTGATGCAATGGATCTCGTTCTGTACCAAATTATGTACACTTTATCATAGCATCTTGGGCATGGAGTTTTGTTTTTGTTTCTTTCTCTTATGTCTGTATGTGGATACTTTGCTGCATCTAGATATGCTCCTTTTTATACTAGGATCGACGATGGGTGGTTGTCATCACCGAATCTCGTCTGTACGAATACAATCTCATCTCTCTTGACACTCCACACCGAGCTTGAACTTGAACTCGAAGCAAAGAAAGTATTAAATATCGCTACACTGCTAGCAGTACATTTTGTTCCTCCCTAGCTATCAATCACTTATATATTGGGTATCACTGAAAAGCGCAAAAGCCTGACCACACAACGTCCCATCACTGCTTCTTCTTTCGGCTCTCTTCCTCGGCAACTTGAAGATCGATCTGGCGGCACTGGGCAATCAACTTCCACATGCACCAGAGGTAGGCGAGTCCGAAACCACCCGCTCCAATGAGTGCGTTGAGGACGACCCAGAGGTCTGGCTTGCCGGCAGGCGTGGGAACAAATGCCTCAAGAACATGCCAGCCAACCATCGCAAGGTAGAATGCAAAATGAACGAGCTTGGTCAGGAGGTGCAGCTCGAATTGCGGATTGGGGTCTTCCAATGACGCACGGCTGCGGTAAGTCTCCAGACAGACTGGTGGCAGACCCATCAAGTAGGCCCACAGGAGGGTCATGACAATATATGGTACGCGAAGCTCTTCGCGCTTGAGCAGTGGATACATAGTCCAGGAGCCAAGGACATTGGCCCATCCAACCCAGGCGCGGTTCTCCTTGTTTAGACCGCCATCTCCAGCGAGTGACAGAGTCATGGGGAGAGGGGGGAGGAGGACGCTCTTCTCGTGCACTTGGAAAGAGAAAAGGAAAAAGCCCCAGGAAACACAGGACAAGGCGGGGAGGATAAGAGATGCTCGCGGGTGGCGGAAGATGATGCCACAAGGAATGGTGATCGAAGCCAATGTGGCACCCAGCGAAGCTCGCTGGAGTAGGGATACATCGAAATGGTGGAGCTTGTAGAATGTGTGAATGGCACACCATGCGTTGGCAACCTTATCCTCAAAGATTCCGCGGGAGAAGGGGAGCACACGGTGAATAGTCTGCGTCAGCTGGAAGAGAATCGCGTATGCCGCTGTGTTCTTGTCGAATGAGATAGGAAGTGCTTGCAAGAGGGGAGGCTGCGGTGATGTCGCAAACAATGCTCGGGCTTCAGGTTTAGTTGCAGCAACCAGGAGTGGTGCAAAGAGCAAAGTAAAAGCGGCGAGAGTAATGATGGCGATGTTGATGAGTCTGAGAATGCGGATCCGCGGGAAGATGCAGACGCCCAGCAGATAGGCAAAAATGACTGGTGCATAATAGAGCGCCATCTGTTTGAAGCCCAGGGCGCCAACAAAGAACAGACATGCCCAGAGCATGCGGCCCGCAAGAATGGCGTCCAAACTTGCGACCATCAGTCCCAACATAACGGTATTATACTGAAAGTGACCATGGTCGATGAGGATGGTTGCCGGCTGGAGAAGAATCGCAACGAGGGCAATTGAGGCGGACCATGCGTGCACACCCTGCATGCGGGTATAACGGCGAAGGAAGTTCACGATGGCGGGAATATAGATGAGGTACTCTGAGGCAATGACGGTGGCGCGCATGAAGACCTTCAAATGCGGGTCCTCGAAGCCGCGGGACTTGTCCAATGCAAACCAAGCAGGCTCAACCATGGAGCCACTGATCCAGTTAGTGGGCCTTCAGCATGGAGGGAGGGGGATTGAGATTACTCAATTGAAGAACGTACATTTTACCCAGGAGCCAACTATGGTATGCAGTCAATGGGGGGTAGTCGAGGCCCCAGTATTGCAAATCGTAGGTATACCACCTGGCCATTGGCAAATGTGTTGTGATCTCCATCCAATGTCTCTGGGCCTCGAAGTCACCGTGCATTGGGGGGACCTGGAAGCCTAGTTGGGATTGTTAGATACCCTACTGCTTTTCTTCGGACGGTACCATGAATGGCTGCGCTCACCTGAGTATCCCCATAAGCCAACGGCCCATCGGAAGAGACCGACAGCCATGAGTGTTAGGGGCAGAATCAGCCATTGCGAGACACCCGCACGTGCAGCCCATAAGAACGAGACGAGGGGAAATGCTGGGGTCTGTTTGCCATCTCCGATATCCAAGATTAAGTTGTTGTTGGATCCCGGCGCGGTGGGAACATTTCTCTTCTTGCGCGGGCGATGGGAGGAGGGGGTGGAAGGGGCCATTGTGTGAGAGACCAGGTAACAAGGTAACAGATCAGACCTGTCCCATTGAAGAGCGGCAGGGAAATGCCGGGTGGAGGCGTTAAATGTGGTATACCTGTCTTATACCATATAGTCTGCCACGGTATAGGAAGCACGGAAGCACGGAAGCACGAAGGGCGGAGAGATCGATGTCCGGCAGTTTGCCGCTGGTCTCACGGCCTGTAAAAGCGGTGAGTAGGCACCCACTGCAGTCTCCACTGCGTGCCTTAGTGTGCCTTGGCGTGCCTGGTTCTAACCTTATTCGGCAGGCGGAAGGCTGCCCAAAAAAAAAACCGGAGGCTGGCAGAACAGATTTTTTTTTTTCTTATCAGAGCTCATCCCAGCTGCTCCGACCTTTTTTTTTTCTTTCCTCTTCATCCTCTTCACATCCTTCCTCTTTTCCCTTTCAGTCTACACTTTCCCGTGTTGACTATTCATTTCTCTCGAGGCATTATCCAAGCTTCATAAGTACATCTTCCCCCTCCCCTTCCCCCCCAAACTGACGCTGCTGCGTGGGCTGTACTTCCAAAAAAAGTACTTCAACAGACACTTTAGTGGGCTATTCACATCGAGGGCTGTGGGCTTGAATTACTGCACGTTTCTGTGGGCTCTGTGGGACTTTTCCTCCGTGGGTTTCATAAGGCATTGCTGCTTTTCGCCGGTCTCTGTGGGCTTCATCTCTTGTCAAGTTGCGGGTTGCTTTTTTTCGTGGGTCTCTACCAGCTGTGATCGGATCACTCCTGGCAATTTCTATTCCTGAGGGTTATCACTGTTCCTGTTCCACATCAAATCACGGGTATTATTGAGGGCTTGTTGGCTGTGCCGCACAAGAAGAAGAAAAAAAAAAAGAAAAAAAAAACTCAACTCGATCTTATCAAACCACCGTCTCCGTACGTGGGATGTGAAGGAACACATCAGGCCTACGACACATTGCTAACATTCTACCCACTTTTCTAGAAACAAAATGTCCAAGACCAAGGTTTCCACCAAGGCTGACAAGCCCGTCAAGGCCAAGGACGCTGGTGTCACCAAGACCAAGACTGTCACCAAGAAGGTCGTTGCCAAGGACGACAAGTCCAAGAAGAACAAGAAGAAGGAGCCTACTCCCTCCAGCTCTTCTGAGTCCGAGTCTGAGTCCGAGAAGGACTCTTCCTCCAGCTCCGAGAGCGAGGAGGAGAAGCCCGCTCCCAAGAAGGCTGCCAAGAAGGAGACCAAGAAGCCCACCAAGAAGGAGGAGTCTTCCTCTGAGTCTTCCTCCGACGAGGAGATGAAGGATGGTTCCAGCTCTTCCGAGAGCGAGTCTGAGGATGAGAAGCCCGCTCCCAAGAAGACCGAGAAGAAGGTTGAGAAGAAGGTTGTCGAGAAGAAGGCTGAGTCTTCTGACTCCTCCGACTCCTCTGACTCCGAGTCCGAGGATGAGAAGCCCGCCACCAAGAAGGCTGAGAAGAAGGCCGAGTCCTCCGACTCCGACTCTTCTGACTCCTCTGACTCCGAGTCCGAGGAGGCTTCCAAGGATGAGAAGAAGGTATGTGCTTACAAACGTCTTATCACCGCTATGCATCCATACTAATTACTTTTTTACACTATAGGACTCTTCCGACTCTGACTCCTCCGACTCCTCCGACTCTGACAGCGAGGAGGAGAAGCCCTCCAAGAAGCGCAAGGCCGATGAGGAGCCTGTCGCTGCCGCTAAGAAGACCAAGACCGAGGATGCCCCCGAGGGTGCCTCTGCCAACCTGTTCGTCGGTAACCTGTCCTGGAACGTTGATGAGGACTGGCTCCAACAGGAGTTCAGCCCCTTCGGTGAGCTCTCTGGCTGCCGTGTCGTGACCGACCGTGAATCTGGCCGCTCCCGCGGTTTCGGTTACGTCGAGTACACCAACGCTGCCGATGCCGCCAAGGCTATGGCCGCTAAGAAGGGTACCGATCTCGATGGCCGTCCCGTCAACCTTGACTACGCCGTCGCCCGTGACAACAAGCCCCAGGGCGAGCGCACCCAGAACCGTGCCCGCTCCTTCGGTGACTCCACCAGCCCCGCTTCCGACACTCTCTTCGTTGGCAACCTTCCCTTCAGCGCTTCCGAGGATGCTCTCCGTGACTCCTTCGGTGAGCACGGTGGTATCCTCGGCATCCGCCTGCCCACTGACCCCGAGTCTGGCCGCCCCAAGGGTTTCGGTTACGTCCAGTACTCCTCCGTTGAGGAGGCCCAGGCTGCTCACAGTGCCATGAACGGCTTCGAGCTCGAGGGCCGCGCTCTGCGTCTGGACTTCAGCACCCCTCGCCCTGCCAACGGTGGCGGCGGTGGTTTCGGCGGTGGCCGTGGTGGTGGTGGTGGCTTCGGTGGTCGCGGTGGTGGTGGCCGTGGTGGTGGTCGCGGTAGCTTCGGCGGCCGTGGCGGTGGTCGTGGTGGTGGCCGTGGCGGCTTCGGTGGTGGCCTTAACAAGGCCAAGGGATCCATCCCTGAGTTCAAGGGTACCAAGATCTCCTTCTAAGAAGGTTGCTTTTGCCTCTTGCTCTCTGCCATCGATCTACCAAGATTGATTTGCTACTTTGCTTACTGACCACAATATCCCCTACGATTTTTCAATGCGTGTAATGGATGGAGCCTTGGGCTGGGTATTTCTTTTCAAAAGTTTGTTGTTTTATGTCTCGATAGTTGCATGATAGGTCGAACTGTAATTTCATATGATTCCATTATTCATTATTCAATATTCCATTTCATGATGCTTGCATACTTAGGGTACAGTAGGTGCATTTCGTAGATACTCTAGTACTGCTGCTAGATGTACAAGTACTGCCACTGGTCACCGGTGTGGCTCCACCACCCCGCAGTGACATCGCTCGCATTGCTTGTTGCATCTTAGACCGTGCAAGTCGGGGTTATTTTCATGTTGATTTTGATTCTGAAGAATTAAGAGTAAAGTAAATGTATCTACGAATGATATCTGATTTTGCCAGACTCATATCTATGCTATTTGTGTAGACATACTACTAGTACCAAGGTACTAACTTGTATACTTCTACTATGTAGGATACTCCCTTTGACTTCTTTGTACCCCTCCCCTCTCCCTCGCTGCAAATCACCTGTTCTGTCTGCTGATCACCTCATCCTCAGCCCTCTCCTCCCCCCTTTCTCCTTTTCCCTACCCGGCTGCCTGCGATTTTCCCATCGCGGCTTTTGTCTACTGGCCTATGGCTGCCAAACTCCAACTTCTGTTCACCACCCCAGAAAAGCAGCACAAAGACAGCCAAATCCCATTTTTCCGGGCATCCTTGGGCACCTTGGACCTTGGGCATTAGTGATGGAAGATCGCCCAGTCTCCACATTGATAAGATAACCTCGTCCTTCCCCACGCTTGACCGCTCTTATTCGCATTGGACCGAGTGGCCTGACCTTGGATGACATCCCTCTTCCTATTCTGATTCTGATTCTGATATTTATTCTATCTGACTCTTATCTCCTATCCCCTTCCACTTGATCTATATCTTTGGCCATGCAACCGAATCACTGCGACCTGCTCGGTCAGGTGCGCGAGCCAAGAGCCGCCCGTCAACTGATGCGCGATGGCCATCCGCGCGATCAGAGTGGTCACCCTGGTCAGCCTCGTCCATCCGGTGCGGCGCCCATGAGATCAGAAGGTATGTACTTCGTCTTTCACCCCTTTTATATTCAGCCTGCCAGCCTCCCCATGCCGATCGGATTTCGTCATGGATACCTTTTGCGCAACACAATGTACTCACTACGCTACTATATAGACTCTTGGATCGAAGTCGCCTCCCAGCCCTCGACCTCCTCTCTGTCTTCCGCAGCCACAAGCGACGATATAATAACAACCGGTCTCCAGGTGGAACATCACAGGGGAGGCATGCAGCAATACCGCAGTCGACGCCGACGAATGCAACACCTCGCAGCCGTGGCTACCGCTCAGGTAGACTACTCCTCCAACACCGCGAGCAGCAGCCAAGAAGAATATGAAGAGAGTGAAAGCGAATCCGATCCTCCCATGAGCAGTTCCAACGAAGATATTGGCCCCGCCCTGCGCGCGCCGTTACCTGCACCCTCCCACTCCGATGACGACGACGCTTCCAGCGACGAAGACGACGAAGATGATACCTCAACCGCCCTGGGCATGGGTATAAGCCCATCCCCATTCGTGCCCCAACCAAATGTATTCAGCCATCCACCAAACACATCCGATCCATCATGGACCCGCCCCAGCGAGACCCGACGATCCCAGCCCAGCGTTCCATCAACCTCTAGCCGGCGCACTTCCATTCGCCGAGAATCATACCCCAGTACCCGGCCATACCGCCGCTCCCAGCAATCATCACAGCATAGTCCATATAATATGTTCTCACCATCACATCACGCTGACCACGACGCCGCACTGCGCGCCAGTCTATCAACTCTCCTCTCATGCGCAGCCGCTGCCCGCGGTCTGCCCAAATCAGACTCCCAACCCATAAACACCCCCCCTGGCCCATCTGGCTCGACAACACAACCAGCTGCGTTCCGACTAGTGGGAGAATGTATCGCGATGGGAGAAGAAAGTGGTGAAGAGTACCGGGATCAAAACATCTCTCCCCGGAACACGGAAACCAGCCCACCATCAGTGGGTCAGCCCCGCCGAAGACATCCCCGCTCCCCAGACTCCCCTGGCCCACTATCCGCGAACGCGAAAGCCAAACGACGCTCAACCTCACCAAAAGACCGCATCCCCTCGTCTAAAAAGAGTCGGCGTAACAGCCTGGCAGACCCGACCTCCATCACCACTAACACTCCCGTCAGCCCAACCGTTATGACATGGGTGATTAGCGCGGGGGTTGTTGTCCTCTTCTCCGCTATCAGCTTCTCTGCCGGGTATATGCTCGGTCGGGAGGTTGGGCGTACGGAGATGGGTCTTATGGGTGATGGGGGTGTCCCGGGTGCACGATCTTCTGCTGCTTGTGGGCAGGAGGCTGTTCGCGGTGGACTGAAGAGGTTCCGGTGGGGTACTGCTGCTGCTGGCTCTGCGAGTTTGGCCTAGACTATGTATTGAGCTGGGCTTGGTTGAGTTGTTTGCGTGGTTGACCGGTATAGTGCCATTTGAATGGCATGAGTGAAGTGAAACTCAAACGGCAATGATAACGATATAATGAGAGCGATTTACGATGTTGATGTTGACGGAGGGATTCGCGCAGCTTGTCTGCGTTATGATGATGCACTTTCTCTCTTCTTCCCTCCCCCTCCCCTCATTCTTTGACGACGTCTTCTCCTTTTTGATCATTCTTCTTCTTCTTCTTCTTCTTCTACTTTCCCTTCTATCGCGTGATTTTGTTCGCCCCGTATTTGGTATGCATTTGTCAAGTTGCCACCTGCAAAAATTGGGTGTTTTCTTTTGGTCTTTTGATTCATTTTTATCTTCCTTTCTCATTTCCATTCCCCTTATCTTTATTCGATGCTCGTGGCATTTTTATTCGAGTTATATTCTGGAGTTTATAGGGAGCAATCGAAGTGGCCGTGGTATGGAGGAAATGTCGACCTGAATTGATACCCTTCAATATTGAGTTATAGTGTCCAGGAAGTGCTCAGTAACTAGTAGTAGCTTAAGCCGCAAGTCTTGGCGATATTGTACTTCAACCTATAGATGACGAACACGAGAACAGTCAGTACTCAGTACTGCACCATTATTTGGACTAGACATTTGGCCTGCTGCATCGTACAGTCGTACTACGTAGTATGCAGTATGCATTTTCAAGTAGCATACGAGTACTCGCGGAGTATATTCAGGTACAGTATGCACGCATGTCGAAAGAGAGAGCGATAGCACATACCCACGATAGAAAAAGATAGCACGGAGTACGGAGTACTCTGTGAACGATACCGAGCCAGCAGCAGATCCGAGTCAAAGCCGAGGCCGAGGCCGACCCCCTCCCCCCTGCCTGCAAGTCAATGCAAGTGGTAGATCTGCAACTCAACAAAAATAGCCAGGTACAAACTTTCAAGCAAAACATACTTCCAAAAGCCGAGAAAACTTTGTCGGGGTTTGGAGGGGTCTGGCTACGGATTGGACCAGATCAGACTCGATAGAAGTCGACGAGACCAGACTACCGTTTGTACTCCGTAGAACCTATTTGATTGACTAAGTCTCCACTGATCCCCCTCACTAATCAATTCCACACCACACTGGCATCTCACTGCCACCTGGGCGGTGATAAGGGTGCGCTAGCCTCGGAAGCCTAGTACGAAACTGTGGAATAGATGACGGCCTCTGCAAACATAAATGATAAACTATCGGTGGCAGAAATAGGACCGTGCCAACACCTTAGGCTTCGTCTCATACTACTCAAAAGAGCAAGCAACGACACGGACTTTTGAGGGACAGAAGACAAAAGACACCCGCCAATGTAAACTGCTAGTAAAAATGAAGTGCAAAAAACTTGAAATACTCCGGGCGGGAGCCACCCGTAACCTTTCGGTGTGTTAATATAAGTCCTTTTTTTGGAGATTCATGGTATATACTAGTATCCATGATCCTATTTCATCCCAGTCCCACTGGCACCTGTGCATCCACTAGGGGGGAGGGCACGGTGGAGACGATGGCGTAAGGCTGGTGATAGTTCTAGACTAATGCAGCTGCGCCACAGTTTACTGTTTCCTAGACTGGAAGGATCTGTGGCTGGTGAGGATGTAAGGGGTACTGGTCTGGTTGGTTCAAGTTGTTTCGGCACTGGCCAGACTTTCTTCTCGGATCCGAGTCGTTGTCTCGTGCTGTGGCTTTTTGCTGGGTTCTTCAGGTTGGCCTCGTGCTGGTGTTGGGTAGGTTTGCTCCTGCAGGGCTTATTGTAAGATGATATTATCTCCATATTTACTGGTACTCTGTGTACCTGACTTCAATGGGATGGGGGGGCTAGATGGATGTGATTGTTTTTTTATTGAATAGAGACATGGGATATTGATTCCCATTCGAGTCGATCTTGGCATGCCTGATTTGATATCAAGTTACATTCTCTTTTTTTCTCTCTCTTCCAAGATTGCGTAGATCATGATGATCGTAGATAGTGGAGTATCCGATCGATTTAGTATTTTTGTTTCAAGTAATTCAAGTTATTGCCATCACCTTCCGTTCGTCCGAGAGTAGAATATATTGAATCAAAACAGGCTTCAAACAGGCTACAACGATAGTAGTACACCTGGGCATGAGACGATAATTAAAGTGAGGCGAGCAGATAAGGCACGGCCTGCACGGGGCGTAGTACTCCGTCCTAGACACCGTCCCTGCACCTGCACCGTGACCTGCACCGTGACCTGCACCTCAATTCAAATACCTTAACACTATTAAGCCCTGCCTGCATCGTAGCACAGAAGCAGGGCACAAACGCCTAGTTCCACACACAATGATTGGGTGGTTGGAGCCCCCGGAATCTCAAATACCTTGCAATTGACTGGGGCGCACTATTGGATCGGCACGGGTCGGGCCTCTGCTCAGACCAGATGCGCGGAGCGAAGGATTGAGGATGAGTGGGCATCGTCCTCCGCAGGGGAGTGAGTGATGTGATGGTGTTTTGATGAGAGACTAGTACCAGTTAGTGTGAGCCTGGGGAAGTGATTGAAATAAATGATCCTCGATCGGAGCCCACGGTTGGCCCGATCGGAGGCGCTCATTTCTCCATAGCCATGTTGTTTGCTGGTATTCCCCATCTCCCCCTCTCTCCACTTGTTAGAGCTGATCTAGACTACTTCCTTTCTGCTTACAGAGTACGGGGTACGGAGTAAACGAGTACCCACGGGATTCGATTTGGGTTTGTTGGGTGCCGATATCTGACGATCGCTGCCTTGTGCATGCTAGTGTAGCGTATTAGATTCACGCTTCGACCGAGCGCAGTGTGAGGTCAGACGCCGGGCGCGATGATCTGCGTGAGGGGCCGCCAATGCGAGTCATTCCGGGATTTGATACTAGTATTTATTTTTTGCTTCTGTTCGTCCCTGTTCCCTGGTTATGCAGCTGCTACGGTTGCACTGGCGCCGCACTGCGAATGCCGAAGGTGGAGGTTTAGTTCCAGTTCTACGGCTGGTGCGTTGGTTCCTTGCGGTTAGGATGCCCGCTCTGCTTTCATTTTTTTCTCATATTTACTGGGATGTGGGAAAGTGGCTTGGATTTTGGTGTTCAGTGTTCAGTATTCAATGTTCAATGTTCAATATTGACTAGCTATGTACTTCGCATACAGTATTATGTTCTGTTCTGTTTGTATACAGCAAAAATAATGTCCATGATCCGTCCCAATTATACTACTGCCTAGGTAGTATGCAAACCAAAACACCTTGCTGGAACGAAAGAGAAAAAAAAGGAAACAGAGTGATGACGACTTAAAAGAAAAAGCAAAAATAGATCAGGCGCCCGCACTGGGAGACCTGCATGTCATGGTCGGCTCAAGTTTGAGGAGGTCGAAGAAAGTAAATGGGTTCCAAAACAGTCCCAAAGGATCAAATAATCGGTCGTGTACGCTGGCTGAATATGCAGAATCGAAGAGAAGAGAAATATTCGAGAAGGAAAGTATGCCGTTCAGGCGGTGTATGCAGTCGCCTGGGATCGTCGACGATGTTTAAAATCGTCCCGGCTGAGCAGCCGACGTTTGAATTGAAAGCGACGTAGTTTGGAAACGAACCGACAAGATAGATTTTCTGGAATAGAACAGTTAGCAAGAGTGAAGTAGAAAAAACCCGAGTTCTTTGCATGAACATACCATTTGGTCGGCGAGTCAAAGTCGGTTCATCGAGTGGTTGAGTAGTATAAGCCGCGGCCCAATAGCCTGTGTGGCGGTAACCGGTGAAGGTGCAGCTGGTAGGGTCGTACTGCGGTTGCAGAGCTGCGACATGCGGGTAGAGCGTTGCCAAGGGGGAGAGAAGTTCCTCCGGTGGAGGTGAGCGTCTACTGTCGAAAGACTCTCGGGACTGCCGATGATTAGAGTGGGGCTATGACGAGGCGAAGGAAGAAAACATACATGAAGTTCGTAGTTGGATTTGTAGATCATTGTGGAAAGAATGTATGTGTTATGTCACAATGTGGTGGAATGCGGGGGAAAAGCCGAGGTTGTTTCAAATAACGCGGTGCATATGGTTGCAGATGGTTGTAGAGGCGCAGATGCGATGCACAGAGGCTTTGCACCGATTTGATGAGCAAGTTCGGTCTGTGTTGCGCTGTGTAAATGCAGGTTGAGATTGAGTGAGATGCAAGATGACCGGACCTGGCTGCACTTTAAAGTAAAAGGGATTGAGGGGGGGGGCTTGGACGTCAAGATGATTTGTATTTTAGCGAGCCCCAGGTGGAGGCCGATGATGTCCAGGAAATCGGGAATATGATTATCGAGCCAACGAAGGCTCTCATTGGGTGGAATTACGATAGGGGGGGCCAGGGGAATCGGGGTGGCCGAGCGCAATACGAGATCAGATCAGATCGGATCGGGTGAGGGTCAGCTTTAATCTATCTCGCTAGTGACTGGCCATTTAGATTTAGGGCCAGAATGAAGGTGGAGCGCGAAGGGCTGATGATCTGATGATAATGATGATAATAATTATAGTAATAATAGACGTCAGTAAGCGAGGTTTCCAGGTTCATCCCAGTCAACCCATGCTCTCGTTCTCGTGTCCCCCTTGCAGGCTGCGTCCACGTTGCTGTAGGGAGGTGGGATACTCGTAGTCGTAGTTAGGGTATGTACGAGTAGTGGAGTCGGAGTGCGAGTATGTACGGAGTACTCCGTACCCCGTAATGTACTCGGTACTTGGTACTCGGTACTTTGGTCGTGAATTCCAATATTCACTGGAGTAAGAGTGCGAGTAGAATAATCTAGATACCCTGACGATCACCGAATACATCCGCGACCATTCTCAAGATGTCGCACAGGGCCTGTACTCGTATGTCTTGGAAGACTTTGATCGATAGTGGCTGCACTATTGACGCTAGCTGGGTAAACCTGGGTAAACCTGGGTCGCCCCACTCCACTAGTACCAAAGCGGTTAGTCCCTACCATAACTACATATGAATGACAAAGACAAAGTGATTGTACAGCCACAGACTCGGTCTCTCCGTGGCTGGTGTGTGTGGCTTTCACCTTACTCGATAGCTTCGTGCCTTGATCCACTCCTCCCGCCAGGGCCGAACTAGTCCGCCCTTGATCTTCAGATGGAAATCTCTTTGGCACACCGACCCTTGTCGGGCTTTCCGGCGCGGGGGATCGCTTGAGCTAAAAGGTATAAGGATGCCTCCCACCCATGCCTCAGTCATATACTGTACTCTCATACTCAAGACTCAAAACTCAAGAGTTCATACTATCTCCACCACTAGCTATCTCTATACTATATCCATGATCAAACATGTCACTGAGCATGCAGGGTTCCGGAAGAGAGTGCTGGGAAAACTCACCACGTATGGATATCGACCTGCGCGCTTCCTTTTCACAAGAGCAACCCATTCCAAGTATGTTCTACTCCTTCCAAGATTCAACTTCAAGTTCTTCGTCTACACCACTGGCACTCTTCACCTCCCTCCTCATTGAACCCTTTCTGAGACCCCTCGCTCCAGGATCTCTCGAGCGAGAAGCTGAACGCTCCGCGCATAGACGCGAGCCCTCCATCGACCAGGGCATGATTTATCCCGAAGCTCGATCCACCCTGCAAGACGGCGACTCGGAGTTTGGCGAGTTTGGCCGCATTGACCCCACTGGCTGGTACACCCACTATAAGACCTGTCTGCAACATTTTGTCGAATGCAGCCAATTCAATCCGACTATCCAGTCCATCGCTGCCTTCATTAACATTCGTCTACCTGTTCAACATCCTGTCGACCCGACCAACTCACAACCTGCCACCTCATTTATCTCTCTTCGTCCTTACGTGCGCCGTTTAATTATTACCGCGCAGGACACGCCTGTCAACATGCTTGCTTTCTTTGGCCCGGACTGGGAAGCAGGTGTTGGTTGTATTTACAAACAAGAGCGCACTAATTACCTTTTCACGGCGAAAAGTAGTGGTTGGGCGGATACGAAGGCTTCCTATGATATTCTGCCCGACGAACAGACTCCATTTTTGCGCCCTCTACGCGACCCCTCTGAGGATGAGATCCGCGCTGCAGAGGCCCGGTGGAGTGAGTGGCTAGCAATGGAGGATTGGATGGTGGGGGCACGCAGTCCGTGGTAAAGGGGGTGGTGAATGGATCCTATGCATTGATGGATGGATGGGTGGTGATGAGAGTTCCACCCCCTTTGATGAGCATTGACGAGTTTCCTTGATTATTTTCCTTTGTTTTTGTGTCACTTTTTTCTCCTTGATCAAAACTTAAGGCTCGTGCGAGGAGTATTTTCCGGCGTTGCAGATGCGTCTTCGATGTGTTTTTGGACTAGGGGTTGGACCCTGCGCAAATACCACTATTATCACTTGAATATTCTGTCTATGGGACTGTACCCTGTACTCTGTGATCAGTAAACCGTACCGAATGACTGGAATACCACGAGATAGGCCAAATGTCAAATGCCAAATGATCGCCCTCTAACCCTAATGCATCATTGACAGTGATCGCCAACCCCAACCCCTTGTGGAGCCTGTCAGAATCAATAGTCCGCACCGCCACATCATGACAAATAGTTAATAGAGAGCCATGGTCGCGAATATAATATAATGATAACATCATATTAGTATAATTAATATAATTAGTTAGTCTCCCACTAATCTCTCCATGGTTAGTAAGGTAGTATCTCATAGATCAGCGACACCCCGTCTAGCCGCCCCGAGTGACTCACACGTCAACCTGTCAGGCTGTCACTTCCCCTTCTTTTCCTCAAGTTGCTTCTTCATTCAACATTCAATAGTCCATTCCCAAAGCTGAATTGACAGCTCCAATCCACCCAAGCCACCCAATCCACCTCCCACGCAAGCCCAGAACCAGGTACTCGGGTCCAACCCACCCGGTCCTGACCAAAATGACAGCGGGAGCCCAACCCCAAACAACCACCAGAAGCATCTACGAACACGATGCGCATGCGCTAATCCTGCCATGTCTCGCCACGCATCTCCCACACTCCATCTCACTCCTCCGACGCATCCAGCATGGCATCCACCATCCAACCCCGACCGCCAGGGTCCTGGCCACTTTCCCACCGGGCGCTCGTCCCCCTGACGACGCGCCGTGGCTGGCTGCGCGAGTGGATCTTTTCCGTGGTCGCGAGACCCAAATGATCGTCTACTCTAGTCTGGAGAAAGGGCACACGTCAAATAAGCCGATCAAGATCGCCGACACAATCCCTGGCACTGACGGTACCGAAGACAATAATTCATCACCGTCCTATATTGTTTCCACCTTCGATGCGCCCCAGCCTGTGCTCGACACCGTCCGTGACCAACTATTCTCGCTACTCGTCTACATCAAAATCAATCTACTCCCGACCTATCTAGCTTCCCTTTCAGCTGAATCTCCAACCGAGAAGACATCTCACAATGGATCTACTACCGCCAATAGCAAGCCCACTAGCGCAAACAAAGCTGTCACCCTGATCCCCGCCCCACCGCCAAAAGCCTTCCTAATCGGCACCCTCCACACAGCCCTATTCTCCCTCCTACAACAAACAGGCTCGGAAGTTTTCGCCGCTTCGAGAAACGCCCTCGACGGGTCCTCCGCGACCCCAGTACCCGGACTCCGGGTCCATCGCTTCGACGACCCACCGTACTACAAGTTCTTCTTCCGCCGGGCGGCGTTTACCCAAGACACTGACTCGGTTTTGCCAGCGGGTTACCGATTTCATGATCGGGAAGGCAAGACCGGTGTTCTCGACTCACAGCTTGACCTTGTTCAAAGCCGGACGCATATTCCCCGTTCTCGAGCGCAGTTGCGTTTGATGCCTGGGTCGGCGATCTACGTAGACTCGCAGCCGGGCGTGGCCGAAGAAGAAGCGGAAGGGGAGGAAATGCCCATTGCGTGGGCATTTTTGGGCCTTGATGGGGCTTTGTCGACGTTGCATGTTGAAGAGGCGCATCGGGGGAAGGGTCTTGCGCTTGCGTTGTCCAAGGAGACTATGCGCCGGGGCTTGGTTTCCGATAGTGTTTTTGGAGCAGGTGCGTTTGATGTGCAGGGGGATGAGCAGCTGGTGGATGAGATTGAGGGGTGGGTGCATACTGAGGTTGCGCAGTATAATGTTGCTAGTCGTAGGGTTATGGAGAAAATTGGGGGTGAGGTTTTGTCTACTGTTATGTGGACGGTTATTGAGGTTTGTGATTGAGGGTGTTGATGTGTAGATATTTCCATATAGACTCGGATGTGTACATGATTTGATAAATACAAGAGTAATAAAGGTGACGGTAACACTGCCGTCTATTGTGCTTCATGGCGTGGAATCCATGAAGCAGAATTATATCAGTGTCGGTACAATTGTTACATTGAGCCGAGTCCTGTAGTAAACACATGTGGGGAATATATTTCTGGGATTTCTGACGAACTGCCTCACTGAAGTATATGCTTATTCAAGAAAACCAGCATATGAGAAGCAATCAGATCGGTATGGCTCTCCACAGCAAAGTGGCCAGCATCAATAAGCTTAACCTCAGCGTTTGGCAAATCTTTTTTGAATGCATTGGCTCCGGCGGGAATGAAGAACACGTCATTCTGACCCCAGATTGCAAGAAGAGGCACCTGGCTCTTTTGAAAGTAGCGGTGGAATTTGGGATAGAATGGTATATTGCTTTCATAATCCTTCAAAAGATCAATTTGAATCTCCTTATTACCTGGACGCTGCATGAGAGCATAGTCGAGATGATATGATTCTGGCGCGATGGCCCCGATATCTGGCGTACCGTTTTCATATTGGAATTTAGTCATTTCAAAACTGAGCATCGTGGCAGAAAGCTTTTGTCGATCATCTGTGGTATTCCCACTAGCCCAGAAATCCTTGATAGGATCCCATACATCACCAAGCCCATCCTCATAGGCGTTTCCATTCTGAGAGATGATAGCTTGAACTGCCTCTGGCCGACGAAGTGCCAGCCTCAGGCCGACGGGCGCACCGTAGTCAAAGATGTAAATGGAGAATTTCAGTAAACAGAGCTCATCCACGAATTGCTCAATTGTATCTGTCAGGCTGCTGAAGGTATAGACAAAGTCCGGTGGCACTTCGGTGAATCCGAAACCTGGTAAATCTGGAGCAATTACACGATATGTTTTCGCAAGAAGGGGAATCAAATTCCGGAATTGGTGAGACGACGAGGGAAAGCCATGGAGGAGGAGTATGACTGGGGAATCTGTCTCTTTCTCAGGCGTTGTCTCACGGTAAAACATCTTCGCCCCAGAAGGAAGCTTGACTGAATTGCATTTTAGGACACCCATTTTTGTGGCTTGTTCGGGTAGATTCAAACAGCTCTACAAATGACAACCGACTGCGTTGTTACTTGAAGACCAGTGTGATGGTTCTTTTGTGATGAAAGAGAAGAAGAATACAGAAATTAAATCAATCTTCTTTGTAACATCTACATGACATTTGTGACGTCCGGTCACATCCGGTCCATGTGGAGATCCATACTTTCAGCTGTGTTGGATGGGGTTCCATGTGACATCCCGCCAAGAAAGAACCGTCTGGACATCTGACTTCAACCGGCCCAGTGGATTTTCTCTAATTGGCTCAGTGAGCCATTTTGTCATGTAACTTCCAGTGACCGAGGTCACCATATAGTCTTGATGAGGTCAATAAGACCGGGAGAGGTTTAGTTCGATGGCAGACAAGCTTTCTTTCCCGAAATCACCGCTCAACAACGGATTACTTTCATGACGCAGCACTTGCTCCTTTCAAACTCATTTACCAAATTTAGACGGGTCTAGTTCATTTTCTGCGAACTATGGCCTCGATGAAGGGTCCGTGAGTACTATTATTCAGCACAACGAAACACCTAAATGGCTATCTATATTGAGCATTACAGCATTACATGTGCTGCTTATTACTATTTTAAATAGCATCCCCCAGTGCCAGTGAGACTCCAATATCTATACTAGTACTATCTACTAGTATTTCTCCATCACAAAGGCTTGTTGTTAAATACCTAGCTACCATCCAGAACCTGAAGAGTCACACTCCACCCCGGCACTGCTCGAAATGTCAGACTCAATGAATGCCATTGTTATCACAAAATTTGGCGGACCCGAAGTCCTAGAGCATCAAATCGTTCCAAAGCCGACAGTATGTACCGGGGAAGTGCTCGTCGCTGTGAAAGCTTTTGGCCTGAATCATGCCGAAATGCACATGCGCAAGGGTGAATGGGATGAATGGAACCCCGTCACTGGATTGGAATGTGTCGGAGTTGTGGAGGCTTGTCCCGGTGGAGAATTCAGAGTTGGTGAGACCGTAGCGGGCGTGATGGGTGGACTGGGAAGAAACCGGCCCGGGGGCTACGGCGAATTTGCGGCTGTGCCTGTCACCAACGTTATCGCGGTGCAAACAAGCTTGCCCTGGGATGAACTGGCTGCCATTCCGGAAACATATATCACTGTGTGGTCGTGCCTTTTCACCGTTCTTGATCTCCAGCAAGGTGAAAGTATTCTAGTTCGTGGTGCCACATCCACTCTGGGCCAAGCTGCTGTGAACTTGGCCGTGAGTATAGGCGCCCGAGTTACCGCAACGACCCGTCGCCAGGAACGCTTTGAGTTACTTGAACGAATGGGCGTCGCAGAAACCATCATCGAGCGGGATGGGCTTGACCGGATCAATGCAGTCGAATTTGACAAGGTGCTCAATCTCATTGGCAATCGAGTACTGTTGGAATCGATCAATTTGACTAAAAGTGGAGGCCGTATGCTTCAAGCAGGCTGGCTGGGAGGGTTGGACCCAGTTCCGGACTTTAATCCAATGCTGCAGATGAAATCTGGGGTACATTTCAGTCTTTTCCATGGGAAAGTTCTAGGGAGCCCCGGGTTTCCTTTCTCGGAAATCCCATTGCAACGAATCGTCCACCAAATTGAAAATGGGGAGTGGGATGCCCGACCGACGCATGTTTTTGATTATCAGGATATCCGTCAAGCCCACAGAATTCTGGACTCGGGGAATGCGGGAGGGAAGATAGTTGTTAAAAGATGTTGACTGAGGAACAACCGTGGAAGTCACTCGCACTCGCTGCGTACTACCTAGGTATTGAGAACTATGTTTTCTATGCAAAAAAAAAGCGATCAGGCGATGACTGCTACAATGGTATTGCAAAAGCTTGAAACCCCTTGTTGATCGCTCCCGTCTCCGCCTTCTACGATAGCCGACTAGTAGCTACCTGAGACGGAATAGATTGGCCAATTTATTTCATCATAGGTAGCTACTAGTCGGCTAGTATTTGAGAAGATGGTCAATAATGGTGGACAATGTATAGGTTTCAAACTTTTCAATGCTACTGTTAATAGTCACTGTACGCAGCATGCATGCAGGGACGCCTTACGCCTCAGGCGTCAGAAAGTGCCTGACCCACTTACATAACCGCCCTTACCGGATACGGCCTAATACAAACACAATCGGGTGCCCGGGCGAGTCAGCACGGTTTCTAGATCTAGATACGGAGTATTCTTCACGGCATCATCCTATCTACCTTTCTTCTTCTACCTTCCCTTTTCCTCCCATCTTCCACCTTCCGTCCTCCATCTTCCCACTTCCTCTATTCACCCATCTTCCATCTTCACCCATCTTCCATCTTCATCTCTGCTCAGTCCCACTTTCGGTAAACCAAATCCCCGACTCAGATCCACTTTCGTCGGTATTGTTCCAGAAGCCCTCCAAGGGCGAGGACCTTTCTACACACATCTCTCGCATACTTCAAAGCCGAAAAATTCAGCTCTTCTCTAGCTATATGCGCGGCGAGTCGTGGGGGCTCAATCTCAGACAGTCAAAATTCAACCCCGAGCCGAATCCTGTCCCAACTATCGTTATCTCAGCAACTCGCCAAGTTATTGACGACACCTGGCTTCGCACAGTCCGAGAAATCTACTCCTTATTATGCAAAGAGAATCTCTCACATGTCTCGGTCGAGATCCATGACCCCCAAGCACTCGATCCACCTCATACCTCCCCCGTTCAACCAGATGAGGAAATCTATCCCAAGTGGGATGCTGTACTCGCGAAAATACTGAAGCGTATTGAGCTTCAGGATATTCTCACCATCGGATGTTACCGGCGCGGAAGAAGCTCAGATACCTCAGAGAACCCCGCAACGGTCCTCGTTATGGTGGACGTGAACAGTCGCAAACTTTGGAAGGCTACCAGAGACACAATCACTAAAATCCTCACTGACTTCTCTCTGCCTATGGTCGCTGTGGAGATTGTCAAGGACATGATAATTTTACTTGATCATCGAGAAGCAGGATTCAAAGAGGAAATTCAGAAGTCTCGTGCGATTCCTGGAGGACTCATTTCGTCGCTCAAGTACAAATATGGATCTGGAACCCTTGGGGGTTTCATTGAGCTTCAGGACCCGAAGGGTGCCTGGTTCCCGTTTGCATTAACGTGTTTCCATGTTATCGATCCCGCGGATGGGGACATAGTTGGAAGCGATGATCTCGAAGGTGAATACTAAGATATACAAAAGCTTTTCTAATCCAGACTACCTCGGTTAATAGCCATCAAGAAGTGGCGAAAAGAGGGCATCCCCTACTACCAATACAAAGAGTCGCCAAAGGAATTCGCAATCCTTGCTCGGAACGTCAAAGTCAGTCACCCAAGCCGACTTGCCAGAGAAGAAGATGAGAAATCTCGCCACTTGATTGAAATTACCAAAGCATCTTCGGCCTTCAAACACATGTCGATGTTAAATGATGAAGGGCTCTTGAATGATTTGAGTGACACTAAAAAGGAAGCGTTCCGTTCATTTCAAGAGGAGATAGATGAAGCTCAAGACAACCTGGACCGCACCGCAGCATTCTTCAAACAGTCGAAAAATGTCCTCGGCACTGTGTCAGCCGGCTCGGGATATCGAACTATGCAGCACTACCTCAAGGATGGTCAAAAATGGCCTACTGAAGTCGATTGGGCAATAGTCGCTGTCAAAATTCATTGGTCGATCTCAAACAGAGTAAGTTGCTCCAGTCCACAATAGGTCTAAATAATAGTTCCTAACAAGATATAGCTCGACAAGAAGACTATTCTACAGAACATAGCCTCTGAGGAAACCTTCAAAGACCTCAAAACCTGTGGTGATGATGGTCTGGAAGTAGAATTTCAAGGTAGTACACTCCGAGTCGCGAAAGTCAGTCCGCACACTACGACATTCCGGTCGCTAGAGTGGAGTATCTGTGGAACTGCAAGTAACCCCGATTCTCCTGTGGAACAGGGCGACTCGGGATCTTTGATCTTCCGGACCGTTGAGAAGGAAGTACTGGGGATGCTTATTGCCGGCTCGGTGCACAACAAAATTGGTTACTTCACAAGAATCGACGACCTTAGCAATGATATCTTAAGCCAGACCGGAGCAACAGACATTCGGATGTATGGTGCATGATCTTCAGGGACAGTTGATGGTGGTGCTCAGTTCTAGCTCAGCTGTCATGGGTTTGCTTTGCGTTTCTTTTCGCGAGGAGCTGCCATTCGGGAGTTATTATGGTTCTCAGTATCAATTCAGTTGCTATGTTATTGCTTTGAATTTCCCTTTGTTGGCTATTAGCTATTTGACGAGAAATAAGCCGATCCTGCAATGTTGAGTATGGTACATCAAAAAGCTGTGCAGCTTCGCGAATAGATGCTACTTTCTCGTTTTTTATGGCCTGGATGGCAAGTTCCATCCTACCCTCCTGTTCGATCAATTTTTGTCATTTTTCATGGCGAATTGGTGGCATGGCGATGGTTGCAAAAAGGAGGTTGCTACACGCGACGCGGTTGTGGAGACGCGTGGCCGACTCGTGGGTAAAACACGTTAGTAGTAGTAGTGTCAAGTCGTGGGATATACCTACTACTAGTAATTGTCCGACTGGAGGTTCATGTACAATTCATATATATTTCCAGATTTCTCCTATGATCTCGTCATTTAGAATTAAATTGTCCACGGGTATCCTATGTTTTCACAAAATTTGTACGAGTAGTATAGCCCATGGATATACTAAAATAGAAAAGTGGATGCCATCTCGGTCTCGCCGGAAGCCTGCCTTGACAGCATCGGAGGATCGGACACGGAGCGGAGGTGGACTCGGGGGAACTGCAAGAAGAGGAGTTTGCACCGCCTCCCGTTGAGCCAATGGCAGAGGGAAGATTTACGAGGGCAAAGTATCATTGGTCAGGAGAAGAGCCGCGGCACAATGGTGGATCATGGATCCGTGGAGAACGGAGTACGGAGTCTATACGGTGTGCAGCGAAAATACGTTGATCGACATTGTTATGCGTGTTGGGTTATGCCAGTGCGCATTGTGTTGGGAGGAGTGGAGAGAGGTTAACAAGGCAGAGAGGTGAAGATGATCAATCGAGAAATATGGCCGAGTGTAGTGTGTCCATGATCTATCGTATTGCTGTACGAAGCGTACTTACAGGGTGACCCACCGCAGTTTCAGGCAGCTCCGACCCCGCCATCACATCTCTTTAAAAGTCGCTGTGGTGCAACCCTGCACCAGCTCTCTCCTTTGCATTTACTGCTGCATCCTATTGCATCCTATTGCATTGCATTGCATTCACATCACCCATTCTATCCGGTATGGCCTCGAAGGAGGTCCCCATTCCGGGTCCCAAGGGAGTTCCCTTCCTGGGCAATATCTATGACATCGATAAAGAAGTCCCGCTGAACAGCATCGAGCTGTTGGCTGACAATTACGGTATTTTGACCTCATCCCACCCGGAGACATTCATCTGACCTACTAGTTTACTGACCTCTTTCTCTCCTCATTCCCCCAGGCCCCATCTATCGCCTCACCACTTTCGGTTACTCCCGTGTTTTCCTCAGCTCACATGAATTGGTGGACGAGGTTTGTAACGAGGATCGCTTCTCAAAGGCCGTCACTGCTGGACTAAAAGAAATTCGCAATGGCACCCATGATGGTCTCTTCACGGCCCACCAAGGGGAAGAGAATTGGGCCATCGCCCACCGCGTCCTGGTGCCCGCATTCGGTCCCCTCATGATTCGTGGCATGTTCGATGATATGTACGACATAGCAACCCAGCTTGTCATGAAATGGGCCCGACAAGGCCCGAGTGCCGCCATCACAGTGACAGACGACTTTACCCGTCTCACACTCGACACCATTGCCCTCTGCTCTATGGGAACTCGGTTCAACTCATTCTATCACGATGAAATGCACCCATTCGTCGAGGCTATGGTCGGTCTCTTGGCTGGATCAGGAAGCCGCGCTATCCGTCCCGGCTTGCTGAATAGCTTGCCCACCGCCGAGAACGCCAAATATTGGAATGATATCACCTACCTACGCAACCTGTCGAAGGACCTGATCCAAGACCGCAAGGATAACCCCGAGGAGAAGAAGGATCTTCTCAATGCGTTGATTTTGGGCCGTGACCCGCAGACAGGCAAAGGAATGACCGAAGAGTCCATTATTGATAACATGATCACTTTCCTGATTGCTGGTATGTTTCCCTATTCAATTAGGAGCTCATTTTCAGATAAGATCCAAGCTAATGAGACGAAAAGGCCACGAAACCACCTCGGGCATGCTGTCTTTCCTTTTCTACTTCCTTCTCAAAACCCCACATGCCTACAAGAAGGCCCAAGAGGAGGTCGACAGTGTCATCGGTCGTCGCAAGATCACAGTAGAAGATATGTCCAAGCTGCCTTACATAACAGCCGTCATGCGGGAAACACTCCGCTTGAAGCCAACAGCCCCATTGATCGCTGTTCATCCCAACCCCGAAAAGACCGGCGACGAACCCATCACCCTAGGGGGTGGAAAATACGTTTTGCAGAAAGATGAACCCATCGCCCTGGTATTAGGCAAGATGCAACGTGATCCCAAGGTGTACGGCCCCGATGCAGACGAATTCCGACCGGAACGGATGCTGGACGAGCACTTTGAAAAGCTTCCCAAGAACGCATGGAAGCCCTTTGGAAACGGCATGCGTGGTTGCATTGGTCGTCCTTTCGCTTGGCAAGAGGCTCTTCTGGTCGTTGCGATCTTGCTGCAGAACTTCAACTTCCAAATGGACAACCCTACTTACGATCTGCGCATCAAGCAGACTCTCACCATCAAGCCCAAGGACTTCTTCATCAAGGCTTCCCTGCGCGATGGACTTGATCCGACCCAGCTCGGCCTGGTCTTGAGCGGTACAACCGCTTCATCTGAAAATAAGAGTGCCACCGACCGCCCGAAAAAGCCGAAGCAGACCCCCGCGGATGGCAAGATGAAGCTTATGCATATCTTTTACGGAAGTAATACCGGCACTTGCGAGGCGTTCGCTCGGAGATTGGCAGATGATGCCAGTGGATATGGATTTGAGGCCCAGACAGCTTCCTTGGACTCCGCAACACAAAACATCCCGAAGGAAGACCCAGTCATTTTCATCACTGCTTCCTATGAGGGTCAACCACCGGATAATGCGGCGCATTTCTTCGAATGGTTGAGTAAACTTGACGGAAAGAGCCTGGAGGGAACCAACTTTGCGACCTTTGGCTGTGGTCATCGTGAGTACGGCCCAGAAACGTTTATAAATCCATACTAATATCTGGTTAGATGACTGGTCCTCCACCTTCCACCGCATACCAAAGGCTGTCAACGAGCTCGTCAAGCAAAATGGTGGAAATCGTCTCTGTGACCTTGGTCTCTCCGACGCAGCCAACTCAGACATGTTCACCGATTTCGACGGTTGGGGTGAGACTACGTTCTGGCCTGCCATCACAGCCAAGTATGGTGGCGGCGAAGACAAAGCAAGCAAGCCCAAGTCATCTATGCAAGTGGAAGTTAGCTCCGGAATGCGTGCGTCTACTTTGGGTCTCCAGCTCGAAGAGGGTTTCGTTGTCGAAAACCTGCTCCTCACAAAGCCCGGCGTGCCCGCTAAGCGCATTCTGCGTTTCAAGCTGCCAACCGACATGACCTACCAGTGTGGTGACTATCTCGCAGTACTACCAGTCAATCCGACGCCTGTTGTCCGTCGTGCAATTCGCCGCTTCGACCTTCCCTGGGACGCCATCCTGCGCATTCAAAAGCCCGCCAAAACCTCATCTACACCCCCATCCATCCCCATCGACACACCCATCTCCGCATTCGAGCTACTGTCAACCTATGTTGAGCTTTCTCAACCTGCCAACAAGCGCGACCTGAACGTACTCGCTGATGCCGCCATCGAGGATGCTGAGACGCAAGCCGAACTCCGCTACATCGCCTCGAGCCCAAGCCGCTTCACTTCCGAGATCGTGCGCAAGCACGTCAGCCCTCTCGAGCTACTGATGCGCTACCCATCCATTAAGCTGTCACTTGGCGACTTCCTCGGCATGCTTCCCCCAATGCGCGTGCGCCAATACTCAATCTCCTCATCTCCCCTCTCCGACCCATCCGAATGCTCCATTACCTTTTCCGTCCTCAGTGCCCCCGCCCTATCAGGCCCAACAGAGCCAGGAAGCGAAACACCAGAGGATTACCTCGGAGTCGCGTCAAATTACCTCTCTGAGCTTCAAGCCGGCGAGCGCGCGCACATCACCGTTCGCCCTTCAAACTCCGGCTTCAAGCCCCCAGTTGACCTTCAAACCCCGATGATCATGGCCTGTGCCGGAAGCGGCCTTGCTCCTTTCCGCGGCTTCATCATGGATCGCGTCCAGCGTATCCGCGGCCGCAATGGCACTACATCCACAGACGATCTTCCCGCCTCAGATAAGCCTGCCAAGGCTATTCTCTACGTCGGATGTCGAACCAAGGGCGTGGATGACATCCATGCTGATGAGCTAGCCGAGTGGGCTACCCAGGGCGCTGTCGAGGTCCGTTGGGCTTATAGTCGCCCCACAGAAGGAAAGGGTCAACATATTCAGGATCTCATGCTGGAAGACAAGGCTGAGCTGGTCCGTCTCATGGAAGATATGGCGCGACTATATGTCTGCGGAAGCACTGGTGTTGGAAATGGTGTGCGGGAGGCCTGCAAGTCCATTTACCTTGAACATCGTCATGACAAGATCGCACGGGCCAAGGAGACAGGGGAGGATCTTGGTTATCTCGGACATGACGCCGAGCTGGATGATGATGCTGCGGCTGAGTCGTTCTTTGATCGGTTGCGTACGAAGGAGAGGTATGCCACGGACGTTTTCACTTAGGATGTGTAACAGGGCGTGGCGCTATTTTAGTTTCGAGAAATTGTCAGGAGTAGGTTTCACGATGGTGCGATCTTTGATATCGGCGATCGGACCGTACTTGGGCGAAGTCCGGTCCGAGGTCTTTTTCGGTCCGATCCGAGGTTTACTATGGTTGGGAGTACCCAAAAGGACGGAGTTTTTCTGATTTATAATATTCGATATATATCATCTCTTTTATTCCCGAGGATATTGAGAATGAATCAATAACATTGTTGATGAAACCGTAAATAGTCTCCATTGCTAAATGTCTGGTCTGTCTGACCGGACTTCCCAATTCAAACATGCCACTTTCTCCACCAGCTTATCGCTCCTTTACACTGAATGGCCACTGGAAACCCTGGAAATAGAGTTATTTGCCTCCCGATAGTCCCCGCTTGACCCCAGAGCGAGTGTTCCGGCCGGCCGAGGATGAGTGTGAGTCTGTGCGAGTCACCCAAATTCCACCCGGGATTTCTTCTCCGAAATACCTACACTTTCCCCCTAACATTCTCTGACTATTCTCCAAGAATTTCAACGACCTTGACCTTGACCAAAAATACAGAAATCCACTCACACAGCAATCTCCTCACCAAACACCGTGACCGTCATGGAGACGACACCTCGGGAGCTGCGGAAACTCAAGGGCCCACAAGGTGTCCAAAAGTCCACCGCTAGTCACAGTCACAGTCACAGTCACAACCAAGACAAAAGAATGGCCTGTAAAGCCTGCTACGAACGAAAAAAGCGCTGCATTCCTGCGCCGCCGTACCGCAGATGTAAATACTGCTGCCAGGAGAATCAGAGATGTGTGCCTCGAGAACGCGGAAATCGGTATGTCTCATGTCAGACACGGCATTCTGTCCGAGAAACTTGCAACTAACCTATTTATCTGTGTTCCATCGCAGCGCTGTCGATGAAGATGAAGTTATGACTCGGAAGAACCAGAATTATAATACACTCGAATCGCAATCCCCCCCGAAACGCATATAACCTGCCTTTACCACGTGGTATCGATCACGAAGTTCCCCGATGGGCCGCTGTGTATTCGATGTTTGCGGAGGTGATGAATTTGATTCCGCCCGAGGAGATGGAGGAGGAGGAGAAGGAGAAGGAGAAGGAGGAGGAGGATGATGATTCAATGGACAATTCGAATATCGACGAAGAGAGTAACACCACCGGAGACCAAGGGGATAATAATGTGGTGGATTCAACAGCTCCGCCGGAAACTTTGAACGCCCTCGGACTGCCCGCACAAAATATGGCAACTGGACGATCGTACGACTTTTCTCCACTGGATAAAGACTTTCAAATACCGGCTTCTGGACATTTTCATGAGGGATTTACGATGTATGATATGGATGCACTTTTGAGGTTTTGAGATTTTGAAGGAATTGGGAGATTTGTTTCAAAGATGGAGTCAGATGCGACGACGAACCACCAGAGGCCGGTCCGCCAACCTCGAAATTGGTATAGGATGTGTTCATATAAAGATCAAGTTGTTTTCCTGAAAATACACGCGGCGAAATAATACTACAAAAGCGTGTAATCTGGCCGGGTGCCTTTCTGTCGTTTAATATCACAAGACTAGCCGGCAGTTCTAGTCAATTCAGTAACACTCTGAGATCTGCCACGGAAGATGTTAATAGAGTGCCATCTAATGTTCTATCCAATGGCAAGCACGTATTCAGTTAAAATCAATTCTGACACATTCACCAGATCCCCAATGCATTCATAGCATCACAGCAAAAACCAATTGACTTGGTCGTGCTATTCTACATCCGGTATTTTTAGCGCTGGTCATAATGAAATCTCAGTAGCTGATCTTTCAGGAATGCCCATTTGATCAATATGTTCCACAAAGCCCCAGTATCCCGTGTGGGGCCTCCCCCATTGACCTTGAAGCTTCCAACCTTGTGGCCACTGAGCGGTACAAATCCGGGGTAAAATGTGGAGGCAGTGCGGGGAAGACTACTGGGCCCCATCTAAGGGTTTAGGAGGTAAATAGCCGTCATTTAGAAGCTGGACCCTGTAAGAATAATTCCATTCGAAGAAGTCATTCTGATTATCCCTTCTCTTTTGACTTGTATTCCATTTTGGTAGTGACAGCTCCCTTCCTCTGAGTTTGCTCTCGGCTCAATTCTCGACATGGGCGAAGGCAACAACGAAGCGGGTAGACGGCCGCATCTTGCTCACAGGTTTGTTTTCTACCGGGAAAAAGGGGTGAATTCCAAGACAAGATAATTGATGCGCGATTCAATAATACAGCCATGCACACGAAGGTGAAATCCCGGGCACTGTGGACTTGAGTGCGGTAGAGGGGGATGACACGGCATATGGACAAGCTTTATACCCTGTTCCTGCTGAAGACCCGAATGATCCACTACAAGTACGCCCCAGCTCCTCGCATTTTACAGAGGCTTACAGTACTAATTGGGAACGCTGTAGTGGCCAGGCTGGAAGAAAAATATTATTTTGATCATCGTCTCTGTCTACTCCTTTCTCGGAAATAGTTCCCTGACTGGGCCCTCGGTGTATATCAGCATATACAGTGAGGAGTTTGGGATCTCACCAGCTGAAGCTTCGGGCTTGATTTCGTATCCGAATCTGGCCTTTGGATTTGGTAGGTCTTTTCCGGATGAAAGTGGTAAAGTGACGATCGTGCTGATTACTTCCAGGCTCACTTCTTCTGGTGCCTTTGTATCTGAAAATTGGAAGAAGACCGGTGACACTCCTTTCTATGATCGCGGTACATAACTCTACACCTCGCAGATATCAGGAAGAGAAGGCTGATTCAAACAGTTCCTTGCCGGGTTGATTGGGGCCTCTCGTGCTAGTAGTTATAGTGGTTTGATGATTGCTCGTATCTTCCATGGATTCGGGAGGTTGGTCTTACGTCTTAAACCCATGACTCGAAATACATACGACTGACTCTGCATCTACAGTGGGGTGTGTGAAAGCTTACCGGTGCAAGTGGTGAACGACATCTTCTATCTTCATGAGCGTGGAAAGAGAATCGGATACTATACCAGTAAGTCCAAAAGCCGAGGAAGTGTTCTCAACTAACGTGATACAGTCTGCCTTTGCCTCGGATCCACTGGTCCTCTTTATGCCGGATATATGCTGGCTGGTGGCTACTCATGGCGACTATTCTTTTACGTCGAAGCTGCCTTTGCTGGCGCATTGTTGATCATGGCATTCTTTTTCGTGGAAGAATCTACTTATCATCGCCCTCAGCAATCTCCACTTCAAAATCCTTCGACTGATTCCCTTCAAGCCAAAGAGATTGCCGGCGAGAAATCGCAGCCACCTGTCCAATTGGAGAATGTATCTTCAATGTCAATCCCACGACGAAAGTCATTCTTGGAAACATTAAAACCCTGGGGTGAAATTGACCACGAACCTGAATTCTTCATGACAATCTTGCGTTCGTTTACCTACTTCTTCGTTCCCGTTGTGTTTTGGGTCATCGCCACATACGGTCTTTATATTGGACTGGGGGCCCTCGCATTCAACTATACCTTCCCGATCAAAATAACAGCACCGCCGTATAACTGGAGTGAGGTACGTGTCATGTTCTATCGATTTCACAATTGAATGAAGTTGACTAACCATACAAGACAAACTCTGGCCTCATTGCAATCGCAAGCTTTATTGGCTACTCCCTTGCTCTCCCTCTGACATCGACCTCGGACCGATTGGCTGCATATCGCACGAAACGTAACAACGGAATACGTGAGGCCGAAATGCGCCTCCCAGCTCTGTTCCCGGTCCTCCTGCTGCCACCGGCAGGTCTCATAGTCTACGGTTTCACAGCCCAACGCGACCTTCACTGGACTGGATATTTTGCCGGTGTTGCGATGAATCAGTTTGGATCATACTTTTATTTCACGTTCACGCTTGCCTACGCAGTGGACTCATATTACGCCAATACATCGGAAATGTTGATCGCGATGAATTTGGGTAAGCAGGCTATTTCATTTGGGATGGGATCATATCTGCTTGATTGGATCTTATCGAGGGGGTATGCTGTCGTGATATCAGGTATATTTGGTGGGGTTCTCCTTGTCAATAACCTTATGGTTATTGTGTTTCTTTTGTGGGGAAAGAGAATTCGCAAATGGACAGCTCGATCCTGGCTAGGAAGGCTGCACAACAGGAGCGCAACGAGGGACATGACTCATTGATTGAGTCGGATTTAACATTGGAGAGCGATTCAACTCGGCCATTGCAGTGTTATACATTAATAGTTCAAATCAACCAAGCTAATGAGAAATAATGCCCATACTAGATAGGGACCATGAGCTCTTTTGCTGGGCCTCAGTGCCCTTTCCACTCACTGGCTTGGCAAACTCGACCAAAAATTGCACCATCCATTGATCCATACAGAAGCTTGTCTCCGCAGACTCTCTGCAGGATGCGTGAAAAGTCATAAGGCGATCCATACAGACGTCCAGGGTAGGCCAGAGGCTCACCAAATGGGTCAGAATACAAAAGTTCTTCTCCAAGCGCATTCTAGCGATCGCCACAATGTCCTCGTTCTCTTCAAATAAGAGGGTGTGAATTTGTATTGTTGAAGCAATCATCAACACATGTCCCACCATATTGTATTTCGCATCACAGCCGGGAACCTCTTCCGAAGTGTAGACTATCTCACACAACTTACTCGCGTGATACTTGCACTTGTTCGCATAGTAACGCGTGCGACTGTCGAAAGTCTGCGAGTCTTCGTGTAAAAATCGATAGAAAAGCATTTGACCATAGTTATAGTACCCTAGGTACAGAGCAACGAGAAGTCGCCCTAGCCCTTGTTCGGAGTAACGAGTGAGGTTTTCTCGAGTATCCCTCATATGATCTGGGAGCTCTTCAAACCAAAGGTCAAGTTGTTGGGATAAAACTTCGACATCGTTCATAATTGACTGGGAGTCGAGGTTGTTTTCCGATGCTCTGATATTGAATTGATTGATTTGCAGGAGGATGCGATTCAAGCGGACCATCTCCGCTAGAATAGATGATTTGGTAATACTCTCAACGGTGATGTCATATTCATTTTCTGGCCTCATTTTGCAGAATAGTACCTCATCTATTGGGAGTGGTACATCATCTCGTGGCGGGAGAAGCCTTGGAAGTCGAACTCCCGAAGAAGACCAGACATCTATCATGCAGAGAGTCCACCATACTGAGACCGATTAGCGTTTGCTATATTAGAAGCGGGAAAAGTGAGGTTACCGCGAATATTCACTTCATGCTCCAATGCACTGTCAGTTTCGCATTTTGGAAGATCCAAAAGCTGCGCCATCCGACACGCCACTGCATAATGAATATTTTCCGAAGCCGCTTTCCCATTCGTAATAGCGATGGCACCAAGTAAAACGCAAGCTTGTATGGTGATCAAAGAGATCTCATTCCAATCAAGTAGACGCCCGCATTGCTTTCCATAAATTCTCCCTCTCTCCCTTGCATCAACTTGGGACAGAGTGGGATTGTTAGAGAATCTAAACAAGGGATGATGGCCAATTAGCATACATAATTCACTTCCGAGTTTGAAGAATTTGACCAACCGTGCCGAGAGCGCCATCATGCCATAAACCAAAATCGGAGGGGCAGTTCCTTGCAACAGACTCTCCATGAAGCTTGGAGGGTGAAATAATGTGTGGAATTGATCATGCACATAGTTGAAATAGAGCTGGACTAGCTCGGTGCAAATAGACTGATCTGGCAGGCCAGCCTCCTGCGATAAGCGAATGGGCGTTGAAGCATCGAGACTGGTCTGTGTCATGTGGAACTGTGTACGGTCAATTGATTGAGGTGCCCTCGAAGGCTCGCTACTTGAGCAAGGAAGTCTCCGATCGTGGCAGTAGGTACATGGTGCCCCAGGCGCCCGGATCTCACACCTCCGACGGCGTTCGCTGTGTTTATTGTTAGCTCTAGGGCCAGCTGCATAGTAATTTTTCGCTTACCGACAAGCCTTGCAGGCTTTTGCTCTTCTCATTGGTGTTTAGACGGATTTAATCGGGAGACAAGGGGGGAGATTCCAAGTTCCTCCACCGGCAGTGCCGACCGACCCCACAGCGGGGAAACCTGGAGCCGTAGATATCCATAAATGTGACTTCAAGTTGGTTGTATTCAATTTTTGGGTAGCAATTTTTGCTTGCTTCCCCACAGAAGAGGAGTTCGATTGGTATATAAATAGCAGGTGATATTTTTACTCGACCTGGGAAATATTATAATGCAGCGATATCCGAAGGCTATGATCTCAACGTGACACGCCTGGGTTAAAGTTCCACCTGGGAAGTTGATGCCCAGATGTGCGAGTACAACTTGGGAAATGGAGATGAAATTGGCTGAACAAGGAAACTTGAAATTTGTCTCATATGATGATACAGTCCATCATCATCATGGTATAGTCTCGACTGAGTCTGGATGTATGTAGAATGCGATCGCTATGATCAGGTAGCTGTGAATCCTTGTGTTAGTATCCATGCTTGGGAGGCTAGCAGACTTATTTTTGACTTACGTTCCTATCAATAGGAATCCCTCATAGTAGTTGGATCGTCCCCCGCGAATCAAGCAGTCCATGACGATTACCGATAAAAAGAACACCACCGTCTCAAATGTGCTATAACGGAGAGACATAGGCTGCCCAATAACCCAGCCGCATATCACCAAGAACGGGCTAACAAAAAGCGCAATCTGAAGTGTGCTCCCGACTATGACGCCAATAGCCAGATCCATGCCATCCTTCATAGCTGCGGTTATGGCGGTGTTGAACTCCCCGGCGTTTCCAATCACGGGTACAACGATGAGTCCAATGAAAGCTCGGCTCACACCCCAAACTTCAACGAAGCCGTCGACGCTATCGACGAGGTAGTCGGAACAAGCGGTGACCCCAAGAGTGGCTGTGATCAACACAGCACTCGCTGACCAGGGACCGAGCTTAATCTCCTCTTCTTCCTCCTCCGTCCCCGAATCATCGACGAAAAGATTAGCGTGGGTCTTGAGCTGGAAGAAGAGATAGACGAGATAAAAGATGAGCAAGACGACCGAGGTGGCTCTTGATAAGCTTAAAACGCTATCATGCACCGCGTCCGATTTGGAGTGTGTAGTTGCATCCAGAATGGATGGGATAATCAGTGACGCCGAAGCGACAACCATCAATGATGACAAAATTCCACTAACGTCGACGTTGAAGGCGACCGTGTCTTTTGATAAGCCGCCCGCAACGAGGCAGCATCCGAGGATCTTAATAGTCCGTATATTAGCGATTCCATCACGAGTCAAAAGCCACATAGGAGGCTTATTCATACCAAGAGACTCCCAGAAAGAATACTCCCAACCATACTTGATTGAACGATGTTCATTTCGCCGCGACCGACAGCAGTAATTCCCACCTAAAAGGAAGCAAGCAGGGCAACGTCAGTCCTGCTCTGTGAAAAGGGAGAGGTAGATAGTTATTCTTCGACATACAATCATTTCTACCGCATTGCCAAATGTTGCATTGATCAATCCTCCAAGCAATTGGCCCACACTTTTTGCCAATTCTTCGGTCGCAAATGAGAGCAATGATGCAAGAGGAAGAATCGCCAGAAAGTTCAGTGAAAAGACCAGCGAATCATCCCAATGTTGCTTCCCTGCAATGATCCCCAAAAACACAAATGGAAGCAGATAGCTCGTGTAGCTCTCGCCCAATATCATCTTCAGAGTAGCCAAGCCGGATTTTGCCATGTCCAAAGGTCGCGTCGTCGTTGGCATTCCTTCATCGCTTGATCTAGATGTTTGCGAGGCCGGCGTGTCTTTCGTCAAAAGAGACTTGTGTCCGTCTACCAGTGGGAGGTCTTCTTGATTTTGAGGGATTGACATGTTATCGTGTTCGGTTTTCGCGGACTTCCGTAAACGAGTGGTTGGGGTTTCCATGGCTTTTAGGAAAGGAGAAGAAAGCTGAAAGGCATATCAGGATGTGACGAGAGCGGATGCGAGTGTTCACTAGTTAATCAGGTGGAGGAGGATCGTATTAGGAGAGAAGCTGGTCAAAGTGTTTAAATTAAAAATAAATGATAAATACAGTACGGATCAGCCCCCAAACAACGAAATTGTAAAACGGCGTATGGGCGGGGCAATACGCATCCAGGTCGTACAGTTGATGCAATCCAGCCAGCAAAAAGCAGAAAGGAGACGGCTAAGACACGGCCCAGGTGAACACTTGTCAATACTCGGTGCCTAATTTACATACTAATCTACTGTCATCCCCGCTGATCATACATCACAGAGCGGGTCCTCACTCCAACGCGTAATGCGAATCCTTTCTCGCTACGATATCCAGCGAGTTTTTTTCATTTCCGTGATCGAAGGACGTTGAGAGAAACAAAACCGGGGTCCCTAGGAATTACACCCTGGCCCGACGAGATTGTTTTGCTTGTCCACACCTCCAAGCGTTCCCTCGAGTACCTGTCCGGCTGTGTGACCATGGCGAGACACATTCCACACACCAAAACCCTCACTCTGCTGCCCCTCGCAGGCATTGTGGCAGGTATTCTACAGCTTCCACATACTATTGTGTTCGCGATAAATCTTCTCGCCTTGGGTGTTCTCCTTGACTGGATCAACCGGTCTATCAGCGCCGTATCTGTGAATACGGGGCGTCTCACCAATGAGTTACTAAAAGGAACCCTTGGAAATGCCGTTGAGCTTATGGTATACTTTCCTATCCTATTTCACGGTCGGAGAGCATTGAACTGATGAATGAGGGTTTGCCTCTGGTCCATGAGCAGATCGGAATAAGCTCCGTGATTCGAGGAGCCCCTCATATCACCCGTTCTATATTTCTGGGCAGCATTCTCTGCAACTTGCTTCTCGTGCTCGGCGGCTCACTTTTCTTCGCGGGATATGACAAGAATCGACTCCGATTTGATCGACATCTTACGACTACCTTGTCATCATTGATGATGGTTGTTTTCATTATGTTGGCTACTCCAACTGCTCTGGAAGCCTTGTCATCACGCCACGATGTATCGGTCGAAGAGGCAATTCTAACGCAGCAGGCAACTGCTGTCAATTTGATTGCTCTTCTTGGAATATTTCCTCTTCTTCAGACTCAATACTCACGCCGAGATGTTCGCTGGCACCCCAATTCAACACGGCAATTCAGATGTTCAAAGCTCCCACAACAGAGCGAGAGTGCAAGATTTACAGCCACTGAGTGGACCATGGCGCTCGTTACTTGTACTCACAGTTGCGTCCTTGTGTACACTGGCCTGCGCCTTTCAGATTGTTGACAGTGTCAGTAACGTGGGCAAGGCCTTGGGTACCAACCCATCTTTCCCCGCTCTCACTATAATTCCTTTGGTGGGGAATATCGCGAAGCATCGCATGATAGTGGAGGGCTCCCGAGCAGAGCAGCAGATAGAGCGTGGCATTCGTGCGATTATCAATGGAATATTGAGGCTCACTATGCTAGTCGCGCCCCTCATTGTGACTTTTGGTTGGGTGTTAGATCAGCCTTTGATCCTGAAATTCGATGAGTTCGAGGCTACCACTTTACTACTAAGTATTGTTGTCATGACCTATCTTATTTCGGATGGTAGGAGCAATTATTTCGAAGGTTTGATGTTAATTGGAACGTAAGTACTATCCATGTCGGCTAACCCAAGATTTGAAATTACTGACTGATTGAGTATTCTAAAGATACATCATCATGGTCTTTTCGTTTTATGTGCGGCCGGATACACCCGCGGCAAAAATCTCAGCAAGGGCCGATGATACCTGGCAGCAGCAATAGTATCGAAAATATGAAGTTAAATTGGAAGCTCTTTGAGTTTTAGACGGGTTGGGGCGATGCTAACCTTGGAAAATGCTAGAAACAGTCGCAATCTATCTATTAGTCTTTCCAGGAGACCGCGTCGAAACAGATCAAGCAGTCCACGGATCCAGCTGGTAGATTCATTCAAACCAAAATTATCATATAGAAGGAGCTCTTTCATAATCACTGAATAGATACTCGGATAAATTCTGTCACTGCGCTGTCTAGTATAAATTTCTTGGCAAGGAGGCTATGCAAGACAGAAGAGGAGCAAACCCTGGAAGGGCGTTCGATGACTGGCCCAAGTTACTGTTACCTGGAGCAAAAGATGAACAGCTCCATAATTGTTTATTTAATTATTTGAAAGGAGAAATGGTCTTTCCAGGCCCACAACTCTATTTCGACATCATTGCTGTAGTATTCCGATCCGCTGCCTCAACCCAAGAGATTCGTCTGACATCCTCAAAAGCTGCAACAGTGTCTGGGTGTTCCCCTCCTAGTATATCCTGACGCCGAGAATAGACAGTCTCAGCAAGGTCGCCCGCTCGATCCCATTTTCCTTGTGACTGGTAGATGAATCCAAGGTTGGATATGACACTTAGTGTATGTGGGTGCTCTTCCCCCAGCGAATTCTTCATGGACTCTGCAACTTGTGCCATCAATCGAGCTGCGTCCTCCACCTTTCCATCCATTTGATATGTAATTGCCAGTTCCGCCATAGCTACTAAAGTTTGAGGACTTTCTTCGCCCAGTACCTCTCTCATAGCGTTTGATGACTTTTCACCAAGTTCCTTTGCTTCTTCCAAACACCCTAAGCCACGGCACGTAGACGCAAGATTGCTTATCGACATCAGTGTCTGTGGGTGCTCTTTTCCAAGTATAGCTTCACTGGCCTCAACCAATTCGCGATCCAGACCTTCCGCCTCCATCCATTTCCCCTGGCCACGGTACGTAGATGCTAAATTGGCGATTGAAATCAAAGTTGACTGATGCCGCGATCCCAGTAACTTGCGCCTCGCTCCAAGGACTTCTTGATCAAGTTCCTGAGCCAGTGAAAATTGCCCGTCATCTCGGTAGGCGGTCGCCAAATTTGATTTTATTGTCAATATGGAGGGGTCCGTTGCGTCCAGCACACTTTCTGCCCTCTCCACCAATGATCGATTCAACGCCTCTGCTTCCTTATATCTTCCCTGCTCTGAATATGACGTTGCTAAATTTATCATGGAAGTCAGTGTAGACCGGTTTTCCACGCCCAGGGTCTCCGATTTCAACTCCACAGCCCGAGCGTCAAGCCGCTGAGCATCCTCTAACCGCCCCTGGCTTCGGTATGCGGCTGCGAGATTCGACATCGATGCCAAGGTTTGAGTATTTCTATCACCAAGGACTTTCTTCCGGAGATCCGTCACACGCAGACCGAGGCTGGCTGCTGCATCAAACTGACCTAGGCCCCAGTATGCTGAAGCTAGGTTGTGCATTGCACTCATTGTCCTCGGATCCTCCTCGCCTTTTAGTGGCTCGTAGTATTTCAGCAGCAAAGATGAGATTTCGGACGCGCATGTCCATTTTCCAAAATTGAGATGGTCTTTGACCATCGCCTTCAGTAGATCGAGCGGATCAGATGACGGTTTAAAATGAGAATTCGCTTCCACTGGCATTGTGTCTATTAAAGACACTATCCCTTGCAGCTCTACAGCATCCTCACGCCATCCTCTGGATTGGTACGTCTCTGCAAGATCATGGATAGCGTGCCTCAATGACCGGACTGAATCTGGGGGTTCGTCCATGTATCGTTATCCGACAGGGAAATGCGCTAGGTGGATGAAGCGGAATCACCGTGGGTAGTCAGGAGGAAGTCAGGGGTGCTGTGTCTGATGCACCGAAGTAAGGTGAATATTGCTGAGATAGACCAGGACCGTCGGAGGGAGGTAGGAGAGTGTTTCAGTCAAAGGCTCGCAGGAGACGTTTGCGAAAGAATGACCGGGACCGAGGGAACGAGGAATTCAGTGACATCTGCCAAGGGTGGGATGTGGCCCATTTCTTAGCGTGGAACGATATCAACTAGTGCCCATGCACCAACAAAAAAGAATGCGCGACTCATACTATTCATAGAAGCTGGGTGGATGGTTTGTGGGTTAGTCTGCATCTCGTACGAACCGTTCAGAGGTTCTGGCTAATCAACAAGGTGGAACTATTTTGACCTCCGCGAGCAACTGGTCCATTTCTTTTTGAAACCTGGAGGTTCTTGCCGTGCAAGTATCTGTGCACCGGTTTATTTCATCTCGAAATTGCGTTGCCTGGTTTGAAATGTGGATTCAGTCGGGGGAGGGGCGGTCAGCCCTACCAAACAAACTCCGCCATTGTGGGTCGCGTATCAAACTAGTAATAAGGCTGAACAACCGGGCTGTAAACATTTCCATACAGGTTTAAGCCCCTCAAACATTCTCGTTGGTTCCTGTACGACATGCCCCTCTGGAACTAACTGCCTCCGCAATCTGTCATTGCAAGCATTCTTTCTCTCACGGTCGAGCTGGCTCCCTACTCCCTCCCCAAAGAGCAGTTCACGACAATGGCGACCGGCAATGCGTGGAATCAACTCTTGGAGTTGATCCAACTGCCTATGCCGGCCAGGAATGACGCCAACAGATTGCGACCGATCATGTTGCTTCTCCCGATCGCAGGCTTAGCGCGTCTGTTCCACTGGAGTGCAGCAATTGTGCTGGTTGTCAACCTGGTTGCAATTATCTTCCTTTCGGATGTCATTTCATCCACGTCAGATGAGCTTGCGGACTCTTTGGGCCATTTGCAAGGTGCACTTATAGGTGCGACACTTGGCAATACCGTCGAGTTAACCGTTCGTATCCACAAGTTTATTGGCAGGCGGAAGATCAGAGCTCTGATTACTGACCACATATCAACCTTTAGTCCGGAGTCCTTGCTCTTTTGCACGGGGACATTGTTTTTGCTCAATCGATCATGGTTGGTAGTATATTGTCCGATATATTAATGGTGGGAACAAATCGCTTTCGAGGTCTTTGATACATGCAGGAATATGCTGGCTGACTCGATCCAAATCAGATATTCGGGTTCTGCATTGTGACAGCGTCTTATAACAAGCATGTTCTTGAGTTCAACGCTCATCTGGCTAAGACCCTGTCGTCCTTGATGATGATCACGGCTGTCACAATGTTACTGCCAACTGCGCTCTACTCAACCTTTCCCGTTTCGCAAATTGATAAAAGCGTCCTGGCCTTTTCTCGTGGCACCTCATTCGTCTTATTTCTCCTCTACGGAGGATATCTCTACTTTCATATGAAAAGTCACAAGCACCTTTTCCTATCAGAGGGAGAAGAAGAGCAAGATGAGACCCATCTCTATGAATTGAGAGGTTCTGAAAGCACCAAGACACCATCCGAACAGTCTGACACATCCAAAATCTTTGCCCCATCCATGCGACTAGCCGCTGCAGTAGCCGCGACAATATTCTGCACAGAGCTGATTATTGAGGGAATAGACGATATGGTGGACACATTTGGCTTCAGCCGGATGTTCATTGCGGTTATCCTGATACCGATCGCAAGTAACAGCACAGAGGGCACGACGGTTATAGCTTCGGCTCGAAGTGGTGACACTGATTCTGCAATTCGGGTAATCGTGGACAGTCTCCTCCAGATAGGTCTTTTCGTGATTCCTTTTCTTGTTCTCATAGGCTGGTGCATAGGGGAGCCTATGTCGCTTTATTTTGATCCTTTCCAGTCCGGTATGATGTTTCTGGCTGTCCTGGTTGTCAACCATATGCTTCGGGATGGGCAATATGCGTACATTCATGGGGCGATGTTGGTTGCGCTGTGAGTGATATCAAACATATTAAAGAGCACTACTAGAACGGTCGGAAACTAATGAAATAACAGATATGGCAGCTTGATAGCGGCCTTCTACGCGCGGTAGAGCATGATTTTTACCACGAGTCTTTCCCGAACACTAGAATCGGAAACGGAGATGACTTTCTATCTCACCGAGGGCGGCTAAGACAGCGCGCCTGCCAGGGGACGTTGAGAGCTCCTGTTATGTCGTGGGTGTGGCTCTTATTCAAAACAATTCGACAGTTCGGATGCGAGTATGCACAACGTGAGTATTTCCATCAGCAACGAGAGTCGTTCCAAGTTGGATTGAGACGCACGAACTTGAAGATGGGAAGGAAAATTATATCTCGTTCAACACTGCTACTGGCGAGTGGATCAATCATTCGAATTGCCCAAATAGCTTCTGATGTTATGTCTACATACCTTTTTGTAGAATTGAGTGTTCATTGCACTTTGAACTTTTGTTCGGCTATTCTAAATGTTGTGGTGGGACGGCCTATGGATATCGTTGTCCTTGGCCGTCCTATCTGACCACCTGGACATTAATCAAGAATATTGTTCCTGTTTAGGAAGCGCACAGATTCGTAAGGCTCAGTGTGTATTGATATCCTCTCGTCGCAAGCAAGATGCTCTTGTCTTAATTTTCTTGTTTGTAAACTAGACTCGTTCTATCCCGGCAGTTAGGGGTTGAAACATCCCTGATCGGACATGCTCCGGCAGATAACTTTCCCCTCGCCTGACCGTGCTCAATGATGGCCGATCTTTGACCATGGGGTAACATTGAGCACGGCCATGAACGGCCTGGTCCGATCTGCATTTCTGCATTGTGAATCCAGTGTGTCTTGGCGTTGCGATGGAGGCGGGATTGAGGTTATATGGACCAATGAGAGAACGTCAAAACCGCCCCTAGCATTGCCTTTTGCCGAGTCCGACGCCGCGATGTCCCCGGAGTGTCTCCGCACCAGTGGCCGCACCCCGCAAGCTCCCCAAATCGTCATGATTTTGCGGGTGAAGAAATTGATGCAATGGAGTCAAATATTAACCGAGCTTGGTCATTGGTTCATTTTCCCCGTGGCCGCATGCCCCTTACCGCATTCCCCACGGGGCTTGGGATATAAATTCGTCGGGATCTCAGGACTTTGGCTTGATGTTCTTTTCTAATCCAATTCGAAGACCGAGAAGGCCAGAGAGAATACACTATGCCTCTCCCTTCGTTTAAAATGGCGGCTGTTGCCAACCTAGTCGCCCTTTTGAGTCCAGTCATGGCTGCAAGCTCTTCAAGTGGTATCTCACCCCTTCTCGGATTCCACTGGATAGAGAGGAAAACGCTGACAAGATCATTTAGCTATCGTTGCGGATGGCAGCTCGTTCTCCCTGAACGGTGACGATGTATCCTACCGGTTTCATGTCGACAATAGCACCGGTGACCTGATTTCGGATCACTTCGGTGCTAGCGTGTCAGGAGATATTCCTATTGAAGTCACGGGCGATGTGAATGGCTGGGTCAACACCATTGGACGCGTCCGACGCGAATTTCCCGACCAAGGCCGAGGAGATTTCCGCCAGCCAGCGATCAGAATCCGGCAATCGGAAGGGTACACTGTTTCTGACTTGCGATATCAATCCTATACTGTAAAGCAGGGCAAGCCTGATCTTCCTAGCTTGCCGGCGACCTTCGGCACGGATGATGAGGTTTCAACCTTGATCGTCCATATGTACGACAACTATAGCTCCGTTGCAGCTGACCTCTCTTACTCGATCTTCCCGAAGCACAACGCAATCGTGCGCAGTGCAAACATCACCAATCAGGGCAAGGGAACATCACAGTTGAGTCGCTTGCAAGCATGAGTGTGGATTTCCCGTACGAGAACTTGGACATGATTAGCCTGCGCGGTGATTGGGCAAGAGAGGCACACCGCGAGCGAAGAAAGATCGAATATGGCAAGCAGGGGTAAGTAAACTCCGTCTCTTCAAATTCGGTCATATCAAATCCCGGAAGCCCGCTGACAGTATGTGAATTCTTTTTTTAGTTTTGAGAGTGCAACCGGCTACTCCTCCCACCTTCACAACCCATTCCTTGCTGTCATGGATCCTGCAAGCACGGAATCTAATGGTGAGGTTTGGGGATTCTCGCTCGTTTATTCGGGCTCTTTCTCTGTTGATATTGAGAAGGGCTCCCAGGGGATTACGCGCGCTCTTGTCGGCCTCAACCCCAGTCAGCTCTCCTGGTCATTGGGACCCGGTGAATCCCTCACCTCCCCAGAGTGTGTTGCTGTCTACTCAGAAAATGGAGTTGGCGGGATGTCCCGCTCGCTCCATAATCTCTACCGGAAAAATCTCATTAAGAGCAAATTCGCAACGGCAGATAGACCTGCTCTCTTGAACAGCTGGGAGGGACTAGGAGCCACCTTCAATGAATCCACCATCTACCAGCTTGCCAAGGAGTCTGCTGCGCTTGGTATCAAGCTTTTCGTTCTGGATGATGGCTGGTTCGGTGACAAGTACCCTCGAATCTCGGATAATGCCGGCCTAGGTGACTGGATTCCCAACCCTGAGAGGTTCCCGGACGGCTTGTCTCATGCTGTGAACAGTATTACGGCCCTCAAAGCTGCGAATACCTCCAGTAATCTGCGCTTTGGCCTTTGGTTCGAGCCTGAGATGGTGAACCCTAATTCTACTCTCTATCATGAGCACCCTGAATGGGCTCTACATGCAGGATCCTACCCTCGCACTTTGACGCGTAACCAGCTTGTCTTAAACGTTGCGCTCCCAGAGGTCCAAGACTTCATCATTGATGCCGTGTCAAATATTCTGAACAGCTCCGATATCAGCTATGTCAAATGGGACAACAACAGGGGAATTCATGAAACACCCTCCCCGTCCACAGACCACGAATATATGCTGGGAATGTACCGGGTATTCGATGTCTTGACTACTCAGTTCCCAGATGTTCTTTGGGAAGGGTGTGCTTCTGGTGGCGGTCGCTTCGACCCTGGTGTGCTACAATACTTCCCCCAGATCTGGACATCAGATGATACAGATGCAGTGGAGCGCATCACCATCCAGATGGGTACCTCACTTGCGTATCCGCCTAGCGCTATGGGTGCTCATCTATCTGCCGTTCCCAACCAGCAAACGGGTCGTACCTTGCCTGTGGACTTCCGCGGGCATGTGGCAATGATGGGTGGATCATTTGGCCTGGAACTTGATCCCTCTGATATGCCAGAGGATGATAAGGCTGCTCTCCCTGCACTGATTGAACTTGCTGAGAAGGTCAACCCTATCATCTTGACGGGTGATATGTACCGACTCAGTCTCCCAGAAGAGTCTAACTGGCCAGCTGTTCTCTTTATCTCCGAGGATGGCAACACAGCTGTACTTTTTTACTTCCAGATCAATCCCAACATCAACCACGCTATTCCGTGGATCAAGATGCAGGGCCTAGACTCGGGGGCTACTTACAGAGTCGATGGAAATTCCACATACTCCGGCTCAGTCTTGATGAAGATCGGTTTGCAGTTCCCTATCGCTACAGACTATGGGAGCAAAGTGGTCTTCTTAGAGAAGCAGTGAGATTTCAATATAAGATATTCCTGTTCCTTATAGTCCCTCCAGCGAGAATATATTTTGAGACTACTGGAAGTTAGAAGACAAAATCATACTAGTATAGGACTTGTTTATGTAAGACCTCCAAATAGGTTTTCTTTGTACTTTCATTACTATCTGGAAATCCTTTTTGAGACAATCTATTGTATTATCTGAAGAGTAATCAAAATTTTCCATTATACAAAATGAAGACAACTGTTAACCACGAAACGTTTTTATATGTTCTTCTTTTCCAATTCAAATTTCTTTGCTAGAAGAAAATAGTCATCTCTTATCCAAGAGAAGCTTATGTAGCTGCAATTTCCCTGCACAGCGTTACCAGTCATAGGAAAACCCGTCAAAAGGACAGTTCCACCATCACACTAACAAGCCGTAAATGCATATTTAGTCGACATTAGAGCTTCTCCGGTAGCTTCATGCGTGAGCAAAGTACACGACAGATGATGTGGGAGAAGGTGTGGCACTGTAAGAAGGCGTGGCACTGGAAGAAGGCGTGGGTCTCAGGCGTGGGCCTCCTTGGGGAACAGTTGGCGAGGTGAATGTGGATGTTTGCTCGCCTTGATTTGCAAGATTTTTCAGGTCCTTGAGCAATTTCTTTCCCCATTTTCTCTCTTTCTTTTTCAGCCCCGTTAGGTAGGTTCACCCAATGCTCAAAATCTTCATGGAATTTCGTTGTCTTCTGGGATAGGTTATCAGGCTGACCAGTTGCTGCCACACTGGGCGTAGCTCGGGGTGTGCCAGTAGTGGTAGGTAGGATAGGAGTTGGCGTAGGTGTTGTAAGGCTTCCGCTTCCAGCTGACTGGAAATCCAAGATTCTGTAGGCCGGGCCATTGTGACCATTCTCGGCGGGCTTAGACATTGGCGAGTTGGGGTTCACGTAAACAGGCACGGCCGTGGCTAAACCAGCCAAACTCAAAGCAACGAGCCCGGTGAAACGCATGTTGACGTTGCGAAAGAAAGGTTGAAGTTATTGGAACGTATCAAAAGTAATAATTTGTTCTTTATATATGAGCTTTCAAATTTTCATAAATTGGGTTTCTGGAAAGATTCACGAGAGCTTGACTCGAATGTGCTCTTTATACTATTAGACTTGCCCTTCTCAGAAAAACCAGGGCCCTAAGATCATAGCACGTGGGGCCGAAATGATTGAAAGATCGCCATGGGATTCAATATATGTGGCGATGGCGTTTTTCGAGTTGCCTTTACAAGTAAGTATCGTCATTCAGGACTGCTTGATCAACCCGCGATCGGGGGCCATTCTCACGGCCCCAAGAGGCTATTATGGGGGCCGATATTTGCAACACATGATGGCTGTTTTTGACAACAATAACAATCAGTAGTCTGAAAGGTGAAAATTTATTATTTTGACACGCAATATTGAATTTCTAACGACGTGCATTATACTTCGTAGCGTCAAGTATAACTAGCCAGTAGTCTGTCCTTGGCAACCGTAATTTTGCCCCTTTTGAATGGTCCGGGGGCCGCGGCCCCGATGGTCCTCTGATCTATGTATACTCCGTAGTAGCCACTAATCCTTCCTACTAATCAAAAAGAGATGACGAATTGCATTGGGGGCCACGTTTCATGTTGAACTAATTTTATCTTGATCTTGGAGACCAGGCTCTCGGGGACCACTGGCATCCCTAGAATCGGAGATACGCCCACACAGCAACATCTTCGCATGCCTACGAGTAATCGGCCCCATTATAAGATATCACAAAACTTGAATTCCCTCGGCGCCACCTGCCAATTTTATATCACCGACCGAGTAAAATCGATCTCAATGGCATGCCCGCTTCTCAAAGATCTTATTATTGGCCGAAGAGAGATAGCATGTATACCCTGGGAATTCTTCTCGACTAAATCCAGTAAGGATTGCGAAAGCGACCAAATTTAATATTAAGAAATACGAGGGTGGTTTTGAGAAGGTGAGGGACAAGTTGATACACCCAAATTACTACCACACAATCAAGAAAGAGATGTGCAGTTCCCTAGCCCCTTTTTGGGTGGTGGGAAGCCAACTATCACACTCTATAATGAGATATCGCACGCTGATCTAGTGTTCCTGTCATAATCACGACACGGACGAGTTGGTGCACTAGACACCGGTAGGCCTGCTCTAGAGTAACAAGGAGTTTACCAAAAACGCGACTGTACTCGTTGTTGATCATAATCAGATCTTTCAAATTTACAGCAACTACTCTAACTATGAGCCCTGGAGGAGTGTATCGGCCCTATCCCGATAAGGGTAGATGAGACGGAAAGCTTAGACTATTCCCCGACCACGTGAACGGGGATATCAGGAAGCATCCGTTAATAAATGCATCGAGCGGGGTTGTGCATACGAATTTAACAATGGGGGGGTCTATGTCCCCTACTTTGCAAATATTCTTATAGTCCGAGTATTTGTTGATCTACTTCAAGTATTGTCTTTTATAATTAAACTTTGGAATCATCACGCAGAAAAAATGGAGAAGAACGCCAAGATTGTCATCATCGGGGCCGGAATATTTGGGCTCTCTACGGCCTATCAGCTTGCATCAGAAGGTCACCGAAACATCGTCGTTCTCGACCGGCACATGCCACCAGTGAGTCAACTCTTTCAATTTCCTTGTTCTATCAGATTGAAGGTAGCTCATTATCAGGTACCGGATGGATCTAGCTCTGATATCTCGCGCGTCGTTCGTTTCGACTACGCCGATGAAGACTACCTTGGACTCGCCTACGAGGCCTATGTGAAGTGGCGGGACGATGCTAAATACCAAGGCATTTTCGAGCGCGCTCGATACATCCTTGTCGGCAAGACTAGTCCGTATGGACAAGACTGGATTACCAAGACGACATCTGCACTCACTAAGAAGAATCTGCCATGGACAAAGCTTGAAGATGCCGCGGCGGCGAGAAAGGAATTTCCCGTGCTCTCAGGAGAGCTTGCGACGCCGGGGTTTTTTGGTTACCACAATCAACAGGCTGGGTGGGCTGATGCCGCTAAAGCGGTTACCCAGCTTCGGGATGATTGCTTCGAACTTGGCGTTTCCTTTATCGCTGGTCGGAGTGGAACCGTGGTTGACTTCGAAACTGATTCCCAAAAAAGCATTAACGCAGCTTTGACACTTGATGGTAACCGAGTCGCGGGCGACCATTTCATATTGTCGACCGGAGCCTGGACTTCGGGCCTGGTTCCCATGTACAATTCCGTCTTGTCGACAGGCCATGTTATCGGATATGTTAAACTTACCCCAGAAGAGATTCAGAAGTACAAAGATCTCCCGATCTATGCAAACTTCTCTACCGGATGGTTTAATTTCCCTCCTCACCAAGATACCGGTATGCTCAAGATGGCAATTCACGGATGGGGATACACGCGTACCCCTAGAAAAGAGGATATTACTGCCATTCAGTCCAACATTTCCTCTCCGCCACTCATCCCCCCCTAGAGAACGACGAAACTTCGTCCCACAGGACGGTGAGACTCGTTTACGAGAGGGTCTCCGCGAAATTCTCCCAGAACTGGCTGACAGGGCATTCGATAAACTTGCTCTATGCTGGTATACGGACACCCCGAGTGGCAACTTCATTATGGACTATCATCCGGACTATGCCAACCTCTTTGTCGGAGGAGCTGGCAGTGGACAGTACGTTATTTCAAATTGTTTGCAATTGGACCTGCTAATAATCCCGTGCAGTGCCTTCAAATTCCTCCCTGTGCTAGGAAAATACATATCGCTTGCTTTGAAGAAGAAGTTGCCTGAGCAACTTGCGGAGAAATGGCGCTTCCGAAAGGAGTACGTATCGCAGACCGACACTTTTCTGGGTGACGGGAGCCGCGGAGGACCAGCTAGACGAGAACTGGACACCGAGGAAAAAGCCAAGCTGTAGGAATTGGGGAGCTGCCCAGGTGTTGTCATCCAAGATATTCTAACTTAAGCGGGAATAGCAAAGACACTACATCCATTGGGCAGGTAATAATGTTGTATGAATTTGGGTCTCTATGTCATTAAACTTGGTCTAGTTGGTATACGTCAAAGGTAGCAAATAATGATAGTAGGTAATCAAAGACTCGACTTCAGGAGAGCCGCGTTTCGCTTGGCAAACTAGGAACGTAGCCGCAAAAAGTGGTTCTGGTCAACATACTGTTTACAATGATCTTGGGGAAGAGAGGTGGTCTTAATCATTGCATCATTTGACTGTGAGATCTCCACCGGTATGTTTGGAAGCCACCTGCTTCCACAGGTTCAGAACCCTTTCTTCAGGCTGGAATCCAAGAAAGCCAGACCATTCTGCGTACACCTCGTCTTCCGAGGAATATCTGAACCGATGATAGCCTCGTCCTGACTCCGTTTCCATGCTCAGGAATTTCAGTTTTGGCATGCGTGACGCTTCCTGGCCTACAGCCATATACAACTCATTGAAGAGACCTAATACACTGATTTCTCGGAAAGGCTTGCCGCTGCGATCTTCGAGTACCGTTCTCACGTATTCCGGATATTCATCATGTGGATCGGAATCTGAGGACACAAGTGATCGTACTCATCGTGATCAGAGCGATCAACAAAGAGCCATTTTGCAGACAGAGTTGACGGCGTGTATTTAATATCGATGGTTGTCATATCGGGCCATGATGGAGGGTTATCGCTTGATCCCGGTTTCCAGAAAAGCTCATTTCCAATTGCCATCCCGTAAAGGTCGAGTCTCTCTAACTGTTGAGAGAAGGTATGCAGTCGTGAGCTGAGAGCGTCCACGCCTTGGTCTGCGATCTTGTCTGGAGAGAAGTTATGATCCTGACGCGGTTCATTATTGAAAGTGAAGTTAAAAAAGGTTTTTATGCTAGGTGGCAAAAGGTGAATATGAGCAGCGAGTTCTAGAAAGTCCATTAGTACATAGTGAAAAATAGCACGTTAGCCCGTAGATGAAAGTACCATCACGGTTGTGTTTTCTCAGACCCTTATCACGTTTGCAGGTGTCATTCAACGACGAGTTGAGTGTATGTACTGCCCTCCCACTCCGCCGCACTGTTGATTCATGAATCACGATGTTTATGAAACATCAAAGGTGAAGGAGGGCAAGGGTCTCACAAAGGCCCGAATTCTTCACGATGCTGTTGTGGGTCTTGAAATATTGGTCAATGACTCAATGTCGGTGGCACTTGAGGTTGCTCTCTAACAACTGCGGTAAACCTTCAGTTGCGTCCGACGCGTCCTGACCGACTAAGCGCAGTCGACCTCTTCGCTGAGTGAACCAACCCACTGATCTCAGAAATTCCTCAGATGCAATCAAATGGTCATATTACCCCCACCTCGTTACCCGGAAACGGATTCGGTGCTGTCAATGTTGAATTGCTGGAAGAGTCACTGTTTCGCATCACCACGTGACCAAGAAACTCAGACAACCGGACGGTTACTACACATATTTATTATTCACCCGGGGAATACCTTAGCTGCGTCGGACTTTCAGGTAATGCGACTCGAATCGCCTAATGAGAAAATGGAGGAAAAAGAGACAAAGTCTTACGACGCAAATTTTAAGTCATACCTGTCCAGAAGCACGCTGATTAACTACTGCTAAGGCTACTACATGACCTCCTCGGGGCGACTATAAGATGTCAAACAAATCTTCCAAATATATTAACTCCAAGTATATGCTTGGGCTTAGGTGCCCTTCAGGTATCCAGTAATCAATTATAATCCCAAGATTCCACGAAGTTGCGGAAGGAAATTACCATTACTGGTAGCGTAACCGACTTCCCAAACAGAGACGCCTCCCATATTCGCATGCTTCATGAAAGGTAGCAGAGCCGTCTTGAGGAGAGACGGAACCACATAGCCCATATTGGCTGATGGGGTACCTGCCGCACTCCCGGGGACACCCACGAAGATCTTTGGCGATTTGGGCGTGGCCTGGCTAGCCTGCTCAAGCCATGTACCCAAGTTGAATTCACGTTTCGCAAGGTGAGACCGACGAGCCGAAGGGCCACCCGATACACCACTTAAAGGTTCTTCAGTAGATCGGCGAGCATAGCCACCAGAGATTCCACATTCTGGATTGTTGTAGAATTGCACAAAAAGCGCATCGAACCAGCCCAAATGATCCGTTAGAACGCTGGCAAGATTCTGATCAGGGTATTGGCATTGTGGTGCAGCTGTTAAGAGGAAGTTAGGGTGGCTCCGTTTAAGCTCATTGAGCTTCTTCGTGAATGGGACCAGATTTTCCATCGCCATCTCGAAGTCAAAGTCGAATCCGTTGACTGCGTTACCGCCAAAGTGGGTTGCACCGCCTGGTCCGTACATGTCCCACACCTTTTGGGCCATAAGCTGGGCTTCCTCGGGCGTATCCCATCCGCCTTCTTTGTAGGTTTCTCCGCCAAAGGACAGCAAGATGGTTTTGCCTTGGTCCTGGCATTGCTTAATTTCGGCGCTAGAGATACATTGAGAAATTTGATTTTGGCAGGAGGATGACAGGGCAGCTTACCCGGTAACTGGGTAGCCAAATGATACCTCTGGTGTGCCCTTCAGGGAGGTGACGAATGACAATTGGAAGATCTGCATTCATTAGATTTTACCCGCCTTGGTTCAGCCTCAGAAGGGAGTAGACATACGTCAATATCCTTATCTATAGAAGAGTTAGCGAACTGACTGTCATTTTTGAAGTCCGATAGACTTACTCGAACAGAAAGAAGATAAGCTACCACTACCGTCTAAAAAAAGTCAATTTATACTACTTTCTGGTCGTGGTTATTTTAGCTTACCCCAGTAGGTTGCGACCATTTTCGTTCCATTCCTGAGCACGCTTGCCGCAACTCCATGCAGCGAAGCAAGAAGGGCGGCTGGGTATAGCAAGCTCTTCAACCCAACCATGATGTCAGCGATATAGATTGAATTCGATTCGGGGTATGCAATCAATAGAACTCTTGAACAGCCAGCGTCACTTGGACGAAAATTCTACTAGCAGTTAACAGAGACCAGCTCGCTCGGATGTGACTGGAAAAAGTAACCAACAAAACTGAAAAAATTGTGAAATTCGTCTCACATTATGTAGCTTCATATCTGGGTCCATTTCGTCTCGGCCCCAAGGCAAGGTGAACGGCGCTATCCCCGAATTCGTATCGCAATAACGAAAGTTTGGTGGCATGGAATATTTTGGCCCCGGGTTGGGTACATCTCGGGGCTTGGCCCACTTGGATTTGAGAATTATTAACCTTAGCTTCGAACTCTTCATCATACACTATGTATGCTCTGATGCGCAGGTGGCCCTGGCATTGGGGCCAAATAGTGGCGCCCTCTGGCCCCGACAAACGAGTGGGGGCCGTGCTATTTTTGCACCGTGTCGCTACTGATCTTACCCTGAAATGGGTTATGAAAGGTCCGAATTCGTCTTGGATGGGCTATTACAGTGAAATTTTAGAAAATAGCCCCTTGAGACGTCATTTAAATTCCCAGAAGTTGATGTGTTTTGGCCCGATGCAAAGTGGTTCCTGAGTTGGGGCCGTGTGAAATTCGGAGCTGAAGCTGGCTCTGTACATCAATCACATTAGCCTATCCGCCGAATAGCTCAATGCATGTGCCCTATTTGCTTATCTTAATGGGTGGTTAAATTGGCATACATCATGGACTTTTTCTTGTCGCTTTGAACGGGTCTGGGGGGTTCCTTCGGCCTCAAACTGCGTGGTGTTATACTAGTTCTCCTTCCCTTGGCATAGTAAGAGGACTCAGTCGTGTGATTTGAAACAATATAGCTCATTTTATGAGGTTTATATCTGCCATATTTAACCATGATTCGCCCCCCCCCCCCTTTTTTTTTTTTGTGCCTATTCTGTAGTATATTGATCGTAATGGAAGATTAAGTTTCCGGTCTGTCGACAACTGGTCAATTATGGCACAACTATGCCATCTTCCAGCATTATTAGTCTTCAAACATCCGGAAATGAACCCCAATTGCATTGAATGAAGATACCAAGGATGGGGAGAGAGAAGAAGAGATGCGTGTAAACGAGAGAGGACTAGTTAGTTAGTTAACGTTAGTTAGTTACACTTTGGTGCCTCAGGCTGCAAATCCAGGGCTAGTACAAACCTGTGATTCGTCACACGAGGATACGGTATGATTTCTTTCATTGTTCATGCATATGTCTACTACTACTAGATCTATCTCTCGTTACTACTAGAGTAATACAGTGTTATTACCCTTTTAACAGGCTACATAATGAGACCAAAGTAGTGTGAAGTAGGTACTAATCAACATATCATGATTGGCTTGCCATGGAAGTATATCTTTCAACTGGTGGGGTACACCTAACCTGTGAACACTTTGGTGGCACATCAGTCTCACAAAGACTACTCTTGTGCACGGTGATCTCATGCAGGGGAATGAACAGTGAGTCTAACTTGGAATTGCCAGGCATTCCAATCATCAATACTATGCTACTACTTTCCTATTACTGAATACTAGTGTAGGATTGTAGTAAGCCTAAGTTCACCGCTTCCGGCAGCCCTGGAGGGTCACGTGCATCGACCCCTTTGCAGGCGAGTTGCAATTGCGGCCTCAAAACATTCAATCGTTCATTTTCATTCTCTCGCGTCCGATCCCCATACATCTGTCTTAATATTGATTTTTCTTTTTGCTCTTTGGCTTTCGCCTCATTCTACGATTTCCTTCTTTCTGAACCCGTGCCATCCTTGAAAACCGACTCGGCATTGATTGTCTTTGCACCATCCTACAACTGCTCTTCTCAAAGCCTCCGGCCGCAATCGCCCTCTCGTCGCTCATTTCGCGGTGATTTCCGCCCTGCATCATGAAGCTGAACATCTCTTCGCCTTTCCTTCTCTTTCTCCCTCCCGCCATTTCGACTGCCTTGGCAGACGTCAAGCCAAACGCCCAACCGACCGTTCGTGCGTCGTATGGCTCCTCGGGACTTGGTGCTCGCTACGCTGACTCCGATTCTTATGCCTCGGGCAATGTCGTCAAGGGATCATCGGACGCCCCTGTAGATGGGAAGGATGGAAAACCACACGCGGGCCCGTGGGTAGAGACTGGCGCAGAACGCGACCGAAAGATCACCGGGAACACTATTGTCGGAAGTGATGATTATGAACTTGCACCCTCCAGACCCGATACGAAGATCCCTTCTTCAGATCACCTCACCACGGATGGTGGAAAAGTGATCCCGCATTCCAATGGCGGCGTCATGGACGATCCGAATCGAGCGGGACCGAAGGAGGGCACACGAGGCACCGAGGGTGGTGTATCGCTGAAGGAAAAAGAGAATCAGTATGCGAAGAAAGTGCCCGGAAGCCCCAAAGAGGCCCCTCCGCTGCCGCACAGTGAGAAGCAGAAGTTCTCATCGGACAGTGACAGCACATCCGGAAGTGGTGGCCGCACACCCGATGAAGCTGGCAACCTTGGGATGCTGGAGGTACGGAATGCCTATCCACTCCATTGCTTTGCGTATAACTGACAACCATAATCTAGAAACCGGCCGATCTACCCAACAAGCCCCACGATATTCCTCACCCCAAATCCCCCTCTCAAGTCAACAATGATCCTTTGGCCATTGAGCACGGATCGGGATCGCACGCTAGCTCGTCAACGACATACGACAAGAACACTGGCATTGCGGAGGAGAGCGATGGACTCCACTCGCTTCTATTCGCGTTCACCATGATCATCGTTTCTGAAATTGGAGACAAGACCTTCCTTGTCGCTGCGCTGATGGCTATGCGACACCCCCGTCTGGTCGTTTTCACCTCCGCATTCTCCGCTCTCATCGCCATGACCGTTCTCTCCGCTGTCCTCGGCCACGCTGTCCCCACATTAATTCCCAAGTCCGTCACCAAGTTCATGGCAGCCATCCTCTTCCTGGTTTTCGGCGCGAAGATGTTCAAGGAAGGCCGCGAGATGTCCCCCGACGAGGGCGTCGGCGAGGAAATGCGGGAGGTGGAACAGGAGCTGGAAGAGAAGGAACAGGAGCAGATCCGCATGGGTCGTCGCCGCTCCTCCGTCACCCCCCACAACCTGGAAGCCGGTCGCGCTGGTGGTCGTCCTAAGTCTCGTGGAAACCGTCTGCCTTCGCCCCCAGAGAGCGTCTCGTCATCTTCGTCTCGTGGCTCATCTCCTCAGCCTCGCCTAAAGGAGTGCATGTCAGGCGTCAGCAACCTTCTATCTCTTCTTCTTAGCCCCGCGTGGGTTCAAACCTTTGTTATGACTTTCCTCGGTGAATGGGGCGATCGTAGTCAGATCGCCACCATCGCCATGGCCGCCGGTCAGGACTACTGGTGGGTAACAATTGGTGCTATCACCGGGCACGGTATCTGCACAGCCGCCGCTGTTATCGGCGGTCGTGCGATTGCGGGCCGTGTCAGCATGCGTGTTGGTATGTCACACTTCACTCTTTTCACTCTTGATCTCTGTTTTCGCTTCAATACTAACATCTTTAATTTGCAGTTACCCTCGGCGGTGCCGCGGCATTCCTTGTATTCGGCGTCATCTATCTCATTGAAGGCATTTTTTGAAAATCATCGGGGCGGTTGTACTTTTGTTGGGTATTTGGGGGACTTGCATAGGTGTAAAAGTCATTATTTGACGTTCTTTGACATATTTTAATTAATGATATAATTTACCATGACTGAGATGTCCAATCCTGCCATGGATTAGAGTCGCGTATTTCGATTCGTGCATACCTTGTTTGACATCATGATACCTACTTGATTCAATCCAAGCAATCGCGTTCCAACAATTCAATTCCAACGAGGGTGTGAAGAGCTCGGAACCGAGGAAGATCAAGATAGACCATGGATACCAGGCAATGTACAGTATCAGACAATGAGAGTAATAAGCTTAGAGAGAAGGAAGCAGCAGAGTGCAAGGCATCAAGGCAACAACACAACCGTGTGTTTTGATACTGAGGTTTCAAGGTTCTAAAGACCAGAAAAGTACCAGTATTAAATAGAGTAGTTCAAGTTATGTCTCGGTATGCTATCTCGAACATAAATCCTGGGAAGTTCAACTTGCAAGACTGGCATCTCGCTTCGCTGCCGGGATATTCAGGCAAAGACCTAGGGAATCAAAACCCTAAGATACTAAACCCTAGACATCCCTAAACCCTAAACCCATACTGAAGGGCCACCCATACCTACCCTTCAGGAGAAAAGATCCGGGGAAAAAAATAAAAATGGAATTCAAGAATACTGAAATCCCCTCCACTCTCTATTAATACTGATATCCCCTTATTGGTGACTGAGATGTCATAATTCGTCTTGTTCCATACTGGCTGGCAACCCGGAATAAGACGATAATCCGGTGCCGAAGACTTCGCTGCCCCGAAAACCCTCATCGCGACACCTCCGAGCCTTAAACTTCATCACCCCCTCCCCTTTTCACATCCTTTCCCACCCAAAATAATTACTCGAAGCCAGTCTTTGTCCGACACGTCTATTTCGCAACATTTTGTTACCCCACACTCAGTGGTTCTGCTGCATCTGGTGATTGTTTATCGGACGCGCTCGGCCCACCGCCCTCGGGATGGCGCGCATCACAGGGGGAGCCCCCCCGGCCTGGCCGGGTCACGAGGAGCCAGAGTCGTGAACTCGATGACCCAGTCCATGATCGATCTACAAGATGGAATCCGGCTATCGGCAAGGGAACTGGCAGTGCCGACCGTGAGTACCATGCCCTGACAATCCATATCTGCCTTTATGTACCCCCTATTACACCCCCGGGCCCCGCTTTGCTATCCTGTTTGTTTACTATACTTCCCTGTCGATTTGGTTCTTCACGCTACCATCCTTCTGAGACATTCCACAAATATGAATATATTTAACATTTCTAGGACTGAGTACCGTGGCCGAGAACTCACCTGCCAAAGCTCACCGAAAATCAAATTTCGCGAGCGGCGCTTCTATTGTCCCCGAGTCCCCCGAGGGTAATATCTCCGGCACAACATTCTTACCTCAAGAGGACTCCGACCCCGAAGATGCTGACCTCGAGCCCATTATCATGATTGATGAGCTTCCGGGACTGCAAGAAGCCACAGATCGCCTCTTAAGTCTCCTCAAAACCAACGCCCCTGATGCCAGACCGGTTGTTGACGCTGCTAAAAAGCTCGCCAATCCGCGAAACACTGAAAACAAGCGCCTAAAACCAGCAATCCGCAAATTACTCTCCCAGATGAAACCTTTTGGCTCTGAACGTTTCATCGATGTCGCCGAGGCCCAGGAGCTCATTCCAACTGTGCAGCCGAAAGGTGCGGCTCGGCCATGGAGTCCATCGCCTGCCCTGCACAGGGCCAATTGTGCCCGTCTTGCTCTAGACATACTCCTGGAAAGTACAGACTCAAAATCGCCCACCGCGACGATTGAAACTCTCGAGAACCAGTTCCCCATGCCTTTCTTGAGCCAAATAGTCAACGGCAAGGAGTCTATTCCGACCGGAGGTAGCACTGCCGCAGGACCAACCTTTGAAATGGCCCTGGAGATTCGAACACAATTCGCACTCGTGGAACTAGAAAAGCAGGAAAAGAACAAAGGATTTGACGCCCGTTCTGTCTTGGAGAACGTGTTTTACGGCGATGGACATACCTCGGACACTGGCTCTCTGCGTGGTTTCAATCTCCCGGGGACTTTCGCGGACGAGAATGGTCGTCTTCCAGACAGATTCCAGGACAGAGTCAGCGATCGTTTCAGCGAGCTGGACTATTCTCTGCATGATGATGATGGAAATCCTAACATCAAGGGCATCAAGGCCAGTTTCTGGAGCCGATTCCTCGTCTGTACCGCTCGCTTTGTTCAAAGTCGCGACAAAGAACTTCGACGGGACTTGGAGTTCCAGCCAAAACTTGAAGATGTTAAGGACTATGTCGAGAAGATGATTGAAGGCGGGGAATATTCCGAGGAGGACGAGCTTGAGAAGGAACAGACGCCCGACCGAAGCACTGCGAATCGCTCCTCCCCCAGCGTGGATCATCAACGCAGCAATCAGGATGATCTTTCTGACAACGAACTTTTCGTTCCAATGTCTCCTCCCCCTCCACCTCAGCAGATTTCCCAGGAGTCCATTGAACACAGTACCCCAACCAGTCAAGCCAAGCAACCGACGCCCAAGAGCACACACAGACGACAATCGTCCAAGCAGTATGTTGAATACGCAAATCCAAAGTTGTAACGATGACTGACTCTGCTCTAGCAACGACCTCGCTCGAAATATGGATTTTCTCAAGAGGCGCCGGGAAGCGCGTCAACAGCAAGTAACGGGCAAAGCACCAGAAGGGGATACGACTGGTTTTTTCTCAGACATGAGCGTCCCAGAAGCGGGCCCTCAACCACAAAACCAGAGCGATGCATCGTTTCCTTCCCCTGGCGACGTTATTCGAAACCCCGAGAGTGTCACTGTGCCTCGGGAGATTGCCCAAACACCCGACGAGGATTTGCAATATCCACCTCATGATAACGATGACACCCTCCTCAACGACGGCGAGGAGCTGGACCTGGACAATTACAGACGTTTCGAGCTCATGCAATCAACCAGCCCCCCTGGCTCCGAGCGAGCTCGTCAAAACTACAACCGGGGCCGCTTCTTCGATTCCTCACCGCGGAACCAATTCACGGCAATCAATGAGCCACAGCAACGGCGTACACTTCTCGACCAGCAAGAACACCGCACCCGAATCAGCTTTTCCTCCGAAGATGAGAGCCAGCTTACCGAAAAGCGTATGCCTCAAAAAAGCCCGGCAAAACCAGAGACAGCGAAGAGGCGACACGACGAGGTAGAGAATGACTCCGACAATGATGATTCTGATGATGCGTTTGACCCGCCCGAGTCCAAGATGGTTTTCGTCTCTAACGGAGCCCAAAAACTTCTCGAAATATCCAACAAAAGACAGCGTAAAAACACCACGGATGAGGATTCTAGCGCGGCAGGTCAGCTCCACAATGACCTTAGAGTCACTCGTGATGCCCACCAGGCCCAGACCCAAACCCAGAGACAAGCGTCGAGGCAGCCAGCATCCACTCTAGTCCAATCGCCCGAGCCTGAGTCTTCTCAAGTTGCCCGTGCCCGAAGCGAAGCTGTGAAGCCACCACCGAGCCAATCTCGCTGGAGCCAAGTAAACGATCCCTCATCGGCTGCAGCTACAGCAGCGAACATGAGAAGAAGATGGACAGCAGATGAGAACGAGCGCCTCATTTCACTTATCGGTCGATATGGCAGCGCCTGGGCACAGATCAAGGCGCAAGACGACATTTGTCCGAGGTCGGAAGGGGGTCCGAAGTTGCAGGGTCGGACCCAGGTTAATCTGAAGGATAGGGCGAGAAATCTCAAGCGGGCGTGTGAAAGGTATGAGATCCTTTTGCAAAGTTCTCATGATGAATGAATACTAATCCATTGTTTTACAGAGAGGGCACACCGTTGCCGAAGAACTTCGAGTTTATTAAATCCTGAGTTGGAGCTTGCCTTTTTGGTTTAACAACGAAATGGCTCCTGTGAGCAGGCACGGGGGCTCGTTTCATTTCCCCTTTAAACCACGCGTATATGAAGCGTTTGCTTTCTATTGGGTGGAGGATTTGTCTGGTTTTCTCTTTTACGAGTACATATACCCTTCGGTGTAATTTATCGTTCGTTGCTGGCACATTTTCAATTGAGTGCCTAGTACGGCCCTCGGAGTTCATCCGCAAAAAAGCTAGAAGGATCCAAAGTAAACCGAACCATTCATTCCCCTACTAGTTCAAGGTGCTCGATCCATACCGATTCCGGAAATAGAAGAGCGTGGCTCAGATGGAAACTAAGGGGGGATTCACAGAAGATCACAGCCAAATCATGGATGTATCCGGAATGATCTATCTCTACGATCGATATCTACAAGGCTACGAAGCGCGGCTTGCTTGTTTGCTCGGTGCTTTCTATCACCAAGGCACGGACCGAAAGACCAGGAGTGATCGATTCCCAGTGATCAGAGGTTTCAACAGGATATCCCTGATGAACCTTGCCGCCGGGAACGGGGAGCCAGGCCGGACAGACTTCACAATTGAGATAGTGGTCTGTCCTGCTGCGTCCAACGATCGGCTGATCTTTCGATCCGTACATTCTCAATGGGACCAGCTAGCATCACAAGAGAATGGATGGTCCTGATGTGTGTTGGACAAGTTGACAAGGCCACCGAGCTGTAAACCGCGTCTACAGAGACCGAGCCGTTAGTAGCGCCCACCCTGCAGGTAGAGGGGGGTTGGTTACCCTTTACCCACAGGCGCGGATGCAACGACGAAAATGGAGAAAAGGGGGAAAGTAAAACAGGCATGTCCTTTCGCTGGTATTGTCCAGATCAAGTTTTAACGGTAATATCTCAGAACGAGGCCACTCCTTTGAGTCGGCTCCCGAACACCCGTCATGCGTGTTTCGAGGTCTAATACTAACTTACCCTGGCCTCCGGCTAGGAAACCAAAATCCAAGCCACACCTCACCGTGAGGTTATTTGATAGTCTGACCAAATCAAAATATGTCGAGAGAACAACCGAGCCTTTGACGAAAAACTAAACAGCCATATCTTCCGAGGTTGTTTCGGTTTTTCTCTCGGGGGTCGCTGAGCCATCAGTCGTGGATGTCGTGGCGCCAGACTCCAGGTGCTGGAACCAATCGGACTTGGACTTGCGCCACCACTCTAGTAGCGCAATGATAGTGACGCCTCCCATTATGACGATTGCATAGTTGAATAGGCTGGAATCGCCGTCAATGGCGCTGTTGGAGTACTGAGGTGCGCAGAGAACCGCAAAGGAGAATCCGTTCCAGATGAAGGTGACGATAGCAGCGACAACGCCAAACCAGCCCAGATCCCAGAACCCAGGTCGGAAAGACTTGCGAGTGATGAAAGTCCGACCGAGACCGACTAGGCCATATGCTGCGATGGAGCCCGCTGCCGAAGTGGATACAAGACTGGAGAACGCAACCTGGGAGGGCAATTGGGTGCACAGAAGAAGCGCAGCGATCGTCGAAATGAAAATCACCGCGTTGTGTGGCTGCTTAGACTTGGACACGCGGGAGAGAACATCGCTGAATGGGAAGACACCATCGCGAGCCACGGCAAAGACAAGTCGCGACACCGCCACCAAGGAAATGGAAGTGTTGAGGATTGAGCCGAACATGGAGATGATTGTCATTACCACATGTGCCCGAGGTCCCAAGGCAAGGGCGTACATGTTGATGAATGGCTGGGGTGCGCTGGTGTCGTAAAAAGTCTCGATGGAGGGCATGCAGAATAGGAACAGAATGATGATTGGGAAACCACACAGAGCAGATGCGACGGTCGCCCAGAACACACCCTGAGCAGCTGCCTTCTTCGCCGAGATAGTCTCTTCAGCGACGTGACCGGACGCATCTTGTCCAACCAGGCAGCTCGAGACAAGATACCAAGACAGGACCCAGTTGAGACCGGGACTTGTCTCGCCGCCGTTATAGGTGGACGTGAAGACATACTCGGCAGTTTGAAACCCGTATGTCTTAGCCACACCGATGGGAAGCCAGATAAAATTGAGCAGCATATCAATGATAATGACGATGACTCCGGCCCGGAAAACCCAAGAGTACATACGCGAAGGCAGGAAGTTCAGCGACGTCGCGATGGCCAAGAAGAGCAAAGAGAATGCCCAAGCGACGGCTCTCGCGCGCACATCGGAGGCATCGGTCGGGAAAGTCGTCTCTGGATCAAAGACCAGGACCTCGGAAACCAAGTAATTGGCAACTCCAAAAGAATCACTCGCCAGAAAAGCTGTCCAGGCGACAAGCGTCCATGCCGCAACAAGGAATGATACGAAGCGACCAAGTTGTCCACCACCCCACGATCGGAATGCCCAGTAGTAGATCGATCCTGCGGCGGGGTATGCGGAGCAAGCCTCGGCGAGACATGCGGCGGTGATGATTGCGAGAATGCTACCGGAAAGCCAAGAGCTCCACCTGTAACAGATATAGTTAGCTACTGACCACAGGTTCTGCACGAAATGTAATGCAATGCGAATCGAGGGTACATAGTACATACATTGCTGCAGGTCCACCAGCGCTGAGCGCGATGTAGAACGACACGCGAATTCCGCCAATGCAGTATAACGCGGAGAAGGAGCACGCGAAATTGTCAAAGGAGCCCCATCCGCGCGCCAGGACAGCCTTGTAGCCAAGATCTAGCAATTCGCGATCGTCCTGGCTGATCACAGCGTCCTTGGAGTCCATGCTGGGCGGCACGATGTCTTGGTCAGTCTTGGCTGCAGAGGGAGCGGCCATGGCATTGGGTGAATCCATCGAGGGTGACCAATTCGTTTCAAGGGGGTGCCGAGAGTTAGGAACTTGGCACTTTGGCTGTCCAAAAAAAGGCTCGAATCCTGAGGGTGAGAACCGTGCCGGAAGATGTTTGATGTCCGATGGGGACGTCTCAGAGTTTTCTTTTTGGCTTCACCAAACACGGGGAGTCACGTGTGGCAGATTGACTCGTGGGTCTACTTTGGTTTTTAATTTTAATTGACTTTTAGGTTTTATAGGCGAGATTCATTTCGTCTACGAGTAGGTCCACGGATTTAATTAGGGCTTCCAGTGGGTTGGGCTTGTTGGACCCTTGAAATATACGAGTGACTAAGTCCATCAGCCACTAGTTAACTATTAGCCAGCTCCGTCTGATGCTCGCCCCAGTGAGATACTACTGCTAGTACTTGGATGCTCCGAGAGAATGTGTTTGGTGTAGACTTTCTTTTTACCATCTAGCTACGCTGCTCATACATGTACTGCCAGGTGGGAATTTGTATATACAATGTGTTCTTTGAGCTTGGAAAAGAACATACTACTTTAGCCATAGATCATTAAGACACGCTTTCGAAAGTTGTCACCAAGTGCAAGAATTAAAACGACTTCCACATTTATCTTCGTTACTTCCACGGGATCGAAACGTTATCCAATGTCGTAGGATCGTTTCGGAAATTGCTACTCTTGATTGTGTCCTGCACAAAGCTCAAGTCGCGCTCAATCATACCACCTGCCACTCCCGTTTGTGTGGAAGACCCATCGAAAACCTTTGCCAAAAATCGGAAAAAGGCAGACAGAACTGGAATAACCACGGCATCCGTTTTGTCTGTACCTTTGAGGGCATCAGCAATCAGACCAGGAGCATAGTATGGAACGATAGCAACTCCGTCATCAATGCCGTCCACATTGAGACCATTCACAAGATCTTTCTTGGCCGAGGGACTGAGTTGATCAAGTGCCTGGTTAAATTGATAGGCTTGTTCCTTAGTGGTCACACGACCCATACAAAGCAACCGAGAGAGCGCCCGTGCTCCATTTGCATCGGCTGGAAACTCAAAGCCTAGCTGTCGGAGGTTCTCTGCTCGGGTATCCAGGATATGGTCGTAGCATGCGCGTGGTGACAGTAATGTACCCTTAGAAAAACGATCGAAAGAATCCAGGGCAGACATGTATGCTTGGAAAACAGGTTCGCCCATCACGATGCAACTGCGAGTGTCTGCATGGCCTCCTGCTCCAGCCACATCAAGGAATGTCACCATAGCTCGGAGATTAACACCGTTGCCTTTCCCCTGCAAGTTTGATAGAATTTCGAGGCTTGCAGGAGGGCACTCTCCTTGGACGGCCTGGGAAATATTCAACTTTGAACCAATATGAAGACAATCGAGAACGTCATGTTGGGAGCTGGCTGGGATGATATTCAGAGATGGAATCAGTTTCGCTTGTGCTGCTTTGTAAACCAAATCAGAATGATCCGTGTAGGACGCGTCAACACCCAGTTGGGCCATTTCCTCCGAAAGCTTAGGATCCTTGCCTATGTCATCGATCACCATGGCAATCAACAACGCATGCAAGTCAGCCGTAGTGCGTATACGATCGTTGTAGAAATCGCGGAGGCGTTGGAAAGAGCGTTCTGATAGTTTGTTGGTCTTCTGGGTGACTGTAAAAGATGTATATTCGTTTCCGATCACCCATTTGATCGCCAGCATACTGACGAGTGTGCGATTAACCTCTGGGAAATCTTCCTTGTAAAGAACATTTGACGGTGTCTCGTTCTCGTTCTCTCCCAACCGTCCCAATGCGGTTGCTGTGGTGGACTCTACTGTGACATGTGCATTCTTCAGGTGCGACAATTCTTTCGGAAAAACAGTTCCAAATAGACGGACCGCATCTATATCTGACATTTGAACGAACTCGCTTATGCCGATTGGTATGAGAGACTCCATTTTGCTCTCTGTTGTCTTGCGCGGCGGGTTGGATTTTGTCTGTAGATGTTGATTATCAGCCGACCAAGCGAAAGATGGACACGAGCGAGCTTTAATGAATGAAAGTGGACCACACCTGGGCATGGATCATGAAAGGATTAAGATCAACAATGTCTTGGCCCAGCCTCTACCAAGCTGCGCCCCCGCTATTTTTTGCACTGGATTTATTCAGCCGTGCCCCACCACCATCCACAAAGTCGGTACGTCACTCATTGGCTACATGTAATTTCGTAGGCGAATATTTCGGGGAAAGTGAGATAAATTACTCGTTTTCAAATGGGATACGGTAATATTTCAGGCACCACTAGGCACCGCAATCCACGGTGGATCTCTGGCAGTCAGCCCAGCTCGGTTGAGGGCCAGCTTACGAAGTTTAATATTGCCGACCTTGAGGAAAAACCCATTGCTCTACCCAGTCACTCTTAACAAATGGCTTAATTTGATGGGAAATGTGGCTGTGATGACGAGGACTCATTTGGCTACTCATGGTCTCTCTGGAATTTTTAAGTTGATGAAAATACATTTACCACGTGCTATTCTGATAACCATAGATCAGGTCGAGATGGATAACGTGGGTGCTTAAAGAGTTACGTGGGACTCGGCTTTTTGTGAACATGAGTACTGAACATTCATAGTTCAGATTGGCTTGACTAATTACAAATGAATTCCAAATTCCTTCACTAGAACATGTGCATCTCGCGTCCAGCATGGAACATGGCTGGCAGCAACTTCCGGTTCTGATCAAGATCTCGCACTGGGGTTCGCAAATGAACCGGTACACGCTTCAGTGCACCCTTCTCAATTCGCCCTTCCAGGTGGTTGGCCCAAAGCTGGGCGCCCAAACTGCCAACACCCAAGCCTGACATCTTGCCCAGATTGACCACCTTGTCCAGCGAGACATTTTGCACAATCTCCCATACACTCTCCAGATCACCTTGCAAACCTTCTTTGCCAGGTCCCTGGGAAGAATTTTCCACTTTCTGTAGCTGGTCCAGTTGACCACCGGCCGCTTGCAGCATCTTCTTGCGGTTGAGATACATGTCAAGCGTATCGCAAGTGCGCGCCTTCTTCTCTGTGGTAAATTGATGCCAATACTCAGTCAATCCCTGCTCGGGAGCCGCATCTTCGAAGCTGAAAGCATCTGTGGCAATTCGTTTGCCGTAGAAGTCGTTGCCAGCACCTAGGACCAATTCGGAGAGGAACCACTCAGCTCCAGGGACACCCGAGAAGCGAATCAACACCCATTCTCCGGCGATACCGTGCAGATCTTGCTTTTGCACAAAGTTGATCATACGACCAACCTTGACTTGCTCGGGTGATTTCTCCAATTTGAGATTATCTAGGATGCCCTTGTCACTTTGAGAGGTATCTGTTGCCGCCGGATCACTGGGGGAAGACTCTTCGGGCTCAATGTGGCTCTTGATCACCTCGGTCAGATCGAGCTGCTGGGCCAGAACATCTCGCTCGGCGGAGAAGGCGACCAGAGTTACGGAGAGACCAGTGCTGATAGTGCACCAACCATCAATTTTCTGACCGCTGACCGCAGATCGGACTCGGGAACGTAGGACTTCGGGTTCAATCATGGTGACGATGATTCGTTGAATGTCGAAGATACCCCGAATACCACCACTGCTAACTGTGATAGGGTTCGGGCAGACCATTCTTCTGCCTTCTGGCTTTTGGATCGGCGTACTGTTATCCTCGTTCCTTGTGTCGTCGGTCGTGCCAGGCTGTGCCACCAGTGGGATATCCTTGTCAGATTTCACTTCAGGCTTCACAGTGCCACTGAGAACATGGATAACATCCTGGATATCTTGATCGAGTGCATTGTATTGGAGGGCAGCAGCAGATGGTTCCTTTTCCTCAGGCTGGGCAGTTTGAAGAGGCTCAATAGGCGTCGCAGGCTCGCTCGGTTGGGCCTTTTCAGTCGGCGTCTTTTTCCAACCGAAAGACATTTTAGGCACTTCAAACTTGGGGACTTCAATCTTAGGTGCCTGCCAGGATTTCGAAAATGAATCCACTCGCTCCATGGTATTGTTCAACCTACCGGCAAGAGACTGATTTTTGCTATCCTCATCGGCTTCTTCAGGCGTAAAGTCCTGAAGCTTGGAGACAACTCCCTTCAGCTCTTCAATATGAGCTCCCAGCCGGTCAAAACTGGTACCTTTGATCCGTGTAACCAGCTCTCCTAGTTTGATAAAAACTGAGCATTGCTCGGGTAGCTTCTTGCTATGGGCCAGCATCTCAGCTAGGAGCATGTTCACATTGCTCGCAGTTTCACTTTGGCGCACTCGTTGGGCTCGGAAGAGGTCCAAGATGCGCTTGCTTGTCTGGGCTTTTGATTTCACCAGAGGGTTGCTCGTGGGATCGACAAAAGCGTCGATGTTTGTGGGATACAAAGATCGACCGTGAAGAGGGCTTCCACGGTGCTTTCCAGTCCAATTGAAAACTGAGACATCATTATACGCAATGAGAACCTCATCCAAAAGCCGTGCAAGAGCCTTAAGAAGGCCTTCTGCAGGGAAGGCTGGAAACCTCACACCCAAAATACCCATCAGAGAATATGCCTGATCAGTGGAAACCGTTGTCACACGCTCTGATGCCGCGACAAGAGAAGTGCTAGCAGAAGAATCCCCAAGAGTACCACTAATCCAGTTCGTCATGTTCTCGACCTTGCTGAACTTGGCAATAAATTGACGATCGCCAAGGACCTGGACGTCTGTAAGGTCGGCCAAAGCAGACAACAAGTAATTGAAAAGGGTTATCCTTTCTGCGATACAAGACTCATCGGCAGCAGACTCGTTGGTGAAAGTAGACAGTATACTAGTGTCGGGAATATTTTTGCTGGATAATAAACCTTTCAAAACATTAGGGAGCTGTCTGGAAGCAGTGAGGACTGCTTTTCCAATCTGGGACTCGGCCAAAGTCTCCTGCAGGTTTCTCGGTGCCACGAATCCTAGTGTGAGAAGCATCACGGTGAGCTCCCGTTCTTGAGACATCCCGGGCTGAACAAACTCTGGGGAAAGTAATTCCTTGAGCTTCTCAATGCGATCCGAAGATATGGTTCTATGCTTCTTGACATAGGGGTGCTGCAAATAGCTCCGAACAAATGGACGAAGGAAGTACAAGGGGCCCAGGACTTCGACGGGTCGGGTGAGGTTTTGCCAGTGAGAATTGACGTAGTAGGTCACCTTGCTCAAAACCAGTTCTTGCAATGTCCATCCACGGGTTGCCCATTCGACTTGATATTTGTTCTTTTCGACGTGGTTGGCACCGGCCCCAATCTGATCATAGGCGGTCATGTTGAGCGGAACCGGGACATGAGAAGGATCCTTCCAAAACTTCCATTCTTCAATCCAGGATCTTTCGTCTCGTGGGGTATCCAGATGCACGAGACACAGATCAGCATTGGTGTACCAGTCTCCCATCAAGGAAAGAGACTCGGTCAACTCAAAGCTATCCGCTTTATTGATACAACAAGTATCAAGCCAGACATATCGCTTCCCTCCTCGGGGAAAGTGGGCATCGAATAGCTTTTTTGTCTGAGAGATTGACTCCAAAATCTTGCGTGAAGAACGGATATGTTGTAAGGCCACTAGAAGTGCCTCGATTCCATAGCAGAGCTCACGATTCTGATCGAAGAAAACAATCGTACTGTCTAGCTCCGTCCTTTGTGCCACGGCTTCAAGATGCCTTTTTTCCGTCTCCGAGCAGCTCTCCTGTGCATGCTCTTTCATACTGTAAATTGCCGAGTCAACCTGCTTCATCTCCGGACCCTTCTCCGAGGCATCTGGTTTATCGGCTCCGAACAGGTCGTCGCTGAGAATATTGATGCTGTTCGAAAGAGTGGTATAGAACTCTGCTTCTCTTTCGGCACTTGCCAAGGTTGCTTTGGCATCATGAAACTTCTTTTGCGAGTTTCCAAGAGACCATTCGGCTCCATTGGCATCGGCGTACCACTGAAGGAGTGTGGTAATATCCTGTGGACGTTGTCCATCAGCTCTGGCGCGGACTTGCGGAAGCGCGGCTTCGATTTTTTGTTGAAGATTCTCAATATCCGATTTGCACTTATTAACGACATTGTTTACGTCGTTCGAGGCTGGCTGTGATTTAGTATTTGCCAGGTCCTCTTTCGGCTCGAATGATCTAGCCTGGCCGAAGTCTCCGTAGGTAATCTCGGAGCCTTTCCAGCTATGAGACACGATACAGTACTGATCTTGCAAGCCGAGACTATACGTCGGAACCATGTTCATAGTGTCCACATCAATCATGCGCGTTGGTGTTTTCAAATCTTGCTCGGCCTGGGCCAGCCAGTCAATTGGTACACGATCATCATCGTGAGTTATGCTTGCATCATCGTCCACAAATTTTGGTTTGACGGTCGGGACAAGGAAATGATTGAGAACTCGGCGCAACTTGTGCTTTTGATCGTTGTTAAGTGCAACATCCTTGAATCGCTTTGAACGATCGGTGACAAAGCTGGCGATGTCGACTGCCTCTTTCAGGGTCGAATTAGAGATAATTGAGTCCGCAAGGGCTGATTTGATCGAGTCAAGCGAATTCATTGTCACTTGAAACTCAGGCAACTGAGGGCTTGAAGGGAAAATTGTAGCTTTTGGCAGGGGAGGGAGGAATTTCCTACCAGCCTAATAGGAACGCAATACTCACAGAGGCTGATTGATCGTGTGGTAAACGAGCTTAGCCAGGAAACCTAGTACTGTACGTGTACAGGGAAATGCTTTGCACCTGCAGCTGAACCGTCTGTCGGTGGCGGGGGCCTCCACTTGTACAATCCACTTTCTAAGACCCACGAGGAGGGGGAAAGGTGAAGATCGAAATGCCGCAAACACGTCAGCGCAGATTATGGTTTTTTGTGGCTACGAGTAGGTATACGAGTACACGCAGTGGAGCCGATACCCCGCCGAACTGCATACAGCTGAGGGTGGAGTGCAGGTTTCAACCATGCACTTTGACCCACCCCCTCGGAGCTCCCTGAGGCCTCTCGATGGGTTTCGGCACAATCACGACTTCCAAGCATTTTGCCTTCGACATCTTGTTCATGTCAATTACCTGAACAGGATCTACGCTACACCACCTGAGTTGAATCAGAGTCAGAATGGCATCTTACCACCGAGTACTGGAGACCTTTGGAAGGTCGATTCAAGATAATACTTTGGAATGTGACTGGTGAGTACATTCTTCTACATTTCATGTGGCAGCTAGGCTCTTCAATCATTGGGCTTGAGGCTAATGGCTTAGCGATATACATCCATGGGAGCTTTCCATCAATGATGAGCAATGGGCTGGCAAGATTCGATTTATCGGGTTTATTGACGTATTTTTCCTCATCGCCTACTCTGCCAACGCCCGATTTGAGCATGGAATTATTGTTTATAGTATGTTTCTCTTCGATTACGCATTGTGACAATAAACTAACTGCCATTCAGAGGATAAATTAGCCCTTGAGGAGCTCACTGGTATTACCTCTAAGCCTATTGAGAAAAGCACCCAGGCCGATGGCAATACCGACAGTGCACTGGACCACCAGGAGCCCGAAGAAGGTCGGTGTCTCGCGACACATAAATGCCAGAACAGGTCACTAATTACCAGCAGACCTAACAGAGCTTGAGGCAGCTGGGGATGAGGCAAACTCGGACCCCGCTGTGAAAGAAAACCAAGAAGGCACTTCTCCGCAGACCGGCGGGGAGGCCAGTCAACCAGCGGCGCAGGTCAAAAGTACCACTGGTCAACAAGACGAAGCGGCCGCAACACCCGAGGTCCGCAATACCAGCACTCTCTCAATCAAGAGTCTGGGCCATCCGATCGGACTGCGAGCCTCGTATCCCAAGTCGTGGATTCGCAGCTATAAGGTGCAGATTACCAAGCCCGCCAGTTGGGGGTTGAGCAGTAAGATATCCCGTAGTCTCGCAGCCGCTTGAGACATCACAAACTGACTATACGGCAGAGCGCATAATGCAGGGACTCAAGGTACACAGTACCTATGATTTGATGGGTGACGTGATTCGCTGTGGTCTCATCACACAAGGACAACTGGCGGGTCATCTCATGGGCATTCTTCTCGCGGGTTCCCGTCTTGACGACACGACTCAAAAATATCTGTCGGGGTTGACATCAGGAAATGATGCTGGCCGACAGGCATTATCGAATGAGAAGATCTAGTTTGGTGGTAACCAAACGGCCGGGATCGTGTATACACTAGGGAAAAGTTTCCTCATCCACCCAGCTGTATGAGATCGTCAACACCATGAAAGTCCGTGCGAAAAAGATACTAGTACGAGTTCTCCGTACTTCGATGAACCTGAGAAATCTCTTCCGTCCCAGTGGGTCTCGGTAGACCGTAGACGTCTTTTTACCGCAACTTAAACGCCCTGGTGATCGACATGTTCAAGATCAGGCGGAGAACGGGATGACGGATCTAAAATCTCGTACTTGGCCGCTCTCTGTTAGATTATTTTCTGCGATCTTCTACATATATATAGCGGAGTGCAAATATCATTCGTATGTAATAAGATTCTTAAACAACCAATCAAGGAGGCTGCACACTTCTCGGCAAGTCCTGTTGACTCGGGTAGTGGCATATTCGGTGGCTGGCTCAGCTGTGGACCTGTAAACAACTCCGCTAACTAACTAACGCAACTAGAACATATGCATACGTCGACCCACTATCGGAACCCAAAAGAAACCAGTGAAGTTTCGTAGCCATATTTTCAATGCATCGGTGAACCCGTGCCTACTCCGCACTCCCTGCAGATAACGGCAAATTTTAACGGACCCTGCAATGATGTGGGTCAGAAATCATTAGTTTAGGTTTGTTTGCTGGGTCTTTTAGACTGGCATCTCAGCTTGGGGACCAAATACATTTTTTTCCGCGCTTAGAGTAGATGTAATTGGTACCTTGAGATCTTTATCCACTGTATAATGGAGCCCATGAACCGCTCATCGTGCCGTCCTCCCCGAAAGAAAGCTTTGCTAATCTGCAGCTTCCACCATCTGATGTCAATCAATCGTGAGTTCTTTTGCGACCCCACTCCGTACGAAAATGGGAGCTAGCCTGGGAATGCAGGTCTTTTGGGGGCCTCTTCGCCTTCTATGGAGGTGTTTCTCCTTTTCAGTTTTCACTTGCTGTCGTTGTGTATCACACTCTATTCACATTTGATCTTGTTCACTGAAAAAGCAAGATGGTCTGGTTTCCCTTGAACGTTGAGGATGACGCGGTCTCCTGGAGTTTCGATATTGTCGGTTTACTGGCGGTGGTTGGAGGATCCGCTATTGAGAAGCATGCGCAGGCCATCACCGCATCGCCGTTTGGCAGCTTCCCTCGACTCCTACCAGCCCCCGAAACAATGCTGGACACCGATCGACCAGCGCGACTGCCTGCTGTCAAAGACGTAACCGTCGTTGGCGTCCACTCTGGTAACCAGTTTACCGAGCTCAACTTCTTCGCCAACGTGATTCACGACATCGAGTCATTGCCCTCATTCCGATTTCAGTGCTTCCGAATCAGCCACAGGAAGGATGCAAACAAGGACCTCCAGCAGGACCTCGAAAAGAACGAGGCTGGCGAAAAAAAGCCAAAGAGTCCTGAAAAAGCCATCATCCCTCTACACAAGTTCTGTCCGCTGAATCTGGTCACCTTTGCTTCAATTCTGATGACAATCGCCCTTTTCGTCTGGGCCGGCGTCCAGCATGAGGCGGTGGGTATACTCGGTCTGGGAACGATGTCTTTGTCAACAAGCATGGCCTGCATGTCCGCACAGTGGCGCCCATCTCTCTCTGTTCGCACAGTCAAAGGAAAGGTAGCTGACGGAGACGTTGTGATCCGTACGCGATCAGGTGCCTTCGTGTGTGTTAAATGTACCGAGGAGGTTGCGCGCGAGCTTTATGCGGGCACCGAAACCTGTGATTACGTTTTCAATGGGCGGTATCACCAGGTCCTCCTTGCCACAAGCACGGCCCTGCTCATGGCTGCTATTATCTTCTTCAGTAATACTGGCTGGAAGATTCAGATTGCTGTTGGCCTAGCCTACATTATTCTCAACCTCGCTTATTGGGCTATGGCACTCCTCACAGATCCATCGGAAATGTGGAATATGGATGACCGATACGTGGTGGAAAAGATTGACGATCACCCGAATGATAACTTCACTCAAGTGTTATGGGATGCTATCCGAACAACGGAGAGGATAGGCTGGGTCAAGAAGACGAAGTCTGCCCCGGCGACCAAGAACTGGGATGGATGGCTAGCCGAGGCAAAGGAGAACTGTCGTGACAAGGATTGGAAGTGTGAGGCAGCGCGCGATAGATGGATGCAGATGAAATTGGAAAAGCACGACCAGGAGTGAGTGTCGACGGGGAGTGATATTCAGTGGTTGGAAGGGAAGTATGGGGTTGTTGGTATAACTAATGCTTACGACTTTTCAGCACTACTAGCATAATACGAGAAGCTAGCTAATCCTACTACCTTGCATATAGTATATAACTTAATGGTACCAAATAATTATGGGTTTAGGATAGATAGGTACTATAAGGGCGGCCATTTTCGGCTTCATTTTCACAGGCCCTCATGTTCTAGTTGTGACGGTCGGTCTGGGTCATTTAAGACAAGAAGAGATAAATAATAGTGAGCCAATGTTCGAAAAGTAATTCAAAGAGTTACCGATTTCATGCGGTACAAACGCATTGGAATAAACGACTTCGGAGTTTTTTATTTATTCAATAAGGGTGCGAACTGAACCTCGGAACATTGTTCAAGAGCATGTTGCGAGGATTGATGTTCGCAAAATATTTTCGAGGCCCCGGGAGCTTAATCATGAAGTGAGTATTTGCGGGTTTATAGGGTTTATAAAAGGGCGGGGGGAACCTACTGCTATTGCTTCATGGGTATAGATAATAGCTCAATATTCCATGTCCAACTCATTCCAAATGATTGAAAACTGCAATGATCTAATAACCCCTGTCTGAACAGGTTTTTCCTGGCTCGGTATCCCATTTGGGGTAGCAGTCTGGACGGCTCCCGGTGGGCAAAGCAGCTGCGAGTATGGTAATAAAACCGCAGAGAAGAACCAGACGGGAGAAGTGAAGTGAATCCATTTTGCTGCAAGTTGCGAAATTAATATGCGCCTGTCGACGGAAACTAGGGAGATTTATGTCGAGGAGGGAAGAATTCAAACGAATCAGAGCTAAAGCTGAAATACTTTAATTGAGATGAGGTTAAGGTAAGGCTTAAACTAAAAATCCATTATCCCTGTCTCTGATGCTTTGTCCTTCTTGTAGATAGCCACTCCCATCTGAGAGAAATGTCCGGGGTTTCCCGGGATCCGCTGAAACAAAGGAAACCACGAGATGGGGATCTCATTTCTACCACCCTAGGGTGTGATTCAACCGCTGCGTTAATGTTTCTTCAATAGGCCAAAGTTTCTATTGAGGCCTGTTTATAGTACTTAATTCTATTTTGCAACTCTTTCTAAGAGGAACGCTCAGATTACAAGTCTTACTGAGCTTTATAGTGAGATCATCCTCATTACTAGGCAGAATTTCTTGATAGCAAAGGGAGTAACAGCATTCATATTCCGAAAAGGAAATACACTTCTAGCATGCTGATTTTCAAGTTGTTCATTGGTGGGTAACCATGGAAGTGAAACTTCAAGCTCAAGGAATGGTGAGGATGATTCCACCATATGCACATATATTCCCTAATATTGTTCTGTTCCGTATCCTCCGTATGATCATGCGCCTTTAAAGTGGTCGGACGTTCGAGGATGCAGAGGCTACGTGAAAACGAGAAGCTTTGGAAAACGGTGATCGGATAAGAGAGAGAGACAGCGCAAAGCTATCTAGAAACAGAACGCACAGCATGGTGGCCTCGGTGCGTAACACATAAGGCTCCTAAGGGACCAACTACTCCACAGAGCTCATACGCTCGAGTACTAGTACTTTGTGAATATCGTTTAATGGAAGGTTGCGAAAAAACAGAGGATAAATTGGAATAAAGTAGAGGACGAAGAATTGTGGCAAATATAATTGATTGGGTAGAGGACTATCTAGGAGCTACTGTACATCTGAACTAGTGCCGTAATTATCTGAAACTCTCTTGACTAAGGCTTCAAAATCACTAAATCCCTAAATCGCTCCTGTCACCGCCGCACAAAGCTAAAGTGATCGACCCGACCAGAGAGTCCTCAGAGAATATGACTCCCGCGCTCATTATCATAATGAATTGCTTGGTCTGCATCCCCACATCCCCGCATCCAGACTTCGCGAACCAAAAATGCGTTAGGGGGAAGGTTTTCAAGGAAACCTTACAGCCTCCACTTACGAAACCCCGCAATTTCGCCGCTCACACCGTTGTGTGCAATTTGAATCTCCTCCAAGGTCTCCATATTGGAGGATTCCCTTTCGTCCCACGCCTGTCTCCGAGTCTTCCCTCATCACCACCTTTCCCTGTTCATCGAAGTCCTATGTATTAGACATGGGTCGCTAGTGTCTACGTGGAGGATGAATCTGCAGAGAAACACTCTTGGGCAAGAAAGGTTGAGCCTGATTTCCGTGAAATTCAACGCACCTGGTCTCGTGTCAAAATAGCCATGATGGCCTCCAAGTGCCAGGACAATTTCTGAAATCTATCTGAATATTTTGCAGGGAGAGTTCACAAATCAGGATCTTGCTCTGCCATGTATGTCGATACTTGACTGAACTCAGGAAAACGTTCAATGTCCGAGCAATCCTTTTATCTGGCCCAGGGCCCGCTTGGCCTTGTCGGCGGCTACCAGGGCAATAGCAGGGCTATCAAGGTGGTTATGGGCGCTCTGGTTGCCATACTCATGTATAATGCAGCTGAACTCTCCGTTTTGATCCTGCTCACTTTCCGTCGCTACCGGGGACTCTACTTTTGGTCACTTTCACTCTCCACAGTGCTTGGGCTCGTACCCAGTGGGATCGGCAATCTCTTACACTTTTTCGCTATCGGTCCGCTATGGCTGGCGCTGGCACTATCCAATATCGGGTTCTATTTCCTGATTCCTGGGCAGTCAGTTGTCTTGTATTCTCGACTTCACTTGGTGTTATACGATCAGTGTATCCTGCGACTAGTTCTCTATGCAGTGGTTATTAATACCGTCCTTATCGGCTTTCCAACAACGATTTCGACATTCGGAGCAGCCTTTGTGCGCACGAATGATTGGAGCAAGTCTTACAAAATCATCGAGCGGCTACAGGTGACTTGGTTTTGTGTGCAGGAGTTCACTATATCCCTGCTATACATCCGAGAAACCGTCAAACTTCTCCAGCTCAGCCCTGCGCATAGCACTCGCCGAAGACGAATCATGTATGAGCTGCTGGCGATCAATGTTCTTATTATTCTCATGGACATTTCAGTTCTTATTGTCGAGTTCCTTGGACTGTATTATCTTCAAGTCCTCCTGAAATGCACCATCTACAGTATCAAACTCAAAATTGAATTCGCCGTCCTCGGAAAACTTACTGCCATAGTGGAAGCATCTCGATTGGACCTTGCCGATAGTGGCGTCAATGATTTATCTGATATACCGAACCGACAGCAATTCACTTCAACTGATCCGGTCCGAGGTGTTCCAGTCAATCGACTATCTCTGGATACGACTCAAAGATCAAAGGAAATTGAGGTTTGATGGGCTCAGCATATAGAAGGAAATAAGCGTGATTGTGCTTATTGATATCCCTTGTGCAAATAACAGAATTCATAAGTTAAACTGGCCATTCATCATTGAAAGGGGAAAAGCTATCTCAAGGCCACAGCCATAAATGACTAAAGAATGGGCTCATCAAAAGGTTCCATCTTTTGAGAAGCAAGAATTTAGGCCTTTTATTCGCACTTCAATATCCAGAAGCCTAAACAGGATGCTTTTATTTGTATTACATCAATAAAACAACATTCCGTCCGTGATTTTTCCGCACAACGCGATATGTTGACATAGTCACAGAATTTGCTCTGGTTAACACCTACTATCTTTACCCAGTAGAGCACTATGATTACGTATTGCCACATCTGGACTTTTAAACCCATATGAAAGATGCATTATCTCAAATAAAGTAAACAAGTTTTTGTGCATACATGACAGTAAAGTGTGTGCAGACTTTCACATAGCGGGCTCGATTACCACAAAGGTAGTACGCAATTCCTTTATGATCTAGTTCGCCACGCACTGCATGACTCTGTTTTTGTTCATGCAGTGATATCCACTGCAACAGTTCACAAGAGAGCAGCCTTGGCCAACTGTAGTACAGATATTAAGTCTATGTCTTTGCATTCTACCAGACAAAGAAGTACTCACCGACGGCACAAACATTCGCAGCCGGGGCCGGAGCCGGAGCCGGGCTCGCATTTGCGACAGCCGCAAGGACGGTAATGGTAACAGCAGCGAGGAACTTCATGGTGAAATTAGGATATGTTTTCCGAAAGGTTGTGAGGCTGGGAGTAGAGGATTGAATAGTCAAATTGTCTAACGAAAAGGCTGGGTTTTGGTCGACAAAACCAAGGTATTTATACCCACGGAATCAAGGTAGTATCTAGCACAAATCGATCTTATCAGATCAGATAATTCTATAGGCCGGCATCGGATCGGGAATTAGAAGTCTGCAAGGTCGTATCTGCCTCCGGGGCCACTGTATCCGATTTGGCCGAAATCTGACCGTAGTTGTCTTACTTTCAGGTGGGTCAATTTGGGGTCCAAAACCAACATTTTGGGGAGAGATAATTTTCAATTAGGGCGCAGTAACCTTTTGGAAATGGTGATGAGAGCAATTATGCCTCAGTCGTAAGTTTTTCGCTAGCTTCAATCTGTTGGTCACCATCCTTCAATGCTTTGTTGTTGCAACCGAGCTTTCCCTTGTCAGTCATGGGTGTACTCGTAAGATTTCACTGACCCACCACCCTCCATCTTATCCACACATCAGACTGAGGAGACCCAAAGGATTTTGGCCCCATTCCTCCAGGTATCCAGGTCTTTCCTCATAGGTTTTGAAACCCGTATTGGGTTCCCCAACAGCGGGTCTAGGGGTAAGAATTGCGTTACTAACCTGAACACGCAATCAAAAAAACAAGAAATCCCGAGCTTGGAATCGAAAAATGAGAGGTGCCAGTATTTCATACATCATCCAGTCAGAAATACAAATACGAGCTAGTATTGGTGTTTCGAAAACAATTCTCGATTGACAAAAAAGCCAAGATTCAATAAACCAAGCAGAAAAGACTAAGCCCCGGGACTCATATTTCGGGGCTATGCGGGACTAAATATCATATGACCATTGATCAAATCTGTTTCTCCTATGTACTCGATGGACACAGAAAGCTTCCGGATGAGTTGTTGTACCTCCTTGCATCATTTAAAGGCGGGATAGATTAACAAATTCCCCCGGGGCATGGTACGGAGGCACTTTCATGTCCAAGGCTGCACCTGAATAACCAAGGTCCTCGGCAGTCAGAACAGCGCATTTCTCTCCAATAAGCAGGGCCGTCTATTAACGGAAATCGGAATGTTAGAATCTTCTTATACCGCGATCGATGGAAGACTCACGCTGAAAGTGTTGCAGCCCACATTATCAGGGCAGATAGATAAGTCGCAGACTTTAAGGCCCTTCACTCCGTGCACATTCAAACGTTCGTCGACCACGCCACCGTGTGGGGCGATAGAGCTACCCTCCCGTGGAGCCATGCTGCAAGTTCCGAGAGAGTGCCATGTCGTTTCAACATGGCGTTGGACTAAGGAGACCATCAGCAGAGTAAAATGCAAGCATTTTTGATTCTGTCTTACCCCATTTCTCAATGTGCGCAATATCATCCTTGCTGTAATCAATCTCCTCGCGGGCCTCATGTTGATTTGAGTTCAGATGAGTTGACGTGGCTGGCTTTCCAGATTTAAGCGGCTGCGACCAAGAACCTAGTGTACATTTTTGTGAGTATTCGAGCTAAATGGATGTTTCTCAGCTTACCATGCTGGATGCCTGCGGAGATATGATTTGGTCCCGCATATGCCTTGGTGGTTGCGAGATCAAGGTCATATGCTCGAGCGTCCGAGTTGTAAGCAAACTGAGGGTGCATGCCTGTCACTTCTCCGGCATACGCTGCCATTCGCCTTGCCGTTTCGCGAGACTTAATGTAGCCCCATACCATGGGCGCCATGTCACGTTTGTCGTTCATGAAGCCCGCGTCGAAGTCTGGGGTATCGTATGGATCCGAGGACTTGATGTGAGTTGAACCACGTGAGAATGGATATTCCTGCCATTTCCAGTTAGCATTCATAGGCTGAAAGTAAAGGTTAATCGCAGTGCTAAATTGAAACCCGTACCAGGAAATGGAACATGGTGAAGAATTTTCCTGGAGGCATGAGCATATGGTCACCAAACCATCTGTAGCTTATTAGCGATACCATCCATAGCGAGACTCTCTTTCTTCTCAACTCACCCAGAAATAACTGAGTAGTGCATAACTGGCTTATCCGGCTTGTTCTTGAAATACGACTCCCATCCGCTATTAAACTCTGGGGTCGGCCATTTCTTCATGTCATCCAGCTCCTTCTGAGTAGGGCGAATCTTGACACCCGCATCAATTCCGTTCGTTGCCAAAGGACCAGTACCCTTGAGATTCCACTCCTCAAATACCTTTTTCTGGACTTTGGGATCACCACGGATGAAATCATCAAATGTTTCGACTTCTGGCTTCGCTCGGAAAACAGAGAAGGTGAGATAATGATCTTGGAAGTTTCGGCCTACACCCGGAAGATTCACGAGTGGTTCAACACCAGCTTGGCGAAGCGTCTCCGGATGCCCAATTCCAGATCTCTGGAGAATCAATGGCGAACTGAGTGTACCGCCACACACAATGATTTGCTTTCGCGCCCGGAAGACTTTACGAACAGGTTTCTCGCCACCGAGAGGCTTGGTTGGAACCGTTTCGACTCCAACTGCCCGTCCATTCTCAATAATAACCCTCGCAACCTTTGTATTGCATTTCAGATGCAAGTTACTGTATTTTGCGCGCGTACTGTGCACATATGCATGAGCAGCATCGCTACGTCGACCAGTGTCTCGGTTGATCCATTTCAACCAATGCTCAGCACCATGCCTATGATTGTTTCAATCAGTATTGAGATAGATTGAATGCATCTCGGGGCTCTTACGCAGTCTTTAGGTCTTGTAAATCATCCGTGATCGGAATATCCTGCGATTCTGCCGCACGAAGAAAGTCCTGTGCAATTGGATAGGTGTAATTACCAAATGACACCTTAATGGGACCCTCAAATCCGTGTATATCGCGGTTATTGCTGGCTCGCTGATATGTTTCATGCTTTCTCATGAGAGGCAAAAGCTCCTTGGTCGTCCAGCCCTTTGCTTGGAAATCGTCATAATCCGATGCAGAAGCTCTAGTGTACATCTTTCAGAGGGTTAATACATGCTTTCGGTAGTAGTGAAGAGTAAATTACCATAAAATTGATCGAACTTCCCCCGCCAAGGATATTGGCACAAGGTACGATAGCCCGGCGTCCATCCAAATGCTCGGATGGGCGTGAATGATAGAAAGATGCGGTCTTTGAATCAAGCTTCATATTTCTGGGATATATACCAGGTCGATATACCCTATACACATGTATGAATCAGTCTCAGTCACTCAAAGCACAGGTATTTTGAAACACGTACCATTGGTTGTTCAAGTTGTCCTCTCCAGCTTCAATCAACAAAACCGAGAGATTATGGTCAAGATTGGCGAGGCGGCCTGCAGGCACACATCCTGAACTCCCGCCTCCACAAATGATGATATCAACTTCCTCTGGGATGGTCATAGTGATGAGCTATTTTCATGAACAGTTTCAATGTAGTTGAGGTGCAGATATGAAGCTAATAGCTAGGATATAAACGGACGAGAAAAAGGAAGAATCTGGGGTCTTTCTGTGCTCTTTATATCACCAAGCTACCCCGCTTCATGTCAAACCAAAGAGGGAAAACCGCAGTCCATATCCAATTTATTGGCAACCAAGGGAACGTATACACCCCTCATGCGGGGATCAAGTCTCGGCGACGTGGCAAGAGAAGTTCAAGACGGCGTCAGCAAGCGCCCCGTTCGCATTGTGAGAAACCCCGGGGGTGAAGCTGAGCTCCCTTCAAAGGCAGATCGCAATAAATAGGTTTTAGATATCTAATATATCTATTTCTTGACAGTAGTACTGACACCACAGTCGATATGCAACTTGAATTAGTTGTAGTCGTTATATAAGTGGAAATTACATTGTTAATTGGTCTTTGGCACCGGTACTTTGACCTATACATGATAATACTTTTCCTCTTATTTTGCTTTCCTGTATCAATACTGCTTCCCCACGGTAGGTACCTAGTAAGCTCATTTAATTGGGGGATTCACTGCGGGGATTACGTTTGCCACCATTTGGGGTGCATATTAGTAGGTACAAATGCACCAATACTAACCCTGTTCGATTCCGTTCATGCAAGAATCTAATTGAGGAAGCTCCGGTAATACTGAGCCCGAGTGGGGACTGTATAAATCCAGATGGAGAACAGACATAACATTCAAAGTTAAATCTTTCTTCTACATGTCTTCCCCTCAGGATCCCCATTAGCCGCTTAATTGGGGTTATATGAGTGTTTCCGGTGAGAATACTTTTATGACAAACTTGAATGGGTTCCATTGAATGGATGAATGATAAGCAGCGTCGTTGTACTGACTCAATGAACTTTTTGCTCCCATATTCATCCACGGCGCTGTGTCCCAAGCTTCTACATCTCACTTTCTATGAGTATATCATGGCTTATCTCATTCCAGAGCTCTCCTAGGCACCAAGCAAGGAGGGGACCTTGCGAAGGAACATACTACAAAACTTGATGGAACACCAATCATCCCAACGTAAATTCAATGTACCGGAGTTTACTCAGATACCTCCGTAGTCAATACTCGGTGTTAGTCTTTTAGGTCTAGGGTAACTATCAAACAAGTCGTCTCACATAACTATGTGGGGCAGGATGCGGATCCGCTTCTACCGACCGACTGGCGTGCGGGTGATTTTCAACGTTCAGTGGGGTCACTAAAGGTTCTCAGGCCACGTACTCGACAGTGTTTGATATTTCGAGGTTTGTGTCTGAGAATGAGCAATAACAATCATCGGCGTTGGCCTGCCAGTTTTGACAGTCGTTGTTCCGCGGGGACAATGGCACAGCCCTTCCGCATTGTACATTGTTGAGGAAGATGGCCGTTAGTCATTGCTTTGTATCGTCAAGTGGATCTGCGAAAGTGACAGAAATAATGTGAAACAGTTTTCTCACTTAACCCCGCTCTGTTCTGTAAGACTTTCATTCACAAGACTTCAAACCGAACTAGGCTGGTAGGCTTACGTTCCATTGGTGCGACAAGAAATTCCGCTCATCGAGGCAGTGAAGCTCAGCTTGGCGGCCGCTCTAGAGCAATTTCTTGTATTTCCCCGCTCATGAGTACTTATCTTGAAGATCATAGGAGTCACTAGGGGTGATTAGAGGTACTTTCATCAATGTCTTAGACAAATTCATAAAATACACCTTGATTTCCAAATTAGTCACGACAATCTCCTCAAATGAAATAAACGGCAGTAGATCCAAATAGAATTATCATCTGTTATATGTGGGAACTACATTCATTTGAGCAAGTAAAGAAAAATACAAGGTTCACAAACCCCGGAAGTCACGGAAAGTCTCGTGCAACTTCAAGTTTCGGCCGAAGCGAAACCTACCGCGATATGGTATATACCTAGGTATTCCGAGAATTTCACGACTCAGACAACTTCTATGTACTAATTAATAGATAAGCTTAACTGAATTTCAAGGGAAAACTTTCATGAAAGAGGGGTCCTTCTATTGTACAATTTTATGAGCCGCCTAGTTCTTTTGGATGGATGTGCTATCATGATGTAGGCAATCTTCATTACTAGCAAATCTAAGTTGTCTCTTTGGCCCTGAGATTGACTTGGAATTCTCAACCGAGCCACCAGAAATACAATCCAGCAGGTACAACAACGACTGGTCCCCTGTAAACCTTCCTAGCCCTCAGAGCATAGTAAACAAGAGCGAGAATAATGGTACCAACTGTACCGACCACACCATAGTCCATGCTTTCTGCTGTAACGGCCCTCTCTGTGGGCCACAAGCTGAAAAATATGGCAATGGTCATGTACATAACAGCATAGCCATTGATCATAATACCCCACATTCCGGGGACATGGAAACTACCCCACACGAGTTTTGCACCTGGAACATTGATGATATCATCGTGGTCATTATACCTGGATATGTGTCCTTTGCATCGACGATAAAGAAGGAATGATCCGACCGTGAAATATGAAAGATATAGCCCGGAAACTGAACTGCCATAGATAAAACGTGATCGAGAGCGACGCTAGATCCAATGTTGATGAGGCCAAGTAGGCAAGCCACAGAACCTGTCAGTAACGTAGCATTGACAGGTAGGCGCTTAGTCGAAGAGACCTAGTCAGAACTTCGATTGACTTCTGATCTATATCAATGAATCATCTGTTGAAAAAGAAGTAGCATACTTGACTCCACAGCCGCCAACCGGGAACACCACGATCTCGCGCAAAGGACCAAAACTGATGTGAAGTTGCAGCAAGCATGCCAGTTGCCGCAAATACTCCAATTATAAGAATTATAGAGCACATCGTCAAAGTTCCCGGCATTGAATCAGTTTCCTGGTAGAATATTTCAATGTAAGGATATCCGGTGTCCTTATTCAAAGCATCGTCTACATTCCCATGCAAAACAGAACAGCGATCAACATTGAGAACCCAAGGATTCCATTGATAAGTACGCTGGGCATAATTGCTTGTGGAAGCACCCGTGAGGCATTTGACACTTCCTCGGCCATCTTTCTCTAGTCAGCTCGAACTAATTACGGTTTTCACTTTGGTGATGATATTTTGCTCGGCATTTCAATGCAGCTTACCTCAAGTCTGGGACGTGTGGAAGGGTCAATGCTACAATATAGTACCATGTGTTCGCCCAATCTTCGCAAGGTCTACGATACTAAAATGCTCATAGGAAGCTTGGGAATACTTTGCTGGTGTATCAATCATACTGACAGATCTTATGATTATCACTCAAGCACTCTCGATAATATACCATCTTCAAGCGCCACCCCGGAAGCGACTCGTTTTCGCGACCGTGTTTGTAGTTCAAATTTTGTGAGTAAAAGGGACTCGGGCTTTATGATAGCTAGTTTATCACTAACAAGATCCATGACTTTCTACAGTGTCATCGCTGCCACGATTAGTCAACTCGCTATGATCAAGCAACAAAAGCCTACGGACCCGACGTATCACCGATGCGAGTTCACTATCTCCCAGCAAGTAGTACAATGCCTCAGTATCGTCACGGCATGTTGGGGGCAGCTCCGACCCTTTATTCACTCGCTGGATTCGGATGGGTTGCTCATATCACCTGATGCAGAAAGTGGCCATAGATCATATCCGAGATCGGCTACACAATCCAAAGGAGACGTATCCGGTAGGGAGCCGCTTAATGGTGTGGAACCACAAAGCGAGGATGGAAGCAGAGATACAAAGATGCTGGGAGGCTGGCAGTCAGTCAAGTCAGGTCGAGATTATTCAGAGTGCGAACTTGAAATAAAACTCTTGGAAGTGGGCTAGAAGATCAGCTCCGAGTTGAGAAAATGTCTTCCCGTGGTTATGAAATCCCCGGCGATAATAGCAGGACACGTATATCAGGCAAGCCTGGAACCTTGGAACGTCCATCAAGAAATCCAAGGAGCGAGGTCGGCGGAACCCAACGTATGGTTGAGGAGAGTTACCCCTGAACTCTCTTCTCCACTGGAGAGCAGGTTAATGGTCTGGAAGAATTAGAGGCGTTGAGTACCCCAGGAAATCCGATATATCACTCTAAACGCGGCTTAATCTGCGCTGGTCACTAAATAGAATACAAGGCCTTGATATTGCTCCAACTCAACGTATCTGGTGGCTCCCAGAGTGCTTTGGGGGAATTCGCAGGCTCTCGGCCCGATAACCGGGAAACTCATGACAGCGTCGGCATCGACCATTACAGAGTCCAAAGGGACATCAAATATCAGACTGGCTACTAGAGTATATATCCTCACCTCCTACAAATTCCGGCCATCTCCGGACATCCTCAGTGGTCAACAACGTACTAGTAAAACTATCGGATCTCGCTCCCCGCGATTGGCCCCCACGGCCATCCCCCGGAAAAGCGGGGAAAACTCTCGATGGAGAACGACACGGCCAGTCCCCTCCTGGTCTCACGCGTCAACCCGAGCTCCTCACGTCACGATCGCCCTGTCCCTGTCCCATCTGAATCTGCTACGAGTACTCAGACCTCGGCTACTTCTTTCTTCTCTGTCACTCCTTTCCTGGTCGTGGACATGGTCCTCAAAGCGTGCGACCGGTGCCACTCCGCCAAAGAAAAATGCACTTTCGCTGACGACAGCCCACAATGCACGCGATGTCGACGCTTAAAACTGTCATGCTCCATATCCCGGCGCAACAGACGCATCGGACGACGGCCCGCGGCAAAGGCCTTTCCACATGGGCAGATGCAAGTCTGGAGCGCCGAGATTCCAACACAGCAAGATGAGTCGTCCGAATCCAGCGATAATCGCGACAGTTTGGCTCCCAGCACCCCCAGTGTTAGCTTCAAGTCTCGATCGCCATCGAGCGCCTCAGATGTAGCTTGGACGCCCGTTCATGACGATGGCATGTTATTAGGGCCCGAGAAGTTACTCGCCTCGCCAACCAGTCTACGCAACATCTCCGATGCGCTCCGCACTGTGAGCAATGTCGAGCAGTTCGCGGTAATACATATGCCCTTCATGTGGGGTCCCAGCTTTATTCCAAGTGGTCAAAAGGCCATTTATACCATTCTCTCCATGTCTGGCCCGACATTAACCGAGGGGTACCTTGCATTTCTGGGCTTGATGACGCGCTATCAGAGATCCCTGGTAATGCGACAAGATGAGCCAGATATGTCAAAGGCCGCCATGGGCCTACAACGCTTACGAAGCGTAACCATCTCGCATGATTACGATGCGGCCTGCGCCCTCTTCCTGGGGCAGACCATGTACGTTTTCAACGTACTCACCGCCCCCTATTCCTCCTCTGCCCACTCCATTGTGCGGAGCGCGCTCATGTCAACAAAACAATGGTTACCACGATTGATCCAATTCCCCATCATGGACACTATCACGATGACACCGATCCTGATTGATACGGTCGAATGTCTAGCACATCGCGAAGTTCCCATTATACGACTGCCGCTTGACACCGGTCGCATCATCATCGATCGCTATGCTGGTCTATGCGCGACACTCCTTACTCACCTATATGATATCTGCGCATGGAGCCATACGCAAAAGCGAGAAGTCCGCGATACCGCGTCTGATTCGCCGTCGCAGGCTTATGAACAGCTCGCAGAGATTGAAGAACGCATACAACAGTGGAGACCTCCCACGCCACCTCGTTTGTACACGGATTTTGGGCAAAATGAGGTTCTAGCGATGGTCACACAAGCAAACACTTATCGATTAGCAGCTCTATTAGTGATTCATCGGTTGCGATACCCCCTTGGAGTTGAGGATGAAGCAGCACATTTCCTTGCGAACAGCATATTTTCTGAATTGTCATATTTTGTGAAGAACGATGCGATGAAATCGACGGCCTTGCCCATTGTCTTTCCCATAACGCTAGCGATGTTTGAGCTGGAAGGCCCGGGTGAAGAGTTGTTGGAGAAGTTAGCTGCCTTTAAGGTGCAGAATATGAGTGCAGTCAGGCTTCGAGGGTTCGTGAACCAGGTCCGAACAGCGCGACAGTCGGGTTATGGGGGTATCTGGTTTGAATTAGTCGATAGTCAACTGCATGTGGCAATGCCCCCTTAAATGTCAATCAGGGCTCCGCCAAGATAAATAGTTTAATCTCCTTTAATTGATGTCAGCCTGAACATGAGGTCATCCGGGGCTGCCCCGCCAAATTCTGGATATAACAGGATATTAAAGTAGCCAAACAGAGCCCTCTTCACTCTCCCACTAGTCCTCGGAGACAGCGACCGAGCCATCAATCGTGTGATCATCGGACGCTAAACAGGACTAATGAGGGAGGATCTGTCCGGGACAACGTTGTGTCAAACCTTCGGCTGTCCCGGAGATGCCCAAAACGGGTAGCAAAGTGCCGGGCTCTCCACTCCGAGCGATCTTGATGTGCACCGCCCGTGCGCGAAGGCTGCCTCCGGCTGCCTCTAACCTCTTTGAGCAGGAACTGTCCGGATTTCTACAGGAATTTTGACTCTTTTTGATGCAAGAGGCGACCATTCTAGACCAGGCTTGCCAAAGCTTTATTATCCCTGTCTCCCGTCATTTAGATTTCGCGGGGTTTCATCCAAAAATAAAATAAAATAACGCGGGGTGCCTTGCTTCTTTCTCTCGTCAACTACTTTCTGTGTCAGACGGTGGAATTTTGACTTGATCCTATTCAACGCGGCGTCTCTCCAGCTACCATTCTCTACGGATTGGTCACATACGACGCAGGAAGATCCTTAAGCATCTCACCTGCATCACGGCTAATCACCGCGAGAAACGTCAGCAAATGCGCGAAAAATTTATCTCAAGAGTAAAGGACCAACAGATAGAAACAGCGAGGTCTTACTATGGATCAAAGACTGCCCAAACGGTGAGCCCATTCGATCCTGTAGCATCCCACTTTCTGATCTAACTCTTCTAGACGAAGGATGGACTATCAGTGTTCGCCGTCGACTCCACCTATGGCCCCCCCAGCAGTGGGCACATGGGAGTCCCTCCGGCAATCTCTATCCAATCGACACCAATGTCCAGCATCTGGGGCTCGATAGCGGCAATGCGTCCTTCACAGGCCACGCGGCGGCTAAATGGCCTGGAGCTACTATGGACCCAGCTCGTGAGTGGTCTCAACAGCGCCAGTCACTATTCACCACTGGTCGAGTTTGACTGACATCTTCACAACCTCAGACTTACATTCCGATTCATTTAACCCCATAAACCTGATTGGCTCTCCAGAGGAACATGTGTGGAATACTTTTACAAACCTTCACTCTGAGCAGTCTACTCCTTCAGGGGCTGTGAATCCAGAAGGGTTCCTACCAAGCTTCATCAAACCTCTTCCAGTAATGATGAACCAAGATACTATCGAGTGTCTCCACATAAATGGCACATTTGCGCTACCAAACGTTCCACTCCAAAATGCTCTCCTACAGGCATTTGCGGAGTGTGTGCTTCCTTCCATGCCAATCGTTGAGTGGCAGCCCCTCATCCAAGCCCTCCATGGAGCGCATGGAAGCCATGGCTCGATTAGCCTACTTTTATACCATGCCATCATGGTCTCCGCGGCAACTTTCGTTGATATACGCTATATTCTTGACGCTGGGTACTCAACCAGACAAGAGGCTCAAGAATCATTCTTCCAAAAGGCCAGGGTAAGTCTGAACTGCAGGAGTACATTGAAAAGCCGAAAGGTAACTGACCTGTCTATATAGCTCCTGTATCAAGCCAATACCGAGACAGATTCCTTGACCGTCATCCAAGCATTTCTATTAATGACATACCGACTCGACACAACAGACGGAGATGACAGCCGCAGTCTGATCGGAATCGCAATTTCCACCGCACTATCCATCGGTCTTTTCCACGACATCTCACAGACCATAAACAGCCCCTATCGACCAACCCTCTGGAGACGAATCGCATGGTCCTGTCACATAATGGACTGCCAAATAGCCCTCCGGCTCCGACGCCGACCAATCATTCAACGCGCCGATTTCTGTCACCAGATGGTATTAGAAACCGACTTCGACCATCTACAAAATCTTGCCTCCCAAAGCCCAGGAATGCCACTTGACACAAATCTATCCCGAAACTTCTTCGCGCAAAGAGAGCTAGGCCTAATCTTCATCGCCAATGCCCGACTATCAGTCTGCATCCGGAATGTACTAGACATCCAATGCAAGGAGAGCCAACTCCGTTCATCAGCCTCGCCGACAACACCCACATCATCCACAAGTGACGACTCGGATTACAGCAACAGCATCTACGTATCCGAGCGCATGCTAGCAGAATGGGCCAATACCCTTCCAAAGTCCTGCCAAACGAACCCTTCCGAACCCCAAGACATCGACGAAGAACCAGCAATCACCGTCCAACGCAGCCTCCTTCACATAACATTCTACACGACGATCGCAGTATTCCACCAATCACGTCTCTTCCCGTCCTCGAATTTCTGCGTTCAGCACGCCTCCCAGCAAATCACGAGCGTTGCCTTCGATCTATACAGAAGAGGTTTACACAGTCGCTTGCCTATTGTCGGCGTAACGGGCATCCTAGTCGCGTTGGTGATTCATATCTCTGAAATGAAGGCGGAGCCTTCAATACAGAAGGATCAGGCAACGCAGAATTTCCAGCTCGGACTTGAGATCATGGCGAATCTGAGGGATGTTTATTCTGAGGCTAATAGGGTTACATCGTGGGCGCTGAAAATCATACAACAAAATGGTGCTCTGTGAACTTGAATGATTGTGTACTACTTACTACATTATCAAATTGAATATGTATAATAATATTTTCATACCCCTTCTTTAGTACAACCTAATAAACAGCTGACTGAAAGATCCACTTCTACTACTAGTATATTTACCTAATGTAACCTTGCGAGAAGTATAATCGATAGTAGTACTAGTATGCAGGGTAGAAACATTGAAACATAGAAGACAGTCCAAGTCCAACATGGGAAGTTCAACGGGCACTCAGTAACTACTAGAATTGAATAAGATGGAGGGAAAATTGGAAGATCATCAATTAAAGGAATAAAGAAATGAAATAAAAAAATAAAAAAATACGAATGAAGAGGATTTATCAACGTTGTACAGTTAAGATCCACGTAGTACTAGTATAGATCTATTGATCTCATACTTCGGGAGATTGCCACATGGTCACCCACGTGGCACCGGGTCATCTCCGACGGAAGTAGATCTAGTGGCTCCATCCCTAGCCGTGAAAGGTGGTTTGTAACGTCCCTGATACTATTTCCTTTTCTGATCTTTCGTCCACACTGTTCGCTAGAAACAAAATCTTCAACAAGCATTCCCAGGCTCAACCCCCCACTGAATATGATCAAAGGGTCCGAAATCGCAAAAAGGTGAGCACGTGGCTCACAGCATAATTTCAGTCAATGTTCCGTGCCTCCCACCGCCAAGACATCACCATGCTCTTCGGCCTCGCCATCTCTGTGCATTTTGTGTCGTCGAAACATCAACAATTTGGCACCTAGACACTCATGCGTAATATGATCGCGCAGTTCATCAATTGTCCTCACCATGAACATCCGACCTCGAATGATCCGTGCCTTATCTTCCGCACTACTATCAATTGGATCGATCTCCATGAGGTCAAGATGGTCGTCCGCCATCTGATAGGGCGCTTGACAGATGATCCAGCAACCGTTGCAGCGGTACAATGACAAAGGTCTGCTCCGTCCTGACGGCACGGTGGGAAAGAGGGTAGTTATCATACCGGGATGAGTCGAAGAAGGAGGATTCGATGCAGTCTGTTTAACCTGTGATGGATCAAAAAGTAACGGATATAGCCGGGCCTTTCTCAGAAATCGATACATCCGGGCATGCGCGATCTCCACAACCCCAGCGTTAGGGTAGCGATCGGGAGAGATCAATTCTGCTGTAGCAATCATATTCTGGAGAGACCCCCATTTCTGTAGGCCAGCAGTGAGAGCAGTCTTCACTGTAACGAATTCGGTCTCCTGCTGAGTTGGATCGGGATCCACTCCTCGCCAGACGCGTGCGTTTGTGAGGAGGATTGGTAGCGGGTCGATATCGACGTCGTCGAGGGCAAACGCGGTCTTTGCTTCGGAAAGGAAGAGGCCCCAGTATGCTTGGTTGAGTTCAGCACAATTCTCACAGATGCGTTCGCAGGTTGGCAGAGAAAGAAGTGTTGCTCTGGCACCGCAGGAGCGGCAATGTTGGAAGCGGAGTTCTTGACAGACGGTGTGGATTGAGTGTAGATAGGCGAGACCCGTGATATGAAGCATTGGGAGGATCGTAGGAGCCACTCTCTGTAATAGGCGATACTCGGATTGTTGGGCGGCCACAAAGAGGGCATGAAAAGATGCCCTGCCAAAGGTTTGGAGGGAGATTGGATCCAATAAACCCAGGATGTGGTCGATGAGTTCGGGTGGAAGCATGTTGAGAGTACCGAGAAAATATGGGGGTCGAACAAGGAGAAGGCGCTTATTTTTTGCAGGGGCAGATTGTAGATGAAGACCTTTCACCATCGGATCCCTAGTCAGATGTGCGATAACCTCTTCATCCTTCCAGGCGTCGACGTCGGTGGCCTCGTCCCAGTCAGGATCGTCGATCCACTCATCGAAGTTTGCGGCATCCCAAGCACTCGAAGACATAGGCAAGTGAAAAATGGGTTGGATATGGGATAGAAGATGAAGGAGTGAAGGAGGAAAGGAAAGGATGAAAACAGACTTGAACTGCAGACTTGAAAAAGAGCGATGAAGCTGTGGGAAGGCAGCACTGGGGAAGGAGCGATCCTTCCTTCCTGACTTGGTACCTTCCTCATGTTGGGAAACCCTATGATTACTACCAGTAATTACTAGTAAGTATACTAATATTAATAGTAGGATACCAGTCATACTTCTATACTTCTATATCAGAATAATAATATTGAAAGATGCACATAATACATTGCTGGAGGCCGTTTGACCATTCCAGTGTCACTAAAGTCTTCCTCTATTCCACCTACTCCACCTCCTCCATGGGATTCGCAAGATGATCCGTGCGAACAAGATAATCATCCTCATCTTCCTCAACTGCACCGTCAGCCATAGTCTCGTCATCGCCATCCAGAGAGGCATCAGAGTCTCCTCCAGCCCGGGCACTCTTCCCCTTCTTACCAGCAGCAGCCTTGCCCTTGCCCTTACCACTGCTGATCGAGCTACCACTTGGGCTTCGAACAATGCCTCCAGGCCATTGCTTGAGACCCTTAATGCGGCCATGGATGCCCCCAGGACCTCCCGGGAACGAGGCGTCACCATTCGCAAGAGGGATCTCTGTCGACTCTCCCATACTAAATGCCTCCATAGCCTCTGCAATTGTCTGCCCACCGGCGCCGGAAGAATCCTGCTTAGACTTATCGACGGATTCGAAGGTTTGGCGAATTCGTTCGAAATGTTCTAATTCCTTGGCACTGTGTTCGTCGTTAGTATCTTGAATCTGATTCTCTTCCCATCATCGAGGAAACAAACTTACCTAACACTGGGAACCATTTCACTCTGAGCCGCCAAGAAATCCTCCTCAGTCACCATCACCGCCACATCATCCGGAGTCGCGAGGTAATCGAAGAAGTAGGCCGTACTGACCGGCCCGCCGGGCAGTTGTTTGATCTTATCGTCAACGGCAGTAGATTTCCGCGTAATAGCCTTCAGCATCGCATCCGAACACAAGGCGTACAAATCAGCACCAGTATAGGTCAAGGGCAGGTGCTCGGAAACCCGATCCAGTGACAGGTCCTGGTGGAGGGCGAATTTCCTCGTAAGTGCCTCCATAATTGTGGCTTGTTTGCGGTGGGTATCTGACACGCCCAGGTAGAGCATCTTATCGAATCGACCAGGTCGAAGGAGGGCAGTGTCCAACAGATCAGGTCGATTAGTCGCACCAATGACGAAGACACCGCCGCTGTTCTCCTCGCCGCCGTTCATTCCGTCCAGCTCGGCAAGCAACTGACTGACAATACGATCCATCACACCGCCACTATCTCCCTGGTTACCACGCTTCGGTGCAACGGAGTCCAATTCATCGAAGAAGACGACACAGGGGCGGGCATCGCGCGCACGCTGGAAGACACGTCTCACATTGGCTTCGGATTCACCAATATACATGTTGAGCAACTCCGGACCCTTGACGGAGAAGAAGTTGAGAGAAAACTCGGTGGCGATGGCCTTGGCAAGTAGAGTCTTTCCGGTACCAGGAGGACCATAGAACAGGATACCACTGCGCTTCTTCATACCCTTAGCAAACAGCTCAGGGCGCTCAAGCGGCAGCTGAATAGTTTCGATCAGGGCATCCTTGACATTCGTCAAGCCACCAACATCGTTCCAACCAACGTTAGGAATCTTGGGTGCACCGATGGAGTCGGCGAAGTTCTTTCGCGCAGCTTCGACAGCGAAATCGAAGTCTGCTTTCGTGACAGCCCGCGCGCCATCTCCACCGGCAAGGAGAACGTCTCGAACGCAGACTTGTGATTCCGGGCGTTGCTTGCTGGCAGTCTCGACCAGGTTCTCGAGACGGGCCGTTCGAGCTCCAGAGGCTCGTTCCACAACATCGACCAGGTCACCAGCCACCAGCGCAGCGGTCTTCAATGCAACAGTCCCCAGATCGACGTCGGCAGACAGCTTGATTCCTCGCTCAGCAACGCAGTTGCGGAGTATACCCTCACGCTCTTTCTCCTCGGGGGCACCCATCTCAAATTCGTGGGTGAACATGCTGCGGATGCCTTCTGGGATTTGCTCCACATCACTGGTGGTGGCAATTATGACTCGAGCATCACTCACAACATCGGCCATCGCCGTCACCATGCGATCGGCTGTTAGCACTTCAATATGCTTAATCAACAAGGCGGTGCAGTTTGCACCACAGTGGAAAGCTCGCTCCGCTCGTGCCTTGAGATACGCTTCCGTCTTCACGTCGCCGCCATTAGCACCACCTTCGGTCAGGATGTCGTACGCATCAAGAGGGAAGGTATGAAGACCAATGTCTGCGCAAGCGCGCGTTGCGACAGTCGCTTTGCCATTGTGTCTCTGTTGGGACTTCAACAGAATAACGACAGGCTTCATGCCGAGTTGAATTGCACGGGGGCTTGTCGCCGCGGCCATCAACTCTCGGATTCGTTGCTGTAGGGGTGGGATAAAAGCCTGAGGTGGTTCCGCAACGATACCATGCGGCGCTAGAGTCTCGCCGACAGCCTTAGGAATCGTCTTCACTCCAAGCCAATACTCCCATCCATTGCCCAGATTTCCGGGTACTCGGCTAATATCGCTGCCGGCTTGGACCATGCGGGTGCTTGTTGGGTCAATGACAGCCACTCCACCCCACTGATCCTCCTCGGTCTCTTCGAGCTCTTCAACGGCAGTCGGCGCCACCTGGCCTACACGGAACCAAGCAACGCCAACCTTGCGCGCTTCGGAGACAGTGGGGTTGGATCCCTGGCCTAGTCTAGAGGTAATATCATCCTCTTGAGCACTATCACCTCCGGAGGTTCCAGAGAAAACCGCCCTGCCGAGTCCTTCGTCGACACTGATACCAACAAGATCACCGCTTTTCAAAATCCGTCGCCGCGACTCGAAATATTGCTTGAGTCCTGCGAAGAGCGCTGGTTGAAGGACTCTGTCCAAGGAAAGGGGAGTGGATACCTTGAGGAGGGTGACTTCCTTAGCCAGTGGCGGGTTCTTTGCCGCACTGTTCTTCATTTGATGTAGGAGACCGGGCTTAGATGGACCATTGGCGGCTGTGAATACCATAGGGGAGATGCGAAGATGCTTGGGGTTTTCGATGTTGCTGAGGAGCAAAGGGGGGACGAACACGGATGGTGTGAGACGCGTGGGAGCGCGTTGGGAGAAGCTTGAACGACGATCGCCGGACGGATTGATCGCATACCGAGGCTTCGGTGAAGGAAGACCAGGTAGACCAAAGACCTTGACAGGACGCCATTCACCTGAGTCCTCTGGGGAGTCGTTGAAGCTACCGAATTTGAGTGAGGCGAACATATTCAGCTGGGGTTCCTCGGCCGCCTCAATCCGCACCCAGTCTCCGGAGAAGCAACCAATCTTGGCTAGAGTGCTGATATCCACGAAAATGAAAGAATCGACATCCTCATCATCACGAGGACGGGGATGCAACACTTCATTTGGTACTTGCTGTAGAAGTCCTTCAACCTTGAACACTTTGCCGCCACCACGACCAGGCCGCATAGTAGCCGATGTGAAATTAGATGCGACTGAGCCTGGAGTGTGGATCCCGTCCATCCGTCGTCCACCCGCTCGGGGTGTTGCCGAAGTCATCGACGACATAACACCTGAAGGTGGTTGGGGAAGCTCGGGCGCGGACAGCGAAATCATGTCTTCGAGAGAATCATCAGATGAATCGCTAACAGAACCCGCCGATCCCTCCGTCTCGGACTCCTCGGCAGCAGAAGTAGTCTCCATTTCGGTCCCGCTCTCTCCAGGTTTATCTTCGGCGGCGGAATAGAACTGTTCATTAGAAGTATCATCGGCCTCATCTTCGGCCACTTGCTTGAGAAGAGCAGATCGCGGTGGGAGGGCTTGCGGTGCCCGATGACCTTGAGGACGAGCTTGCACAAGAACAACCTTGCTTGTTGGCATCAAAAGACCCTGTGATACCGGCTCACAGAATGAGATCCTCGCAGGCGGGGCGGGAGCATAGGTGATGGGGTGAGGGGGGAGAGGTAGAGGCAGCACATCCCCGACATGAACAATGCGTTGCGCCGCCAATGCCTCTCGTACAGCCGCAGTTAGTCGCATCTCCGCATCAGCCGCGGCCTTCTTGGAGAGCTTCTTTGTATCGGCGATCTTTCCTTTCGGCCAAACCCCATTGGGTCCATGTACGTTTCCGGGAAAACCACCGCCAAATTTGTTTTGTACATCATCGTGATTGCGGAGTAAATGGCGCTCGACCGTTACGAAGATTGTATCGAGATGCAAGGGGGCTACGTCGAGGATGCGGATCTCCACGGCCCGGTGCGTCTGCAGTGAGTTCCGGGATGAATCCAGTTTGCCAAGGGCCTGTAGGAATGGTTGAAGAGAGTCTGCGGAGTCGGGGAATAGAACAGTCGAATGCGAAATCGGGGCGTGTGTCCTCTCGGACGACTGGATTTGCACCGGCAGGATGGTCCATGCCTGATCTTCCACCGCGGACGAGGTTGCGGAATGCGGGGAAACGGCGACATACAAGATTCCATCGTTGGTCGCTGCGCCTATCAGTTAAAAGACAAATTGAGTCAATTCCAGGTCCATTGGCGAATCTATCGGCTCATTTACCGAGGTCGGAATCACTCACCCTGAATAGCTTGTTGGGGAAGAGGTCGGTCGCCAGATCCTCGGACAAGACGCCGACATTGCCGCGCAGCTGAGGATCCAGCGCCAGGCGCGCAGCAACTGGGGGCTTATTGCGTTGCCTTCGCTTGGCGACTCTCTTCCGACGCTGCTTGGGCTGCTGTGAGCTTTGCCCGTATTGCTCGAAGTCCATAGCGAGCGCGGGGGGGGAAGGACTTCCGCTTCCAATTGCTGTCGGGGAACTGCGGAGGGATTCAGGAGAGGGAGGTGATTGATAACAAGTGGTTATTCAGTGTTCACCGGGCCACCGAGCTCATCAGACAGTCAAGAGAGCTCGCAAGCAAAGAGGATCGCGGGGGAGAAGGTAATGCGCCGGAGTAGAATCCGGGGGGAAGTCCAGTCAACACTCGGCACCGCCCGCCTTCGGCGTTCTGCCAGTTCCCGGAGAGCCGAGGTCCAGCCATGCGTGCACTACGAGTAGTAATATCCATATTCTGGTGGTTACATAAGCTGTGCAATGATAGATGAGTTTATTGAATCTCATCTTCAAAACTAATCAACTATCCAAAGCTGGACATATTAGTGTACTAGGAGTACTAGTATACATGAGACTAGGGTGATGCCCGGTGATGCCATTGGTGCTCGGCCTGTGATCCGCGAGCGGCGGAGTACTGCCCTGAGCTGCCGCAGTCGCCATATTCTGTACTCCTGGCCGAGGACGACGAATGCTCAGGTACTACCTAGGTACTATGTGTCTTCAATTCATTTAAGTTCTATGATTGCCAGACTTCGTAAAAAAAAAAGGCACTGGCATCCAGTCTTGATTATACTCAATGCCCAGGTGGCACCGTGACCGTTCCGAGTAGTAATCTCGATCATGGAAAGAATATATATATAGTACCTAGGTACTAGTAATTATCATAGAACTACTACAGCCTGAGGTTGTAGCGAAAGTTGCCAGTGTCTGCCAGATGGGAAGACCAGCAGGAGTAGGAGTCGTTATATTCAAGTTGCAAATGAAATTCTCCAACTCCGAGTCAAGATAATATTTCTTGGAGTTTTCGGAGATGCAGAGTCACGGTTTTGCTGCGACCTGCCTTTGGATAAGAAGAGTACGGATATGGGCATGATCAGGAACTGATATGAAAAGAAGAAAGAAGCACAACAGGGTATAGAAGTGGGTATAATCTCAGCAGCCACGGACAGAAACTGCGCTTGGTAACTGTCTCTGTTGGCTGTCCGGTGTGTTCCATAGGTATACCAACTGTATATTGGAGAAGGGGTGTTCCCCACCATTTAAACCATTGCAGCCTTGACGTTGGAAACATTGGTAATTGTGCTGATTTTCCGATGGAACATGGCACCCGGGCGTCCCACGGTTTCTCAGACCAGCACATAAATTCTCGCGGCTTGGATTTGGTGCGAAGGATTCGCGAAATAGTTGACTTGAGAAAGTTACCAGTGGCGATGGATCGCAACATTGGAAGGAGCAGGAGTGTCTGGCCCGAGGCCGGTGTAGAATTGTATTTGAAGCCGGTTGAAATGACGGCGTCTTCTCAAGTGGCCTCCGCCATATCTCGTCTGGAAGGCCAGTGGGAGCGCATTGACGGGAAAGGGTTCGAACCTTCGGATCTAATCCTTGCACTACCCGAGATGATGATTAGTACCATGACCTAGACCAAGACTCATAAGTTGGAGATATTGTCCGCCATGTCGGAAAGTTCAGAATCATTTTCCGTGTCGTCAGACTTGGAGAGTCTGCCCTCCATGCTTCAAGGCTGGGTATAGAACCACATCCCACTCACGCGGATTCTGAGGATTGCGCGGAAACCATTACCACCCCATACGCTTCGATGACCACGAATGGTCCAATATCACGACGGGGTGAGCTGGATCTTCTGTTGTATATCGAGGCCACTGGCACTTTCCAAACAGGTTGTCTGCGTTGTCGCAGGAAAAGGAATAGAGCGGTGTGAAAAAGACAGAATCTGGCGATGCCAGAGTACCATGCATTTGTGGGTGGTAAGAGGAATGGTTGGAGAGAGATGGTTCATGTTGTTCTTAGTTGATTTTCCTAGACAAAACATTCGGGTCCGAGGAAGGAACGCACTGCAAGGCACCAACACAGCAGGAACGACCGTCAACGGTAAATGCAGGCTGTACTGGCAGTTTACCTACTACGAGTAGTACTCCATACTAGTTACTATTCGCTGGTCCTGGCTGGATGCTCGAACTTACCACTGATCTTTACCCTTTTCACATATCTGAGCTGATCATGCTCCATCACTCCGTATTGTCTAGATTCCGTGGGCTATATTTTTTAGGTTTGTTTTGAAGGTGCATGTCTTGGCAGGTATCATCACTTTTAGGCAGCAGAGGTACGCAGTCCCGGTCGGGGGACTAAGCCTCACAACGGTGGCGGAGCATGCCACTTGGCAAGCATCGAGTGGGCATTTCCCAGGGATCTGCAGTTCCAACGGACACGGAGCAACCCAGACTGCCGACGGACCAGCATCACTAGCCTGTTAAACGGAATCGAATACGAAACTTACGAACTGGCCGACATCCATAGGGAGCCTCAAAAGTCACGTGCCAAGACCCCGTTAGAATGTGGAAGGTGGGAATGTTCCAGTTCCACTGCGAGGTGCGGAAATGTGGAAAATGTGGACCAGATCGCTGAATGTTGGGGCGGCAAGGCTGACTTGAGAGTACGGAGTCTCGTACGGAGTCTCGTACGGAGTACGCCGTGCAGGGAGGGCCAGAAAAATCTGGCTACCTGCTGGGATGGTTCTAGGATCGCTTGAGAATGGTTACCCTAGGGTAGGTAACTGAATATTCCGGCGGCATTTCTTTCCCGTGCTGACGACAACGACGATAGGCAGTGACTTTTCGGAGGTTTCTGACTTTTTTTTTTTCTACCCAGGGGTCCAGGAGTGGATTACGGAGGACGGGCGATGCGGCTCACGGAAACTTGGTCTTTGTTCCGATGTTCCAATTTTGGAATAGATGACGGGATACTAGTATGGTAAGGGTAAGGGGCCCCGCGGGGGCCAAGCTGAGAGTAGTGAGGAGTGTATTTGATGTGTACTATGTATTTGGTACCACATCCCTCACCGCCCAATCAACCGTCTTCGCCCTCCCCCCCCCTTTGACCCAATTGAGACTAGGGCCTTCGTCTATCAGGCAGACATCGTCCAACGCGGTCGCCGTCATCTTTCTCATCTCCAGTTGTCTGGTCTGTTCTCCATTCTGATTCTTGTTCATCATCCGTACGCTATCGATTTATACCCATATTGTTGCTATCGCCCGTTGCTTCGCTTCGTTTTGCATCTCTCGTTTTTGCACCCATCTCCAGGTCCACCCTCAAACGGGCGCAATCGAGATTCGCCCTGAGCGCAATACCGGTCCATCCGGCATCGAAGTCTTCGTCTGCCGTGAGCGCCGTGTTATCCGATCTTCTCATCGACCCTTTATCTCTCCTGGAACTCTTGAGACTCTTGTCGTTGAGATCCTTCATCCTGTCGATTCCCTTTCAACGTTGAAAGGCCCTCCGCTGTCTCTTATATACAACGCCCACAGCGGAGCCTCAACTCTGGATCGACTCGTTAGCCTCTGACTCGACCGCAAGTCACTTCTCGAATCAGCTGGACCGCCAAAACCATCGGTGAGTCACCGCAAGAGAGACCCAATCATCGGGACACATCTTGTTCCACACCCTGCTTGTTGCCTGCGTGCTAACGCTGGCCCCCCATCCAGAACCAGCCCATCATGACTGCTTCTCAAGTTGACTCTGGCCGGATGCACCCGCGTCGCCGGCCCAACTTAAACTCCAACCTCCCTTCTCTCCAGACTGAATCCCCCTCCGGTCCTTCCAAGATGCCGCTACGGAAAGGAGAGACCTTCAACACTCCCACCAGTCCACCATCCAGTGACCAAGACCCTGTCCTGAGCATCCGCTCTCTGCCTCGTCGTGCTCCCACCTCGCTGGACGCCATTACTACGAGTGATCAGCGCATGGCTTCCATCCTGGATCGCCTGACCCTCGCAGACTCCCCAGAGGAGAAGCCGTCGACCAAATCCAAGGCCGACCCTACCCGCTCGCGTGCTAACTCCGCAGCTGGTGTAAATGACACTGCTACTAAAAAGCCCTCAAATGGCGATGGCAAGAACCAGTCCTCCACACAAGACAAAAAGGTTTCCTCGGAAGAGGCACATGACTCCGATAGCGGGTTGGGTTCATCAATCAGTAGTGTGGAGAGCATGTCTCCCCTGAGCAAAGCGAGTAAGTTGGCCAAAGATTGTGAAATCAATGGAATCAATGAATCCGTATTGTTGTTGTCGGACTATTGTCTAACGTCCGATTTATCAGTGAATGAGGACATTCACGATCAGTCAGCAATCACAACAACCGCCGAGTCTTTTGAGAGCGGGTCAACCCCCAGAAGACAATTGGGCCTTGCTGCCTGCAAGTCGATTGAGAAATTCGTATTGATCCCCATTCTCAAGGAGCCCAAACTCCAACCTTTTCATGCTCTGGCTCGGAGCGTTCCCTCTCGCATTGTCAAAAAGCAGATCGTCTGCCTACGGGATCTCGAAAAGACCCTTCTTTGGCTCGCACCGGTAAGTACCCACTCTCTATTGTCTGATATTCACGCCCTCGAGGACTCCTCCTTGGCTCATATATATTTCTTTTGCGCCGATAGAAGTCGACTTCCTCTCGACATGCCTATCTCAACTTCGCCGAGTTTACGATCCAGTGCTTGCATACGTCGGCCTCGCACCTGAACGACCGCGACCAGCGATTACCAACCGATCGCCCATACACTAACGGATATTTTGTCGATCTCGTTTCCCAGGTTCGCCGCTACGCCGCAATGATTCGCGCCTCCCAAGACCGGGTGCAGGCCGCCCAGGGGGAAGAGAAGAAGAAAATCTCGATGTAGGTTTCATCCGATCTCTATCCAGCAACTCGAAATAAATACTAACCACCGATATAGTGTCTCCGAAGCCGCCCTCGAAGGTGGTCTATCGATCAATGGCAAGCCCGCCGAGATAATCGTGACCCAGAATGGAAAGCCCATCTCCATGCGCACAGGAAAGCCGATCAACCCTGACAGCCCGTATGTCTTCAAGCGTACCATCAGCTTTGACCAGTCGACCGACGAGGGTGTTCAGCGTTCCATGGCCCGTCGCAAGAAGAATGCGCCTCCCATGGATATCAACCAGAAATGCAAGGACTGCGACAAGATCTTTAAGCGTCCTTGTGATTTGACCAAGCACGAGAAAACCCATTCTCGTCCATGGAAATGCGCCTTTGCCGGTTGCAAGTATGAATCGCTTGGGTGGCCCACTGAGAAGGAGCGCGACCGCCACATGAACGACAAGCACTCGGACACCCCTGCTCTGTTCAAGTGCAGCTTCCAGCCTTGCACATATGCCTCCAAGCGCGAGAGCAATTGCAAGCAGCACATGGAGAAGGCCCACGGCTGGGTTTATGTTCGTTCCAAGAACAACGCCCGTGGCGGCAGCAAGCGTGGCTCGTCCCTACAGGCCACACCTCGTACTCCGAGTGTGGGTGCTTCCACTCCCGGTTCCCGGCCTACCGATTTCCCGACCCCTGTCTCGGGTCCCAGTGCCTCGCCCTGTGAACCCTCTGCGTGGCCAGATCATATTCCGTTCAACTTCAACGATCCTCCTGCGCAGGCTCGCAGCGAGGACTTTCCCCCTCTATTCGAGAGTTCTCCCTTCTCCGGGACCAATACCTCGAGCAGTATGGGCAATGACTTCAGTCTGTTCACCTCGGCCAATCTCGATGCCATGGAGAACCAGTTCGGGGCCGGTGACCCGAACGGGCTCATCTCCTCCCTGTCGATGCACCGACAATCCATGAACTCGATGTCCGTGCCTTCCGCAGGATCCGTCCCCGACCTGATGGCCCCGTCCATGTCCTTCGATGGCTCCCCTCTCGCGAGCAACACCGACCACAACATGAGCTTCGACTATGAGTGGAACCGCCTCGAAACATCCAACATGCAAGAGGACTACTCAGCGCCCAACATGCAGCTTCCCACTCCCGTCTACTCTGACAACAGTGGTCTGAAGCCCTCCACGGGTGACATGAACATGGCGCCGAACTACAACTACGCCGCCCATGGTAATGTCTCTGGACTTTCCCCCCAACGCCCAGGGCAATCTGATGCTGTACTCGCCCGACTCCACCGGCGCGGATGAGCACCTTCAGAGCCTTTACAAGTCTGCTGGCCAGCAGGGAAATACCGATTTCCCCCTTTATGACAACAACATGATGAACAACATGATGCATCCGAACAACCGCTACGTGGCTCGCCCGCAACAGGCCCAGCACCAGCCGCAACCGCAGCAACCTCAGCCTCAACCTCAACACCAGCATCACCCTACCCCCCAACAAATGGCCTCGATGGGCTACGTGCCTACCTCCGAGACAATGTTCCCTCCACTCGTGGAACCGGACATGTTTCGCGGCATTCCCGGATGGGAATCGCAGGATATGAACAATGAAGCCTGGTTGGTGCAGGAGATGGAGTACAAGAAATAGACGAGTCGACCTGTCTAACCTTTATCATTATCCTTCCGATTGACTTGACAATTTACGCAAGCAAGATAGGGCACGGCTGTGCCTTGCCCGAAATATTTCCGCCTCTGTTTCAATCTATCACTATCTCTTTCTTTCCCCCCTCGAGCAAGCGAGCTATTTTGATTCAACTGTCTCCAATTTAACTGTTGTTATTTTTTTTTTCACACTCCTTTTTTTCGAATCTATGAAAAGTCGAATGCGTGGCTACAGTTCGCTGCAGCGGCTGACTTCAAGTTTGCTGTCTAGCGTGAAGGAGGTGGGCAGATGTAATGTTGATCCAGTGGAGAATAGTTTCATACATTGCGAATCTATATTTTCTTTTGATCTTTGTCTTGTCTTTCAGTTAGTTGCAATATGGACGGGATGGGTTGGTAGAATGAAGCCGACCAAGTTCGAACTCGTTTACGTTTACGTGGGTATGTCCAAGTAGACCAGATGGCAGCGATGGCCAAAACAGAGTTGTAGAGTGACAGTGGCCGGAGACAATAGAGTAGATAAATGTCTATTGAAGTGAATCCCATGCATTCAAGTTGGATTATTGACAATCTCTGTGTGACTCGACCCATCGACCCATCAATAGCACCGCCCATCATCGGCAATCATTCACGCCGATCCGAGGACAATGACGCGGCGCATTGACAACCTTTGGAACTCAACATACTTAGCTGCAGTAGTCGAACCAGTTCAATTGTGTAAGTAGTCTTTGTAGACCTATGACTCGCTACTAACTAGTACTCTTACTTCATACTAGTACTAGTATAGGGCTATAGGGCTGGCGCTTCCCACGATTGACCTCGCCAATAGAATGCAATGCCAATGCCAGTGCCACCCAACCCTCTACGTATCTCCACTCAGCGAGCCTGGTGGAGAAGACATTTGATTTGCTAGTATGCTTGGAAATGTTGTTCAACACACCCTTGGCGCATGCCAATATAGGCAACAGTGTGAAGGTCCTCAGCCTTGTTCGTGGGAGACGAGGCTGATGATCTCGGTGGCGGTGCCAATGGGTTGCCAAGGTGAAGTGGAACTAGGAAGATGGAGAGGTAGGACGAGGCGAGGAGGTGGTCCTGGGTTGTGTGACTGTGGTGAGAATAGAAACAGAATAGAAATAGTAATATGCGTGGCTGTCAGTGTCGAGCGTCAAGTTGAGTTACTCGCAGTTTCGGGTGACGACATCAGCTGTTCCCCCCGCCTTCCTTTAATTCCTCCTCTTCTCTTCTTAACATCCCCCCCCCCCCATTGTCATTGTCCATTTCCCTGTCACTCTCTGTCACTCTCTGTCATTGCTATTCTGGATTCTTTCTTTTCCACTCCACTTCCTTGATCTCCCCACCAGGGCTGAGTTGGATCTCCGCAGGCAGACGGATTCCGCCCCGCAGCCTTAAGTTTACCAGCTATCCACTAGCTGCTCCTTTTCTTCCTTTCTTCCAGCTTCCACGCCTGCACTTACACTTACACTTACATCTACATCTACATCTGTGATCGCCTCAAACACGTCAACATGCAGTCCGATCCCGCGATCCCAAGCGGAGACCGCGACGAGAAACAGCTCGAGTCCGGCCCGGCCCCGGGTCAGATCCTGACTGGCAAGCAAGAACACTGTGAGATTTGCCCCGCGATCCAGTTCGCCCCTTCAATCAACCCGTGCGACTGCTATGCAATGTGTGCAGCGCTCTTTTGACACTCGCTAACTTCACCCATCTGTGCAATGAAGACCTCAAGCGCGAACTCATCGCTCTCCAGGTGCGCAGCGAAATCAACGAGCTAAACTCCCCCACCGCATTGCAACGATTCGGCGCCCCATTTCGATCGGAACTCGGCGAGGTCGCCCCCATCGACTCGGAACTGCCTATCCTTCGCTATATCTTCGTCAACCATGTTCGCAACTTCCCCTTTCTCGACCAGGCCAAGGAGAAGGAGTTCTGGCAGGATAAGTTGCAAGTGGTGCGTTCTCCCCTTCCGACCGAGCGCAGACGAGCTAGTTGAATGATTGTTTGACTGACCGATGGTTGTGATAGTTCCTTGAATCTTTTGCCAATAAACATGTCTCATCCTCGGAGGATCGTTTGGAGGAGACAAAGCGCCGGAAACTGGCGCGCAAGTGCGAGAAGCTCGTCGAACTGATGATGGTCTCTGGTGTACCGACTGCGTCGGGATATGAGGAACGTATTCAGTTCTCAGAGATGGAGGTGGTTGAGCGCGGAGCCAATGACAATGGGTTACTGGTGAACATGCCTGAAGGTCATGCCATCAATGGCTGGGATGTAAATGTGGCTGCGGTCCGAGTGACATCTGTCAAGCGGACCGTCCGGTACCACCAACATGCAGTGAGTTTCATGCCTACACTTACAAGACCATACAACCAGGGAGTATTTAACCCAGCGGTTTAGGAATTCATCCTTCGAGTACGTCGCGGCAGTCAAGACGAGATCCACATCGGCAGAAGATATGGCGAATTTGTCAAGCTGCACCGAAGACTGCGCACCGAGTTCCCCGGCAAACATCTCCCTCCTCTACCCCGCAAGAATAAGACCTCGACAAGCTCCAGCTGGTTCGGCAGTAACGGAGAAGACGATGCTTCTTCCGTATCATCCCTATCCACCCAGGATGCCAGTGTCGCCGATGAGCCCGCCTCTTCAGGCCGAACATTGGCCCCCGGCGGTCATCGGCGATCAGTCTCGCGGGGCTCGACGCGATCCACCAAGTCCCCACGGGGTTCATCAACGGATGTATCACGGGAGACCGTGTTGTATCGCGAGGAGCAGCGTGTCTCCTTGCGTGCATTCATTCGTACTCTATTGCAGAACAAGCGCATTGCCGAGTCCAAGTCCATGGAGGAGTTCTTGACTGCCAAACCAGTAACGCTGAATGAGGAGGAACTGCTCGATGTGGACAGACGCAAGGCGATGGATGCAGTCAGAATCGAAGAAGGAAGGCGATTCTACGAAATTGCGCGGCAGCGTGCCGCGGAGTTAGATGTGTATATGGAGAAGTTCCGCCGGGATATTGTTGAGAGCAGTAAGTATTTCTCCTGCAAAAAATGCAAATTGGGCTCCAAATAGCCTCGGACACACCCATCTAACCTTTCACAGATGGATTGACGAAGCTTTTCTCTGAAATTCGCGAAAAGTCATGCATTGCGGAGCTCAGCCCACAATACCAGAAATTCGCCGAATGGCTTCGAATTGAGGTTGCCGCAACTGTCTATCACCTGTTCCTTGCCGAGGATAATTCTCCAGAACTCTTTGCACAAGCCAAGCGGATCCACGGTCTTGTTCCATACACCCTCATGAAGAATGTCATTCGCATCGCCAACCCCGCGGCGGTCATGTCTGGCGTTCTGGACCTCTTCTGCGCTCAGCCCTTTGGCTCGCGGTCACTACTGCAACGAATCTTCTCCCTGACTCTCAACGAAAGTATTAAGGATTTCCAAAAGTCGATAACATCGCTATCGGGCAAGGTCGATGACACCGTTCTCGCGCAGAAGCTGAAGAACTTCGTGGATGCGGATGAGAGCATCAAGAACGAGATTCGGGAGGAGGCGGAATTAGAGGATGCTGATATCATCGTTGCTATTCTCCGCTCCGAGCTGATCTCTCCAGAGCTCAACGCTGAGCAAATCGGCAAGGTCTTCAACGGGTGGGTCGCCTGGAACAATGCGGTAGACAATGTCGACGTGGAGATGCAGCAAGGAGCCCAATGGTTCGCCAATATGAAACAGCTTCTCAAGCTGTACACCCGCCAGCGCGATAAGGCGATGATGCTCAGCATCGTCGAGGAACCTACCACGCTGCAACTCTTCCGCGATCTCTTCACCATCTTCTACGAGCCGCTGGTCCGGGTATACAAATCCGCCAACGTGTACAGCAGTATTACCGATTTCGCCGTATTTGCCGACGACGCCATCTCCGTGATCGAGAGTGCCCAGCGCCAGGATGCATCGGCGGATCCGAACCAGACCGTCCAGGCCTTTATCGATCTATGCGCTCGCCACGAGGACAATTTCTACAAGTTCATCCACGAGGTTCACATCCACGACAACGGCCTGTTCCAGTCGCTGATGACCTGGATTGAGGAAATCCTGGAATTCCTACGTAAGGGCCCGAAGGCTGGCGAGGCTGGCCGACTCGATATGAACGCTCTGTTCCAGGGTGCCGTTGGCGTCGGCCAAATCGACAGGGACATTGCGCTTGTAGAAATCAACGCGCTTATCAAGTGGCAAGAAGATCGCAAGAGGTGGCACCTGAACAAGACGCGCCAAAAGATGGCTGCTGAGGGAACTGGCAACGACTCGATCCCGGGCAGTGCCACGTTCAAGGGCAGCGACTTTGGTCTGGACGAGGTATGTGCTGCAATGCCAGCTTTGAAAACATGTATATCTAACCTAAATCAGGCCGATCTCGAGGATCTCACCATCTCTGACGAAGCATCCGACTCTGAAGATGAAGCTGCTGACGAGGAGGAATTGGACGATCCAATTACCGTTGAGCGCCGGCGTCGTTCAAAGAAACAGGACCAACTCCGCCGCACCGCTGGCGAACCCGTCAAGCCTGAGATAACGGAGATTCTCAAGTTGACCGATCCGTTCGTCGTGATGCTACGCTACGTTTTGGCGGATTAAGTCTGCTTCCACCTTTGCCTCTGCTCTGTAATTCCCCATTTGCGTCTCGCTGTGTTGCTATAGCCTGTTCATTTGCACTCGACATTCATAGCTCCGTGTTCAATCCACATCACTTGATACATCGCATGTTTGAATTGATTCCCCGTTGTGTTATTCGCTATTTGCTACTAGTATTTACTCTTTGATATTCTCTTCGCTGTGCATACTTTACCGTTCCGTTCTATCGCCGGGTTCGGACTTGTGAAATAAATGGGAAAGACTAGACAGTGACAAATCACCCAAAAGCCCCAGATCAATATACCAGATAGAAGGAGAGGGCGCAAGGGTAATCGAATCGGAATCTAAATTTGAATATGAAAATGACCCGAAAAAGAACCAGCCAAGTCAGATCAGATCATAATTTCTTCATATATTCCCGTAATGCTGTCGTCGCCCTCCCATCCCGAGACCACTGATCCCCCTGATCCAACGCAGTCAATCCCTCCGCACAAGTGAGCCTCGGATCAGCGCCCGATTCGAGAAGCAGCATAACAAGATCAACATAGTCCTGCAAAACAGCAATATGAAGCGGCGTCTGGCCGGAGCTATTCCTCGCATTAACATCTGCGATCCGCGTACCACCCGGCCCTGGCCCTGGATTTAGATCCGACCTAGACCGCGAAGTCTGGAGTAGAAGTTTCACAACATCCACATGATTCCGCTCAACAGCTGCATGTAAAGGCGTGGTACCGGAGACATCGGGATTCAATAAATCCACCCTTTCACACTCCACCAGCGTAGAGACCATGCTCTCGTCACCGGTAATCGCAGCCACAAGAAGCGGACACTGGTGTTTCCATGAATCACTCAGATTCGGATCCGTCTTGTCCCATCCAAGTAGATACCTCACGACTGAGATATGTCCGCGCTCGACGGCAATGGAGAAAGCGCCTCGACCGTGGTGTCCGGCTCCACTATTACTGTGACTTCGACTGTGACTATGGCCATGACCATTGCCAGTGCCATTGCCATTGGTGTTCCCATTAATAGGGCCGGTCCCGTTGACAGTCCCATTCCCATTCCCATTCCCATTCCCATTCTCATTCTCATTCCCCGCAGCCATAGCAATAGCCATAGCCATCCCCGTCCCCCCCACTCGCCCCATTCGGATCAAGCCTATCACCAAAATACTCAACAAGATACTCGACAATCTCAACATGACCCGAAATAGCCGCATAAAAGAAAACATGCTGACAATGCGCACCACTTTCATCGCCATCAAGAATAAACCGCAAATGCGTCGCAAGGATAAGATCGACCTCAATACCGCGCTGACTAGCCCTGAGACAAAGCCGTCGCGCCTTGCGTATTCGACACGCGCGGATCAACGCGCGACCCGCCACTTAATAGAACGGGAATCATATCCGGGCGTAGCGTGACGGCGGTCATGAGCGCTGTATCGCCGAATTTATCTTGCAGGTTGGGATCTGTGCGGTCGTCTTTTAAGAGGGCGCGGACGATGGCGGCGTGGCGGTGCTTGATTGCCCATGTTATGGGTGGTCTGATGTATTTTCTGTCTCGGGAGTTGGGATTTGTTTCTGGGTATGTGAGGAGGAGAGAGAGGACGGATAGACTGCCGTGATAGGCTGCTAGCATGAGTGGTGAGCAGCCTTTTATTAGGGTGTCTTGATCGGAGACGGTTGTTGGGTTTGCGCCGGCGGCGAGGGAGGACTGGGCGACGGCTTCGTTGTTATGGATTGCGGCCCAACAGAGGGCTTTTGAGGATTGGCGGGCGTCGAGTTTGTAGAGGTAGGGTTGGAGGAGGAGCGTTGTTGAGTGGTTTAGTTGGGTCAGGGCGTTTAGGGCGGGGAGGTCGAGGTAGCTGGAGATTTGGAGGAGGATTTCGGAGGGGAGGTGTGAGAGGCTACAAGGCCCTGGTGTTTCTGGGTCATCCATGGTGGATTGGGGGATGTGGGAGCATTGGATGGTGTAGGAGGGTTGGTTATAAAGGATTGCGCAAGGGCGAGGCTTGAGGTGAAGCTGAAAATTAGGGCCGGGGGTGTGTGCGTGGACGGTGGGTTCAGGCGCGGAGATGTGATGGCGATGACAGAGTCGGTGTTAGTGTCAGTAACAGTAGTGATAGTAGTGGTAGAGCTGGTGCTAGTGCCAGGGCCGGGGCAGATGCATCCACGGACTCGGGAGTATCCGATCGGGCCATGTTGAAAAAGGATAAGGTGTGCGAAGGGAGCGTTGTGGAGTTGTGCAGTTGGAGAGATCGACACTGTGGATGTGGGGGCGGGGATCCACCAGAATTGCGGCAAAACGAGACACTGGCGGGTTTCAGGGCTGTCGGAGTGGTAGGCAACTCCATAGAATGAGGCTGTGCAGGGGTATTTAGAGATGTAGTTATGCGTCGTTTTAATTATATTTATAATTATAACCATAATTAAACCTGTAGCATAACTAATTGTGTTGAAGTATAAGTATATAAGCAGAACTTGATGTATCATAAATTACCAAGTGATAGTGTAACAATGTATGGTATGGTCACCGATAAGATACGGTTTCCCCGGCGATAAAGAAACTCTTGGCTGGGGGAACTCCCATTGTCCATTGTCCATTCCCATTCCCATTGATATACTCCCTTCTGGTATCTACTGGTGGTTATTGGGAATCACTGGGGATTACCCTCACTGCACATACAACATGTACTCCCCAAATAAACCCCCAAAGTCCCCCTCATCAGTGCGCTTGAAAGGTCTTTTCAAAGAGGGCTCCTGGCGTTGCGACTGCCCGGAGCGGGCTCTCGCCATTAAGCTTCAAGTCAAGAAGGAGGGTAGAAATCACGGGCGCTACTGTATGTGACACCCTTCCACCGTATCTCACCCAGCTAACCCATCAGTCTATACCTGCCAGAAACCCCGCGCACAACAATGTGGCTTTTTCTTGTGGAAAGAGGATGCCGAGCCCCGCGAAGAAGCCGTCGTCCTCTCCAACTCGCGATCCGAAGACGACCTGCGCTATCCCACCCTCCCATCTACCCCCACAACACCCCGGCGCAGTGGTCTTCTCACTCCACAAACCGAGCGCCGCTTTATTGACATCCCACCCCGCCATGCGCACGCCTGTTCACCCCCAAAGAGCGCAAAGGCACGGATGATGGCCGAGGATACCGACGAATTTGGCTGGGATGACAATACAGACGACAATAATGAACTGAGTGAACTGACCGAGCTCTCCGCAAGCCAGTCAACGGAGCCTTTTCTTTCCCAACCAAATTGGAACCCAGATCAGCCATCCAACAAAGCGGCGCGCACCCCAACGAGGTCATCGCCGGGAAAGCGCAAGCTCTTCGAATCCGGCTACCACGACCATAACTCCTCGACCAGCAATTCCAATCCTTCCATAATTGCCACTCCATCCTCTACCCGATCAAACCCTTCGATCGGCTCAAGTCGCATCCCGCCATCTTCAGCAGAGCTATGCATGACCCCGACACCAACAAAGTACCGAGACGTCATTAGCTCCTCGAATATGCCCAACATGTCCGATTTAGCGGCCGAGGCAAATGCAATAATGGAACAATACGATGTGGTGCTGCCGAACAAGGCGCAAGATGCGTTGGTCGAACTGCTCAATCGGCATCATTTGAAGCTGCAAGGCGTTAATAAAGGGCGCGAGGTCACTCGGCAGGCCTTAAAGAGGAAAGAGGATGAACTAGCGAGGAAGGATGGGGAGATTAGGCGGCTGCAGGACACTATTACCAGTCTGCAAGCGCAGAAGGAGATGGATCAGAGCATCATTGATTCTATGAGCATGTAGTGTCAGTGAGAAGGATGGGTTGATGTCCACGGGCTCTTGAAATGGTGGATGTTTATTAACGATGTTACGATACATATTATGAGGGGTTTGGCATGAATAATCAATACTACTACTACTACTAGTCAGGGTAGTACTACTTCTCGTGATGGCACGCCTTGGTCAATGGGCTACTACGTACTGCAGCAATTACGATCTATACTCCAGATCAATATAATTACAATTTTGACATCTTTGGGAACCATGATAAAATCACTGGCGACTTTTTCACCCAAGTACAGACCTAAGTCACTCAACTTCAAGTTCACACAGTGCATTACATCGTAGAATATGTGCACTAAGCACATCGTCATACATGGCTGTAAACCGCCCCGCCCAATCAGGAAATGCCCTGCATGATCGATCACGATAACATCACGTGTCGATAAGAAGAGCAATTTGTTGGAGAGATCGACCATGCGCTCACTTAACACAGGCACAGTTCACAACCAGGCCCGTGGCCGCGCAATCCTCCCTCCCACCGGACACCAATCATCCTCTCGATGTCGAAGCCGTCGAAGAACGACGACCCGCGCACCCAGGTCACCCGCGAACTGCCCGTCATGTTCCGCCCACCCGTGAACCGGGCAATGCGGACCCTCGACCGATCATTCTTCCGCAAGACAGTGCCCCTCACTTCAGCTCGGATCTTCCAGAATTCCGAGATCTCGCGCGTGCGCAAGGAATTGGCCACCGCTAAGGATCTTCTTGCTTTGCCGCGACTGTCGAGTGTGCAGGAGATTCCAGACCAGGATGGGACGGTACGGAAGGCGCTTTTGTTAAGGGAGACGGTTAAACATGATGGTAGGTTTGTCCGTGAATGGAGTGGTGTGGATTTTGTTACTTCTGGCGAATGGATATAGACTGACATTCACTGTGCGCAGACAAGTCAACGTGGTCGCCCAAGATTACCGAACTCGTTGAGAAGGGAACTGTGGCCGTGGGACCGTTCGAGCTGGCATTGGATTATGATTATTGGAGCTATGGTATGATCAATTGCGCATGACTCCGGCCGAACGACAACCTCAATACAATCCCGCTAACGCATTCCAGCTGAAATCATGAGCGCTATTCTCCCCGAGCAGGAAAACGCAGAGGTCCCTCAGGGCTTCACACAGGTGGGGCATGTTTGTATGTTTCTGCCCAACATCAGCCAGTGATCTGATTTCCCCGCGGTTGTATATGGATGCTAATCAGATCGAAAAACAGTACATCTGAACCTCCGCGAACACTGGCTCCCATTCAAGACCCTCATTGCCGAAGTTCTCAAAGACAAAAACCCCACCGTCCGAACAGTCATCAACAAGACCGAAGATGTCGGCTCGCACAGCCAATTCCGCACATTCCCCTTCGAACTTCTAGCCGGCGAGAACGACCTGAACGTCGTCCAGCACGAACAAGATTGCGAGTTCCACTTCGACTACGCCCGCGTATACTGGAACAGCCGTCTGGAAACCGAGCACCGCCGACTCGTGGAGAAGTTCCGCCCCGGACAGATGGTCTGCGATGTCATGGCTGGCGTTGGTCCCTTTGCCGTACCAGCCGGCAAGAAGAGAATCTTCGTGTGGGCGAATGACCTGAATCCTCACGGGTATGAGGTTATGACAGACGCTGTACAGCGCAACAAGGTCAAGGACTTCGTCACTCCACACAACAAGGACGGACGGGACTTCATCCGCGATTCAGCGAAACAGCTTCTCGAGGCCGAGCCTGTGACTGTGACGATTCAGCCCAAGGGCGGACGGAGGGACAAGAAAAGAAAGGCAGACGGCAGCCAAGACCTTCAGCCTCCGTCTCAACCTCAACCTCCCGCCCTGGTCTACCAGCGTCCCTCAGTCGTGGACCACTACGTAATGAACCTCCCCGCGACAGCAATTGAATTCCTCGACGCTTTCCAGGGGGTGTATGCAGGCCAGGAATCCCAGTTTGCGCCTCACACGGAGCAAAAACTACCCATGGTGCACGTCTACTGTTTCTCTGGACACTCGGAGAACGAGGTCGATGACCATGTAGATATCTGCGAGCGCATCTCCGAGCGCATTGGGTATACGATCACGCCAGAGGACCGTGTTGATGGCAGCGGTAATGCGGCGATCGAACTTGCTATCTTTAATGTGCGACTGGTCAGTCCGAAGAAGCAGATGTTCTGTGCTAGTTTCCGGATTCCGCCTGAGGTTGCTTTTCGGAAGTAGGTATACTAGTATTTGAGGCGTATGCCAGTGGTTGGGTATATGTAAGGCAGAGATGGGATAGATAAAATAACACTGATACCCTGATATAGTTAAAAGTATACCCTAGGGCAATGTTGTTGTAGTAGTAGTAGTAGTAGTAGTAGTAGTAGTAGTAGTAGTAGTAGTAGTAGTAGTAGTGGTAGTGGAATACTATAGAGTAACTAGTATAGAGCTACACAGGAAGGAACGACCCCAGGCTCCGAGTTCTTTCTGTTCTCATCCAGGGCTCTTCTCTCCAGCTTCACTTTCACTCTCTTCTCCAGTCTTCTCCCATCCATTACTCCAACCAAATCCATCCCATATTCAATATCCAAGTTTTGTGCTTCTGCTCGTGCTCACTCGTGCTCACTCGTCCTCATCAACCAACCAAAATGACGCCCCGCAAAGCGGTGCGCTCACCGCCCCGATCTGCCCAACGAACAAGCAGATTCAACCTCGAAATCATACCTTTGACCCCCCATCCAGCAACAGATCAATTCATCGACGCGACAACCCCGATCCCCCGCCTCTCCATCCGCCACAACATGGACCGCATCGTCCTACCCCCGCCGACGAACCGCAAACGCGCACTGCCGCAGGGCGAGCTGGAGGCGGCCTCGACGCTGAAGCTTGGCGCGGACCAGAATACACATACCCTCTCGCTGTCCGAGGCGCGACTGGTTATTCACAAGGTTTTGGAGAATAAGCGTCGTGGTGGGAATAAATATGAAGAGCCTGAGTATGTTACCTATTACCCGTGAGCTTGATATAAATGTAGCTATAGCTATAGCTACATGGTGTGGTTTTGTTTTATGTCTGCTCTAGAGCGAACAGAGAAACGATATTCGAGGGACAGGAGTATAATGAATGAATCATTGATATTAATGGTTTGCTTTGCTTCACAGGACCCTGGATAAAACGCTCGTTTACCTGGATGTGTTTGCGCGATTCAAGGACGAGGAGAATATCAAGGCGGTGGAGCGACTATTGAACTCGCACACGGAATTGGAGATGTTTGAGCGGTCGCAGTTGGGTAAGTCAAGTGCCGTGCTTTCTTCCTGTTACCCTGTTTCCTTTTCCCCGAACCAGGAACCAGAATTCAGAAACCAGAGTTCGGGTTTGGGTTCGGGGTAAGGTTGCCAATGCCCATGCCAATGCCAGGGTTTCCGTTTTCCCATCTCCGATGTTCCCTTCCTATCCCATTCCGGTCTCTCCACTTTGGCGGACTGCGGCGGTGGCGTGGCGTCGGAAAGGCGCGTGTCGGACTTCCCCCTGGCCGTTTACCCCCCAAATAACCCCAACTACCTATGTATGACCCCAAAAGGTAACGACCTCGGCTGATTGAAATTGGAATCTAGGTAGTTTGTGCTGCGATAATGCGGAGGAGGCCAAGTCTCTGATCCCCAGTCTGCAGAATAAGATTGGCGATGGAGATCTGCAGGAATTGCTGGACGAGCTGACCAAGCTGCGCAACTTTACGGAGTGATCGGGCAGAGAAGAGCAGAGCAGATCAGGTAGTACCTTATCATATTGGGACTGAAACTGAACTGCAACTGGAATTTGGGAGCATGGAGTTTGGGCGTCTTTCTGCTTACGTTAGGTCTGGATAAGTTTGGTTAGGAGGAATTCCGAGGGAACTCAAGCTGGCAAGGATGAACCAATGGAGGTGGATCGATTCCAACGGTTGCTTTAGCCGGGTCATTGGATCATTGGATCTTTGCATCCCTACATGTACATAATGCACTTAACATGAGTCAAGAATTACTACGAAGTAGTACTACTCATATGGAGGTCTCCGTGTAGTCAGACCATTCAAGTGGTTACTATTAGTCAATGGGCAGTGCCGATCCGAGATTCTCCTTTGCCACCGGGTCAGCGTTTTATTCAAGTAGGCGAGCACATGCCGGGGATGAGGTTGAGGAACTCCGGACTCCACCGTGGGGCCGGATAAACTCGTTCAAACTCGTTAAACTTGCAGGGAGTGGGGAGGGTGATTGGCTCTGTTAAGCGTTATCATGGGCAACCGATTGGTTGGGTGCAGCGGTGGGTAGCGGTGAATCTGGAGTTGATATGATACTATACTATTTTGTAGTATCCGATAGTACACTCGGAGATGTAGAGTTGTAGACTGTGTACCTGTATCTTGAGCATAGGTATAGTATATCCAGAGGAGCTCCTATGCTATAGAGTATAGAGTATAGAAGTACTCTATACTCTATACTCTATAGTATCGCCCGAGTAGTAGTATACTAAGTATACTACTCTATCTACACTGTCTACGGGCGGGTCTCCTCCGAGCCGCTCGATTACCTACAACGAATGACATAAGCCGGCCTCTCATAGGTGCAGCCCATTTCAAAGTACGTAACAAACACTCTCCACCAATCAAGTGTTACCTTCTTATCTGGCTTGACAATTTCACCGTGCTAATTGGGGCCATTCTGTTACGAGAGCAAAAAGAAAGATCGTCTGCTTCCGGTCGAGTTATATCGTCATCATCCTCCAATTTCTTAATTCCATGCCCTGGAATTCGTTTACCCTTGACTTCGTATATTGCTTTTTTTCTTCTTTTTCCTGCTAACAGGAATGACCGAGCAGACGATTCGACATCTCCTCCTGCTGCAGTCGTTAGCTGGTGCGGATTAAGCAGAGCATATATTACAGAGTAGTATATGCGAGAGCTTTATACAGATCTACAATCTACACCCGACCCCCCAGCAGGGTAAATAGGGTATTATCAACTTGAAGATAACCTTACATTTCCTGATAAGCTTGATCTTACATACTACCTCCGAGATCCTATACTATTCGACTATTCGACTACTCTTATCATTGCCCTCCACACTCTCCTACTTCCTCCGTGGAGCCACTCCCCCGGGAGGCTGAACCCTGGAGACCCCCAGAATCTCCAATCTACAATCTACGGAGTAACTCCCCAGATATAACCATAACACATCCATCTCCATGGCTACCGTCATCACCATTCAGCCTTCCTCAACGGCTGTCCCAACCTCCCACTCTCCTTCCCTCCACCGTCGACATCCCTCCAACTCCAACTCCACCCCCAACACTCTTTCGCCCTCCCCTATCTCCATTCACTCCTCACTACCTCGTCTGGGTAATAGGGATGGAGCCAGTTGTGACGCCTGCCTTCGCCGAAAGAGCCGCTGCGCTATGAATGACCTCGTCAACAAGTGTTACTCCTGTGACTTCCACCGCCAGGAATGCACATTTACCCTCTCGACCGACGCCCCAATTAAGAAGCGCAAGCTGGAGGATTCCCCGCGAGAGCTTGACTCCGTAAAACGGTATGTCCAGAATGAGAAGGAAGGATATCCTTGGATGGCATGGAACCTTTGGAATCTAAGCTAAACATCTTCATTCAAGACCCTCCATGCAATCCAACACACACGCCCCGGCCCAACCTCCACCCCCCGAGGCCGGACGCCTCCATCAAGGCGCCATGATTCGCCCAGGCTTCTTCAATCAATCTACCCAACATATTGGCATGACCACCGAATTGGAGCCGGCCCTCCTCGAGTATCTGCCACTAGACGAATACGACGAATGCACCGTCTCCGACTCCCGCATCCGAAGATGTGCCGACGACTGCACCTTTATGCGCGTCGTAGATACCCTCCCTATCGGTGACTCGCAGGCCGTGTCACTCGACGCCATCGAGAGCCTGGTTGCTCCCTACGGCGCAACCTTGATCGAGAAGTTCTTCGACCATGTTCACCCTTCCTTTCCCATTCTCATGGAGGACGCTTTCCGCCAATCATACCGGGAACGCCGCCAATTATCCCCGCTACTCCTCGCCGCGGTCTATGTGCTTACACTGAAGTTCGTCGATGTGGGCGCCTCCTCTCAAACAGCCCGCCGCCCGGACGCAGCGCGGTTAGAGAGCACGGCCTTGAAACTGCTGATTGAGTCTCTGCCGTTCCCCAGTATCTCAACTATCCAGGCCGGTCTGTTATTAACGCAGAAGTCGACATTGGCTACGGCCTCGCTGAACGGCCAGTTGGTGACTGCGTGCTTCGAGCTGGGTCTACACCAAGACTGCTCGAACTGGCGCATGAAGACCTGGGAGAAGGGTCTGCGGAAGCGTCTTGCCTGGGCTCTGTATATGCAGGATAAATGGTCTTCCTTAGTACACGGTCGTCCGTCGCAGATCTTCGCCTTCAATTGGACAGTCAAGGATCTCGTGGAAGACGATTTCTCCGATGCTTTCAGCTCCGGTACCGACTCAGCGCACGACTCAGCAGCCGTTGGACACGGCCCTCTTCTCTTCTGCCATATGGTGGCCCTCACAACCATTCTCTCCGATATTTTGGATCGCTTTTATACCCTCAAAGCCATCGAGGATTTCACAGCCGCAGGCAACCAAAGAACCCGCATCATCCTCGAAAAGGCCAAACCAGCACAGATCCGTCTGAAGGAGTGGTTCTCCTCTCTGCCCCCCTCATTGAAGATGGAATCATCAACCGGCGAGCTCGTCGAGACAATCACCGACGAACACGCCCGCAACGGCGCCCTCCACCTCGCCTATTTTGCCACGGAAATCACCCTTCACCGTTGTATCGTGCGCTCTCTCGCCACAGACGGCTCAGACTCCTACCTCGCGCACATCTGCCGCGGCGCCGCAAAAACCCGCCTGATATCCGCCATGGATTTCGTCAACCGCCTTCGTCCCGCTCATCTACGCTCATTCTGGCCCGCCTCCGCACGCACCAACTTCTCTCTCATCGGCTCCTTTGGTATGCTACTTCGCATTACCGCGCCGACGAATGAGGAGGCGGATTTCTACCGCGTGCGTTTGTGTGAATACCGCTGGACTCTGAGCGTTAGTCACAAGAATGCCGAGTTTATGAGCTTTGCCCTTGAGAGTCTTGACAATGCGACGGCTTTTGACAAGCATGTTCCCGAAAAGCCGAATATCGACGAACTCATGGCTTCGCAGAAGCAGGCTCCCCGTGTTCTTTTTTCGCGGGAACCTACGATGATGCTATGGCTGAAGCCGAGGCTACGCACGGCGCGGGCTCTTCTTCTATTATGTCCGGTCTTGCGTCTCCTGCTACGTCTGTTAGCGATATGGAAGATAATGATGGTTCGATGCTTTGAGCGCACCCTTTACCCTTTTTATACCCCTCTATATATTCTCCTCGCCATCCTCTCTCCGTATCTCGCCACCTCTACTCTCTTCTCTCCTATACCTCCTTTTTTCTCCCACCCACACCCAACCGCCTCGGCATACTGGCGTTAGGAACACAATGAAGCGCATGATTTTTGGATAGCCCCTGTGATCTTCATGGAATTCGATCACTCAAAAGGTTCGGGCAATGTTTTTTCTCTGGAATGATGGATTTCGGAATGGTCGTTATGGTCCGGTTTTCTTTGCTTTACTTTCGTTCGACTACCCCCTGGAACGCGCTGGATTTCGATATGTATATAGAACCGTGACGACATAGATGGTCATGAATTACGAGAACTGATTCAATATTGTCCTCCCTGTACACTGGCATGTAGAGTATAGTCGGGCCATACTTGCGTAGGGATGTTTTCGTTGGTGCTGGCATCTTGGTCTAAAATGTACTTTGAGTAAGAGGTTGGAGCTATTCACCGAATTGTCCAATATAATACTATATAGGAGATACCCATAGCGAGGACTCGGAATAATCTACATACTCCCGAGGTCCACCTCCAAGCCAACGTCGTATCATCACCTACTCTTTCACCGACCCTTCCAATAATATCAACTAACAAAATGGCCAAATCGGCGATTGTCGGCGATAGAGATGGGGATCAGTTTCCCACGGACCTGCATCCTATTGGCTTTCTACCAAGCTCTGAGATCCACAGACACCAACTCGATCGTGATGCCTGCGGTCATACTTTAGATTTTCAAGGTTTCAATTTGTAATGTAAACCATCTTAGCCTTACATTTCCCCGCATGACCTCTTTTTTATTGAGGGGAAATCGGGTTGGAGTAGTCGGGCCTCTGAATTATCAGCCACTTACTTCGGGTTTTTGGGGCCCCATGGTTTGCTCTATTGATAGGTCCTAGTACTGATAACGTATCAGACGTGGGCGTTGGCCCCTCAGATTCGACCTTACGGATGATATCCGATAGCGGATAAACGCGGTGAAAGGGATGGGATGCATATCAGGCACGGGGTCCTGGTTGATACGAGTACTTAAGAAGAAAAGATCCATCGATCTGAGGAAAGATAATACTAAATCGCGCAAATTCATTCAAAATTCCACAAAGGCGATTTCAACTACTTTCAAGTCCACGGCTGTCCTTAGTACTTCCACTTTGGACGACTGAACTATACGAAACTCAACCAAACCCATCCCACTGGCACATCATACTACTGTCCAAGATGGCTTCCGATTGGAACCAAAATGACCTCCGGGCACGCTTCTGCCACGCCCTATCAGAAATGTACAAAACAGAAGTGCCCCTATACGGCGACCTAATCGACGTCGTCCTAGAAGCAGACACAAAAGCGCTACAAGCAAGCACGAAATCCGGAGAAGCAGTCCCCATAAACCCGGACGACGTCCTCCCACTACGACACCGAGTCGAACGACATGGGGCAATCCGACTAGGAACCCCACACGAGCTCAGCACGATTCGACGCATGTTCGCCGTCATGGGAATGTACCCGGTGGGCTATTATGATCTCAGTCTCGCTGGATTCCCCATGCATGCCACAGCCTTCAGGCCGACGACCCAAGATGCGCTCGCAGCGCATCCCTTCCGAGTCTTCACGACGGTGTTGAGGATGGAGCTTCTGACCGCGAAGACGCGGGAATTAGCGAAGAAAGCGCTGGACCAAAGAAGTATTTTCACGCCCAGACTTCTTGCTTTGTTGGATACTGTTGAGTTAAAGGGGTCCTTAACGCCTGATGAGTGTCTTGAGTTTATCAACAATGGATTGGAGACGTTCAGGTGGCATTCGATGACTACCGTTACCCTTGACGAGTACATGATACTAAAGGCCGAACACCCTTTAATAGCTGATATTGTTTCGTTCCCTAATGCGCATATCAATCACCTCACGCCGCGAACGATCGATATCGACCTCGTTCAGAGTCTCATGGTTGAACATGGAATGCCCGCGAAGGAGCGAATCGAAGGGCCGCCCAAGCGGAACTGCCCGATATTATTACGACAAACTAGTTTCAAAGCTTTGCAAGAAACCGTCTATTTTGGCGATGTCTCTGGCTCAGGCGTACCGATCAAAGGATCTCACACGGCGCGTTTTGGAGAAGTCGAGCAACGTGGTTACGCATTAACGCGAAAGGGTCGGCAATTTTATGATCAAATTTTGAATCAGGTTAATGATCTCGCGGCTGCGAATCGAAATCGAAAACTCAACGATACTACCGAATACGAATCTCTACTCGCGAAATCGTTCAAAATCTTCCCGGATACGCTCCCCGCTCTTCGAGAAGAGGGCCTAGCATATTTTTGCTATAGGTTGACTTCAGCCGGCGAGAAGTATGCAGAGCACCGTGATGACGACTTCGGTAGATATGTACCGCCACTTGGTACAGCGACAGAATCAGTCCAAGACCTCCTGGACAGAGGAATTCTAAGCTACGATCCAATAACGTATGAGGATTTCCTTCCATTATCTGCGGGCGGCATTTTCAATTCCAATCTAGGCGACGTCTCCAAGTCTAAGCAGCTCATTATGAGCGCCGAGTCAGATTTGGATGGGTTCCAGCGTGGTCTGGGTACTTATGTTGCGGATGAATTTCACCTCTACGCAGAGATGCAACGCGGATCCCTTGAGGTTTGCAAGCAGAAACTTGGCTTGAGGGAAATTTCTATGGCCTAGCTGGTCGATTAGACGCTCAAGGCTTGGCTTTGGGGTCAATTCCGTCATTCATTTTTACTAGCGGGTGAGGTTACTGGGGATTTTTTGCATGACTACCTACCTAAAGTAGGCAGTCTTCGGCATCGTGCTACATTTTTAATATTCTCTTGGTTATGGATTTAACTTTTCTGCCCAAGGGTTCATACTAATTTCTTGACCTGCTCAATTCGGATAATTTGACGGACCTTCCACTTGTGGAAATTTAACACCCGTCGGGGGGACTTTTCTTGGAAATTCATCAACTCGTGCAGTAAACTAATAGTCTTCTCTAAATTCCCAGTCATGTACTTCGTATGATCTCCAAGCTTGATCCATCCATGGATGGATGTTTATTTCTGTGAGAAACCACCTGTGGCATGATGTACCTTGGAAGATCTAGATCTTTGCAAGTGTGAGCCGCGTCAGACACATCCATATGTAAGCATCATGCAGAATGTCTAGCCAGCTCAGACCACACAAATAATCCCTGGCCAAGTATAACTGGAATCCCAGTGCCCTATTTCAGTAATGCAGAGCACAAGTCTGGCCATTTTGCCTAAATATATCCTTTTACGGGGGCAAAACACCCCAGAATTCCTTGACAGCGAGATTCGGCCGGAGCGGGGGTGCGGCAGTCGATGCTGCGCCTACCCCAAACCCAAACCTATAGGCGCGCCCCGACAAGCGGCAAACTCGGGAAGCCGAACCATCAAATTCGCGCCACCGAGACTCATTTCGACGGGATCTCCCGCCCCGGCCGAATCGACCCCGAATGAGAGTAATAATAGTGAGGCTCAGCCAGTGTGCACGGGCTGTGCTGAAAATTTCTACATTGAACTCTTTACGATGATTTGGTGGTAGGAATTAGTTTCCGGCGGAGGCCCTCGAGGCCTATACTAGTACTAGTTGGATATATAATGCCGTTCCCAAGTTCGGAAACTCGAGGTCAGGACTTCAAGGTTTACTTCAGTTTGTATCTTAGCCACTAGCACCTGGACACCTTGAGCTATATCAGCTTTGAACTCGATCTGCATGTCATCAATTCAAGATCTTTCCCACGATGATATTTCTTGGCGTGTCTGGGTCGGAACCCTGAGTACGATCATACCCGCTACTCTAGTGGTGGTCTTGCGGTTCGCTGCCCGGTATGTTTCACGAGCTGGATTCTGGTGGGATGACTACACTATTGTCGTATCTTTGGTATGTGCGTTGAATGGACTTTGGTATAGAGCCTATCAAGAGTAGCTAATAACCTGATTGTACAGTTACTAAACTGGACTATGGATGCTCTGAGATGGGCCCAGGTCCTCCATTTCGGACTGGGAAAACACAACTATATGATAACGAATGAGATATTCCAAAGCTTTGGAAAGGTACGTAGCCTTCAATTCCTCTCAAACCATAGCATTCATCTTATACATGAATAGACTTTCATCGCTGGCCAAGTCATTTATTTCACAACGGCCGTTTTTACGAAGCTATCTCTCCTACTCCTTTACTATCGAATCTTCGGCGTCGTTCGCGGCTTTCGCTGGACTCTATATACCTCTTTCTTCCTTGTGATTGCCTATTTTATATCGTGCACGATCGTATCTATCGATTCGTGTGCCCCGGTCTCCAAATTTTGGGACCCGAGCCTCCCTGGATACTGCATCGATGAGGTCGCCTTCTTCCGATGGAACGGTTTTGCCAATTTGGCTTTAGACATTCTTGTCCTTTGTCTCCCATACCCCATGGCCTGGCGATTACAGACATCCGTACGACAAAAGCTCATTCTCACCGGGATATTCCTTCTCGGAAGCTTGTAAGTTCCCCTTGGGTTTAGGAGGTGAACTTGGCTGAGGCCCCAGGGCTGACGTATATAGTGTCTGCATTGCCTCTGTTCTCCGCATCGTTAGCTTCGACTTTTCGAGTCTTGAGGATGTAACCTATGTTAGTGTCAGCCCGTCGAATTTCTCTTCTATCGAGCAATCGATTGGTATTATTTGTGCATGCCTTCCAACGCTTCGCCCGCTTGTTCGTTCGCTATATGGGGGCTTGAAAAATACATCCGAGGAAGGAGAGATTTCTAGAGCCGTGTCGTCAAACAGATCCTCATTTCCTCTCCGCGGTTTATCGCAGGATGAAGAGAACAATGTGGGAATGTCAGGGCCATCTTGCGTGCGACAAGCACTCAAGCACGACCCGGTGTCTCCAGAATCTGCGCCATGTAGTCCCGAAGGCCGGGAGTCTTGGATACAGGGAGAAAACCAAGATTGTGAGGTCGAGACAAATGTTCCACGTCCTATATCATTTGCTTGATCATTCCTTTCTTCAAATAGTTTGATTCTTTTGTGGATGTTGCGCGCTTATTATTCCATGATACCCCTGTTCGTTTATGCTTATTTTATAGCGACACAATTGGAGCCGGTTGGTTTGATTATACTAGTATTCATCTCCGAAAAGAATGCATTCTTTACGACCAAGTTCGGCTGTTTCACTAATACATAATAGCTATCTCCTCTACCATAGCAGTACTGTTGGGTGACGGAATGAAATTTGAAACTTGAAAATAAGAAATCGGCTTGACATTCCCATTTTCGCAGATAAAGTTGAATAATAGATATAGAATACAATGCACACAAAGGATCTGCGAAACCCATCTATCTGTACAAAACATGCTGCAAACCAATAATGCATCACATCACATCACATCACATCTTCGCCAAGCATTCGCGAAAATGTGAATTTCGTGCTTCCAGTCCGCTCATGACCGGGCCTCGACTTTCGGTGTGTCCTCGGTATCCTCGACCACCACGGCACCCTCCTCCAACAGTTCTTCCGGTGTCTTGATGCGCACTTCCATCACGCGCATAATGGTGTAACGGTGCTTGCTCTTCGCTGTCTTGGTATGCCGTTGTCTCCGCTTGGTCTTCTCCTTAATGCGCAAGGGCTCGGACTCGGTCCCGGTCACTCGGACGCGGCACTCGAACAACCGCTCGTCGACGTGCGGGGAGCCCTTCAGCGTGAAGTCACGGGATCCCACCGCGGACGCACGGTTGAATCGCAGAACATCGCCGGGCTTGACATTGGGCATCAGGAAAGGCAGACGGAGGTGATCGCCCTCGGTGAGGAGGAAAGGGCGCGCGTGGAGCTCCGCGACGACGTAGTGTGGAGACTGTCCGACCAAGTGAGGGAGGGTTGACATAAGGGACTTTGTCACTTCGATGGGAGCGTTGAAGGATGGAGCGACGGGTTTCTTTGCGCTGGGGATATCTGCGTCGGTTTGAGGGGTGGTGATGTTGGGTGTAGAAGTCGGAGTGGAAGGCTGGGTATCTTGTACTCGGGGAATGGCTCCAAGAGGTGTGTCGGGGATCGTGGAGTGAGATTGAGTCTGAGTCGTGCGGAGCCAGGCGGTTTGATGCAGGCAAGCTCGTTGAGGAAGGGGAGCTGCTGAGATCGAGGACGGGGTTGCGAATCGCAGGTCGGAGGCAAAGCTCCGGAGAACGGAACGAGAAAACATGATGAGAGAACCTTTCCTAACACTCAAGACGAATTGAGGGGAGGAAATAGTTCGGTGGTTCGTTGGATGCAGAGGCGGTTCTCTGTTGCGGTCGAGAAAATCAACGCTGGCGCCGCTGGCCGCTTCGTCTGCCGTAGTGTCACGTGATGGTAGTTTTCACAACTCGATATTGGAGGAGGGGATAAATATAGCAGTCGGCCATGGAAATATTATTGTTATTTTTAATTTTATACAGGTTATCTATTTTCCCACAGTCTAGCACCAAAGTCTTGCAATGCTCACTTTTATGGCTGTAGGCACGAGTATTGCTAAGTAACCACCCTAGGGCAGTGCTGACTACTTTTTTCTCCTGCCGATAACAGTCACGTGCGCCTGTAATCTTTGCCCGCCGAAACAACTTTTTCCGATTAGATCCTGTAGACTCCAACTTCGTCCCACAGGTTGTACTCATTCAGCATTCATCATGGTATGTTCTTCGATTATCTCCTGCTCTTGCTCCATGTATCCTGGTTTTCTAACAGAATTTCTCCCCAACAGCCTCAGAACGAGTTCGTCCCCAACCCCCACCGCAACGATGCTTCCCCCCGATCCCAACTAACCCACCATCAGGTATATTGAGCGCTGGACAAAGCTGCACGGAAAGCGTCTCGATCACGATGAGCGAGTTCGCAAGCGCCAAGCGCGTGAATCCCACAAGCAATCACACAATGCCCAGAACCTCACTGGTCTGAGGGCCAAGCTGTACCAGCAGAAGCGTCACAAGGAGAAGATCCAGATGAAGAAGCGCATCAAGGAGCAGGAAGAGAAGAATGTCAAGTCCTCCGCTCCCGACGAGCCCTCCAAGACTCCTCTGCCCCAGTACCTGCTCGACCGATCGCAGGCTACCAACGCCAAGGCCCTGTCCAGTGCTATCAAGGATAAGCGAAATGAGAAGGCCGCCAAGTTCGCTGTTCCCCTGCCCAAGGTCAAGGGTATCAGCGAGGAGGAGATGTTTAAGGTTGTCAACACCGGAAAGAAGACTCACCAGAAGTCCTGGAAGCGCATGATCACCAAGCCCACTTTCGTCGGTAGTGACTTCACTCGTCGCCCCGTCAAGTACGAGCGTTTCATTCGTCCCATGGGTCTGCGTTACAAGAAGGCCAACGTCACTCAGTATGTTTTTCCGAAGATAGACCAGCCCATCAATTCTTATACTAACCATTCCTTCACAGCCCCGAGCTCGGTGTCACTGTCCAACTGCCCATCTTGTCCGTCAAGAAGAACCCCCAGAACCCCCTGTACACTCAGCTGGGTGTTCTGACCAAGGGTACTATTATGGAGGTCAACGTCTCCGAGCTTGGTCTTGTTACTACCAGCGGTAAGGTTGTCTGGGGTAAATGGGCCCAGGTCACCAACGTGTATGTTTTTCTCAGGATCCTAAAGTTTATTTTTCGCTGAAATACTGACCATTTCACAGGCCCGAGAATGACGGTTGCGTCAATGCGTAAGTTTCTTTATTCCATATTTGACATCGATCGCACAACTAACAATGATCCTAGTGTTCTCCTCGTCTAGATTCATTTCCTGATGATTAGATTGCCCTCTACTTCCCTTCCGGCAGATCCTCCTCTGTCTTCGATACCACCTCCCCCGGGCATTTCTATGCTTGATTTTGTTTCATGGTTCATATGATCTGGTTAATAAACCACGCTATTTCTTCGGTGTTCATGGCGCATTTTCCCAAGTCTTTGGTCTTTGGGCGAAAAGTATCCTGCATGCTTTTATTCCTCTGGAATGTAGTTAGACTAGCTTAGCTATCACATAAGTACCCGGTTTCTACCGGAATTCATCTTCTTTCGCTCTGTTTCAACGGATCCCTTTGCTCGGAATGGCTTGATGCCCACCTGGGCACGTTCAAGCTTGCTCGCTCGGATAAGTTATGAGTCAGTCAGTCCACCAATTTGCCTTGTTGGGTTAGGCTTTCAACAACGGGATTCTGATGATAAGTTTAATCGAACTCGGTTTCTCAAAATGCAAAAATTTAAATCAAAATTTAGTTCCTTTATTCTCAGTCCTGACATGGAGATTGTCATTGGACGTCTAGCAGAGGTGTTCAATAAATCCAGGTATTCAAAACATGTAAATTAACTCCGAGTCTTAATGATAATCATCCCCTGGCCATTTTAGTTCACCTAAAGGAAGGTGACTTGAATTGTTCAAATCTACTATCTTACTATCTATAGCTGTGGGGGACAGTTCGGAGAATTACAGGGGTTGCACGCCCTCGGACCCCGGCGTAATGCGGAGCTTTGGCAGTACGAAAGCGTTTTAATCCCTGGATACTTGTAAATAATGGGCTCAAGTACTCATAATACTGCATTGGCTATTGAGTAAATAATTGATTGAATTAGTATTTCAATCGGTACTCGCAATGGTGGTTCATCAACCACGGGGACCTCGGGATAGTCTCCACGAGCACGAAAGTGGGGGTCTGCCGCTTCCTGCATGGTGAATGAATGCCATTGTGGCCATTACTGACACAACTACATTGACCCCCCTTATACGTATTAGACCTCCCGCTAAAACCAATTGGTAGGCTAGGTCGCCGTACTCCGCAATCGGGCGATGCCATTAAATTTCTCTGCCTCTCCTCATTCATTAATCCAACTTAAGCTGTCTCCGACTCAACGCCCGTGATCATCTCTTTGCCTTCAGTGCCAACATCCATACACTATTACATCATGGCCGAGCCAGTTCCACCCACCGAACTAGGCCGTCTCCGTGTCCTCTGCTCCACGGCCGGAGTTCGCGTTTCCCCTTTCGCGCTAGGCGCCATGTCGGTTGGTGACGCATGGGCTGGAATGTTAGGATCAATGGACAAAGAGTCGTCATTCAAGCTCCTTGATGCCTTCTGCGAAGCTGGTGGGAACTTCATCGACACGGCTAATGCATACCAAAATCAACAATCTGAACAGTGGCTTGGCGAGTGGATGCAACTCCGTCAGAATCGTGACACGCTTGTTTTAGCTACCAAGTTTAGTTTGGACTATCGTGGTCATGCACTCGGGCTTGGTCCGCAAATTGCCAACTTCGCGGGCAATTCTCGACGGACGATTCACGTTGGGATCCGTGATTCACTGAAGAATCTGCAGACGGATTTTGTTGGTAAATAAGTTCTCTTCGTTGGATCTACGTAAAAGCCAGCTACTTATCTGACCTTCGTTTAGACATTTACTATGTTCACTATTGGGATTACACGACCTCGATTAAAGAGGTCATGGATGCACTGCACATTCTCGTCGAACAGGGCAAAGTTTTGTATCTGGGAGCATCTGACATACCAGCCTGGATAGTGTCAGCAGCAAATACCTATGCTATCGATTACGGAAAGACGCCTTTTAGTATCTACCAGGGCCGGTGGAACTTACTAATTCGAGACTTGGAGCGTGAAATCATTCCCATGGCCCGCCAGTTCAACATGGCACTTGCACCGTGAGTCCCTCCTTCTTAGAAAGCCCCCAGTGCAGTGCAAAAGATAGAAAGAGAAAAAGGAAACAAGAAAAGTGACACTGATCAATATACCAACAGATGGGATGTCCTTGGTGGAGGAAAATTCAAGACAAAAGCCGAGATCGAAAAACGCAAGGGTGAGGGAGATGCTCTTCGCAGCCGTCCCGGAGAAGCCGCCTCACAAACCGAAATCCAAATGCAAATGAGCGAGGCCTTAGCGAAAGTTGCTGCCGAGCAGGGCATCGAATCTATCACTGCCATCGCGCTGGCGTATGTAATGTCCAAGGCGGCCAATGTTTTCCCTATCATTGGAGGCAAGAAGGTCGAGCAATTGAAAGATAATATTCAAGCATTGAGTATTAAGCTTACTCAAGAGCAAATTGAGTACTTGGAGAGCGTTAAGCCGTTTGATATTGGCTTCCCGCATGATTGGATTCCGGCTGATCCGAATATTACCGGCGAGTCGTTTTTGATTGCGAGGTCGAATGCGATGAAATTTCCGAATGCTCGCAGGCTTACGTCGCTCTGAGGATGAGACATGCCGGAGTATTTTGGCATATAGACAATAAGGATAATACTAGTATGTCATTGCTTTGCGATGATTTACAAAATCCATCATAATTCGTCAATTGATATCCAAAAAGGCCAAGTAAATGCCAAACGCATCTCGAAAAAAAAACCCCCCGAAAAAAAGGACCGCGTTTCAAATTTGAACTGAAACGTCGCAGGTCAGTAAGTGTCTGGTATACCTTTATAAAGGGCAAAATCACTTACATTTCTTTAATTTGATACATAATCCTGCACGTGGCTAGATGGATACTAGCCCTGTAGTCGGTGATGAGCTATCACTCGACCTCATCCCAACGATCAGCCTTGGCCGCCATGGAGACTTTCTGGGATCTCCAGAATTCCGAGACGTGCTGCTTGAAAGACTTCCACTGAAGAGACATGGTGGATGTTCCGAAATGTTATTTTTCGCGTGTGGGTAGTTGAATATGGAGAGAAGAATAGAATGTCTTTTGGAGTTCAGGGAGACTGAATCATGCACTGAAGAGATACTCGTTCTCATCACTCCCGATATTTGACCTCTTATATATACTCCATCCTGAACGAAGAATGTAAGCAATGATTCTCGATGGGGCTATCTCGATAATCTAGATTTATCGCCACTAATAAACATAACTCAGCAACGATTCGTAGGAACACGGTTCGGTTCGACCTGGGGATTGGTCACCTGCTCTGTGAGTTTAGTAATCGTGTCTAAATCCGGCGAACGGGTTGAAGGAGTTGCTCAGCAATATGTTTTCCGGTGGCAAATGGCATCTAGAATGTGGTTGTTGGTCAGCGGGCAATCTTTGGTTCAAGTCCCACTTGCCGAACTTCAGTAGTATGGACCTCGGGAGGAGAGTATAAGTCATCTGTGTTTCCTGCCTGGGGAGATAGTACCCATTCGAGGAGGAGAACATGGAGATGCATACATGGATACATCGGTTGAACCGAATCAAGATCGGGTGAGCAAGTGTATTGACTACTGGCTACTGACTTTTTATGTACAACTGGCTACTTCGTGTTCAAAAAGTTCCGAAAAGAGTAGGATCAATTAAAGGCCACCGATAAGGAGCTAAAGAAACTCCCATAACCCCAATGCTTGATTCGAAAGCCCTATGCAAGCACGAAAAGGAAACAAAAAAAGTCATATACAGAATGAATAGGTCACACGCTTTGCTAATTCACCAATGTGAGTTGCTGGTTCAACAAACAAAGCCCATAAGAGGCGATGCGGAAGGAAAAGAACATAGAAGCAGAAAATAAGTGGCAGTTCAGATATCAGTGAGATCGACCACCAATCAGCCCTAGACAAAAGAATCGAAAACCCCATCGAACACCGGTCATTAAGTCGTTCTGAGAAAGGAAAAGGAGAGAACAAGGTCTGGGAACATGAAGACAAAGGAAATGTGTAAGGACCGGTCAGGAATTTTCTTCTTCCAGCGCTGCTTTTATTTTTGCAAAGAACCCAGCGGGCCAGGCAGCCAACTCTTCTTCTTTGGGAATACCGCGCGCTCGGCAGTGGTTGACAACATTTGCAAGGATACGACCGAGCATATCCTGTGTTACGGGCACAGCGCCCTCAAGCTGGGCGTCGGGGTGAAGAAAGGGATCACGAGGGCCGAGCATCTCCTCAATGGTTGGTCGAAGTGTCTGGTCACGCTGCAAGCAGCGCTTCAGGGTTCGGATGAGACCAGGCGGGACGGTGATACCGCCGACTCCATGGGATGGGAAGTCGATTTGTACACGGGGGTTCGGAATTGCCATAATTCGCTCATAGTATTTGGCGATCTTCGCGAATGGTGGCTGGCCATACACCATTTTATACAGAATGCAGCCCAAGCTCCAAATATCACTAGGCTTACCCAGCTTCATCACCTTGCCAACGCTTGCCGGCAGTCCGAGGGAGGCGTTTGAGTCGACCAAAGCCTCCGGGGACATGTAGTTAGGTGTTCCGACTTGTTGTTCTCGGTGAACGTTGACAGTGTTATCTTGAATCGCATTGGCGATACCGAAGTCGATGAGCTTAAGCCGACCCTGGACCATGAGGAAGTTGGCTGGCTTCAAGTCAGAGTGGACGATGTTGTATTCGTGCACGGCCTGTACACACTCAAGCATCTCCTTCCAATAATAACGGACAAAGTTGATATCGAATACAGCATCTTCAGCATTGAGGCGATGAGCGAGGATTTTTTCGAGGTCAGATTCACCAATTTCCATAAGAACACTTAACGAGTGCTTGTCCGAGTTGAGTTCCCAGTCGAAAAGTCGAACGACACGGTCAACGTTCTCCAACTTCTTCAAAAGATCGATCTCACCCTTGTAGCCAGCCAGGGTCAGAGGGTCGACATCTTCCAAATTCACCCGCTTGAGTGCGAAAATCTTATAGTTCTCTGCCATGACACGGTATACACGCGAACTTCCTCCGCGGCCAATGCAGTCAAGACGAGTGAAATGCTTATGATTGATAGACACCTGTGTCCGTTTCTTTCGAGACTGCGAAGTCGACGCTCCGGCAGTAGCGGTTGCAGTCTCCAGCATTGACATTTTTGGAGGAGGAGGGGCCGGTCTATGTGGTGTATTGCTGCTGCGGTTTGAAAGAATCTTGCGCGGCGAATCACCGGCGGGGGTTTCCACGGCATCCTTTTTATCTGTATCATAAACAACCGAAAATTTCTCTGGTTTGTCTAACAGGTTCAATCCTTGAGGCTTGGTGCGTTTGAACGTTGGTGGTGGCTCATTCTCCTGGTCTCTTACGGAAGGCAACGGCGGTAATGACGGAACCTTGAAGACAGGTTGTTCCTTCGCACTCGACGGCTTTGATGACATTTCTGAGGACGCGGGCGTCGACTTTGAGTGAGATCCATAAGACCTGGGAGAGGCCGACCTGGAAAACAGACCATCGGTCGGACCACTGACGGGCTGTTCGGGGCGATGTGATTCCCGTTCTTGGGGTGGACTTGGATCCGCCCAAGATACTTTCGGTGACGGTTGTTTGCGGGGTTGATACTCGACACTGTTATCATGCTCCGGGTTCTTTCTGACATCTTCGTTCAACAAATAGTTTTCTTCGTTATTCTCTTCACTTTGGCGGCGCAATACGCCTCGGCGTGCGGGCCCATTCAGGAATGTGCCGGTGAGACGTCCAACTCTTTTCACCCGCAACGAGCTCTGAGGGCCGACATCTTCGCCATTGCGACCGCGCAAAACTGATGAAGATCCAATATGAGATACGGGATCTTCCTCACTTTGAGCAAGACGAGATTTCCGATCGCTGTCTGATCGGTCAACGCTCCCATACTCGTCCCCAGAATGGCGTTCTGTGGAGCGTTTAACGGAAGGCGAGATTGATGAGGGAGATCGTGTATGGCTGCGTGATACATTAATTCGAACACTGCGCGGTCGAGGCGCGGGAGTAATAAAATCATTCGGGCGGTCTTGAGCTTCGGAATCCGCGCTCTGGCTGTTAGACAGAGGAGATCCTTCGCGCGAGAACCTGGAAGCGGGAGAGGCGCCAGCAATTCGGACTACCCTGGGAGCAGGGCTACCTGTTGATCGATCATGAGGCGAGGCATTCCGAGGTGATTGACTGCTTTGCCTCGATCCGACGGCAGCGCGACGCTCATATGCGGCATGTCCCTTTTGCAGATGTGGCGAAGATCCCAGTCCGTCTCCATCTAAAAGCGCCTTGACAGAGGCGCTAAACTTGGGCTCTGGAACCTCCTCATCAGAGCTGTCGCCCGAGTAATGCCGAGAGGTTGTCCGGGGTTGGTCGCGGGCGTGGAGAGCGGGAGAGACCCGTCTGGAACCGGAGCGCGAAACCGCGGGTCGGGGCATCGGATGAGATGGTTGTGGTTGTTGGTATAGGCCGGAGTGGTAGGCGGAAGACAAAGAATTTGGGGAGGCCATGGCAGGCAGTCACCTACATTGAAGTCGTGGATCAATGTGGTACCGCGGTGGCCCAGTCGAATGTTTGTTGTCGAAGGAAGAAGATGGGCCTCGTCCAAGTTTGGAAGCTGCCGCCAACACGCGCGAGTATGAGGGGTCACGTGAAGTGCGTTGCCACGGTTACCCGCAGCCACAACAAAGAATGTTCATACTTCCATGTCCATGCTCACCATTGAGCAGCATATTTCCAGCAATTCACAATGGGGTACATTACTTACAAGTTGCTTTCACTCTATATCTTCCTTCATTCTAGCCACGCATGGATAGAGCTTGCCGCATCCATTGATTATACTCCCATTCCAAGTTAACCGCCACTGCAACCGCAACTTTGTGCTCTACTACTAATAGTACTCTAAGGTCTAGAGACACTTCAACAGCAGTCTCTAAGATAGTTCTTTCAATCAATCAAGTATTCATGGCAATTGGTTCCCTCAGTACTAGCGCATACAGATATCCTACAAATCGACATTAAATCTTAATCTTTCAATCTTCACTTGCGAAATCTCGTTTCATCATCACGCGAGTGTTCTATCGTTGATCAAATATCGCACGGTATCTTCTAAATCAGATCTATCGCCAGCATATATCTTGAGCATGCCCGTTATGTTGTTTTCCTCAAGCAAGAGCATCCTGAACTCGTACTACATATCGACAAAGGGGATCCGGGATCAATAGGGAGGAGCAATAAAAATATGTAAGGGTATTCTATGAAACAAGACACCAGACTTCGAGCCGATGATTGCATTCTGTGGAATATCTTCTCTATTTTTGGCTCAGACGTGAAATGTGATATCTATAGCTTGCTGTCATAGTCAGAGCCCTGCACATTGAGGACAACCTAGGCTATAGTATCGGGCTGCTTTGGGCGCCCCTTCATTGGGCCTCTCTGGCTAGAGTAATAATGGAAATGTCTCTTTGCTTGAAAAGGCTTTGCGGAGAGCAAATCGGTCTTTTCAATCAATATTATCGATAGACATACCATCCGGGGATGTGGGTGTGGTTTTAGGTTATTCATTCATTAATCTTTTGTTACCGTCGTCGACGGCGCAGTTTCACAGGATTTCAAGCCTGGAGAACCCTCATACTATCCTTGAAACCCCAAAATGAGTTGGAAGTTGCAATATCATTTTCTAACCGAAAAGATAATCTATGACTGGAATCAATTTATGTCGTTCCCATTCGACCCATTTGCAGCCTTCGCAATCTTTGTCGCATTGGCCCCATTCACTCCATTGGCCCCATTCACTCCATTGGCCCCATTCACTCCATTGGCCCCATCTGTTACATTTGTTCCAGCCGACACACTCAAGCTACTACTGGCTTCCAAAAACTGGAAGACTTCAGCATACAGTGATCCATCTCGAACGGCCTCATAGATGATCGATACCCAGGATCCAATCGTTCTCTTGGGACGGCCATCGATTACATTGCCTTGCTTGTCTCCAGCCACGGGATGCTCGATGAGGCCTCGGTGCAGCGGCACACGCAGCTTTTCGCGAACGAAGAGATAAACAGCTTTTGTGCCTTGACCGAGATACTCGGCCGTAGTTGGCTGCTGGAAAAAGGCATCGCGGTGGCGCAGATAAGACTCTAGAATCAGAGTCTCGAACGCCTTAGTTAAGTTTGTGACCGTTTCCACGGACACGATGGTGGGAATTTGCTGGATGTTTGCAAAGACAGCCATGGCTAACGACTGTGATGCTCTCTCGGCACGCTCAGCGGCGTCATATATGGCGGCATTGTACCAGTCTTTCGCGAACTGTTTCCAGAATATGGTAAAGAATTCTTCCCTGGCCACTTGGTCGTGCTGGTCAGGGAAGAGACCGGTGACAATTTGCCTGGTGGGCTCCTCCAGGCCTGCAAGGAAGGTACGGTGTAATGTACGGAGGTCTACACCTTGGCAGCCTGTGTACAGGGCATTGGCGACAATCAAGGAGAGACACTCAATGGCAGCCATTGTTTGGCGTGCGGAGACCAGACCGAGCGAGTTGATGGCTTGATTGTGCATCTCGGCCGACTGCACGTGGTTACTGACTGGGTTGGCCAGAAATCCCAGCTCCGAGGTGTAAGCGGCAGTGTTCACATCGATACCCTTCAGGCAGAATGAGAGGCTAGGATCATCGGCGGCCAAGTTAGGTGGAAGGCCATTGCTCAGGTCGTGGTTGATCACCTCACTGACTTGGCTGAAAAGCATTCGGCCAATGGACTGCAACGCGAGACGGATCTTCTCGGTGGCTGATGTTACTGCCGCAGCCTGAAAATTGGCACCGGAGTGGATGTCATTATCCTCACTGTTGACAACTGGATTATCGGAAGTGGAGTTGAGCTCAGTCACCAACTGCTTCTCTGCACTGAGGAGATCCTCTAGCTGAGGCGAGAGCCACTGTGGTGCACTGCGCAGCGCATATCGTTCTTGGGCCAGACCCTCCGAGAAGCGGTTCTTAGTCTGTTCTAGACCATACGACAGCCTTGAGCCTTTCAAGAAAGTTCGGATGTTCTGAGCAGCCTCAATCTGACCTTGGTGTGGGCGTGCTGCAGCGACGAAGGGATGAGCCCACTCGTTGTTGGCATAGAGGGCCTCAGACAAGAGTGCAGTCAACAGTTGCGCGACCAGCGCGAGCTGATTGGCTTCGTAGAGACCCAAGCTAGCCACCGCAGTTGCAGCAGCAGTTCCGTTAATCAAAGCCAAACCCTCCTTAGGTCCCAGGATGACGGGCTCAATGGAAGCCTCGTAGAGAGCTTGCTGCGCTGATTTGACACGGGGTGCGCCCTTGCGACCTCCGACGCGCACGTAGATATCCGGGTTTCCTTGGATAGTTCCAGAGAGATATGACAAGGGCATCAAATCTCCAGAAGCTGAGATAGAGCCTCGCAAAGGCACGATCGGAACGATATCGTGTTCTAACAGCTTGATCATCGAGTCAACGATGTTGCGGGTCATAGCTGAGTGGCCGCGAATATTGGCGTTACAGCGAATAGCTGTCATAGCTCTGGTCCATGCGCTTGGCATACTGTGGGATTCAAGATACTCATGGCGGCTGGGAGAGTCGGTTTTGTCCTCTTGAGTCAATACTGCGCTTTGAGTGTGTTGCATCAAAGCACGCTGCAGCCCGTATAAGTCCGTTGTTCGTGTGTCGGCGCTGCCTCCAAATCCGGTGTTGACGCCTAAAAGGTGTTATTGTCAGACCAAGGAACTCCGGCTGTCGGCGTGGAAATCGACTAGTTACATACCATAGAGGTAATAACCCTTGGAGAGATAGCTCTGTAAGGTCTCGACACTAGCTTCGACGCGCTGGATGACGCTGGGGTCGTCGGAGATAGCAAGGCGTGTACCGTTTCTAGAGAAGTACTGAAAGTCAGAGTCAACCCTATCACCATTAACTCAACCAAAAATTGCAAAAGACTGACCGTGCAACAGCAACAACAGCCGCCACATCTAATGTTTTGCCATCAATTTGGACAGTGCCAGTTTTGATATGAGAGTTGAGCTTGCTCCACGACTGCAAAGTCTTGCTTGCATGAGGCGTTGGCCATTGATGGTGGATGTCATATTTCAGCTCAGGAGATGTGCTCCCCATGATGGGCATATGAGTATGGGTGGTGTTGAAAGTGGAAAGTGGAAAGTTGGGAATTGGAAGTGTCAATATGGAAAAGTGAATGTTCAGCGGGATTACTCTCGATCCCAGAATCTGCTGCAAATTTCCAGACTTTATACACCACAAGGGTAAGAGGACACAATGGAGACTAGGCTATCAGGACCTTGATCTCTTATTTCCTCAGCTTCAACAAAGTTGAACTATCGCGAATATCGCCCCTCATGCGGGCAAATGCGGCTTTTCCCCTCAGTACCGTCACAGCCCCGAATACGAATAATTTCATCTTCAGAAAAGAGCTCTGCGGGGCTGGGATGTTTTAGATTTCAGTTTAAATCGCGCCATAAATTTGCAATTATAAGCGAACTGCTCTAGGAAATTTATTACGAGCTCATTATAGTCTAAATCCAAAGCCTGCATTTCCAATGTAACATCTCCATTAGCACTGGAACTTTTGCGCTTGCCTATTTTCGGGGCCTTTTCCTTTTTATTGCCGATCAATCTCTTTTTTCTTTAACCGAGGCGTTGGGTTTCCCCGATTCAGTGATACTGCAGATCGGGATTCGAATCGTGCATTGCAGCGTGATTGAAAGGAGTTGGCTTGCTGGCCGCATAGCGAACATCTGACGCCGGCTGTAATTACTCCAAATATGCACGCTTTCCTTCAGCCAATCGAGTCCCATTTTCTAGGAGAAACTGAATTGCTTAAAACTTCTGATGAGAACCGAGTCTTTTGGTCACTGAAGGCAGCGGCAGATCGATCAAGCCTGCCAAGTGTGAAGTAATATACGGTGACTTGATCGAATTATCTGTTCAATTGTCTGAACGACTCTAGACACGTAGTGTGATCTTTCTAATACAAAATCTCAGTCATCTCTTGCTGATACTGTAGAGCGGTGATATCCGGGTAGATGGCCGGTCTATCCTCCGTCACGAACTGCTCAATTGGGCCAACTGAGACTTCTCGGTGGGCTTTCAAGAAGAACACAGAGGAATATCGTTCAGGAATGTAGCCTTCCGTAATGTTAGACATATGAGGTGGTACATTCACTTGGTGTAGACCTGCTTTCACAACATCATTAGTCCAACGCTGGAATGTCTGGCTCGTGTTGACTATGAGCTCATTCTCGCCCGACGGAAGTATAGGGACAAAAGTAAATGGCTTGTTTCTATCTTCAAATTCGAGACCACCAATGCCATCTTGGAAAAGAAGAGTGATGATTCCAAAATCAGTGTGAGGCCAAGCACGCTTAATTGTCCCAGTTTTCAGTCTCTCCAGGGAGACTGGAGGATAATGAAGCATTCGAAGCTCTGAAGCTGCGGGTGTGCATAGACCAACTAGCGAGTTTTCGGGCAAGCCAAATCCCACCTCGCATGCTCGCATTATTTCGAGGGATACACCCTGCACCATATCAAAATACTGTTCAATGAACTCCTTGAAGCCGGGAAGATCTTTGTCACTGGGGAATTTGTTGGGGAATTCAATATCCCCGTGGGGCCCGCAATCAAAATGCTCCTAAACTCAAGTTAGATTCTAGGTTTGCACTTGTCATATTCAAATTGATACTGAGAGTCATGATAGCACCTTCTCATCTAGCAATTCACCTTTGCCTTTTGGCGAGTTCTCTGCGTTCTCCTTGAACAGTTTTGATGTGGTTTCCGTACCCTTACGGCTCCACCCTCGTTGTAAATCTGAGCCTGGATGATGAACGATTTTCATCTTCACCTCCTCTGACAGTCCGAAGAATGCACGATCCTAGTCAAGAGTTGATCATTAGTTCACCTGAAAGACAATTCGATGACTGGGGGAGAAGGTACCCATTCCCAAATTTGCTGCACGAACTCGCGCGATATGCCATGTTTCTGAAGACGAACAAATCCATGGTTCACAAAAGAGTCAACCAGCTGCTTTGCGGCCTTTACACGCTGATCCGCGGTTCCATGGAGGAAAAGACTGAAATCAACAAATGGCAGCTGGATCACCGTCATTTTTGTTAACCTAGATCAAGAAATACTCAATAGCTAGCAAGCCGGAAAGCTGATATAGACCAACTGGTAAGATTTGAAGCTTGTCAAGGCATCTACTTCCACAAACCAGTCTTCCTTGAGAATAACTTTATATTGGTTCTCGCGCTCCACCTATTTCGAAGCGATTACTGGCATACCGTGGTGCAACAGCTCCCATTTGAATCGCCTTCAAGTCAGCTAGACCCACTCTGGATATCCGGACTTTCCTTGGTAGCGTGTTGTCAAAAAATCAAGGATGGGGATAATTTCCCCCTCAATTACCGATTTAACGATGGGGCCATCATGGAATTTTCTCTTACGGCGCGATATGACACATTTGTTTGGAGTTATTAACTTGGCGATGTGATTATTGCTGCATGATCCTTCGGAACGGCCGTATACAGTATTCGCTGTCTCATCGCCCGCCTTGTAATTTTCGAGCAGGGCCGGGGATAAAGATGAGAAATACCCGATATGTGGAGGACATCGGCCCACCTAGCGTAGTATCAGGAAGCAATCCTTTCGATTCTTCGCGCTATACCTCGTATCTAGAGTTTGCTTTTGTTGCTATCAATATTAATTCTACTTTTTGAACGTATTCCCCTCGTCTATGGAGAGTTGGGGCTCTCACACAGAGCAGGTCCGAAGCTAGGGAAGTGTAAAGGAAGCATCCGCTTTCGTCAAATTAAGATCAAAGTATGTGATCTGTCTAGTGGACAAGATACAGAGCTGACATTTACCGTTGGTCCCTGAAAGAGTCTGACCACTGGCTCTGATAAGGCGCCATCGACTGCTGGAGGCCATGAAATTTCAACCGTCCAAGCTGATATACAGTAACAATCTACAGCAGACATGGGCTCACTTTTACGGTATTAGAGTCAGCCAGAATTTATCTGGCTTTCAAAAGGCAAAGGTAGAGGATTGATTCCACTGGTAGAAGGTTCCGATGCTGTTTTTTGTTTCTGCATCAATCTTATCTGCATTAGTTAGTCTGGGGCCGAAGTCAATAGGGAAATATTGAGGCGTTTCTTTTGTTGTTGCCAAGTCTCGCCTCCGAGCATGGTAGCATTACGGAGAAGTCCGTGCAGCGCCCCAGTTTTGAACCAGGTGGGCGGACCCGCCTTGGCTTCAACAAATATGTTTTTGATTTGTTCGGAAATTACTAGCCGTTTCGCATTGCCCACCTGTATGTACTTCCTATCAACCTTCGGATCGGAATCCGAGCAAGTCCTAGGCTGGGGGGCCTTGACGGTACTGGCTTACTATTTCTCACCTGGCAGAAGGGACTTTAGACCGTCACATGTTTTTTGCTGCAAATCGACCAAATTCTCCACTTCCTAAGAACTCAATTTCGAATCCAGGTGGATTCAGCCTGTCACGGTGACGGGAGATCCACCTGACCCTGCCGGGGTCTGTAACAAGCTTTAACAAGCCTAGTAATTTGCGAATGGGCCAGTCAGCACATTACCAGAATACCCGATTTTCTGCCTGGTTTGTGTATTTTATTTGGCATTCTGGATAAATCAGGTCGACATGTACCAAATCCCATCAATCCTACATCATCTTCAAAGACTATGGCCAAGGTTCTATCGATAAGGGACGCCATGCGCCATCGCGATAGCCTAGGGGTGAATTACGTGCTTTCGGGTATACTCCAAGGCCCCCGGCTGAATACCAAAAAAACATTCTGACTTGGGCACTCGGCGTCAAAGGACTGACCAGGCCCAAAGGTAAACACAGTAAACAACCTTACCTAAACCCCTCCCAAACATCCCCTCCTTTCACTCCACCCCAAGGCTATAGCGAGCTATCCACGCCTTAACCGACATCCTCTTGGTCCGTAGAGCCCGAAGGTCTCTGATAGAGAAATCTGAGGGGGGATGGCCTCCTCCAAGACGGCTGAGGATGTGATATCTTCTCAGGCATTACCAACAGACACCACCCCGGTGGAAAACAACGAGGCACCGAACCCGAACGATGTCTTCTGGGATGGCGAAGATGATCGAGAAAATCCAAAGAACTGGAGCGTTATACGACGATGGGTTCATGTTTACATTGTTTCCCTGCTGACCTTTATCACGTACGCGCCAACTCTCACTTTTCAATTTCTTCCTTGCCATCTGTGCTAGGGGATCCAGATTGATTCGTTTGCTTTAGGTCACTCGGCTCTTCGATGCTGGCTCCCGCCGTACCCGACGTGATGAAATCGCTCCACTCCGATAACTCGGAGTTGAAGTCATTCGTCGTCTCAATCTACGTGATTGGATCCGCGGTCGGGCCTCTAGTCGCAGCGCCTATATCAGAAGTTTATGGCCGCTCAATCGTGTACAATGTCTCGAATGTGATTTTTCTCGGCGCGACAGTTGGATGCGCCCTCAGCACCAATGTGGGCATGTTTCTTGCCTTTCGGTTGATATGTGGCTGTTCAGGAGCTGCTCCTCTCGCGCTGGGCGGAGGATCCATCAGCGATCTGATGGAGTTAGAACAATGGGGAACTGCAATGGCAATCTGGGGATTTGGATCATTGGTACCACCGGTAAGGCTTTCTTGGATTCATCGGCGAGGACGGGGCTCATACTTTCAGGTTGTTGCGCCCATTGCTGGTGGCTATTTGAGCCAAGATGTGGGCTGGAGATGGATCTTTTGGGTCATTGCCATTCCCGTATGTATTCTGTACTCATGCTCATGCTTCACATTCACCCATACTGAAAAAATGGATGCGGGGCTAGATGGGTATCCTGACGGTCATATTCCCTTTCGTAATTCGAGAAACCTATGCCCCAGTCCTCTTGGAGCGCAAAGCGAAACGTTTACGCAAGGAAATGGGCAATCCTCATTATAAATCGCGACTCGACAGCCAGCTTTCTCGGAAAAAGTTCATTTTTGACACCCTCATCCGACCTTCCCGGATTCTATTCAGATCACCTGCGGTGTCGCTCATTGCAGTAGACACAGCGATAGTCTACGGGTACCAGTATCTAGTCTTCACCACATTGTCATACATCTTTCAAGATGAATACAACCTATCTACGAGTCTGTCAGGACTCGTCTATTTGGGCAGTGGGATTGGAACGGTTCTCGGTAATTACTTCTGAGTGTCCGGTAGCACATTACAGGAAAGACTCTAACAAATTGACCAGGAATCTTCATCATCGGCTATGCATCTGACAAGGTAACCAAGCGAAGGAAAGAGAAAGCTTTGGATCCAGAAACAATGCCACCTGAAGTCTCGCTCTGGCCTATGCTGCCTTCGAGTATTCTAGTTCCAGCTGGTCTGTTCTGGTATGGCTGGTCGCTAGAAAGACATGCATTCCCAGTTGTACCCCTAGTGGGATTGGGTGTTTTTGGGTTTGGAATGATGGGCATCTTTCAGCCGGTACAGATATACGTGGTCAATACCTTCGGAAAGCAGGCTGCCTCTGCTATGGCAGCAGCGACCGTGCTGCGGAGTCTAGTAGGTGCATTATTGCCTCTTGGAGGAGAAAAAATGTACGATACCCTAGGCATGGGATGGGGCAATAGTTTACTGGCATTCATTGCATTGGGACTGGTGCCTGTTCCGTTGGTGTTGATGAAGTATGGAGCGCGCATGAGGAAGAGTGATCCAAATTTAAGGTAATCTTACATAGCAATTCACATGTGGCGGGTACATACAGTTCATACTTCCTACCTAGATGAAGACAAGTCATGAGAATGGAGCATGATGGATAGGGACACCAACCTGAATGCTTGGACTAACAGGGATTGGTAGTGAAATAATGGGACAGCCGCCTATCTTTTGCAAAGATAACAGAATGCTTGATTATGAGAGCCCTTCTATTAACTAATGTCTCGAATCTCGAATCTAGACCCTTTGCTTTTCCCCCGCGATGCGAATCACGCAAGTCAAGCAACTGGCCATAAAAAGCAATGCACCAGCGGCCATATATGGCAGTCCCAACGCAACACCGCCTTGTCGTAGGCCACGTCCAAATGCTGCCGCTTGAATCGGCCCTGCTATTAGCGAGCCTAAGCTTTGTGCCAGACCAATTCCTGCGTTTAGCACTCCCACCTGAGACGGCGAGACCAATGCCGTAGTCAAACTTCGCAGTGCCGAGTAGAACCCCCATCCAAGTGCAAACAAAGACAACCCAGTGATGAATAACTCCGGGATAGCGGCAAAGGCCATGAGAAGCGTACCAAAAGTTAGCAGCCAGGCGCTTCCCTGGACAATGCGGAGATCCTTGATCGCTGGAGACCACGACATTTGTCTACTCAGCCATACAGAAAGCCAAGGAAGAACAAGCAACAAGGTGACAAGGTTAATAATTCCCTTCAAGGTAATGAGAAAGCTAGCGCGCGCGATACTCCATGAGAAGCGCTTGGAGGCATATGGGATGATCAACTGCAGTGCCTGCCTGCTTATACTAGCCAGCAGGAAAATGAGCACGATGAGGCCCATGTTAAAGTCCCAGCCTTTGATGTGAGTGGTCCGCACATATTCCCAGTATTCTGTCACGATCTTTTTTCCACGTTGATATCCGGACGTCGGGCATTCGGCCTGGCCATAATCAATCTCGGCCTCGTCAGCTGTGTCTCCGGATTCCGCCGTCGCTTGACTCTCGGAGCTTGATGCTGGATCGGGACGAGTTTCGGGGATCAGACTTGCCCCCAACAGTGCCAGCACCTCGAATCCTACTCCTAATAAGGATGGAAACCAAAGACTCCACGTCATGACATAAGCACTAATGGGAGTGGCAAGGATTTCGCCTAAAAGAATGACAGCGGCCAGAATGTAGAATATCGATGCCCTGATAAACCACAATTAGCTCGTCAGTCGACCATGGTCAATATTGACAGCGACCCAATGGTTCCACATACCGCCGATCCACAGGAATGACGTCTGTAATAATGGTATAAGCCATAGCCGACGCTGTTTGAGATCCGCCGCCAATGATTTGAAAGATCGGCGTCACCCAGATCATTCGAAGGGGTAGAGCGACATTCCACCAGCAGACCAGCCGAATAGCGACCTCTTCCAGTATGAGACCGATCAAACAGAGCACCAGAATGGGCTTGCGCCCAATTCGATCGGCCGCGAGTCCATATGGGAGCGCCAAGATAATGCCCGGCAACTGGTCAATTGTCTCCTTCCAGCTGATCAACAAAGCCAGCTCCGTTTGTACCGCGGTGGATTTGCAATCACCGTCTGTCCCAAGTCGACGACATATGAGGGACTCAAAAATCGAAATTTGAGGCGCTAAAGTCAGCGCATTGCCAAAGTCTGCGGCAACAATTGAGATGCACACGAAGATAAGGAGGCGCTGGCAGTCCCGAGACAAAGGCGTGAGGGGCGCATCGTGAATGGCGGCGCCCTCATCCGACCCCAGCAGGGGCGCCTGCTCTGTAGGCTCCTCTGTGGCCTGAGGGGTCAGCATCAGCTAGGAATTAGGCGAAGAGACTTCCGGCGGGCTCGAGTTGTTGAAGGGTTCCCGAGAATGTAACAATATTCGGGATGCAACTTCTGGCAGCTTCTCAAGGGGGAAAACTTGGCTGATGTTGGTCGAAAGTTGGGGGTGGAGCCTGAGGCTTGTGGGCCGGCGGGAGGCCGGCGGAACGCAGATCCCCCGGCGCTCCACCGACGAGGCCTTGCCTAGGACAGCGTACCGTATCTAGTGCTGACTGGTTGCATGCAGTAGGCAGTAACTAGTGACATCGATATGTGCTTAGGTACTTAGGATCTCTGTTTGCCTCCGTGGCTCCGTCGCGGCCAGATCGAGAGATCCAGTTGTTATACCGCGGGTTTTTTTTCACTTTTTGGTATCGCGTAATTGACGTTTCGATCCCCTCATCCTGGTATTCGAGTTTCACCATGCTGTCGGTCGGCCAACTACGATCGAAAAAGACCGCAACCACTGATTATGTATAAATGCCCCATCTATCAATTGTCTCCAATAGTCCTGGAAGAAGATTGATTGAAATATTGATCGCAATACATAAACGAATCACGATATCCTCACCAGTTAGTTGGCAGCCCAAGATGGCTAAGCAATTCTGGCAAGAAACGTTTGTTGATTTGGAAACCTCTTCATATCCTGTGCTCCCTGCTGTAGGGTATCAGTCTTCCATTACAAAGACAGTTGACTATGAAGTTGACCGAATCGACTGCTCTACCGGCTCGCATAGCCCACATACCTTGTCTACCGGGATACAGGCAGCCTGGGCATTGCTCCTGGCTCAGTATGCCAACACCCAAGATGTGGTATTTGGAACAAATTTGAATCCTCTTCGAGGGAATCCAAGCCTGAAAGATATCGTTCCCTTCAGAGTCCCAGTCGATTGGGAATCCGATCTGCTGCAGTGGTTGCAGGCAAGCCAGTCCCGAGTAGCGGCGATGCAGGAGATCCAATCTTGTATGAGCCTGGACGAAATTTCATTATGTAGTCCAGAAGCCAAAGAGGCGTGCGACTTTCGAACATCTATTATCATTCGAGATGCTGAGCCAGAGCTCTACGAGGTATGTGGCCGTGTCCTAGTACCCGGAAAAGTGGTTAGCATAAAAACCTCCCGATGGCGACTTTATATTCCTGAACCACTACACGTGACCACACGAAGCTAACAGCCTTGGTTGGTACCCAGGAAAATTACCCTTCTTCCCTCGTAAAGACTTTGCACGCAAATTGCCTGGTCCTAATTGTCGAGTGCTTTCCATCAATCCCTCATCAGAAACTCCTCCTGCGATTCCACATCGATGAGACAATAATAGAGGCCGCGCAGGCCCAACGAATGGGCCTCCAGCTCACACATCTCATCTGTCAGCTCTGTTCCCCCACACTATACCAGAAGCAAACTTTAATCGGAGATCTCGATATACTTTGTGATGAAGACAAAACACTTATTTGGAGATGGAATGGGTCTAGGCCCAGGCTGACCAACTCGTGCATCACGGATCTCTTTGCCTACCAGTCCCAGAGACGAGGCCACTGTCCTGCCGTTCACGCATGGGATGGAGATTTGACCTATGCCCAACTTGATGAGAAGTCGACTCGATTAGCCTCCTGGTTGATCCAGAATAAGATTGCGGGCCCGGGATTAATTGTTCCTCTGTGCTTCGACAAGACAGTGTGGACGACCATCACACTCTTAGCCGTTGCAAAAGCAGGTAGTACCTTCATAATGCTGGACCCGCGTCAGCCGTTTGGTCGTTTGAAGAGTATAATGCAACAAATTGAATCAACGACCATTCTAGCGCGGCATGATACGGTCAAATTGGCTCGCTCTTTGGCCGAAAGCGCCATCATCGTGGATGAGGACATTCTTCAGCCCATTGGCGACGTCTCATTTGCCCAGATCCCTGGACTTAGCGGCAACATTGCTCCATCGGACCGACTTTACATTGTATTTACGTCTGGCAGCACTGGAACTCCTAAAGGTGTCACCATCTCACATGCCAACCTTTGTACTGCTGTCGGACACCAGGCGCGAGCGCTCGGCTTTGACACTGGAGTTCGTACCTTTGACTCTTCGTCATACAGCTTTGACGCATACGTCTGCAACACCTTCCACACTATTCTCACTGGGGGCTGTCTGTGTGTCCCGTCCGATAACGACCGAATCAACAACTTACAGTCAGTGCTGCATTCAATGGAGGTTGAGTTTGTACAACTCACACCCTCCACCTCCCGTCTTTTGGACCCGAGCAAGCTCCCACACTTGCAGACGCTCATCCTGACAGGAGAGAAGATTAATCGTAACGTACTTGATCCTTGGCTGGAAACGCAGGGTCGAGTGCGTGTGATCAATGCTTATGGGCCATCCGAGTGCACCATCATGTGCGCGGCGAACCTCAAAATCAACTGCATCAAGGATGCCGAGAGTGTTGGTTTCCCACTCGGTGCGAACCTTTGGATTGCCGATGTTCATAACATCCATCGTCTTGCACCCGTTGGAGCAGTCGGAGAGTTACTCATCGACGGCCCGATCATCGGTCAAGGTTATTTCAAGGATGAGCGTAAGACCCGGGATTCGCTCGTCGATGTGCCCGGTGGTTATTTGCCTGGCGTTGCGCTAGCTCCGGAAAGTCGCATTTTCCGTACTCGGGACTTAGCGAGGTATAACACGGACGGATCAATCTCATTCATTGGCCGCGCCGACACGCAGATCAAAATCAACGGTCAGCGTGTAGAGATTGGAGAGGTTGAGTATCACATAGGCCAATGTCTCCCCGAAGGAGTTGATGCTATCGTAGAAGCGGTGGACTGGCCATCGGGTCAGAAAAAGCTTCTCGCATTCATTTACCTGGGACCTGAGACAGGTTTGCAGCTGGCGCAGCTGATCACGAATTTGGACGAAAGTTTATCAGACCGGCTGCCTCGATTCATGATCCCGTCTGCATACTTTCCACTACGTACTATTCCCATGACGGCCACAGGAAAGACGGATCGTAAGATCCTTCGACGAATGGCATTAGTAGCACCGGATCAGCTACTCAACGTGCACGACCTACCGGGAGCAACTGGAGCGTTATCAGCGCAGGAAGCAGACCGACCTATGACTTCTGTGGAAATGACACTGCAGTGGCTTTGGGCGGAGGTATTGAATGTGAACAATGATGCGCCCCTTCTCCCTGCTGACAATTTCTTTGCTCGGGGAGGTGATTCACTTGCGGCAATGCGACTCGTGTCTGCCTTGCGACGAGAAGGTTGCAACAGCGTCAACGTTGCAGATATCTTTCGACATCCACGCCTATGTGACATGGCAACTGCAATGAACGAGAGTTCTGGGCAGAACGTATCCGAAGAGACATCAAAATCATCACTTCCGTTCTCCATGCTGTTGGGCGACTCTCTGGATGGAAAGCTGATTGATCTGGCTCGTGAAAAGATCTCCAAGATCTGCAAGTGCGAACCTCTTGAGATTGAAGATGTGTTTCCGTGTTCATCCATTCAAGAAGAGATGGTCATTTTGGGAGCTCGCAATCCGGAAAATTTCGTTACGCAGACTGTCTTTCCTTTGCCTCCTGGAGTGGATCTTTCTAGATTCCGTGACGTCTGGGACAATGTCACGCGCTCGGCTCCAATAACCCGGACATGTATAGTGGACACAAAATTGACCATAGGAGATATTGGCGTCAATTATGACCATTCCTTTTCCCAGGTTGTCTTAAATGGCCAAGTTCCATGGACTGAATATTCCGAGCTTGAGCAGTGCTTGCAAGCTGAGCGACGAAACGGTATGGCCCTCGGGGAGCCGTTTATGCGGCTCGGCATTGTTGGACAGGCAAAGCAGGAACAGCAAACATCGCGCCTCCAGGCGGTTTTGACTATGCATCATGCCGTTTATGATGGGTGGTCTATGGACCTACTAGGCAAGGACCTAACCCGAGAATACTACAGCCCAGGGGACTTGAATGGGTCAGACGACGGCATCCTCCCGTATCGTCTCTTTATCCAGCACTTGACTAATTCTGATCCTACTGTGGCCTCTCGCTTCTGGGTGCGATATTTGAAAGATATTCACGTGCGTTCTTTTCCCGCTCTTCCAGTGCCAAACTACAGACCGAATGCCACAGCATTGCAAGATCGTTCTGTTTCCGGAATCGAATGGGCCAAGGCCACAGGTATTACGGCAAATACCATTGTGCAAACCGCCTGGGGAATGGTACTGTCTAAGCATTCCTGCGCCAGCGATATTGTCTTCGGAGCAACGCTTCTCGGTCGACAGATTCCTCTGGCCGGGATTGAGCGAGTTGGAGGGCCGACCATCGCTACAGTACCGATGCGAGTTGTGGTAGACTGGGATGGACAAAGCGCTCTAGAAATTCTCCAACGCATGCAAGATCAGGCTGCCGAGATGATCCCGTTTGTTCACCATGGCATCAAACAAATTCGCCAACTGGGCTACGATTCGCAGCGCGCTTGTCAATTTCAGACATTCCTTGTTGTCCAGCCAGTCTCCCAGTCAGAGGTTCGATCAACGGAGAAAGCCTTGTTTGACCTGGGTGACGGTCGAGACGACATTCAAGCATTCAATACCTACGCCATTATGGTGGATTGTGGGTTAGGTCACGATGGATTCTATCTTCGTGCAAGCTTTGATGAGACGGTCCTCCAGGAGTACAAGGTTCAACAGATGCTTAGCGATATGGAGTATATCGCGAAGTCTCTCGTAACCGAGTCAGAGAAGCCCACCAAGCTGAAAGATATGGGCATATTGACAGATGAGGAGCGCACTCAGATTTTGAGTTTCAATCAACAAGGAAAGGACTCGCAAATGATCGAAATTGAGACCTGTATCAAGAGCTCTCTACCAGAACAAATCATAGACGCTGCAGTTGATGTTGTCGAACTCCCTGGTCTCTCAAAACAGCTTTTAGCCTACGTTTGTCTAGCGCAAGGCGAAATCGGGTCTTCTCAAGCCAACCTGGTTCTCGCCAATTTGATAGAACTACTAGGTGAAACTCTCCCGTCGCATATGACACCATCGCTATATCTCCCCCTTCCCAAGATACAGAGGATGACCTCGGGAGACATCGACCGCGATGAATTGAGCCGAATCGCATTGAAAGCTCCTCCAGAGCAGATAGTGAATCGCATCAACCTGACATCTTTATGGAAAAGTAACAATGATCCTCCGAAAACCCAGCTCGAGATTCTCTTGCAAAACCTGTGGGTTACCACTTTGGGAGTAGAAAAGCCCATTATCAACAGACACACTTCGTTTCTTGCTTTGGGCGGCGATTCTCTCAAAGCGATGCAGCTTGTCGCAGCTGCCAGAGAAGAAGGTTATTCACTGTCAGTTGCTCAAGTGTTGCGCACACCTCGTTTATCAGACATGGCAGCCAAGGCGCTGAAGCCCTTGGTAGGAGCACAGTCTTTGCTTTCAAATACCTTTGAGCCATTTTCATTGCTTGGCAAGGACGTGAGCAAAGAAGCTCTCGCAAAGGCCTGCAACATTGATCCAGACGAGATCGAAGATGCGTATCTATGCTCACCAATTCAAGACATGATGCTGGTGCATACTGCTCGACGCGCTGGAGAGTTTGTCTCGCAGGGGTACTTTCAGCTCCCGCCGCATGTTGATATTGCCCGATTAAAATCAGCATGGTTTGAGGTGATCGCTGCGAATCCAATCCTCCGCACACGCATTGTGGAGTTTGCAGGAAAAGGACTGCTTCAGGTCGTGACCAAGACGCTCCCTACCTGGGTAGAGTATGATACCTTGGACGAGGTCCAGCAACTGCCTGTAGGTTTGGGAGAACACCTGCTCTGGTTTGCATTGGTAAAACCCCAGCTTGAACTCACAACGAAAGAGTATGGCTCTGCTACTCTGGTCATGACTATTCATCATGCCATATACGACCGATGGTCTGCTTCACTGGTCATGAAGGCAGTGAAATCCATATACCAGGGAGAAATTGCGACGCAGGGATTACTTCCATACCACCAATTCATCAAATATCTTGGAGAAAACTTGGACACGACGCTTTCCCAGCAATTCTGGGAGAATTATTTGACAGATTGTAATGCCCCCCAGTTCCCGTCTCTCTCGAATTCCAAATATCAGCCGACGACCACTGGCTTTCGAAAGCGGAGGATTGACTCCGTAACTTGGCCCCATGATTTTACGCCTGCAACCACACTGAAAGCAAGTTGGGCGATTCTGGTCTCCCAGTTTTGCAATTCTAGTGATGTTGCCTTTGGATTGACTGTCATGGGCAGGCAAGCACCTCTTGCGGGTATTGAGCGCATCGCTGGGCCAACTATTGCCACAGTTCCCATTCGAGTTAAGGTAGGCTGGAGCTCGTTGACACTGCAAACTTTGCTTCAGGATATACAGTCAGAATCAACCGACATGATTCCACATGAACATTATGGCATCGGCCGTATTCAAAGACTCAATTCCACTGCCCAGCAGGCTTGTCAATTCCAGTCGCTGCTTGTAATTCAACCCCCAGAGGATTTTGATGCCGACGAAAGTTCGATTTTTCGACTGCAATTTAGCGATCAAGATATGGTTGGGGGGACATACGCTCTCGTCCTTGAATGTGTTTTGGATGAATCATCGAACTCTTCAGCGGGCGGCGTCTTAATAAATCTGGGCTTCGACGAAAATGTCATTGACTCCACACAAGCAGAAAAATTATTGCTTCAGCTTGAGCAAGTTCTTCGGGAGATTTGCAAATCAGATGATCAAATTAGTGAGAGATCGCTTTTGGGGCTTGATGTTCTGTCGCAGTCGGACAAACAACAGATGTCGTCTTGGAATGCAACAGTTCCGCCGAGTATAGATCGGCGAATAGATCACTTGATCGCAGATCGTGTGAACGCCCAGCCGGATGCGCCAGCAATCTGCGCCTGGGATGGAGAGCTGACTTACCGTCAATTCTATGACAAGGCTCGAGTTTTGGCCTATTGGCTCGTTGTTGACCAAGGTATCGGGCCTGAGATGGCTGTCCCAATTTGCTGCGAGAAGAGCGTCTGGACACCTGTGATAATGTTGGCTGTGATCATTGCTGGAGGCGTGGTTGTGACAATGGATTCGTCGCAGGCAGTAGACCGTTTACGGTCCATTACTTCGCAGCTCAACCCGAGGCTGATTCTGGCATCAGCAACAACCAAAGCTATCGCCGAGCAAATGTCTGGGACTGCAGTACATGTCGTTAATGATCATTTTCACAAGGATATTGCCAGTCCAGGCCTATCTCAAGATGACTCTTGGATCCCCGTGCTCTCGGCAGACAATGCGGCGTACGTGACATTTACTTCAGGCAGTACCGGAACTCCAAAGGGAGCTGTCATGACGCACGCAAACGCCTGCAGCGCAATGACTTATGTCGAGCCTTACATTGGGTTTGACGAGACATCCCGCGTGCTTGATCTGTCATCGTACAGCTTTGATATGGTGTGGTACGAATTTCTCCACACATTCTATGCGGGTGGATGTCTTTGCGTTCCCTCCGACGACCAGCGCCGCAATAATATCGTCGGTGCTATCCACGACTTGCGCGTCAACTATCTCGACATGACGCCTTCCTTAGCCCGAACCCTTGATCCAAATTCTCTCAGCATGATCAAAAAGATTGTGCTCGGAGGAGAAAGTGTCCAAATAGACGATGTCACCAGATGGGGACCCGATGTGGAGGTTCGCAATTCCTATGGTCCTTCCGAGTGCACAGTGTCAAGTACTGTTGCCCAATATGGGAAAGAGTTCACTACGAGTGTCAATATTGGTCCGCCGAGAGGTTTGAATGCTTGGGTGGTAAGCTGTCTCCAGCCAGACAGGCTGGTGCCTATCGGGGCTGTTGGCGAGTTAGTTCTTGAGGGGCCATTGGTCGGACGAGGCTACATCAACAACCCCGAAAAGACAGCTACCGCATTTTTGACCACTCCTGCGTGGCTTCAATATGAGAGAGAAGCTCTTGTACCACGTACAAATGGTCGATTCTATCGGACGGGCGACTTGGTGAAGTCCGATCACGAAGGCAGATTGACCTTGGTGGGCCGCATTGACACACAAGTGAAACTTCGTGGACAGCGTGTGGAGCTCGAAGAAGTGGAATTTCATGTTCGAAATCTCCTGCCTGCTCTCTCGTACACAGTTGCCGCCGAAGTTGTTGAAGGACCCAGTTTGTTAGGCTCAGCTCAAAAATCCCAGCGATTGATATTGTTCCTCTCGCCAGGTGATTCATACAACAGCAACAAAGACCTCTCTTTGACAGAGCCAGTGCCACTCCCTGCAGTGATATCAAATGATTTGAGCAGAAGGCTGAGGCAAACCCTCCCTTCCTATATGATACCAACAGCTTTCATTTTGCTCCCTCGACTTCCTCTGTCTCCTGCAGGCAAGATTGATCGCAAGAAACTGCGCGAAATCGGAGTACACACGCACTCGGAGACCATACAGCAGAGGGTTCCGGTCGAGGAGACCAAAACAGATGATGAAAAGATCCTCGCTGACCTGTGGTCGGATATTCTCGGCATATCACCGGACATAATTAGCCGCCAGGATAGCTTCCTTGAACTTGGAGGAGATTCTATCACTGCTATCCGTCTCGTTGGGGCTGCGCGGGCGAGTGGCCTACCCCTTTCAGTTTCTCTCATTTTCCAGCATCCAGTTCTTGAAAAAATGGCACACAAAGTGGGTATTGTCTCTACAAACGGGTCTTCGAACGGCAATGGCCATACCCCTACAGTTCATCCATCAGTCATAAGGCTCCCAAAAGTTACGGAAGTTGCAAAAGACCTGGGTATTATGGAAGATAAAATTGCAGACATTCTTCCTGTCACGGAATTCCAGCGTTACGCCGTTCGCTGCGCGTTTCAAAGGCCTCGCACTGAGTGGAACTACTTTGCAATGTCAATCAAGGATGCATCTGTGGCCAAGTTACTTGCCGTCTGCGAAAAGCTTGTCTCGTCACTAGAGATTCTTCGGGCCGTCTTTTTGCCTTATGGGTATGAGGGGGAGTTTGTTCAGGTTATCTTGCGAAGCTTTTCACCCGAGATTAACACACAATATGTTCAGGATCGGTCTCTGGACCAGGCATGCGAAGAGGTGTGCATGGATGACCTCAAGAAGAATATTTTACCTGGCTCGCCTTTTGTGAATTTCTCCATTTTACACTCGGGGCAGAGCGATAAAACCCTCCTTTTGATGGGGATATCCCACGCTCTCTACGATGCCATCAGTCTTCCTCGCATGGTGGAATGCATCGGCTCGCTATATTACGATCACCCGCTTCCTCCAGTGTCTGACTTTTCACCTTTCGTTCGGATCCCACCATCTCCCTCTGGATTCAACCACTGGCGTAAACTGCTCCAAGGCGCCCCGATTCCCGTCTCAGTCATTGGTGACCATAAAACGGTGTTCAAACCAGGAAAGCGCACCGAATTGCGCAAACTTATCAACTTCCCCCACACTTCGAAAGAGTTCACCAACGCAACTATCTTCACGGCAGCCTGGGGTATCGCGTTAGCCCAAACGACCAACAAAAATGACATCGTCTTCGGCCGCGCCGTGTCAGGACGCGCACTAGCCTCGTCCGCTATCGACATCGAGAATGTCATTGGCCCGTGTCTGAACATTGCTCCTGTAAGGATGGAAGTGTCGGAAAGCCAAGGTGTGCCCCATACTCTTGCAGATACTTATAACGTCATCGGGTCACTTCAGTCGCAACTCAACGATTCGATCGACCACGAAACAATCGGGCTTTCCGAGATTGTAAAGCATTGCACCGCCTGGCCAGCAGATGTGGGGTCATTCGGCTCAGTTATATACTTCCAGAATGTCAGGGAACAGTCACACACAAGCAGCTACGAGATTCCTCTGGTGCCGGTTCAGTTCGATCGCCTGGATCCTCCAGAGCCGTCGCGGCTGAATGTATTGCCTTTGGGTGGAGGGCAATACACATTGGAACTATCAGTGCATGTTGCAGATCCCACAGAACAGGATATTTGGTCTCAGCTGCTAGATAGGATGGTACAGTGGCTAGAGACCAGTCGGGAATTCTTAAATAGAGCAAAGTAGACTGTGAGGGTATCTCGTATCTGCTGATGAGGAGCGTGTCTTTTAGATGAATGATCAATATTAGAGAAAGCTATATTCGACTTTAGATACAGGACATAGCGCGAGGAAGCAAAAGAAAAATAGCTTCCTCGCGTTCAGTGGAATCCAGATGCGTCATGTGGACTAAAAACTCCTTAAGATACTTCATTTTATATCTCTTTCCTTCTAGACTATCTGTATTAATACTTCTAGGATTAGTAATACTTTTGGTTATAGCTTCACTACTTTAAGAATATTGAATAGCCGAGAGCTCTGTCATGGTAGTATGAGGAGGGTGATAATCAGGTTCTAGGTATAATCTCTAGATAGTTCTCGAAGATACTGTTATAGGCTGGTATTGTTACTCATTCTAGCCAAGTTTCTCTTCACGCCTACGACGTTATGTTGATAAGAACGGTTTTAGGCTCTGTGTATGCATGCAAAGCATATACGCCTAGCTCACGCCCGATACCACTCTCCTTTGTTCCACCAAATGGACACGAAAATTGGATGGTACTGACACAGTTGACCCCCACGACACCCGAATCCAAAAATTCGCTTAGTCGAAGAGCCCGACTGATGTCTTGTGTGAAAACACCAGCCATGTGACCCGTACATTTGTCGACGCGGCTGTTCGAAACACTGAAACTGGAAGTTCGAGGGATACAACTTCTATTGACATGAATTCCTCTAACGATAAACCCGAGAAAATTCGAGGAAAGGTCAGAGAAACTACAGGGGGCGATGAGACACCCGACCAGAGTTCGGAGCCAACGATATCACAACAACTCGACAGTCTGCAATTATCGCAAACGAGCGAACTTCTTTGCTCCCGTTTCACGATGACGTCTTTCGAAAAAAGTTTGTTACAAGATTTACTATCTTCGGGAGAAGAATCATATGCTACAATGGACGATTCCGATTCAAATGCTTGGCAGGATTCCCAGAGCCCTTTAGAGATTTCATCTACTCAGTTGTCCAAACTGCCAACCAGGTTGAGTTTCGGATCCCCACCAGCACACAATAAGGAGGAAACTGAAGACCCTCTCAGCTGGGACTTCGAGGTCAATGAACTGGTATCACAGCCGCTCTTGGTTGACGGTAGACTTGAATCGCAGTTCAAAGACAAAAGACAACATGTTGACGAATTTTCTTTCTTACAAATGATGTCTCAGTATTGTATGGAGTTACCGCTTTTCAAAATACTTTTTGCGGTTCTAGAGCCTTGTCAATCCAACTTGGCTTCTTCAACGCATCAAACACTCACCTATTGGAGGTGGATCTTTATCAACAGTTATAGCGTTATAGCCATTGTGATAGCCGTCAATAAAACAGCAAATCAGTCCTATTTACAATAATAAGAAATCTAAATCTGAAGTAAAAAGGAAACTTGAACAGAGGAAAGAGAGCAAATTGTGACTTGGGCGACCCACACCGCAAAGGCGGTATGGTATGGGTTGCCATGCTAATATCGTATCCCAATGTTAGCGTAACTGCACATATACTGTTATATTTCATTTTTATCTACTTAAATTCGTTTGATTAGCAGTTTTACATCCTTGGAATTGTGTTGGTAGTTACTAGTAGGTTCCAATTTCCCAGAACCTTAGGTGGCATCCTACTACTACTTAGTAGTACTACTAGTAGGTACTAAGGCTAGCCTCACCTGTGCACCCTTGAATATATATCGTCCTCAGGCTCTCAGGGCCGATTCCAAGGTTTACTACGATTTATGCCAGAACTGGGTCGAACTGAGTTATTTCTTCGTTTACTGGGGCCCCAGTTACTAGGTCCGGGTTGGGTTAGGCGGAAGTCTAGCTTTGACTAGGAATCTATTTAGTAACCTATAACTTCCGTTTCTTATAATTACGCTAGGACTACTTCGCGTTTTAGACGAACTTTACCTATTCTAGACCGTGTGGGGGCCGGGAGTATTGAAACTTAATGAGTCCCCCATGCAATTTGGTTTATCACAATTAGAAATCCTATCATATATCCAATATATGTCATCGCTCTAGTGAGAGATAGTGATGTTAAAGAAATGAACTTCCGTGGGACCATTGCCCTGGTTGTAGTTGCCGGCCTTGAAGTAGCTAGCAGGACTATTGAGATCAAAAGTGTCGAGCTTCTGGAAAACCTGGCCATTGATGCTAACGGATAGAACATTACTCTCGTATCGGATTTCATAGGTGAATCTCTGCCCAACAGGGATTTGGCCGATATTGAACGTATCCTGGCCACAAGTGCGGCACCGGTTTACGCCCATCGTGAGGTTACCAGTGGTACTGTAGTAAAGCTCGCAAACGGGCTTCGTGGAGATCGAGCCATCGATATGGATCTGACCAACCACAACTCGGTCATTCTCGATTTGCTTCACGATTACATCGCCAAATAGTCGGTTGGTATGATCAGAGGGGCTCCACGTAGAAGGGTCTTCCTCACGGAGCTCCGTGCGGCAGTGTTTGCTGTTGGGCGTAGTGACACAACCAGAGGTTGACGAGTCACCTGGAACCTTCATAACGAGGGAGCTATCGTCAGAGCTAGTAAAGAAGTATTCAGAATGATATCCATCGCAGCCCTGGAGCTTGGAAGCAGAGACTGAGTCCGGCGATCCATCCGAGCCAGTCGGAAGCTGTAGTTCCCACTTAGATAAATCAAAGGTGCCACCAGGAGCGCAAGCTGAGGCTTGAGCCAATGTCGTTGGTAGGTAGTTGACAAGAGCCATAAAAGCGATAGGAAGGAGGCTCTTAATCGCCATAGCGTCGTATTTAGGGATTTTTGAGAGAGTAAAAGATATGTAGTTTGTATGGGTCTTAGAGGATTGGTAGAAGAAGACAAGCAATCGGTGCAGTGCGCAATAAATACCTTTTCAATAAGTCGAGCTATGAATAGACTTTGATTAGAAACAAATTTGGCCATCATTTGTGATTAAAGGAGTCCATCCTGAGGCAGCATTATCCTAAAAGGGAATTATCGTTGATCCTTTGGGGTCCACAGAGTTACTACATAGCCATAGATCCTGAAGATTGATATATCACAGGTGGAACAATAACTTTAGATGCATTGCCTTATTTACTCCAATGAATAGAGCACAGGAGTCCTGTTAGTTACGTAATGACATCCTTCAATTAACTAAACAAACGATTTGCGATCAGATTTGAGTTCTCACCCGGATGATATGTTTTCCTCCAATATCACCAAGCTGAATCTACTAGGCTCCTGTAGGCTGTGTGTTAAGATGAGCTACTTGCTTGCGGGGCATCGGCGATCTCTACAACAGGGTGGGGTGGGCTTGTTGTGCGAGGTGTATGCCACCATGAAACAGCACCACTCACTCACAGCTGTTTCATTTTGGCGTTGCATACTTTAGGAAACGCTTAGTGATTCAATTCTATATCTCTGGATATTGTACTGCATCTTACCTACTGAACAGTTCTCAGTTTCGGCTGGCGACTCTATTCAACAGCTTGATTCATATGGTCTAGTATGCGCAACTCGTAGTAGACCTCTACCATCCTGGTAAGGGAGTATCCATCATGGCTTCTTTAATGGTGAGATATCCACAAGGCTATGGCATTACTGTATAGATGCTGCTGTTTACTTGTGTCAAGCGATAGTGTTGCTCCCTTCTACCAAGTGTGTGTTAGGGAACTACTCGTTGGACCCAGAAAAAGAAGCTAAGGTTACATTTGCCCCGCTGCCCCACACAAAACCCAGCTTCTTTACTCCGTACACAAGGTAGGTAGGACCCGAAGCTAGCCTCTAAGAGGTAGTCCTAAAAAGGGCAGTTTTGCTCAATCAGCTATCTTTCTGCCCAGATCGTGCTTTATTGAGTATAGCGCAACATTCTCACATTTGCGATTCTCACGCCCATATCTAGTTAGGGTTCTGCCGTAATATAAGTCGTGGAGAATCTATTTCCATTCTCTTCCACCAACAGTAAGCCTGTTCGGAATGAGCGAGGGAATGATGTAGGTTTATAAGGTACTTCAGAAGCAAGATTTACTGGAGCTTTATGTCAGGAAAATCTAGAGACTGAGTCGTAACGCATCGTTTCTTCCGGTTTACCTGTTGACTTATCTACTCCTTGCCATCCTTTTAAGATGAAGCTCCTTTCAATCTCCTGTCTCGGCCTCTTCGTGTCGCTATCTACCTCCCTCAACCTTCTTAATGGCGGCAACACTCGCGTGGGTGTCATCCCAAACACTGTTGTAATGGACGGGTCCCGCCTGGTTGAGAATAAACAGCGCATTCAAGCTGGTCACATATCATATATAACCGCTCTTAATCATCTCATCGCTCAAGCGGATAGCTGGCTAGGCAAGGGTCCGTGGACTGTGACCAACAAGACGCAGGCGCCACCCAACGGCACGATGCACGATTACGCATCCCAAGCGCCATACTGGTTTCCTAGCAATACTACTAACGGCTGTCCCTACGTACAACGAGACGGCGAACGCAACCCTGAAGTCGATAAATACCCCGATCACAACGCGCGTGCGCAGATGTTTAATTCAAGCTATATACTGTCACTCGCATGGTACTATACAGGCGAAACCAGATACGCCAAACATGCCTCACTTATTCTGCAGACCTGGTTCATCGACCCCGCCACGGCTATGACGCCTCACCTAAGCCACGCGCAGATCATTCCTTGCCGCAATGACGGCCGCGCAATCGGTATCATCGACTTCAGCATGGAGTATACCAACGTTCTGGATGCAGCCGCTATACTTGCCTCAACTAATGCTCCAGGCTGGACGAAAGCAAGCCAGCGAGCATTCATGGACTGGAACAAGAAGTTTCTGAGACTGGCTAGTCAGCTCGGCATTTGGCAAGGAAGAGGCTGGCCAAGAGAATAACCACGGGACCTTCGCCAACATGCAGATTGCAGCTCTCGCTCTCTTCGCAGGCGATATGGCTCTCTCACAAGAGACATGCCAGGTAGCTAAATCTCTAATTAATGGCCAGATAAGGCCTAATGGCTCCCAGCCAATGGAACTGGTGAGGACACGCAGCTGGCACTACTCCAATTTCAATCTTGGCGCACATCTGCGCTTCGCACTTGTGGCCAAGAAGGTTGGCCTAGATCTGTTCGGTTATGAGGGGCCTGACGGACAGAGTCTGTTTAGAGCGACGGAATTTTTGTTGGCAGCTGCGGGAGAAGGGCAGAGCGCGTGGGACTTCCAGGAACTGGACTTTCAGCCGTATGCGGCGACGGATAATGTAGAGGCAGTAGCTGATGCAGGAAACCGCAAAGCGCAGGCTGTTCTGTATCGGCTTCCCCCGCCACCAGGTGGGAATATTTATATGCTTAGGCCGGCTGCCGAGCAGTTGGATAATATTGCCGGGTAGATTTCCCATGCAGATTGAAGCAAGTATCTGGTTGGATTCGATGGCCACTTTGAATTTTGGTGCATGATCTCTTAACCAGACTGCCAGAATTGAGATTCATGGAGCATTGCGCATGCCACCTGATCTTTCAAGCATGAACCATGTGTCAATCCCTAGTTAGTTAGTTAGCAATTCTCACACTGTATCCGACCAATTGGAGATATCAATGACTCTGTATTGTCCCTATTTCTCGCTATTTATGGGTCCATTATAGTTATATAAGCCATGCAGTCGGATCACCTATAGATCTGGTCTCAAGAAGTATTCGTAAGATATTGCCGACACTATTTGGTCAACATTGAACCTGTCTATTGAACTATCTATTTGACATGTTCTATCGGACTCTCCATGAAGGAGGTCTGATACAGTACGCTTCGATCTACTTGACAATGGACCTGGCCACTGGATGGTTGTCTCAGAAAATGAGCCATGCCAGCTGGGTCAGTCACAAAGGAGATGGTTTCAGCCGAAATGCCCATCGGCCACGTGAAACATGAACTTGTCGGCAAGACTCTTTTGAGCATAAAACATGTAACCGAAGGATATTTCTTTGTAGCTGCCAGATGTATCTGCACACAGATAGCGTTGGTGCTTGACTGTGCGCATAAGGTAAGGCACTTTGTATTGGAGCTTCATAGGCGGATCAGTAAGAGAAATCAGATATATAAAAAAAATCAGAAATAGTTACCTGGGGGGGGCTTGGTTAAGCTCTCCTTGTAGTTTAACTTCGAAGTCACACTCATCGTCATGTTAGTCAATTCCGACATACTCTTTAAATCTATTTGTAAAGGATTCACTCTTGACTCGCTCTTGGGATTATTGGTAGAAAGTACTCACAGAAATAAGGGAACCATCTTTCATTCCGATTTCCAGCAAACGTTGACCGTACTTAAGCAACAATAGCTCTGCATCCCTATAAAGCGGGAACTAATCAATTTTGAATACTGTCTAAACATACTAAGTCGTCTCTTTATCACATCCTCACGCAGGCCATAGTATTCATTTGCTCCAACATACTTCTGTTTCTTTAGCTCAAAGACGAAACCGACGACTAACAGGCTTTCTAGTCCCCGCTACAATATCTGCAAAGATTTTAGGAATGTACAAGAAATCAGTGAAGCTTCCGATAAAATCCACCAATGGTAGCACATTTTGTTGCTACTTACATTCAGTACATTGACACTTGAGTCTCTCAATAACAGGAATACTTACGTTGATGGCTCTCCAATGATTGAATGAATGGCTTAACAGTGTGACACCAATTCGGGGGACTTGAGAAAATTATATGTTAGCACTATGCCTACCTGCATGGGCAGGAACTGTGTTTCGCGGGTCCAATTCACTCATTTCACAAATTTGTGTCACCGCCCTAAGAGCGATCGTAGGTATCAAAGCGGTTATCTTCGGAGGACGTGAAACAACAAAAGTAGCGAGCGGGAGAAGGTTAAACTATCCAAAGAATTCCTATGTTCTTTCACATTCACACAATACTTTTTTTAGCGAACTTACTATAATATATCAAAAATACAGTATATAATTTATCAAAAAGCTGCCCGATCGGGCGGGAAATAAAGCTATTCACAACTCTACAGTCGTATGGGGGCCGCCGTATCGGCAACAAACCACCATAACATATTCCCGCCGCGCTGAATCGTTCAAACATACAATGAAAATAGCCCTGACGAAATCAGCCTCTGCTTCCTGTATTGTACTAGCGCTAAGGGCCTCCACACCCACGATCGCTCGCGATTGCAACCGTATACAACATGGTGTATTCCACCACCACCACCTACACGTGATGGCCAAGAAGAACACCCTCAAAGCGTCCTTACGGTAATAATAGATATCATCCTCGGTATTACATATACCGTGCCATTCCTAATTAGGCCCGAGGGGTGTTCACATACAGATTAGGGGTGTCCACCTACCAGTGCCCTACTACTAGTTACTAGGTAGTAACCTGCCCGTTGGAGACCAGCCGTGGACTACCTACTATAACAACTTGAACTTGAACTCGATCGTGCGGAGATACCTAGTAGTACTAGTAACGGAAGTCAAAGGTGGTTTCTAATCCTTGGAACTTCCTTGAACCACTGGCAGTCAATCGTGGAAGGCAACATCAAGAATCAAATTCTATTAGTTACGTACTATAGTACTATTTTGGCGATAACTTGTAAATATCCAATTTCCTCCAGCCAAAGAATTACTTGCAACTAATTCAATCTCCGAACGATGGCAAGACGCATACGTGAAAATAAAAATAAAAATATTAGCCAATCTCCTTCACTCTTCTTGCATGCAAGGTATACTGTAAGTCAGACTGAGCAATCCAAACCGTGGCGTCGAGAAATCTTAGTAATTGGGTAATCTCAACAAGGGTATCGGCTACGAGCACCGTAAATAAAGAGGCTCACATGCACACTCTCCTACGAGTACTCCATAGTCTCCTTCCTTTCAACAGCTCCACCGTCCTCGACCCCGCCAAGAAAAATATTCGACTCAGGTACCATGGCGATACCTGGTGCACGCACCATACACGAAAAGGTCTGCGATGCATCTGGAGCAGAGTCTGCAGATTCTGCAGAATGCTAAACACATAACACCGGAACTCCACTATGGATGTTGCTGGAGAATGTCCGACCGAGTAGTATTGACTTTATTTTTTCCAGAAGAACTCCAAAAATAATACAAGAAAAGTCAAAGTATGGTTCTTGCCATGTGATGCCATCTACATAGATCCGCTTATGGATCGATCCAGAACTCTCGGTGCAATGGCCAAAAGGAGTAGTGGATGACAAAGTGTTCCTGGATCCATTGATCTCTGCTAAGGCCCTTATCAGATTTGAGGTACGAAATACATTCAGGGACGGTTCAATTGTTCTCGCTGTCGGCAAAGTGTGGCGACGGGGATCAAGAGAGGAAAGATATTCTCCGACGTGCATCTCTGCGACAGGGAGGATGGCAGGAATGACGTTCGATGCATGGCCCCCAAGGGATAATGTCCAAGATCATCCAATGGCAGTGGAAGCTGATCTATCATCCTGCGTCCATTGACGTCCAGGATCCGAAGGAGCCGGCGGACAACAAGGCAGTGTTATGCCGAACCTAATTAGATTAATCTCTATCCGAGAGGGTGTGCCTGATCCCTCGGCAACTAAAGCATGGACCAACTTCTCAGTACTCGAGGCAATCTAACTGTCCCATAGGGTTCTGTCGTAAATCGGACGCATCGCAAATTAACTTGGGAAATTCCACAAGCATGCATTCCAGCCAGTTGTAACCTCAGGTCTCGAATTCGGCAATCTAACGCGACGAGGGGTTCTTTTTTTAGCACGAGCGCAAACCCTTTTTCTATATCGATCGAACTGGTACTATATCTCACACTTGAGGCGTCGCGCTTTGTCTCCATGCTCTGGAGAGAGCCAACCTGGGGGAGAGTTGGGAGATAGTGAAACAGCGATCGCCTCGAGATCCTCGGGACGCCCCTCTAGGGTCAAACGAACCGGTTCTCTACCCGATGGCTTGAAGGGAAAAGAGGCTGGCCGCTAGTTTCATCTTGATGCAGTAGTCTGCGGAGTCTGGCGGACAGAGAAGCTTGAAAGGCAAACACACTTGTATAGGTCGATTGGACAAACAGATGGTGAGTGGAGTCAAAAGTTAGCCACTGCCCCTGGCGCTGTGCCTGTTTCGCGTTGCAAGCCCTGACTCCACACAAGCCCTCTCCTTGTGGAGTCAACACCCCTGGGTCCAGGGGGGCTTTTGGATGGCCAATTTTGGGGCAGCTCTGAGCTGAATGGGCTGAATGGGCTGAATGGGTCTCTCCTTGCAACTTCTGCGACGCCGGTCACTTTTCTGTTCCTTTGTTTACTCCATATGGTGGGGTCCCAGTCCCTGCAAAGCGAACTGCAGTCTGCAGACTATCGTTGTCATTCGGGCGGTGGCTTGCATAGTGCAGCTTCCCAACTTTGCCAACTTTGCCAGTCCAGACTTTCGACTCCTGGGCTTTTGGCGAGAAAAATCCTGAATTTGCGATCGCATCCTGCTGCGATTCATACCCCCCCCCGTGGAGCTCTTCCCGCCAGCTGCATGCAGGCTGCATCATCCTCCAGAAATATTGCCGGAATCTGCGTCAACTCGCACATGGGCGGAAAAATAAATAACAACAATAACCAAAAAAAACTTTCAAGGTTTAGAGATATCATGCACCATCCGCGGTACGCATATGGAGGTGAATGGCAGCTAACGTTTTCTGGCGACCCTCCCTGACCCCCCTCACCCAGGAGCAATAAGCGTTAAGAACCAAAAAATCAGTCGGCTAGCCACCGAAGTCAAGACCTTGAACCTTGGGTCCATTTGTTTCGACATGTCTCTTCCTCTCCCCCCAAGGGATTTCGAAAGCAGAGCAAGATGCGGTGATACTAAGCTCGAAAGCGTCTAGGCTGTGCATCTCGTTCCTGGACTAAACCCCTGGGGGATATGGGGCCATTTCCCAATCGACCACTCGGAAAGATTCTCAATTGTTTCCCAGCCCAGAAGCCAGAGACAGAGAGGTTTGTTGGGTGAACTCGACGGCGCTTTTCCATTTATTGGATTTAATTAACCAAAGAACCAAGCAATAAAGCACCCACCCCCTTTTAATTGCAAGCTAGACCTGACCTGACTAGGATTCTCTTCTTTTTAGAGCGCAAGACCAAAATAACTCAGTCCAATATTCTTTCGGGTCCTGGCTCGACCGTTGGTGGGTCATGACGATCGTTTCCCTTGAGTTACTTGGACAGGTGGGCGATGATGCATTTCTCCTGATGATCCTCGCCTGAGTTACCGGGTTAGTCATTGTACTCGCATGTCTTCTCTCGGGAGCACTCGTGCCAATACACCAAAATTTGACCGCAAACTTGGATCCTCAAGTCGTATACTACCGTATGCCAACTGCCGCTTCTTGCCCTAAATTCCAAGGGTCTCTCATCTTCTTGACCAGGCACTATCACGCAGGTAGGGTCAATAGTCAGAATGAAAATCCCAATATGTCTTTCAATGGGCCTTACCGGGAACCTGACACCATCTGTGACGGCCTCGCCACAAATGGGCGGCACAAGCGGGCACCGTTTCCACCCATGATGTTTTACCTAGGCTCATCCGATGGGTTATTACTGGTAGCCTTGCTCCACTGGATGGGCCCTCAGCGATCCAACGCTACCCCCCGATATCCGCGAGTCTAAGGGGGATGGGGATTAGAGTGGATAGCTCCAAATGTGGACTGATGGCGTTGAGGTGTCGAGACCGGGGTAGTGCACCTCCTGGTCCGTCCGGTGCTACTGGGATATGCTGGACCCAAGTGGAGATTCGACTTCCAGTAGGCGGCGATGTTCCTGGATGATCAGGGGGGGCTGTATAAATATTGAGGATCTTCGCCCTCCCGTCACTACTTCACATCTTTATTATTCCACCAGTCTATCGTTAATACTGTTTCTGGACGGCCGTTGTGGTTTGTCTGTCTTTCTTTTTTTTTCACGGTTTGATTTTTTGTCAAAACCATTCTTTTTTTCACTGTCATTCACTTTTGGCTCTTTGACGCCTATACATTCGCTATAACACACTCGTGACGCCGACAATGCGTTCTTCTCTCCTCCTGCTCGCCGCTCTGGCAGGCTCCTCTCTGGCCTACCCTGCCCGCGACATCACCCACGACCGCCGCACCTTCGGACTTCTCGCTGATATCCTCGGTGATGTCACCGTCGACGTTGGTGACATTCTCCACCTCATCCTGGGTGGTGGTGCCTCTACCTCCGTTTCCATCCTCTCTGGTCTGAGTGCTCACGGTGCTGCTGCTCTTCAGGGTGGTGCTATCGGATGTGGTGCTGGCACCATTCACGCCGATGCTCGTGCTGAGCTCAAGAAGTGGCTGCACACCCAGGCCCACATCAAGGGCTCCCTCAAGACTCACCTTCTGACTTGGTGTGATGCTTCTGCCGATGTCACCTTGGCTGCCGATGTACTGGCTTCTCTGTCCGCATTCATCCCCGCTTGCGCTGAGATTGCTGCTAAGGACTCCATCTATGTGACCATTGATGGTGTCTTTTCCGCTGTGGACCTGGCGTCCACTCTTGTCCTTGAGCTCTCTGCTCAGGCTTCTCTTTCTGCTTTCCTCGAGGCCCACTTGAGCCTCGGTGCTGATATCCGTGCTGGTCTCGGTGTCTGTGCTAACGGTGGTGTCGCTGGCAGCTTGACTGCCGATATCAAGGCTTCTCTGCTTGCCTGGCTTAACCTTGATGGCTGCCCTCTCAGCGCTGACCTGAAGGTCTCCCTTCTTGCCTGGATCCACGGCAAGCACGGTGCTGGTCTCGTCGCCATTGGTTCTCTCTCTGAGAGTGCTCTGTCTGCTATCTCTGTTGGTGCTTCCGTTGGTCTCTCCGTTGAGGAGCACGGTGCTCTTTCTGTCCACGCCCAGGGTTCCATTGCTGCTTTCCTCGAGGCTGACATTGCCGCCAACCTCGATGCCAACATTCTCCTCGCCCTTCAGGGTTGCGCCAAGGGTCACCTCGCCTCCGCTCTGTCCGTTGAGGTCCGCACCGCTCTCGCTATCTGGCTCTCTGGCTCCAGCTGCTCTCTGGGCGTCGAGCTGAAGTCTGTTGTCCTGCTGTGGCTGTCCCTGGGTGCCACTGTTGACACCTCCGTCGACCTCGTTACTGGCCTTGTCGGTGATATCACCGGTTTCCTGAGTGTCACTGTCCTTGAGACCCTGAGTGTCAACCTCCGTGGTGCCCTTGGTCTGCTCATCTCTGGCGAGAGCCTCGCTTCTCTCTCCTGGGAGGCTCGTGCTGAGCTTGCTGCCTTCCTCGGTGGCTGCACCAGCATCGACATTGGTATCAGCATCGAGCTGATCATTATCGAGTGGTTCACTGGCTGCAGCATTCCCGGTGCCCCCAAGCCTTCCTCCTCCGTTCCCAGCCTGCCGTCGTCCACCCCTGCTGTTCCCTCCGGCTCCGTCTCCGTCTCAATCCCTGGTGGCTCCCACGGTGGTTCTACTCCCACTGGTGCCTCCCCCCGGCGAGACTCCTGCCCCCAGCGGTCCCTCCGGCGCTACTACCACTCCCTGTGACACCGAGACCAGCGCCATTGTTGGCTCTACTGTGATCCCCGGTGGCCCTGCTCCTTCAGGCTCTGTTCCCTCTGGACCTGCTCTCTCTGGATCTGTCACCAGCGGCCCTGGCGCCTCTTCCACCCCCTGTGATACCGAGACCAGCGCCATTGTCTCCTCCACTGTCGTCCCCGGTGGTCCCAACGGTGGCTCTACCCCTACTGGTGCCTCTCCTGGTGAGACCCCGGCCCCAAGCGGCCCTGCTGGCCCTGCCACTACTCCTTGTGACACTGAAACCAGCATCACTGTTGGCTCTACTGTGATTCCTGGTGGCCCTGCTCCCTCTGGACCTGCTTCTTCAGGCGCCTCTCCTTCTGAGTCTGGTGGTGTCCCCGGTGGCCCCGCTCCCTCCGGTGCTGCTACCACCCCCTGTGACACTGAGACCAGTGCCATCGTTACCTCCACCATCATTCCTGGTGGCCCTGCTCCTTCAGGCGCCTCTCCTTCCGAGTCTGGTGGTGTCCCCGGTGGCCCTGCCCCATCTGGCCCTGCCACCACCCCTTGTGATACTGAGACCAGCGCCATCGTCACCTCGACTGTGATTCCCGGCGGCCCTGCTCCTTCCGGTGCTTCTCCCACCGAATCTGGCAATGTCCCCGGCGGCCCTGGTGCTAGCGCCAGCACTCCCTGCGAGACCGATGTCACTCCCGTCGTCACCTCCACTGTTGTCCCCGGCGGCGGTGCCAGCCAGCCCCCTGCTCCTACCAATGCTCCCTCGGGTCCCAGCGGCGGTGGTGACGAGACTGACAGTACCGCCACTGTCACCGTCACCTCCACCGTCTGCAACTGCTCGAAGTAAGCGGCTTCAAAACCGCAGTCCATGAAGAACATCTATTCAAGGATGTCTTCTCCCACTTTTGTTTATTTTTTCTTATGACAAGATGACCCTCGAACCCCCATGGCATGTCGAGTGACCTGCAGAGCACGTTTTATCGTGATCTCAGCTGCTCACCCCTTCGCTTCTGTCCTGTCTGTAGATATTTAATTTTAATTCTAATCTGCTCTGGGAACTCCTGGCCTCACCATGTAACTGTATATTTATATGGGCGAACGGCTTTGGGCAGTTTGTGATTTTTAGACTTCTGGCGTCGAATCAACCTTACCTTCTACATATACACGATCTGTCGATTTGCGCCTTACTGATTCCCCCTTCAATGGAGTACATTCCTTATACTATTCAAATATACTATTCAACCTGCCATTGATAGACTACTTCTTTCTGTTGTGAAAAATTTTTGTTTTCTTTCTGAGCACTGTGCTTCATGATAGACTTATCCGATTAAAAGCTTTCTTACATGTCCGATCTTGAAGTAAACGAATTTCAATTGAACGCCAGGGCTGATTTTAGCTTCGTGATTATTAGGTGCATGGTCACTAGCAGTATCCCCTATTTCCTTGAAGCGTAGAGGTTGCTCCACCCCGTTTATGATAAGTTCTAAGGACTGTTGGATTGCTGTGGAAACACCCTACTGGAGTAGCTACCGGAATAGTAGCACCAATACCATTGGATGCCTACTAGTTGAAGAGTGTATGCTCACTGATGTTTCCCACAAAACAACTTGAACATTTAAAAGGTCAGGTAGGACTAGGGTTGGTTTCCAAGGATTCGCTCGCATTTGAATGTTTAGATTTCATGTAGATAGTCGAGAGAAAAAATTCTGCGCCCCCATAAAGATAACAAGAGAAGAAAACGGGAACAGAACTTAAATGTGACCAGGATATTCAACGCCAATGGAAATGCGGACCGCATGCGCATGAAATTTTAGCTATATCTCCGAGGTTCAAAGTAACCGACCTCACTCGGCATCATCGGGTTGTCCCTTCGTTTGCATAGACGACCTCTCACTTGGTGATCCGGAATGACGTGAAGGACCCTCGTATTCATCAGCCATCTTTTGTCGCTTCTCATCAGGCGCGGATGCAGATGATGTGTTACGCCTTCTCCGACTGGAAGGGTTGTACCTGTCCATGGAACGGCGACGACCTCTTTCCTTTCTAGGACCGTGGCTGCGGGTCCGGCTCCGGCTCCGATCGCCAGGGCTACGACGCCGGTGGTTATTATGGTGGTGATCATCATCGCGACTGCAACTGCGGCTTAGTCGGCCAGCGTCGCGATCGTTAGCTTTCCTACGATCACCTCGCTCACGCTCACGCGATCTGGACTGGTGTTTGGCGTTTCCGCGTCGGTTGTGGTGTCGCGGGGGTGTTACGCTGCGGGAGACAGAGCGGCGTCTGCCTCGGTCTCGCCTGGGACTTGGTGAGCGGGAGGAATCATTTCGGGATATGGATCTGTCTCGATCACCGTAGTCCGGGCTTCGTCGCCTCTGCCTATTTTCCTTGCGATCTCGGCGTTCCGGCGATTTCGATCTGCTGAAGCTGCGGCGGCGCTGTCGACGGGGCGGTGAGCGGGAGCGAGAAGGGGAGCGCGAATTGGGGGAGTGATCTGGTCGACGGCCTCTGTGATTGCTAGACGGGACGTAGGAATCGAAATCGCGGCGAGATGGGGGTTCACGGTATCGTTCCCGGCTTCGGTATCGGGGCGGAGATCGTGAGCTTCGTCGACCGAAGTCACGACCACCTCCTCGTCTACCTCTTCCGCCTCGATCGCCTCGATCACCACGCTCTCGGCGTCTTAGGTCGTCCATCTCGCGATCGCGGTTTTGCTCTTGTTCTTTCTGTCGACGGGCTGCTTCCGCAGCCTTCTCGGCCTCGGCCTGTAGTTCTAATGGTCAAATGGGCGCTAAAAGATAGCATTGGGATGTGCGGTACCTTTTCTTGCATCAATTCCAGCTTCTTCGCTTCCAAAAGCTCCTTTGGAACACCCTGGGGATTTTCTTGACCGCTGAGGCATAGCGACCATAGTTCTTGACAAAACTTGGCCGTATCTCGATCGAGGAACCCGGTCAATTGGATCTGGAGCGATTTAATATCGGGCTAGTTAGAGAAAGGTGAAGCGTTAGTCAATGCAGGTACGTTAGGTTGTCAAGTGTGAGTAAGAGAAAGTCAAGGGAACATACGAAGCGAGTCCCTTCCAGGAGATTGAAACACAGCTCGATCACCACATCATCTTCATTGCCAAGGATCTTGATCGTCAATTAGTTCCAATTCTCCCGCATGGCCCGATAACTAATATCTCAGGGCGTTGCCCTGTAGAATAATACACATCATGTTCGATGAGGGTACTTACATCGGAGATTCGACTGGCAATCCATCTGCAACGAATGTTAATTCCGCGATTGCGGCATTTTGGGAAATCCCGGGAAATGCGCACTTCTTCATGACTTCAATGTTGACTTTCTTCATGTCCACCTTCCGGCTGAACTCCGGAGGGAACTTGGTCTTCTTCAGCAGCTTGGCATCCACGGGGGCCGCCATTTTGGAGTGAAGCTGCGCGAGCGAGGTATGGAAGCAAGGTGTGGGTGAAGCTCTTCGGCGTGGAATAATGAACAGCAGGCGGTGTAATACTGCCGCTCACCACTTTGATGCCTTGTGGCCTTGTGGCCTTGGAGCCTTAGGGACTGTCATTTTACCCTCAGTTGCGCTTCTTACAACACTTCATTATTAACCATAAGAATCATTCAGATAATTTCGGAGCTATATGAGAAATATTGACATCATCGGCCTATTCTTCCAGCTCAACTATTCTTCCACGAATCCAAGCCGCAAAAGGCGCAAACATGTGTTCATTCTTGCTATGAGGTTTCTCACAAAAAGCGAGAAGGGCATTGTATCGTCCGATAGCTGTTGTCGACGTGGCATGGAGAACTTTGGCCAGATCGACTGGACAAAGATAAGGTGGTTGCGAGGCGTCTTCACCCACCGATGCTGTGCCCTGCATGGAACAAGCATAGTACATGCAATGGTCAATACCGAAACAGTGACCCAGTTCATGGCTAGCTGTTCGGCAAACTCGCCCAAGCCAGAGTGCGGAGAGCGAGGTCCCCGTCAGATTTTCCATGGGAAGAGTGCGATGAATGGATATCGCAGCTTCCATGGGGCTTACCCTGGACGTGGAGGAACCGACCTTCCCTTTGTTTTGTTTTGTTTTCGTTTGGGGTTTGGAAGTCTTCTTGGCCGTGGAATCCTCGTCAGCCGCATTGCAGAAAGCAGATATATAACTTTTGCAATGTGATGCTGGCCAAGCATGAAGACGTTCGACCGACTCAAGTTCATCTAAATTTGGATTATATCTGGCGCTCGAGACAACGGCCACCCGGCTCCCTCCATAAGCACGACCACAAGCAAAATCATCGTTTTCATCTTCATACATATCGTGATTGACCAAGAACAGAAGTGCGTATGCATCCTTGGGCAACATGCCAATCACAGCATCGAGAAGGTCATTTAAATTGAGTTGTCCATCAAAGACGTCATCCCTCGAGGCACGAATGCGAATTCGAACAGATTCCTGAGATACTTGCAGACCGACAAACTTGGGCCGCTGAGATTTGGCTTTGGAGGTTGATTTGGCGGAAGCTCCTCCGGAATCCCATCGGACGAGGCAGAGGGTCGACCGAGGCATCAGCTTCACCGGAAGCCCGTGATAAAACGCGCTCAGATATTCATGTACCTCCTGAGTCAAAGGAGGCTCCACTCGGTCTTCCTGCCGATAACCCTTTGGCCGGCTCCATGGTTCAAGAAAATCAACACCATCACTTATTTGTGGCGGGGGAACCACATAGACAGTTCTCCGACTTGGCGTAACTGAGTTGCGATCTTCCTCGTCAAACCATTCCTGCAAAGATTGAGGTGGATATTCAGGATCTTCGGCAATCTCATCCCCTGGCAGTACCAATGGCCCAGGAAAAGTTTCAGGATTACCTTTTAGCAGAGCGGGGCTAGGCATAAGGTTGTCATTTTCCAGCTTTGTTGCTGCAACGCGTTCTCGCATGTTGGGTCTTTTGAACCCCGATTGAGCAGCATGGCGCGAGCATTCGAATTGCACAGAACGGTGGCTGCATCCCGAGGCCGAAGCTGATGCCATTTTGGAGCTGCGCGAATGAAAAGGATATGAACGGCAAAGGGAAACCCTGAAAGGGGCCCGGATGGAAAAGTAGAAGGGGGCTAGCGCTTTAGTAGATACGGGCCATCCAGTATGAACGAATCAACTATGCACCAAGAGAACTCGAAGAATGATCACTGTTGGGCTGAGGCTTCCAAGCGGGGAGTGCTGCTAGTTGGACCATCCTTTTTGCTAAATGCACTATGGTCCTTCTGAATTCAGTTTAGTATGTATTTCTCATACACATTCAGTAACACAACTAAAGTTTGCAACCCCCTAGAGTAGACTAGTAGTAGCTACCTAAGATATAATAAATACGCCAATCTATTCCATCTTAGGTAGCTACGAGTCTCCTATTCAAAGGCGGAAGACTAAGATAGTCCAACAAGAGGTTGCAAACTTAATCTTTTACTATTCTACTGTATAACAGAGGTATATCTGAATTTGTATTGGAAATACTACTAATCTAGGAAAAGCAAATATGTGATCCAATTAGTAAAAAAGATGGTCCAAATAGCACAACTCCGAGCAGGGGCGGCTGCCCGGACTGATTACCCCACCAGGAAATGCCCAATGAAGAATAAACCAATCCAACTCACTTTCTCCAAATGTGCTCGACCGTGCCTAATAATCCATTGGATCGCGGGTTCAAGTTGTGATGATTTGGAGCTGGTATTAATTGGCGATATTGGCAAATTACACCATTTCAAAAAAAGAAAATCGGTAGACAGATTCAACTTTATTCCCATGTTCAGCTTCGGATTTGGAGATGAAGCCCTAATTTCCCCCAGCATTTGCCATATGTAACTCAGGACGCTCTTGCCGGTTGTTTATCATACTACAAGTACGAGAGGTTGCCATACATGACTCGGAGCATGTTGGGTATTCGTGCAAGCGGGTTTCAATTGCCCCGGTCTTTGATGATTTTTCCAAATAAACGCCACGGGGACTTTCCCCCTCCGTTTCGTGGCCCTCTCGACTTTGTCTCCTCTACCTCCAATCCCTCGACTTTTATCAGCGTTAGTTTCTCATATTTGTCGTCATAGTGAGCACTCGAAGCGGGCTTCGATCGTCAAAGCGGCGACTCAGCAAGTATTTCTCCTTCGAAGCGACAACACCGTGACTTGGACGCAAACTCTCCTTTACCTAATATACCTACGCCCCTTTCAACTACCGGCAGCATGAGCGACACCGATTCGTCGAAATACCCCGAGTGGTTTACCGTCGAAAATAGAGTGAGACGACTTTTCCCGCCATGGCCTCACCCCAGACACCCTTGAGATCTGAAAGCAGCTGGCCTTCGCCCGATCCATACCAATCGCTGGGGCTTGGTTCACGCGATCGATGACCCGGTAATGGAAGGGTTCTGTTCTTGCCGTACATGGCCCATGACGCCACGAGGCACCTCTCCACAGCTAAAACCGCTACAATTCTTAAGTGTACATCAAATTTATTCTCAATGAGCTTTGGCACATATGTATGCTTCGATTGAAGTGTCTAGCCCTATAAGAGATCTTGGCACCTTTGTTTTTGTTACAAGAACGCAGCTGCAAAGACATGATATTGCCATGGGTACATTACCAACTGATTAACAACAGCTAAGATGAACCATGTAAATTTCTAACTAGTCGATTGCCCAGGTGGGTCATCGGGTGAAATACCAAGTGGAAGTTGCAGCGAGCCAGCACAAGACCCAACACAATACTTTCCCCCGCCGCTCCAACCCGCTGATTAGCTCTAGACTGACGCTCATCTTGAAAAGGGCAAAGGCTCTCCCAGCAAGGTGCTGATTTAAGGCTTAAATAGCCTGGACGTTGACCCAGAAACGAGTATCATCACTTTGATATTTTTCATTGCTCTCGATCTGCTCTTGAATCCACAGAACGGCATCTTTGTACCCTGTTTATCGAGTCAGCCGAGTTATGAATGATCATGTTCATATCCACTGACCTTGGATATCTGAAGTATCAGGGTTTTCAACACCTGACGCTCCGTTGCGATGGCCGGCGAACCAAACGTCAAAGCCATACTTATCTTCGCCATCGTGACGGGCCTCGATGTCCTTATCCAAATCAGAGCTTGAAGGATCAACATATTAGCTCACACAATGTCATAACTCTATAATGTAGATTGGATACACACTTCAGAACGGCTCCATCATCAACCTGGTCCGCGGTCTCGCCTAAGAACGCAGATGCAGAGTGACGGAGTATGTACCAGTTTTGCTTGAAAATTCCAAAGTTCGTAGCATCACCAGACTTTCCATCCCCTGTGAATTTATCTGTTAATGTACAAACTGGGCAAAATGTGGTGCTTTCATGAATACCGTATATATAGTCACTAGTCATAGCCTTAGTCTCCAGCATCGCAATGGCCAAGTCACGAGTGTTGCCACCAGCGCCGGTCACTTCTTGCTTTCGAACCCCGAGGCCAGAAACCGTCTCATTCCCTCGATCATCACCACGGGTAGCAAGCTTGAATCCTGCTACGGGCGAAGAGATGACGGTGGGAATGAGTGCGAGGACACCGAAGAAGGACAGAGAACGCATTTTTGATACCTTGGATAAGAAGAAAGTTTGTTCAATCGTGATGTTCTTTTCGGGCAATGGCCGTTGTTACCGTGATGAGTGTTGGGACGAAAAAAAGAAAACCCGCGTCTTATATAGATATTTATGGAGTGGGGACGGGGGCGGCTGTGAGACCTTTTTCACCGCTGTAAACATTTAATGAGTGAAGCTTTCCTAGGCTCCAGCCCGCCCGTGTAAAAATAGGAAAGATCATCCAAGATTTGAAGCTACTTGATGGCCTACCAGTGGGTGCGAATGGTCCCTGGATGAATCGGGAGACTTGGCAAAGGGTGCTCCGTATTCCGTCGTTCATGCCTGCGCGAAACCCTTCATTGTACCCTGTCCAAGAATAAGCCATAATAAAAACACCTCATTTTGAATAGTTTCACTTCTTGATATTATTTTGAATCAGGCGGGGAAATATTTTTGAAATTGAGACAAAAGGTTCTTTAGTTGTGACGGATCAGAAGACAGCTTAACCCTTAACGGTTGGTAGATGCTCTTGATAAATACAAATAAATCACATGATTAGTATACATTACATGCAGGCTCCTATTCATGCTGAGCTTAATAGGTGGGTTGTAATCACGTAACGGATGAGAATGCTGTCGTCTCTGCAAACGTAGGGTCGCATTATGTGCTTCTTACGAGGTAACCAGTGGGCCCTATACTGGACCCTTAATTTCCTCACACTCAATTCGAGTCACTTGGCAGTTACGGAGTTGAAACTGGTTTCAACCCAAGCAATATTTGGAATCAACTAATCATTTGACCCAATCGTGATCGGCCTCGATAAGCTTGATTATGGATATGAAGTATCGTGTATGAAGAAGTGAGTGGATGACCGTTTGCGTAGGTGCTTTGCGAAATAAAATGTTGATCATGACGGGCATCATCTGGATATTAGAAAAGAGCAAATACACAGGAGTGGGGTAATTGATCTACGTAGACACTTTGGTCATTTTGACGGAGATTTAAAATGCACTTGTTCAAATATCTAAATTCGGAACGTGCGGCCTCCCGTATCAAACAACCTGGCCCACGAAGATGAGACAGAGCTAAAGTCAAAAGCAAGAGCAACTTGGAGAGCCCCAATTCTGCAGCAAAGGAACTACTGTATGACTTGACTAGCAGTGTTGTCGCATATTGATGTTCAAGATCTGCACTTGACTTTTTTTCTTTCTTTTTTTTGGGGGGAAGGGGGGTTTAACCATTCAGGCGCTCCGCCTGCAAATATTCGAAAAAGGCAGTGAGTGGGCGGAGACCGAAAGTTCCGTTACCTTTTCGGCAGCGCGATAACCACCTTGTATAGATGCGTGTCTCAAAGCCGGTTCATAATTTGGAGTATTATGAATAATATAAATACCTTTAGGCATGATTTCCAAAGGCCGTGCTAGGGGTAAATGGAAGCCGTTTTGTGTGTTTGCCATTGCTTTGAAATATACCTGTCGCCTGATTTTCTGCAAAAATGAATTTTTTTGAACTACCGTTGTCCAATGGTTGGACATTCAAAGACCGGGACGATCATGGCCCAGACGCATGGATGTCTGTACCGGCAGTTCCCTCTACTGTGCAGCAGGATCTGATTGCAAACAAAAGGTTCTATTCGCGAGTGGTATACTTAGCGATTCCTAGACTAACCCTGAAAATATAGACTCGAAGATCCTTACATCGGTTTCAATGAACTAAAGGCCCAATGGGTCAACGAAAAATTATGGATATACCGAACAGATTTGAAAAGACCTGATATTCCGACCGGCGCGAAAGTGGACATTGTATTCGATGGTCTGGACACATTTGCATCAGTTACTCTCAATGGCCAGAATATCCTGACAAGCAGTAACATGTTTATCGGTCATCGGGTAGACGTCACAAGATTTCTGCTTGAATCCGATGGCCCACATGTGCTAGAGATTGAGTTTGATTGCGCTCAGTTAAAAGCCCAGGAGCTACGAAGCAAGTACCCAGACCACAGATGGGAAGGCTTCAATGGCGATATGGCACGCCTGGCTGTGCGTAAAGCTCAGTACCATTGGGGTTGGGATTGGGGCCCAGTCATTATGACTGCCGGAATCTGGAGAGATGTACGCTTAGAGGCATACTCTGTTCGAGTGGCAGGGTTATGGCCGCAGACACACCTGGAGCACAATCACAAGACAGCGACCATCACAGCTATTGCTGAAATCGATGCTGCCATCCCCGGGTGTTATACAGTCAGCTTTTGTTTGTCTCTTAGAGGAAAGCAGATTGCCTGTCAGAGCTTTTCAGTGGAAGTAAACTCCAGCAAGAGCATCGAAGCAAACTTGCAGATCAACAATCCAGAGTTGTGGTGGCCTCATGGGTACGGCTCTCAACCTTTGTACGATATGTCGGTTTCGGTTTCAGGAGGTCCTGAAAAGGAGCTGCATAAAATGTCCAAGCGTATTGGCATTCGATTTGCTGAAGTTATTCAACAACCTGACAAGCACGGTAAATCATTCTTTTTCCGAATCAACGGGGAGGATATCTTCTGCGGTGGTTCTTGTTGGATTCCAGCCGATAGCCTGCTTCCTAGTATCCGCCGAGAGCGATACAAAAGTTGGATTGATCTCATGGTAAAGGGAGGCCAGACCATGGTCAGGTAAGCTCAATGATGATCAAAAGTACTCAATCGAGTCTCTGTTTTATTACTGACCTCTGATTAGAGTTTGGGGCGGGGGAATATACGAGGATAAAGCATTCTATGAGACTTGCGATGAGATGGGACTGCTTGTCTGGCAAGACTTTATGTTTGCCTGTGGAAATTACCCGGTTTGGCCTGAGCTACTGGAATCGATTCAGCGAGAGGTCACCTACAATATCTGCCGCTTGCGACACCATCCCTCCATTGTTATATATGTGGGAAACAATGAAGACTACCAAGTCCAGGAGCAGGCGAATATTACCTACAATTACGAGGATAAGGATCCGGAGTCTTGGCTAAAGACGAATTTCCCTGCACGCTATATCTACGAGAAGCTACTGCCGGAAACAGTGGCAGAGCTCTCCCCAAGTACATTTTACCACCCAGGGAGCCCTTGGGGTGATGGAAAAGTCACGTCAGACCCAACTGTTGGAGACATGCATCAGTGGAATGGTAGGTCTACCTGATTTGCGTTATAGATCGGAGTCTTACTGATATATCTGTACTAGTTTGGCATGGAACACAGGAGAAGTATCAGATTTTTGATACCCTCGGCGGCCGCTTCAATAGCGAGTTTGGTATGGAAGCGTTTCCACATATGTCAACGATTGATTATTTTATCGAAAATGAGTCCGACAAGTTCCCGCAATCGCAGGTTATGGATTTCCATAATAAAGCGGATGGTCATGAGCGACGACTAGCGACCTATCTCGTGGAAAATTTGCGCACGGCCACAGACCTTGAGGTAAGTTAATACTCGGCCATCCAGGGATGGTTTAACTATAGTCTTGCTGTGTTCAAGAGTTGTACTCATGACTATATACAGACATATATTCACCTTACCCAAGTGGTGCAGGCAGAGACGATGATGTTCGGGTACAGCGGATGGCGTCGCCAATGGGGCAATGACCGTCAGTGTGGCGGAGCATTGTTATGGCAAATCAATGATTGCTGGCCGACGATCTCATGGGCGATTGTTGACTACTTCCAACGGCCTAAGCCTGCCTACTACACAGTGAAACGTGTGATGGAGCCCCTGGCGGTTGGCGTTCGCCGTGAACACCATGATTGGAGTGTTGTTCACGCGAGACCCCCAACCAAGGCAAAGTATGAAATATGGATTGCGAGCAGCCGCCGCGAGTGTATTAAAGCCACTCTCGAGCTTCGGTTCTTGTCAGTAGTCAGTGGCGAAAATATACGGCCCCCAAGTGTTCACGATGTTACCATTACTCCTAATGGGACAACCAATATTGTCTCAGATGGAGTTATTGATCATATCGCGCAGCCTGAGCCTCATGTTCTTGCCGTACGACTCTGGGTGGACGGTCGCATTGTTGCGCGTGATGCCGATTGGCCGCAGCCGTTGAAGTACCTTGACTTCTCTGACCGTGGGCTGGTAGTAAAGGCTCAGAATGGGAATGTCCCAGGACAGCAGAGACTCGCTATTAGTGTACTAAGACCTGTCAAATGTCTCGTATTTGAGGAACGGGATAATGTGCAACTCAGCGATAGCGCGTTGGACATCATGCCAGGGGATGAACAAGTCGTGACAGTTTCGGGGCTCAGGTGGAGCGACTTACCACTGAAGTATCGCTTTCTGGGCCAGTAAGAAAGTTATTTTTTATTCCTCTGCCTTGGATTATCATCAAGTAGACAAATTATTTCCAAGATACTTGGACTTGATTTATTGAGATGTCGAATCTGACTAAAGGACGTACCGGCTATCGGGGAAAGTCGAAAATTGTCATCTTTCCATTTTGAGAACATGAAGCTGCCCAGGTGTGGTAGGATGGCTTGGTGCTACTTTTGACTATGAGACATCCTACTTAAGGCCGGAAATATACATGCTTTAGGGTGTTGGCGAGACGTTTCAGCACTTTGTAGTAGTAGGCTCTTACACATAGGTATCGCAGGGCCCAACGGTACCATCTTGTCTTTTTAATCTGCTACTAACCCATATCCAGATCTGAAAATAAATAAGTTCATTATTAGGGTATATGATATACTACAGTTTCTCCTGGGTTGATGGGATTAAAACAAGACACATTATTAATTTGCAGGGCTGATCCCATTGCAGGAGCCTTTTTCAAGCCTGTCAAATATCCAATGCGCTTTTACCAGTCCCTTGTGAGTCAAGGTGCGCAGATTGACTGGCTCCAAGGCCCTTTTGCGCTACCAACATTGATAGCTCTTCCTAGTTAGTTATCAAAAAGGAAAAGAGAGTCCTGAGGTACACTGTAAGTATCCAATCTGTAAATTGCGAAGAAGCTTTCAGAAATAGCCAAAATCTTACCGAAAATAAAAATACACGTAGCATTTAATCGAATTGTAACTCCGTAATCGTACAATGATTATTACAAATTCATCATCTCCCAATTTCATGGCACAGAAAGCGTACTTTTTCAGAATCGGAGGTCACTCTAGGCGTGCCGCAGTGTTGGGTCGGCCGCAGTCGGAATGCGAAGGGAGGCGGAATTTGGCCTATTCGGGAAAGGAGGAGGCGGAGATCGCAAATCTTCGCTTCAACGCAGAGGGCGAGTCGGGTACTAGGCATACGGGATCACTCCACAAATTTCCTTTGGCCTCCGGTGGTTGTAGTGTCTGGGGTAATTGAGATATAGTATTGGGTTGTAGCATGCAAAGGAGAATCTCCGCCACTCTGCGTCTCTTTTGGCCAAGGAGATCCCCAGGCAGCATCCGTTTAATTGTTCATGGGGGGGATTGATACCTTGATACTGTCAATACTTAAGAAGTGAAACACACATCTTACGCGTTACTAGAGAAGGAAATGATCTGCCTCTCCAAAGCATTTAACTCTCTCGATACACCCTCATATGATCTTGGTGGTTTTGTATTTCCGAGCAGATCTCAAATCCCCAGGATCTTTCACAATCATGACAGCAGAATCGTTGCACTCTCAGACGACTGAGAATAAAGGATCCGGCGAAATGACTCACCTGGAGATAGCGGATGGTGTTAGAGTCGAGGTTCTCCAAGGCTCAATGGCACTGGACCTGGCCAGACGAACTGATCCCCCCCAACCCGTGGAGTCGGTCAATGCTAAGGCTTTACGGATTTCTGGCCGTGGGATATCTGTGCTCAGCCTTGAACGGTAGGAGCGATGGATGAGAAACTCTCCGATCCATGTCAGCTAATAAATTGAATCTAGGGTTCGATGGTTCACTAATGGGCTCTCTTCTTCCTATCGCCCAATTTAGAGATACCTTTGGGGCCGGGCTGGTTGGCTCTCAAGCATCTTTAATCCAGGGAATGTACACAATTGGAGGTGTTTGTGCGCTTTTTTTTGTTGGCTTCCTGCTCGACAACTTGGGTCGACGTTTTGGCATGTTTGTGGGATCACTTGTGGTCATTCTTGGCACAATTCTAGGTGGCACCGCCAATCACATCGATCAACTCTTGGCCAGTCGGTTCTTCCTTGGTAGGTGACCCCTTTCAATATTCAGCAATACGATGACTGTCAATACTAGAATGCTAATGAAAGGCAATTCAGGATTTGGATACTCTATCGCTGCTTCGGCTGCGCCAGCCTACGTTGTCGAGATGAGCCACCCCGCATACCGTGACCTGCTGACTGGTCTATATAATTGTCAATACTATGTTGGTGCCATCGCCGCTGCAGGAGCCTGTAGAGGGTGTTTAATGTATCCCGACTCCCGTGCGTGGCGTATCCCAATTTGGTGCCAGTTAATTTCTTCCTGCTTCGTTGTGATGTTTGTTTGGTTCATACCTGAATCCCCTCGATGGCTTTATAGTCATGGACACAGTGAGAAGGCCTGGGACATCATCACCAAGTACCACGGCGAAGGCAACCGACAAAATGCCTATGTCTCACTCCAAATTCGCGAATACCAGGACGCGATAAATTTAGAAGGTTCAGACAAACGCGCATGGGACTTTCGAGAGCTCGTGAACACCAAAGCTGCGAGATGGCGGCTTGTTTGCGTGGGAATTGCATCCTTCCTTAGCCAGTGGTCAACGGGTGGGATTACAACTTATTATATGGGTGGGCTTTTGGAAAGCGCTGGCGTGACCGATACGACTCGTGTTCTGGACGTTAACCTCGGATACACTGTTCTATCTGCCGGAGGCGCTTATATCGGTGGCGCATTGACTCCTAAATTGCGCCGCCGACCAATGCTAATGGGCTCATCTTTTTCTGCGGCTGTAAGTACTTATGGTTTTTCAGACACCTTTTGCGTTCTCAATTTGGTGACGTCGTTCATTTAGATGCTTTTTGCTGGATTGTCGGTTGCTACTGGTATTTACGCGAAATCAGAACAACCGCCAGCCGCTACAGCGGCGATCGTGATCATTTTCCTCACTGGATTCACTTATAGCTTTGGTTGGACACCATTGCAGGCCATGTATTCTGTTGAATGCCTGGCATATGAAACCCGGGCGAAGGGCATGGCTATTTACTCCGTCTTTACCAACATAGCTTTGCTTGTGAACCAATTTGGAATTGGGAATGCCATGGGGGCCATCTCATGGCATACCTATATCATTCTGGCTGGGTGGAACGTTGTTCAATGCGTTTTCATCTACTTTTTCGCTGTTGAAACGTGCAAGCGAACTCTCGAGGAGCTCTCAGATATCTTCTCTGCTCCCAACCCGAGAAAGAAGAGCACACAGTCCCACCACATTGTGGTGTCTACAGAGACTGATGAGGTGTTGCAGACAAAAGAGGCTTAGTGATGTATCCTCGGTTTCTAGGTGATTCATCTCAATTTTGTTTGGGGGCATATTTACCGATCATGTTTTCAGGGTCCTGAAATTTAGTATGAATTGCAAGATCGGCAATAGTTCTCGTCAAATACGATTAAAGCGCTTCTCGCCTAACTAGAGAATCCTTTCAATAAAATTGCAGAGAGGATAGTTCCAAAGATGTGAGTGAGAAGAAATGTATTTTAGCTTTCAATTACGTTTAAGCCCAATAAACTCTCCAATAAAGCTGTTCAATCATATTTTTGATGTCGCCCATTAGGGTCTGCTTGGTGGCCACGAAAAGCCTCCCAGGGCCTGGTTTCTCCAAAGGATGATTTGCAATGGGAATCAGGATTGGCATAGCTGAACCAATTGCAGGTACGAAAAGACGGGTGAGGTCAATCTCGCGCAAATGTTATACGTAAATTTGAGCCAAGGAAAATAGGCGGTATTTCAGGACTTTCCGAGCACCGATTGTATAATAATCAATGATAATTTTCATTCATCCTTGACGAACTGGCATTTGAAAAATAGAAAAGTCTTGATTTTCGAACCCAAGACCCGGAGCTTCTGGCCACATATCTTCAACACCCCAGCTTAAAAATTCCCACATCGATTGTGGCGGAAGGCTTTCGAAAGACATCATCGTCCAGTCCAAAACTCGATCTTGTGTCGCAGGTGGGTCAGGATCAACGTCGTTCAATTGAGAGATATTTTGGAAGCCGAAACACTCCGCTGTCGTATCTGGAGCTTTTTCAACTGCACCAGTGCCTACTAGACAAGCTTCGAAAATACTCGAAATGACTTCCAAGGAGCGTTGTGCAGTATGTCCGTAGGGCTTCATACGTTCGATTGTCACCATTGCTGTCTCAATCTGTGTCTTGCAGGATGCAAATAAAGCGTCTGGATCATCATCTCTCAGCTTAGTAGATAGACAAACTAAGGGTACCATAATTGCCTGAAATAAGAACCAGACTCCGTTCCAGCCGATCATTTGATTTAATCTCGTCGCCATGGAAATTGCTTGAATTGCAGTTTGTGCAATTTCGCGGCACTTAAGAATGGCATTTCGCTCCTCCAGCCTGAGGGTCATGAAAGGAACCCTTCGCATCGCGTAGCTCAAAAGCTTTGGACGATATAAAAGCATTCGTTGAGTATGAAATCTCCAGTGCATCACCGTTCTCGCGGTGTACAACGACTCAGGACATGGTTCGTGATCTTTGAGAGCCGGGGGTAAGTTTTCCCACCACTGCAGAAGCTTTGAGTCCAGATCAAGGATTTCCGCGGATGTGATCATTGGCATGGAGGCTAATGCTTCCTGTATTTTTGAGGAGACTTTGATAAATTCGATATTTTCGATTAATGGAAGGACTTCTAGAAAGTTACCCTAAAAAGCATTGATCACACATTAGATTTCAGTCCTCAACATAGGATACAGATGAAATGGGACATATTGAATCGTACCTCGTCAAGCAAGCGAGGTTTGGCGACCGTGATGGTCGGAGCAAAGAAATCCATAGACGCCCGACCCAGAGTTTCATGGCCCCATGTTTCCAGGCAGCAGAGGGACCACCATATACGGCGTTTATATTCCCGATAGGCGGTACGCGTCGGGTCTAGCGCTAAATGGCTATCGTATGGCTCACGCTGTAGTCCGAGTGAGACTGCCATGCGTACAGCGGCACCTATTAGGGAGTACCCAAGGTTTGGCTGGCTGATATAATGACAATACCAGCCTCCGATGAGACCAAGGGTTTGAACTGTCTCAATAGTGGGCGCTCCGAGGGTCGCCAAGTTCAAAAGATTCATTGAACGGTCAAAGTAGGTCCTGTGGGAGTGGTTATCTGGGCCCGAGGCCGCGATACTACCCAATGCGAACACTATGTTTAACAGTGCTAGCCACTGGTTATCTTTCCTGGTCCCAACAAAGTGGGTGGCGCGAAATGACTTCTCGTCCAACAATGGCGCGAGACTGTGAAAGTCGACAAAATACGCGTCTAGGATTTCGCCTTCCGAGGGCATGTGGCCGGATTGTGTACTTAGCGACGGGGTTGGATTTGCGGTTTGGTCGCCCCGATTATGTGGTAAGACAGTGGATCCATTTGGCTTGGATAGCGGCAGCAGCCATGTGATGACCTTCAAGGCTGCTTGCGTGGACGAAATTCCTAGGTACGAGGCCGGCTGTCGAGTGGACAGGGACAGCGCGTTGACATCATCAGAGATCTGCTCTAGAGACCCGTCTCGACTAGGACACAAGCCTTGACCGAGACCGTCATCGGGCATCGAATGCAAGGACTCTAATACAGGCTGTCCTATAGACAATGTCGAGTTATGGGCGTGTATAGAAGCGGCGACGGTCGGCGAGTCGTGATGCTGACTTGTTTCTGACCCACTGCCATTCATCAACTCTAGTAGCGCTGCCCGGGGCAAATTGACAATTTCCTCTGGAGGCATTTCTGGAAACAGCCTTTCTAGCGCGGCTCGATATTGTTTCAACGATGTGCGCGAATTTTCCGAGTGGCTACTTGGTTTAGTCCATATGCTTGAATTCGAAGAGCCAACGCATTCGGGCGGTTTACCTTGATGACTGTCGCCGTTCTGGATATGCACACAGTTCCGGTGTTTTGTACCAGCGACAGGATTCACACGGCTTGTCGCCTGTGCATTTGATTTTTCGCTGACGACAGGAATTACATGCCCGTACCATCAGTCCTCGCCGCCCCGTTCGTTCACTGCGCCTGAGACCGCTTGGGGTTACGCAGACCTTCCTCTCCATTCTGCGACTGTGAGGAATCAAACGCGATAAACATGGTGACGGACAGTGACTGCACGGTAATCAGTGGGGAGGGGAGGAAGAAGGTACAATTGGAATGATCCCAAGTTTACCTGCAGTAGTAGTCACGGCTATGAACCCATGGCAATTGCATGTGGGGCTGCCAGTCTTTACATGAAAATCTGATTCATGACAGCCTGGAGACACCAACCTACAACCCCCACATTTTCCAGTGTCAAGCTGCATTTTAGCTTTTGGCCCCAGGGCCACCCATCGGTTAGCTTTTCTGTTTTATTTTATTCCGGGGAAGCAGGGATTTTTTTAGGGCGAGGGACTCACAAGAAGTGAAAAGAAGCATAGGTGGGTTTGCATCCATTCGTGCGATTCCGAATACGCCGGGCGCAATCGTGTCGGTTGTGTCTGTTGCGCATGTGTCTTTCGTGGGCTAAGTTGTTTTTAGTAAGAGCAAGGCGGAGTTCGCCTCCTGAGCACCGTGTCGGTTTGGGATGAACCAATCGGCCATTGAGGCCTGCCGAGCAGCAACCCCTGCTGTCTGGGGTTAACAACGGCATGTGGATGGCATGTGGATTCCTTCGCACAAACCCTTGATCCTCAGGCCAGTGTTTCACTATGATGAATCGACTTGCTGATCCCCCCCCAAAACGTACACAAAAGGAGACACCAAACGGCTTCGTTTGGTAAGGAAAGGCGGAGAGTTGGCCAAGAAACAACTATTTTATGTTTTTTTGTCTGACATTTGGCTTCTGGCGATCTTTCGGTTGTCATGTAGAAGGAGAAATTACTTCAATCCCACAATCTTGACCCCAATCTAGAGTATCCCTAGCAGATGTAGATACCCGCGCCCGGTGAGAACGAGAAATGGTCAGACCCATAAGGCCCCCTTGTAATTTTCCTCTGTCAAATAGCCTGCATTGATTGCTTGATATACAGAGCCTCTACCTAATCAGCGTATCACTTTACATACACAGCTCCACTGGCAGGTCGGAGTCAAATCCCCTCCGAGAAACCGACAGTGGAAGGCGCCAGATTTGTAGAGGACTCATTGTCAATATCAATCGTCTAGCTTCCCATCGCCAAAACCAATGGCCAACATTCAATTTGGAACCTTGGAACTCAGGTGGGTCAAAATGAAGTTTAACAAAGGAGAAGTATCCATATTAGACAAGGAGTCTCGAAGGGCATTTTGAATTAGGATTTTACAATCTTGGGAATAATATACTAGGTACTAGTATATAAAGGTGACGGTCCCAAGGTTGTTGTCATTAGGAAGTCAATCAAGACATTGCCTTCCAAGGTTCATGATGAAAGTTTCTACTATCCTGCTTTCAATCGCCTGTCTAGTTGCTCAGGTAGCAGCTTCCTATCCGAATCTTCGCCAACTTGGTAAATTGCGAGATGGTAACTACTCAATAAACAATGAAGCTATAGTACAATACACTGACCATTTTTGGCCCAGCCCGGGCGCACTCCATTCGTCGGAACACCACCAGCGGCGACGTTCCCAGTACCCAAGGGTTAAATTTCACGATCGACGGTCAGGCAGACTACTTCGCCGGCACAAATAGTTACTGGATTGGTTACCTGACCAACAACTCTGATGTTGACCTCGCGCTCGACCACCTGCATGAGTCCGGACTCCGCATCCTTCGCATCTGGGGCTTCAGTGATGTGAACAGCAAGCCTACCGACGGAAAAGTGTACTTCCAACTCCTGCAGAATGGAAATGCGACCATTAACACTGGCTCTGATGGTCTCCAACGTCTCGATTATGTTGTATTTGCCGCTGAGAGGCGGGGTATTAAATTGATTATCAACTTTGTCAATAACTGGTCCGACTATGGGGGTATCGACGCATATACCACCGCGTTTGGAGGCACTAGTACTAGCTGGTACACTAGTCCTACAATTCAGGATGTCTACCGCAAATATATCAAGGCCATTGTTTCAAGATATAGTCAGTCGTCCGCGATATTTGCGTGGGAATTGGCCAATGAACCTCGATGCAGTGGCTGCAACACATCCGTCATCTATAACTGGGCTGCATCTACTAGTGCTTATATCAAGTCCCTCGATTCTAAGCACATGATAGCTATTGGAGATGGTAAGTGAAGTATTGAACCCACCAGTTTCCGATTACTGACCTCGTATGCAGAGGGATTTGGCTTGGATGTTGGCTCAGACGGGAGCTATCCGTTCACATACGCTGAGGGCCTCGACTTTGCAAAGAACCTGGCAATCGACACAATTGATTTCGGAACTTTCCATCTCTACCCTTCCACTTGTATGTATAATGGCTCTCACATTCTTTCGTTCTTCAGCTTGAGGGAACAATACTAATGTGAGCTATGTAGGGGGTGTTGCTAACTCTTTCGGCAATGGCTGGATTACGGCTCATGCCAAAGCCTGTGCAGCAGCGCAGAAGCCCTGTCTCATGGAGGAGTACGGGGTCAAAACCGACAAATGCACCACAGAAGGCCAGTGGCAGCAAACAGTCCTTGGCACTAAGGGAATTGGCGCAGACCTTTTTTGGCAATATGGAGATAAGCTCAGCACCGGGAATACCCCGGATGATGATTATACGATTTACCGCGGCACGGATGATTACAAGTGTCTAGTTACCGATCATGTCGCTAATAGATAGGTACGGGAGGTATCGCCAGGAAGTCCCTGACTTCTCACTGTTCGCCGACAGGACTCTTGGCTGGAATTGTGTTTAGCAGGAATCATATCTTAGTGGCAATCTGCCAGTTAAGACGTATCCTACCTAGGTAGGAAATCAACAAGCCACTCATTACTACTAGTACTACTCCTCATTATTCCATGGTGTAGATGCCTAAAGGCACCCTCGGGGCTAATATATATATCTCGTTTCAAGAGGAGTACTAATATTTGGGAGAGTATCTTGAGCTGAAGTCAACATTTAGGTATTTGAAGGAAGGTAGGGCAATGGAAGAGTTCTGTTCTAGCAGTGCATGACCCATGACGTCACGAGGCATCTGTCCGTAGTTCAACGCCGCTAATAATTATCAAGTCCGTTTCAAACTTATGCTCAATGACCTTTGGCACCGTTTGCTTCGATGGAAGTGCCTAGCCCCATCAGAGATCTTGGCACTTTACTTGTGTTACAAATCGAAGAAAGTCTTTCGGTACTCGCTGACATCAAAGGGGCCGAAGGACCGAAAAGCGACGCCCCACCTCTATTATTTTGGCCAACGATTCATCTTAAAAAGGCTGTTGGCTTTTTTGGAGGTTACCTTTCAACCCAAATTTACTTACAGCGTGAGATATTCATCGAATCCAGCATGACATCGCAAATTCTACTTCGGAATGCAACCATCCTTGTCCCCTCAGGTCAACCAAACGACTATGTTAAGCCACTGCGTGGCCATTCATTGTTGATCGAGGGTAAACGAATCTCCAAAATTGCGACCACCATCGACCCGCCTACCGGGGCTCAAATATTCGATTGTACTGGAAAAATAATAGCGCCTGGATTCATTGACACGCACCATCATGTGTGGCAGACGCAGCTCAAGGGTCGCCATGCTGATCAAACCTTACTAGAATACCTTCCCACTGGTGCGTGCCCCTTTGCTGGTTGATGAGCAGTTTTTTTGGGAATTTTATTTTTTTAAGCCCCTCGGTACTGAAATAGGAAATATGCAAAGCGCCAACTACATCCCGGAAGATGTATTTTGGGGTGAACTAGGAGGCTGTCTGGAGGCTTTGGATGCAGGAACAACGACCTTAGTTGACCATGCCCATGTCAACATTTCATCGGCCCATAGTGAGTGCCCCGTCTAATATTGTTAGATATAAGGCGGGACTAATGTGCTTGTCAGCCACAAACGCGATCGAGGCTACGGTTTCATCGGGGATCCGATCAGTATTTTGCTATGCGCCAACCGCCAAGACCCAGGACTGGACGCCCGAGATAACCATCGAGGGAGGGCTGCTGGAGGATTGGGTCATAGAGCAGTTCGAAAGCCTTGGTACTGCCGCGCCTTTTGGAGACGGTAGAGTTCAAATGGGGTTCGCTTTTGATGGGTTTATGTTGCCACGAGATCAGGTGGTTTCTATTTACAACAAAGCTCGGAAGCTCGGAGTAAAAGTGATAACGACTCATTATGCTGGACTGTACTTTGGTGAGTCAAATTAAGGGATCTCTTAGGACCAATATATTGACCTTGTAATGATAGGCTCGGATTCGGTGGTCGATACGCTTGATAGCTATGGCCTTTTGGGGCCAGATATCCTGCTCTCACATGCCACCAATTTGACAGCAAGTGATATCAACAAGCTAAATCAAACAGGGGGGTGGATATCGACGACTCCGGATACTGAGTTACAAATGGGACACGGAAATATTGTCTGCTTCCGGGAAGGTTGTACTGACATCTGCTCTTTGGGTATTGACTGCCACAGCAACAATTCAGGCGATATGGTTTCACAGATGCGCCTAGCGTTACAACATGAAAGATCAGGCCGCAGCGAGGAGCTAATTGCAAAAGGGAAATTTTTGCGCTCTCTGAATCTGCATGTTCAAGATGTCTTCCGACTAGGAACAATCCAGGGAGCTCGAGCAATTCACATGGAACAGAGCCTGGGCTCACTGACTGTTGGGAAACTTGCGGATATCGTCATATTCGACGGAGAAAGCCCCGGTATGGTTTGTGCCTCTGAGCAAGATCCGGTCGCGGCTATTGTTCTTCATTCTTCTGTTAGGGATGTCGACATGGTTATCGTGGATGGCCATATTCGGAAGGCGAATGGAAGACTTCTTCCGGTACAAATTGCACCGAGTCTGCCTGAAGTGGATATCTTGCCTCAAAGGATTAACTGGAATCAAGTTGCGAAGAACTTGATTGATAGCCGGAGCAGGATTGAAGAAGCAATTTCAAGAGCGAATGCTACAGATAAGGAACAACTCGTGGATTCATTCTTAAAACTCATACATGCGGATGAAAATAAATTCGTCAGTTTGTGAGATCCCTCCCGACCAGGGAAAGCGAGCTTTATCGACCAATTTGCATTTCAAGGCCGGGAAAAGCGAGGGGCTTTTTAACATTCTAAATACATAGTGACTTCTATTCGCATTTGGGAAGACCACAATAGCAAATCTTGGAAGATAGGGTGCTCTCGAATTCGGAGACATCGAAATAAGATTACCCATGCAATTGTTAAGTGCCAAGGCGGCGTAGGCATGGTCATAGCGCTCCATAAGTGCAGGGTAGTCAGTAGTTCGGATTTGGACGGCGTGTATGCCCCGGTCGGTTCCTCGCCCACGTTGTACCGGAGCATTGCGCAATCACTGGCGGTCTTTAATGTCGAAAGCGCGAAAGGCGACGCTGATATCGACATCGGCCCGAAATTCCAGCCCGGCGTGATAAGTCATCCTGCTCCATGGAAATTCAATATCGCGCCCTGTTCCGAAGAGCACGAGGTCTTGATCAACGCAGTGGAGAAAGAACACCCCTGGCAGAAGAGCGATGCCTCGGATTTGTGCAGCGCACCATGAGCCTAAGCAGGGTCAGTCCCATTTCAACACGACAGTTAGCTCGGAAAGACGAGGTTGACACATCGAGCTATTTGAATGAATAGCTACAGCTACTTTGGCGTACTTCCAAGTTCTCTCGAATTCGGCATTGAAGACCTCGCACTCGATAGCAATTTAAATGGAAATCCAATCATATTGCATGAAAAAACGCCACTTGAAAAAGAAAGCGACTTTGTGGGGAGCTGAAACGCAAGACCAGCTGATGTGCAGTTCAAAATTGCATGCAGTGTCACCTCCTTGTCGCAATCTATGCAGATCGTCGATCGTATTGAAGACAAAAAGCACACGAAGTGTATGTATGAACCCTGCATTAATTCTAGAAAATTTTACATCTGAAAAGACAAAACCAGTACTCCGTACTTTCGCGGATATTTCGACCTTATCATGCATTAGAAAAGCGTGCGAGGAGAAACATGCCTCGAAGGTTCGGGCTATTCCGTAGGAATGTGATCAATCGCCAACCCGATCAGATGGCATCTATTCATAAAATGTTGCGATATTTGAATCAGGACAATGAAGAGATTATCTTCTTTAATCCGAAATTTTTATTCTTCGAAGATTGCGATCGGAAATTCTCAGCAAATTTTCCAACTTGGTTTTTGGAAGAGTTTGGAATGTAAGGAATGTGTAGGGGCTTGACCAGCTTGGAAGACCTCGCGGAAGACCTCGTCGATCGCATGCAGGCAAGGGACACAAAAGTGTTACTTATGTGTGGGGCTTTAGATAGATACATCAAAAAAACGTATGTTCGAAATACATGTCGAAATCACAGTGGATAATTAATGCAGAATTGCTTTTTCCAAGTTCGATAGCGCTGACAACCACTTGCTCCTTTTTTTTGGTCATCACATATGTCGTCTTTTAAGAACGACGACTCCGTCGGAGATAGTTTCTTATTCAAACTGCCAGTTTACCTCCCGAAGCCATGTGGAAAAGCAAGAGTTTTCTAGATCGCAACTATTCGTCAATTACACCCCCATCGATAAATGACCTTCGGTATGAAGTGTATGGCGAGGAATCACCCCCAGCGGGAAACTACCCATCGCATGAAGGTATGGAAGAGGCCGACCCAAAACGCATATTCCTGCTTGTGTTTTCTTTGGCGTGCTTCGTCTTCGCAGCATCGATTTTAGTGACATACGTTGCGATTCTGATGTCAAGCAGACCTGCCGAGGCATGAAGGTAAGCCTGAAGAATGCTTACGTTAGATTGAATACTGAATGATCTACTATTATCCCGGTCCATTACCAAGCCTAGACCTAACGCATGATCCCGTCTTCTTTAGCCCGATGAGATCGTTATCTATCCCTTGTGAAATCAAAAATGACTCCCCGCCGCCTCCACAAAGTGCCACCACGATCGAGCAGTAGTTCGCTCAGATATTCAGGATTTGATGGCATATTTGGATTTGAGTTGAGGTAGCGCACTTGAGTCTTCCACGGTGTTATTGCAACGAGAGAATTTATACCCCCTACATTGGAGAAAAATCCCCGCATTGGTCCGAGAACAGGAGTTTCGAGAGGTATAGCTCGATTGGGTGAATGTTGAACTATTAATATGGAGTAATTCTATCGAACTTATCTGGATATAAGCTAGAAGGATGTGGAGAATATCACTGAGCTTCCAGACCACGCATGGTCTTTGTTCATGTACATAGTGGTGATACCCGCGCTGTGTTTCACATTGAGAAGAAAGTTTGTCTTCTGGAAGGACGGGGCGACTGCGTGGGGCGTAGGGCTCCGTGAGAGAAACTCCAAGCAACGATATTCAAGCATTGACAGATGGTGCGTGAAATGCCGAAGACTCATACGTCAATTTAACTGTGAAGACATTGGGTGATATTACCCCCCTGCTCAAATATTAGATAGTAACTGTTACCCCTAGTCGTTGTCACGATATCTGGGAGATGAAATGAACCGAGACTAGCTTTCTGACCATAATAGCCAAACCCTTGTGGGATTTGGCATGGGTAGGTTGTCGCTCCGAAGCTGATTGTACTACCCGCTCGTCTGGTCTGGTGGTGATGTATCGGGACAAGGACACTCTCGGGGGGTTTCTTTCTTCGGGAACCATACGATGTAGAGGTATACTCCATAATGTTGCATTGTCTCATGATTCTTGAGAAAACGCAACGGTTTTTTCGGTGGTATTTTTTCAAGAAAGGAGAAGTTCCTCCGTGTCCATCTGTCAGCGAGCTTAACCTGCGTCTGTGATTTCGGTAGTGCCGATCGGCCCACTTAATATCGTTGGATGCGGTTCGTCTTGCCAAAAAATAGAGTTTCTATGCTCGGACCAGGGTCCTGGCTCGGGGGTTATCCCTCACAATCCAACCCGAGACCGCCCTTCAAACACTGTTTCGTGTCGCCTCAAAAATGAGCCCCTCGCCCAGTGTTTCAATCCCACTCTAGCCTGTTTTAAGGTAGAGCCAGAGCCTAAACCTCGGTCGTAGAAGGCCTCTCGAAAGAGAGACTCGGGTAGGCAAAAAGGTCTGCCGAGCTGAAAGTTCAAATAGAAATGATCAACGCCGCAAATCAGCCTATTAGTGTCCCATGTGGCGCGCCTCATCCACTGAAACATGACTAAAGTGGAGAATGAGATGGGGACATCGGGCTCGCGGTCAATTATAGGCGTAGTAAAAGGGAAAAGATGTTCGCGTAACCCTTCACATCGAGCGAACGTAAACCCTACTAATCCTGTGGGGCGATCATTATCTCGTCTTTCACAACTAGCTTAAATTACGTTTGTCCCCGCAGAATTCTTTGCGACGCCCCTTTATTTCTATTTTCAAAGCGCTGCTTTTAGACCGGTCATCATGGCTTCTTCGACTCGGAACATCTTGTTCCTCACAAACAGCGAGTTGGGCCAATGCAATGTGGCTCTCGCCGTCGCGGAGGAGTTCTTGCGCAAAGGCGACTTCAAGGTGCATTTCGCTTCTTTCGCACCCGTCGCCGACGAGGTGAATAATTTGCACAAGCGCGCCGGATGCGAAAATACCGCTCAATTCCACGAAATTCCCTCGCCATGCATGACCGACTTAGCGATTCGCAGCTGCGTCGGACTTCTTTTCCACAAGCCCGGCGTGAAGGGCGCGACAAAAGGATTTGCCAAGGTTGGCCGGGCTATGGAGAGTTGGAGGCCTTCGGAGTATAAACAAGCGCACGATGCTTGTGTCGATATTTTGAACAAGCTTCAACCGGCCATGGTTGTCGTGGACCCAATTCTCCATGTTGGTATAGACGCGTGCCATGCCGCAAAGACTCGGTTCACCGTTCTATGGCCTGTCCCCATCAAGGACGTGGTTGTAGTAATTCAACCAAAGGCAGCAGTTCTCTGGAAGTACCCAGTGTAAGCCATGACTATCATCCGGCTGAGAATCTGCAATTTCTAATGTCTCCCTTAGGACCGGATCTGGGTTTCCCTTCCCAGTGCCTTGGAAGCTCGTGCTTCACAACATGTACCTGATTTTCCGTGTCGTCATGACTTTGGCATTCGGAAAGCCAGTACCCGATGAGGTCAAGGATGGAAAGAAGCCGGAAGGGCGCAATCCATTTCCTCTGCCAAATGCCTACGAAAAAGACGCTTTGCAGCTCACTCCCGCTTTCCCCGAACTGGACTTTCCTTTCCAAATACCGGACAATGTCGTTAGCTGCGGCCCCATTCTCCGAAAGTGTCGGCCGTTGTCTGAACAGGACCCCGAAATGGATGCTTGGCTTCAAAAGCGTACAATTCTTATCAGTCTCGGGTCCCATGTCAAGCCAACCGAGAAGATTGCCGTTGACATGGCCAAGGGGATCGCAACAGTACTATCCAAGCAGCCAGATATCCAAGTTCTTTGGAAGCTGCGATATGACTGGGAGAGTTCATCGGCGTTCCAAAAAGTCCTCGGCTCACTCATTACCGCTGGCTCGGTAAGGGTGGTTTCTTGGATTCAGCCTGACATTATGTCCGTCCTGGAAACCGGACGAATAATTTCCTACGTGCATCATGGAGGAGCAAATTCGTATTTCGAGGCATGCAAGTAAGTTGAAAACAGACCTAACGGATCGGAATCTTCACAATTGGGACCGTTACTAACACACCCATCTTACAGAGTCGGAGTTCCACAGGTCGTTCTGCCTCAATGGCTTGACACTTATGATTGTGCGACACGAGTGGAATGGTTGGGCATTGGAGTGAACGGAAGCCGAAAGGCAGCACCCGGCATTGACGCAACCGAATTCTCCAAAGCTCTCCTGCATGTCTTGAGCGACGATGGAATTCGCACGAAGTCCGCTGCCGTAAAACAGCTATGTGAGAAGACGGAAGGACGCGTCGTGGCTCATGATCAGATCGTCGAGTTTTGCTCGACAAAGTAGTTGCTATATATTATTATGCATTCATAGATATACCCAATTTCATTCAATCGTGTCGTTATCGAATCTTTGAAAAACGCCATGTGCAGAGCGGAAAGAAACAATCCCCCCTCCCGGATCTGGTCTCCTTCACGAAAGTTCCCTGAGGACTTGTTGGACATCGGCACGCGCCTGTTGAAGATTGATATCGACTTGGCCGTTGACATGCCGTGCTTTGACCTCATAGTGAAGCTCCACCAGTTCCTTTGCTCGTTGAAGGTCCACGTTCTTCTTTGACGAAATCGCGTCCGTCGCGGTCGGGTCCGATTGGGATGATGAGGATGTGTCAAGGGTTATCTGGTGAGTATTTACCAAGGCCAGAGCGGCATGGTGATCCTGTCAAGTGTTAGTTCAAGCTCATCTGCTTCAGCCATGTTGACTGCGCTTGGGCATTGAAGTTCCCAGTGAGGGTGAAGGCGATCGTAACCATTGTTGAAAGCACTTACACACACGCGTAATGACGTGAGATCCGACAATATCTCCGCGACCTTCATCGAGATGTTTGAATGAAATGGGCAACTTTGGCCGAGGTTCAAAGTTGCGGGTGGAGGTGAAGGCAAGAGTGCGGAGACGGAGAGGAGGCGCTGTGATGCGATGCGATCATTCAAGCTGAAGTCTTGGCAACCAAAGGAAGAAGGCTTGGCACTGGTCGACCCCCGTTCGCCCTATCTTGTGTCATTTGAAAGGTTTATGTATATTATCAGTACTTACCTGGGTATTGAGTATTAGAGTTTAAATGTGTGGGTTCCAAATCTTTCCCTACATTCGAATTGAAAATACTACTATGTACAATGATATTAATTGATCAATACTATGATCTAGTAGTGATAGATATTACCTACTAGTGTTCAGTTTGGAAAATATATCTACAACTATCTCTACTAGCAGTAGTAAAAAAAGCTTGGTGACGGTAACACTGCTACCTCCAGAAACAATTAGCTCCCCGTGTCGAACGTGAAGAATCGAATAGCGGACTTGGAAGCATTGGAGGCGCAGAAAACGCCGCTTCCAGTGTAAAGCGTGCGGACGCCATGCTGTCGAATTGTGGATGTAAGGAGCTGTACCAGAGACTGTTTCTGTGCACCACCAGGTTGAAAGAGTTGTTGACGAGTTTTAGGTATTCTGTCGGATACTGAAAGGTGTGAAAGTGGTTAGTATGTAATTCCCCATTCATATTCGTTTTGTTTTGTTTTTTTCATACAGTGGTCAAACCCTCAAGGCCGCCAGCAGCACCTCCGGCGAGGATAGATTGCCATGGAGATACCTACTGTTTACCAGTTACCATGATAGATGCCAAGCTCCAACTTTGAACTGAATCTCAAGCCGTCATGTGATTACCCAGGTTCATATGCGTCGGGACCATGAGCCCACCTAATGAGCGAATGTGCTGACCAGCTCTGCGATGTGGATGGGAGCAGTCCGATATCGCGAATCGATGATCAAGACAACCACGGTTTCAGAGGTACGCGACATATTCTTTCGGATTTTGTCCAAGAAAAGGATCGGAATTGAATTTTCCAAGAGGTTCAAGTTGTTGGTCTTGGTCATGATACCTCCCCTCCGCATCTCGGACCACTTCAGATCCACCCGGAGCGCTCCAGGGTATCTGGAGATTGATGATATGGCTTGGCTGAGGAGTTTGCACTCCTGGCTGTCTGATCAGGAGTGGAAGGCTTTGATATGACTGGTAGATTATCCCAAGGTTTCCCAAGTAAAAAGGGACAGGAAATACAGAGTACTGACAATTCAAGTTGGAACATACGCTTACGCACAAGCTACTCTCCTAGAGCAACTCGTAGTCCATGGGCATTCTTAGCCATAATTCTTGCAAAAGCTCCTGATTTCGAAAATAATAATAGGTTCTCACAATTGAAAGCAGATCTCTAAACATCTTACTACTCGAAGCAGGTATCAGGGACTGCTAGATAAAGATAAGTACAAATTCAACCCCTTAAGCACAACCCCCCGAAATGACCTCACGAAATATCCACGCCGCATCCTGACCCCTCAAACCCCAGACCAGCAGCGCATGCCATCCATCCCACGCTCAGACCTCATAGCCATCCATCCAAATCACCATACTCACTCGAAGTAAGATCCTCATCAGTAATAGGCGGCAGATAGCTAAACCGATAAGATCTCTCCCCATCCGGAAACAGCACAGACCCATCCTCAAGCTTATGATCCAGCGCATACTCCTGCTTAGCCATATACTCCTCCTCCATGACCAAGATCTGCGCAAAGTGAAAGACAAAGTTCCAGGTCCAATGTTCATGACGCAGCCAGTGGGTGAATCGTCGTTGGTAGAGAGCACTGTCAAGACCCTCTATGAAGGTTTCGATAATATAGGAGTCGTTGTTGGTACTTGTAGGTCCGCTGCCGTGTATGGAGATCGACCACCGGCGCCGAAAGTCGTGGGCCGCGTCGAAGTATTCGCCGATTGGGCGACCTCTTTGGCGAATGACTTTTTCAACGCTTTTGGAGAAGCTTTCCCTGCTCAAGATTTGAGCAATGGCGTGTTTATCGGCGAGGCTGGGCTCGGTTTCTTTGGTTTGGTTTTGGTCGGTTTGGGAACGAGAGATTGTCAGGAGGGCTTGGGTGAGCGGCGACGAAGCAGGGCGCTCTCTGTTCGGATCGGTGCTGGGCTTTGCTAATCCCTTTGGTCGCGAAAGACCGGGTGGTGTCCTCGATGTGATGGTGGTATCTACCACATTCGGAGTGTTGTGGATGCCTCGGAGCGTGGCGATTGCAGCAAGCAAGGACTCGTTTCGATTCACGATTGTTTTTCCATCCTGGTATAGGGGATCGACAATCTCATGGAGCTGGGTTTGAAGGAGACGAAGGCGTTGTTGACCCTGGGGTGTCTGGTCATTCAGGGACGTGGCAACCGAGGCGACAATAACTGTGAGATCTTTGAGGCAGCGTGAAAGCCGAGTGACGAGGTCCTCGGTTTCCTCGATTTGATGTTTTGCTTCAATCATATGCTCTGTCAAGGATCGTTTCTCGCGTTGCAGTTCGTACTTCCAGAGAAGCGCCTCGGGCATCTTTGAGGGAGGATCCTGAGACATAGTGGTTGCTTCAAGTCTGTTGTTTTGAGATTGGTAGCTGAGGTGACTGGTTAGATGGACATTGGAAGAGAGCTCAAGAGATCAAACCAACCTTGGAAGAGGTGAGTTCTGTAGAGAGACGGATGAAGAGTTGGAGTGAAGAAGAATTGCGTGGGTATTTGAAAGGGGTGATGGAAGTCGCGGTAGGTAAACATACCCGCGGACGGAAAGGTTGCGTGATGCTGCTAGTAGTATTGCGAAGATCACACAGACTATAATTGGATAGACTACGAGGAAACCACAACTGGTGGAAATGAACTGGAAACAGAAAAAACTATTCATGGTTACTCTAGGACAACACCGTAAGGAACAAGTAACATTTTGGCCCGATCTATTCGATTAAGTATCATAAGGGCATCCTTAACCAATCAGAGCGAGCTAGATACAGAGGTAACGGAGAGAAAATGCAGTAAAAGGAAAACCGTGACAGCAAAAACGCAGAAACGTGTCACATCTCCGTGGGTGCAGGGACATAGGAAACCATAACAAGTGACCCGATGTCAGTAGAGGATGGCCTCTGGCCAACCCCCATCAGGCCAGCTGCGAGCGGAAATGCGTTTGGAAACACAGAAAGCCACTTTTGACGCAGGTTCTGCGATCGTAATCCGCATCAAGACATAAAAAAGGTTAGGGGGGTTTAGATGAGGTCAGCAACGTTCATGGGCATCTCCTCGACCTGGGTGCTGTAGAACTGCTCGATCTCACGGAGCATGCGAACATCGTCGCCGGTGACGAAGTTGATGGCAACACCCTTACGGCCGAAACGACCACCACGACCGATACGGTGAATGTAGTTCTCACGGTTGGCGGGGAGATCGTAGTTGATGACCAGGGAAACCTGCTGGACATCGATACCACGGGCCAGAAGGTCAGTGGCGATCAGGACACGGGAAGAACCGGAACGGAACTCCTTCATGATAACATCACGCTGACCCTGCTCCATATCTCCGTGCATGGCAGAGACAGTGAAGTCACGAGCAGTGAGCTTGTCGGTGAGCCAGTCGACCTTGCGGCGGGTGTTGCAGAAGATAACGGCCTGGGTGATGGTGACGGTCTCGTAGAGATCGGACAGGGTGTCGAGCTTCCACTCCTCCTTCTCAACGGCGATGTAGAACTGCTTGATACCCTCAAGGGTAAGCTCCTGCTTCTTGACCAGGATACGGACGGGGTCACGCATGAACTTGGTGGTGACCTCAAGGACGTCCTGGGGCATGGTGGCGGAGAGCAGGGTAACCTGGGTAGACTGGGGAAGGAGCTGGAAGATGTCGTAGATTTGCTCGGTGAAACCACGCTAGAAAAGGAATCAGTCGAAAGCTCAGAAAAATTGGGGATATCAAATGGAATTCGCTCCAAACTTACGGACAGCATCTCATCAGCCTCGTCGAGGATGAAGAGCTTCATGTGGTCGGTGCGGAGGACGCGACGCTGGATCATGTCCTGGACACGGCCGGGGGTACCGACAACGACCTGGGGTCCCTCACGGAGAGCGGTCATATCCTCACGGACGTTGGTACCACCGATACAGGCGTGGCAATCAAGGGTCATGAAGTCACCAATGGCAACAACGACCTTCTGGATCTGCTGGGCCAACTCACGGGTGGGGGCAAGGATCAGAGCCTGGCAAGCCTTCAGGTTGGGGTCGATCTTCTGCAGAGCGGAGATGGAGAAAGTGGCAGTCTTTCCGGTACCGGACTGAGCCTGAGCGATGACATCGTTGCCTGAATTTCCCAATGTTAGGCACTGGTGTTGAAAGTCTCACAGAAGAGAAAAGAGGTTGAAGAAGGGATAAAACTCACCCTTGATGATGGGCATGATGGCGCGCTGCTGGATAGCGGAGGGACGCTCGAAACCGTAGGCGTAGACACCTGGGGTCGATAGTTAGGAATTTTCTGCATACCCCGCCATGGGCGAGAAAAGGTGCCAGAAATATCACATACCGCGAAGCAGCTCGGGCTTCAGGTCCATGGAGTCGAAGGAGTCGGTGATCTCATCGTAGTTAGACTCGATCAGTCCTGTAAGAGCGCAAGTTTTGTCAGTTCTAGTCCTTATCTCAATTTTCTTCAATCCCCCTTTGACATCGCCACCCAAAAGTCGCGAGGCACCAGGCCAGCGCGACAGGGTATTCCACACGTTCAAAAGTCGAGATTATGCGAGACGGGATATTGACATACCCTCAGGAAGATCCTCAAGACCCTTGTCGTTCGACATGATGGCGGTAGAGGTGGATGATCACAGACGACTTGTCGCTGTGACCTGGTGGGGTGAGTTTTAAGCGAACGTTACCCGTTGGGTAGAAGTTCGCTGCGTGAAAGGTACTAGTATCAAGGGCTCTTCAAAGGTGAAGAGCACGTTGAATACTAGGTGGGAAGTGAATGTGGTGGTGGGTGATGTGTATGGAGACACAGGGGTTGCAAGAGGGAAAGAAAAAATCGTCAACCGGCGCCGCCATTTGCTACGACGCTCTTTTTTTTTTCAGCAGGTGGGTGGGCGGGTCACCCCCTACCGCCTTCCCTTTGTGGTTCACACCTCCAAGCGAGGAAGCAATCACGGATTGTCCATCGCTCCTTCCCTGGGGGTGATACAGGAACATCGAACATCGCAGTTGCTCTTTTTACTTCGGACGACATTCTTTTATCTACTTTTACTCTCACTAATCACTTTTCACTTCGGTTGTGCTTGTGGCTGTTGGGGGTGTGCTCGGACCGGCAGAAAAATCCCCCCCTCCCAAAGAAAAAAAAATCTTGAAGCCCTAAACCAGAAGTGGCGGGAACAATGCCTGACATCACAACGCTACCACATTATCCACCAGCCCAAGATGGAGATCACCAAGATCACGAGGAGGCTATCCCATCTCATCCATTGGGTGTCAAACCTAGTGGAAATGCATTACTAGCAACATGGAGTTTGCGTGATGCTATCGGATCATTCCAGCTACTTCCAGATGAATTGATCTTGATACTATTGGAAGGTCTGGATGGCCACAGTTTACTACGTCTTGGGCGTACATGCAAGGCCTTTTATGCATTCACCCGGGCAGAAGAAATTTGGAAGGCTCTTTTCGTTGAGTAAGATTATCTTCCCACTATTCCTACTCTTGCTTTCAAGTTTTTTTTATGTTCAAGTTCATGTACGAGAGAGGTCTAGCCGCGGAAGTATACACCCGTGGGGGCCAGAGCGGAGCCAGATGGATGCGGCTCAAGTAGTGACTGCTTCACCACGAGTTCTGAAGAAACCCTTGCTAACTCTATAATATTACAGGTCACATCCAGATAACTTTACATGGAGGGGTACCTGGAGATCTACTTACCTCAATTTACCCGCAACAAAGGTGCCCGTGGTTGACTGTTCCCATCTTTATTCCGATGCACTCTACCAACCTTTCAGCTGCGCACATATCACATTGGATCCCTATGTGACAAAGATTCCTCTGCGCAATCAAATTCCACGTCTTGCCGACCTCTCACCAGAAGAATTCCATGAGAAATGGGCCGACACTCCATTCGTCTTGACCGAACCCGTCAAGTCTTGGCCCGTCTACAAAGACTGGACGGTCGGCACCTTATTAGGCCGTTATGGCCAAGGCACATTCCGCGCTGAGGCTGTCGATTGGCCCTTGCGGACATACGGTGATTACATGGCCGATAACTCGGACGAGAGCCCTCTGTATCTATTTGATCGTGGCTTCGTTTCCAAGATGGGGCTGGCAGTGGGTGCTCCCGAGACAACCCCCAACGCCTCCTACTGGCCACCAGCCTGCTTCGCCGAGGATCTTTTCTCAGTCGTGGGCAGCGACCGGCCCGATCACCAGTGGCTGATTGTCGGACCCGAGCGATCGGGTAGCAAATTCCATAAAGACCCCAACGCTACAAGCGCATGGAATGCCGTCCTCCGCGGACCAAAATATTGGATCATGTTCCCTTCCGGCGACAAGCGACCCCCGCCTCCTGGTGTGTACGTATCGGATGACATGAGCGAGGTCACTTCGCCACTCAGCATTGCCGAGTGGCTCTTGAACTTCCACGCCGAGGCTCGGCGAACGGCAGGCTGTATGGAAGGTATTTGTGGCGAGGGTGAGATTTTACATGTTCCATCGGGCTGGTGGCACCTGGTGGTAAATCTGGAACCGTCAATCGCTATCACGCAAAACTTTATCCCCCGGGCGCATCTTGGAGCAGCATTGGATTTCATGTCTAACAAGGCCGACCAAGTCTCCGGTTTCAGAAAGAACGTTGCCAACCCTTACGAAACATTCGTTAGCGGCATGCGTGAGTCGTATCCCGAGCTCATTGAAGAGGCGCTCGAGGAGCTGCAACGGAAGGCAGAGGGCAAGAAGCGCAAGTGGGAGGAGATTGTCCATGGGAAAGTAGAAGGTGAGGCTGAAAGCGAAAGTGCTGAAGGAGGCTTCAGCTTTGGATTCGGAGACGACAGCGATGCCGAAGTACCATGAATGATATACCGCATAAAATTGTCGGCGACTGCATATGAACCATGCCCGGTTTAAGAGGTGTTTTTGTTTCTATTTCCTACTATATTCCAGCGCATCTACAAACACAATGCATATGACGCAATGAAGCCAAGCAACATAATGGAGGCGGAGATTCGGACCTCTTGATTGCATGCAAAGGACACAGATATTAGATATAAAGTATATTAATAGTAGAATATGAGCGATATATATTCGCTCAAGCTATGAAATTACTACAAACGGTTAGAGGGAATGGGTGGATAGTGATTAATGGCAAGCCACAGTCTTCTGTGCAGAGGTCCCATCGGCGAAAGCCAAATAACCAACGAATGCACCCACAGCGACAGCCAGCATGACGGAACCGTTATAGGTCATGAACAGAAGCCTATGAAGGCATTAGTAGGAGTCCTTATATCTGAAAACACCGTAGCGACACTCACATAATGAAGAAACTGTAGAACACCTGAATGGCATACAACGCAGCCAGAGTAAACTTTCCCCGCCGAGCAACAGCAGCTCTATTATCCCGTCCTACAAGCAGTGGTGAGCCTTCGCCAGTAACGGGTTGAAACGCATCGGTCGGGAGGTCAGCGGTGACGGGCCGGGGGATGCCATTGTCTGCAAAGCGAAGAAAGATGAGAGCTTGAACCAAGACTCCAGAAGTAGAGGGGAGGGGCTAATGTGTAAACATCACCACCTTCCAAGATCATCCGTCAAGCCGTCTCGCATCACCATCACCATCACCCGCGCCGTCGCCATGGCCGCATATCCCCCAATATTGTCCGCTCGAGAGGGGGATAAGAGGGGTTGAGAACAGAGAGGAGAAGACAGAAGGGAAACCTACCTGATGAACTGGTCGTTGCGACAAAGGCATTCAAGCGCTGATTATGGGCAGCTTCGTATTTGCGGGTAACATGTCGTACACCCTCGTAGCCAGCCGTGAGGAGGACGATAAGGATGAGCGAGAAGAGGAGGGAGAGGGGGCCGGTGATGCGCCACTGGCGGAAGATGATGCAGAGGTTTTTCGACGACCAGGTGAAAATCATCTGAGCGGAACAAGGTTAGCCATGACGAGTAAATATCACCACGATACAGAAGGGACTTACGTTCATGCTGCACTGATCTCCCATGTCCATATCGCCATGGCCGCTGTGCCCGTGGTCCATATCGTGCATAGCATGCATCGAGTGATCCATCTTGAATGGGAGCTTGTCGGGATGAGAAAGTCGTAAATCGAAGACGAAAGAATCGGAAGATCGAGTTAAGAAGCGAAAAGTGACCGAAGGGAAGCAGTCAGATGAGCGATGAAGTAGTAAACACCGACGAGGTGACACCACTGGAGAGTGCAAACAAGCCAAACAGCCTCGATAAGCTCATCGCGACCTTCACGGAATCCCGCAATTGCTGCATCCGACCTGCGAACCACCATTATTCTACGACCTCCCACCACATATCCCGACCCTATTCCTATGCGAATTCAATCATACCTACAGCTATACACACTCGAACACACATCATGACCGAGGCTGCCCCTGCCCAGGCAGCGGCACCCACAACCAACGCGCCCGCGACACCGGCCAACGGCGCAACCACAGGGGCCCCGAATGCGCCGACAGACCAAAATGCCAATAGTCGCGGACTTCCATACTATGAGAAACTGCGTCGAGATCTCCGGGATACAATCAGCAAGAAGCGCTTGATGGATAAGAGCATGGTGAGTGACGAAGTCCGCCGATCGCACGCGCCGTTCTCAATGACAAAGCCTTTGGTGTCTGCAATTAAAAGCTGCGAAGTCGAATTGAACACGTTGCTGCGGCCGGATTGTACTTTCAATCGGGAAGAGAGAAAGCGACTCATGCTAACTAAACGATTCCCCAGTCCCAACTCGAAGACCAAATCTTCCGTTTCGAGCAATCATACTTAGAAGAAACCACAGCCGGGAATATCATCAAAGGATTCGACAATTATATCAAAGGCTCTGCAAGTGGTTCCAGTCTCGGGGCATCAGGTCTGAGTCTAGGATCCGGCGCAGGTGGACGTCGCAAAGCACAAGTCACAGAGTCCGACCGGGTTTTCTCCCGGAGCTCGGCCAGTTACATGGTGGTACGTTATTGAGAGGAGAGGCGTATCCGGATCGCAATGAGGATGCCTCCCGGATCTAAATGAAATGGATACTAACTGTGCGCATCGGAATAGGACTCACCCGGCCCATCATCTGTCCAAACAACCCCCTCGCACGCCGCAACCCCAACGTCCACACCCGGTCCCAATGCACCCTCCAATAAGAGTAACGGGGACACTGCCTCTGCGTCAGGCGTGAAGAACGTCAGCAGCGGCTCGTCGAAGAATAAGAAGAAATCCTCCGGAGGTTCGAAGAATACGAAGGGGAAGAATCAGACCGAGGAGTCTGACGAGGATAAGCCCGCGAAACGGTTGAAGGTTAGCTATGGGCGGGATTAGAAGGGTTGTCTGATTTATCGGGTTTTTAAAAATGGGCCAATATTGCATTTCATATCGTTCTATGGGTGGAGTTTGCTGGTCTATGGTGTTGCTTTCAAGGTTTTTGGAGTTCATGTGTTGAATAGAGCTTTGGCGTCGGGTATCACTTTCTCATGATCTTGTATATTAATGTGGAGGGTGATATTGGATCTTTTTTTCGAGTTTCTATTTATGATTTCTAAAAGAGTCTGACTCGATTCTAATATGTCAACTACTAGCGTGGTGGTTCAATTTAAAGCTGGCTCTATCTCCTCGGGCCGGGGCCGAGCGGTCTCCGGGCGTGTCCCGAGGTCGGCTTCCAAGGTTCCAAATTTGGACAGCATTCAAGTAGTAGTATCTGGCGGGTTGAGGTGACATCCTGCCAGTGATTTTCATAGTGATACTAGTAACTTGAATTTGTGGTTATCCATTATGATCGATATTTAAACAGTTCAAGTTCAAGTTCAAGTTGTAAGACAGTAATATATTTCCGAGTAAGACTCTGGAGCTAACTACTAGGGACTGATACTAGTAGTAGTACTATTTCTAGTAAAGCGTGTTATGTCTGGGCATGTAATGACAGTGGCTCATGAAAACAACTCAAAGGATCTCAGAATGAATTGAAACATACAAAACGTTGAAAATCATAGCTGCAGTCGGAAAGTAGCGACCTCGAACGCCCTCAGCTCAATAGAAACAGCAGACCCACCATCCGCCTTCTGAACCTCCAGCTCCTCCTCATCATCCTCAAGAACATTGCACTTCCAGACACGCTTGACAGCCAAACCAGAATGGATAGAACCACGCGCCTTACCACCAAGAGATTCATAAATGCGAACAATAATGCTCCTCCCCTCACGCGAAGGGAGCTCACTGGTCGAAACATCCTCGTCATCCTCACCGCGCTTGACAGCATCGAGGATAAGAGCCGGTGACCCTCGCACTGAGACAGCCTTGAACGCAGCATTGCAGGCCGAGAGATTAGAGCTGGCTTGCTCGACAATGAGTGGTTGGTTGAAGTTGTATCCGGCCCGAACGGTTCGAGAATCGAGAGCTCCGGCATGGGGGAGAATAGCGTAGCGGATGCGGTGGCGTCCCATGTCGGCATGAGCGTCGGGGGCTTTGGGGGCGCGCAGGAGTGAGAGACGCATTAGGTTGCCGCAGGTTGCGAAGCCGTACTTTGAATCGTTTAGGACGGAGACGCCGTAGCCGTTCTCGGAGAGGTCGGCCCATTTGTGGCAGCAGACTTCAAATTTGGCCATGTCCCAGCTAGAATAAATTAGTATCATGATTAAAAACAAACTATTGCACAGGTGACAATCATACCTTGTATTGTAATGAGTAGGGCGTCGGACGATACCATACTGGGTCTCGTAGGAGGCTTCTGTATTGGTGATGTCGACTGGGAACTCGACCTTGAGGAACTTCATTGTCTCCTGCCATTCAACTTCGCTCTCGAACTCCACGTATGATGGCTCGGAGGAAACAGCGGCCGAGAGACTGATTGTTGTCTTGATCCAGCTGTTCTCGCTGATCTTGGTCTCTGTGACAACACTGACGCGGTGAGGATCACTGTCCACAATGGATGTCTTGCCTGAGGAAAGTTCTTTTCGGGATTCAAGATGGAAGACTTCGACATCCCAGGCCTGCCAGTAAAGAGGCTTGTCGTCAAAAATAACGAGCTGACCAGCCTTGCCACCCTTTGCGACCACTTCTCTCTCCGCCTCAACATCGTAAAGCGAAAGTATCACGCCATCTTGAACATCGACCCTGAGTTTGCCGTTTGCCAGGCGGAAGATACCTGGATTAATCTCAGAGACAGTGACCGATGCTGTGGTCTTGAAATCGACTGGCCTGCATTGGACTACCCCGGTGGATCCATTCACAAGAGCATACTTGGATGCGTTCGAGGATGTCATGGTCTCGGGGATCTTGACAACCTCGGTGCGAGGCCAGGGAAGAGTGTTAAGGGCAACGAGATCCTTGCTGTTCTGACCAGTAATTCCCAACGCCGCAAGAGCGTCTTTGCGCAACTTGGTGCCGGTCTCGAAAATCTCAGCATACAGCTTATCCGAATCGTCATAGCACATCTCGATAGAGCTTCCAGGCAAGCAATCATGGAACTGGCAGAGAAGAACGCCCTCCCACATATCATCAATCTGCTTTTTCGGGTAGCTGTAGTCCTTCTTCGAGCCGTGAACAGTGGCGAGGGTTGCGAGAAACTCGATCTCCCGCAGCAAGAATTCGGATTTGCGGTTATTGCGTTTGTTGTTGGCCTGGGTTGTATAGGTACCCCGATGAAGCTCAAAGTAGAGTTCGCCATACCACGTCGCAAATTCAGTGCCACTAGTAGCATTGGCTTCCAACCTGTCGAAGAAGTCATCGACAGAATCACCCATTTTCACGCGTGGGAGTGTTCCGACCTTGTCGCTTAGACCACGGGCCCGGCGCAGCTTTTCGAGATGTCCAAAAGTAGGTCCACCACCACCGTCACCCTTTCCGAAGACAAGGAGCGAAGACTTGTCTTTGTCCATCGACTTGTGCTGCGTGACACTGCGCTTCAAATCGCCAAAGTGAGCTTCCGCAGTGTAGGTCTCTGCGGGAGCCATATGGCAGAGTACTTGACTGCCATCAAGGGCGACCCATTGGAACGTAGTGTGAGGAAAATTGTTGATGTTATTCCAGCTCAGCTTCTGAGTGAAGAATCGGCTCATACCAGCAAGGCGACAAATTTGAGGAATTTGAGTTGAGTAGCCGAAAGTATCGGGCAGCCAGAATGTTGTTGATCGCTTGCCGAAATGACTTTCGAAAAATCGCTGTCCATAAAGGAATTGACGGACAAGAGACTCGCCGCTGGGCATATTTGTGTCGTGCTCGACCCAGCTACCACCGATCGGCTGGAAATGACCCTTTCGCACCCAGCGCTTGACGCGATCGAAGACCGATGGGTAGTATTGTTTGAGCCACTTGAACTGTTGAGCCTGGGAGCAGGCAAATCGATGCTCCGGATACCTATCCATCAGGTCACATTGATTTGACCACGATCGCGCGACCTTCCGCTTAGTCTCCGCCCAGGGCCAGAGCCAACAGGTATCGATATGACAATGGCCAATAGCGTAGACAAATGGTGCAGTATCCGGGGCGTAAACATCGGAGGAGTCGACCTTATCGCCAATGTACTTCTGCGCAATCTTCCGGGCTTTATGAATGGAGTCATTGCTTCCATCACCGGCAATGAAAGCATCGATCATGGCGTTGCCAACCATATTGGCTTCATGAGCCTCCCACGAGTCGCCGGGAAATTCGCGAGCCGCATCTCCAATGATCCAGAAATCATAGAACAGAGCACGAGCTGCCAGATTGACAGCGGTAATCTGGGCCTTGCTGAGAGTGTAGTGCTTATCGGGTCTTGGCGGCTGGATGGTATCTCCTCCGGGGGCGTTGCCGAACATGCCGTTGCATGCCATTTCGATGTAGAATGTATGTGCTTTCCCATCACGCCATTCATCGGGGATAATCCATTCAATCCGATCGCCGCCACCCGTCAAGCCCTGCAGGGGATGACCGTCCTCGGACCAGATCAATCCTTCGTTATTGGCATCCCAGTGGAACTCGAGTCGCTCTTTCTGACGCATATCCTCGGGAACAGTCAATAGAATACGAATCCAATGGGTAGACCAGCTGGGACCAAATGAGGCACCAATGTGGGTGGGAGTGAATTCGTGTGAGATTGCCTCCTTGAAGGGCGGGCGCTCCTGGTCGGGGACGGAGTAAACAGAGAGTTTGACATGGTCTGGATCGGAGTTGACGGCCTCGTTGTACTTGGAGACGAGGTTCTGGCCTTCATACTGGCCGGTCGCTGTGAATTGCTTGAGACGGTCCGTGTAGATCTTGGTGATCCGCTGGCCGACCGGGCGTTCAGCTAAGCGGGGAAGCGAGTTGGAAGCTGTGGGGGCGATGTGCGGAGCCTCCCCACCCATTATGGCGATGGCGGTGTATGCTGAGGGAAGTGAAGAGAAGGGTATTGTTAATCAGAACGTAGTAGATGGAGTAAACTTGAAGTAGACAGCAGAAGAGAAGCAAAAGAAAGAAAAGAGGAGAAGCAGGAATGGAGGATGGAGGAGGAGGGAGGAGATCGAATGCGGCATGACGGAATGCGGAGGCGGCTAAGTGGGTCCGGGTCCAGGTCCAGGTCCATGGGTCGAGACAGTCAGGGTATATACGAGTATACACCTGCATTCACTACCAGGTACTAGCCATAGCATGCTCTAGTCTTGGGCGGTCGAGGCCTATCATGATACCTAGTTATCTAGACAAGAGCCCGATGGTGACTGGAATTGGGTCTACGGAGCAGAACTCTCTATTTAATGTCATTTTTGGACAAATCGACTGTTGCTATCGATCTGGATAGCATGCGGTCCCATGCTTTTCACATTGGAAAGTGCTTCACATCTGGGGAAGCCCTCCATATTGCTGATTTGCTCTATGGACACCTTCTCTCTTGTTTCGAGGATCTCTAATTTTCTAATTTGCAGCATTGCATTGCTTTGTGAATTTCTCGGTTCTTTTGCAGTGTGCATTGCATTCCTGTTCAAACATGATCTGGCTTGCTTTCAATTTTCCAAGGTTCTAATATCTAGGATTGTACTTTGTGCTTTTTATTGCTTTGCATTATAAACAGATACGTTCTTTACAATCAACACTTATAGGATAAATACTACTGCTAGTACTATAGTCAGAAACTTCAGTGTAGACTGCGGTACTATTTAATTGAATGATATGTGTGCCAAAATACTCAATCTGACATAGTATTATATAGATGAAGGAGAATTTATTATGAGATAATGATGATATTGCCGTTGCAAGTGTTGCAGGGTTGGGCTTTAGAAACAGGCATGACAACCACAGCTTGAAAATTTCTCTTTTCCTCTTACCTAGAGTCACAATTTCAACTTTTTCTTGTTCTTTTGCCTGTGCCTGTGAACTTGAAATATTCTGTTTCCTGCATTATTTCTGAAGGGTTGTTTCTTACCAGTCAGCCACGCGTCGCATATTACGCGCGGTTGCTTGTCCCTTTCACCTGGCCTGATTTCTGCTATTGCGCAGTACTAATCCCGGACCCATATTAGGAAATTGACTTCACGTGGCGCGCGTCGTGATGAAGGCATCTCCTTTGGAGATGCCTCCTGGGGAGAGTGCCCATCTTTTCCGACATGTGTGTTTCTCCCCCCAAGCTCCCACTGGCCGATGACTGTAGCGCCCAGTATGAGTCTCTCCTGATCGATAGGATCATCGAGGCACTTCATGACTTTAGAAAACACGTGCAGACCCAATATACGGAGATTATAGCTTCCGTTTTAGCGATGATGTCTCGCCCGAGAGGGATCTTCCACGTGGGTTGTGGAATCAACGAAACAGAACTGAAGAGCGTCCTTCTGCGACCTTGAGATCGAAGGTAAGTCTGATACTTGTGGACTATTAGTATCTCTCTAACTCGAATATAGGTGCAATTCTCCCTATCCACGTCCGAAGTCAGAATGCCGGAAATTCGTGATAAGATACACGTCGAAAGCTTTGAGCTATCCCCTCGGAACGAGGCCGTCATGACGACCATTGGCCGACTCCGACGTACGTTTCCGGGTCCAGGTCTGGCCTTTGATCGGGCCACCTTTGAAGAGGCCGGCTTACAAGATGCCCCTGGCCCATACCCTTTCCAAATGAGCCGCCAGTCTGTTGCAGAGACGATGGTAAAGATCATGAAGGCTGAGGAGCTGCACGACGAGGATCGCCATACTACGGATTCAAAAATGGTTACGGAGTTTTTAATGTCAGTCCTGCGGCCTGGATCTGTCAACATAATAGCCCCGCAAATCCACAGATGTACCCGGGAAGAGGTAATGTGGTTGGGTTCCCGATCACCTTGGCGCAGATCCGCGCTGTGGCTCTTTGCACGAGTTGTTCTCCAGATCGCTTTTCGGCGATTGCCCAACGGAGAAAGGGAATTGAAAGATGATTTGTACAAACAATTGATCACATTTACACGGGAAGAACAGACCATTAACATGATGGATCGCAGGAGGGTAATGCCATTGTTACCGGAGAGCTATGACATTTGGAATCCTGGCCCCGAGCTCAATTTCCATGTTCATAGGCCTCGAGAAACAGAATTTGCAACTACAACCGATTTGAATCTCGCGACTGCCACCTGGGCATGCGTGAACTTCCCACAACTATCCCTGAATCAACTTAAGTCCTGGGCAACAATGACGAAGAAAGACCCCTCGATACCATTCGTTTCCACAGTTGACACCGTATGCGCATTCCTTTGGAAATGTATATCCCGAGTTCGTCTCTCACGGCTTGACCCAAGCATGATCTCCACGATATCACGCGCGGTCGATATCAGGAATCGAATGGGTGTTCCCGGCTCCTATCTGGGGGTGTTACAAAGTCTAACATTTGCAAGAAGATCTCTCCAACAAGTGGTCGACTATCCTCTCGGAGTGAAAGCTTCATACCTCCGCTCTCTGCTCGATCCAGATGTGGTGGATTTGGTTTACCAAGCGCGTGCTTTAAACACGTTTGTCGCTCGTGCAGGGGAGAAAAAGATTACCGCTTCATTCACGGCGAATGTGAACCCTACAGCTGATCTTATGACAAGCTCCTGGTCGAAGATTGGTTATTATGACTATGATTTCAACCTTGGGCTGGGAGGCGGAGGCAGTTCGAAGGCCAGGCTTTTCCTCGTTTGAATGTTTAGTCTACCTCATGCCCCAGTCTCCGAAGGGTGAACTAATAGTTCAGATTTGTCTTCGGGATGAGGATTGGGATCGCCTTAAGCGGGATGAAGAGTTCACCAAGTTTGCTCAGTATGTCAGATAATATCGCGCGAGCTCCGTAGTATCAAAGATTTTGACCAGGCGTGGGTTTTGTACTGCCCTGCTCATCTTAATATTCTAGCTCATCAAAAAATCCTTCACCTCTCGCTAAAATAGACCTTGTGTCATTAATTTGGGGAGTAGCAGTCTGCTCGGATCCCATGAAAGGGATGCGTGATAATTTATCAAAAATGGAGCTAGGAATCGGGTAGAAATGTCCTCATGGTATATACTATACTCGGTCTTACCTAGGTATCGCTGGGTCGGGTTTAGTCTGGCTGTGGCGACAAGGCTCGCAGATTCGCATGGTGCGACTGCCTGCATGGGACGCACGCTATTTATTTTCCACGTGCCGCTATATCTGAAATTTCCATAGGAAGACTTTCTCGTAGTAAATTAAAAATTGACTGTATGCCTTGACCTTTTCTGTCTCGTAAAAACGCGGGGTAACTAAACCTTGGAAGCAGTTAACGTCATCCAGTCGCTTCACGAGACTTATCCACAACCGGCGAACAGACACCCCCCGCCGCATCAGATCTAATGCCTTTGGCTGGTAAAAAGTAAGATCCTTGGTAGCACGGGTCGCTTAAATCCATGGAACTATGGAAATCACTCATGACACCTCCAGTCCTATAATGACCGGAATAGCTGGGATTGCCGGGATTGCAGGAGTAGGAATTTGATACGGCGGGAAGGGGGCCGACAACGAAAAGTCCCTTGTCCGATCGAGGTAAGTGTGAACTGACTATAAATAATTGAGATACGCTAGGACTGTCAGTACTAGTGATCCCTTATCTCGGGAATAGCGTGATGCAGGGCTGCGTGTGCACAGGAGTTCGAGACCGAGTCTAAGATAGCGACTGGTGGCGAAGTACCGCACGCGCACACGGCACTTTTATCCCGCCCCAACTAACCAGTGAAACAATACTCTACCCAGTACGGCGTTTAAAACTGGGAAAGAGGCTGCTTTTCCTTTCTCTTTCGCTATAAATGAAGGCGAAACTCGTATTTAAAATTGCTCACGCACACATAATTCAACTCACACGCAAAAGCAAAATACTCACATCCTTTAGCAATGGACGAGATCATCGAATTTGTTCCTCTCCTGGGCTTCCAGCGATACAGGCCATACTTTGATGATACCCCAACACCAGCGAAAAAGCAGACTGAGAAGCCAGCCACGGAGCTCGACACAACAAGTAAGCTTCCGCCATGGGGGACCTCCACCCTAGAAAGAAATATGAATATTAAACAACACATTCTAGCACAACAAATACCAGAATCAACACAGATTTTACACATAAACCTCGGCGATGGCCTTGGGGATGATCTAGACAACGAACCAATCATTTTCCGCAGCGTTTCTCAAAGACGGAGTGACCTGTCAAATGAAACCACGAAAACAGACGAGTCTGTTGTGTTCGATGGTATTTCTCGACAACGGAGTACCTCGATCACCGACGATCAAGGACGCAAGAAGCGTTCCATGAGTCGATTATTTTCTTGGCATAGACATCGCCGTGAGAAGACCTCTAGCTGATCTTGTCCGCCCAAAATCTTTAAATTGGCCCCTCAGCTTTTGTCTCCCGGTGGGAGGGGTGAGAGGGGAATCGAGATTGTAGATACAGAACGTTTGATCAGCATGGATAAAGAGTTGGCTTTTGGTCGTTGGCAATCAATGTACATGACTTGTGTCCAAATTCCCGGTCGTCCGTTTCCCGGTGATCCAGGTTTACCTGATCAGAGATTCCCCAATCGGTCTGCTATGACTTCATTTTTGTTGTTCATCGGGAACTTCTGAGACTATGCTTCATGTAAACTCCTGCTCGAGCCTTCTCGTTATATTCAGCGATCCACGGAGCTCTTCCGGCTTTTTCTTTGAAATACGAAACTCCCTCGCCTATGAAGAAATCTCGGTGGGCCCTTGGAAAGGCCTCCATGGAATTACACGGTGTAGTGTGGTTCAAATCGGGGTTATCAAGTGTCCTAGGAGCCCAGAGAGGGTTTTCTCGCTCATGAATGGAGTACCAGTATTATAAAGGACTTCCTTACTTATTGTCTGGTGCTATGTATGCCACGTCCAAACTTCATCAGGTGATTTCAAGGTTCACTTTTGCTACCAGTATGCTTCTGTCGCACCTTGTGAGGATTCCTGGATATCCACAGATCAAGGTATATGTTGATACCGGGCAATTTGATAGTAGCGGTTCGACAAAAGTAATAGCTTGAGGAGAAGAAGTAGAAGGAGAAGAAGAGACGAAAGCTAGATACAGGTGTAGGCTGTGGATGCCTAAGTGGATGCCATCCGTGTAGGGAATCAACAATCGCAACGACTCTAGTTCGTTACACACCTGATATTGGCATAGAAGACTCTTCCAGTCTCAGGTTCTCAATGAGACGAACATCGAGACAAGACAAGTAGATCTAGACAGTAGAAAAACGAAATAGGAAAGAATGAAAAAAAAAAAACGAAAAATGATAGAGTGATTAGGAGTCATGAGAACCATACCTTCAACTTCATATCGGAAATCTGACCAGATATCTCCCATTCAAGAAGCACACAGCCGTGCCACAAAACCGAACCACTCAAGACAGAATCTTTTTGAAGGCTGAGTAAAAACTGTGATCCTCACCCACAATCATCTTGTAGAACAACATCGCGTAGTCCTTGGCAGCGCGCTCAAGGTGTGGGGCAATGATGCGATATGATCGCGCGAGAATCAACCAGCACTTTACAAGGCGATAATCTAGCATTCCCCATTTTTCGATAGCTAGCGGGCCAGACACCACTTGATTCTCCCTGGTAATGGCACCAGTAAGAATGTAGCCGAGATTCATGACGCATTCCACCGCAAGACCGGCCGCAGCGAAAGGCAAACCGCCCACATCGAAAATCCGAGCCAGAGCGTACTTGATCTCGAAGACAGACAGGCGTGGGAGATAGACATCAGTTTCTTGGTAGGTTGCCAGTAGGGTGTTCAATTTCATCATTAGATCGCCCACTTCAACCTTCCCTGGACGACTTTCAATGAACACACTTTCGACGAACACCCGCAAATCTCTGAGAACCGCCTCTCTCAGTTTGAGAATTCTTTCATCGGTGGACTCAATACTCAGACAGAGGTCGCAAGTGCAGGCAAAACCGCGATCCTCAAAGGGGTTCCACTTGGAAGCTTTAAGGAAATCGGTGGCACGCTCGCGATACCGAATGAGAATTTCTGTGCCGGCGGCAATGTCCATTGTCGCTCGCATGATGAGCATATCGCCAATGAAGCTGTGCTGCGCGTTGAACAAGCAGGAGTGATTGGCGAAAGATACCATCCGCCAAATGCCGCAGGGGGGGTTGCTGGGCCATTGCAAAGTCGCTCCTTTCTTCCTCAAACACACTCTTCGACTCGCTGCGAAGCACATAGGTGTCACGGGTGCAGGTCTCGGAGTGCAGCATATTGTGGACCATAACTCTATGTACAAGAAATCTAGGGTGAAATGATCAGAAATGAGACGTGAATAGATTGTCAAAGTGAGGCAGACTCACGAATCAACAAGAGCTCCGCCATCATCATCATGAAACGAGGAAACCGTGCTTTTGTAAGAATCATGGTACATATTCATAAAGTCCGCCATCCAAGACGGCTTCGCGTGAAGCTCTCGTACCATCTCGTGGACCAGTTCAACTCTGGCAAGTGGCATGGCCTTTGCGCTATCCAGCCCCACGCGGTATCCACGACAAAGCATTCTCTTGCTCGCGTCCTGCTCAGAGAAGTATACCATGGCCTTCTCGCAGAGGAGAAGTTCGCCTGCCTTGACGTCTTGAGAGCTAAAAAGTCCTCTACCCGTGACACTGGCAGGCTTCACCTCAATCGGGCCGATGTATGTGGCGTATTCCAGTCGGACAATGTGTCTAGCAAGGAGCTTGGTTTGTATTTCTTTGAACGCAAATACGCCAGTTTTCTCCTCCAACAAGCGCTTGATGGACTCCGAAAACATTCGATTTGCGTGGGAATTCTTCGGGAATGCCTTACAGAGAATGGCAAGAACCTCACTGCTTTTTCTGTATTGGCGAAGGTCGTAAAAGGTTCGGGCTTTGCGGTAAAGCGCCGTATCGTAGGACTGCATGGCAGGCGTGAGGATTGCTAGGTCCAGTAGGGTCTCTTCAGACCTTCCAAGCTTGCACAGGGCTTGCGCCCGGTTGAACTTCAATGTCTGAACTCTTGCCGGGGGTGATGGGATCTCCAGAGCTTTGGAGTAACTGGTAAATATTAGCCGACGAGATGCAGCATGGTAGTGTTGATGCTTCATGCGCTCACCACTCAACTGCTTGTGCATAGAGACCAGTTTTGTATAGCTCGGTTGCCACGGCCTTCCATTGGGCCACCGTTCTTTTCTCCTTGATCGACTTTTTCCACCCAGCTGGCAGATCCTCGCTGTATCTGGGTATGCACTTGAGGTCGGAAGCATGATCAACGCGAATACCAACTTCCCCCCACCCGACCATTTCCACTAGAGGCTCCTTGACGATAAAGGCCGAATATATCTCCAGTAACTCATTTCGCGGAAGAGAGTTTTGATTGAACAGCTGTACCGGAATCACCCGTTGATTCTCGTCCTCAGCGATGGCAAAAACGGTCCCTGTGATGTCTAATCCGGTTATGAGTCGCAATAGGATGTATGACCCTTCATGGCGAGTGTTGTAACAAAGGTCACCGATAGTAATCTTAGTCAAAGAGGACATCGGGCGGATGCAAGGCTCATAGGGGGTTGTCTCAAAGGTCAGCTGAACGAGAATGCCTTTCATGCTGTTAGAAACCTGGTGCTGCATATAGCAATCAACTAGCTCCTTCATGGAAACCATGCCAATCGGTCTGCCCTTGAGGTGCTGTGCAGCGTTAATCATCTGTCCCATGTGACTGATCCCATCAGTGAGATGCTCCAGAGGGAAGAAGGACTGAAATGAGGGCATGAGCCCGGTACCCACGGGTTTGGTCCCCATGGCGATGGTCTCGGTCGTATCGGTCAGTCAGACAGGATGAAAGTAGGAAATATTTTTATGATGGGGGTGAAATGTGAAGGGGAGTGCGGAAGGGTAACCTTGAAAGCGGGAAGTTGATGTGATACTGGAAGTGGAAGTGACGGGCACCTGTGAGTTTCAAATTGAATGTGAATGTGAATGAATGCCGATGCGGCAACTGCAAGTATGCCCCCGGGAAAGCACAACGGGAGAGCTAAACTCAATGCTTAATATTTTTAGAAATTCTTAATAATTGTAGAACTGCTTGATAGTATTTATAGAGTTGCAATTCTAGCAGTAGGACTTTTGTCAATTCTATAAAGTGTATCAAGTATGTAGACTACATGTAAGGAGCATAAGCTGACTGTTATTAAGCTCTATACTGTTTCAGGTTCTTACTGATAGTATAACAAACCAGGAGTATTACTAGTAGTATTGTTAATGCCTTACACAGATGACATCAACTTAGGCATTCACAGCTCTGGAGCCTACACCTATATCTAGCTTTTGTCTGTTCTTCTTCCTCTTCTGAAGCTTTTACTTTTGTTGAACTGCTATTCTTATAATGCCTGGTATCTACATATGCCTTGATCTGTGAGTATCTCAGGACCGTCACAGGTGGTCCTTCTAGCTGCCTCAGCCTAGACAAGATTTCCGTGACCAAGTGGCAACTGTGAAAAAGGTTTCGCTAATTACCATAACAAGGCAGTTTGGCTGAGTGGTCTAAGGCAATTGACTTGAAAGATGGGGTCCTCTTATATATCTATACCTGGGTAAAACTTCTCTTCTGAGGTATCAATTCTCTTCGGACGCGTCGTCAAATCCGACAGATGTCGTTTATTATTTTTTGGTAGGTCACGTGCTGTAAGTTGCGCTAAGCCGAATAAACGAACATCGTTACTTGAACAAATCCTCCTTGTTCATATCCCACACCATCGGCTAAATCAATACAGGTGGCCGCCCTTTACAGCAATCAACGGGCGGAAACCAGCTCTTGGCCTATGTGGGAAAAGAGTGTTTGGTCAAGCCCCAATCCCTATCGAAATAGGTGGGGTTAATCAATTACAAAAGTGATCTTTTCGACCCCCCGAACGTGGAGACGTAACCCACTTTTTATGCAAATCCCTGTCAACTAATTCTAATTTTTTCATACAGTTAGGCCAAGATGAAAATCATATGTGGCAGTATCAAGCCTTTTGCAAGCTTGCAAGCGCGCGACGATGGAGGATATTCCTCAGCACAGTAACAGTCACCTTAGGCGGCATACGGTGACTGTTACTTGTTGAATAAACCAGGTCCACATGGGAAAAACCCTCCCAAAATATTTCTGCCATCGGGCCAAGCTTCCTAATAGCGACTGATCGTATAGTTCAAGAATATGCTGATTGGCCTCGGTCAGCGGTCCCATGGGGTCCTGTGGGGCTCGTCCCCTTTTTGCGGAGTGCGCCGGCCTCCGCAAAATCCGTCCAACCTCAAGTCACAACAAGTTTTAACGATGGACTTGGAAACATAAAATACGCAAAGGAAGAGGTCAATGTTGGTGCATTTAAGTCCTGGTGACTCGCAATGGGGTCATAGCTAGGGTTGGTTTCAAGGTTTATGCGTGAACTCTGCAAGTAGTTAAAAGTGAAGCCATGTTGTCCGAAAAGAGGGCTCGGAGAATTTAGGAAAATTACGTCAAAAACTCTCTTTTACACGATCAGCGCGTGGCCTAATTTGCCTATGTTCCGTGTCGAACACTCCGGACGGTGAATGCCTCGCATCCATCCTCCCTTGTCCTAGCAATAACGTGGGCCTCCGGGAAACTCATGCCTTAGGGGTAGCGACCTTTTTCGTCCGCGGTCGAGCCTTCAAGATCGCCCAAAAGCGAATAAAGGTTAACACGATGGAATGGAGATTTTAATGCATCTAGTGATGCATGTCATAGCGGTGGTCTACCATGGTCTAGCCCACCTTTCATAGGCGAGGTTCGTTCCATTCGTCAATCAGTCCGATATGCTTCGAGGTCGTCGCGGCCTTACCCGCGGCCTAGCTTTCTTCAGTCCAATCCCTGACCCTTGGGACCTATCATGATGGAGATTTCCCTTTTTTTTTGGGTGGGTCATCTCCGGGAAACATACTCGCTAGCTTCAACTAACTATTTCAAGCTGCGCACATGACGCTATCCCCGGGACTCGCCGTTTTCCTTTACACATATGATGAAGTCCTTGCGCTTTAGTGGCAAAATCTGGTTTTTCCATTATTGGGCACGAAAATAGCACTAGTGAAGTCCATGCCCTTGGATAGATATTTACCAAGAAATGCCCAGGTCTAGTAGTAACATCTCTATATCCTTCCACCTCGACTACATTCAATTTTTCTCTTTTAGCCGTTGCCATTAATCATATTTAGCCCAGCGTTTACTTACTTTCTTGCTTCGAGGAAACTGTTATTAATGGAGCAGATCATTAACGTCGCTGAGTTGAAACAGCCCCAGGCTGATACCAAAACTTTCAGTCACACATGCTTGTGCAGTCAGAGCCCAACACCTGTGGGTTCGCAAACCGGCCATGACTATTCTCTTGTTCATCCCCATACCCGCCCCCATACCCCAGAATATCAACAGATGCCCCCACCTCGCCACCAAGCTCCTCCACCTTCAGAGGAACGCAAATTCGGCAATCCGGCTCCTCTTGGCCTGTGTGGATTTGCTCTGACTGCATTCCTTTCAAATGGCATGAGTGTTTTCGCTGGGGTACCGGTCGCCGGTGAAAATGTTTCTTCGGCACTCGCATATGGAGGCATTATCCAGGTTCTTGTTGGAATGTGGTATGTCATCTGTAGTTCCGTTGACTACACGACCTCTCTAGACCCTTTGGCCGTGAAATAACAATCGCAGGGAACTAGCTCTTGGAAATACCTTCGGCGCTACATCCTTCTGTTCCTATGGCGCATATTGGATTTCCTTCGCTCTACTCAATTTTGATGGAACCAAGGTCACAACCCAAACTGCCAATCATGTCTGCCAGAGCGAGATGTTGATGGGGCTCTTCATGATGGTAAGCAAACACTGCGACAGGAGGGCGCTAAATTCATCGGGTGGTTATTAACGACTGCGTCTCCAGGCATGGTTCATCTTTACAACCATCATGCTTTTGTGCACACTCAAATCTAGTCTCGCCATGTTTCTCCTATTCTTCTTCCTCGACATGAACTATCTCCTATTGGGCATTGCAAACATCCAATGCGGCGCCACCGGCGAGATTATGGCCACAGTTCAGAAAGCCGGGGGCATTTTTGGTCTCTTGGCTGCCTTTGCAGCTTGGTATAACGCCTTCGCTGGTATATTCGACAAGAGCAATGGATTCTTCACTGTTCCACTTGGTCACTTCCCGTGGTCACCACTCATTCACGCCCATCAATCTAAGTTCAAGGAAGTGTGATCGTGCAGCTCGCCACGCGGGCATCACGACATGCCCATCAAGACCATTTTCATTTACACGCCGCTCAGTTCGGCAACTGAGCCGTATGCCACTCTCGTCGCTCCACGCTCCACGCCCGACGCTCATCCTCGGGGACCTTGCCCTCGGTTCAAGCACTCCGCCATCACCTGGTCAAGCCTACTATTCGGCAATTCAAAAATACCGCGCGATGTCCGCCCCGTCAAGGTCCTCGTATCATCTACCACGGTCGCACGTACCTTTGGGTCACATACTTTCCTCAGTTCTAGCTTTCTCGCTAGTCGACTAATATGGAATACTAAGTGAGCCGCCGGGCTGGAGGTGATAAATATATGCATTCATGAATCTTTATCCATGTTATAGCAAAGAGACAAAAGCGACCTAATAATATTCTCGATTTCATTGATTTCCAATTCAAAGGACCATATTCTGTTTCATCTAAGAGCAATTCGGAGCCCTCGGTTACCACAATAAGGCATTCAAAAGCATTGTCTTGATATCTACCGTGGTTCCCATGATCAACTAGTATTCCTTAGAATCTGAATTTATCTGACGATAAAGGCAGTAAATAGTCTCTTGACTACGATTCTTTCCGGACTCTCTATAACATCGAGGACCCGATTTTCAGAGCAGAGCGACGGATTGAACATTCAGGATTCCCAAGTAACTTATTTCTAACTCGCAATAACGGCGCGCCCTTTCTGCCAGTTCATTGCCGCCTCGATTTTCATTTCTTCACATACAAAGCGCATTTATCTACTGGGCAAAACATCCATAGATTGGTGCGTGTCTTCAATTGACACCGAGCGAACCGGGTACGCGAAATTGATGGCTTTGGAACTTTGGAACCTGAATACCTATAATAGAGGCCAAGAAGTTCTTGCTCTTGGTCGGCGCTAATATGTCAGTCGTATAGATAGATAGTACTAGTACTAGTACTAGTATTATTAATATAAATATTATACTACTTAGTATCCTAATCAGTTATATACTAACCACCCTGAGTTACGGTCCGTGCCCGAGAGCATGGAAGCTAGAGCCAAGGCGAACATTTTTCCCGCGCCACCCGCAGCATAATGGCATTGCTCTTGTGGGTGAGAACTATTCGCAAGATACGCGTATACCCAGGGAGAGCAAATGGGCGAAGCGAGGCGAGATAGGGAAAAACATGCCATCATGATCGACACTCAGGCGGAGTGGAAGAAGGTCGACCGATCAATTCCGAAACTAAAAGAAGATGGCGAAACTCAAAATGATCATTCCCGAACCTATGATCTTATCTGATCTAATTATCAGCGTCCATCTATGTACGAAGGTAGATCAGTACCCTCTACCGAGTAATACGCGACCATAGCCAGTCCCATATGTACACACATACCAAACCCCTTCAACTCGCCCAACGCATCAGACATCTCCATGCTGATGATTGCCATTCCCCAAAGGCCAATCACCCTGAATCGAATCAACATCATGACTCGTAGTCGAAGCACACGCTACGCCCGACCGCTCATATCGAACCTCATAGTCAATAGACTGATGAATGACATTCTCCCGTAAATTCTTCTGACTTTCCATGCGTTCCACCTTAGGCCGAGAAGACCGGTGGAACCCACCGAGCGAATTCAAAGCCGATCCCGATCGCGACCTTGATCTCGATCGTCGCCCAACCCGACTCCCCGACTTGGACGAGCTATCGATCATTGTACCCGAGCCCGTACCATGTCCACCTGACACGGAAATCTCGAAAAAATCCGACACCGCTCCCGCCATCATGCCAGTCCGTAGATCTGAGAATACTCGTTTAAGAGTGGGGATGCACGTGCATATAATCGAGGCACTTTGCACCAATTGTAGCCAGATGGCTGGCATGAGCGCGTGCCAGGGTTGGTCGAGGGGCTTTGCGTGGAAATAGGATTGCAACGACTTGATAGCAGGGATTGTGAGAGCAACGACACTAAGAAGGATTCGCTTTAGTCAGTTTCATGTTTCATGTTAGATAAAAATAAAATGTTGATTGACAGATTTAGTGTGGTAGCGCAGGTGGGGGCAGCGTACCAAATGCGTGTCGCAAATAGGGCGGAAATATTGTATCGCTTTCGCTGGCTGATTTGTACTTGCCACAGCAATGCGATCGGAAGTGCAATCACCGCTAGGTCGAGTATTATGTGTGCGACACCCAGAATCACATACATCGTGTATTGGTTCACGCACCTATCGCGACTGGTAGAATCCCAGGGGCTTGGCTGATCGCATTGTAGCCCAAGGGCAAACAATGCAGCCATGGCCCAGGCACAGATTAGTCCCAGAACCACCTTGCATGCCACTGAGGTACTTCGGAATGGTTTGAGCGAGAGGATTAATAGGGCTAATCCGGCTTTGGAGCATGCGAGAACGAGGACTGCCAGAAGCTGGCCAGAATAGAATGTCTATGTAGTATGCAGTCAGGTAAGGTTACGAGTAACTATGTCAATGGCAAACAAAGTTCAGTGCTCCGTACCTTATTATACAAGTTGAATGATGACTCGGAGAGGGCATCACCGCGCTTGCCGATTCCATTCGAGCTGGCCACATTGATGCAGATGGTTTGGGGGAGAAAAAGGATCTGTGCGAGTTAGTTCGGTGCTTAGATGGCATTGAATTGATTAGGAATTCACTAACGCATCCAAGTATCAAGACGAGGTCGCTCCATGCAAAGTTCCTGGTCCTTCGCATCCGAGATATCACGGTGATCACGGTCGCTATAATGGTCAGAATCAGTAATATCGTGCTGACAGTGATCACCCATGGACCGTGGTCATTCTCTGTGACAGGTAATAACGGCGGTCGCAGATCGTCCACGTCGGGCGACATGACGGTCAATTGGTATAGTTTGGCAACGGAATTGGGAATGCCATGACAGTAGAATATAAAAAGTGCAAGCGAAGAGACCAAGGCATGATATATCAGGGTAGACCTCTAGACCCAGGGATCGTAGAGTCGATGTGATTGACTGCCTTAGATGCAGGATTCGGGACATCGGATTGCATCCAACCATAGTTATGGCCCCATATGGAGGTCCTCCTGGCCTTCGGGGATGATCGGTGGACGGCGGCACGGCCCAGGGGCTGGTGGGGGCTACTTCTGATCCTGATGTCCGAACTAAACTCCTCCCGAATCGGCCAAGATCCAGCCACCACTACCCACCACCTTGGTGGATGCGACGTGCAGTGCAGATCTTCGCTTCGGTGGCCATGGCATTCCTGAATCCTGCACGATCCCTGTTCAAGCGGAGATGAATCGGGCCATTTTGGCCATTTGACTTTCTCCTGTGCCGCTCTGGTAAAATCTCTCATCTCAAATATCCATGGACCCCAACCTGTGCTCTTTCAACCACATGGGAATTTCTTTGCTGATAGCCTGACATGATGGAGTCCCATGAAATGACGGCCTATAAGGGCGCCGACGCGTCTGTTGATCGGGCATTGCCTGAAAACCACGCCGGTTCGAATGGCAATGGCGTTTCAGCTTCGAATGCACCAACTGATCAACCAAGTGTGAAGGTATGGCCGTTGAATTGATTATATCGAAGACGTTAGTACTATGAAACTGACTCGGACATCTGAACAATAGCGCTTGTTCAACTTTACTCAGATCTTCTTCTTCTCCTTGACATACATGTCCAGCTGGGAGACACAAGCACTGTAGGTTGACCAGTAATTACTACGAATTAATCAACCTTCTTCTGACAACAGACAGGAATCTGAGTGCGGTCCTGACAAACGGCGGACCACAAGCTTTAGCATGGGGGATCCTCATCGTCGTGTGCGGCGCAATGGCGCAGTCGGCGTCACTGGCGGAAATGGCGTCAATGCAGCCTATTGCGGGTGCGCAGTATCACTGGACAAATTACCTGGCACCTCCAAGTCAGAAGAAATTTATCACATGGATGCAAGGTACGTACTAGCCATACCGAGGGATTGTTCAATGTTCATCATAATATCAACCCTATGTCCAAGGCTAATATTGAACAGGCTGGGTAACGTGGTTCGCATGGATATCAACACTCGCCGGCGTCGCCAACACCACCGCCACGATGATCCAAGGCCTAGCTAGCGCCCATTACCTAGAGTACGAGCCAAAGGCATGGCACTTGACTCTAATCATATTCGCAATGCTTATTGTGCAGGCTCTGATGAACATGTACGCATTCCCACTGATTCCATGGATCGAACTATGCGCCGGTATTCTTCACGTCAGTCTTTTCGTGATATTCCTCGTCGTCTTCGTGGCACTGGCACCTCGACACTCAGCCGAATTCGTCTTCCTGAAAACACAATCCTGGAGCGGGTGGAACTCGGACTTTGCATCGTGGAATATCGGGCTTCTCACGCCTGTTTGGGGGTTTGTCGGTACGTGACATGACCCGAGTATACCATATCTTCCATCCATCGGGCATACCACAACTAACCTTCCATCCTTACACCATAGGCTTCGACGGCGCAGTCCACATGAGCGAAGAAACTCGACAAGCCCGCCAAGCCGTCCCACGCTCAATCTTCTACACAGTCGTAACAAACGGCGTCCTCGCCTACGGCATGGTAATCTGCATCCTATTCACAATGGGCTCGGTAGAAGAAGCCCAATCCCAAAGTTTCCCAATCATCCACATTTGCCAACAAGCCACCGGATCTCTAAAAGCCGCCACAGCCATGGTCTGCGGTCTGCTCGTTATCTCGCTGTCGGTTAACCTAGCCAGTATTGCATCCGCCTCTCGGCTAACGTGGGCCTGGGCTCGGGATGGCGCCTTGCCGCGCTGGTTCGCCCATGTGAGTTTATTTCAAATTATTTCTGTTATTATTGCGCTTCAGACAGCCATTTGCCTACATTTAGCTGAGTTGATCTCGGCGAGGCCGAGTTGGGCTGAGTCGAGCCACGTTGTTGACACAACGCTAACATCTTTCCCTCCATCCAGATCGACCGTCGACACAACGTCCCCGTCCGCGCCGTCTGGCTACCGGTCGTCATAGTAATGTGTCTAGCCTGTCTAAACATCGCCGACACAGCAGCCTTCCAAGCCTTCGTAGCGCTAGGCTCAATCGGTCTATTCGTCTCATACTTCATCGCAATCGCATGCATGGTACACAATCGGTTCCAGGCACAGAATCGCGCACCATTGGGCGAGTGGAATATGGGAATCTGGGGTCTGCCGGTGAATGTTTTTGCCCTGGTTTATACTGCTTGGGTTACTGTTTGGCTGGCGTTTCCGGCGTATTTACCTGTTACTGGGGAGAATATGAATTATGCTTCGCCGATTTTTGGGGCCACGACGCTTTTTGCGTTGGGGTATTGGTTTGTTAAGGGGAGGAGGCACTGGGATGGGTTGAATAAGGAAATTGTTAGGTTGGTTGTTGAGAAGGGGGAGCTGCAGCTTAAATGAGGGGGAGAGGTTCGTTCTGTGGCGATTTGTGGGTTGAGAATCTTGTTTTTAAACTGCCAGTGGAGTTTTAAATACTATTCCATCGATTGGAACTGAGAATTGTAAAAAGAATTCAAGTTCTTTTGTATATAGGCCCCCGGGTCGTGTCTGGTGGTTCAGTGTCGGCTTTCAAAACCATTGGCGAATAACAGATAACCATAACAAAAAAATGACCAGCCTGAGTTTCATTACGATTTATGAAGGGTGATTACAACGAGCTTCCATAAGCGAAATTCCAGTAGAAAAGTAGATTCTAAGTGAACCTTAGGAAAGATCCGCACCTATCACGATCCTATCTATGCACATCTTGACACCGCCCACTGACGTGTATACATCGCAAACATGAAATGCACCCCACAGATCAATATCTCAACGATAGGCTGACGATCACCAGCCCAAATCAATAGCATCTGCAAGTGATTCAATACATGCAGGATCGATAGTCCATCATATGTGCATATCTGCCTGAAACGGGGAGATCCCGATCGGCATAAAGTCGGTGACGGTGGTGCTGATGGTGACGGTGTCAGCTTGAACCTTAAGGTACCGGATCGTGATGGGCTAGTGACTATGTAGTCAGGTACAGGTACAGGTACAGGTACAGACAGGTACGTGCCGCGGGGTAGTTGTATGTAGCATTGTAATCGATCAACGGGTGCTAGTACTGTACCTCTCTACCACCAGGTGTACGAGTATACGACTCGGAGTATACATGCCTAAGATACACCTGAGCATCCATTCCGTATCCCAAAACCTGCGAACAGTACACGGGTACAACTTGAATACCTAGGTAGCCATGACACTGGCAGGTGCAGAAACCTGAGGTCCAAGCAAGGCAACCTGCATATGAGATATGATTCGGGCACGACTTCCAAGATCTCGAGGGGGAATTAGGTTCAGTGAGTTTGAGGTATGACATCCAGATCGACACCGCTCTTTTCACCGATACTCTACAGTTGGACTGACGCAGGGGAGAGGGGGGAGATTGCATATTACCCCGCCCTCCTCAGGGCTTGATCCTTAAATTGGTGGAGATGCTTGCGTTGCGTTGGCTGATGGGATTGGATTGGTGCGGAGGTTAGGAGGGTATGTACAGTACATGTAGGAGGGCGTGATGCAGATGTAGGTGGGTGTTAAATGGGGCTGGGTGGGATGCGAGGATTTGCTGCATGTGATGCAGTTCGTGGTGTATGGTGGGCATTTCATGATCGGTGGTTTTTATTATCGTGATGTGTTTGTTAGAGATTACGGTGCACTTTGAACTTGATTCAATTGAATTGGTGAAGAAGATTAAAAAAGAGATATCCGATTGGATCCAACCTGCAAGGTATCGAAAAATATATGAGACTCAAATGTTTCCTCCATTCCCGGCGCCGCGGGTGATGCTAACTAACCAAAGAAACCAATGCCCAAAATGCCAAGTAGCGATTCAAAGAACACGAGATGAGATGCTAAATATGGGAATAAACAAAGTAGTAAAGTAATATGAGGGAATGTCCAAAGCGCTTTCCAAAGCCCCAATGAAAGATGTGTCGTAAGATCGTAAAACCAGCGAAGCTGAATACCAAGACTCCGAATTATAAAAAAAGAATATAACACAACAAAGAAAGATAAAGGAGGGGATCGACAAGATGCCGTGGCTACGACTCAATCAAAGCCACGGATCTGCCTGCGAACACGTATGCGGATTGACCGGTCCAACCAACTTGATTTGCGACTTGAGCAATTCACGGCGCCGTTCATCCCTGGACTCGGACATTTTTTTCTTCGCGCCATCGAATGCAAAAAGCATCTGACTCGTCCCACCCTGCAAGGCGCGGACAGCATCACGGGTATTCTGCTGCAATTGCGTCTTGAGTGGCGGGGAGAGGGGCGGGGTTGGATTTGTGTAGACGAGATGAGAAGCCGACCGGGACGCTGCAGGCTGTTTGGCAGTGGCCCATTTCTTGGATTTCTTGGGTGTTTCCCAAATGGCGCATCCGTATTTTTGGTACGGGGACATGGGCACTGCGAGTTGTTTTTGGCGTGGGGAACGGGGGCTGTCGGGCATTTCGCTGGCGCTGGAACTGGCCATGGTGTGTAACGATAGTGCCCGCAGGTTCATATTCACATCTAGCGAGGAGGCTTCGAGTGGTTTCACACTGAGGCCTCTCCTTTGCTGGAGCGAGGTTGGCTGCGCTGTTGCTGGGCGTTGTGACTCTTTGGCTGCAAGTGTGCGGTGAACAATTGTCTTGAAGGAGTCGCGAGCCTGCGCCAGTCCTCCCATCCCCGGCCGATCAAGCGAGTGCCAACGCTTACGCTTAGTCGAGAGGCCCAAGCGACCTTCCTTCTTGCGAGTCTTTCCATTTCGAAGGCTGGGACTCACGCGTCCGCTGGTACCTGTGGCGGGCAGCGACCCGGGGGTTGCCAGCTCTGGGAAGAAATCCCATTTCTTCTCACGGAAGTAGTGGTTGGTGCCTGGTCGAGTAGTCTGGGTCTGGGTCTGGGTCTGTGACCACTGTGAGGGGCGACCGTACTGAGCATCAGAGTTGGAGGTGAGGGCGGAGATGCTCGACACGGTCGAGTCCGTGCGCTGAGAAAGGGGACGTTGTGGAGCGACGATCGCATCCAAGGGATCGGCGGGGGTCGGATGATCGACCAGGTCGAAGTCGTCGGAGCCAGAACTGACAAAGATGGGGAAACTCTCGGTTGAGTTGCGTGGTTCGCTTGGACTGGCGACGCTGTCGACGGTGCTGTCATCGTCGTCGCTGTCGGAATCGGTCCACATACCAGAGTACTCGGGTTCGGGTTCGTCGAGTGGTGGCATTGCGGGGAGAGGTTTGTTGAGGAAGAGATCGGAGCGAGTCGGGGTGGTCGGAGTATATGTGAATGGAGTAAATGGAGTATATGAAGTGTAGGGTGATTTTTCCAGTGATGGAGGGATCACTCTTTCTAAACCTTCGAGTGATCGTGAAGGTCGAACTGGGGGAGCCATGCGGTAGATGTCGAAGGAAGTGGGAGAGAGCATGATGAGCTCTGAAGAAAAGAGCTAAATGCACGACATGGAGGGGGGGGAAGAACAAAAGACTCGAGGGACAAAGGCCGAGTACTAAATATAAGTCACAGGGACAGGCCAGGAATAGGCCAGGAACCAGATAAGAGCCGTGCAAGGTAAAGCAAAGGCAAAGGCAAAAGAGTCAAAGGAAGCGGTCGGCGCACGGACGCAACGCGAGGGGGCTGCAAGGGCTGAAATGATGAAATGATGAATGATGAAATGATGAAATGACGAGTAGAGTGGTGAGTAGGTAGATTAGGTAGAGTAGAGTGGGTGAGAGAGGAGTGAGTAGATGTGAGTAGGGTAGATGTAGAGGAGAGGTTGTGAGATGGTGAGGAGAGGAAGGAGAGGAAGGAAGTACTAATATACTCTACACCTACACCTACATCATGTAGGGTCCTACGTATACGATACAATTGACAACTGGCCCAGCTCGGGCTGCAGCAGAGTTCAGAGTTCATTTCCTCCAGTCTAACTACTTCCAGTTACCTTGGATACCGACTAAACTAACTCAGTTTAGCTGCCCGCTCCATCATTTCGCGGGTCAGTTCGTCCGAGGGTTGGCGTCGGGCGCTCAATCGACCCATTCGCCGCAATTGGGCGATCATCGCTTCATCCCCAAAGTGGCTATTATGCTCGAACTCAGGTTCACGCCCATACGCCACTCGCGCTGCGTCCACAATGATTCGCGCGGTCATTCCGAACACGCGATATCGCTGCACTAGCCCACTCTGTTCCTGCGCTTCTAGCTTCTCCACCGCCCGTTGTTGTGAAAGACTTTGACCCCCACCCCGAGGCTTGACCACCCGCTCATTGACCGGTACAAAGAACTGGTGCACTAATGCAATGTGTCAGCTGGTTTCTGTTCCTGTGCCTGTTTTTCTCCCCCTCCCCGGATAGCTTGCAGGGTTCCAGGTCCCAGATCCCAGATCCCAAATTCTAGGATCCACCTAATCCCCACTCGAAGCATGGTCGGTGCGACATCCTCCCCCTGCCAGAGACCTGCATATACCTTTCTCGGTTGCCATTGGCATTCTCCTGTCCCTCTTTTTGCGAGACTGGAGCAAACGCCAACCGGCCCGGTGGGTCCCGTCTGACAGCGGCCCACCCCTTCCCATGCCTTTGCCCATGTGTTGTGTAGTGCATTCGTAAGAAAGGGAGCATGATCCAGAGCTGGCCGTTGCCTACCAGGCGAACCCCGACAGGGGGTGGCAGAGGGAGGAGGAGGAGGACGAGTGGGGTTAAAAATGGAAATGGGATGCCTTAGGGCCCCGCACGCCTTGAGGCTGACGCTGAGGATGCAGGGATAAACATCTCCCTGGGTCGCCTCAAGATTGGGATTCGGGAATTGAACAGAAGTGCAAGAAAAGGGGAATCCCAAGAAAGAAATTGAAAAACCTACTGCGCCAGTTGGAATGGTGCCACAAACTCCACGACCCGCGATACCACTGCCCCGGATCCGCATCCTTATCCTTGTCAACACCGTGACCTTGACCCCGGTCCTTACCATCATCATAACTCTCAACCCTCAACCGCAAAAAGTCCGCAAACCTCGCCGTAAAAACAGCCGCAACTTCACGCGCATCCAACTTAGGAATCAGCGAGATCTCAGGATCCGCATTCGCGCCCGTAGCCTCGTCAAATGAGTGCAGTAATGCGACGCAGGGCCGCACAACCAGTTCCGTTTTGGCAAGATTTGCCGGCAACTCGCAGAGGTGCTCGACAGTAAATGGCGCCGGGAGTGGCTGGTCGATATCGGACAAGCCGATTTCTTCCCATGCTTCGCGGCGTGCGGTCTGGAATGGTGATTCGTCTAGTGTATCTGCTTTTCCTATTGTGAAAGTATAATGTCAATATCAATGTCTATACATAGGGTATACGCCGATACGCCGATACGAAGGGAACGAGGTGCGGCATGAGCATGGCGTGGCATGAGCATGAGCATGGGCATTGGAATGGGAGAATGCTGAACATAGTGCAGGGATCGTCTCCTTTTTTCCCCAGGATATCACAGAACGCGTCTTCCGGACTAGGAATGCGGCCCTGCTGATCGGACGGGAGTTCCCTTGTTGCTTTTTTGGGGGGGGGCAGTTCTGTTGTTGCTCTTTGCTCTTTGCTTTTTGGGGCTGTTTGAGGGACTTCTTTCTTCTTACGGCGTATTCTTCGCCGATCTCCACATACCTCCTGGTAAAGCTGCCTCGCCTGCGTCTAGATGGACACAATCGGGTTAGCGCTAGTCTGCATGTTGTGCAGCATCGGCCTTGTTTCCAGGGCTTCTCCTTGATTCCTCAGGGGGAGGAAAGGGAAGGGAGCACGCGTACACGAACTCAATGTCTTGGACCGGATCGTAATCACAACTCGCAGCTCGCCATTAGGATCGGCATACAGCAGTATCAATACTGCAGCCCGTCTGTTGAGCGGGACGTCTCCATATGCCGTTGGCGGAGGAACGTATGTTCGAAGTCTATTGATAGCTTCCTAGTATCTCAATGTCAGCACTGGCAACGAAACCGTTAACTCCATGATTATTTCTTTTCTTCTCTTTTCTTTTTGCGGCGTTTGCGTTTGCAATGTGTATCTTTGGGTTTGGTCTAAGGTTTTTCTTTTCCCGTTCTTTCTTTCTTCTTGCCACGCGACCCGGGTTGTGTTTCAGCGCCATCACATTGGCAAGGGATGTCCATCCACGGTGGTGCGCCCATGACGTAGCGAGCAAGACATGTGTTCCAGAAGGAGTGGGCAATCCTGTCTTGCCAGGATGAAAATCCGACATCTCACATCTCATATCTCGAATCTCATCTCAAATCACCAACATCCACACATCATAGCGGGTCAAACGGGTCAAATGGTCCAAAGGGGTTCCAATGTGATTGCTCCACATGGACGACGGAGAGCGAAATGAGCCGAGAACCGAAAACGGTTCGTGGAGGCAGAGATAAGAGAACGGGAAATTGGCCCAAAAAGCAAGTATGCAGCAGGTCTGCAGCGCAGTGGAGACCCGGGGACCAGAATAGTAAATACAGGGCGTGGGAAATGCAAATGCAAATGGCTCAGACGGACACGCGTGCAGTCGGGTAGGCGCAGAAGGAAATGAAGACTTACCAGGGAAGCGGGATTTAGTCGTGGCATCAGGGGCTTGTGGGGGCGATGTAGCAATGGCTGAGTGGTGGTGGTGAATCTGCGGATGATTTGAAGGAGGTGTAGTTGACGTCTTCTCATTGTAGAAGTACAAGTAGTACGAGGATGCGGAGTGTATAATAAGTTGATTGAACCTTGGAACTTGAACTAACCCCAGTTAATGTTAATGCGGAGGGGAAACTCGTAGCCGAGGCCGAGGTCGCTCTGCGGGGGTGACTAATGGACCGAGAGGGCCCAGCTGCCCTAACTACAACTTCAAGTTCAAGTCGCATCACTTGATTAAATCGCCATATACGTGGACGACTAGTCTATATTTACTTCTCCCATATTGTTGTACAGAGTGGGCTTAGTTTTCCATATATCGGGACGATCTCTGCAAATATTGGAGTTCAGTGCTGCACCCGCCAGCCTACGCACTTGCCGATCTATGCATCGAGAAATCGGGACGACGTAAAAGTATTATTTAATTAAGAAAATAAATGTCAGCTTCATCGCTAGATCCATTGTTCAGTTACTCCATAGCTAACTCTGAGGTTGGCCTGTTTTGCGGTGGGATGATAAATCCTCTTCCATCCTCGTTATTCGTAAGAACTTAAAACAAGAGTACAGAGCGTAGCGATCAGCAAGGAATGCCGGCTACCAGAACTAATGGAACGACTCCAGGTAGCGAGCCACAATTTAATAATCCACAATGCATTTGGGCAAAAGATATTGTATGTGAGCTACGAATGGATGTTGAGGCGTTGCCACGGGTCCGGAACCCACTGAAGCAGATACGGGCTGAGGAAATCAATCAAGACGCGCAACAAAGTAGTTGAATACTGGCACATAGAAATTGGAAGTATTAACATTCGAGTGATAGCTTCTCTGTGGTATGAGAGTAGCCTAGAGGGCGCCGCAGGTTGTGGAAGTTGCCGGGCGCCCAGGTGGCAGTTGCGACGGTCACTCGAACACAGAGTCGACAGTGTTGCTACGGACGCTGACGGGAAAGGTATTGTTGGCCACGATAGTCGCAGTGCTCCAGTGTTCCTCAGTTCTGGTCATCCGGGTGCGGTTGACAGTAGTTCTAGGGTTGGTCATGAGGCGACGAGTGCCCTCAGAGTGCCCTCAGGAGTGTCCACGGGCTTGTCCATCTTAAACACAACAGCGATCGGCGAGGAAAGCCGGAGCCCACGGGGTGCCCTAGTGGTTGAAACTTCCTCCATGGCATCAAGTAACTCCAGCTGGTAGAACATGTACTCCTCTTGAAATGGGTAGAATTCCATCAAGTCGCACATATGTGGTATAGCACCGAGGATTGAAAATATGCATCGAACTTCGCCTGTTGTTCTTGGACTTGTCTACTCGCGCGTTCGATTGCTTGATATGCCTTGTCGTGGGCTTCTTGATGGAACGATTGCAGTGAACCACGATGTAATAAGTCGTAATCCACCTGGGCAACAGATGTTGTGTGTGGGCTGCTCGAACAACATTCACGATAATGACCACAGGACCATCTGCCTCCATCTCGGACCCTTCGAATCGCCATGAATAAGCGTCTCGGCCCCAGAAGCTCAGTCCAACTTGACTAAAAAAAACGTTTATCCAAGCTGCAGTTGTTGAGATGTTGCCACAGTCACCTCAAGCACAGCGATCAACGAGGAATGCCAGGTGCTGTAGCTCAGAAAAGAACAATGGAATACAGAACAGTACTCGAGTAGGTGCCTTCTGACCTAACGGAGTACCAGAATGGACGATCCAGGTGGCCATCGTGTAACAGATCATGTGTGTAAGCTGTAGAGGCATGATTGTCATTTCGTCGCTTCTGCCTCCAGATAGCATGGCTCCCCTTCTCGCTTCTTTTCGTACCATCATCTTTCCTCATTTTCATCCATTTATCACCTCGCATGAGCTGCTGTAGATCATCTGCCACGGCACGCAAAGTGGGAACAAAGATCTCGTCATGGATTGTCGGGGCACAGTTCGTAGAGAGAAAACTTGTCACAAGACCAGGCTCCTTTAACCGGACCAAACCGAGTGACTTACTGGTGGGCCGGCATGGTTGAAAAGAAAGGCGGTTCTGGCGCCCAACTTAGAAATCATTTGGTGGCACAAGACAGGCCTTTTCAAGCCAAAAATTTGAACTTTATCAGGGTTCCCACCAGTTATGCTCAGCATATCTACACGCAATCACAACAATTCCATCATAACTTTCTGGTTTTCATGAACCTTCTTCATATGATTACCCTCACGGCGGGGGATTGTGAGCGTAGGTAGAGATATCGACAGGGAAATCCGCCGCATCATCGTAAGCGCGCATCTTGGAGGGAAGTCGAAGGATACAGCAATTCGTTGACAGTCGAAGATACGTAGTGAGCCAGACCTTTTCTGGAAGTTGTCAGTCCTTTGCGCGAGTATCACTCATAAATTCAAGTTTTCCTACCCTGCAAGCATGGCCCCGAATCAATCGATCCACCTACCGAGACGTTTTAAAGATTCATCTCGGTATTATCTGAAAGTTGCAGCTGTTTAAACGGTTCCTGTAGGTACTATATAAGCAGGAGCTTGCTTTATACTAAAATCCAATATACCTCAAGTTCAGTATCCCGAGAAGTTGATTTAGATTAGTAGGAGAGAGTTACCCTCCTACAAACAACTTAAATTACCTATAATACCGTCGTTCTAATCTTTATTAGAGTTCTCTTTTATCTGTTTAGAATTAAATACTAATGATTTATCAGAGAGCTTTTTATCTTTATAGATATACTTTTTATCAGAGTAGCCCTTATCCTTCCTCCTGAAGGATATCTCTATATCCTTGACTATTTATAGGATATAGATTATTTATAAAGGACTACTGCCTTCTTAATAAGTTCTGACCTAAAATTAAGAGACTTATAATAGAAGTATCTTCTAAAGTAAGCAGTGAATTATAGATTAAATACCCTTTAAGAATCAGTAATATTTCCCTAAAGCCTATTAGTAAAATATAATAGGGAGGATAAGACTTACTCTATCTACTTAAGAGTATTACAGTATTCTATAATCAGTCTGTTTCTGTATCTTAGCTTATATAGATAGACTATATTATACTAGCTACCTAGTAATACTTATTTCTTTAGGGTATACTCTATAGTATATACTTAGAGAGTACTGATTTCCTTAAGGACTAGGGGTATAACTAAACAGAAAGATATAAGTAAGACCTATAAATTAGCATAAGAATTAATTAAGTAAATAGCTTACTTCTTAAGTAAGAGTTAGGGAAAAGAATATTAAGGATAAATAAATTAATACTAAAGCTAGAATATTTTTTCCTTAAATACTTTCTCAGTAAGCTAGGCTAAGAATAGAGCTTACTGTATAATTCCCTATTTTCTCTGATAATAATATTATAAATTACTAGAGTATATTAGATTAATATATATAATAGTATTAGTAGGCTTATTCTTAGATAGTATTCTTTAGAGAGAATTAAGGTTTTTAAGGTTTAGGATTAGGCTTAGTTATATATAGTTAGTATAAGATAACTAGGTTCTGGCTAGATTAAAACTAGGGGTATCTTCTGTATCTACTATAAAAGTAACTGAAGATTAGATAAGGGCTAATAATATTAAGAACTTTAGGGCTGTTAAAATCTATATATAAGAGAGACTTCTGCTTAGTATTAGCGTTATTATTGGCTATAATAATAAATAAGATAGAAGAGTAAGATAGAAAGATAAGGTAAAAGAGTAAGATAAAAAGATAAGATATAAGAAAATAGGTTAGGTATAGTTAAGTAAATAATATTAATAGAATAAAGAAGAGTATAAGTTTATTATAAGGGACATTAAGCATCAACGCTAGATACCACTAGATATAGTATTCTTCTATCTTAAAGGTTACTTATTATCTAGAAACTAGAAGGTATTAGAATTTTTAAATAAATTTCTATCAACAGTAATTTATTAACAGTCAAAGATATATAGTAAGCCAGACCTTTTCTAGAAGTTATCAGTCCTTTATATAAATATTACTTATAAATTTAAGTTTTCCTACCCTATAAGTATAGCCCTAAATTAATTAATCTACCTACTAAGATATTTTAAAGATTTATCTCAGTATTATCTAAAAGTTACAGCTATTTAAACAGTTCCTATAGGTACTATATAAGCAGAAGCTTACTTTATACTAAAATCTAATATACCTTAAGTTCAGTATCCTAAGAAGTTGATTTAGATCAGTAGGGAAAAGTTACCCTTCTATAAATAACTTAAATTACCTATAATACTATTATTCTAATCTTTATTAGAGTTTTCTTTTATCTGTTTAGAATTAAATACTAATAATTTATTAGAGAGCCCTTTATCTTTACAGATATACTTTTTATCAGGGTAGCCCTTATCCTTCCTTCTGAGGAATATCTCTATATCTTTGACTATTTATAGGATATAGATTATTTATAAAAGACTACTACTTCCTTAATAAGTTCTAACCTAAAATTAAGAGACTTATAATAGAAGTATCTTCTAAAGTAAGCGGTAAATTATAGATTAAATATCCTTTAAGAATCAGTAATATTTCCCTAAAGCCTACTAGTAAAATATAACAGGGAGGATAAGACTTACTCTATCTACTTAAGAGTATTATAGTATTCTATAATCAGTCTGTTTCTATATCTTAGCTTATATAGGTAGACTGTATTATACTAGCTACTTAGTAATACTTATTTCTTTAGGATATACTCTACAGTATATACTTAGAGAGTACTGATCTCCTTAAAGACTAGGGGTATAACTAAACAGAAAGATATAAATAAAGCCTATAAATTAGTATAAGAATTAATTAAGCAAATAGCTTACTTCTTAAGCAAGAGTTAGGGGGGAGAGTATTAAGGATAAATAAATTAATACTAGAGCTAGGATATCTCTTCCTTAAATACTTTCTTAGTAAGCTAGGCTAAAAATAGAGCTTACTGTATAATTCTCTATTTTCTCTGATAATAATATTATAAATTATCAGAGTATATTAGGTTAATATATATAATAGTATTAGTAGGCTCGTTCTTAGATAGTATTCTTTAAAGAGGGTTAAGGTTTTTAAGGTTTAGGATTAGGCTTAGTTATATATAGTTAGTATAAGATAACTAGGTTCTGGCTAGATTAAAACCAGAGGTATCTTCTGTATCTACTGTAAAAGTAACCGAAGGTTAGATAAGGGCTAACAACGTTGAGGACTTTAGGGCTGTTAAAGTCTGTATATAAGAGAGACTTCTGCTTAGTATCAGTATTGTTGTTGGCTATAACGACAAATAAGATAGAAGAGTAAGGTAGAAAGGTAAGGTAGAAGAGTAAGATAAAAAGATAAGATATAAGAAAATAGGTCAGGTATAGTTAAGTAAATAATATTGATAGAATAAAGGAGAGTGCAAGTTCATTATAAAGGACGTCGAGCATCAACGCTAGACGCCACTAGATATAGTATTCTTCCACCTTGAAGGTTACTTATTGTCTGGAAACTGGAAGGTATCAGAATTTTCAAATAAATTTCTATCAATACATGCTATTCATTGCCAGAACACTATCTCGCTAGCTACTGTTCTGCGTCAGCAACCCCCCATGCTAGACTCCACGGCGAAGAGTTGACAAAAATGACAAGACAGGACAAGATGAGTGTAGTAAAGAGCGAATCAGCAGTCAAGTGTCCAGACAAAAGACGTATAGGAGGTGGAGATGGGGGTAAAAAAAGATGGAGAGAGGGGTAGTCTATCAACACATCGTAATAATAATAAAAAAGTAACACAAGATGAGAACCGAAGGAGAGGACCAGAAGAACCGGGGGAGAAAAAAAAGAAAGTCTATATGATCAACAGTGCAAGCCCCAAAGTAAATCGCAGCCAAACATATAAAGAGACATGTGTGTAGTAAAGTAACAACCTACGAGCTCTGGCCCGTCTTCTTCTCAGCCTCGGTTTCGGGGGTCTCCTCAACCTTGGCGCCCTCATTCATGGCCTCTTTAGCCTCAGCCGATTGCTTGTTAGCAGCATCGGCAGCAGCCTCGATCTTGGCCTCCTCCTTCTCATCGATATCGTCGATATCCTTGGGGGCGGAGACGCCCTTGCCCTCGTTCTCGCTGTTCTGCTTCGTCTCCTCCTCGATCAGCTCTTCCTGCTCCTTGATGACCTCCAGACGCTGCTTGTTGGTAGCAGCACCCTCGGCGTTGTGAACCTCGAGCTCGATCTCGTGGAAGAGTTCTTCGGGAATGCTGGAGAGAACCGACTTGAGGGCGTCAACCTGCGAAGCCATCTCGGACTCCTTGCCACCCTGGGTGTACATGTAGGCGTTGCTCAGGACGAGAAGGGTAGAGGGGACACCCTGCTTGAGACGGAGGTCCAGCCACATGGCGAGATCCTCACGCAGACGAGCGGGAGAAACACCGTGGGTGCGGATACCACGAGAGGCACTGGCCATCTGCAGTTCCGGAACGGAGAGAGACTGCACACCTTCGTAGAAAATGGCGCGGTCGTCACGCTTGATCTGGCGCATGCGGTGACGGATGTTGTAGCGGAGCATAGCGTCAGTACCAAACGAGTTCAGGTTCATGTAACGGCAGATGGCGACCAGCTGCGGGCGGGACAGGTTGTCCAGGGTGAGATCATCCTTGAAGATCTTGCAGACCTTGATAACGTCCTCGGTCGAGGGGGACTCGCCGGTGGTGCGGATCTTGCGGAAGAAGTCGGTGAACTCATCGTTCTTCACGGTGGCAGCAGTCAGGGGCAGACCGGTTTCACGCAGAGTGTTGCGCAGGAAGCTGGAGACCTCCTTGCGGGTCGAGCTCAGGTTCAGAGCCTTGGTCTCACGCGCCTTCTGGCCCTCGTAGGTGCTGGGCAGCAGGTTGGGGAAGATCTTCAGGGCGACTGGGAGAAGGAGTTCGGCAAAGGGGACGATGAGGAACATCGAGAAGGGGACAAGTCGACCCAGATCCTTGGTGGTGCGTTGGAGCTGTTCCGGAGGCACATGTTAGCCAATCCGATCCCACGATCCTCGGGATTCTGTATGTTTAACAAACCTGGCGGTGCTCCCTGCGGCTGAGCTCATATCCACCAGCCATCTTCAGCGCTAGACGCGAACTAATCTTGACCTCTGTAGCAAGCAGCTTTGTGCCATCCCAGTAGTGCTGGACCTCCTTCTTAATCTTTTGACCGATTGTCAACTTCTTGGCATCCTTCTTGACCTCAACCTTCTTCTCGTCAGGGGCTGTAGTAACTTTTCCAGTGCCCTCTTGCGCAGACGCCTTCACATCTTGCTTCGTTTGAGCAGCTGATTGGGATTGTGCTTGCTCCTGGGGGAGCGGGACCTTGGCTTTTTCGGCATTGAAGCCGGGAGGGGGGTATGACTGAGAGGAGTTGGATGTGGAGGTCTGTTCGGTAGAGTACGCTCGCTGCTGGGGAATCAAAATAGCGAGAGCAGTGACTTGCGATGGGATTCCGCGACCATTGAAGAGAAGGCTGCTGGCCGCGGCCAGGGAAGCCGGACCAAGAGCAGTAGCACGGGAGCGAGCTATTGTAGCGCATGGAAAAAGTCAGATACACTTGTCGCCAACACTCATGATACCATAACCTTGGAAACAAATCTTACCAGTCAATGCCGGGCGCAAAGCGGAGGCATTGCGCACCAGACGAGAGGATCTCATGGTGGCGGACATTTGCGGAAATGTTGGGAGAAAAGGAAAAGAGGTTCGGGGAGTCGAGCAGGGGAATTGCGGGATGCGCAACAACAAGTAAGGAGTTGAACCACGATATCAGCGCGATGGATATGATGATAAAATAAATTGAAGACCGAATTTGGATGGAAAAAGCGACTGGAAACGGCCCGAGACAGAGCGAGAATGTTGTGACGCCGGCATCCAATCGATCACGTTGATCGCACGTGACCTCGGAGATGGGTCGGAGTTAATTGCCGGTGGCGAGTCTAGACCTTTTGATAGATTTATAGATATCTAGTTTGATGTTTACCTGCTAGCACGTAGTTTGAGGTAATGGCCACGACTCCGGGAATATGAGCTAATGCATAGTAGTATGCGGTATTCAAGTAACTATACCAAGACCATCTATGGGAAATAGTACTTGTCCTCCTATATTGGACCAATTTCTCCAATACTCAGCCAACTTCTATCACCATTGATAGACGCATGTCCTGAAGACAGCGCAAGCAGCGACCCATCATCTAGAACAATATCCAACCATGAATCATCAGAGGGAATGTGGTAGGTTTGATCATTGATAGTTATATAACCATCCCAGGCCATTGAAGAGGATGACGCAGTCACAGTCGCGGCCGCTCCTGAGGTTGTCACTCCTAAGGTCGTCGCTGTCTCATCTTGGGGACCGTCATAAGTCACAGTCACACCGTCAGCGTTCATTGTGGATGCGCTTTTCAGTGTTTCTGATCTACTTTGAATTCCAGATGGGCCTACCACAAGCTATGTGCAGGCTTAATATTATGGATATTAGAGCATTTTGTAGCATATAAGAAACTGAGGAATCTGCCGAGTTACAGAATTTTGAAAGTGGCAATTATTCCAGTGGATATTCCAAATGATACTTTGTAGATGATTCATGATTCTACATACATCATCGCAGGACGGAAAACCCGCAACTGCGAGCATGACGAGCATGAGCTGAGATTGGGCTCATCCTTGTTCTAGACTCGTTGTTTCAGCCTCGCTAATTGACTTGCAGATATTACATGCATATGTACGATAGCAAGCAAGCATTGGGGCCATATCATCCCATATGCAAGTTCGATCAGTTTATCAGTATATCAGTATGGATTGATTTGGCTCCGCCTTATTTGTTTCTGAAGTAGTCGTTGAAAGAAAGCAGTTATAGGAAAAATCAAGTGATAGAAGTCGACGAAGAAGAAAATCGAAGGACGTTTCAACGCCGTCTTAAATCCTGCTTGTGGCAGTCTGGCTTGTCCTCACAATCGCTGCCATTTTCAAAAAGGGGCAGTGCATGGGGGCGGGAGGGGAGGGCATCATCTCCGATAAAAAGCGGGCGATTATGAGTGCGAGATACTACATATCTAGAGACAGGGAATACCAGAAAAGAAAAGAATCGGTGGGAAGGGTGAGGTCGGGTCTCTTATGTCCGACGAAGAGGGGCCAGCAAAAATGGAAATAACGCGCATTTTGAACAAGAGTAAAGTCTAAGGATTCAAATGTATTTGCTCGATTTGGTTGGTGACTGCATGATCATGATAACTTAGATGGAATATATTGCCTGCTCTTTATACCACCCTCCACCCTCGTCTCGAACAAGAAAGCATAACCGCCAAATCAGATAAAAACAGCGCAAAAACGCGTAGATTCAAATCAACTGTGCAGGTCGAACGGAGGAAGAAATGTATACGCCTAGGGTATCATAAACGAATGGAAAGGGGATACCCCACAACTCAAATCAAATTCTCTCTCGAAGCATGGAATCGGTCTTGGCCGGGTCCTCGATGCCAGTGGTGACTATGGCGGTCGGATCCAGAAGTGGGATCCGATCGACGCTGTTCCGTTTCTCGAGTGGGACCGGTGCGTTCACAACACCAGAAGCACTGTCCGGAAGAATATATGGGCTAACGCCGCCACCTTCTGGGGAGCTTTGCCATCGCGCAACATCCTGCTTCAGCTGCTCCAGCTCCTTCTGGAAGCGCTTGCCAAAGACGTCGATATAAAAGGTGGCTCCGTTGTGAATACTCCAGGTAAACAAAGCCGCCATGTAAAGACCGCTCGCCCAGCGGTACCAGAACCAGATCGGGGAGGGGATCATGGTCGATAGAGCAAACCCATACTGGATGAACATGAAGGCTGGTTCCTGGAGGGGGTTGGGCAAGCTCAAGACAAGCTTTCCGATCCAAGCCTTGGCGTAAGACTTTCGGAGCCAGGTGAAGCTGGTCGGTCGACCGGCGGCGATCTGATCGGCGCGGCGTACGGTAATGAGAAAGTGGTACCCCAGTTGCCAGACGATATAAGGTACTGTGGCCCAGATAATCATCGCACCAAGTGAGTAGTGCTCTGGGTCACCGGGCTGACTGAACTTGATGGAGTAGATGGCGGGGAACCGTTCCTTCAGCATTTCCACGGGGGTCAAGTGGACCATGCAGTGCAGAGTAACAGGAGGCATGATGTGGATAAAAGTGCTGAGCAATATCTAATTAGCTTATATCCGAGGAAGGGTGTATGGTCTAGAAAACATACCTGACCACCTTATCCATACTGTGGAAAACAAGTGAGTTACGCCACATTGCAATAGCCGCCGCATTATTCCCGAATGTTAAGCAAAAGGTACCGATAAACAACCGCTTCGAAGACGGGAATGCCCACACACAGAGCATACAAAGCAGGTTGACAAAGTAACAGAGATCGGCGAGGAAGTAGTGGTAGCCCTTGGCGTGGTAGGCGAAGTAGCGGATCGGCATGAAGTAGGCTAGTTGCAGGGTGTACCAGTAGTAGAAATACTCCGGGCAAGCACCGATCAGATAGCCACTGATGAAAATGTTGAGCACACCAGCGATGAAGGAGGTCTTCTCGCGCAAGGTGACGGTCGCTGTCTTGCTCCATTGTTTACCCAAGCGCTCGACGCCGGTCTTCATGCGACGGCGATATTTGTCGAGCTGTTCGTCTGCGGTAGGAACGCGACGCTTAAACTCGCCGACCACGCGTTTTCTGGCGGTTTGGCCGGTGGTGCGAAGCTTCTCGCGCTGCTTCTGGACCTTCTCCTTCTGCAAATTGATCGCGTGTTGCCATTTCTCAAAGCGCTGTGTGAGCTGGATATTGTCGAGGAGATCGAAGATGCTGAGCTTATCAAGAGGCGGGAAGGTCTCCCAGTCCTCCTGGTAGGAGCTACTGTTGGTGCGGGACAGTTTGGGAGAAGCAGGAGGGGAGTAATAATCATCGGGGTCATAGTCGTCGAGGAAGGGGTTATCGATGTCTTCGAGAGGCGGAGTGGAGGCGAGAGACTCGGAAGCCATGGTGCCGGTGCCGTCGGACGACTTTCGGCGCTCGCGCGCGCTGGCGTCCTGCATGAGGAATTGTTGTTGGAAGGAGAAGATGGTCGGGCCGTCCTGATAGTGAGGGTAAGGCCGGCTGAGGAAACGAGCAAATGTTAGCATCCCCATGATGATTGATTACGGTACCCAGGAAGGACCATGGATAAGAGGATCAAAGTGCAAAAAGGGAGAAGATGGGATGTTGAGCTAGGCAACCTTTAAATGGAGTTGGAGTATGGCGACTTTACCTTGAGACCCGATCACGACCCCGATCACAACCTCAACCTCCAAACACACCTGCGGTCAACCAGAGTTCACGCGGGGAGACTACGGACGATCACGCAGCACGAAAACGGTAAAAGGCGAGGGTGGCACACCGTTCGGGTAATTCACAAAGGATGTTCTCCAAAGGTTGAGAGGGAAAGAAAGCACAAAACAGAGAAGGGAAATGGGAAATGTGGTCTGGCGGTGACTGTTGGTTGGTTGAGGAGCTGCCCACAGGTGCAGAGGAGCTGCCGTGGGGTCAGCCAATCACAGTGGGGTATGTGAGCAGGTGATGCAGCCAGTATACAGAGGAGATAGTATACTACAGTAATAGTAGTATAAGCTAAGGAACACAATTAGAGATAGTGTTCTACTAATAGTACCAGTATTAGTAATGCCGCTCGTGACCTCCAGGGCTTATCTTCTGCAACGAGTCCGAGTCCCGAGATATATAGTAGCAGTACTACTAGTAGCCGGGTAGAAACCCGATCGCTAGAGGGTGTTTATTACTACCTAGGCAGGCTCGGAAAGATCAATAAGGCCGTGGGGAAAGTGCAAACCACTCCATTGCTTGTATCCATAACATGCTGAATTCACGGCATGAGCAATTTGAGTATATGACGTATGGCAAATGGAAAATTTCGAGAACTAAGACCTATTATCTAGAGGCTATATAGACGCTAGGGCCTAATATCTAAATGTTGTATAGAATAACATAGTATTAATACTACTGGTTATAGGGCGGTCCGTAGTATTCGATAATCGGATCGAGGGTGAGATGGACCTTAGCCTCCCTGTGGGGAAATGCTCGAATGCCCAGGTGGTGTTGATTGTTGGATTGGAAGGATCAACAAAGACCTTGGGGAAGGTGCAACAGGCTTGTTAACCCTCTCAGGCTGTGATCCGTGATGAAGATGAAGATGAAGAGTCGGCATGAGCGACTTGAGTAGATGCTGGTGAATGGCAAATCCTGGGAAGCAAATTAGTGTCTGATCTCCAAAGTTGAAATCCGGAATGAACTTACATCATTCTAGAGTAAGGATTGGGGTGAAGAAGTTGGAAGGGTAAGCCTCGTAAGGCAACCCGGGAGTGCAGAGGAGCATTCAGTACCCGATGGTAAAGTCCTTCCAAGCAGTCCCATTGAACGCGTGAGGTGTTGCAAGGGGGCGATGGATTGATGCAAGAAACGAAAGTGATGTGTGTGGTATGAAGGGGAGAGAGAGAGGGAAAGAGGGAAAGAGGAAGAAGAGAGGAAAACAAGAGAAAGAGGCTCATATATAAAAGGAAGGGACGTGTGGTTGCCTGGGTGGGTAAATAGTGAAGGGGAACTATAGCCTATAGAGTAAAGTCTACAGGTAATAGCACCTACACTACACGACAATGACGAGAGTTCAACCTAACCCAAATTCATCTACATTCACTAGGGTAGAATTTAGGAATAAGCTCAAACTAGACATCCCAACATTCAGTACTTATCAGCATATAATCCACATTTCAATCAGACCATAGGACGGGGTGTGCTCGGCTGGGATCGTCTGGTCTAGTAAGGCCTGGCAATCTCGTCACTTTTTGCTTCTCCAGATAGATATAACAACATTTACCAGCTGATCACTCGGCGAGTCTCCAATACTATAACTTCAAAACAGAAAAGGGGAGAATTTATACCAGGTCTCATTCACCAGCTCGGTGATCACCGGTTTTAGCTGGCTACATTATTGAAGACCCACCAGCCTCGGTCCCGCTTCTGTCAAACTCTAGAGAGTGACCTCGGTTATCCGGATGCTCAACCCCCCCCGCCTGCACCCCAGAGTATCAGCGGGATACAGATCAATGCAGCCTTTATTTTAATTTGAAAGGACTGGCCTTCTTTTATGCTCTTGACGGAGTAAATGGTATAGGATTGGATCGATGACCTGATCAGACGTTCCCTACAAAAGTCATGGACGAGATTACCCGCATCCTGGACGGCTTCACAGATCCTACAACAGGGTCATTGCATGGCGCAATATTTGTCGTTATTGACAATTCTGGTTAGAAAGCTTCTCATTCTTGCCCAGTGGCCTTTTCGGCCATCTAGGTTGCCGAAAATCTAGCTGCCCTAGTTGCAATTTTGACACT